GAGTTCCGTGAACGTTCCGTTTTCGTTGGGAAGGAACAATCCTTGTCTGATTGTCAATCTGTCAGCTTCCAATATGTTTCTTTTCAAGAGTTCAGGTTCGTTCATTACACAAATGAAAAAAGTGTGAGTTTGTGGTATTTTTCGCAGCCTATTGGTCCTACTCGTAAAAATCTCGACTCACACGAACTTGCATGGGAGGACGTCTATTTTGATTTTTAACCCTATACCAGTCAAGAAGAATAGAGAGTCCATTAAGCTGATAAAAGTAAGTCACCTAAACAACAAAAAATTTTCGTTGACTCATGATTTCAAAATTTTCATGACAATAAACTCACCAACTTTGTCTAGTTAGCCATTGATACCATAATTTTCCTTTCAACTTGGAAGAGAACAACTAGAATGAGGAACCGAGAGAAAATATCCTTGTAACACCCCCTATAGATATAATCCCATATATGCGAGAAACTTCCTACAAGGATAACTTAATTCAACTATGACATCAAGCTAGCTCAAAACAGAACTGGGTGATTGAACAGTAAGGATAAGACATCCAGGCTTTTCTTGGTGCTAATACAGATGGAATTTCGAATTTGTTCATCATTGTAGATAAACAAGAACACTTCTTTTATCATTACGACTCTTATCACAAAAATGTCGGGAATACAGCAAAATTGTCGCAATACTGTCGACAAGATGCAACTTCAAATATTCTGGTAAGAGAATCTGGTGAGATATCAGTCCTGTTGGGTCCATTTTGTCCCATAGCTACACTTCTAAAGTGACCACCATTAGTAAAATATTCAAAAGTCCTAATGAATGATTTTTACTTGACAAAATTTTTCTTTGCAAACTATTGCAGCAGCTGGGAAGGTGGCTGCGAAACAAGAAGGATAACTGCCAAATGAATAACGTGAACCAGGGCTTTCAATTACATCGATAATAAAAGTGCACGAAAGTGATTTTTTCAATTGTCCTGATTCATCATCGATCATGTGAAGATTTTCTTTTATGGAATAAATAAGAGGATTCCATATTTTCTTATCCCTCCTTTTTCATTGACTAAAACTTCAGAAATATTGTAAAAGAAAGGAGATATGGAAAGTTTCCAATAATCGGACCGACCTATCATACCATCGGTTTTACTCTCATTTGAATTGTGCAGGTTTTGAACTAATCCAATATTAGAATCTGACAATAATACAATTTGGGAAGTTGAAACCATTAAAGCTCAAATTTATAACTAATAACTCGACAATTTCGCCCATCTAGGTTTTACTGAAACACATAAAATCCTTGTAATATTGTACCTGGAGAGTTAATTTTGGTAATACTTATATAAAAATTCTTGTTGTCAAGTTAATCGTCATTTTGGGGCATTATCTTCAGGCAAACAAGATCCGGAATTTTGTGAGCCTTTTGATGAAGACCAAGTGAAATTCATCTTACTCTCATAAGAATCTCACCAGTTCCAACTTTATAGGTTAAATACTACAACCTTTTAGGTGAATGATGTGTTTGTTTTTCGAAACATCATATATAACAGATCCCACCTCAGCTTCTGATAACAAGGTAAAGTTTCATTATGTCCTCAGGTTTGGGGTTTTCAATCAATGTGCTGAATGGTATTTTTTTGATCCGCTCCCCAAACGCTGGTCCAAATAATTGTGAGTCAATAGTCAAAAAGGTTTGAAGTTTGCTTTTTTTTTCAGAATACCTAACTATGTCCCAAGTACCATATAATACTCCAAGACTTCACTGGCTGGTTTGCTAGTTTACTAAAAAACCCACCTGTGATTGGGAAAGTTATAAAATGGAAGAACTGAAGAAGTTAGAGAGGTAACCCATCGATACTAATTTAGGGGCTATTTGGTAAGACAATGTGTTGGAAACTTGGTCAGAGGTGAAAAGACTCGATCCAGTTCTTTGAAATTATCAAGAAAACTCGCAAATTTGACAATGAATGCATATCTGTTTATTTCTATCAGTAGTTGATTTCTAACATTGTGAATGAATGCTTGGGAAATTCCAAAGTTAAATTAAAATCTTCAGCTTGTTGGAAATCTATGTCTGATTCTTCCAATTGGATTTTGTTGGGATTCTCAAAATCATTGTAAGCCATAATGTCATCGTGGTAAAGCTTCCAAGCATGAATCTTAACCACCTTAGAATTGAAACTAATTTTGGTCTTGGAATCTTCGTTTTTACATCTATTGACAACAGCAATATAAGTTTTGTCCCCATTTTGAGCAGCACTTACATCCAATAGAGGAGTAGCATAATTATTTTTGATCCAAGTAAGAGTACCATCATTATTACCCGTATCACCTTCATACATAGTAGATTCAACATGTAAATTCAAAGTTTTCCCTCTCATAAAATTGGAAAATAATTTTAAAGGATAATAGGTTGTTTGCAAAAACATGGATGATTCATTTGTCATAATAGGAGCGATAACGTTTACTACTTGAGCTATGTTACACATTCCTAAACTTTCACTTTGTCTAACAAAGACATTCAACCAAGAAGCTACAGCAAGGGCATCACTCAAAGTATATTGCTCTTCAGCACCTTGGGTCCCATCAGCTCTAGTTGGATCCCAAACATTCCATTCATCGAAACAAATTTTAACTTTCTTAAATTCACTTGAAAAAATAGTGAGTCCATTCGGTTTTGGAGGGTTTTGTGTAGTTGCCAAATCAATCAAATTCTTCGTAACTTGAATAGCCGCTTCAGCAGCTACTGGTGCAGTAACATTTTTCATATAATCACTGTTAGCAGTATAAATATGAATTGAATGATAATCAACCCAATTGATCAACTTGTCGAGAACATAATGATCCCAGTTATCAATCCCTGTACATCCACAAGAGATCAATTTAACACTAGGATCTAATAGTTTAATAGCTTTTGCCCACTCTGCGGCTTTTTTACTATAATCTTCTTGTGTCATTTGACCTACTTGCCAAGGACCCCAAACTTCGTTACCTAAACCCCAGTATTTGACATTGTAAGGTTCAGGATGACCATTTTTCCTTCTTAAATTAGCATAGTGCGTATTAGCAGTCGAATTACAATATTCGATCCAAGCAAGAGCCTCATCTAAAGTACCAGTTCCCATATTGAGGCAGAAATAAGGTTCCACATCCATGTATTCACACCATTCCATGAATTCGTCAGTACCAAACTGATTACTTTCCTCACCTAACCAGGCTAACTCTGGTCTTCTTGGACGATCTTCCTTTGGACCTACTCCGTCGATCCAATGGTAAGATGAAACGAAATTTCCTCCAGGCCATCTAACAACTGGCATGTTCAAATCTTTGATAGCTTGGGAAACATCTTCTCTATAACCTTTTTCGTTGACTTTGCATTTAGGATTTTCAGAATAATCAACTAATCCTCCGTAAATACAACGACCTAAATGTTCCACAAATCCGGAATAAATTTTTTCATCGATTGTAGAAATGGTTCTTCTTGTATCAACTATAATAGAGGACTCTTTAAGTGTTTTAACTTGTTGAACGGTTTGATTTGATAATGACATATTAGAATAAGTTTCTAAAATTTTGAAGAAATTTATCTTTTAATTTCTAATTGAAATATGTAATCTCCTATTTAATTACCCCACATGCTGTTTGTTTGAGAGCCCCTCTCTTAAGATAGCCGGTTAATTGTGTTACCCTTCTCCATTATTTGAACGTAATTAGTTAGAGTAAAACCCCACAAATTTTTTGGAGAGCCCCTCGCTATCTTTGCATTTTTGCGAGGGTTGATCTGTTTTGGTAAAATTAGGCAGCAGAGCGGCTCCGTCATAGCAACCTAGAAAATAACCTGTTAATAGTTTGATATGCATCGAATGGGATCATTAAGGATGATAAGAAGTATTCATCAGGTGACGAGATCATTTTTCAAGCATCAATTGTTAAGATCTCGCTATTATTGAAAAAATTCCGATTGGAGATAAAAGATTGTGAAAAAAGAAAAAATGTGGAGATATAACGCTCGTAAATTTGTATATTCTCCTTCACATTAACCCAAGTTTGGGCAAACGTTAATGTGGAGTAACAAGAATGGGGTCGACATATCCTTACACCCAGTAAATTTTGCATATTTATAAGGTACGAATATAATTTCAAATTAGTATTTTTCTTTTCAAATTTAGGATTTTGAACATAATTTTAAAATGGCAATTTATCCAAAATTAAATCAATTTCTTATCTGTTGTTTCGTTTCTATAGGTAGTTTCGCTTATGGTTATGATCTTTCAGTTATAGCTCAAGTTATTGCTTCAGAAAGTTTTCTTGAACGTTTGAATCCCACAATCAATGAAACTAGTGCTGTGGTATCATTATTTACTGGTGGGGCATTTTTTGGGGCTTTCGCTGCAGGATATTTATCTGATTATCTTGGTAGAAAATATACTATAACTACATCATGTGCTGTATTCATCCTTGGGGGTATTCTTCAAGCTACATGTGTTAATATTGGAATGTTGGTTGCTGGTAGATTTATAGCTGGTCTTGCTGTTGGTAGTCTTTGTATGATCATTCCTTTATTCCAGGCCGAATTGGCTCATCCTTCTATAAGAGGTACTGTTACTTCTCTTCAACAATTCTTTTTAGGTATTGGTGCATTAGTTGCATCATGGATTGCTTATGGATCATATGTTGGATTGGCTGGCAGTGAGAAACAATTTAGACTTCCTTTAGGTCTTCAAGTTGTTCCTATCGGTTTATTGTTTTTTGCTTCAATTTTATTGCCAGAAAGTCCTCGTTGGTTAGCTGCTCATGGTAAAAGAGATCAAGCGTTAATTACTTTAGCCAAATTACATTCTTATGGTAATGTTAATGATTCAGAAACTCGTGCTCAATACCACGAAATCATTGAAGAAGTTGAATTTGAAAAGGCAAACCCTACTGTTAGCTGGATTGGACTTTTTGCCACCAAAGATAGAGCAAGAAGAACTTCTTTGAGTTGTATCCTTCAAGCTTCAGTTCAAATGACTGGTGTTAGTAGTATTCAATACTATTCAGTAACTATTTTCAGAAAAATGGGACTTACCACTGGTAGGACTTTACTTTATCAATCAATTAATTCAATTATTGCCTTAATTGCTCAAGCCTTATGTTTCTTAACCATTGATTTTACTGGTAGAAGATGGGTTTTGATTTCAACTAATCTTTTGAGTTCAGTATGTTTCATTGTTGCTACTATTTTAATGGCCAAATTCCCTGCAGCAACTACTAGTAGTAGACCAGCACAAATTGGTTTTATTGCAAGTACTTGGATTTATAATTTTGTCTTCTCTTACGGTATTGGTCCATTATCATGGGTCATTCCAAGTGAAAGTTTCAATTTACAAATGAGATCCAAAGGTATTTCATTAGCTACCATGGTTTCATTTGCTTTCAATACTATGATTGGTCAAGTTACTGCTGTTGCTATGGAACGAGTTGGATATAGATTTTATTATCTTTTCTGTATTTGCTGTTTCACCAATGCTTTATTCTTTTGGGCTTTCTTACCAGAAACAAGAAGAGTTCCTCTTGAACTTTCTGATGAATACTGGAAAGAAGCTCCATTATTTGTACCAGGTTGGAAACCTGCTAAGGATTACTCTGCTGACTTGAAAGAAAAAGCCAACATTCTTGAAGCAGGAAGAAGATTTGATGTTGATTCAATCGATGAACTTAAAGAGGAAGTCGAACATAATGAATAGTTTTTGTGTGTATAATGAATATTATGGTTATTCTTTAACTCTAGATAAATGGTAATAAATATATGTATTTTTATTTTTATACTACAACCTGGTAGTTTCGATACCAGCATTATTGCTGAATCTAGGATATTCCAATCTCGTGTTATTAAAACCTCTGAATTTCAAGTTGGAAATATCAATCAAATCTTCATTCAAATCTTCGATCTTATCAACACCCAATAATTTCATATTGTTTATCATTTCAGTTTCTAAGATGTCAAATAATCTTCTGACTCCATCTTCTCCATAAGAAGCCATAGCATAAAGGAAGGGACGTCCCATTCCTACACCTTTGGCTCCTAAACATAAAGCTTTCAAAATGTCAGATCCTCTACGAATTCCACCGTCGATGTAAATTTCTATTTTATCTTCCAAATTTTTTTCTTTCAACATAGTTTTAGCTTCAGCTAAAACTTCAAGAGGTGGTCTAGAAAAATCCAATTGACGACCACCATGATTAGATAGAACTACAGCTTTGATACCGCTCATAGCAGCCAATACTACATCTTCACCTCTTTGAACACCTTTTAAACAAATAGGTAAATCAGTCAAACTTTGGATGTGTTTAATTGAATTCCAAGTAAATCTTTGGGGGAAGTTAACCTTACCGTTATTAGCAACAGTAGCTAAGACTGCAGCAGCAGCAGCATCTTCTACTCGTTTCTTGGAATCCTTTTCACGGTTCCCCAAATCAGCCAAATCAACATTGACAAAAATTCCTTTAACATTACCAGTTGCTTCGATCTTAGCAAGAGTTTTATCAACCACATCTAATTCTTCTTGAGTATCAAATTGTAATTGATACCACATTTTCTGATCCTTTGGAACCTCACTGAAAAATTCATGAAATGGCCATCCCATGTGTTTTGGAACCATTTCGATTATATTTCTTTCATAAGCAACTTTTTGAAGATTTTTTTCACCAAGAGGATGGGCAAATTTTGAACCAGCAAATCCACTAACATATATAGGTAATTCCACTTTATTACCCAACATTTCCGTTCTCAAATCGGGATCTGCAATATCTTGAAGAACCTTAGGTCTGAAGAAAACTCTATTATATGCATTACTGTTTTCTTGAACAGAATGTTGATCTGAAGCACCAGTTGTAAAATAGTAATAAGTTATCTCAGGCAATACTTGTTTTGCAACAAATTCAAAGTCATTCAAATTGTAGATCAAATTGATATCTGGTCTATGTTTCATATTTTCTTCAATTCTTTTCTGTTCATCTGTCAATTCGATTTCAAAATCACCATCTAACTTTCCCAAACATTCAATGTGTTCAACCATTTTATCAAGAACTTCTGTAGAGTGTATTTGCAGGAAAGCTCCACTGGCATCTTTTCCCGCATACTTGAATATTCTTTCAGCTCCTCCTGGGTGACTAATTAAGAACCTGGTGACATCGAAAACCAATCCATTGATGGCAATCCAACAATCATCAATGGTGTTATGTTTCATCACCTCGTCAACTGAAATTCTAATTTGAATATCATTATCAATGGGTTCTCGGGTGGACCAAATAGCCGAAGATCCAATAATGATTGAAGATGTTAAGAATAAACCTCCTAATTTATAGGAATTTTTCACGGGTACATAACTTAAAGATCTGGTTATCTTGTTTTTTGAAAGTCTAAAATTGACTTTTGGAATTTTACCTAAGAGTCTGAACATTGAAGTGCCAGATTTTGGTGTGGCCCATTCCTTTATATATTGACAGATAGAACGCGCAAAAATCTCTTATCAGTAAATAAATGCGAAGGAAATTCTAACCCCTAGCGGAACTCTTTCGGGAAAGTCCCGCAAATTGTATATAGATATAAATACTAATTTAGATAACCAAATCATGGTCAGCATCATCATCGTATTCGAAATCTTCCAATGGTTCATCTCTATAATTCGATCTGGAGAATTGATTTTTGATAGTATTGAATTGATTAGTTATATTAGCCCAAATTGATGGAGAAGAATCGATGTTGTCACTAAATTCAATTCTATTGTTCGAATTGATTAACAGATTCTCAAAATTATTCCTATTAGTTTCATAATTCATATCCGCAGCACTTTGTAAATTATACGATCTGATGGGGGCAACAGTGTTGGTCAACCTTTTATTAACTTCTCTGTTGATAATTCTCTTAGCTTCAACGATAATCAAATCTTTTCTTTTGGTAGAATCATCATTATTATCATCAAAACTAAAACTGTCGTAAAAGTCGTTGTTTAAACCTAACTTTCTTTTGATTTTATCATAAACATTGAAAATAGTTAAAATTATAGGTATAAATAATAATCTCGGAATCCAATTATTCATCAAGTTGAATAATCCTGTCAAATGAATGGATTTACCAAACCAATCTTCAAATATGGATTTTCTTGAGATAAATAAAGTAATAAAATTATAAGACAAAGGGATTGTTAATCTTGCAATGTAAGTAGCATAAAAACATGCAGATATAGGATCGGATTTATGGGTAACCAAATGATACATATTGAAAATTTTCAATTGAGTCAATGAATTTAATGAACAAATCAACATATATGCAAAAATTGAAAAAGTTATTAAGAACTTTAATGAATTATTGTTAATTTTATTATAAATTCTATCAATAATTGAAAGTCTAGTTGAATGGAAAAATTCAGATTCAATAATAATGAATGATATTATGAAGAAAATTATTGAAAAAAATCTATTCATAATGGGTTTAACGTAATTCAACCAAATAAATCTTAATTTAGTAACTTTTTCGATTCTGAAATTCAAAGCATTCATGTTGGATGAGCTCAAATCCTCCAACAAGATAATTTCATTGAAAATGACATTGAATTCAGATTCATAGGCAATCAATTTATTGTAATTCATATTGAAAGATGAGGTCAAATTCTTCAAAAATCCATTATTAATATCGTTTCTGGTTATCAAATCACTATCGTATAAGTTATTATTGATTTGTAATTCCATAAGTTCTTTCAACTCAGAAGGAATCTTATTATGCAAGTCAATTATCCAATCTCTGAATAAAAAATTGTTATATTCATCGTTATTAATATAATTGTATAAAACTAAAACTTTAAGAATATCTTCCTTGAAAGATATCTTACAATCTTCTAAATTATCAACTAATTTAGGTACTTTCAAATAATAATAATTAACCTTGGTCATGTGATTACCGAAAGTCCATCGATTCCTGGCAATATTAATTAATCCGTGAGCCATGAGCCATAATACGATTATCAACCCATATATATGGGAAATAGCAATTATCAATAATTTCAAATGATTTAAACTGAGTCCAACTTCTAATGTCAAATAGATTAACCCCAATATTGAAACCCCCAATATTATCATTTGGAACTTAAAGTTCTTTCTGATTGCTTCAATGAATCTATTATAACTTTTGAATTGTCCACTTTTATAAAATTCCTGTAAAAGAGGTAACATTAACCAAGTTAATAAGAAGGTTACCCAATAGTTAACTTTCCATAAGATCAAAATGGAGTGATCAGGTATATTGAACCATTTCAAAGTATCATTAGAATTATGCTCAACATAATCAATTGGTAATAATACAGTAATCGATAAAGGTAAAAAAACCGATAATACAATGGGTACCAGTAAGTATATTGGATATTTGAATATATTAATATACAATCGGATCCCAAAGATACTTATTACCAACGACGCCACATAACTTATTATAGGGAAGATCATTATCAAAACATCGCGAAATCAAAAGTTCAAATCGGATCTATAGGAAACCATGGGTAAGAAAGTTGGGTTTGCACCAGAGCCTGAAGAGGACTTAAAAGAACATCATGAACAATTGAAAAAGATAGAACAAGACAAAAGACAGTATAACAGCTTCCAAAAAATGCCCCCTGAATTACTGTACTTAAATCCAAAGACTCCTGGACCTAAACCTTTACCTACCAAAATTGAATCAACTGAACCTAAACCAATTAAAAAAGTTAAAGAATTAGGGGATTTAAAGCGCTGTCATGTCAAAGATATTTCAGTTATCAACAAAGACACGGAAATTAATTTCAACTACCCAACCATTGAATTACCTATATCTTCATATAATTTATTAGTCCAAGTTGAATTTGCAGGACTCAACTCTTTTGATATCAGTAAAATAAATAAATATTATTACAATTTGAGTGATACATATGTTGGTTTAGGGTATGAATTTTGTGGAACTGTGGTTGATATTGGTAAAAATGTTAAAAATGGATTGGCTAAAGGTGATAAGGTTTTTGGAAGTGTTAGTCCTTTTGGTAGAAAAGGATCATTAAGTACGACATTATTACTTAACCCACAGAAAGATTTCATTGTCAAAATAGACGATGAAATGTTAGAGAGTCTTGAGAATGTGGATATAAATTTAGAATTCAATGAACCATCCAATTTACAAATTTCAACTTTAGGAAAATTTTCTTCATTACCAGTATTGTACTGTAAGACTAAACAAGCATTACAACACTTGAAAAACCTTCAATCTCCAGTTATATTAATTAATGGGGCAGATACAAATTTAGGTTTAACTATACTTCAAGTATTGAATTCCTCATTATACAATTTCCAATATTTAACTTTAATATTGATAGTTGAAGATGGGAATGTAGAAATAATGGAAAACTATGTCAAGCAATTCCAAACCCCCAATAAGATATTTGAAATAATTGAATTCAATTTAGAAAATACCGATATAGTATTACCAGGAGAGAAAATTCCTATCAATTTCAAAAAACCTGATTTAATGGCTGTTAATATTTTTGAGTCGATGTTCAAACATTCCAGTGAAACCATCAATAAATCTAATATCAATAATTATAAATGTGATCTCATCATAGATATAATAGGATCAAATTGGTTAACTAAAACTTCCATCAAATATAAAAAATTGGATTATTTAACTTTACCTGTTAAATTTGAAACTCCTTTATCCTCATTACTAGTTGCCAATAATGATTATTTCTTCACTAAACTTTTGAAACCCAAATCGTCGTATTCATCATTTGTTTCTTTCTGTAAGTTCAACTTAAAAGAATCAAGTTATAGTATTGATAAATTGATTGATTATTCAACTCAATCCAACGAGCAATCTTTATTGAATCCATGGGCTGCCAATTGGACTTCCAACATTGCTAACTCATTAATCAAATATAATTATCATGACGAGATAAATCTTATTGTGAAGAGTTCGTGGATCATGGAAGGATATCAATTATTAGCTGATAATGAATTGAAATTCAAGATTGATGAATTCATCGATTGGAGAAATAACTTCAAGCAATATTATACCAAATTACGTAAGAATGACGGGAAAGTAATCTTTTCCCTAGAAAAATTCTAATCCAGAAACTTCGTATCTTTCCCCTGTTTATAGTTTTAAAGATTTTTCGAATATAAGCAAGTTTTTTTTTTTGCACCCAATGTCGTGTGAACCTTCAAGGAGGTTAAAATTTTTATCTTCGCATAATTTATAGTTATTGTTACAGATCATATTGTTAATGATTGAATCATGCAGTCAAAATCTATAAGTGTCAATTCACTTATTGGTAGAGATCGAGAAGATCCAGAAGTACCGAAAGTTGATATCAACATAAGGAAAAAATCACCATCAAAAGATATACTAAAAGACACGCCTCAATTAAATGAAATTGGATTATTAAAAGGTTTAGAAGAATTTAAAGATATGAAAGATTTCCCCTTCTCTGAATCAGCATTCCTTGAAGCTGTTAAGTTGAAGATGGAACAAGAAAAAACAAGACAAGAACAGATCAAGTTGGATATAGCTAAAAAAAATCATGATATAATAACAGCAGCAATTAGCGCTAATATCCCGGGGAATTTAATTCCTTCGATGTGTATAACATCTTCTACGGAAGAACTGACATCAAGTCATCATAGTCGGTCCAACAGTGTTGATTATAATGCACCACCTTTGAATTATAAGTTCGGAGGGAATGCTGTTACGTCATCCACTGCGCCAACCCAATCTAATTCTAGATCTTCATCTTTGGCAAAAGTTCCTCAAGTTAATTTGAAATCTCCTTCGTCAACTTATCGACCAGTTCGTACCCCATTATCACACCAAAGGCATTACTCTATGCCGGTAGTTCAGAATCCAAGCATCGATTTAGGTAAGATTGATACTCAAACTCAACAATATCAACAATTTCAAAATAAGCAAAAGAATCAAGTTACTCCACCATATGTGGGCCAATATCCACCACAATTATACCAATACCCTCAAATGTACCAATATCCTCCTCAATTAGCTGTTCAAACACCACAATCAAGTAAACTGCCTAATAAATCTCATTCAAGATCAAGATCATCATCAACTGTTAAATCATCAGGAAAATCAAGTACCCTTCAATCATCATCTTCAAGACTGAATAATCCACCAAGTCAAGAATCAATGACTTCATTCCAACATGTAATACAATTTCAACATTGGAAACCTGAAGATCCCGCATCATCTTATGACCAACCTGGAGTATCTGGCATACTTCCAGAAAGAAGCCATAAACGTCATAAATCAAATTTTGATAATATGTCAGTGGATCTTGGTAATAATCCTATACAAGAAGAAGGTGATGTTTCAATGGAAGAAGAAAAAAAATCATAAATTGCAATGAAACACAGAATTTTAAAAGCAATGCATTTGTATTATAGATATAGATTTTAAGAGGTAGTTTATATTGTATTATAGAAAACATAATTTATTGGGTCATTAACTCTATCTCTTTTAAATTTAGTAAAATCATATCTTCGTCTTCATCTTCATCTTCATCATCTTCATCGTCACTATCCCCTTCATCCATTTTGGAGGGATCGAGCTTTTCAAATGTTATTTCTTCTTTCAGGATCTTATCTAATTCACGTTTCAAATCGTGGGCTAATACTCTGATCATTGATTCGTTGACATCATTGATAATCCATGAGGTTAAATCTTGTAACCAGATCTTATCATAAACATAGTAAACATCATGGAATCGAAATAATTCTTTACAATCAATTAATGATTGGATTATCAATCTTTTTCCACCTCTTAAATTATAATAAACATCATTCCAACATTTCATGGCGAAATTATAATTTCTATGTAAAGGATAACAAAGTGATCTTCTGATACCTGTTATGACAGCTGATCTTAATAAGTTATCATCATTCAAGTCATTTTTGATGGATAACTTGGAGTCCAAGAACGACAATTGAGGAGTTAATTTACCTATGGTCCAAGCACTTTCAGTATTATGTTCACCATCAGTCTCTCTCATATCAAAATGATATGAAAAAAGTAAGGATACTAACAATACTAATAATTCAGTTTTATGATTGGTTGATAACAAGTATGATTTTTTGGGTAAGTCTAACATCTTTTCTTGTTCAGTTTTAGTGAATTCAATAGGCATGATGTTCTCATCTTCAAGTTTATTCTTATACCATTTCATAAATTTAGCAGTTACTGGATTTTTCCATTGAATCAATTGTTTGTAATCTTCATCTTCTAATTCAACCAAATAATCAGAAGCATAGTACTCTGGATCAAATTTGATATTCTCTTTTATTAATCTTTCTAAGATTCTTTGGTTGTCGTCAGTGTTTTCAGGGTCCCCTAATTCGTTAATATCATTCCCATTACTGATTGAAACTCCCACTATGTCATTATACTGATTGTCGAACCCATACTTTGTAGAAGGCATGAGCTTCTCTTCGGGATTATCTTGAGATATTTCCCAATTGAAATCTTCACCTTCTTGCATTACTTGTTCAATATCATTATTATCTAATTCTTGAATCAAAGGTTTTTTTACTTCTTCTTCGTTATTACGGGCTAATAATTTAGCTGTTAAATCCAAATCAGGGAAATCTTGTCCCTTGGTCTCTTTTGGAATTCTGATATCAACACATTCATTTTTGCTATCAAATTCAGCATGAGATCTTTCATCATCAACACAATTATAAGGGAATCTTAATCTCAAATAATATGGAGGTAATGAGAAGATAAATAATTGACTATCGGCGACCATTTCAATCGTTTTGGCATTGAACCTGGCATGTGATATCTTCACTTGTAAACGAATGAATTCATCATCTTGAGTTATTGTGAAAAATGGAGTAATCATCTCTAGATCCTCATCGCGAAATTTTCCATCTTATAGAGTTAAGGCTGCAAAGATGGTAGAACCTCAAAAGACAGATACAAAGGAGAAAAGAAGATTCGTTGGGAGGAAGAAGGCCGACGGTAATTCATTGGTTAAGACCAGTAACGTTGTAAGACGAGTTATGAATCAAATTCCTGAAGACATCTTAAACGATAAAGATTTGAATGATTCCATAAAATTATTACCATCAAATTATAACTTTGAAATTCATAAAACTATTTGGAATATAAGAAAACACAATGCTAAGAGAGTGGCTTTACAGATGCCTGAAGGGTTATTGATATACTCATTAATCATATCAGATATTTTAGAACAATTCTGTCAAGTTGAAACTATCGTTATGGGAGATGTTACTTATGGTGCATGTTGTATTGATGATTATACTGCCAAATCTTTAGATTGTGATTTTATTGTACATTATGCACATTCGTGTTTAGTTCCTGTGGATTTAATGACCATTAAAGTGTTGTATATTTTCGTTACCATTGAAATTGATGAAAAACATATAATCAATACTTTGAAATTAAACTTCCCAGCTAATAGTAGCATGGCTATATTTGGTACTATTCAGTTCAATCCTAGTATCCATAATATTAAAAGAAATCTTGAAAACGATACTGAACATCCTATTTATTTGATACCTCCACAATTAAAACCATTATCAAAAGCTGAAGTATTGGGATGCTCATCCCCCAGATTAGATTCTGGACACATACTGGCTATGATATATTTGGGGGACGGTAGATTTCATTTAGAAAGTGCCATGATCCATAATCCGGAAATACCTGCCTATAGATATGACCCATATTCAAGAAAATTCACTCGTGAATATTATGATCATCAACAAATGCATAAAGTTAGAAGAGATGCTATCAAACAAGGGAAGTCAGCCAAAACTATTGGATTGATTTTAGGTGCTTTAGGAAGACAAGGAAATCCTATTACTGCTAAAATTTTACAAGATAAATTAGAATCTAAAGGGTATAAGATTGTGAAAATTATATTAAGTGAAATATTCCCCCAAAAATTATCGATGTTTCAAGATATAGATGCTTTTGTTCAAGTAGCATGTCCAAGATTATCCATAGATTGGGGGTATGCATTTAATAAACCATTATTGACTCCATACGAAGCTAATGTTATGATCAATGAAGATGTAGAATTTGACAATTTCTACCCAATGGATTATTATTCAAGTGATGGATATGGAAGAGGTAAACAACCAATTCGTCAACAATTATGAGTGCTTATGACAACTTACTTTTCTTTAGAAAGTGTGTATTTATTTGATATAGATTATTAATCTCTTTGATATTTCCCTTCTATCCCTAATAACGTAGCCATTTCTCTATCATCCCATATCAAAGATTTTTGCAAATATTCTTTTGTAATCTTATCGAATTTCCAGGCGAATTTAATGAATTTAAGTGATACATTTTCGATTATATCGTTAGATATTATAGGGTTATTTAATTTGGATAAGTTTTTTTGGATATCCATTAAAGCATTGGGTAAATATTCTTGGATAGATTCATTAACCTTATCGATTTCTTCAGCATTGAATAACTTATTTTCTGTTATTGGTTGATAAATTTCAATCAAGAAATCTTCCTCTTTTTCATCATCATTGAATGGTGAAATCATATTAATTATAGTCTGGAAATCATATAAGTGACAATCTTTCAAAAGTTGGTCATATTGAAATTCTGACAATTGAATTTTGGAATTTTCAATAGAATCATTCAATTCGATAATTTTATCATTTAATAAGTTGATAGGTAAAATTTTTGATAACATTAAGTCCACAAAATTTACTCTAATAATAATCTTTTCGAGATTATTGAAATCTTTAGTTTTTAAATGTAAATCTAAGATTTCAATGGGTTCATTTATGATTTTATGGAAGAAATCATCTAATTTTTCACCTTCAAGATTAAGAATTGAATTGAAATTTAGTTTAGATTGTTCTATAATAGGCAATATGGTTGAATAAAATTCGATAATCCATTCGGGTGGTTGTAAATCTATGTTCAAATCTAATTTAGCTATATTTGAGGATTTTATAGATTTTAATTTGTTACTGATTAAATCAATCAACTTGGTTTGACAGAAACTGATTAATTCATTAATTGTTTGGATAAGATGGTTATCATCATTGAACTTCTTTTTAAACATTAACTTGTACAAGTCGAACAAATTGAAAACCGAATAAATCTTCTTAAAATTCAATTCAATAGATATAATCTTTTCAAAGTTGGATTTCAATGATTTAGATATTTTTTCAAAAATCAAATTCAATAAAACATTGCATTGTTCAGGGTCATTACTGAAAATGGAATTTATCATTTCCATTTCATTCAAAATCATTGTATGAAGATATGCTAATAAATCACCAATATATCTAGTAGAATCATTAACTAAATCATCCATATTGTTACAATACAAATTAAATTCTTCTATCAAAGTTTTGGATCTTTCGTTACTGAAATCTTTTATAAGTTTATCGTACATGTCGATATCTCTTTTGTTTAATGAAGTCAATATCTTCTGGAATTTCTGTAATTTTTCACTGTTGAAATTCAAATTTGGATTGGTCAAGGTTCTTTTAGCAAAGTTGTATAATTTTTCATTAGACTTATTGGATAAATGGTTCAATTTTTCAATAATCTTTATACCTAGGTTATTGTTCATATTACCATTTTGTAGATCGATATCTGAATCGATTAATAAAATCGAAGAATTTTCATTCAAAATGTCCAACTTATCCAAAATCTTGAAGAAATCATCATTAATCTCGTTATTATTTAAAGTGAACTCTTCAAATTCGTTCAATAAGAATTTGTTTTTAAAATTGACTAATAAATCTTTCTTTAAATTGATTTCCACCTTTTCGTCATTTAAATTTTTGAAATCTTCATTGAATTTATTCAAATGTTCCAAAATATCATGTATCTTATCGTTATTTATCTTATTTATATCATTCAAATCTTTCAAATTTGATTCAATCAGTTTAAAATGCTTGATCAATGGTTGATATTCTCTCAACATCACTGATTGATTTTTGATCAATTTCGATTCAATCTTACTTCTAAGATTCTTTCTACTCAAACTACCAATCAAGTTAGAATCAATCAATTCATTTTCATTCAAATCCAATGAGAATAATTCTCTTATAAGTGAATCATCGATTGAACTATTCAACACCTTGGATAATTTATTACTTAAATATCTAGTGTCATCCCTTTCTTCATCTTTTACATCCAAAGAATCTCTCCCTTCTTCTCCTTTAATTATGTCTTTATCAATTAACTTCATAGATATTTCAGCATATCTATCACTAACTTCATCATTTTCAATTTTTTCTTCTTCAAATTTCAAAAAGCTTTTAAGATTATTCAATTTTGGTAATTTGATATTGAAATTCTCGAAATCAGAAGGTATGGGTATTGATAATGAAGGTTGAGGTTGAGGTATTTCATCATCTTGAAATGAATCGTATTCTATAAACTCCATAGGTGGTGATTTCGCGGTTTTATATTCACTATAAAATTTCTATAAATTCCTCATGAACTAGCCAGTACTTCAAAAAGGATTTATGTACAAAAAAAAGAAAATGCAATCACGTTAATAAATCATTAATCTTGATACTGATTCTTCTAACTTTATTTGGAGGCTGACCAGGCAATTCTGTATCAGTTTTAGCCATATCAGCAGCTTTAAGTAATGAATCAATTCCTGAAGGAGATTTCTTTATAGGAGTTGTGGGGGATATCATATCAAAAGATGTTGTACGAATCTTTCTTGGCTTATATGTGAAAGGATTTTCAAGTTTAAATGCTGACTCCATCTTTTGATTTTCATAATTTGAATGGGTATAAGAATTACTTAAAGCTTGTAAACATTTTGAAGCTTCAACTACATCTTTATCATTGTCAACATTATCAAAATTTAAATCGTCGAATTTCAATTGTCCGAACTTTTCATCTGTTGGATGTAAACATAAATCCGGGAAATCGTTACCAAAAATGGGGATCAATTCATATCTGATATAATAACAAAATCTTCTAGCTAATATCTTACATAAGGAATAAGGTAACCAAGTTCCTTGTATTTTAAGAAACCCTCCTCTGATCCTTTTTATAAAACCTTGATATTTCTTGGGTGTGCTGTCTAACAACTTGACAATATCAGCTTTTGATTTTGCTTCTTTAGATCGGAAATCTAAATCTGATGGATTATTATTCTCTGCAGCTTTCCAAATCCCCGTCAAATGAACGAATCCTGTTTCGTAATCCCAAATTACAGTAGAATTATTGATAGCATATTCATACACTGTTAAATAATTTCTTATGGGATTAATAGCACTAGTGGCATATTTTTTCGTTTGAATATTACCATAGATTGATATTAATGTATTATAAACAGCTAAAGGCACTAATATCTCACTGGATAATTTGTTAATAGGAAAATTTATTGTTACTCCATCTTTGGTCTCTTTAGGTGAATGCACACTTACATTTTGAAAATTTGGTGATACTTGGAAGTTTTGTGGAACTTGATAATTCGTTGATATTTGATAATTTGAAGTGAGTTGATAATTCTGTGGATTGGGGGTCATTTGGTTATTATAGAAATTGCTTTGGAAATAATTCGGTTGGCCAGCAACTAAATAGTTTGGTAATAAATAAGTAACACCTGGAGTGATAGGTGTTGCAGGAGTAGTAGAAATATTGGACTTATTAGTATTGATTGTGGAATTTCCAGGAGTTTTAGGTGTTCTTGGAGTCATAGGAACTCTTTGATCATAATAATTATATGGAATCATCATATAAAATTTCCTATTTCCCTTTGGCAAATCTATCTCTTATCTTTTTACTATTAGTATCCGGTTGATTATTGACTATTCGACACCAAATTATATGACGAAAAAATATTATGGACAAACTTCCTATCCGTTTATCCCTTCAAATAATCTATAGAATAAATTTTTTAGTCAACTAAATTAAGGGTTTTATAGATCAAAAGGGGTTTCTCGATAATCGCAATCCTTTTCCTATTGTTTCAAGTTACTTTTTTAAGAAACTGTAAATTCATCCTACGAAAATCTCTAAAAGCTTAAAAAAAGAGGAAATTTGAATTTCAGTTAACGTCTATATGTAATGTTTCAATGATTTTCTAGTCCCTTAGGTAAGATTCATCGGCATAGTCATCGAATATTTTACCCGTAATCATTTTTTGTCTGCATGAAGAGCTGTGCTGCAAAAAAAATTGATAAGACACTGACAGGAAGGTGCGAAAACCGATTTCTCAAATTTACGGTCTAGAAGGTTAAAGAGGATGAAATTACCGGATTTTGGTAAAAAGATAAAGGATTTTACGATTACGTCAGGGTATTCCGAAGAAAAGTGAAACTTATTTTTCATTTAAACTTTAACAGCACCGTTTAATTTTTCAGCAACGGCATCTAAAAATTCAGTGGTAGTAACATAACTTGATCTGTCAGTTTTACCTTGAGCTAAAGCTAAATCTTTGGTCATAACACCATCAATGACTGTTTGAATAGTAACTTGTTCTAAAGTTTCAGCAAATTTAACTAATTCTGGGGTTTCATCTAATTTACCTCTTTGAATTAAACCTCTAGTCCAAGCGAAAATTGAAGCAATGGAATTAGTTGAAGTTTCTTTTCCTTGTTGATGTTGTCTGAAATGTCTAGTGACGGTACCATGAGCAGCTTCACTTTCGAAAGCTTTTCCATCAGGAGTCATCAAAACTGAAGTCATTAATCCTAATGATCCGAAACCTTGAGCAACGATATCACTTTGAACATCACCATCGTAATTCTTCAAAGCCATGACGTAACCACCTTTGGATTTAATCATTTGAGCCACCATATCATCAATTAATCTATGTTCATACCATAAACCTTTAGCTTCAAAATCTTTTTGATAAGTTGATTCATAAATTTCTTGGAAGATATCTTTGAATCTACCATCGTATTTCTTTAAGATAGTATTTTTGGTTGATAAGTATAATGGTAAGTTCTTGTTTAAAGCCATTTTGAAAGATGAATGAGCAAATCCTTTGATTGATTCATCAGTATTATACATACTTAAACCAACACCACCAGTTTCTGGGTAGTTGTAAATAGTCTTTTTGACTGGTTCTCCACCATTTTTTGGAGTGAAAACCATTTCTAATTTACCAGCTTCTTCAATAACTAAATCAGTAGCTTTATATTGATCACCGTGAGCATGTCTACCAATAACAATTGGTTTTTCCCAGCCAGGGACTAATCTTGGAATGTTTGGAATAATGATACTTTCTCTGAAGACAGTACCGTTTAAGATGTTTCTGATAGTACCATTTGGTGAAACCCACATTTTCTTCAAATTGAATTCTTCAACTCTAGCTTCATCTGGAGTGATAGTGGCACATTTAATACCAACACCATATTCTTTGATAGCATTTGCTGCATCAATGGTAATTTGATCATCAGTTTTATCTCTTGATTCAATACCTAAATCGTAGTATTTTAAATCAATGTTTAAATATGGATAAATTAATTTATCTTTGATTCTTTGCCAAATAATTCTGGTCATTTCATCACCATCCATTTCAACAACTGGCGTCTTGACGTTGATCTTCAAGCATCTTGACGTTTGTGAAAATTGTCTTAATTGTCTAAACATTATTACTTTGAAGATTTAATTTTTCAACTTTTTCAATCTCAATTGACTCAGAGTTCGCTCCGATTCAGGAATTTTGAGAATTCTCAGTACTCCGAAGTATTTGGGACCAACGGATTATCATTTGCTATCTTATCGAGTTGGTCGGTAATTATGCATTTACAGATCAGCTATTCGAAAAAATCAGTTATGCATTCACTTAATTGATTAATTTTTGGTGTCATAGATTTTGGTCAACTACCAATTTCGAGATTGTCAGTTATCCAAGATATCAGAAATTCATGAGATCAAGACTGATGAAAGGTCGATGTCTTGCTGAACTTTATGACATCTCGTTCGGTCAACCGTTGGAACTCTTAAAAAATCTGTATCAATGAGACTGTCTCGATTTAATTAGACTGGTCTCAATTTTCGTATTAAAAGTCACACGATTCCCTGAGCATACTCTATCTTTACAGTAGTAGTAAATGAGTAACCTGCGTTCATTGTATTATGTCTAAGTCAGTCCATTGTTCTCGAGTGAATAATCAGGCTCTTAATTTTTTTCCTTGATATTTTAGATGTATTTTTTGCAACTTTTGTAACTCTCATGGAAATGTCAAAAAATCTACACAATCTTAAATAATTAATTTGAAAAAAATCGGAAGAGTAAAAGTCACATTAGCTTACATTACTACACAGATTCCTTATGTTCAACATTAGGCTTTTCTACTGGTTCTGATAAGTTCATCATGAGATCTCTTGGATCGTCACCAAAAACTTTTGAGACTTCTTCTAAAGTGTAAGAAGAAGTCTCCACGAAGAAAAAGTAAATGACGAAGACTTCAGTGAAAAGGAAAACACAGTACACAATATAATATTTCCATCCAATGGCTTCCATAGCAATTGGGTTGACATAACCATTGTAAATCAAAACAACTTTTTCAACAATTTGGAAGATATTTAATCCTTTGGCTCTATGACTGAAAGGTAAGATTTCTGTAGCATACAAGATTGGTAAACCATTCATACCAATATCATAAGAGAAATAATACAAGAAGATCATAGCCAAAACAGCTTTACCATATGACCCTGGAAATCCTTTCTGTTCGTTGATTGCACTCAAAGCTGTCCATAAAACATAGAATAAACACATTAATGAAGAAGATGCTAAGAACAAAGTTTTTCTTTTGAAATATCCAAATAACATTGAAAGTGCCATTGATACCACCATATTATAGATCATAAGACAAGCATTGATCATTAATTGTTCTGAAGAATCAGTAATACCAATTGAATTAAGGACCAAGTTAAGATAATATGAAACTAAACCATTACCAGATAATTGCATAAGACATGGAATATAACAGATAAGGAATAATCTTCTATGGAAGGATTTAATTTTGATGAAATCCCAATAACTTGAGTTACTAGCAAGTCTTTCCATTTCAATAGCTACTTCAATTTGTTTTAATTCAAAATCAACTAAACCTAAACTTCTTTCATCAGTTTTATTACCAACATGATACTTATTTAAAAAGTCTCTAGCTTTATCAATCTTACCACGAGAAACGTAGAATCTTGGACTTTCGGGGATTAACCAAATGAATCCCAATTGAATAACATTCATTAAACCTTGCAAATAAGAAGGAATCCTCCAACAGTATGAATTATTGATATTCCTAGTTCCATAAGTAATCCAAGCAGCAATAACAGCACCTAAGTACCAACAGGTATTATAGAAACCAGTGGCTCTTGATCTATGGGTTGGGAAAGCAATTTCAGCCACTAAAGATGGAGAACTAATAAATGCGATAATAGCACCAAATCCGATAACTAATCTTGCACCTAAGAACCATGCATAATTCTTTGCAGTACCTTGTAAGATAGCACCGACGAGACCGATACTTTGACCAACAACAATCCCCATTTTTCTTCCATATCTATCACTAATGTAAGGAGCCAACGGAGTACCTAATATACTCCCGAAAATCATGGCATTACTCAAAGCTCCTAACATTTGACCCCTGGTATTAGCTTCACCTAAATCCTGTTTCCAAATATCCAAACTTTGTAAACCATTCAAAATAGAACCATCATATCCATTATTACTACTACTTAAAGTAACTAATAAGATTCCTAAATTCAACATCAACAAATGTTTCTCCTTCCACCAAACTTGATCAGGATTAATGAATTGATCGACATCTTCATCGAACCCGATATCTGCCTGCAAATCTAACTGCTTATCGATAGAATCCTGAGAGTTTATCTCTAAAACTTCTTTCTCTTTGTTATCCATGATTGAAGTTATAAAATTAGCATAAATTCAGAGGTTTATATAGTTTTCCGATTATATTTGCACCCATGGTGTTATGAATGACGACAAGAAATATTGTCCCAAACCGAATAATAAATCTCTTAGTGTTTAATTGAAACAAACAAAAATACCAAGAACTCAAATTCCTTTTGATCAAGTCGTAAAAACTGGGGTAGAAGATAAATTGCGGTTGTTACAGAAATTCAACATCCATTGGCCCATTTAAAGCCCCATACTCAATCTATGCCCCTCGAAAGGATTTTATTTGAAGCATTACTGTCTTGATGCTTCAGATAATTTCAGTCAACTTTCATTTCCTAATATCAATCGATCCAAGCCTGGTTTTGGTGCTGGAAATATTGCGCGGATGCACCCCACATTTTGGATATGCTCAAGGATTTATAGGAAAATTGCTTGACAATTTAACGAAAGATCCACTTTCGATTGTCCCCTCTTATCTACAAAGTGGGTTTAATGGTAAATCCTACCTTCAAATGCGGAATATTGTTCAACGTATCCGCAAAATTGTCTGGATTTATAATCCCGTTATCTCGTAATTAATATAAATGTTGGGGTTAAATCCTTAAATAGTTCATCAATTGATTTACAATTTAACATGGTTGGATTTTTAAAAGTCAAAGGAACAAAGATTGTCGATGGGAATGATAAACCAGTGGTTTTGACCGGTGCTGCTACCGGGGGGCATTTAAATATGGAAAACTTCATCACTGGTTATCCTGGACATGAAACAGAACATAAAAGAGTTATAGAAAAGAAAATTGGTAAAGAGAAATTTGATTATTTTTTCGATAAATTCTACGACTATTTTTGGACAGAAGAAGATGCTAAATTTTATAAGTCATTAGGTTTCAATTGTTTAAGAATTCCGTTCAATTATCGTCATTTCTTGAACGATGAAGGCGATTTGTTCACAATTGATCCAAAAGGCTTCGAAAGATTGGATAAGTTGGTTGACACATGTGCAAAGAATGGTATTTATACAATCTTAGATTTACATACTGTTCCTGGAGGTCAATGCCAACAGTGGTTCAATGATAATCCCACTCACTTTTCTTTCTTCTGGGATTTCAAGATCTTTCAAGATTCAATAGTCAATTTATGGGGTAAGATAGCAGAATACTATAAGGATAATGAATGGGTTGCAGGATACAATCCCTTGAATGAACCAGGTGTAAGTGACCATTCTAAATTAGTCACTTTTTATAACAGAATTGAAAAAACTATCAGATCAGTTGACCCTCATCATATCCTTTATTTGGATGGTAATACTTATGCTATGGATTTCCGTGAATTCCCCGAAGAACCATATCCTAATTCAGTATATGCCATTCATGATTATTCTATTTATGGATTTCCAAGAGGTTTTGTCTCTTCCGCTGGTGGATCAGAAATTTACTCAGGAACAGCAGAACAAAAGGGTAAATTGAAAGCTCAATATGAAAGAAAAATTCAATACATGAAAGACCATAATATTCCTGTTTGGAATGGAGAATTTGGCCCTGTTTATGCTAGTGAATTTAGAGGTGATACTGAGCATGAAAAAATCAATCAAGTCAGGTACGAAGTTTTGAAAGATCAATTGGAGGTCTATAAAACAGGAGATCCCAGTGGAGACAAGACACCAATTAGTTGGTCCATTTGGTTATATAAAGATATTGGCTTACAGGGATTAACCTATGTTTCAACTGAATCCAAATGGTATGAAGTATTTGGCAAATGGTTGAAGAAAAAGAAAGATTTGGGATTAGACGCTTGGGGATGTGATATTAAGCCTGAGTATCAGAAACTTTATGACAGATTAGCCCAACATTTCAGAGAAAATATTCCCGAAAAGCATCATGATGCTTTATATCCTCCTATTATGAATATTGACTCTTACATTCAAAGAGTTTGTAGGGAAATGTTATTTTCTCAATATTGTCAACATGAATATGCTGACTTATTCGTTGGTTTGAGCTTCGAAGAGTTAGATGAGTTAGCAGCCTCTTTCAAGTTAGAAAACTGTGTCCAAAGACATGAGTTGAATGAAATCTTGAGAAATTATTAAAATATATGAATCGGATTTAATCGGTATAATCTTTCCTCTTTCGTCATTTCTCCACATTCAAAGATTAACGTCTCTCGGAATTTTGGAAATATTACGAGTTATAAATAGGATTACATATCATGATTTTGATTAAATCATGTCTGGTTTTTTGAAGGTTGAAGGTACAAAGATAGTCAATTCAAACGGACCTGTTATACTCACAGGTGCCGCAAATGGTGGTCACTTGAACATGGAGAATTTTATCACTGGTTATCCTGGACATGAATCAGAACATAAGAAAGTTATTGAAAAGAAGATTGGCAAAGAAAAGTTTGAATATTTTTTCGATAAGTTCTATGAATATTTCTGGACTGAGGAGGATGCAAAATTATATCAATCTCTTGGTTTGAATTGCCTCAGAATTCCGTTCAATTATCATCATTTTCTTGATGATGAAGGGGATCTTTTTGAGATAAACCCTAAAGGATTTGAGAAATTAGATAGGATTATTGATAGTTGTGCTAAATACGGGATTTACACTATTTTGGATTTACACACAGCACCTGGGGGTCAAAGTCAAGGATGGCATTGTGATTCGAAAATCCATTTTGCTTTATTTTGGGAATTCAAGGTATTCCAAGATGCTATAGTCAATTTGTGGGGAAAAATTGCTGAGTATTATAAAGATAACCAATGGGTAGCTGGTTACAATCCCTTGAATGAACCAGCAGTTTCCAATCATTCTAAGTTAATTGAATTTTATAACAGAATTGAAAAATGTATTAGGTTAGTTGACCCCTACCACATACTTTATTTAGATGCTAACACCTATGCTGTTGATTTTAGTCATTTCCCCGAAAAACCATATCCAAATACTGTATACGCAATTCATGATTATTCCACTTTTGGATTCCCCAACACTACCGGAAAACTATACCAAGGGACCGAAGAGGAAAAATTGAAACTCAAAACTCAATATGAAGGTAAAATTGAATTTATGAAGAAACACAATGTGCCTGTGTGGAATGGGGAATGGGGTCCGGTATATGATAGTGAGATCAGAGGAGACAAAAATCCCGATGTAACCAATAAGGCAAGGTATGCTGTTTTGAAGGATCAATTAGAGGTTTATAAAACCGGAGATCCAAGTGGGGATAATACCCCGATTAGTTGGTCAATTTGGCTTTACAAGGATATTGGATATCAAGGACTTACTTATGTTTCACCTAAATCAAAATGGTTTGAAGTTTTCGGGGACTGGTTGATCAAAAAGAATAAGTTGATGTTGGATAGATGGGGGAAAGTTCTTAATGAAGATGATAAGTACTATAAGGCTCTAGCTGAACATATGGAAAAAAATATCCCGGAAAAATATCATAGGGCCTTATACCCTCGTCATCATTCCATTTATACTTATATCACCAGGGTTTGTAGGGAGATGTTATTTTCCCAGTATTGTCAACACGAATACGCTGAGTTGTTTGAAAATTTAAGCTTTGAAGAATTAGACGAATTAGCAGGTTCTTTCAAATTGGAAAATTGTTTGCAAAGACATGAATTGAATGATATCTTAAAGACATATCATCATGGTTAATCTATTCATGTATGTACCAAATAGGCTATTCCCCACCGAATTTCGGTGAAATATCATTCAATTATCTATATGAATGATCAACTTTCAAGGATTAATTATGAGATTATACGAGCGGATCCCCCCACTTCCTCCACCTCGAGGAATCTCCACGGAAAATATTGTTTAATCGCCAGTGCATTTTTCGCGAGACTTTCCTTGTAAGGCCATATCCTCGCACGACTTTCGGATTTTTGTTGATGGAGTATTTCAGGGATTTTAGAGTAGTTTTAATATATACTTAACTTTCAATCTATATAGACCTAGTTGATGATACACATTTCGGAATTATATGAGTTCCGGTAACTTTTCATTCTAGTTTCAAACCAAAAAAATGGGGAAATTTGGACGATATAACGGAGGTAGAAAAAAGGAGATCTCATGATGTCCCAATTTAGTAAGAATACCGTTAATTCGCAAAATCTGGGGCACTATTTATTTCCATTAATTCCAACGAAATTTTTCAAAATTAAACAGTTTTGAAACAATGCTTGATATTGAAAACTTGATTGAACAGTTGACCTTGGAAGAGAAAATCTCCTTGTTAGCTGGTAAAGATTTTTGGCATACGGTGCCAATTCCTCGTTTAAACATCCCATCAGTTAGAGTAAGTGATGGACCAAATGGGGTTAGAGGTATTAAATTTTTCAATGGTGTTCCTTCCAATTGTTTTACGTGTGGTACTGGAATGGCATCAACTTGGAATAAAGATTTATTAAAACAAGCCGGTCAATTAATGGGTCAAGAAGCAAAAGCCAGAGGAGTTCATTGTATCTTAGGTCCAACCTGTAATATGGCAAGATCTCCATTAGGTGGAAGAACTTTCGAAAGTTACAGTGAAGATCCTGTATTGTCAGGGTTTGCTGCTGCCAAAATCATTGAAGGTATTCAAGATGAAAAGGTTTTAGCTTGTTTAAAGCATTTTGTATGTAATGATCAAGAAGATTTTAGAAAAGGTGTTGACACTTTTTTGACTGAAAGAGCTTTGAGAGAAGTTTACTTAAAACCTTTCCAAATTGCTATTAGAGATTCTAATCCAAAAACTTTAATGACTGCTTACAATAAGATCGACGGTGAACATGTAAGTCAATCTAAAAGATTTTTACAAGATATTTTGAGAGAAGAATGGGGTTATGAAGGTACTACTATGTCAGATTGGTTCGGTACTTACTCAATTAAAGCTGCATTAGATGCTGGATTAAATTTGGAAATGCCTGGTCCAACTAGATTTAGAGAAGTCTTACAAACTGCCCACAAAGTATACAGTAATGAAATTCATATGGATGTTATTGATGAAAACGTAAGAAAGATCTTGAAATTTGTCAATGAAGGTTTGAAAATCGGAATTGGTGAAAACATCGTTGAAAAGGAAAATGATGATCCAGCCGCCGAAGCATTATTAAGACAAGTTGGTGATGAATCAATTGTCTTATTGAAAAATGAAAATAACTTATTACCATTAAACAAATCAGAAAAACAATCAATTGCTATTATGGGTCCTAATGCCAAAGCTACTCAAGATTCTGGTGGTGGTTCAGCTTCTATGGCTGTTCGTTACAAAATCACTCCTTATGATGGTATAATGAAAAAGATCAAGGAAGGTGGTGATAATATTGTCACAGAATATACCATTGGTGCATTATTAGACAAAAATTTGCCTGACGTTGGTACTTCATTGACTAATAAAGATGGTGAGACCGGAGTGACAGCTACTTTCTATAAAGATGCTCCAGAAGTTACCGATAGAAGAGTCATCGAAAGATTCAATCTAAGTACTTCAAAATTATTTTTAGCTGATTTCAAATCTCCAAATTTGGATATTAATGAATTATTGTATTACGCTGACTTTGAAGGATCTTTCGTTCCTGAAGAAACTGGTACTTACATATTTGGATGTTCTTGTTTAGGAACTGCTCAAGTCTTTATCGATAATAAATTGATTGTTGATAACAAGACTAAACAAGTTAGAGGTGATGCTTTCTTCCTTGGTATGGGTACCAGAGAAGAATTAGCTGAAGTTCAATTGACTAAAGGTCAAAAATATGAAATCAGAGTTGAATTTGGTACATCACCAACTGCTTTGGTTGCTAAAGAATTTAAAGAACCAGGTGGTGTATTCTTCGGATTTAGATATAAATCTACACCAGAAGAAGAATTATCCAAAGCTGTTGAAATTGCTAAAAAGACTGATAAAGTTATTTTAGTAGTTGGGTTATCCAAAGAATGGGAAAGTGAAGGTTTCGATAGACCAAATATTGATATTCCTGGTTATACTAACAAGTTAATCGAAGAAGTTTGTAAAGTTAACAAGAATGTGATCATCATCAATCAATCAGGAGCCCCAGTTGCTATGCCATGGGCTTCTAAAGTTCAATCTATCTTACAAGCATGGTATGGAGGTAACGAATTAGGTAATACTATGGCCGATGTTATCTTTGGAGACCACAATCCAAGTGGTAAATTATCATTAACTTTCCCAAATAGAGTTGAAGATAATCCATCATTCTTGAACTTTGGTTCTACCAACGGTAAAGTATGGTATGGAGAAGATGTTTACATTGGTTATAGATTTTATGAAAAGACCAAAAAAGATGTGTTATGGCCATTCGGATTTGGTTTATCTTACACCCAATTCGAATTCAGTAACTTGAAAGTCGTCGCAAAAGAAGACGTTGTTGATGTTACTGTTGATGTCAAAAATACTGGAGACAAAGAAGGTGGAGAAGTTATTCAACTTTACATCTCACCGGTTGATTCAGCTATTCCAAGACCAGTTAAAGAATTGAAGAATTTCGACAAGGTTTTATTGAAACCTAATGAAAGTAAATCTGTAACCATCACCACCTCAATCAAAGAACTTACATCTTATTGGGATGGTTACAAGAATAAATGGGCTTCCGACAAAGGTGAGTACAAAGTGTTAATTGGTAATTCTTCAGATAATATTTTACTTGAAGATAAATTTGAAACCACTAAATCCTTCAATTGGTTAGGTTTATAACGTATTAAATAGGAAATAAAGTCTACTTCTTATCATATTGTTTTGATTTTCTATAACCCCTTTTTTAGAGTTTAAAAAAAATTTAAGAACCCTCTAATGTCGTGAGACCGCACCAAAAAGTCGCAACTGTAGATGTTTTGTGTTTTGCAATAACCTCAATTAGGTATTATTGTAAACATATCATTTAGAGATAAAATCGTTTAAATGAAAAGTTTTCCCAAAGAAATTAAATTAAAGTTAATAGCACTTGGAACATATTAATTTTAGATCGAAGAACTATGGATTTTTCAATCGAAGATATAGATCTTGAGTTAGATCATTTATTAGAACCAATAAAGAAACAACATCAAGAATTCAGGTCATCACCGGTACAAAAAATATCATTAGATAATCCCAGAGTGGTCTTAAAGCCAGAATATGAAAGTAACAACCAAGATTTGTTCCAAGTAACCAATTATGATAATTATAATTCACCTTTCGATAACTACGAACAATTGAATGATAAAGATACAAGATTAAATAAATTAATGCAAGAGTTTGAGAATGATGATGATAATAATGATTGGGAGTTAGATGATCAAGGAAGAACTAGAATATTCAAAGGCAGATTCAAGTTCAATATTGATGATAATGATGAATTGGAGAATCAATTAGATAGATATCTTAACTCAAACAAAGAGAACTTTAGTCCTACCAGAGGGCCAGTAAAGAATGTCAATATAAATAAGAGATTAACTAACAAAATAACCAACAGAATCGATAAATCAGCAACGAAATTGAAGGGTAGTTTTAGATTACAGAAACCTTTTAGAGCCATAAGGCAGAAAGGATTGTGCAGACCAAATCATAGAGTGAAAGCATCCCTTAGACCAGTAATCTCGTACAAAGCTAATCAACCATCTATATTCCTAGTTGATTCATCAACTGGATCTTTAAATGATGCAACTCAATTCGGTACCGAGTTGAATGCTTCCAATTGTGAAGGATTTCCTTTACCCGAAGATGTCAATGAAGTAGTTCAAATACCTACCAATGAAGATAATGAAAATACCAAGATGGCCATCATCAAAACCTTCAACAACAAGGTATTCCATGATGAAGGTGAAAAATATCAAAAAGTTGGATTTTACCTGAAAACAGAATACGACAATTTCTTGAAAACTTTACCAACCACTGATGATGGAGTAGAAGTGGTCAATCAAGTGCCAGCATTATCGATGATACCCGACTTGAGGAAATCAAACAGAAAGACAGTTAAGTTTGCTGATGCAGATAAATTAGAATGGTGATTGAATCACCAATGAAAAGATAATAAAGGGAATTCTTTCCTCGTGCCAATAGTCACGAACTATTCAGCACCACACCCACGTAACGTTATAATAGAAGATTGTTTTTTTAAAGGAGTTCTACAATGTGTATAGGTAATAAATTTTAGGTGTAAACATCGCCGACGCGACAAAATCGTTTATTTTCAACAATTGAAATCTTGTGATAACAGCTTATATAAAACATGTCCACATTCTTTGATGAAATGAAGAAATCCTTTGCTGATGTTAAAGTCAGTGAAGGTAAAATCGATACTAGTGATTTCTTACAAGCATCTGAATCCTTAGTTAAATTATTTGACTTATTGGGATCTTCAGCCTTTGCAGTTGTTCAAAAGGATATGACTGGTAATATTGAAAAGATCAGAAAGAAGTTATTATCAGATCCTATTAACTCATCAACTTTACAAGATTTAATTCTTGGTGAAGCTCAAGGTAAAGATAAAACTGCTACTCAAGGTTTATTATGGTTATCAAGAGGTTTAGAATTCACTTGTCAAGCAATGGTTGAAACTGTTACTAACCCAACCAGTGAATTAACCAAAACTTTCACCGATTCTTACAGTAAAACTTTATCCAAACACCATGGTATGTTAATCAAACCAGTTTTCAAATTAGCTATGAAAGCTTGTCCTTATAGAAAAGATTTCTTTGCCAAATTAGGAGCTGATCAAGATAAAGTTAATGAACAATTAAAAACCTGGTTAGATGCTTTAGAAAAAATCGTTAAGATTATCATGGACTTTTTCACTTCAGGTAATTATGGTAAAGGTTTATAGTGAATGATTTATAAAAATTTCCCAAAATGGAAGTCTATCGAACTTCTCTTGATTTTTTGTTCAGAGACGGTATTTTCTATATTTGTACATTATCTACATGAACTGGCCATTCTCCTCCTTTTACATTCTAGTGTCCTTCACCGGCAATTTTCTTGATCTTCAATTTCCTTCTTTACCTACATTTTTGGCCTCTTGCATTAATTCATATAATTGACCAATTTGTTCGGGTGACATTTTTTCCAAATCTTGAGGTGATAATTTACCTTTTAACCATGAACCTCCATCGATGTTCTTCAAATAATCTTGCCATTGAGTCAAAAACCCTACTATATGCAAAGGATTATCGATATTCTTATGAGCTTTGAACTCTGCCTTGACATATTGATCACCTAAAGGTCTGATTTCAACGGGTATTTTATGAATATGAGCTCTCAATATGGATCTGTAAAGCTTTAAAGGAGGTAACAAAGGATCAGTTTGTCTTTCTGGACGTCTAGGTCTAACTAACCTTATTAATGATGGTCTCATTGATTCGCAATTTTTTTCCCACACAAAAGTTCAGAGATTCCAACAGCTCAGAGGTTCCACATATTTAGAAAGATGCCAGAAGAGCTATCATTATAAAACTTATTTTATTAGGTATACAAGGTATTCATGATCATAAATATTTAAGATAGACATTATTAGTTTTGAATTCAACTGCTCTTTTATGAATATTTTTGTGGATATTTCTTTTAAATTTAGCTTTCAATTGTCTCTTTTTAATCATCTTTTTGTTACAACAACATGATTGAGCTGATGAACCTGAAGATGAAGAACTACCTTTAGTAACAGATGATGAGGAAGATGAAGAAGATGATGACCCGTCATCATCGAAAAGGGTATCTAAAACCCAATCGATAACATTACTGAATAATGAACTCCATGAGAATGATGATCCACTACTTCCTGAAAAGATCCAATTAAGAACTCTGTTAATTAATCTTTTACCGAAATCAAGAATACTTGATCCGATACTTGAACCTTCACCGAAGATCCAATTGAATAAGGAGCTAACTAATGAACCAATAATACTTCCACCTGAACTGGAACCAGAAGAACCAGAAGAACTACTTGAAGAAGAACCACCAAATAATGAATCAAATAATCCACTAATGATACTTCCCAAGGATTCACCTGAACCACTTGATCCTTTAGTAGTTGAATTGGAGCTATCAACACCGAAGATGTCATCTAATAATCCATCAACTAATCCACTTAAAGAAAAGTTACTTGGGGTAGATGGAGTAGTTGTACCATTGGAATCAAATAAATCATCTAATAAGTTGTGACCAGTATCTAAAAGATCATCTAAGAAACTACCGGATGATGAAGTTGAATTGGATTTGGATGAAGATGATGAAGATGATGAACCACCAAGTAAACTATCAATTAAATCTGATAAACCTCCAGTTGAAGTTGAAGCTGAACCAGTTGAAGTAGTAGTAGCATTAGATTTTGGTAAGAAGTCATCTAATAATCCACCAAGGAGACCACCAAGACCTTCACTTGAAGCAGTAGCTTTAGCAGAAGTAGCAGTTGTTGAAGCTTTGGTAGTGGTTTTTGAAGCATCAGGTAATAAATCTCCAAGAAGACCACCAAGACCTCCCCCGGTAGTAGTAGCTTTGGCAGTTGTAGTTGGTTCTTCAGTTGATGAAGCATCTGGTAATAAGTCACCAAGAAGACCCCCAAGACCACCACCAGTGGTAGTAGCTTTGGCAGTAGTAGTAGCTTCAACAGAAGTACTTGGAAGTTCATCAATTGGAGTAGCAGATGCAGATTCTAAGGCAAGAATTGAATCTAATAAAGCATCTCTTTTCATGAATTGACTTTCACTAATTAAACCTCTTTTAACATTTTCAGCAACAGCTTGACTAAATTCTAAATCTCTTGTTTCTAAGAATTTATCAGCTAATTTTTCGACTAATCCAGAATCTTTTAATTTGCTGAAAAGATCTTCGAAGTTGATATTTTTCAAAGCAGAAGAAGCAACATTTTTTAAGTTGTCACTGTTTAATAATGATTTGGCAGTTGATTCTAATAAACCAGAATCTGATAATGAACCAATAATTTTAGAAATATAATCATTTTCTCTTTTAACTAATGGTTCTTCTTCAATTTGTCTCTTTTCTGATAAATCGAGTTTACCGTTACTTAATAATTTTTCAGCATAACTTAAAGCTGTTGAAGTTAAATCTGAATCTTTAACCATTGAAGAAAATAAATTCTTGACCATACTACTATCAAAACTGTCAGCTAATTTATCAAAATCTAAATTGTCAACTTTGTCCAATACATCTTTTGTAAGGGAAGAAAAGTCAATATTCTTGATTAAAGAATCTAAGTTACCATCGGATAATGATGATAATAAGCTTGAAATGAGTTCACTATCTTCTCTTTTTTGAACTTGGGTATTTTCAAATTGGGACATGTAATCATCAATGGAAGAAATTATATCTTCAACTATAATATCCTTTTTACCAATGTTATTAATAGTTGGAGCTGATAACACCGTGGAAACGAATGTAATTGGGATAAACCAAGATAATTTCATTTTGTAATTATCACTTTAACTATTAATTCCTTAAGAAAATTGGGAAGTTGTTGGGAAAAAATCAATTTATAAATCTTTTTTTTGCAACTCGTCCAAGGGCTCACTACCGGTAATCACTTTTCCCAAAAAGGAAATTTTAAAAACTAAAACAAAATTCCTAAATGGTTAATTAAATTACTTCTCCACTATGATTTATTACTTTAAACAATAAGTTTATAGAGGCTAGCATTACCGAAAGGATGCAAATGTAAACAATTTCTAAATGTGTGTTTGAACTTTTACAAACCTTATGGCTTTTGAGATTATCTTGACAGAGATCAGCCATATGATAGATCTGGAATGTAATAGTACCTATATTTTTTTCATAATATATGTTCAATGTGTTATATAAAGATATGGAGATATGATAATGTCTGTTTATATCATGTCGATTCAATTGATAGTATATCTCTAACTTCAACACTTTTCAGAGTTCAACTCACATGACTTCAACTATACCTATCAATAACTAGAATGGAAATTTATTAAAAGAATTAAACATTAATTACATTTCTTAAAAAGGTAATTTTACTCTAACTTCGTTTACTGCTTAATTTTGAAACAAATGGCTTTTGTGTGAAATTATTTTTGAGAATTTCCTATTTGGGTAAAGTGATTATTGACGTTCCCAAAAGGGAATTTTTTTAATATTTCTCCAAAAGGTTGCAAAAAACTCTTTATAACAAAATGTTATCCTGTTGGAAAAAAATTTCTTACACTTTTTAACGGTATTAACTATAGTCAACGTCATGAAATTTGTTACCGTATCTAATTACATTTTATTAGTATCAGTTATAAATAGTGTAGCAGCTAATGATGTTAAAGCCAAAAGGTTCAACTTACTAGATTGGTTGAATGGTTCTGGTTCATCATCAAGTTCTAATAACGTTGCCCAAGCAGCTGCCGAACCTGCAGCAGCAGCAGCAGCCACAACAGCAGCTCCAGCAGCCGTTGAAGATGCAGCTGACGACACTCCAATAAGTTCATCATCATTCGATCTTTTTGATACCACTTCATTATCCAATTCATCATCATCATCATCCAGCACAAGAACTTCAAGTCGTTCGTCCACACGTTCAAGTTCAAGTTCCATAGTGGGTACCACTACTGCTTCCACATCAGATGATGATTTATTTGCTAATTTAATGGTGGATGAAACCACATCCAGTTCAGATTCAGAATCCAGTTCAAGTTCTGCTCCAACTTCTACTAGAGCTAGTAAAACTGGTTCATCATTCTTGGATGCATTCTTTGGCCTCGACAGTGATGAAGATGAATCTAGTTCAAGTTCAGAATCTAGTTCAACTAAAGCTTCAAGTTTTATTTCTTCAGTTGCTGCTTCTGCTACTACCACAGGTAGAGGAAATTTATTTGCTAATTTATTCAGAGCCACTGAAACTGGTTCCAGTTCAGTTGATCCTTCACCTAGTGTTTCCAGTACTGAACCATCTGCAACTGGTATTGCAAGATTATTAGCTGACTCATCAAGTGAAGATCCATCATCAGTTACTTCAAGTGCTTCTGCTTCAGCAACTGGTAGATCCCATGGTTTATTATCTTTCTTAGGATTAGATGACTCTGATTCTGATTCTGAATCAGTTTCTGAATCAAGTTCAAGTATTACCAGTGAAGAAGCTTCTTCAACTGAACCTTCATTCTTTGCTGCTTTATTGGATGGTGATTCTAGTGATGTTTCTAGTTCAACTGATGATGGTGATGATTCTGATTGTGAAGACGAAACTGATTCTGATTCACCAACTGATTCTGTTACAGATTCTCCTTCAACTACTGGTCCAATTAGAGTTCCATCTGACGATGCTGATTCAACCTCTAATACTAGATCATCAGCTGCTACTTCATCAGTTTCTGATGACGATGACGATGATGAAGATTGTACCGACGAAGATGAAAGTACCTCAGAAGATCCAACTGTATCAACCGATGATCCAGTTGGTACATTAGACCCAACCAATGCTGTTGGTGATGTTTCACTTTCCGCTGATCCTTCATCTACTAGTTCATTTGACGATGATGATGATGAAGATTGTTCAGATGAAGATTTATCAACTGCTTCAGACGATCCAGTTATCACTGATGATCCATCTATTAGTGTGCTTCCAACTAGTATTGAAGGAGTTTCTTCCATTGAAGCGGATCCTTCTAATGTTAGTTCAGTTGATGACGATGACGATGAAGATTGTTCTGACGAATCTACTGCTTCAGACGATCCAGTCATCACCAGTGTCCCATCCACCGATGCCGATGTTTCTACTGATGATTCTGTTTCAACCGCTACTTCATCTGATGATGACGACGATGATGAAGATTGTTCAGATGAAACAACTGCTAGCACTGTCACCACTGGTAAAACCGGATCTACTAAAGGCACCACCAATACCTCCGATGAAGGAACTGAAACTAATACCACTGATTTTGAAGATGATGGTGATGATGATGATTGTACCACTACTGAAGAAAATACAATCACTTCCAAAACAACTGTCACTACAACTGATTCTAAAGGAAACACTGTTACCACCACCAAACAATCAGTTGTCACTGAAACTTATACTGATGAATTCGAAGATGATGGTGATGAAGTTTGTGAAACATTAACTTTAACCAACTATCATACTACTGTTGTCACTGTCACTAAAGGAGGAAAAGTTGAAACTGTTACTACTACTATTACTAGTGAAATGAAAATCGCTTCAACTCCTTCACCAACTCCTGATTGTGATGATACCGATGATGACTTTGAAGATGAAGATGATTATTCAGGATCATCAGGATCATCAGGTAGCTCAGGAAGTTCAGGTAGCTCAGGTAGCTCAGGAAGTTCAGGATCATCAGGATCAGGATCAGGATCAGGTAGCTCAGATTATGATGACGACTTTTACAATGATGGTGAAGAATGTTCTTCATGCCCAAGTGACTGTTCTGCCGTCCAATGTGAAGCCGATGATGATGATGACGATGATTTTAGTTTCATGGACCTTTTAGATTATTTCTTCGGTGGAGATGATGACGATGATGATGATGAAGAGTGTAATACTGATTGCGATGAATGTCAAGTTGCAACCACAAATGTATTTATGGCTGCAACCACAACCGCTGCTGCTCAAACCACACAAGCTCCAGTGGAAGACGATGAATTCATAAACGATGGTGATGATACCAGTTGTTTAACAACTGAAACATCTACATCCATTGAAAAAACCTCCAAACCAAAAATTTTAGAAAACATTGCTAACGCTACAAATTCTTCAATTGAAGTAACTCCTTCAAATAGTGGTAATATTAATTATCCAAGCTTATTAGTGATTGGATTAATTAGTTTATTATTAATTTAATGAAGCTTATACCATTTTGGCAATGTAATAATATAACGAACCCCTAATGTATAAAAATAAAATATACCATTTTGTATGATATTGTTTTCTTTACACTCTCTACAACTAACGTGCATATATATCTCTTTATATAGGTCAAAGTGAAGAGGTTGTTAAAAGTTCGCGAACCCAAAAAGATCATTTACCATCATGCCTTCAGTTGATAGACAGTCATTGGTGTTCTTCATCATAATGTTTATCTTCCTTACACTACCCAATGGGCAAGACCAACCTCATTCATATCAGGAGCGTCAAACGTTGACGATGTTTCAGAAATCTATAACTGAAAATCAGAAAGCGCTAGCGAATCGTGAATATGAACAAGGATATGGAAATCTCACGGGATTTTTGTTAAGTTATGATGATATGAAACTGGGAAAAAAGGAAGAAGACTGGCCTCTTCATAATTATAAAGAAACTCCATGGATCGAGGATGAAAAGTATAGTTTATTACCAAATGTTATTAGTGATAAAGTTAAAAGTTTTTGGGGCAATGATAAAGTTGATCTTAATAATGAGAATGAATTGGGGTATTTATTCAACATTAGTGGAAGATTAGAAGGGAAATTTAAGAAGAATAATGAGAGAAGTAAACAGATTGAAAAGTTCCCTTTAAAATTACCTAAATATTTAAGAGATTATTTTGAAAGTATTAATTCCGGGGACGGGATCATTGATGATGGGAATAATGATGGGAGTAACGACAGAAAAGTTGATGAAATCATTAATAAGGTGGGGAATTTAACCTTTGATGAAGGAAAAATTGTTGTCTCCATTAAAAGCATGGATTACAATTATAAGAATCCAGAAATTTTAAAGCATATTAAAACTCCTGAAGATAAAGTAGATGATGCAGTGATTGTTGAATTGAAGATGAATCTTATGGATGAGTCAGAAACCAGTAAGAATGAAATATCAACCTATGGAGTTTACTTCCAAGATTCAGGATCATTGATTAGTATCACTAATAGTGGGAAATTTGCAGGACATTTAGGAGCACCCAGTTTAACGATGAATGAACGTAATTTTGGAGTTAGTAAGAAAATCATCAGTCAATATTTGAATGGAACTTCTCTTGAAGAACAAATAAGTATGGATGATATGAATAATTTTATTGTACAATCATTTGAACAATGTGAATTTATAAACTATTTCCAATTAGAAAAGACTGAATTTCTGATCAAAGAATTAAAAGAAATAGATGAAGAATTGGTTAACCCTAGTGGCAAACCTATAAGTAAGAATAAACCAAAAATCAAAATCAATGAAATGTTACTTTATTCTCCTGATTGTGGAATTGTTATTGAAGATTCTAAAGTGGAAGGAGAAAAATCCGAAATCGTTACTATTAGATTCCGTCATGTATTCATGGGATTCTTGGTGATTATTGTTTTGCAATTGTATTTGTTTTTGGATCAAATTGAAAAATCCAAAACTCCAGGTCAATTATCAAATATTTCTTCATTGACATTATACATTTTACAATATCAAGATGCATTGATTGCATTAACGTTTTTGATAGTGTCAACAATATTCGAGAAAATCTATCTATTGTTAGTTACCATTGCTATTGTCACATATATCATGTGTGGGATTTTCGAAATGGGATTTTTAACTCAGGTAATTAAAACCCAAATGAACGAAAGAGGTACATCATGGTGGGAGATTTTAAGGAGTTCAACAGCTAGAAATAATGAAAATTCAGAATCTTCACCCAATGAAGATGGTACCCCTGCCACAACCGATAACCCAGCCACTCCAGCAACACCAACACAACCTACACCAATAATAGATAACGATGATGCTAATGTTTGGAACGGAATTTTCGCCCCCGGATTTGCTATCACTATAATATCAACTTTCCTTATACTTAATTCTTCAATGTGGAGGAAATCTTATAGAAAGACATTTGAAATGGTTGGTTTAACTTTATTGAATTCTTATTGGATCCCTCAATTTTTCCGTAATACTTTGAAAAATAGGAAAACACCCTTTGATTTGAAATTCGTTCTTGGGACTACGATTTTAAGACTTATACCCATTTATTATGTAAATTTATTTCCAACACCTTTTAACCATGAACGTAATCAAAACTTTGTCATATTTATAACGGTATACGTATTCCTACAATTATCATTATTATATTTACAGAATTTCAATCCAAGATTTTGGATTAATGATAAATGGTTACCTAAAGCATATAATTATCATCCAATTATAAATTTGAATGATTTAGAACATTACGGATCAGATTTATTATCATCCGTCAATATTGAATCTGATGATATGGACGAAACTGTCATAAAGACCGATTGTGCTATTTGTATGAATGATATTAATTTACCAATATTTAAGAATAAAACTAAGAAAGTACCCAAAGATTATATGGTTACCCCATGTTTCCATATATTTCATAGTGAATGTTTAGAGGATTGGATGAAGTATAAATTACAATGTCCAATATGTAGAAACGGATTACCTCCAATGTAAATCCGAGTTATCACCGTGATATACGCAGCATGACGTTAAAAGAATGACAATTAAACTGTCATTTTATGTCATTTTAAATATAAATCCGCCTTTATCTATTAAAATTTCGCATCTTCGATGTTTCAGACCATTTTACATAAGCACTTACGTAATAAATCATTCCACAAAATGGTTTCCGCACTTTTGTTAATCAGACCACTTTTAATCTCTTCGTTAAGTCATTAAATAAATTTAACATCCCATCAAACTTTTATAATAGCTGTCGATATATTCAATTTAAAATAATCAAAAGCTATGTCTTATCAATACGATTATAATGAATTGTTTGATTTCAATGAAACAGACAATTTCTTGAATAATTTATCATCATCAATTTCTTCAATTAGTCCTGAATCTTTAGATGATAAAAATGATTATATGAATAATTTAGATTTTGATTATCAACCAAAGAATTCAGGGGTTCAAATGAATCAAGTACAAATGAATTTTACTGATTCTATTGATTCTGATAATAAAATTAATATGAGTAATAGTTTGAATAATAGTTTAAATACCTCGATGAGTATGAATGATGTATTTGATTCCCAAGGTTCAATATCTTCACAAAATGATGTTACTCCAGTTTCTCAACCTTCAACTGAAACTTCACCAGAAATTAAAGAAGAATTGGATGATTCTTTGTTAAATTCAAGATCAACAACAATTAATCCTAAAAAAGGTGGTAATAAGAAGAAAGATAAAACCAGTCATAATATGATTGAAAAGAAATATAGAACCAATATTAATAGTAAAATATTATTATTAAGAGATGCTGTACCATCATTAAGAATTGCTAGTGGTAAAAGTTCAATGAAAGTTGAAGATTTAGAAGGTTTAAGTCCAGCTTCAAAATTAAATAAAGCTAGTGTTTTAACTAAAGCTACTGAATATATCAAACATTTAGAGAATAAAAATGAATTATTAAGTCAACAAATTATGAATTTACAAAGGGTTATTCAACAAGGTAATATGAATCAATCACAATCAATTCAAATGCAAATTCAACAACCTCCACGTCAACAATATCCAATACAGAATCAACCAATGTCCCAATCATCATCATCAAATTATGAATTCGATATGTATAATTATCCCCTTGATGTTCAAGTTGAACAACAACCAACTTCTGGACCAAATAAATATTTACTCGGTGGTATGGCTGCAGTTATGGGTACTTCAATGTTTACAGGACCTGATGAAATCCGAGGATTATCAGCTATTCCTTTACCAATAATAAAACCTTTAATATCGTTACTTTCAAATCCAATTACTAATAATTTATGGTATGTTTTGAAAATAATATTGATAGTTGGATGTATTGGGAATTTATTATTACCACAATTATTCAATAATGGACCTAAAGAAACCATTAAAACCGGTAGTATTAAGAATCTAGTGATGGTTAATTTAGGTTTAAGATTACCACAATCAATTGATAATAAAGTTAAACATCAAATTATCAGTAGATTATCAGGTAAATCACCAACTTCACCAAACACTTTATTCCAAGATTTTGTTTATTTATCATCATTGGAAAGTAATTTTGAAAATGTTTATTTATGGTTATTATTAACATCTATCATAATTGCAAAATACCCAATAATGAAGAATCTTTTATCCATGAGTATCAATATGAGATATTCATTAATTTTAAATTTACAACATCCTGAAGATAAACATTTGAATAATTTAAGTCAATTGGTTAAAGTTGATGGATTAGTTATGTTCAAAAGTAATGTTATCAGCAGATTAACTAATTTAATTAACAGAAAACCAATTAATGAAGGAATTGTTGATGATTCCAATTATTTGAAATTTATTGAAGTTTATCAAAATTTTAAACATCAAGATGGTGATTTTTATGAATTAATTTTCAACTGGAGAATTATTGATATCTTGAATGACTTAATTTTAGTCTATTTAGATAATAATTTCGAATTAAACAATAAATTATCAAAAGATATCAAACTTATTGAAAATTTAATTGAAAAGACCAATTCAAAATCAGGTAAGAACTTCTTACAACAATTCAAAGTTATAATTGATAGTAAAAAAGTTGGAGATTTAATCAAATCAGTTAATGAAAAAATCAATTCAAAAGTTGAAGAAATTTCAATTGAATTAAATGGTATAGATTTAACTGATGATGAATCATGGTCAAGTGAAGAAACAGAAATTGAAGAAGTTGAAGAAAAATCAAGTTTAAAGAAGATTGATCCAAAATTCTTATCAAGTTTAAATGTTATTTCACCTGAAGAATTTATTATAATAACCAGTTCTATTATAATAAATAATCAACAAACTAAATTTTTAAAATATTTACAACATAAATTACCATTATCATTGATATCATTCACAATGTTATTCAAATTGGTTGATACATTGAATGAAGATGATTTACAAATTGATATAATCTTAAATAATTTAAAAGATTGGGTAAAGAACAATAATTTAATCAATGATGATTTAAAAATAAAATTGAATGAAAATTTAATTAAAAAGGGTATGGTAGTTAACGGTAGTGAGGATTAGTATTTATTATAATGTATAAAACTTCTAAAAAAACCTGAAATTTTTAGCCGTTTCAGTAGAACCATCTGATAATTATGCACTTTATGATCAACATTTCCATAAATAGTAGGTATAATACCTTTTGACTTTGACATATACGGACATTTATTTTTAGAACATTTCTCCTTATGTTTGGAACCTTCTATTATTGAAATCATGTTCCATCACCTCATTTAACGCATCTTACATATTCTCATGACTTAGTCAGGTTATTTACGCTTAGGCACCGCGTCAAATTTTTTTTCTTGTAACCATAAATCATGACACCCCAAAACGCAGGGTTGAAGTAACTACAGGAATTAAGGTTCAAACAATAGAGGCTGGGATAAACTCAATTATCGGAAACGCAATAGTTCAAATTATAACAATAGATATGAGCAATAGTAAAATAGTATTTCATATTTAAGGTTAGGACGAAATGCGGAAGTCCCCGGCTCGTAAAAGAGATTTAAGTTTCACACTGATTAAGGAAACTGTAAAGATTAAAGTTTTTCTATTCAAACATAACAGACGTATTCAAAACAATTACGGTGAGCATAATTTCTTTATGAATTAGGAAATTACTTGGATAATTTCAACTACATAATCGTATCATTTTTCCATATCTTGTCATTATGCAAGAAATAGAACAAACTAATTTAATGGTTATGTCATTAATTTATACTAATTATAGAAATCTTCTATGCAATGTTACAATGCTATAGTACATATTCTGGGGTTAACTCCTACAATAATCACAGATAATCAGACCATTCGATCAATAATGAAATGCGTTGCGCTTTTGGCTGCAAATGGTTTCTTTTTCTTTACTTGGACCGAGTATACTCGATTTCAATGATAGACAGTTAATACACTTTAGTTGATTCATATGCAGCTTAAAACTATCATTAGAGTTTAAATCTCTTGTTACTACTACTCTGTCGATATGACTTTCCTTATAATTAAAATTTAAAAAAAGCCGTAGTGGATGAGTTTAAAAATTGAAAGAATGTTGCCAGAATGCGAAACCGAAGCGAAATGTAACGAGTGCACTGCATTACTATTTTAAGAAATTTGCGTGCAATAATATGTAACTACATATGTGGAAAATGTTAATGGTATGATTCGTTTTAGATGAGTATTTAATAAGATCTAAAGATCGTATTTTAATCAAAAAATAAATTATGACTTACCATAGTCAAAATAAATTTATGTCCCAATCTCATCCATTTGATGATATAGGACATGACAATTCATATAATGAGTTTAATGATAATGATTTACATCATGATGATTTTTTAAAAGTAATAACTAATCTTTTAAATCAATCATCTTCAAGACCCCATTTAGATTTTAGAACTTTAGTTGATTTCCTTTTAACTTCTTGTTTAACATTGAAAAATAGTCAAAAAAGAGATTTAACTATCCAAGATTTATCAATATTTCCAAGTAATAATTTACAAATCCTTATTGTAAAATCAGAAGAAAAATTTTATGGTTGCTTAAGACATAAATATATCAATTATTGTTTACATACTGCTTTAGCAGTTTATTTATTTTCAAGATTACACATTCCAGATAATTATGGTACAACAGAAATGACAGATGATAGTAGGAACTCCAGTCCTAGATTAAATGCTGAATCTTTAGAAAGTTCATCACCAAGTCCTATTATCTCCAACATCAATCCAAATTCTCAAACTGGTTCAATATGTGGTTCGGGTCCAGGTTCGGGTCCAGGTTCGCAACACGGATCGATATCAGCATCAGTACCTGGTTCAATATCAGGTTCAATCTCGGGGTCAGCTGGTGGTTCATTACCGGGATCTGGTAGTTTGAATCCTCAAATTGGTCAGCCAATTCAAAATTCAATCACTTTATCCCCTAAATCTAAGAAACTTCAAAACTTTATTGAAAGTAGGGTTTTAAAAGGTAATAATAAACTTCAATCAATAACCTACACACAACAACATAAATGGGCTGTCAAAGCATTGGAGAAATCAAGAATCCCCACCAATAGTGTTAACATCCTTAAATTCATCCCGTCAAGAGCCGAACCATCTTCTAATACTATCAGTAATATTTCTCCAGAGATCCTTGTTAAGAATGCTGGTTTTGACTCAATAGATGATTATTCAATAACAAGAGATATAGAACCTCCTCAGGAATTAGTGGACATGATCTTCCCTTTTATCAATGATGACTCCAAATTCGATATTTTCACTGTCAGAATCAAAAACGTTTTATCCATGTTGAGAAGAAGCTTGATCCAAGATATGGTAGTCATAAAAGAATTCTTTCCTAACAATCCGTTATCCAAACATCCTATGTTTAACAATTCATTATTTTTTGAATTTTCCCATAAAGTTAGGAACTCCATAAATTTGAATAATGAGATCATACCTGTTGCCATTTCTAATGCAAAATCACCTTCATCTCCAAGATATTCAAGTGATGACACTTTGATCAAATCGTTGTTGGAAGTACAATTAAGACATGAAAACCAAATCATGTTATTAACTAATCAAATGCATGGTTTTGTTGGTTTCCAGCAAAACTTCTTGAACGAATTCAAGCAATTGATTCAAAATAACGATAAGGATAAGATCATAGAGAAATTGGATAAATCTTCAAACGATTTGAATGTAATGGTACCTCCATTTTATAATATTCAACAGGCACAAGAAATGCCAGGGTACCCTGTGAAACAGGAACCTTCTTCCCCAGAAGTTAAACCTGAAGTTATGAACCGTCAAATGTCTAATGATCAAATTTATCCCCCATCTTCACAACAACAACCTCCACAACCACAACCTCCACAACCACAACAACCACAACCACCAATCCAACCACCCGTACATGGGAATATACCACCAGTACCAATGTCAATGATGATGCCAATGCACATGATGCCTCATCAACCAATTAACCATATACATCACATCAATCAAATGAATCAAATAACAATGTCACCCATCAATCAAACGAACCAAATGAATCAAATAAATATTCCTTTACAACAATATCCTAATATACCAAATCAGGTACCAAGATTTCCTTCCATCCCAGGAGTTCAGATCTTACCTCCAAATATGCCAATGAGTGACCAAGTGTTAGCCAGAAGAAATGCATTAAACCGTAGACTTTCAAGACAAGCAACTTCAGTATATGAAATGTGGGATGATTTCAAGTCCTTAGAAAAAGAATTAGAAGATAATGAAGTGTCTATTACTGAATGGCTTAAATTGCATGGATCCTCTGAAAGACAGTTCAGACATACAAGATCCAAAATCATCAGATTTATCGAAAACGAAAGCAAAAGAACAGGCAAGAGTATTGGTGAAGTCAAAGATAGATTGCATAATAAAATGAGAGATAGAGCTAAACCTTGGACCCTCGATGAAGTTCAAAGAATGCTTACATCAGGTAAGAAAATAGATTTATCATAGTTTGTAACATATTTTGTATTTTAGTGTAATAAGTTATTTCATGTCTCACATTTCTTGCAACCTGGTAGCATATTTTTTTTTGCAACCAACAAATTCTCTAATCATCTATCAATTCCTTTTTAGCTTGCTCAGTATAATTGGATTTCTCTTTATTATAAGAAGGACTTGGATTATTGAATCCACCATTAATGTAATCAAAATCTGCTTTAACCCAATGAGCAAATGGATAAGTTGCTGGAGTTTTCAAAGGAGTATCATCATCGATGATTCCTAAGTCTTTCTGTCTTTGAATTAACCCATCTAAGTAACCAGAAATATGATCTCTATATAATTCAAAACTTTTGTATTTAATAATCCCTTCAGGTGCTTCATAGATAATTTTTCTTAATAATGAAGGAATCATTGGTTCATCTTTCATTTCTTCAATGGAATAGAAAACAGGGTGGTTAGTGAAAATAATGGCTTGACTCTTTGGTAATTTTCTTAATGTTTGTCTTTCAACTCTAACATTATAATCTTCAGGACTATAGGATTTAGCTTCTTCTTTGACTTTATCAGAATCACGTTGATAAACGCCATTTTGTCTCAATTTATGATCCCAAGTCATATACCAACTAGCTCTTTCAACGGGTGCGCTAGGAGTTAATCTTTCAAACCATCTTTCCATAGATTTCTTTAATTTTTCATGATAATAAGGAACTTCTTCATGAATGATATCTAAATGTTTACCGATTTTAGCACTGATTCCGAATGATCCTCCAGGGAATGGAACTGCAGCAGCTACTAAATAATGTAATCCATCTTTAGGATTTTTCATCACAACGTAGAAATCTTCTTTAGCCATTTTTGTAACATACATAAGTGGATGTTCTTTTAAAGGCATAGTCATATCAATAACTTCTCTGGTTAATTCATTCTTCACTACCTTACCTCTGGATCCTTTATCTTCTAATAAAGTGAATAATAAAGGATATCTTTTAAGCAAATGATTGGTAACCATTTCCATCAATTCAAGACTAGGTTCATATCCTTCAGGTAACCAGTCAATATTTTCTTTACCATACTTTTGCCAAATTCTTTGTTTTTCTTCGATATAATGCCAATAATATTTGTCCATATCTAACCAATGGTTAATGTCTAATTTATAGATAGCCATAGTTTGGTGATAAGGCCATCTAAAAGGTCTCCATGGTCTATCATCATAATTTTGAACTTGGTCTGGTGTTATCATTAAAGGAGTTGGCTCTGGAGGAATTTGGGCATCACCATCTTTTGAATATGAACTTTTTCTTGATTGGTTAGGAGTAGGAGGATTGGAATATGAGAAATAATTCTTATAATAAGATGTGAATGATTTTGAATAATTCAAAATTTGTTTTTGAGATAAATATAATGAAGCTATCAAAGCCCCAAAGATTGCTATAAATATTGGGTCCATTATGAATCTCGTTCTTTAATTCTACTAACCTTATGAGGATCCATAGATTGATTTATATACATTTGATTGCGAAAAAACCCTTATCAGTGCGGAACGATAAGGAACAAATTTCCCTTTTGGGTTAGTTTTTACATTCTATAATATGATTCTAGTGATTTATTAACCAAATCGATCTTTTCAATAAGATCATTCGATTTCATATTGAAGGAGGAATTTAGCTCGATCGGGCATTGAGTGTGGGATTTTATGATCCCATTAAGATAATCATTAGGTTTAAAAATTGTCATGGTGGGAAATATTCCAAAATTGATAAGTAAGTTTGAAACGTAGTTTTTGGGATATTTGGGATGTAACAAGTCAAGTAATGCAAAATATTGATTAAATCCCGTTGAACCTGTTTTGATCTTTAAGTATTTATCATTATTTATTCTATCTCGTAAAATCGTGTTGTAACTCTTATTGTTGATGGACTGTGTTAATTGTGATCTGTCATCGAAGATATACGATTTGAAGGTTTTTTTCATTAAGAAAGGGAATATCATTCTTCTTTGGTCATAATTGAGATTGGATTTCATCAAATTAATATTAATCAAATATCGGTAGTACGAGTATCCTATTAATTCAAAATTTTTGATAATGTCATTGAATTTCGAGATATTTCTATAAGTAAGAAGACTGTCATGGGTATTCAAGAATGAAAACACAATATGTCTGTTGATAAGTAACAACCGTATCATATTGGAATCATTAGGTCTCAATTTGAGGTACGGTTGGGGGATTTTTATACCGAATTTGTGCAATTGAAGTGAAGTTGGGTCAAATGCAACATATGGTCTTTTGAATGATTGACCCAAGATACTGAATATTGTGGTCTCAGCTTGAAACTTTGATGCTGTGATAAAAATCCCAAGATTTCTTAACACATTCTCTTCTTCTTGTTTCTTCGAGAACACATCAAGAACAATCTTTTTATTTCTTTCACTAATTTGAGACTTATCCCCAGTAAAATACTTTCCTGTACAATAACTGACGAAATCGTAAGCTAAATCCACCAACTCATCATCGCCTATGTCAGACTTCAAGTTGGATTGAAGATCAACCGGGATAGACACTTTACAGAACAGTTCCACGATCCTGAACAATTCATTATCTAAAGAGCCGTATTCAAATTTCATTCTCATCAGAAGGTCTTTGAGTGTTATCTTACACTCTTGAATACTCAAGTTATCGAAAATATCCACGTAGATCTTGATATGATTATTTATCCATGTGTCTATTATATCAGGCTGATTGATAGTGAGGATAGCCATATAACGACCAAATAGCTTCTTATAAACATCAGGATTGAACGCATATTTGGAGATATCATCATTTAATAATTTGAATATCTCTATTCTCTCCATAAGGAATTTGAGGTATTGATCAGATAGAAGGAATGATGTTAACTCTAGTGATAAGGGGGAATCTTCCAAGTATTTATAAACCTCTGATATGACTTTGAATCTGTAATAAGATGTTCCATAATGACTTAAATTTTCACCCAAAATGGTTTGTGCCTTAAGTAATCCGGCCAATTCTTTATCTCTCAAAGAAGGAAACGTAAATTCATTATTATCATAGTACAAATAATCTTCATTGATACTGGGAACACCAGCTGTATGCGACCTAAAGGAAATCTTTATATCCCCTAAAAGACTGGATATGTTGTCCAAACAGTTTTGAGGGTCATCTACATAATATGAGCCCACATAGCTAGATACATTTGTATTTATACTCTCTAGTCTCTTTTTCAATCGACCATACAAAAGTTTCGGCACTTTGTCTACGGGATGTTTATTATGAGGGTAATTAAGCGACTCATACCTCCAACTAACAAACTGTATGATGCTATCACCTAATTTTGACAATTCACGGGATTTAGAATGATGAGTAGGGAACTGGTGGTTTTGGAAACTTATGGATTTATTTACAAGATTTAAAGGTTTCAAGTTCCCATTGAGATTTATACGTGATAATTTGAGTATGGAATCTACCACCACCGAACTATTTGAGTGAGTACTAGACTGTCGTATAAATCTAAGACAGTTAGATAATCTACTCATGTTCGCAGCTTTCTCAGTAAATTTGGTGATGATCTATAGACAGAGTTAGTACCAAAAAATGGTACGAAAAAAGTCAACACAAAAGAGACTGAATTATACGTAAATGTACATTTATTTATGTTGCAAATATGCAAAAATTATTAAACATATATATAGATGAAGGATAGACACCAAAACTATAATCTTCTACCTCTTCTACCACCTTTTCTTCTAGTAGAATCTGATGGAACTGGAGTAACATCTTCAATTCTACCAATTCTTAAACCTGATCTGGCTAAAGCTCTTAAAGCAGCTTGACCACCTGGACCTGGAGTTTTAGTTTTGTTACCACCGGTAGCTCTAATTTTAACGTGAACGGCATTGATACCAACTTCTTTACATTTGGCAGCAACATCTTGGGCAGCCAACATAGCGGCATATGGGGATGATTCATCTCTATCAGCTTTAACTTTCATACCACCGGTAACTCTTGAGATGGTTTCTTTACCTGATAAATCAGTAACATGGACGAAAGTATCATTGAATGAAGCATAGATTCTAGCTACCCCGAAAACAAGGGAGTTGTCTTTTTGAGCTAAATTTTGTTAGTATACGAATTGATTCGATGGAAGATGATTTAATGAAAGTTTTGAATTGATCAATTTATGGTGTTGTACCGTCTTGAATTCCTGTTGAACTTGATTTATCTCCTTCATGTGATGTATCTTTTTTCGTTCATCCTATATTATAAATTGATGGTGACACTTGTCATCTGAACATGAACTGCTTATTTCTTTGATAAATATAACTTCAAATCATTTAAATCATCTTGTTTCATTCATTCATTTAACATACCAGTTGACATGATTAATATTCTATAATTTTTTTTCACTCAATGAGTTAAGTCTGAGAAAAAGATTTTTTTCTGACTTCGAGACACGACTGAAAAATCTCAGTCCCTTTGGTCACGCGACTTGTTAGGGCATGTGCCCTCATCTTAAGACGAACATGGGGTTGTTCAGAGGAAGGTTAGGTGTGGGAGCTGTTAGGTGGTAGATGATGGAATGGTCAATAATAAAGTGGGAGACGTTAAACTGTGTTACTGTATGGTCAAATGATCATATACCCAAGGTTAAGTATATTCCTCTATTACAAGATAACTTCTCACTAACATATCGAGATGGAGTAGAGTACAGAATTGTATTACATTCTTCTATATTCAATATTATACAACAGAAGTATTATGCTGTTTAATAAACAAAACCTAAGATTTTACCTGAAACGTGTTTTCTTCTAGCTTCTTCGTGGTCCATGATACCAGCAGAAGTGGTTAAGATAACGTAACCGAATTGTCTAGCTGGTAATAAGTTATCAGTCCATTGTTCGATATCACCGAATTTAACGTTGAATCTTGGGTTAATAACACCACATTTGTTTAATCTACCGTTTAATTGAACGACGATTTTACCTGATCTGTGATCATCAATGTATTCGAATTCACCAATGTAACCGTGTTTTTGCATAACGGATAAGAATTTGATGATGACTTTTGATGATGGTCTGATTAAAACTTGTCTTTTACCGGTCTTTTCGGCGTTGTTGATAGCATTTAAAGCATCAGCTAAAACTGAGGTTCTAGTCATTATGTATTTGTTATATGAAAACTTTTCAAATTTTTCACTGAGGGAAGAAAAACTTCTTCATGAATGTCGCATCCAACGTCTTACTCCAAAAACCAAAAAAACTTAGTGAGACTTGCGACACAATCTTACGACAAACCGACCTAAATCTCACTGTAGAAAAAGCAGTCACAAATGAAGGTGAGAAAAAGGTGCGACATTATCCTTTTTAGTATGGTCGTGCAAGTTTATCAGAAATCTTTTCCTGACGACTTTTGAAATAGTGAAACTTTTGTGAGAAGAAAAAAGTTTTTCAGAGATAATTAAAGATGCCAGTATGTATTCAACATCAAAGTTTAGATTAATATACCTTATTTAATGTTGATATGAATCATTATAAATGTTGTTCATTGCCATAATTACCCATGAATGTAGAAATTCTAAAGAGTTATGAAGTTACCGATAGTTATTCATCACAGGTGAATATAAGAACTTATTGAGTGGGAAGAATGAAATAAATCAATGTTCAGTTAATTTAAAGAAGGTTAATCAACGGAACCATCAAATACTAACTATTATAGTCCCAAAAATCTTTTAGAATTAAACAAAAATTAGGTAAAGTCCAAAAACAAAACAGACCATTACCTCAATGGATCAGATTAAAAACCGGTAACACTATTAGATATAACGCTAAAAGAAGACACTGGAGAAGAACTAAATTGAACTTTTAGTTCTTTTATTACTTTTATAAAAATCATCTAATGATTATCATATGTAATTAATATAAATCCATGACAAACGGACCTCTGTCAAATGAGAAACGATTTTGTATCTTAAGTACATCATGAAGTACATCACAAAAGTCTATGTTACTCATTTGGAGACTCTATAAACATATCTTCACCCATGTGGTATATTGGTGTCATAAATGGATTGAAAAATTATGATGGGGGATATCATTGGGCATTCATATATTAATCTATAAACTTGAAAGTTAGAGTCATTTGTTTAAACTTCTTCTTCGAAAACAGTTTCAATAGGTTTTTCCATGAATGAAGCATGTCCTAAAATAGTAACCCCTGATGATCCAATTAACCACATCATAGTTGAAATTGGTGAAGCAATGAACCCTAAAGGAATTGAAACAATTAATAATCCAGTATATAATTGAGAAGTGGTAAATCTACCGACTGGTAAGACTAAATCATTACCACCTAATTTACTAATACCGTAAACACCACCTCCGACTAAGACTAATACAAATAATAATAATAAATTAGTGACTAAAGCATATATACTCAAAATTGAGAATACCGCTAAATAATTGGCTTGGAAATAACCTAAATTATATCCTACTCTACTTTGAACTTCTCCAAAACTAGCAGGTTTACTAATTCTTCTGAAATCAAAAAATTCTTGTGGTGGACGTAATTTTGAAATAGAGTTTTGTAATGATGAAACATCACTACGGATTCTATCAAAACTCAAACGATCTGAAAATTGTGATAACTATTTGGTTAGTACTACTCAACACCAAGACTTATGAAAGATCACATACTGGAAATGAAGCTAATGAAAACGAACTCATGTTGACGTTATGAAATATTTTGGACCGCGCAGCCTCACAAGATTCAACACGTATGTAGACAGTGGTGGTCAACACACGACTTTTATTTATAGTACAGAGGTATTGACAGCTAGGCTTAGAGATTGAATGAAGGTTTTGCTGATTGTTTACATCATGGGAATAAGATTTTAGTGCTGGTAGGCATGGCAAAGGTGAAACACGACTAGACAAAGATGGTAAACTATGGAGACGAGCCTCTACATTATATCGTACATTATAATCCTAAATCTTTCTTAACCATTTGTTGGCAGATCGGATGGTAGTTTGATTTGAATTTATTGAAGTATTCAACGGCTTTGTCATGATCAATATCATTCAAAGTGACGAAACCTGGTCTGACAAACTTCATTCTTCCAACTGTGCCTAACCATTGACCTAAAACGTCAAAGTATTTCAAATTACCTCCTCCGACTTGGAGGAAATAATATCTGGATAATATTTCTGCATTAGTATCATTAGCATATTGAACACCGTAAGCTTGGTCAATTTTTTCTAAAGCTTTAAGATTCTCTGACCATTTAAACCCTTCATGTTTATCGAATTCTATCAAAGATTCTAAGAATACTGTTGATTGATTTGAAGAAAAGCTGGAGATATCTTTAACGGAGAATTTACTCAAATCGCCATTATTCTTAATGGAGTTGAACCATTGGTCACTTAATTTGTAAACTGAATCAACTAAAGAAGTATCGAAGTTTGGTTTGATTGGTGGCATTCCTGGTTCAAATAACCATTGTTTCCAATTGACAGTATCTAAAACTGATCTATGATCAGGGAAGAAATCATACAAGGTAGTTAAAAATTGATAACTATCCAAGGATTTGTATTTGAATTTATCAAAATAATGAACAATAAAAGGATCGAAAACTTCTTTAGTCAATATGGTTTCGAGGTGATACAATAAGGTTGAACCCTTTTCATAAGGAACAACACTAAAAGCATCATCAGGGTCAGAACCGTCTTTTAAGTCATGGACAAGAGAGGTATATTTCCAATCCATTGATTTAATAGATGATGATAAATCGTACCACCCAATGATACAATGGAAATCTCTAGTAGCTTTATCATGAACACTTTCTATGATTCTTCTTTCCAAATAGACACACCAACCTTCATTAAGCCAGAAATGTTCCCATGAACAATTGGTGACTAAATTACCTGCCCAACTATGAGCCAATTCATGGGCAATGACATCAATATTTGATTTATCACCGGTGATTATAGTTGGAGTAGCAAAGGTGACATTGGGGACTTCCATACCACCGTATGGGAATGATGAAGGTAAAATCAAAACATTATAATCCATCCATTCATAATTGAAAACAATTTTTTCTGCTGCTTCAATAAATTTTTCAATATCATCAGTCAATTCATTATGACAACGTTTCAAATTAATGGGTTCGGTATAAACTTTTGATCTTGGACCTACAGTAGAATATTCAATATCACCAGAAGCTATAGCTACCAAATATGAAGGGATTGGTATAGGTTGAATGAATTTATAAATGTCACCTTTCTGACTAACAGGTCTTCCGGAAATTATCACATTCAATGGAGATTTAACGGTTATATTATAAGTTCCTTTTATACCTGGAGTATCAAAACATGGGAATAAACTTCTAGCATGAATAGCTTCACTTTGACTGAATAAATATGGGTACTTCTTACCATCAGTGGCTTCTTTTTCTAAAAATTGTAATGCTGTACATTGTTGTGTAGTTTCAAAATCAATATCGACTTTCAAATCTTCACCTTTGCCCGCTTTAAAAGGAATGGTTAAAGCTGAACCTAAGGGTTCAACTCTATCTCCTACGACAAAATCAATAGTTTGCCCATTGACTTTGACTTTATTGACTTTAATGAATGATACATCTAAAACAACTTCTTCAATATCATCTAAGGTTTTCAATTCCAACACAGTATTGGATACTAAGATTTTTTGGTCAAAGTTTATATCAAAGTATAAGTCGGTGTTAACAATATCGAACTTAGTGTAATTGGATAATGTTGAAGGATCAAATTCAGGAGAATGCTTTGGAAGCACTATACCAGGTATATCAACGGTCATAAAATATGCAATGAGTTGGAAAAACTCTCAAGGCTCCGGTTACTATTTAACAGTAATCTGTACCTGAATGTGAGTGAAGTACGGACCCGCGAAATTTGATGCCTTTCGACTGAAGTATTTAATGTGGAATGGCCTAAATAACGCCTCATCGCCTGTACTGATTCCGTATGTTCCTACCAATGAGGGAGAGAAAGTTTAAGTTATGGACTAAATGATTAGGGTTATGGTCAACAAGACACTTGAGTGCATAGTATTAAAACTCAGGTTGGAAAAAAATCACCTGTCAACAGAAGTTCTATTGTTATATGTGCCGCATAAACTACCACTAACAATGCAAGTCATAACGATTATATAATCTTTTGAGGCCTTTTGGAAATCTGGATAACTAAAGATGTAACCTGTACAAATTGCCGTATAGATATTTTATAGACGCATGTCTCTATAACCATTTGAGGTATAAGAGCGGCTCAAGTCGGACCATTAACATTTGTTAATTTGTAAAACACATAAAAGAAGGTTTAGCGGGAGTCAAAGAAAGTCAGATTTCATCAACTAAAACATTTGAGTTTACAAACCATGGTTTGAACTAAATTATGAACATTGAACCTGTTGAGATTATCAATCAGAGCTTTATACTTTGTATAATTACGTAGCAAGTGAACTTATCTAGAATTTTTACCATGGGCCTGGTCAAAATGGTCTTTTGAACGTTTAAATGTCTTAATCTTCTGGTTGTCTACTGGCTCTAAAAGACAACTCACATGATCGTTTCAGATGGCGCGCATTAGTGTAGAAAATTGTTTCACATTGAAGTGACTTGAAACAAAACATCTGTCAAAACCAATATCATTTTTTAATCCTAGTTTCGAAGTGTTTGACACTGTAGTATTATAATTACAGCATTTCATTGTACAATTATCAATTTTCCGACAATCTTTTTTATATTCCTGCATTAATATTTGATCCCATCGCATAACTAGAAGTAGTAACCCTTTATTGCATTTTTAACACTTGAAATTCATTTTTAATTCATTTTTAATTCATTAGAACATCAATTAGACTTTCTTAGAAGTCTTAAATTGAATAATTGGACATTTGAATCATCAAAACAGCCATATATCTTGAGAAATCATGAGTTTAGAAGATAATAGGTTAATCAACTCCCCCCTTCAACAATTAGAATTACAAGCATCGAAGGCTAAAAGCCTTTCACCTGATAAGTCATCTTTCCCTAATGATACAGAATTACCACCATCCCCATCTCCCAGAGATCGAGATAGTATCTATTCTTTCGATAGTGTAAGTACCAATGGTAGATTATTAGATCGTTTAGATTTGGATAATGAAGATTTGTTCGATAATGAAGATGATGAAGTATTTCACCGATTTAACAGCGTAAGTAGTAACAATTCTGTTGATTTGAAACAAATCCCTATCACCAATCCCAATTATGTTGCAAGATTACCATCATATAAATTGAATCGTTCAGGTTCTAAAAATAACACTTTTCAAATAAAGACAGTTTCCAACAATATTGTATATTCCAATAGAAATCAGTCCATTGACTCATTCAAAGCAGACAAAGAAAGTTTAAAAGATCCTATCAATGTAAGACAACAAAGTATTAGTTTACCTAAAAGAAGGATTAACTATAAATCACCTGAGGGAAGTCCTCAGACAAGCCCAAATACCAGTCCCCGTCAAGAGAAAGGTATAAATCCTCACCAAACATCAAATGAAAGTTTAGAATCCAGTATTTCCCAGCAGGAATTGAACGATGAATATGATGATTTCAATTTCAGTTCGTCGAATGACTCAATTGAGAATCCTACAACTCCCACGAGAGCTCCTTCAGCTCCAATAATTACAAGATCTCCACCAAAGTTTCAATTCATTACCAATAGACCTATAAATAGATCAACTTCTAGTAATTCTACTTCAAGTCAAACTTCCCAAATGAGTCAAGATTCAAGAAAAACATCAAGAAGAGCTGTCTCAGACTTGACTTCATCTCCCATAGGTAAAAGTCCTAGTAAAGCCATTGACTTAACTCCTGAAGCTAGATTGGTGTTATCCTTTCAGTTAAGGAGTGTAGGTAAACATCGTGAAGCTTCCTATCAGCTTCAAATCGCTGCTAATCCTCCATATAATGATTTGAAGGCTATGTATTATTATTCCATGGCTCTCAAGGTCGGTCAAGGAGTTAAACAAAATGATAAAACATCATTGAAATGGTTATGTAAGTCCATTATCATAGCTAAAACCCCAGAATTGAAGAATTTCTATGATTTAAGATTGGAGGAATTACTCAAAGTTGTTTTTAAAATCATTGAAAATGATAGGATAGAAACAAATCCTTTTAAATTGTATGATTACTATAGTACGTTACCACCAAATCAAGTCACCAAGATTATTAATTCAGTTAAAGGACAATCAAATGTTATGGCATCGATTTATCGAGAAGTGGGTAATTATTTGATCGGAATCTGGGGATCTGTTAGAGAAGAAAATATGGGTTTGAAAGCTTTGGCCATATCTGCATCATTAGGGGACTTCAATTCTATGAACCAATTAGGTGAAATATGGAGTAACAAATCCAAATCCAGGAAAAAGGACTTACATTCAGCTAGTGCTTGGTTTAGATTAGCAGAGATTTTTGGTATAAAATCCATCGGGAATAGTTGGATCTATAAAGAGAAGTATATGAAGCCTGATAAATAGACACTAAATGCATATCATCGTAGCTCCCTCATAAGAAGTCATTCAATTGTGCATTAACTTTGTACTTTCTATAATTCGTTAACCCGGTTAAGGACCAGGCAATCCTGATTTCAAGCTATAAAACAAATCTTCCTTGCTAACATTATTATATGTATCGATAAAACCATTGACTAGCTTATAAAATACCTTCAAGAACAAATTGAGATCTAAGTATGGACCAAGAGGTAAATAGTGATCTTTGTCAATTGGTAAGATTTCCACCTCTTGTAATTTGGATCTAGTTTTCCAAACCTTTGAGTAATTGGTTTTGATGAAATCATTGATATCGGGGAATGACTTTTCGGTGGTTTTTTGAATATGATCAATTTTCTTATATGTTTCTACGATATTTGAAGGATTTAAATCCATCAATTTCTTTAGAACAAAGATCTTGAAGTATTGTAAAAGTTCCATCAAAAATCTCAAATGTATTCTAATATTATTATTCTCGAGTGTTTGTTTGATCTTGTTGGTAGTCGAGTCAATATCATCTATCAAGCTGGACCAGTTGTTTGGTGAAGGAGATATTTTGTCATCAAAAGAATAAGAGATAGCAAATAACATCAAAGAATCCAATTGAATAACTAATGATATGACTCCTTCAGTGCTATTGGCCATGAAATTACATTCTTTTGCTAGTTTCATCCAATAAAGTTTCAGTTTTGTGTTGAAATCCGACTTGGGTTCTTTCTGTTCCAAGGGTTTAGTGGGTTCTTTATTTTCTAAAGGTTTTGTAGGTTCCAAAGGTCTTGTTAAACCCATCTTTTTGGGTCCTAAAGGTAACTTCTTGGGTGACCCATTAGGTGTGGTGACTGATGAAGTGGTAACAGAAGGTGTGGTCTTGATGCCAGTTTTTGGTGTAGATGGTTTTGAAATCAATTTCGGAGTTGAAGGCTTTGGTGTGGATGGTTTACTAAATGGGGTTCCAGCTTTACTAACAACCGGAGTAGAAGGTTTGGAAATAGTAGATTTTTTGTAGATTCGTCTCAATTGTTCAGATCCTAAGGTAAATCGTACCAAAAGTCTGGGATAAGTGCTATCATTCAATTTGTTCACATACTTCACTTTAGACGATTTGATAATTTTCTTCTTCACTGGAACCTCAGGTTGTTTATTTGCCTTAACATTTTTATCATGGACTATTGGTTGGTTTGTTGGGATTGGAGTTGGAACTGGAACGGAGTCTAATGGCGGTAATGTTGGTGATAACATAGGTGGTAAAGAACCATTTTCCTGATAAGCTATTATCATCTCTTCCAAATTCCACGGTACTTTCCTTTCAGGAATAGTCTTCTTCTTCAACCCTGGAACAGGTGAAGAGAGTCTTTTGATCTTCCTACTATCGTTATCAAAAATAGCTGATCGCATACAGGCTGATTTCGTCTTCGCGATTGAAGGAGATTTAGATAGTGTAAGAGCCTTTTAACTGAGATATCAAGTTCTCGAGAATTACAGGTTTATCGGGGTCATTTGAATGACATTTGACAATCGACAGAGATCAGATTTCTATTGAAACTATCTTAAAATCTATTTTTACTTTGAAATTTTATTAAATATGGTTCTTGATAAACTTTAGAAATGTCAGAAGACCAATAGAATCAATCAAAGATCTTCGAACTTCATCTTCAATTTTTCTAAAATCCTTCCCAACAACTACCAAGTTCATAATCCTTTGATTTTATCATAAAAGCCTCTCCGTATATTCAATCTCCCCTTCTAGTAATAAACTTCGACCTGTGATTTTTCACAGCCAAAATTCACATTCTACCCCAATTTTCGCGACCAGATAAAAAAGGTTGAAAAGTTTCAAATATCACCATCATGGAAGTATCAAGTTCAGTATTACAATTCAAAGGAGAATTCAAAGCTCCTACCACTACCACTTTGAGTTTAAAGAACCCAACTGGTTCTCCAATTGCTTTCAAAATCAAAACAAATGCCCCAAAAGTTTACTCAGTTAAACCAAATTTTGGTATCTTAGCCCCTTCAGATTCTGCTAAAATTTCCATCACTTTAGGTGCCTTAACTCAAACTTTACCTAAGAACTATAGAAGTAACCATAAGTTCTTAATTATGGGCTTACCATGTGAAGGAGTTAGTGATGTCTCAGAAATTTCTGCTAATTGGTCAAATTTACAAGAGAAGTTCAGTTCTCAAGTTACTTCAACTAAAGTTAGAGTTGAATATGTTACAGGTGATGGCCAAGAAAGATTGAATGGCAAATCTAAGAGAATTTCCAAATTTGTTGCTAATGGTTCAGCTAATGAAAGTGGTTCTGGTGCCGGTGCTGGAGCAGCTGCTGGAGCTGGTGGAATTATTGCTGCTGCTGGAGCTGCCGGAGCTGCTGCTGCTCATAATAAACACCGTAATCATGGCCACGGTCACAACAATAACCATAATAATTCAAACGGTGGAGCAAACACTTCGGGTGCCCATCCTTATAGAGAAATGGAACCTTCCACTCCTCGTCAAACTTCAAGTTATCCAATTTCTTCTCCTTCATCTCCTGAAGCAGCTCCTTCTTCAATGGCCTTAACTAGATTAGAGAACAAGATCGATGAATTATCTGCAGAGCATCAAAGGTATGGAAAGAAATTAGAAAATGCAGAGAAATTGTTGGTTATTGCTTTAATGTTATTATCTTTCATTCTTGGTAAATCTGTTGTCTAGTATTTGGGTTGTGTTTTTAATGTTATCGTGTTATCGTGTTATCGTGTTATCGTGTTATCGTGTTATCGTGTTATCGTGTTACCGTGTTGTGTGTTCTTTGTCCCTGTCTGTTTAAAAAGATATGCTTATTTAAGTCATGTTTACATTCATTATATACAAGTTCAAACTATTTTCCAAAATGGCTCTTCTTTCTTTTTAGTTTTCAATTCTTTAACCTTAGCTTCGTATCCAATAATCTTTTCATTAGATGCTTCAATACCATCAATAAGATATTTCATTCTGTTTTTGATATTCAATTGCACGAAATCAACTGAACTTAATTCTGCTTCATATTTCTTCAATTTAGTGGTTTCAACACTAATCAAATTACTCAAGAAATTAGATTCAAAACCTCTAAAGATCTCTTCATCTTCGATTATATTCTTAAAAGCAGCTTTATAAATTGGTCTTCCAGTAGTAATATGATGAATAACACCCTTTTCACGTTTCAAAGTAATCAAATCATTTTTTTCCAAAGATGATAAAACTTCCAAGGAAGAATTATCATTCTTGAATAAAGATGACTTGCTGGTCAATTCATTGAAACTGATGGAATCGGAATTCGATAAAAACTTGATCAACTCCCAAACTTCCGTTGGTGACCAATTCTTGAAATTGGTATCGTCTTTAGTAGTCAGATTATGTAAGAAGAAATTGGTTATTTGTTCAACAGCTTGATTCACCAATTCATCTAAAGCTTCTTGAGGACTTTCACCTGATCTTACACGTCTAATAAAACTTTGTAAATCTAACATTCTTCCACCTAAAGGTTTCAAACATTTAGAAATCAATGAAGAATCAAATTTTTCGTACCTTGTCAAATCTTTCAATTGATTCATCACATAATTATAACTTCCCTTCTCATTGGCATCGTTTAAAGAAAGAACTTTGAACACTTGATTAGGTAATGCTTGATTCAAATGGGAGAGTGAACCAATATCATTGGTAATGAATACCACATGACCCAAATTACTTTGAATCAAGCTGGCACTCCAATCACTGATCATCTTATAAATAAAATCATGATTATCTGCTTTAGAACTGAATTTGTTTATGACAACAATAGGTTTGACTTCAGGGTGTTGTTGTAAATATTCATCTTCCTTCATAACTTCTTCTAATTTGATATCCAAATCAGGATTAGCTCTTAATCTATGTTCTTGTCTGGTTCTCTTTTTCATAACTTCAGCTTTGTAAGAATCATACTCACTTAAAGCTACTGATTTGATAGCTTGACTTGCTAATGTAAACATGTTCTTGATTTGAGTCTCTTTACTTTCACTTAATCCTGATTTTTGACCAGTGAAACTTTGAACCCCTAAATCAATAAATTGTGACATCAGATTGAGCCACCCAAATACAGGGAAATAACCCAATTGACTAGCAACATTTTCAATTAATTTGGTTTCACTTCGTGATTTTACCATAGCATCGACATCCAAGTACAAGATCTTTTTCCTCAAGTTTTCATCTTCCATCAAAGTATTATCAATCACTAACTCTTTCTTACCGGCACCTTTAGGACCATTAATGATAATGAAAGTACCTACATTTTCAAGAATCCATAACTTGAGTTGTTTGATCTTTTCATACCTCTCATTCCATAAATTATCACCTTCAATACTAGAATCATCATCCAAATCACTTTCGTTACTGATAACGTCTTTCTGACATTCAGAATTTAACTTTTCTCCGATATAATCATAACCACTGAAAAACACTTTTTCTACTTGGAGAATAGGTGCCATAATAAACTTGAAGTACCGGTTATTTCTATAAGTACTCAAAGAAAATCTATGAGCGATCTTCTCTTCAATGAAAAACTGTCTAATAGGATCGAAAATTAACACAGCAACCCCGGCAATTATAGCCAAGATAATTGGAATGGCAATTCTTTGATGATTACTGATGAATTCTCCAATCTTATTGACTTTAAGATCAGGTTGATATTGTAAATGCAACGTTGTCTTACCACCATCTAAGGAAATACCAGTAATACAATTTTTAGCACAAATGGCTGCTCTTAAATATCTGAATTTGATGGTAGATGGGCTACCAGGTTCAATATCAATAATTCTACCATATCTTCTGAAAAGCATATATAATTCTTCTTCGGTTAAAGCAGATCCTTCAAACTTGACTGATAAAATAGACGAAGGAAATCTTTGTAAATCTTCAATCCATGGAGTACCTTTGACTTCATAGCATTTAGGATATGTATGAACAAGTTGGTTATAGTATCTTTTGAATAAGTTCTGATCAAAGGTAATTTTATGGAATTTCATGTTATCCACAATGATTTTAGTAAGCTCCTTCTTTGTCATTCCGGGTGGTACTTGATATTTAACAAAAGCACCACCATCTCTTCTAACAGGTATAAATTCCAATATGGTAGCTTCTTCGGGTAAAGGGTTCTCTTCAGAAGTTGACAATGCTTTAACTTTAGCCTTTAATTCTTCATGGCTCTTACCTGGTAAAAGCATAGCAAGATATTGTTTGATACGATACTTTGAAATAGTACTGGAGTATATATGATCATAATACATAAGAATTTCTGATGATGATAAATCTACAACACCTGTGGTGGAAGAACTATCATCTACTTCATTCTTATCAGATTCTTTTTTAAGGTTGGAGATATCACTACCAAATCTTTTGTTAATCAAAAAACTAGCCCACAATGATTGTCTCATCATTCCATTCTTTACAATTGAGCCCACAGTCAATCTACCAATCAATGGTGGACTGACATGAACAATTCTTGTTAATGATTTAAACATAGCAATTATGGGTGATTAGCAAAGGGATTTTGGGTGCGAATTATATAATGATGGTGTACGGGTGTTACAACTAAGATGTCTATATTATACACTATTTAAAGCTGGTTTTAATCGATTGAAGATGAGATCATACTACCAGATAAGTTTTTCAAGAAATCTGATGTTTTCAAAGGTTTTACATCGGGTTTATTGGTATTTAACTTTTTACCTCCAGCATAATTGGATTTAATGAAATCTCTCATGGAATTCAATGCAGCTTCTCTACATAATTCTTTCAAATCAGAACCACTATATCCCTTTGTATGATTAACAATAGTATCGATATCAAAATCAGATGATAACTTACTATCATTTAAGATTTTACTTAAAATTGATCTTCTTTGACTGGCATCTGGTTTACCGATGGAGAATTGTTTGGGTAATCTTCTCATAAATGCAGAATCAATATCATTTTGTCTATTAGTAGCTCCCATAACCATAATTCTACCGTTAGATAATAAACCATCCCACAAAGTCATGAATTCTGCTTTTAACATAGCACTCACTTCATGATCATTGGATGATCTATCTCTTAAAAATGAATCGATTTCATCAATGAAGATGATACAAGGTTGCAATTTGTTAGCTAAAGAAAATATGGCATCAACTATTTTATTACTTTCTCCATACCATTTATCCATTATTGTTGACATTCTAATCAGAAGAAAATAAGCTCCACTTTCTTTAGCAATAGCTTTAGCTAACATGGTTTTACCACATCCTGGTGGTCCATAGAATAATACTCCTTTTGGTGATTGAATCAATGATTGATGTGCTGTGAAAAGTTCGGGTTCGGTTAAAGGTAAGATAACTGATTCTTGTAATTCATCGATAACATCTGTTAATCCTCCTACATCATTAAAGTCCACATTTATATCATCAGGAGTGATTAATGAATTCAATAGTGACTTTTCATACTCATTAAGGACCAAATTCTTCAATTCAGGGTTCTTATTGGTGATCTTTTTCAACACTCCTTGACTTTTCTTTCTAGATTCTTTTGATTTTACTGATTGGTCTCCCATAGAATCTTGGAGAATATGATTTATTAAATAATACATAGAAAGTCCAGCTCCTGTAAGGAAGAAGATATCACCTAATAACTTTATATTAATCTTACTCCAGTCTAACTTCATCTTATTCATGTTCTTGCGTGTGAGATTTCGCACTTGATGGTTGCAGCAGAAGGTCGCGCACCAGAAGGTCGCAAAAATTTGAGATGAGATCTAACAAGAAAGATTCTGAAAAGCATGGAATTAGACTTCCTGGAGTGTTGTTAGATTCTATAAGAGAAAAGGAAGAGAATGGTGACTATGGTGATAGACTGTATGACAAAAAGAAGAGGAAAGTGGCGAAAATAGAACCCAGAAAGGAAAGAAGACAAAAAGAGAGACAATTAAAGAAACAAAAGAGATCCGGAATTAACCCTCAACACAACGCCAATTCTAGATCCAAGAACGACAATAAACCATCCAATACCAAATCATCGCTGAAGAATGGTTCCAGCAGTAAAAAAACCGATAATAAACCCAAGCATTTGGAAATTGATCTTAATGAAGATGAAGATGATCCTATGGAAGCTTTGAGAAAATTGAAACAAGGTAAGAAGGTTTCCGAAGTGAAGATCATAAAGGAAGATGATCTTGAAGATGACATTAGTGAAGGAGAAATGGATGATTTTGACGATTTCGAAGATATGGATGATGATGATGAGGAGGAGGAAGATCCGATGGAGGCATTGAGGAAGCTTAAAGCTAAAAAGTCAGGAAAAAGTAGTGAAGTCAGAATTTTGAACGAGGAAGATTTAAAAGATGACAGTTTTTCAGATTTTGGTGACTCTGGAGATGAAATAATAGGTCATCTGGGTGAAGACTCTGAAGACTTCGGTGATGATTTCGAGGATTTCGACCAAGATGATTTTGATGAAGAAGAAGAATTGGAATACGAAGAAGATCCATTGGCTAAACTCAAGGCTTTGAAAGAAGCTAAAGCCAAGTCAAGTGAGAAAACCAAAGAAAAGGAAGAAAAGAAGGAAAAGAAAGAAAAGAAGGAAAAGAAGGAAAAGAAGGAAAAGATAGAGAAGAAAGAAAAGAAGGAAAAGAAGGAAAAGAAAGAGAAGAAAGATAAGAAATCCAAAGATAAACCGGCCTTACCTCCTCAGATACTTGAACAGATGAAAAAAGACGAGGATGATATGGCATTTTACGCAAAGAAGTTAGGACTTGGAAAGAAATCGAAACTTTCAAAATCGGGTGATGATGATCTCATCGGAGGATTACTTGACGGACTTGATTTTGATTTCGACCAGGAAGGTGATTTCGAACAAGAGGATGAAGATGACTTTGAACAAGACGATTTCCAACATGATGACGAAGATGAAGAAATAGATGTCGGTGAAGAAGAAGCACAATCAGATGATGATAACGAAAAAAATGATGATAATATAGAAAATCCATGGACTGATGATAGTATTAGTGAAGGCGATTTTGACACCGACATTAGTGATATGGAAGACGAAGAAGATGAAGAAGCCAATACAATTCCAAGTAATGAGAATCCATTCGTCGCCCCCACAACAGACAATTCAACTAAATATATTCCTCCAGCTTTACGTCGTAAGATGGCTATGGAATCAGGAGAACTCTCAGCAGAAGCCTTAGCATTACAAAAACAAATAAAGTCATCTTTCAACAAGTTATCTGAAGCCAACATATCATCCATAGTTAACGACATCAATGCATTGTATATGTCTAATCCTAGACATTTAGTTAACGAAACCATAACAAATATTGTCATCAACGATATAGTTCAACAAGATAGATTATTAGATACTTTTGTGACCCTTCATTCATGTGTTGTTACAGCCATTTATAGATTACAAGGTGTTGAAATGGGAGCTCATTTCATTCAAACATTGATTGAAAAGTTTGACAGTCATTACAAAATGGGAGATAAGACCAAGGAAATTTCCAACATTATTTCTTTATTATCGACGGTTTATTCATTCCAATTAGTATCTTCTAAATTGATTTATGATATCATCAAGGTTTTAATTGAAGATTTCAATGAATCAAATGCTGAAATCTTATTGAGATTAATCAAGAATTCAGGAAACCAGATCAGAACCGATGATCCAGGAGCTTTAAAAGAGATCATTTTGTTAATGAACAAAGTATCTTCTTCTATGAAACAAGTCAATCCAAGAACTCAATTCTTAATTGAAACCATTAACTCCTTGAAAAATAATAAAATGAAGGTCAATAATGACTTCAGTCATGATTTAGTTATCAGATTAAGGAAATTCCTCGGTACCTTGAGTTCAAGTAAGTTAAATGATACTATTCAAGTTAGTCTTGATGATATCAGAAATGTTGAAACTAAAGGTAAATGGTGGTTAGTTGGATCTGCTTGGAAAGGTAATGAAGATGAACCTCAAGATAATTTCGATTCCAAAGCAATGAATGATATCCTAGATGCTGCTGAACCTAATTGGATGCAAATAGCTAAAGATCAAAGAATGAACACCGATATCAGAAGAGCCATCTTCATCTCAATTATGTCAGCAGAAGATTATGTAGATGCTTTGACAAAATTAGATAAATTAGCATTGAAAAGAAATCAAGAGCGTGAAATCCCTAGAATCTTAATTCATTGTGTTAGTGTCGAATCAAGTTGGAATCCTTACTATGGATTGTTAGCCCATAAATTATGTGATACTCATTCTTATAGAAAGACATTCCAATTCATGTTTTGGGATTTATTGAAGGAATTCGATGGAGCTTTGAATGATGAATCTGAAGATTTCTTTGGTTTTGATGACGAATCTAATGATGATAAATTGAAAAGAATTTACAATTTAGGTAGATTTTTTGGATTCCTTTTATCAGAAGGGTCATTACCATTACACTCTTTGAAAAATGTTAACTTTTTGGTGATATCTAAAGATAACAAATTATTCTTGGAGATCATATTAGTTACATTCCTCGACCAAATAGCTAAGAAGTCACAAGTTAATGTTGTAGGAGCTGGTGTAGGAAAAATCAAAAACGCCGATATGAAATTCCATGATCAATTATTGATTGAAAGAGTCTTGAAGGCCAAAGATGAAATAACATTATTAAGAGGTTTACAATATTTCATTCAGGAAAAGACCAAGACAAGTAGCTTCGTTGATGGAAAAAGACAAAAGAAGAGAGTAGAATGGGGATCGAATGCCATGTTTGATGTCATTGATGAATTGTTGCATAATTCAGAAAATTAATTTTGTAAATATTAATAGGGGGAAAAGGTTTTTGTATAAATACTATGTACATAATTCTAATACTGCAAGTCCTTCTACATGTTTGGTTTGAGGAAAGAAATCGAATCCTGTTATCTCTTTGACTCTGTATTGAATATTATCTTTTTGAAGTTCATGAAATTGTCTCAAATCTCTTGCTTGAGTAAAGACATTACAACTGACATAAATAATCATTTTGGGTTTAAATTCCAACATTTGTTTGAGGAAATCAATATTAGATCCTTTTCTTGAAGGATCCATGATGACTACCGAATCTTTACCTTTGACTTTACGAAGTTGATTATTGCTGAAGATAGTATCAGCCGTTCCACTAACAAACATGACTCTATCATCGGTTAGTCCGTTAATTTTGGCATTATGTTGAGCATACTTGATAGCCACGGATGAAATTTCGACACCAAAGACTTTCCCTTTTGATGGGAGATCTTTGGCTAATGCAATTCCAAAGAATCCTGATCCACAATAAGTATCGATGATGTTCAGGTAGTCTATCTCTTTCAAGTGACTTCTGATATGTTGAAGGATCACTGGTAAAATGGAATTGTTGGTCTGAAAGAATTCTCCTGCTGGAAATTGATAAACTATATCTTCAACCTTCTCCGTCACTAATTTCTTGTTGTCAGTTATTGTAGTCAAAGAAAAATCACCGGTATCCAAGTTAATATCGATACTTTCTCTGAGAAGTCCAGTGGAAGCATTCTTCTTAGTCTTCTTTTTGTTGGCCAACTCCCTGTAGACGTTTTCTCTAAATTTGGATAATTGGTCATTAATAGTCCTGGTAGCAATAGAACATTTCTCCACATCTACAAGAGGTTCTGAAGGTTTGACGTTCTCAAACCCAATAGGAGGTTTGTATCCTTCTTTACCCAAGAAGCTATTTCTCCACTTGTAATGAGGTGTCAATTTGGTTCTATAATTATACTCTTTTGGTGAAGCTATTATGGATCCCATATTGGGAGGTGGTATTTGACTGAAAACATTGGGATAGAAATATTCATAAGCTCTATGAAGTACTTCCCTTTTGAAATGGAGTTGATCTCCGTAACTGACCATTTGAAGTTGACAGCCATTACATGAATTGAATTGATGACAATCAATGAGACTATCATTTCTTTTGGCAGAAGGAGTCTGTACAGTGACTAGATGGCCCTCAGCATAAAACTTGTGATGCATCCTCAATCTTAATGTCACTATATCTCCTTCAACTGTCTTAGGAACACAAACTACTGTATGTTTAACTGTGTTTTCATATTCATGTCTGACAATACCAACTCCTTCTCCTTCAACAGTTTCGAAGATGATTTGAACGTCCTTAATCTCCACTTCGGGTCTATTTTTGTGGAGAAAATTATCTATGATCTGTATATCATTCTCTATTTGATCTATCATCAATGGTTGATGTTGCTTACTATGAATCTGAAGTGCTTTTGAAATATCTAAGAACCGGATATTCTCTTGTCTACATTCATCCAAACTACCTCTTTTCAGATTCTGTGTCTTTAAAAGGATCCTATTGACTCGTTCATGTTGTGCTTTTGGTCCATCTTCTGAACCTTGAATTCTATGTGCATTGATATCTGTAAGGGTATTTGATGGTTTTTCTCCTATGGAACTCAGTAAACCATGTATTTGTCTACCAAATATCCTCGAGAAGTTCCTACTAAGTCCTTGGAGATGTAGAGATCTTGATCGATACATAACTGTTATATCATTAAACCAAAAATGCGATGAGCCGCGATGAGACGATATTAGAGACTGATAAGATCATTATATATTACATAATTAAGCCGCAGCTCCTACAATGGGATTCTCCTCTTCAGGATATTCCCTTAAGTCGAGAGTCAAAGTTCTTGAACTATTCTCACTTTGTTCTCTATATATCCCAACCAAGGCATCAGATTTCTCAAATAAGGTGTTCTTCAATGATATAACAATAAATTGAAATGTTGGACTAGAAATCTTCTTAATATAATTGGCAATCTTATTAACATTGGAGGAATCTAAGGCAGCATCAACTTCATCAAGAACGAAGAAAGGTGATGGTTGGAAGGAATGAATTGCAAATAATAAGGCTAATGCAGCTATGGTTTTTTCACCACCTGAAAGTAATTCCATATCTCTGAATCTCTTCAGTGGAGGCATAGCATGATATTTAACACCTGCAGAATATGGCTCGTCTTCATCTTCAAGAGTCAAATAAGCCGAACCACCTAAAGGAGCCGAACTGTTAGCAGTCAATTCTTTATAAATAGAATCAATTCTACCAGAAATATGTTCAAATGCGTTCATGAACTTTTCATGTCTTAAACCTTTGATTTCATTGAATTTTTCATTAATTTTAGATTCCTTTTGTCTAGCTTTGGTGAAATCTTTATCGAAATCTCTCAATCTGTTTTCAGTATCTTTCAATCTTTCAGCTGCCTTGGCATTAGGAGTTAATTTTTCCAAATCTTCAATGATCAGTTCTAACTTTACAGATAATTCTGCTTCAACTTTGCTATTATAACTTTCTCTAAGTTTATCATTGAGTAATTCATATTCAATTTCCACTTTCTCATAAATTTCTTTGGCTAATTCTTCAATTGTGTCATTTAAAGAGATTTGATCCAAGAATCCATCTTTCAACGGAAGTAAGATATTTTCAACTTGACAGTTTTTCAACATGTTCACTCTTTCAATATCAACTTTAAGAACTAATTCATTGATTGATAAAATAGAATTTCCTACGTTGGTAACATCCGTTTTGATTTCGTTGATGTTGGACTCTATTTCATTGATGCTTTTTTGTTTTTCAGATAATTTGTTTTCAAATTTGGTGATATCTTCCTTCAATATTTGATATTCTGCAATAATTTCATCCAATTCAACTTCAAGTTGTTCTTTAACGTCAATATTCTCATTGAATTTCGAATCTAATTCACTCAAAACTTCTTCTAAGGACTCTTTTCTAGAAATTAATTCATTAAGAGTTCCCTTCTCGAATTCCAATTGATTACTCAATGTTGAAATGGCTTTCAAAAATTGTGTCCTTTCTTTGGTTCTTATTCTCTGTGAAGCTCCATGAATGTTAATATAATCTTCAATACCATTTTTAAACTTGAATTTTTTGCAGAAGTCACTGAATATTCCTTTTGAGATATCTTTAATTTGTCTTTCAACATTACTGATCTTACCATCAACCTCTGCTAAATCTTCGTTCTTAAGTTTGATGGATTCTTTGACTTTATCTACAGAGTCTTTCAAGAAGGAAATTTCAGTATTTTTATCCTTCAATAATCTTTCAAGGTTCTCCTTTTGATTTCTGAGTACTGGCAAAGAATCATCCAATTCGATTATCGATTCTGTTATCATGTTAATCTCCATTTCTTTAGGCTTTTCGGCATTCACCTTATTGATCTCAATCATAAGATCATCCTTAACTTCAGACAATTTCTTTAACTCTTGTTTATCCCAAGTCACAGAAGCATTATATCTTTTGCTATTGATACCACCTGTCATGAGACCTGTTCTGTTGATTAAAGATGCATCTATTGTAACTAATTTGTTATCTAATTTGAATTCGTGGCCCCATTTTAATTTCCTAGCAGTGGTTAAATCATCAACTACTAAAGCATCTCCAATCATATATTGCACTGCTTGCTCCAAAGAATTATCATCATAATCAGCAATATCAACACCAGGTTGAGCTTTTGGATGAATAGATCTCAAGTAATTCAAATTTATAGAGTTGATGTTAATGGAATCCAAAGGTATGAAAGTAGCAATCCCGGCTCTTTTCTCCTTCAAAATTTCAATACATTTGAATGCTGTTACGGATGTATCAACAATTACTGAATCAATATGTCTTCCCAATAAAGTGATTAATGCATCTTCATATTTAGTTTGACTTGGACGGATTAATTCATAGACAAATCCCTTTATGGAATGTTCCGGTAACAAATTCCTTAACATGGATAAATTTTCTCTTAATTTCTTTTGTTTGTTGGATTCTCTTTGTTTAGAACTCAAATCATCAAGTTTCACCAATATTTCTCTCAATTCTGAATTCAATTTTAATTCCTTATCATTACAAGTATCAATTTTTGAAAGGAGTTCGTCTTTTAATAAGATCTTTTCATTCCTTGTAGCTAAGAGTTCATTAATTTCAGAATTTATGGAATCCAATTTATTTTTAAACTCATTTTTATCACGTGATTCGGCATTATGAATAGTAGAATTAGAATTATCGATTTGATTTTCAAAATTCTTGATGGCATTAACAATTGTGTCTTTTTCATTATTCAACAAACTTAATTCTTCTTCAAGTTGGGAACCTCCATTGGCTAAAAATTCAGATCTTAAATTTTCATATTCATCATGAGCTTCAGTGGGTAATGAAGAAACTGATGCATTGATCTTATCCTCAAAATTCTTATAGAGTTTTGTTGCTTCTTTCAATTTAAGTTCGTAGTTCTTGATGACAGCCTCTTGGTTTTTGATTTCATTAACAATATCCTTAATCTTCGATTTAGTATTATTTATTTTACTCAAGATAGATTTCTTGTTAGATTCAAATGGAATGATTCTTCTCTTTTGGGAATCGATGGTTTCAACTAATTTTTCACTTTTCAGTTTTTCGGACTTCAAGTTTAATGAACTCTTAGAATATTCTACAATAAGCTTTGAATGAGCCTTCTCTTCTTTTGCTAATTTCTTATTCATTTCTTCTAGTTCACTCCTCTTGTTGTCAATTGATATTTGTAAGTCATTATGTTTCTTTTCGTTATGGTATAATTTATATAAATGAATTATTTTGATCAAATTAGATTTATCAAGTAATTTTCTTGTAAACATTTCTTGTTCTAACATTTGTTCCTTATATTGTTTGGATTCTGAACTCAAATTTCTCTTTCTTGAAAATACAGAATTGGAATATTCATGAGCTTTTTCCAATTCCTCTTTCAAATCTTCAAATTCTTTGGTATATTCATTAGATCCACTAATATTCTCAATGAGCTTGGTTAAATCTTTAGGTGATTGAGAAGCTATCAGTTCAACATCTCCTTGAAATACCAAAAAGTTTCTTGCTTTGATCAAGATATTTTCTTGTTTCAATAATGCCGAATATTGTAAAGACGTTACAGCTTTATTATTGATTCTATATTCTGTAGCTCCAGTTGAATTTATAGATCGTTTCATTTCCATTCTTTCACCGTCATCTTTTTCGTAAATGATTTTTACGTGGGCCCTAGTTGGGTCATTGTTGAACTCCTGTTCCACATCATCCACATCATTGTCAAGTCTCCCTCTATATATTAAATCTTTCATGTTCTGGGATCTCAACTGTGAAGATTTGATACCTAACACAAATGAAATGGCATCCATCATATTAGATTTCCCTGCTCCGTTAGGACCAATGATAGACGTGAAACAACTTGTTCCAAATCCAATAGAACATTTGCCCTTATAAGACTTGAAGTTGAAAAGTTCCAATCCTACTAATCTTCCCATAAAGATCTATCACTTTTTAAATATACCGCGTCGCGAGTTTTAAGACGAGACTGGAGAATTGAGAGATATCAAACTTCATTTCATTTAACGTTAATTACTCTAATACTATACAGAAATTGTTCTTGTTTGAACCTTTATTGAGTTCAACTTTTTTGAATGTTCGTTTCTTCATGGGCTTTGTCCATTGGAATAACCAGTAGGCCAATTTAGTGGAATTATGATGATTCAATTGGACAAAACCAAGAGATTCCATAATGGAAAGCATTCTTTCATTGTTAAAATAACGGGAATTTTCAATACATGGCAAAGGTAAGACGAAGAAAAGGTATGCTTGAGGGAGTAAGAATTCAGTCATTCTCTTCAACATTTCACCCCTTCCTTGTGGACTATCCACAAAGTTAACCACCAATGAACATGATATGAGGTTGAATTTGTCATTGTTTGAGGTTGGAAGTGGTCTTTCCATGAAATCTTGTTGTTGGATTAAAGGATGTTGACTATGTAAATCGATTCTGGTGATACTTTTGAAGATTCCACAAGTTGAAATGACATTTTCAGGACTTAAACATCCAATTTCAAGGGCCGTAGGATCCTTCAAATCGAATTTCTCTATCCATTCTATGAGTTTCTTAGACGAATCACTACCTCGTTTATTACTTTGTCCTTGTGTTGATGCAATTTGGTATACTTCAAGTCCCCCGTTTTTTTCAATTTCTCCATCTATCTCTCCCAATTTTTCCACCAATTGTGCTTCATTCAATCCATCTAATTTGAATAATTGTTCGTTTGCATTATCGAACCCTTTCTTATAAATCTTCTCCCATTTACCAAGCTGGAAATCCTTGTCCCAGTTTAATTTCTTTAATATGATGCTTTTATTCTTGAGTAAAACATGATACCTTCGTATGAGTTTTCTAGTGTTCTTAGGTTTCAATGTTTTGGGGGTGAAAGGTTTTTGGGTGATGCTTCGAGGACGTTTCAAGAAACCACCTTTCTTCATAGTGTGATGCGTGAGATGAGTCTGAGATGAGGCCGAGATCGAGATAACTTTAACTATTATTATTCACTGAATACAGAATGATTTTGTATAGCCTTTCTATGATCCTCTGAGTATGGTGGATTTGAACACTCTAACCTCTTGTTTTTTCTTGGTAGAAAAGTTGCAAACGACTTGAACTCTAATACTCAATGGTAGAAAAAAGTCTGATAGCCGAAAGCTTCAACATGATCTTGACCTCCAATAAGGGGAACTATCATGCCTGATTCAACCTCATATAGTGGATTATTGGTAATGCTGCAAACCCATGCAAAGATGGTTGCAAAATAGCGTTGCACCACGTTTGTAAATTTCTTTCAGTTTCGAGCTGTTTTGATGGTTGAAAAGGTGCAGTGATATTTCCTGTCCGTTCACAAGCCATTTGTCCTTTTCCATCTCTTCTTACCTCCAGAATATTCCACTGTTCACCCCCGTTTTCTGAATCAAATCTAATAGGGTCGCGCCCCACAATAGGCGAATCGGTCTTTTTGCATCTCAATCATGTTCAGATCTTCATTAAGATTTATACGGAACATTTCACTCACTTCGGGACCTCAAGGTACCGATGGTAGACTTCCCTTGGGGTCTTTCAAATCAAGTTCCTTCCTGCAAAGTGAGCTGACTAGCATCTCCATCACCGATCCCTTCATATTATATCAAAACTATATCAAACAGGGGATTCTTGAGAAAGATGAAAATCAATTAAGAGTAATGAAAGAATTCCAGAAATTGTATCATAGATTAATGGATTACAGTCCACCAGATGATATCAATATCAGAATCAGTTTGTTGATGAAAAAGCTCGAAATTCAGCAAGCTGAATCGGTTATCAAAGATAACAGAGTTATCAAATTGAGTGGATTGAAGAAATTTTTTAGCCCCAAACCTCTCCAAGAACGGAATCAAATGATAAAACTACTTACTGATGAAGAAGAGTTAGTCAATTTTAATTCCCCACAAGGGCTTCTCATCAACGGTGAAGTAGGGTGTGGTAAATCGATGTTAATGGATTTATTTGCAGCAACTTTACCCTATGATAGGAAGATGAGATGGCATTTTAATAACTTCATACTATGGGTGTATAATGAAATCAACAACATCCAGAATGAAAAGATCTTGATCATCAATGCCTATAATGGCTCTAAGGAGGTCAAGTTAAATCTTGAAAATGAATTCATACTATTCGAGATTGCTCAAAAGATGATAAAGAAGAACACCATATTAATGTTGGATGAGTTCATGTTACCTGATATTGCATGTGCCAATATAATCAAAATACTATTCACTTATTATTTCAAATTAGGAGGTGTCTTGGTTGCTACTTCCAATAAGATTCCTGAAGAATTATATTCCAATGAATTCCATAAGAATAAGTTCAAAACTTTTGTTAACATTTTGAACTATAGATGTATACTGGTAGATATGAAATCATCTAAAGATTACAGATTAGAATTTGCTCAAGGCCAACCCAATCATATATCCAAATTACATAATGACGATCATGATGACCAATGGTTAGATTTGATAAAACCAGCTGTAGGCGTCGATACGTCAGATAAAAGACCTATAGAAGATCTTGGAGGTAAACCTAAAGAACTAACTGTTTATAAACGAACCACGGTTATACCCTTGACATTTGGGGAAACTTGTTATTTGGATTTTGACTACATTTGTAAAGGATTATATTCGTCTTCAGATTACATAACCTTGACCTCCAATTTCAAAACTGTCATCATAGATAATGTTCCCACACTAACCACCAAAATGAAAAATGAGGCTAGAAGGTTCATCACTTTACTTGATGCTATATACGAATCTAAGTGTCAATTCTATATCCGAAGTGAAGTTCCAATTGATTATATATTCTTCCCCGATGCAAACAACGATGTTCCTGTAGAGATCAAGAACTTGCTAGATAACATAAATGACAATAATCTTGAAGTGCAAGATGAAGAAATGTTTTCAAAGACAGAAATTGCCTTATCCAATCCGTATAGACCAAATGTGTCAACTTATGATCAGAATCATACCACTGTATTTCAAGAAGAGCCTAAAAAGCCACAATATCGAAGCATGCAGGCGTTTACTGGAGAGGATGAAATGTTTGCCTATAAAAGAGCTGTACTGAGAATAAAAGAGATGGTAGGATCGGAAAAATGGAGACAAAATGATAGATGGGTCCCAATTGATAGTTCCATGAGGCCTTGGGAATCTACTAAGGGCTCCACTTCAAAAGTGGTCCAAGACAGTCTTACTATTGATAAAGTTACTGTCACTAAGCAACAGCTCAAATCTCAATTACCTAGAGATTTAGCCAAAGAGTATAACATTCCATTTCGTAAATTCAACCAATCACTAGCACCTGTCTTTGATCAGTTACAACATTTTTGGACATTTGGCAGATGGAATAGAAACTCCAAAACTAAAGATAAATTTGCGAAATCATGGATTAATTCTTCTCAGAAATAGTTTTAATAAGTTTATTCTATGATTATCTTTGATTCTGAGACCTCTGTTTCTTCGAAAACGGGTCGGTAAATGGACTCCTGGTAGTGTTATCCGATCCGTATCGGTTCAAGTGTATTCATTACGTGATCTAATGAATCTAGAGCTGGAAATTTCTATCGGATAAACCATCCCTATGAGGAAATTTCATGGGTGGGGGTCATGCTTGAAAATTGGCGATCGATTATGAAGCACCCTACTAGAATTCAGGGCTGCTATTCAATTCCACAGGCTAGGTCGAAAGAAACAAATGTAGCTTAATATAGGAGTAAAATAAATATAAATTCTTGTCATACGGGGTACCAAGAATTCTAAGATCAACCTTTGTTGAATGGAAAACGCTTATACCTTTACCCCAGGAAAATATTTCGGCAATTCCAATGCATGATATTTGTCCGTTACCCCAAAACATTATCCAACCACTCCTCTCGAACAACCTCAACCACTATATCTTTGCGGTTGGAATAAACTTTGGGACTTTAACCGAGTGGGGTATGCATTTTGAGGCATGTTATTGAACATGACCTTTGCATCTAAATCCTGAGCACCCCTTTCTTATTATTCCTTGCTTTGTGTGTCTTGGTGTTTCACTCTTAGTATGGTTACTTTCCATGGCTCTATGATTCTGTTACTCTACTACTGTGAGTGCGAGATGTTGGATTTAGAATCAAATCTCATACTCCGAGAATTCTTGAACGAGGAAGTGAAACCTAATTTGAACAGATGGTAATGCCAATCTGTGCAATGCCTTGAATGTTGGAGTATGAAATTGAGGATCGACAACATCAAACCATATGGTGTCTCCTATCTGGAGAACTAATGCCAATCTCCGATGGGGGTGTTTCCGCTAAAGGAAATTTTTCAGGTGGGGGATTTATGGGTGTGTAGCCAATTAACTGCCAATACCAACGATTTATACTACCGCACGATTCGTTTGACCATCAATTAGTTAGTAAGAAGGTCTGAGGGTTATCAGTTTTTCCGCACTAATTAGGTAACTTTTCCATTTTATGGGGATTAATTCCGATAAATTTTAAGTTAGAGTGGTGTATAAAAAGATCTGTTTATACCCCATAATTTTACAAATTTCAACAATTGAAACACAATGAACGATTTTAATGTTGAGGAAGTTTTGGAGAAGTTAACCATCTTCGAAAAGATTGGTTTACTTGCCGGAATTGACTTCTGGCATACTTTTCCAGTTGAAAGATTAGATATCCCATCTTTAAGAATGAGTGACGGACCCAATGGTACTAGAGGTACCAAGTTTTTTGATGGTGTTCCTGCTGCTTGTTTCCCATGTGGAACTGGTTTAGCTGCTACTTTCAATAAAGATTTATTAGTCAAAGCCGGTAAATTAATGGGTGTTGAAGCTAAACATAAAGGTTCTCATATTATCTTGGGTCCTACCACTAACATGCAAAGAGGTCCTTTAGGTGGAAGAGGTTTCGAAAGTTTTTCTGAAGATCCTTATTTAGCTGGTCAAGCTTCAGTTAGTATTATTAAAGGTATTCAAGACGAAGATATCGCTGCTACTATCAAACATTTCGTTTGTAATGATTTGGAAGATCAAAGAAACTCCAGTGACTCAATTCTTAGTGAAAGAGCTTTAAGAGAAATTTACTTGGAACCTTTCAGATTAGCTGTCAAATATTCTGATCCAAAATGTTTCATGACTGCTTATAACAAAGTTAATGGAACCCATGTTTCAAACAACAAGAAAATCTTAGATGACATCTTAAGAAAAGAATGGGGTTGGGATGGTTTGATCATGTCCGATTGGTTTGGTACTTATACTACCAAAGCTGGAATTGAAGCTGGTTTAGATATTGAAATGCCTGGTCCAACCATTCATAGAGGTACTAACGCTGTTAAACACATGATTGATTCAAAAGAATTACACATCTCAGATCTTGATGCTAGAGTCAAAAATGTCTTGAATTTAATCAAATTTTGTAAAACCTCAGGTGTGCCAGGAGGAGCTCCTGAAGATACTGAAAACAACACTCCTGAAACTTCAAAAACTTTATTAGATGTTGCTAAAGAATCAATTGTCTTATTGAAAAATGAAGACAATATCTTACCATTGAAGAAAGATGAAAAAATCGCAGTTATCGGTCCTAATGCCAAATATGCTGCTTATTGTGGTGGTGGATCTGCTGCTTTAAGACCTTATTATACTACTTCACCTTATCAAGGTATTGTTAAGAAAGCTGGTTCCGATGTTGCTTACACTGTTGGTGCTTACGCTCATAAATCATTACCATCTTTATCTAATCAATTAATTAACCCAGATACTAAAGAAACTGGTTACAAAATGAAATTCTTCAAGAAGCCTGCTGAACATAAAGGTGATAGAGAACAATTTGATGAATATGATTATGATTTCTCATTTGTTTTCTTAGCCGATTACAAGAGTGATAAAATCGATACCAGTTTATACTATGTTGATATCGAAGGTGATTTCACTGCTGAAGAAGATGGAGATTATGAATTTGGTTTAACCGTTCAAGGTACTGCTTTGTTATATGTTGATGGTAAATTAATTGTTGACAATAAGACCAAACAAGAAAAAGGTGAAGCATTCTTCAATGCTGGATCCACTGAAAAGACCAATACTACTCCTTTGAAAAAAGGTCAAACTTATAGAGTTAGAGTTGAGTTTGGATCTGCCCCTACTTTTACAGCTAAAACTGATGATCAAGTTGATTTCGGTGGTGGTGGTGGTTTATTCTTCGGATGTGCCAAAGTCATTGATGCCGATGAAGAAATTAAAAAAGCTGCTGAATTGGCCAAATCTGTTGATAAAGTTGTTTTATCCATTGGTTTGAATCAAGAATGGGAAAGTGAAGGTTATGACAGAGAAAATATGGAATTACCTTTAAGAACCAATGATTTAGTTGCTGCTGTTTTAAAAGCTAATCCAAACACTGTTATTGTTAATCAATCAGGTACTCCAGTTGAGATGCCATGGATCAAAGATGCTAAGGCTTTAGTTCAAGCTTGGTATGGTGGTAATGAAGGTGGTAATGCTATTGCCGAAATCTTATTCGGTGATTATAACCCAAGTGGTAAATTATCATTGAGTTTCCCATTCAAAAACATCGATAATCCAGCCTACCTTAACTTCAAAACTGAAGCTGGTAGAGTCTTATATGGTGAAGATATCTTCATTGGTTATAGATACTATGAGAAATTACAAAAATCAGTTGCTTTCCCATTCGGTTTTGGTTTATCATTCACTGATTACGAATATTCAAACTTGAAAGTTTCAGTTGATGAAGCTAGTGATAAATTAGAAGCTTCAGTTGATGTTAAGAATGTTGGTAAAATTGATGGTGATGAAGTTGTTCAATTATATGTTAGACATAATGAACCAACAATCATCAAACCAGTTAAAGAATTGAAAGGATTTGAAAAAGTTTCCATCAAAGCCGGTTCTTCTGTTACTGTTAAATTTTCATTATCATTAAAAGATTCAGTTTCTTATTTCAATGAATACCATAATAAATGGCATGTTGAAAAAGGTGATTATGAAGTTCAAGTTGGTAAATCAAGTGATGATATTGAATTAATTGAGAAATTCGAAGTCACCAAAGAAAAATTCTGGTTAGGTTTATAAACTAATAGATTTAGTTGCAAAAATAAAAAGATCTTTCTCTCGGACATTGCCCTATTGAGTAATTATTCTTCGCGATCCACCGGCACTAATTCTAACCGTGTCGGTACCAGGTCTTGGAAGGAATATTTGTGTTTCACCGCGCGAAGTTTTTTTCATGACGTTATTCCTCGGTAAAACAAAATCATAGTCACTACCACGGTTAAAGTTTACCCCAGATTAACTAATCAATAATCAAAACTCACATTCATGAAGTTTCTAACCATTTAAACCCATCAAATACTATTTAAGAGATCTGATAGACTTCCTTCTGGTCAATTGATAGTTTAAAACGTCGTTGATACCTTTCTAGCTCATTGCCTGTCTTCCCTTCATCTGATAAGGTCGCATTTATCTTATCAAATGACAAATTTTCATCATCTTTCAATTCGTTCAAACTCAAGGAATTCTCTTCCATAATGTTACCCATATGTATATTATAACCTTCTAGTAACAGCCGTAACGTAAAATCCCTATATCCAGGGAATTTTAACTGTGTAAATAGAATTTTTTGTCATTCCTGTGATTTTTCACACCCCCCGCAAGTCAAATGAAAATTGAGGAAAAATCTTTATAAATTGGAAGAATCCACAATAAAATTTTTTTATAAAGATAATTTACAAACTTCCAAAATGTCACAATTATCATTTAAAGACAAAGTTGTTGTTGTTACTGGTGCAGGTGGTGGATTAGGAAAACATTATTGTTTAGAATTCGCCAAAAGAGGTGCCAAAGTTGTGGTCAATGATTTAGGTGGTTCATTATCAGGTCAAGGTGGTGGTTCAAAAGCTGCTGATATAGTTGTTGATGAAATCAAAGCTGCCGGTGGTGTCGCCGTAGCTGATTACAACAATGTTTTAGATGGTGATAAAATCATTGAAACTGCTGTCAAGGCTTTTGGTACTGTTCATGTTTTAATCAATAATGCTGGTATTTTAAGAGATGCTCAATTCAAAAAAATGGAAGAAAAAGATTTCCAATTGGTCATTGATGTTCATGTTAATGGTGCTTATAAAGCCACTCAAGCTGCTTGGCCATATTTCAGAAAACAAAAGTTCGGTAGAATTATCAATACTGCTTCCCCAGCTGGTTTATATGGTAACTTCGGTCAAGCTAATTATTCGGCTGCTAAATCAGGTTTAATTGGTTTTGCTGAAACTTTAGCTAAAGAAGGTGACAAATATAATATTCATGCTAATGTCATTGCTCCTTTAGCCAGATCAAGAATGACTGAAAATATTTTACCTGAATCTGTCTTGGAACAATTAGGTCCAGATAAAATTGCTCCTTTAGTTTTATTCTTATCTCATGATGAAAGTGATGCTAATGGTCAAATTTTCGAATTAGCTGCTGGTTTCTATTCTCAAATTAGATGGCAAAGATCTGGTGGTGCTTTATTCAAACCAGGTAAAGATTTCACCGCTGAATTAGTTGGTAAGAAATTTGAAGAAATTATGGATTTTGATGATTCTTCAAAACCTGAACTCTTAAAGAATACAACTCCTCAAATGTTAAATGATTATAATAACTTAAACAAAGCTGCCAGAGAATTATCAGGTAATGATTTATCTGGAGCTTCTGCCGTTTCATTAAAAGATAAAGTTGTCTTAATTACTGGTGCTGGTGCCGGTTTAGGTAGAGATTATGCTTTATTCTTTGCTAAATATGGTGCTAAAGTTGTTGTTAATGATTTTGCTGATCCATCAAAAGTTGTTGAAGAAATCAAAGCTGCTGGTGGTGAAGCTCATGGTGATAAACATGATGTTGCTACTCAATCAAAAGATATTATTGATAACGTTATTAACAAATATGGTACTATTGATGTATTAGTCAATAATGCAGGTATCTTGAGAGACAAATCTTTTGCTAAAATGACTGACAAAGAATGGGATCAAGTTCAAAAAGTTCATTTAAATGGTACTTTCAATTTAACTAGATTAGCTTGGCCACACATGTTAGAAAAGAAATTCGGTAGAATTGTTAATATTACTTCAACTTCAGGTATTTACGGTAACTTCGGTCAAGCCAATTATGCTACTGCCAAATGTGCTATCATTGGTTTTACTAGAACCATTGCCATTGAAGGTGCTAAAAACAATATTAAAGCTAATGTTGTTGCCCCTCATGCTGAAACTGCTATGACTTTAACTGTTTTCAGTGAAGATGATAAAAACTTATATCCTCCTGAATTAGTTGCTCCATTATTAGTATTCTTATCATCTGAAGAAGTACCAGTCACTGGTGAATTATTCGAAGGTGGTGGTGGTTGGTTCGGTAACACCAGATGGGAAAGATCTAAAGGGGTTGTCTGTAAAGATAAAGTTGTTACTCCAGAATTCATTAGAGATAATTATGAAAAGATTATTGATTTCACTGAATCAACTAATCCAAAATCTACCACTGAATCTTCAATGGAAATCTTATCTCAAGTCGAAGGAGATGATGATGAAGAAGAAGAGGAAGAAGAAGATGACGATGATGAAGATGAAGAAGATCCAATCTTCCATTATAATGAAAGAGATGTTATCTTATATAACATTGCTATTGGATCTAAAGCCAGTGAATTGAAATACGTTTATGAAAACGATTCTGATTTCCAAGTTATTCCAACATTTGGTCATTTAGCTACTTTCAATTCAACTGCTTCCCAATTATCTTTTGCCAAATTATTAAAGAACTTCAACCCAATGTTATTATTACACGGTGAACACTATATTAAATTGGAGCAATTCCCAATCCCAACTGAAGCTAAGGTTAAAACTACTTTTTCACCATTAGCTGTTACCCAAAAAGGTACCAACACTGTTGTTGTTCATGGATCACAATCAGTTGATGCTGAAACTGGTGAAAAAATCTTCAGTAATGAAGCCACTTTCTTTATCAGAAATTGTGAAGGTGAAACTAAAACTTATGGTGAACGTAAGACTTTTGCTACTTCACAATTTGTTGCACCAAAATCTCAACCAGATTTTACTACTGAAATCAAAATTTCAGAAGATCAAGCTGCTTTATATAGATTAACAGGTGACAGAAATCCATTACATATTGATCCAGCTTTTGCTGCTGGTGCTAAATTTGATAAACCAATTTTACATGGTATGTGTACTTATGGTTTAAGTGCTAAGGTTTTATTGGACCAATTTGGTGATTTCAATGAAATTAAAGCAAGATTTACCGGTATTGTCTTCCCAGGTGAAACTTTGAAAGTTTTAGCTTGGAAACAAGGTGATGTTGTTATTTTCCAAACTCACGTTGTTGAAAGAGGTACCATTGCCATTAATAATGCTGCTATCAAATTGATTTCCGATAAACCAAAAATTTAAGTAATTGAGTTTCTTATGATAAATGTTCTGTATTATTTTTTTTCTATTCATTTCTTGATTTCTTTTCATTCTGACAGGCACATTCTCCTATTCGTTTTTCTACAAACCGTTAGAGAAGGTTCGTAATGAAACACCTCATCAAAATTCGTGTTACATCAATTATGCGCTATTACTTAATGGTGAAAAATATATATTTTGAAAATGCTTAAGTTGCCCTGAATTGATGCCGTGGTGTTTGTTTTAGTATAATTATTTAACTGATAGCTAAAACAGTATCCTGAAATCGTTTGCAGGCTTTTGCCTGTTTTGTCAACTGCAAGATCCTTTTCGGTAAAATATTTATTATTTCCATTGCATCATAAACTCGTTTAAACCCTGCATTATAAGGTTTGTTTCAACAAGAATGATGTGAACAGTTGTTTGCGGAATTAATCCCACTATATCAAAATCAGTGTATTCTTCTTCAATTACACACAATGGAACATTTCACTTACATTGTTAATAATAGGAAACATCTGTTGATGTGATAACAATAGACATACAGTAAACAATCACGAACCCTTACTATCGCGAAATATAAACACCTCTAACAGTTGAAAACCTGGAATTGCCATGGAAACAATCGCATAATCCCATGGAAACAAAGTTTGTGAAGTCGCTGAAGGAGTAGTGTTAAATTATAAGATTATGTATTAATAAGATTATGTAACTAACCAGTAGTTTAGAATTTCTTATCATAAGGTAAAAATTCAACAGGAGCATCATTGATAGGATCGATGGAATTCATTGAAACTGATGTCAAAGTTGAAATTGGGGTTGGCAAGGGTGTCATGTTTGATAAAGGTGATGAAACCACGGGCGAAGAATGAATAAAACTTAATGATTGACTGTGACCATTACTAATGGATTTGTTTCTTGAATGATTTCTTGAATGATTCAAAGTTCTTGAATTATTTCTCGAATGGGTATTATTAGTATTAATGGTAAGGGACTTTAATCTCCTTGGAGAACTTTGTGGGAATGTAAAATCTTTCTTCTTTTTCTTTAAACTTGAACTTGAATTTGATCTACTGTGAGTTTTTGGTACATTAAAACTTAATGTTGTGGAAGAATTATTTGATTGGGTATTCAAAGTGGAAATTTGTGAATTATTACTTGATGAGAAGAATTCATTCATTTCCATTATGGGACTATTTGAAATTGAAACTGAATCACTCGATTCATTTGATGAAAATGTTGATAATTCACTTAATGAACTGTTTAATGAATTAATTGAATTTGAAGATTTATTTAATCCGAAATTCAAAATTGGTGGTTGAAATTCTTCCATTAAATTGGAATATGAATTAATATTGGAATTTGAAGTAGCATTATCAAAATTTAAGAAATTTGATTCACCATGATCATTATGATCATCAAAACAATATGTTGATGCCCTTGTTAATGATAAAGTGATGGACTTTTGCCTCTTCAAAATCTTCAAGTTCTCTGAATGGGACGTGATAGTAGTATAACTATTTGATCTTAAATGATTATAATTATTGGATTTGGCTAATGACTTGTATTTTTCTAACTCAGGAGATTTCTTATTCATTTCAATGTAATTTTGTGGGAAACATTCAATTTTATATTTTTCAAAGAACTTCTTGTACCCACCTTGTAAGATAAGTATATCGGGATAATTTAAATTTGGATAATTATTCAAATTTAAAATTCTATCACATTTTCTTAAATGCTGAGCCATAGTTGGACCCCTGAATAAACTGAACTCACAATGGAAAATCAATAATTTCTTCCCGTTAGTTTCAGGTTCAACATTGTTAATAAACAACTCTTCTAATTCATCTTGTTTAGAAATATTGATAGCATTTTTGATATGCCCACCATTAAATTCGTAATCAAATCTACAATCAATGATTACAATATCTTTAAAGTTGTGTTCGAAACCATCATTAATCAATTTGAATAAAGAATCTTCATCAATTCTAGGAATCAAGTCATTTTCTAATTTAAAAGTTTTAATGTTTGATTGTTTCAAAATTGAATTGTCTTTCAAGATTATATCTTTCTCTTTATTAGTATGATACATAGAATGAAATCTTCGAAGCTTTAAAGGAGTCTTTGACCCTTTAAGAACACTATCGAATTGATCATAATTTTCTTCATCTCCTTCACGTTCATGTTCATGATCACTTTCTTCATCGTCACCATCTTCTTCATATTTGTAAAGATCTTTCAATATATCTTTATCATGCGTTGTATTGTTTGTATCGTCAAGTTTATCATTATAATCTTTTTCATCATCTTCGGTGTCACTATCTATAATAGTAGATGCAGTGTCATCATTCTCTTTATTTTCATCATCTTTACTTCTAGTAATCAATTTCTTAGTTGATTTTGTAATTCTTTTACCTAAATTAACTATGTTAGTTAAGTTTTTGAAAGTATTACTGTTACTTTTTAATGCAGAAAAATCTTTAAAGGATTTCCTTTTACTGATGGGAGAATCAAATTCATCATCGATTTCACTATCGAAATCAAATTTTTTCTGTTGATTTTGTAAATAATTATCTACCTTATTACTAGGCAATTCGAAATAACTACTTAAAGGTCTATCTCTTTTATTATCAATGGGTGATAACAATTTTTTATCTAACATTTCTCTGTTGATTGCTATTTTAGATAAATATTTTTGTTTAATGCTAATGAAAAAATAATGATTTTAACTGTGGAGAGTCTTATTAATAAATTTAAGGAATGAATGGACTGAATGAATAGGTCTAACGAGTGATTATTAAAAAAAATTGGTATAAATGAATGACTAGGGAATTAAAGCAACGAAATGAACTTCCCAACTATTAAGATAAGATTATTAAATTTAATTAAAAATTAAAGCACTCACTCAATAATCAGATTAGTTTTCTATCAATGAATAACACTGGGGGGATTCAGGTTAGTATTAAGATAATTATATAAAATCGATTAAAAATGTGACTATGTGGAATCTCAAATATTAAATACTGAGAGGATTTTTTTTAGGAAAGTGAAACCCTCTTAAAACGAATTTCACACAAAAAAGGTTACAATTGATCCTGTCCGGAACATTTTGGACCTGTCGAATCTTGACTTTGTTCGAAAATTATTTCTTTATCAGTAGACACATGATGATTGTGGTTTTGCAACCAGATGGTAATTTTGACTGTTTAAGAGGTTATAGCAACACAATCTATGAAATTTTATGAAACCATTTGAAATTTTCGGATAATAGAATCAAGCTTTCAATCCAAAGTTTGAATTCAAGAGGTTCGCTCAGAGATCAAATCATTTAAATACCAAAGTCAGGACCTTTTCAACTCAAACATGAAATGTAAATAGAGCAACTATTTCACTTTGGAGAATAGGTTTTGAATCTTTCCACTTACCTAAATTGAAAAACCCCCGAACTTCTTAGCCAATTTCTTGAAGAATTTCTTTTTCACTTCCACCTAAAGATGAAATGCAAATGTGGAGTTGACAAATTTTGTCTATTGTTCCACAATAATAATTCTTGTTGGCCATGATCATCATCATATGTTATTGTTTTGTGTTTGACCACTTATTGATTTTAACATTCCCTGTTTTCAAATAACGCCAGATTCATATAGAATCATCTTATTGGGTGACTCGCCTTGATCAAGTTATCTCCTTCTAAAGGTTTAGTGTTAAACTCTATAATCTAAAAGACATTGCTCTACCACGCAAACGCGCATTTCAATATTTGTTTATAAAATTCCAAATCAGGTAACTCGCAAATTTCAAAAAGAACAGTTGATATACCGGAAGCTTTTGAGTTTAAACAAATTGGCAATGATTTACTTACTAAATCAACGTTAATGGTCATTTAAACTTTCAGGACTCAGAAATGATTCTAATAAAAGATTTATGCGTAGTCGATAACGTTTCAGGTTAGGTCAGATTTTCCAAATTTTAGCTTTATTTTTCTTACGCCAACCTCATTCCTCAATAAGGTAACTCATCGAAAGTGAAAATTTCATTCAAGTGGTGGTGCTTTTTCGTTTGTTGTGCCTCTCGTTTATGGAACGGTATTTCTTTTTCTAACTCCATTGAACGTTTCCGAAGTCTGACAAATCCCGATTAATCATCTTTCCAACTGCAGTTCCGAGGAACCTTCTCCTATTTTACTGCACAGGTCCTGAGATTTTTGCTGCTTCAAATTCACACTCATTACTTTCCAATAATTCATTCCTAGATCCATTTCTATTACTTGGTACTCATCCCATTACCAATCCCAAAACATTGAATTTTCTCCATTAATCATTGATTCCAAATAAAACCTGTTCAATCTTGATTCAGTACCTGAACACCCTATCTATTATTCCATCCTATTATGTTTCATTAGCCGAAATATTGATGAGTTTTTTTGGCACCTTTTACTAGATAAATCCCGAATCAACGGGGTTAAAATACTGGGTTCTAAATCCTCGTCTAATCTTACAATAAGATATCATCTTGTATTACTTGTTTTATTATCCTAATTACTTTACTGTTTATGGTTTTTGAGTTGAGTTATCTCGTCAAAACCTGGAATTTCAATTATCCTTTTAATTGAATAATAGACAAGCTTTTGAACAATTGATCTACTTTATTATCGTTATAAAAGTCTAATAATGTGTCGTTTCAAAAGACAATAATCTATGAAATTGGGACAATCATTATTGTTCTAAGTCAACGGGAGATCCTTTGTTGCAAATATTCTTACATTGAGGTCATGACGGAACTTCACCGTATGACCGAGCTCTAGAGTTAAACGAAGAGTTTACACTTCATGATTCATTAATCTAACCTATCTAAATAATCGCTCATATCTTTATATTTGTTATGAGGCTCCAAAACAAATGTTGAGTCTGCTTCCAGAGCTATCAGTTCGTCATCACTATCTTGATAATTATTGTTAACTTGATATGGATATTTGATTTTGTTTTGATTTTGATTTTGTTCATTGGTGCTTTTGTCTTCGACTTCTGATTCTGGCTCAGAAGTGGTGGGTGATTCTGGTGAATCAGTTAAATATGCATTTAAATTCAAAGAACTACTGGAACTAGTAATTCTCATCAATGGTGAATTGAAACTGTTTTGTCTTGGTCTAAACAAACTTGGCGGTTCTAATATTTGATTGTCATTATTCTTCGTTAAAGAACTAATTGTATGGTTTTGATTACCCGATTTGGTTTCCATACTCTTGATCTTTTCGAAAAAGTTTCTTGTTGGACTATACATGGAATTTGAATTGGGTCCAATGGTCACCGTCACATTGGAACTCAATGAGATAGGTGACGAAGTTAATACTGACATTGGTGATGATGACAAATTCAATGGAGGTGGTCTAAAAGACCTGTCAATTTCATCTAATTTACTGAAAGATCCATGCCTGCTGAATGTAGGTTTGTCCGGAGTCTTCAAATCAAATGAGCTTCTGGAAACCCCATTTGAACTGCTATAAACCATATTATTGGGTTGGATAAAGTGGTCATTGATGGTTATGTTATCAATTACTTCAACTTCTTCTTCATGGTCTTCATAGTCTGAGGAATCATCAAAATAACTTTCTAATAAATCGTCCACAGGTTCCAAATCCACCAACTGTTGTGGATCCGTCACAGAAACTTTCACTGGAGCAATGCTTGAGAAAGGTTTACCACCAAAGAACTTTTTGATCTTATTCGAGAAATCCAACTGTTTATCGATAAAATTGTTATTGAAGTTTTTGAAGATAATCGATTCTTTTAAGGTCAAATCAAAAGTAGTGAAGTCGTGATTCTTGATCTCCTGTAATGAATATCTCTTATTAGGATCCTTGTTCAAGATCTTTATAATAAGGTTTTGAAGTAATTTGAATTCTTGCAAGTCTTTCCCTTCGATCTTTAAATTCAACTTTGGGAACTTCACATCTTTATTAACAATATTCTTGAATAAGCTGAACTCATTTTTCCCATTAAAAGGTAAATCATTGAATATTAAACAATAAAGTATCACCCCTAATGACCAAATATCTATCCTTTTATCAATCTTTATCTTTCTTTCGTTGTCATTAATCATACTTAATCTATTATTTACAAATTGGCATAACTCCGGAGCATAGAATGCTGGCGTTCCCATGGTCTTTCCCAATTCCTTGGAATCATTGGCATTATTCTCTAAGATCAAACTCACACCGAAATCACTAATCTTTATTGTCTTATCTTGAGATATCAATAAATTCGATGGCTTCAAATCTCTATGAATTATACCTTTATATTCGTGCAAATATTCCAAACCGTTCGAAACATCTCTTAGTATTTTGTTCAAAGTCAATCCTTGGGTCTTGTTCTTTTCATTGTAATGATTGTAAAGTTTCCAGTCGATTTCTCCTAGTGAACAATACTCTATTACCAATAATATTTTGTCGTATTTCAAATCATCTATAACCTGGTATAATTTAACAACGTTGGGATGGTCACATTCTTTCATTATTTGAATTTCTCTTTTGATTTTTATGGTATGACTTAAGTAAGTCTTAGTAATCAATTTTGTTTTATCTATCCTATTTATCGTCTTGATCGCTATCATCTCACCGTTTTTCTTTTTTGACAACATTACTTTCCCGAATTGACCTTCTCCTACCTTTCGTATGATCTCATACTCACTATTGATGATCTTCTTGCCATTGGAATTTGATATATGCAAAGTATTAATATCCATTCGTTAGGTTTAAATCAACGCGCTGCGCGGAACTGAATAGCTCATCCCCAGATTAATCACCTTTGTCTAGCTTACTGCCAACGATAATTTAATATAGGAATCGACGACTACAATTGGAGGAAATTTTCAACAACTATATAGTGGCAATTTTTCAGATGACTTTAGTGAAAGAACTCATCAATAGTATAAAAGCCAATCAAAAGATCATCAAACCTTCTAAACCATTGGTTTGGATTGATTGTGAGATGACAGGTTTGAATATCACCAAAGACTATATAATCGAAATTTGTTGTATTATCACAGATGGTAAATTGAATATCATAGATGAAAAAGGCTATGAATCCACAGTTTATTATGATGATTCAGTTTTATCGACTATGAATGATTGGTGTCAGGAACATCATAGAAAATCAGGACTTTATGACAAAGTATTGAATAATCCACAAAGATCTTTGAGTATTGTCCAAGATGAACTCTTGGAGTATATCAAGAAATATGTTGACCCAAATAAAGGTATTTTATCAGGTAACTCAGTTCATATGGATAAGTTTTTCATGCAGAAAGATTTCCCAAAAGTCATCGATTACTTGCATTACAGGTTAGTAGATGTGAGTTCTATCATGGAAGTTGGGAACAGACATAATCCAAAGTTAATGCAATTCCAACCAAAGAAAATCAAAGATCATACTGCAAAACTGGATATTTTGGAGAGTATTGGTCAATTGAAATGGTTTCAAGAAAACTATCTTAAGTCGGAACAAGAATCACAATCATTGATCCAAAAATATGAGAAGGAACGGGATGAAGAGTTTGCCACGAAATCCTAATGTTCATCAGCTTAGTATACCCAATTTCATAATTTCTTATTACAACTCTTGTTACGTATTGCCTCTTATTCAGCTTGATTGATTGCACTCTTTGATCTCTTACTGAGAAGTAACCTCTTTTACCAAAAATTGATTCCTGCATGGGATTTTTTTTAAATATCTTTTTTTTGATTATTTTAGTAAAATTCACACTTCATACAATTTTATGTGAAGAGCAAAAAATAGTTAAAAAAAAAAGTTCATAAAATTTTTTATTACTATACACTACTTATCATTATCACTTTCGATGGCTTCATCATTCTTATAAATTTTGAACTTTTGAATACAAGCCTTCAAATTGTTATAATCAACAGGTTTCTCTAGAACATAATCAAATTGACCACTTTGAACAGCCTCTTTGGCGAAGGAAGTTATAGCGATAATTGGGGTACTTGAGTTAATACCTTGAGTATGTTTGATCAACTTGATTGCGTCAACACCCCCGATTTTTGGAAGCTTCAACGCAGTGAAAATCAAATCAAATTTGACTTGACTGGTTGCTCTCCTGATCAAATCATCCCCATCATTTACTGTGACTACCACACATCCCATTTTCTCAAATAACTTATAGTTCATATGTCTCACGATGGGAATAGCCTCACAATATAGGATATCCAATTCATTCATATCAACGACTTGACGTCTAGAACTTTCTCTTCTTTTTTGAACTCTTAATAAGGCTTTACTATTATCTTCAGTATCAGAAGAACTGGCAGAATCTTTGAATTTTAATGATGATCCACTTGACCTATGTCTTATTGGGAAAGGATGATGTGGATGAGGAGAATGTTGGCCAATAGGTGTCAATATGCTAGCATGTGGATTTAAGTTAGAATTCATATAAGATGGTGATACCAATGGGGGTTGGCTCAACAGTTCGGTTGGTGTAAGCTTTCCAAACTCTGGCAAGTCATCATCTGTGGTAGGCCTGAAATGAGGACTTCCAAATTCTCTCATTGGAGACGGTGCTCTATTAGCCAATATGATAGGTGACACTGGCCTTTTGAATGGAGAAGAGTCTTTAAATCCTGGATTTGTTGGTGTATCAGGAGGTAGCAAGTTATTAGCACTCCAATTGGTGATGCCCATTCCCACATTAGAACTTGGTCCCGAAATTGAATTGTGATTGGAACTCGTCATTGAGCCAGACGATGTAGAATTTGTAGGAACAACATTGAGACTCGGAGAGCTCGATTGTTGGGTTACTGAAGGTCCTACGTTGACGCTAGATTGACCGAATGAAAAACCTCTTTGTCTACTAGGCGTTGACTCCGATGAAGAAGAAGAATAACTCCTTTCTAAATGCTCGTTTTTCAATCTATTGATGACATCCTTATTGGCTTTTTCTAAGATATTCAAGTTTCTAAAATAAAATGATCCAAATTCACTAGGATCTGATAATTTACTTCCTCTACGCTCTTTCTTAGTGTTCACGCTTCCGCTTCGACTGGTGCTATTAGTGTTAGTCAAGGTTGGGACAACCCCACCCATTCCACTGATACTTCCATGTCTACTTCCATTTCTACTTCCCCCTCTACTTCCTTTATCACTACCATTACCACCAAAACTACTGATGCTTATTTCACTGTTCAAGGAATTTATACTATTGATTCTTTTGTCACTTCTCAAACTGTTGACCCTGGTTGCATTATTACTACCACTACCGTTATGATTGGCTATGGCGTTTTCAGTTTCATTATTTTTCTGATCATCATCACTGGAGTCATCCTTAGGGAAATGGGAGATGTCAGCACCCCTTTGATCAAAATAGTCAGTCGATTCAGGGTCATCCAAATTTGGTATAAAGGAAGGAATTTGGTTGAACAAGTTATCCCAATCGATTCCTTTAAAATAAGGATGTCCTTTGATTTCATCGGACCCACCATAACCCAATCTATTCTCTGGATCCACTGTCAACAATTTTGTAATCAAATCCCTAGATACCGGTGGACAAATTCTATTAAAATCATCTGGCTCCAAAGGTGGCCAGTCTATTTCACCGGACAAGATGTTGTTAAACACCTGCTGAGGAGTGGAAGCGTGGAATGGCGGATATCCAAACAAGAATTCGAACATTATGCAACCTAATGACCACCAATCTGATGCTTCACTTTGTCCATCACCTCTGATAGTTTCTGGGGCTAAATAATCAGGTGTACCTACGAACTTGATATCACTAGTGACAGTTTCATTGTTGGTCTTCGGGTCATAGATGGTGAATGAATTCACGATTTCATTCTGGGACGGCGATGGCATGTCATCATCAACTAATACAAATGATGTTTCTGATGCAGTTCTTGGAATACATGGTTTCAAGTTGGGAGAGTCTATACTCAGAATGGAACCCCCACCACCACCGCTTGTATTAGATCTCAAAGGTATAGACTTCTCAACAGTCGAAGGAGAAGTACCATATACTTTATGATGCTCGATTGATGGTGACAAAGAAAATGGTGTAACACTACTGGTTCTTTTATGGTCACCCAAAGGAGAGTCACTGAAGACCGCACTGGTAGGAGTTTGAGAACCAAATGAGTGTTGATTTAATTGGAGACTTTTCCGGAAATATTCAATTCCATGTTCTGAACTACTGCTCTTCCTTTGGAGCCTGTTTTGTCTTCCTATAACACCCACTCTACTCAAACCAAAGTCAGTTAATTTCAAATGTCCGTTAGAATCAATCAAAAGATTATCTGGTTTCAAATCTCTATGAATGATACCTCTTTGGTGTAAATCACTTACACCGACAATGACTTCAGCAACGTATCTTTTGGTCCAATCATTTTCCAATGTACCCAACATTTTGATCAATGTAGCAACATCTCCTCCGTTCAAATATTCCATTACTAAATAGAGGTAATTGTTACTTTGGAATGAATTGTACAATTGGGCAACATATGGGGAGTCTGATTGTTTCATCATAACAGCTCTCTCACTCTTTACATTCAAGACTTGATTTTTGGCTATCATATCTGATTTTTTCAAACATTTAATTGCAACATAATCACCTGTTAACTTCCTTTTGGCTAAGAAAACTGAGCCAAATGCCCCCTTACTGATAGCTTTTAAGATTTCGTAATCCTTGATTGAACCTGTCGGAGGCTTCGTCGTCGGGGTTTGACTAACAAGCAACGGCGACAAAGGTGGCTTTATTTTCGAATTTAAGATTGACTTGTCATCAAATCCTACACTACCTCTTCGAGATACGCTTTGCATATGTAGAGGGATCGATCCGTGATGTTGAGGATGAAATGGTAAATTATGTGGTTGATTAGGAGTCTGCTGACCTGATGCTGATGGGGAAAGAAAGTTAGGATTCGAATTTGAGTTCGAATGGGACGAATTGGAATGACTAGAACCCGTAGTAAAGTGTGAAATCAACGGACTAGATGAAGGGGTATTTCTCTGGAATGATGAAAAGTTTCCTTGGTAAGTATTTATAGGGGAAACTCCTCTTTTTGGACTTGAATAAACATCCTTCTTTAAGGACAAATCGTTCATGCCTTCGATCATGTCCTTGGATGATTTTGAGGATACTGAACTAACAGAATTAGAAGATCTTGGGATTTCAACAAACGAAGATCTACCTCTCAAAAGAATATCTTTTGGCGTTACGGATGTGATCGATGGTGGGGGTTGTAAATTATAAGGGTTTGAAAAATTACTCTGAAGATTGGAATCATCCATTGTGATGTTATCTAACAATGGAGAATCGGTGGTGGCAGGTAAATTGTTCCTAGGAGAGCCAAATTGATATTCCGTTGGTGAATTCAATGAAAGGCTCCCATTTACATTCTCATTCAATTGGGACACAGTACTAGCGACTGATTGTAAAACCAATTCGTCAACTTCTTTCTTGATTTTCTCCGATATTTTCAACACGGAGTATAATCTTGACAAGGTATCGATTTTATCATTAATTAATCGTTGCGTGTCTTCGATTATCAACTTGATAGATTTGTCAGTGGTTTCAAAAGGTTTAAAATTAAGTATTGTATTAATGGATTTCTCAGTATTTGGACTGAACTTAATTTCACCATCTTCATCAACTTCAATGGGATTAATTGTCAAAGCTTCGTCACATAAATCAACTAATCTGGATAATATTCCAAAGGGGAATCTTTTAATTGGTAGTATCAGCTTCGAAGTATCGACCACATTCATAGGAGTGAAAACTGGTGATGGAGGATTGGATCCTGGATTAGACCCCGGATTTGAGCCATGTTGGGAACTATTATTAGAGCTATGCTGAGGAGCCAATAAACTGGGTAAAGGGATTCCCTTATAATCTGTTACAAGTGACGACATTGAATCATTAAGGGAATTTTGTGAAGAATTTGGCAGCACAGGATTATAACTCTGATAATATAAACTTTCATAAATTTTCAAAATCTGATCTTTTTGTTCACTAATTAAATCATGACAAATCTGCAAGTCTTCAGTAGTTCTATGTTCAACAAAGCACAAGTCGCTATGTTTCTCCATAAACCAACTTTGAATTTGTTGTTCACAAATTCTACATAAAATGGTTTGAGGTTGAGGGACTAAATTGACATCGCCGATATTAGCATCAGTAAGTTCCTTGAGATAAGTTTCAAATAATTGGGAACCAAACCCTAATAAATCTATCAATCTTTCGGGTATACTAAGTTGTAAATCAATCGGTATATAAGGCTTAACAGTCCAAATTGAATGAGTGGGTAGGTTTTTTGAATCATGGATTAAAATACCTTGGGCTTCTAATTCTATTATATCTCCATTATTTGACAATTTTGACGAAGTATCACTACTAGCGTCATCAATGTCGATAACTTCAGTATCAAAATCGGCCTCGTCCAAAGCCTCAGTTTTCAAATCATAATCCATGATACTATCGTTAATATTGGTTTGTGAATTATTGGGTGTGTCGTTGATGTCATATTCAACTACGGATTGATCATTTGTTGCCGTTATAAATCTGACCTTGTAACTGTCATCGTCTTTTATCATCTGTTCTGTGGCATTATTGAATACTTTAACATCGTTTTCATTACCTATTATAAAATTAGATATAGGCTTCGATATCAACTTTTTAGTCTTTGTACCAACTATCAACTCCCAATTCTTACTCAAATATTTAATATTACAATCCAAATCCAATTCCAAGACTGCCGTAGGATTATTAGAAGAAGCTAATGTTAAATCAATTTGTTCTTGTAATAAGTCGTTAAATTGCTTGTTGGTACTTATTGGACGAGGTTTGATTGGTAAGTTTTCATCTTCACTCAAATTGTCATATTCATTGTTAGATACAATCTCTCTTGGGGATACAGATCTATCTAAATCTCTCAAGTTTGTTTGTGATAATTGAAATATTGGCTGATTAAAAAATTCGTCTTTACTCATTTTTATTGCCAATTGGGGGAAACTATTAATTAATTAATATCACAAGTTAATGTGATTCCTTCAACGGATATGTCAACGAGCTTAAACCGAAATTTGTTTCGATTGTTTGTGGGCTATATCTATAAAAATTACAGGGGTATTATGCGAGTAATGAATTTTGTACTCCACTAATGCGCATTGTTTAAGTTTTGTGTCAAAAACAAATCTCTCTAAACAGTCAGGTGACAAGGCAAATATGCGTTGTTAGGTTAAGGGAAGGTTCTAAAATAACACTAGAGAAAAATTAGTCAAATCTTGATGAATAGGAGTGGGAAAAAAGTTTAAAATTTCCATTTAAAATAATCCGTTCTTAATTTAAGGGTTCGATAACTCTAAACCCAGAGTGTTGTGAATAGGGAACAAATAACATTTCTCTTACAATCTGAAGACTTTCATATTCGGACGATCACCAATTCTCTAATGAATTGGGAAGGCATGAATTATTGGTAATTATTAGTTCTAGTAGCCCAAAACAGTAAGTGAGACAACAGGGTGCATAATTCAGGAACATTAAAGGGGACTAAAGGAGAGTGATTAAGAGCTTTGAGTAAATAGGAGGAGATGTGAAGCAAAGGCAACAAAGATCCGCAAGCAATAAGAAGCCGTACTAAGTAAGAAATCAGAATTTTCTACACTTGAATGCAGTACTTTCGATAGGGGAATAATTAAACTTTAATAATTATAGAGAAATTAAGAGGGTCGAGTAATGAAATCAATCATACTTTTCTATAGTATTATTTGTTGGAAATAATTTCACTATTTGTTGGAAATAATGGAGAATTAAAGTCATAAATAGATACCAAGAGTTGGATCTTAATATCTTCGTTAAAAGTTGGATTTTAACCCCTACAAGTAGGTTTCCCAGACTAAATAATCTGGAACAATTGTTGAAACTCCTCTACCAATGAAATCCTTATGTAAGGAAGTCACATTAGCAGGAAGGGCCCAATTTGAAATTGGATTATTTGGTATATTCAAAAAATGGTTTTGATTCCATTGATCTGTTTTTGATGCTTTGCAATAATTCATCGTTCTTAATATTGTTCTTTTCTATTATTAATTTCTTTAAACATTTGTTTTCCATTTCTAAAGTCATTAATTTTTTTTCTAAACTGTAGACTTTATCTTGCAATTCTTTGGATTTGGATTCCATTTGTTGTTCTTTCAATTTCTTTTTGATTCTGAATCTTGCTGAAGCAGCAGTATTTCTTCTCTTTTTATCTTCCAAAGCTGTGACTTTAGCATTATCTAATGATTTAAAGTCTTTGTTTTCAGATCTTAAGGCATCAGGACTAACTGGAGTTGGGAAAGAATCTAATGGAGCTGATTCCTGTTTGATATTCACTATTTCTTGTGGTTGTGGGATGTTAACTTGTGGTTCTTTTGGAGAAACTGGTGATAAAAAATCTAAATCAGATTTAACTTTGAAGTTATCCAAGTTGAAGAAATCATTTTTGGAAAATAAATCTAAGTCATTATTATTAAAATCTTCTTCGAATTCTAAATTCAAACCATTCAAATAATCTGATGGTTGAAAGTTCATTTTGTCTTTATTTGCTTATTGTGTGAGATCAATGAATAAAAACGTTTGAAAATTTTTTTCTCATTAATCTGACTCAACGGCCGGTTCCGGCACGTCCCTTGCTTAATAATGAGGGAAGGAATTTTATACTTGAATAGTAAATTGCATGACATTTGGAGACATAACAACCAATAAGAAGATTTTGGTGACAAAATTTAGTGGGTATGTTAATATATTTTGGGAAAGTAGCCCAATGTCACCGGTGAAGAATTTTCCACTGTAGGATGGCATCTGATGAATAATTAGAGTCAATGCGACATAATTAGGGTTCAAGAGAGACATTAGGGTTGCTGCAAAAATAAATCAATACATTTCCATTCTAATTCTAATCATAATTCGTTAATGATCAATTTGATCAACTAAAGACTTTAAAACAAACAGTTCATCATTAACTTCTGCCCTTTCTGGATCTTTATTTTGTTCTAAACTAATAGGACCAATTGAACCAACAGAGTTGATTGAACCAATTGATCCACTTCCTCTACTGACGTTAATTTTATAATCATTATCAATTATACCTCTTGGGACTTCATTCCAATTACCATTCCAATTACTCCAATTAGTATTAGTGTTCCATTGGGATTGATATTGAGATTGTGGATGATTTTGTGTAACTGATTGATCTTGAAATGGTAAGCCAATAACAGCACACATCCAAATTCTGGTTTTATAAGTCCTGAACAATTCCTTGACTAAATCTCTGAAATCAATTCTCTTATTAGTTGAATAATAAAAGATAAGTTTCTTCCTATCGAATTGATATTCAGCATCGATTAATCTCATATTGACGTCATTTAAATATTCTAAAAATGGTGAATTGATTTTGCTTAAACATAATTTACAAGCATTTTCTTCATCCTTTTTCTTATTTAAAATTTGTAAGATTTCATTATTATTGGCTAATCCTATAATTGATTTGGGGAAATGTAAGATTGGTAAATTATTAGGAATTTCTTCTTCATTCAAAGCTTCTTGTTGTTCTTTGAATTGTAAAAATTTCAATAATCTAACTTCATCAATCGATAAGTTTAATTTTAAGACTTTACCTAAATCCTTACCTCTATCAGCTTCAACAATAACTAAATCCCCAATCTTATAGTTATAAATATTACAATCTTTGTTGTTAGAATAGAAAATGTCTAATCTACCACATTTAAATCCAACCAAAATTAACTGGTAATTCTTGATCGAATTTTCAATAGGGAATTTTGGTAATTCTACCATTTCACTATTAAGTTTGGAATTCAAAAAATTCAAATCAACTTTGACTCTTTGATGAGGATCACTTCCAAAGTATTCATTGATAGAATCAATAGTTTGTTGATTCAACTCAGGATAAGTTGAATTATTAATTGGAGGGTTCAAATTTGGGTTCATATTCATTGGTGGTCCATTTATGTTTAAATTATTCATATCCAAACTGAAGCTATTGAGATTGTCATAAATGTCATTATGGCTATTTCTTCTATCATAATCTAAAGAAGAAATAGAACTTATGGAATTTCTTTGTCCGTTGAATCCTCCATAGTTATTAAAACCATTACCATAGCTGTTACCATAACCATAACCATTACCGTTATAGTTCATGTTATAATTCCCATTACCATATCCATTAAATGGATTAGTGCCAAACCCAGAACCAAATCCGTTACTATTTGGGCTGGTAGATGAGTTTATGTTGGGAGATTGATTTGACCAAATATTATCATAAGTCAGTGGCCTTCTCCAATTATCACCACTAAAGGATGATGGACGAGACATATCTTATCTCTTTCTCTAATAAATTCGCTGTTTTCTCTTTATTCTATGAGCCTATAGATATATTTTTGTGTACCCTTTATCTGTCTCAAGATTTTGTGACCAAGTAACCTGATTCAATCAGATGACGTATATTCCAGATTTATCCCACTGAAACCACCAAATAAAGTCAGTAGTCTCTAATATATTTCAAGCAATTACAATAATTTGTAGTAAAATTAAGCCAAACCTCCTTGAGTATAGGTATTTAAATAAATTGAAAAATTAAGGATATTGAGATTTTTCTACAATCTCCTCTTATGTGGGGGTAAAATACGATAATGTAGTGAGAGTTAAATTGAGGGACTGGACCTAATGACAATAAAGTTAAAAAGAGTTTGACTAAAGTTTCTAATACAACATATAGTGTAGATCTATATATGAATATCTCTATCATTTACTTGAAGCATATGATATTAACACTTCAATAAGGTTTCAAAAGCTGTGGGATGAGATAAGGGAGGCCCCAAAGCAGAAAAAGTGAGACTTAATTGCTCCAAGATAAAGCGACAATCATAACATGATTCTACATCTCTATACAGAACTTGAAAGGCAACAAGGAATTAAAGGCGAGAATTTAGTGGCCAGAATTTTCTGGGGACGTGACAGTGGATTAGGTAATTAAGAAAAGGCTGAAAGTATGCAGTATAGAAAAATTGAGGATAAGGAGAAACATATATTACATTATTGATACTGTTGTTGATTTGGGACCCCATTTGACATATTTTGGAAATATTGTTGATAAACAGAATTATCAGGGTAACCTTGAGGTAAAGGCATTGGATGATTATTTCCATATGGCATACCAGGAGGTAAATGACCAGGAGGTAAATTTGGAGGTTGTTGATGAGGTTGAGGAATTGAAGTAGTTGGTTGTTGTTGAACTTGTTGAACTTGTTGTTGTTGTTGACCATTATTTGGAGAAGCAACGGAATCTGGTGAATTGTCATCACTACCATTTTCTTGATCATCACCTAAACCTTCTTCAGGAGCATTTAAACAGGCTTGAATTAAATTCTTACCTTCACTTTTAGTAACTAAAGGTTGTAATTTTGGAGTAGTAAAAGTATAAACTAAACCGGTTTCACTAACGACTAATAATAAAACTTGAGTACCAGTTAAAACTGATAATTCATAAGCTTTTTTCATGATACCAGCTTTTCTTTTAGAAAATGTGATATGTCTTCTTGATTTATCTTGGATGAATTTAATTTCAATTTTTCTTCTTTCTTTTTGTTGTTTACCTCCAGTTGGTTCATCATCTTCATCATCATCTGGTGGATTAGTACTTGTATTATTGAAGGCAGTTGAATTTAATTCATCAGCATTACCTTCTAATTTTGCTTCTTGTTCACTCATCTATATTCTGTTAGTATATTATTTTAATCATGTAATTATTGTTTGTTTATCTTTACACTTGCATCTTTCAATTTAAATGATACTTGTCAATTACTTGATGTCAAATTTTTTGAATACCTCATTGTTTATTATTTTCACCTCCTTAAGGAGTGGTCAACAACGTCATCATATATTCCCCTAGATTTCCATCAAGTAATCGATCAATCAATCAACTATTGTATTATCTTAAGTGAAACATTAATCATCAAATCATTAACTTTAATTGTCATTCTGTATTGGGTTATGTGCAACCTATCTCTATTAGGAAATGCCCACCCAATAAGGTAATCAATTATATCATGTAATTATCACCATTATATCATGGTATTGTTGACAATTTCTCCTACAAATCATATCTCTATACCCATATATATATCAGGTATTGTTCCGTACAATTGATTTTATGATTTAAGTAAAGATATCCTTATACAAAAATTCATACATACATTTTCAAGATTGATTAAAAAAAAACTTCTCAACGATTTTGGGAAAATTTAAATTGATACTCCCAATTCCGCACCCCTCGCGTTTGGGTGGAAATGTGATGAGGCAGTTAGGAGATGAGAAAGAGGTGTAAATTCTTAGTAATGTACATTGTAGTAGATAACTACGATTTTATTAATTTGTCTCAGGAACTGGGGTTTCTGAAGGGGTTTCAGTTGGGGTCTCCATGGGGGTTTCTAATGGGATTTCCGCTACTGGTTCAGGGTTTTTGTCTATGTTGAATTCGAATATCTGAAAATATTCGTTGATTTTGTTTCTTAAAGCATCAGAAATCATGTCATCTCTACAAATACTTATTAATAACTTGAATATTTTGGATTTGAGTAACATCAGTGTAGGAATTTCTTTGGTACTCAATTCTTTCAAGATCTTTACTTGTTCTTTGAGATCATCTTGATGGCCATTGACTCCATTATTATGTCCATTGAGCTTCCCATTGGTATCTTCAGTTTCACCTTTAGGTTCTTTTATGAAAATTTCTTTAGGAAGGGTGATATAAAATCTATTTGTCAAATCTTCTAAATATTCATTGAGTTCATCTATTTCTTGCGTCAATACCTTACTTGAAGGACAACTTGAAAGGAAATGTTGTTCTTGTTGTTTGTTATCAAATATGTAATTTCCTTGCTCGAATAATTCATCCAAATCGTCATCAATCCCCCAATCTTCATCATATTTGAATTCTAATTTGATTCTTTTGGGTTCTTTTTCCACCGGCTTACGGCCTCTTTTTTTAGGTTCTTCTTTAGCCTTGGCCTTGGCTTTAGTTTTAGCTACTGGCTTCTTAGTCTTAACTTTACCTTTGGCTTTCGGTCCTCTTTTCTTGGGCTTTATTTCCTCTTCCTCTTCCTCCTCCTCTTCTTCCTCTTCTTCTAATTGCTCATAATGATCGGGTTCGATAGGCAGTAATGGTTTCCCACGAGACCCAAAGTTAACAAATAATTCCATGTCCATGGGATCTTTGGCTAACTCATATGCATAAGTCAATAATTTATCTTTCCTTGTCTTTGAAAGAAACTCATCGATTGTTTCTTGTTTCAACAATTTTAAATCTTCTACCTTCATCCATATGTAAGTGTCATCACTAAAGAATCTAACAGGTAAAGTAATTTTCTTCCCCTTTGGTTTTTTATCCAATACATAAGATGGCAATAATGATTCTTCCAAAATCATAGCTGGCCAATGTGGATACCCTTTGACCTTAGCTAAAACTATGGTGGTGGGAGAGTATTTTGCTTTAATCTCTGGCGGTATTTCGGGAGCTTCTATCTTCACAGGGGCAGTGATTTCCTCTTCTGCTTTATGGGTATCTATATTATCTACTTCCATATCTTCACTCATTGATTTGGGAAAATATCGCGTTTATTTATTTATATATATAAATCCATCGTTGGAACTGCAAATAATTTTACTCGACTTGGTCATGACTTTATTGATGATTGGAGATTGAAGAGGGAATTCTTCTCTATTTATCATTAGATTATTCGATCTATCCCAATCGATTTTCATAAATTTGGATTGTTCACTTCCTACATAAATTGAAATTTTCTTCGTTAAAGGTCGTATGTCTAGGGATATAAGGTACTGTATGGGCATCAAGATATTGTAAGTATTGATGATATTCCCCGTTTTGTAATTATAAACCACTAGATCACCATCATCTGTGAGACCTATCATGAAATCTTTATAGATCTTGAAATTAATGATTATGAATTGAAATTCGTGTTGTTGAAGTTGATCTCCTTTCAAATCCAAGATAACCAACATTTTATCACTTGTGGAGACAAAGATTTGTTCATTTACTTCTATATGATTTATATTATCCTTGCAGACCTTTATTTCCCAGATACTTTGCCTTATATTACTATCAAATAACTTAATACTTGAATTGTACCCACCGGTGATAAAACATCGATTGTTCAAGAATTTAATATCGTTTATAACCTCTCTGTTATCGACATTATAACTATTGATGAGTTTGTTTATGTCCCATAAATCTATTCTATTTGACTGACTGGCTAAAATTTTTTCGTTTAAACAATCGATGCATTTGACATTACTATCATTAATGATATCTACCTGTTCATTCACCGTGTTCAAACTCCATAGCTTTGAACCACCAACTACAATGAGATCATTGGTGGTTATATTTCCTATATCATTGATACTATTGAAATCTAGCCTTATTCGATGTTGTTTCATACCCCAATCTTTTTGAGATCCGTTTTGCTTCGTGTAATTGTTTATTTGAGAATTACCTATTAAAGATTATTGCTGTACCTGACATACAATAGATAGGTCATTAACTCTTGGACAAAATGCAAGGGCCCAATATGTGTATTATGAAGTTATTGTAAAATTGTCGCGGATGGAAAACAGATGCGATTCCATTTTACGTCATAGTTCTGAGATGGCCCACCTTCGAGTGATTGAACTACGCTATGAGACGAGCTTCCATAAGTTGTACTACAAAACTATAATGAATTTACTATGACGAACGAACCAATACCTTGGATAAATTTGAAAAATCAAAATTACGTTATTTACTGTAAGTGATATTCATACGACATTTTGTCTTTTTGCAACCAAAATGTTCAAAACGTACTAAAATTAGCACCACTTGGCTATTGACCACCAAAATATAAATAGACGTCGATAGACTACCAAATACTCAACCAACATGATTGCATTCTTATACTTGATCACATTTTCCCTTGCATTGATTACCAACTTAAAGTCCACTGGCCCATCAATGAGTCCCGTTGGTAAACTCGGTGGGTTCGTTTCAAAGAATCCAGCAACACTCAAGTTTTCTGGATCCCATGTGTGTGATAAATATTCAACAATCTTGAAGTATGGTAATAATACTGATTTCCCCGTGATTTATAACATGTACATCGTAGAATCTGATGGTAATTATACCATTGATGTTTATTTCAAGAATTTGAAGACCACTAACGAATTTTCCTTATTCAACGTAACTGACAGAACAGAATTGGAAACATTCAACCCAGTTTTGGTTTCAACTCAAGAAAATGGCATTGAAGTTAAATTAAACATGTCCAAAGGTTTATTATGCCAATTTTTGTATAAATTCACCGTAGCTTACCAATTAACATCTAATTCCACTGAAAGTGACAAGATCTTACTTGCAGGATCCTGTCAATTGAACGAAAAGTTTTATCCAGAGGAATACAATAACTATATTTCTCAAGGGTTCAAATGTATGGATTACAATTCAGATTTCAAATTTAGTGGAGGTATTGATACTTGTCATGTACAATACGATGGTAATCAATGCTGTCAAACTTATGAAAATGATGAGATAGTTAGCAGACAATGTGGGTCAAATTCAGAGTCATATAGTGTAACCACTCCATTGATGCAAGTAAGACAGACTGAAAGTCCTTAATCTTGATTTGAAGGGCATAAGAATTCACTGGACCTTTCGGACCATTAGCTCAGCAATAAGAGACTTAGCAATAACTCCAATAAATACCCCGTTCTATCCTTTTAATTGCAGTCAAATATTCCTTTATCTCTTCCATTAACGCACTACCCCCCGCCATCAAGTCTCCGCCTAAAGTTTTGTGGGGATTCACAATCAACAGCAACAGATTATTTTTGATTGTAACTTTGGATGTTCAGAGATTACTTATGTGTTCGTTGGATGATACACCTATCTACCAAGTATGAAATGAGATCAAGACCAATTGAAGTTTCAGCCTTTAGGGGTAAAGTTTAATCGAAAGCCCTGGCGGAAAAATCCACCTTCCATATGATCCGAAGAAAATATCCCGAGGCGAAGAAAATAACTTTTATGGAAATTTGACATGGCAGTACATTAGTAATTATGTATCATTGCATTTGTCAACATTTCTAAATATAAAAAGTATATTAAAATGTCAATACTATGACTTAGTATGTCATGGAATTTCTTTTGAGCGGACTTATGAGCCTCTTTAGTCATTGAGAAACAATAGGATTTCAATTTCCGCAACTATACACCAAGAGACCTAAGTAAGAGGTAAAACATATCTAGATAAAGAGTCGAGTGGCTAATGATTGATTTGAGTCATGGTAGTCATCCTACTGAATTATTATATGGGAAAACCCTTCTATAATCACTCCATTGCAATGAAGCGGAAATTTCTTTTTTTGTAGGTGGCGTTATACGTGACGACATCATCATACTACCAAGACATGGCGACATCAAAAGTTCCTGAAGTTCCCAGATTTATAAATCGCACAGATCTCACATTAATTTTTGCATTATTAAATATATTAATGAACGATTACATTTGTTATAAAAAGAGGAAAGGGGATTTCAAAGATTTTGAAATCAATAATATAGAAGAATTCACCCATACATCAAAGAAAATCGATTTAAAAATACCTATCAAAGTTACTGATGAAGTAAGTTTCTTAAAGTGGTTCAATTTCTTGAAAACTTCAATACCTTTAACTAAATATAAGGATTTACTTAATTTGAATTATGTTAATGAAAAGGATAATTCGTATTGTAAGAAATTATTGAGATTCAACATTTCTTGTTTCAAATATCAAACTTCAAATAATGAATTGAATCAAATCTTATCTAATTCAATTGATGATATAATATTACAAGAATCAGGTTTTAGCATGAAAGAATTAGCATATTGTAATTTTGAAAAAGTGAAGATATTTTTCCAATCAAAGATAAATGTATTTTACTTGATGAGTTTAGAGAATAATTTAAATTTCAATAATACTAATAAATTACAATTCTTAAACGATTTAGATCATTTAACTAATGTTTATCAATTAGTATTAAATGAAACACCATCCAAGGATTTGAAAATAAATTGGATTGTCAATTCCATCAATAAAGATCAAATATTCAAAAATAATGAAATCCTAATTGATATTCAAGATAATTGGGAATCTATTTGTAAAGATCCTTTGAATTTGAGGAAGGTATTATTAAAGTATTAAATTGGTGGTGTCATAGATATGAGTGTATTATATAGCGAGTAATGATTAACGAACAAATTAATTTCTCTAATTTACATATTTTACATAATTAAGCTAAAGTATCTTTAAATAATTGCCTAGCAGTTTTAAGAATCTTTTTGAATGCATCATTGGAAGTTAAAGGGTCTTCCACATATGCCATATCAATACGAGGTTCACTATTAACTATTCTGCAAACTTCATCAATCTGTATATCTATGAAGAATTCTCTATCTAGATCATTACTATCAATATTTATGAATATGAACCTCAAAATCCCATCACTCAATCGTTGTACTGATAATCCCAAATACTTTTGATACTTAATGACTTCCTCTACGTCCGTTCTACCATTTAATATTAACTCATCTCGTGTTTTATCTATTATATCATTCAATTCATCAATCTTTTGTTGTAAAAAATTGTTATCTTCTTCTAATGTTGATTTTTCGTTAATGAAGTTCTGTTGCTGTATTTTCAAATTATTAATCATATTTTCATTGGTAGCTAGCTTACCACTATCTGCTTTATAATCTAATTGAATTTGTTGTTGTTTATTATTCAAATCTTCTATATTTCTTAATAATTCAATTTCTTCATTCTTTAACATTCTTAGGTTACTTAAATAATTCTTCTTACTTGTTTCAATCTCTTCTTTCTTCGAGACGTTATAGCTTTGTAGCTTACTTTGGAATTTTATCAATTCAGTCTTCAAACTTTCATATTCTTCTATAGTTCCCATGATCGCGTTGTTTTGACTTTTTTTCGCAATCTGATCAGGTATCACAAAAATCCAATGTCTGAAGAGATCAAGTTATTGACTTTCAATGTTTGGGGTTTGAAATTCATTTCAAAAGTTAGAAGAGAAAGAATCCGAGGAATTGTCGACAAGCTACTCGATGGAAGTGAGAATTATGATATAATTACTTTACAAGAAGTTTGGTGTGAAGAAGATTGGAAATTATTTGATGAGAATTTGCAACAATTATATCCTTATAGAAGATGGTTTAAAAGTGGGATAATCGCTGGGCCAGGATTAGCTATTATATCCAAGATTCCAATTGTCGAGACTTTTCTTTATAGATTTCCTATTAATGGTAGATCGATAGCTGTAAATAGGGGAGATTTTTATGTTGGAAAAAGTCTTGCTATTTCGAAGTTAAGTAATGGATTAGTTGTTATGAATAGTCATATGCATGCTCCCTATAGTTTAGCGGGAGATGATGCTTATGTTGCCCATAGGTCAGTACAAGCTTGGGATATTGTTAAGATAATCAACTTATATAATGAATTAAATAAAGGAGTCATTTTGGTAGGTGATTTGAATTCCCGTCCTCAGTCATTACCCCATAAATTATTCACAAACATTGGTCAATTAAAGGATTCGTGGGAGGTGTTGAAGTATAAAAGTAATGAACCATTATTATCATTGAAAGAATTAAGTGAATTAGAACCTAAAGATCAAATTTTAACTGGAGGTATAACCTGTGATTCTCAACTTAATACTTGGAGAAAAGATAGAAGATTAGATGAAGCTTGTAGATTAGATTATGCATTGATCAATGATAAATTGGATGTTTTAGATGCATCAGTCAAATTTGTTGATAAGTTACCTCATCTTGATTGTTCTTATTCTGATCATTTCGCTTATTATACGAAATTGAAATTCAAACCATCAAAAGAGAGTCCTGAAAATGTCACTGATCATTATGACCAACTCTCTATTTATAAGGAGTTAATTGGAGAGATAGATAATTATTTGACATTCACAATACCCAAACATTATGATTGGAGAGGAGTTTATTTCTTCTGTTCGATATTCACCATACTTTTTTCGATATTTGTTACTCCTTTCCTGGGTTCATTTTCTATTTTCTTCGTTGTCTTATCGACCTTTGTGTCAATAACTGGGGTTTTGAATGGATTGATTTGGTTCATTAGTGGTAATTACGAAAAAAGGAATTTCGAAGAAGTAAAATTACAAGTTCTAGATCATATAAGAGGGATCGAATATTCAAATTCCTAATAAAATCCACCCAAAAAGGAATCGTTAATTCATTTGCATATATGTCACGTGATACTTCTATAAAATCTCTACGCATGAAAAATTTCTCTACCTTGCGAACATGTCAATCATTATTTTATTGTTTTTAACGATAGTTAAGGCCAATATCTTTGATTTCTTCCAATCTCAATTCACAGGTCAAAAACAACAACCAGAGTCAGCTGAAATTGAGAAATTAAATTTAAATTGTGATAGTTACTTATGTCCTGATACCAATACTTGTGTTGAATCACCCTCACATTGCCCATGTCCATTTCCTTCCAGTCAGTTAAGATGTTTCCTTCCAAACGGGAACTATTTATGTATTTCCAAACCAAATGGAAATGGGTATGATGGTCAAGATAATTGGAAAGTTGATGCAAAAGATGATAACATTAGAGATTGTGGTTGGGTAAGCAGAGCTTACAAAGGATTAATATAAATAGAATATATGATAATGAACTTCACTTGAAATACGTAGATAATGGCTTTGCTTGAATTATGTCGAGTACGACTTTACTTACAATAGCATTTGTGGGTGGAAAATTTGAAAATTATATCTTGTCGCCTTACCTCATTGATAAGCACATTACCAGCCACTCTCAACTTTTTTTTTTCTCCTTCAAACACCACCCTGAGACATTTGATTATTAAACATCATCATTTAAGAGTCAAGTAAACATTTCTCGCCTTGATACAGCCGAAACTTCGACCAAAAAGTCAACTGATATAAAATTTTGCTATCATCTGATCAGTCGTCTCATAAGCAAAAGTTGATCATTAAAAGTCGCACTAACCCCAGTTTTGTGTTAAGGAGAGATTTTATCATTAAATTTTAATAAGATCACCTATTATTTGTTAAGATTGTTTTAGAACCAGTCATAAGTGATATCTACCAATATTAAAATAACCTAAGATCATTAAAGGAAGTTAAGAGATCATTTCATAAGTGAAACAAAGTCATCATGACTATTGACAATACTAGTATTTCTCCAAAAAAGCATAGAGATTCATTTTCAAGCAACATAAATGTTGATGATAGCTATCATAGATGTTTTCAGAATTATTATCATGGCCATAACTATCTAAATCCTAATCCAAAGTATATTACCAATGTGAAATCTAACGTTAATCACTGGCAATTAAGAGACTTGATAAAGATTAATCAAAATTCTGGTGACGTTTTCTACACTAAAAGTTATTCGATATGGAAATTAGGCTTGAAGACAAACAGTTTCTCAGATAGCAAATCTTTGATGTCCAAGGAAATCCTTAAACCTGATTATTCCCCAAGATGTTTTGATATTACTAATGACAATAAGATGGTCATCGGTGGATTAATGACTAGTGCTTATAAGATATTCTATTCCAATATCGAAGGACTTTCTGTGAATAATCAAAAGATTCTTAGACCACAAAAAGGTTTGTTCACATTTTGCAATAATGATTTAAACGTTTATAAGACAGTCAAGATTGGAGAAATGATTAATAATTCAGTATCGGTTTACAATACTAATGACACAAACATGTATAAATCATATGTGTGTAATAATGATTCATCGTTATATTGTATCGATATCTTGAACAACGATAAGTTGTCTATTCATAATAAAATAATATGTGAACATGATGTATCATTAAACAATGTGGCCAAAAATCCAGTTAATGAGAAGAACCTTATTGTAACAGGAGATTCACCGTCGATATTTTTAATTGATCCTACGATGAAAAACTCCAAAATCAACACTATTAAAACCAATAATGATTCAGGATTTGGTATTAGTTTCCATCCTAATGGTCACTTATTTTCTACATCATTTCAAAATGGACACTGTTTAGTTTATGATTTGAGAAGTGTTAGTCAGCCTTTGAAGGAAATCAAATCAACGAGACCGGGACATCAAAGTGGAGCTTTTAGATGTTGTAAATTCTCTAATAATTCATTCAGTGATCTTTTAGTGGTACTGGAACATGTTGGTAGAGTTCACTTAATAGATTTAAGGAACTTAAATGATGATAATCATCAAGTAATAATATTTCCTTTTGCATTAGATCAATTTGGTGATTACAAATCCAAGAAGATTATTGAAGATTCTGAAAATGATTTGAAGTCGAATAAATCATATCACCATAATCTTGATATTTATGAAGATGAATCTAAAATCAAATTTAATGCCCCCCTTGTTTATGATTTTGATTATTTGACCAATGTTAATCCCAAATTATTCAAATATTATACTTACCAACCAACCAAACAACATATAGATATACCTTCAAATCCTTCAAGTCCTTCCGTTCCTTTGTTATCAAGTTTCCAAGACACTTATAATATGCCTTTGGATTTTGATGGGTCTACTACTGACTCTTACAATTCCGATAGTTATCAACATTCAGATAATCATATTTATGGAGAAATGGAATTAAGTGGATTAGATTGGTACGACAATAAATTAGTTATTGGTTGTGAAAATGGTGGATTATTCAGTTGGGATGTCAATTATATTGCACGGAGAAGTTTTGGTTCCTTCTCATTTGTATGATCTCTGGTAGATTCTACTTTCAGGAACAATGAATATATTTAATGAGTAAATTTGCAACCTCTTTTCCATCTCGTAAAAAATTCATTCCATCAAACTTCGCGTTCGCGTTACAAAATAATCCATCAAGATGCACGTATACCCGTCACAGTTTTCAAGGGTATATGAAGAGATCAAGAGAACTTCATTGTCACATTCCAACTGTAAGTTGATTATATTTGTGTCATGTCTTGATATTGACTCTTTATGTTCATCCAAGATTTTATGTAATATATTTAAGAAGGAATTGATCCAATACCAATTAATACCAGTTGTTGGATATAGTGATTTAAAAACTCATTTTCTCAAATTAGATGATGATATTACTAATGTCATATTTATAGGATGTGGAGCAATGTTGGATGTCGAAAGTTTCTTGGAAATTGATGTTGATAGTTTCACTTTAGGAGAGATAGATGATAAACAAGACCCTTTAAGTAAGTTACAATCATTGAGAAGAAAGATATTCATTATTGATGGACACCGACCATGGAATTTAGATAATATATTTGGTTCAAATATGGTGGTATGTTTTGATGATGGGTTTGTAGATGAAAATTTAATACAGGAGAAGCAAGCATATAATAAATTAGTTGAAATGGATGATCAAGAGGCTAGCGAAGAAGAAAGTGAAAATGAAAGTGACACAGATGAGGATGAATTCAAAGAGGATGAAGATGACGAAGACATAGAGATCGATGGAGATTTGGAAATCCATTCTGATGATGATGAACTTACCATCAACCGTAAACGTAAGAGACAACAACATCAATATAAGAAGATAAAAAAACAAAGACGTCAAGAAATTAATAAAAATGAAGATATAATAGAGACATATTATAGTCAAGGTACCACGATAATGACATCTACTACAGGAACTATCTATGCATTGTTGTCGTCTATCGGTGAAACCTCGATTGAAAATTTATGGTTATCAATAATTGGTACTTCATCCTTGGATAATCATTATCCTGAAGTATATGATAAATTCCATCCTTTATTCAAAGATGAAGTTATCAGATTAAACCCTTCCAATAGTGTTTCTGATGAGAAAACGGCCGATTCTACAGTGTTAACTATGGATAAGGATTATCATTTATTCTTATTAAGGCATTGGACGTTATATGATTCCTTCTTCTATAGTAGTCATGTTAATTCCAAATTGAATTTATGGACAGAAGATGGTAAGAAGAAATTACATAAATTGTTTGCTAAAATGGGAGTTTCATTAGCTATAGCTCAACAAAAATGGATTTATATGGACATCGATGTTAAGAAGAATTTACCTTTCATTTTCAATAAATATTTACCGCTTTATGGATTGGAAGGAATTGTAAGAGAAGGTTTCATAAGAACCTTTGGTTTCACTGGTCAGTTATCTGCAATGGAATGTGTTGAATCATTGACAGCTTTATTGGAATCTGACAAAAGATTACTCAATGATAATAAAACAAATAGTTTGTTAGATGATGAAGAGGAAGAAGACGATGTAGATGATGAAGTTATTAATTCTAGAATCCAAAAACGTGAAAAAATTTGGGTGAATAATTTCTGGTCATCATGGGATGCTTTGAATATGACAACTGTTAATACTAATAACCAAGTAACGTCAATTATCTCAGCACAATCAAACTTCAAGAAATCGAAAGGATTAGATTTACTTTTACAAGGTTTGGAAAATGCTAAAAAGATCCAAACCATTATCTTTAAAACCGGTATGTCTCTTTTGGAGAGAAAATTAATTAAGAATTTAAGGTTATATAGATTATGTGTTTTAAATGATGGGTCAGTACCAGATTTGAATATTTTCAATAATCCTTTAATTTTATCTAAATTAGGTAGTTGGCTTCTTGAAAACATAACAGAATTAGAATTTCTTAACAACAAGAATTCCTTGAAACCTTTAGTGGTTGCAAGTTTAGATGTAGCCAGTGATACTTATTTAGTCATAGGGTTAGCTCCTAAATATCCTCGAGGAATGAATAATTCTGAGAAAGCTAAATTATTCCAACAACAACAAAAGAAGAAACAAAATAAAGAAAATGAAATAACTCCTAATAATGATGATGACAAAGATGAAATCGATAAGAATGCTGTCACTACTAGATTAAATACTTTCAGTGTTGCATTCCAACAAGTGGCCAACACTTCTGGTGCTAAAGTTAGAATCGATAGTTTTGACAGTTCTGTTATCGAAATCAGAAAAGATGATTTATCTCCATTCTTGGAAAAATTAACCTTAAGTGGTATGATTTAATGTATTATAGATTTTTTTTCGCAACCGCTCTTATCTTATCGGAATTTCTCAATCTTCCACCATAATGTCGATTACAGTTATTGGGTATGTTTTCATTATTAAATAGCTTTTGACACATACTAACCATTTAGAGCAGGTATATTAGGACTTTATACGGTATTTGAATTACTTGAAGAGGGAATTGACCCTAAATCTATCAATATGGTTGCACAATATATTCCGGGAGACCAATCCCCTGATTATACTTCACCATATGCTGGAGCATACTTTTCTTTAACCATTGGTGAAGAGAGTCTTCCATTGAGTAGTTACACTTATGAAAAATTGGAGGTTTTGAAATCAAAACTTGGAGATAATTGTGGTCTTGGTAAGTGTTGGTCCACGGAATATCAACATGAACCTTTAGAGGAAGATTACCTTAAGAAATTACTGTTTGCAAATTACGAAATTGTAGAATCATCAGATCCCAGAATTGCTCATGGAGTCAAGTATATGGCTTGGGTCTTCAATCCTCCCAAATTCACTCAATCAATCATGAAATATGTTCTTGATAAAGGTGTTTCTTTGGAGGTGAAAAGATTAAATCATATCAAGGAAATCAACACTCCTATCATCTTCAATTGTAGTGGTAATGGGGCAAAAAAATTAGGAGGTGTTGAAGACTCCACCTGTTACCCTGTTAGGGGCCAAGTTGTAGTCATTAGAGCACCTCACATCAATGAATGTGTCCTGTTCTGGAGTGAAGATGAATCTACCTATATCATCAAACGTCCTGATTCCAATACTGATGAATGTATTTTAGGAGGTTTCTATCAAGACAATGTGGGAGATATGTCAACTTACGGTTTTGAAACAAAGGATATCTTGGAAAGGACCTCTAGCATTTACCCTAAAATCTTGAATGGAGGTACTATCGATGATCTACAAATCTTACGTGTTGTGGCAGGTTTACGTCCCGGTAGAAAAGATGGACCTAGAATCGAAGTAGAAAAAATTGAAACTGGCCACATAATTCATAATTATGGAGCTGAAGGTTCTGGGTACTTATTTGGATTAGGTATGGCTCACAAAGCCGTCAAAAAGTTTTTAGAAATTTAAATTCAGTATGCGAAAAAAAATAACGACAACTGCAGGACTCGAACCTGCGCGGGCAAAGCCCAAAAGATTTCTAATCTTTCTCCTTAACCACTCGGACAAGTTGCCTCTTGTTGAAGATAAGTTGATCCTTTGGAAATATGATGTGCAAATATACTAGTCACGTGACAGACTTTGCAAATACTTTCCAAATGCTTTTGGTATCAGAACAATTGAGCCAAAAGCATTGTAGGATTTTCAATGGTTTACAATCCAAAAGCTAGCTGTCGGCTATTTGAATATTTGCGTATTTGCATCAACAGAAAAGTCATATAAAATATAAAGTAGAATCCGTATAATGAACAGGTAGAGAGTTTTTCAAATATGTCCGATACCCCAGTGAGGGTAGAAAAGGTAAATAGGCAGATTTGATCCATGTCCTTGAACCTCAAGGGAACTATAGAAATACCTGCCTTTTTCTCCACCGCCCACGTAGGCTGGAGATGTTTGTTATATATAAGTTCCTGTGTGCTTGGTGAGAGACATCGACAAAGGTTGCATCAAGAGTGAGCCGAAGGTTGGGGAATCGAAACCAAAAGCCTTATTACTAACTTCTACCAAAGACCATTTATAGAACCAGGTAATATTGAGTAACCATGTCGGGTCTGGATTTGGCACCTCACTGCAAGAGAGTTTCACCATTTCCTACTGTAATTATTGCAGTTTCCTATTATAATAGTTCAACAATGAAGACGCTGAAATCTGAAATCTATTCCCTTTAAAACTTTAATTGGAGTAAAGAAAGGAACCAGTAGTATCTGAAATAGTGAATTGGTTACAACGTCTGTAAATATTGTATAACAACTAGAAAGCAGCATTCAAGGTAGTTTTGGAAAACCCACGAGATATTCGATGAAACCTAATCTTGTTATGTATCAGTGAAAACATTTATTGGTAGAATATCTTGTAGTCTCTTCCATCAATTTTGGTCAGGGTAGCATATTGAAATGGAGATGCGACCTGAAACGAGTTCCACCCTAGCTGGTGTCATCTCTTTCATGAATTAACTTACATGGGAGGATTATAAAGATGTAAAAATTAATACCATCACAACCAAACATGCAAATCACTTTCTTTAAGATGTCTACGCCGAATTGAGCTATTTTTTACATCATATTGTATGGTCGTGTTCTCACCTGTATATTAGGCAACTTGTCCGAGTGGTTAAGGAGAAAGACTTGAAATCTTTTGGGCTTTGCCCGCGCAGGTTCGAGTCCTGCAGTTGTCGTTATTTTTTTTTCTTCTTGTTGCAAATGTGTTTGAATATAAATTAAAATGCTATGTAATATACAGCTATTGACCATCCCATTTAGATACTGAGTCGTTGTCTTGACTGATGAAGTTGTTGTCGGGGTCATTGAAATCTGCCCAGTGGAATGTATGACAATCTTTGTTCATGTATACGTTTTCACAAGTCCAGTGATACTTACCGAAATTTTCATCATTGGGGGATTTATAACTCCTTCTTAGGACCATTGGTAAATCACATTTACATTTCGGACGGTGTGCAGTGAAATTTGGAGGGAAATATCGGAAAGTCAAGTTAAATCTTGATGACTGTGATAACGAATTCATTTGTAATGTCTTTTTCAAAGGATTAACACAATGCTTGAATAATTCTTGACATCCAGGATGCATCAATAATAAGGAATTATGAGGCAAGTGAATTGAATAGATGATTTTAGGTTGTGAATGACGTCTCAATCTGAATTCTCTAGTGGAACCTAATGATAAGGACGCTATGTAACAATGTGGACCAATAGATTGAAGTCTATCACTATGCCAATCTAATTTATTTGATAAATTCTCATAATAGTTGACCACACAGCCTGAACATTTGAAATCTGGCTGTTGGAAAGGTAATTTTGGATATTTAGGTATTATCTCATCATTTAGATAGGAATTAACAAGATCCGTGACTTCGAGTAACTCATTATCGAGCTCATAAGTGTTGTGCCGTACCCCATTATAGTACATGTCGTCTGTATTCACAGCTCCAGGCAAATAAAGCATCCCCAGTGAATGATCAGACTTACACTTCTTCTCGAACATATAAAATTCAGTGGGAGAGAATTTATGTTTATTTTCCATCAAGTATTGAAGCATCACGTTAGAAAGCTTGTGTGGTGTGAAGTTTTTATGTAAAGAAACATAAGGATGTAAGAATTCCTTTACTTGATGTTCATCATAAAGTGTGATAATTCTGGTCCTTTCGTTATCTCCGGGCTGTTCTAATTTCTTTGGTTGTTCGACTTTCCTCTTCTTGGACCCCATGAACATTGACGTGATACTGGATTGGTACAATGCATGCTTCGAAGATAGCGTTCTCTGGAAAGTTTCATCAAGAATGGCTCTAGTCTTCTTTAAAGACCCATCACATACAAGTAAAAGTTCCAGAAGAGTCTCAGGATCCGCCAACTTGTACTCTTCTTTCAATATGTCTAATTTGTCCTCAAATTCTAACGAGACTTTGTCCCCAATACTCATCTCCAACATTGTAAACTGTGTTTTTTTCGAAAGAAGTGATTTAGTTGCAAAAACCTATCTCGCGTTTTCCACGCGATAGATCAGATCTTTAAATACTATCACCACTGAATTATGAATTCAAGAGCAACGTCCTGGACGCATGTAATCGAAAAACCTTGGATACCACAGTTCTTCTTTCTCTATAAAAAAAGATTTGAATGTGTAAAGGTTCCTGAAATGTCCATTAATTTACCTTTTTTACATCATCATCACCACCATTTGCATATCTCCCTTGGTTGCAAATTTGCCCTATTGGGTGTGGAGATTAAGCCGATCAAAACGCTTCAATTTCACAGCGAAAGACAACTCAACAAGGGGTAACTAAGCTTAGATAATCTAATGTTTCAACAATAGAAATGTTCAGGATATAGTCAGATCAAATGCTCTTGACCGTCTATTTTTGGTAATACCACTTGGAAACCATTTTTTCTCTAAACTCCTCAAGCAAGAAAATTCTTTTTTTTAACTGTCAACCTAGAAAAAGCCCTTCTAGTGGATCCTTTACAGTAGATATTAGCATCGCTTAATACATTTCGAGTACCATTATTGTTTCATAGTGGCTAAGTAGCAAGAGTGAGAATTTTGAAGATAGATCAAAGAAAAAAAAGTCCAACATTCATTCTTTCGTTATGGCACAAAAATCTGACCAAGACCTTCAACTAACAGACTCCACACCACAAGCTGAAAGGGAACAGTACATCGATAATTCCCCCGACGTAACCGAAGAAAATACCGTAGCTAATGGGTCCAATACTAAAGATGATTTTGAGACCATCCATTCTCAACCTGTAGCCATAAATGATATGACTTTAGAACCAAACAGATCAAGAACTTCAGAGTTCAACGGTAGATCTAGTTATTCCATAAGTGAAGCCGGTAGTGGTTATGATAGAGATGAAAATGAATGTACCGAGTTTTGTCTTGATTTCTGTACTTGTTTCGGTTTATTCGATAACTGTTGCCCTACCGACTCAGATGGTTGTGTTACCTCGACAGCTGTATTTATAGGTAATATTTTATTCGCATGTTGTAGATGTAAGTAAGTTACTTTCACCTTCAATGTCGTTATGTTTTCATGTCCCATACATTTCAACTACCAAAAAAACTCCCGTTTTCGATCCTTCGAAATCATCTTTAATACCCAACACTACATCATAGGACCACAAACAATAATATGGATCTTATTAGTTAATTCAGTTTGATTTTTTTTTATAAGTAGAATATATACAGTTCATTCCATTTCGCAACACATCCACAAAGATTTAGTTTTTGCAACCTTTTCCACAAGCAATATTCAGACTTATGGAAGACCAATTGAATATTCCAAAAAGGGCTGTCACGACTTATCGGTCAAGTGTAGAAGATGGTGTTGATAAAGATCGAAGCTCCGAGAAGTTAAAAGTGTTCAGATCTAAATCTTCTATTATTCCTGGGTTGTATGAGAAATCTTTAATCAGCTATGAGGACAAGGAGGTTACAGGAAAGAATAACCGTGAAGCTGGTGATATTCGTGGATCAGAGGTTGGCGAGCCACAAGTCCCTCAGAATCTTTCAGGTCAAGTCGAAAGTCTTTTTAACGGAACGTTAGTTCTGACAGCTTCACCCGATCAAATTCAAAGGAATTCTACTGTAATTATAAGACCTGGATTATTATCTGGTGACTCTAGTCTCCCAGAAACTCCTAATTTCGAAAATAGAAGATACCAACTCGATGCAGTTTCGCCTTTGACTGATGTTAATACTGAAATAGATACTGAGAGTCCTTCAAGTCCCAAACCTTACGATTTGAATCACTTGACGGAGTTGGTTCCAACTCGTATGTCTGCCTTAGTTCCTGATCTTTATCCAGGTAGTGAGAATAGCATTCTTGACCCATTGAGAGGGAATAGCATTAGGAAAACTAATTCAATATTTAAGGAACATAGTGCTGTTTCGGTTCAAGACAAGTTGAACGCCATTACAAGAAATAGCACTGAAGACCTTTTTCCAGAAACAGGATCATGTAAAAACTCAATTGGTTTGGGAGATGACGAAGATATCAAACCATTTACCACCGATCGTTCGCCTGAGGGGACCAAAGATGAAGTTCAAAGAAATGTTTCAAACAAACGTAAATGGTTCAGTATCGTCAGCAATATCATTTTATCATTAACTTGTGTAGTTTTGATAATCATGGTGATAATTTTCATTAGAGGAACTGAAGATTCGACATTTAACTTTTTAGATAGAATGGATGGTCAAACAAGAAATAATTTCATAGATTCCATTATGAAGAAGTATGAAGCACCTCACCTTGATAACCGTTCTGATAACTTTACCTTGGGAGCTAATAACCTGTATACTTTCAAAGGGGTGGCATATTCCCCGTTGAATTCTATGGAGCCTCTTTGTGGAACCACTTTGGAGGATGTTGAGCAGGATATGATGGTGTTATCGACAATTACCAATAAAATCAGGACTTATGGTATGCAATGCAACCAAAATAAATTCATTTTGGAAACCATTGAGTCAAAAAAGTTGGATTTAGTGTTATCAATGGGAGTTTGGATTTCTTCTAACGAAACGGTCAATAAGCAACAGTTAGATTTAATGAAAGAATTGTTAACGATGTATCCAAGAAAATACTTTGATAGCATTATGATTGGAAACGAAGTTTTGTTTAGAGAAGACAAAACAACCCAAGAATTAATTGACATCATCAAACAGACCAAGAAGTTTTTGAAAAATATTGGTCTCATTGATTTGCCAGTTGGTACTTCAGAAATCGGATCTTTGGTTAACGGGGCCTTGCTTAGAGAATGTGATATTTTCGGAGCAAACATTCATCCCTTTTTTGGTGGTGGTTTGGTGGAAGATGCTACTAATTGGACCATTGATTTCCTCAAATATCAAATAAATCCAATGAATGAAAAGTATAATACTAAAATCGTGATTAGTGAAGTAGGATGGCCCTATAAAGGAGGTAGTTACCAAGCATCAGTTGCCAATAGCACGAACTTCCAAGCATTCCTTAATCAATGGGTTTGTCAATTGAAGAAATTTCCTGATTTGGACTGGTTTTATTTCGAAGCTTTTGATGAACCTTGGAAAGAGATGTTTTACGAAGGCGATAATAAATGGGAAACTGAATTTGGAATCTTTGACAGAAATAGACAAATGAAACCTGGTATTCAGTTTCCTCAATGTTCCGAATAGTGTATTAATTTATTTAAAGGCTATAGATCTCAAATAATAACCATAAGTAGAACAAACTAAAACATCCAAAGGATATAGTAGTGTTTAAGATGACCCATAAATCAGGTAAGTAGTCTGGAGGTGGCAAAGTTAAGTCAATAGCATGGAATCCTATCACCGCAAGGTATGATAAAGTGAAAATTATATTCCAGAACCATGAGTTTCTTTGAAACAATAAATTGCTTTTTAATTTGAATCCACCAATTAACCAATTGATCATTATTAATAACACCCAATATTGTAAAGCCAACCCATCTCGTTTCAACAAAGGAAATAAACTGAAGGTAGCCATATTATTTATCCATTGAATGATAGAAATATAATAATCATCATTTAAACAGAATAATAAAGTACTTGGTATCAAAGGTACTAATACTGTCTTTTCATGAACCTGGAATGAGAAAAGATAAAATCCCCATGATGATGCAGCGAAACCATAAACTAATGAAAGATACTTGGATTTGTTAGTTGAAGTTTTGGAAAATTTGGAATTGAAAATGTGCTTATAAAAGATCATTAAGTTTGGTGGTAGAATGGAAATCAATGTTAATAATAAAGATATCTTCGTCAATTGATCATTAGTAAATATAGTTTTATATTTGATCAATAAATTGGTTGTACACCAAAAATTTGCAACTTTATCTTCGAACAATCCTCTGTTGAAAGGAAAAACTCTAATCAAAATTTGATTCAAATTCTTATAAACATCATTCCAGTTACAGAAAATGAAAGGTGATAAGAATGTGAATACAGTAATCAAAATTGTTAATCCAATTGAAATTAATTTGGTGAAATTGAACTTGGTAATCAAATTTGAATACTTTTTGTTATTGAAATCATAATAATTATTGAACAACTTAGCTAATATGAAGAAGAAAATGAATGGAGCATAATATAAAGCCATTTGTTTGAAGAAAATAGAACTCATAAACCAAATAGAAGCTAAAATATAACTACCCTTTAACAAGTCAAGTAATGAGAATAAGAATAATCCCAACATGACCGAATTGAATTGGAAATGGCCATGATCTATTAAGATGAGTGATGGTTGACACATGATAATACAAGTGATGATTATTTGATCAATCCTACTTATATTCAATTTCTTACCCATGAATGTGATGAGACCAAGTAAAGCTGGGGAGAATATTATCAATTCACTAATTAAACTAGTAAATCTCATATAGTTTTTGATATCAACAGATTCTAAACCTCTAGAAGCATCCAACTTAAACCAATCAGAATTTATCAAACTCCCCAATTGACCAAATATATACAGATGGAAAGCTGTCAAAGGAGGATAATCCAATCCCCAATATTGTAAATCATAGAAGTACCATTGATCGATCGGTAAATTAATTGTTATTTCCATCCAGTGTCTTTGGGCTTCAAAATCTCCATTGATAGGTTTTTCTTGAAATCCCAGGAACGATCCAAGTCCCACAGCAGATCTTATTATCATGGCAGTGATAATTAAAATGTACCTAGCGGCCCATTGATCGGGTGCCCTCTGGAAATTATGAAGCAAATCAAAGATTGGAGCTGTGTGGAACACACTCAACTTGTTGGGTTTTTTAGTTGTTGAACCTGCTTTAGTAGATACCTTCTTCTTAGCCATTTAATAATTTTTCAACGCGATTGACACTATTAAACATGTTGATGAACTTTAGTCACACAAAAATAGTTTTGTGTCACATAAAAAGACACAGTTACAATCTTCCATACTTTTTTATAAATTTTACCAACTACTGGACCTTAAACACTTCCTAAAACAAGGATATAGCGTCCTAACCTTTTTTTCATCACTTTACAATAACAAAACTGCATCCTTCCTTCAACAAATGGCAACTTGTCCGAGTGGTTAAGGAGAAAGATTAGAAATCTTTTGGGCTTTGCCCGCGCAGGTTCGAGTCCTGCAGTTGTCGTTAATTTTTTTCATTTCCTTTTTTTTGGCTATGAGAATTTTAAAGGCTCACCTAAGAAAGATATGATCACATTATTTTGAATATGCCACGTTCAGCCACCAATACTTTAATTTTAACCCAATTGCCTGAAGACCTATTACAGGATCCTCAGTTGATTTTAAACGTCCTAGTAGAACACAATCATCTATGTGAATTAATCTGCCTAAAGAAATTTGGTAGAATATTGCTAATCTGTGAAAATCATTTAGTTGCCCAGCAAGTCTTTAAGGTTTTGAGGAACTGTCAGGCTTTGAAGAGTATTTATATAACTTATAGTATGCAAGATAATGAGTTCACAGCTAATTTGGAAGTCACCGAAGCCATGGATTACTTAGAATTGCCTTCTGAAGATGGAAGTAAGAGATTCTTGATTTCTCCCCCACTATCACCACCACCGGAATGGGATCATTGGGATAGGGTAGAAGAAGGCCCAAACAAAGTAGCCATCTTGAATCCAGATGAATTGTCCAATATATTATGGGAAAGATTAGGAGGTGTAGATAGTACTCAAGTAAGAAAATTCCAACAAGCCGATAAAGAACGAGATTTGAAAATGGAACCTCAAGTTTTATTTGAAGATGTTGAAAATGATGTACCTGTCATCATGCTCGATCAAGTAGATCCTCCAGATTTGATACCAAAACCCAATAAACCCGTATACAAAACTAGTTTACCACCTACTGTGTAAACGAGATAGATGTCGCGATGTCGCGATGTCGTGGTCGCTGTAAAGACAAGATGAGATGGGAAATTTTTTTTTCCAGACCACATTAAATCATTATGGCTAAAACTAGATCAAAGGGACCAATTTCTCCCGGTACACCACTTTCTGATAAAATGAAGAAGATAAAAACCAAATCATCTGTCGAAGCATCACCTAGTTTAAGAAAAGTCAAAGAAGGTAAAATTGATAAGAAAGTAAAGAAATCACCAAAAAAAATTCATCCTGTTGAAGAAGAAACCATTGAAGAATCTGGTGAATTAGTTTCTAACAAAGTTGCTCAAGGTGCTTTAAAAGAATTAAAGAAATATGTTGAAACTCAAGAAAAACCTAACAAACTGGAATTATTTGACGATGAAGACGATAAAAATGTTTACTTACAAATTACTACCAAGAAGTATTTCTCTGATAAACCAAATTTTAAACCAAAAGTTATTAAATTATCACATTCAATCATTTCCAAATCATCAGATTCCGAAGATTTCAAAACCTGTTTAATACTTAGAGATCAATTAATTACTGAAAACAGTCAACTTGAAAAAATTGAAGGTGAAAATATTTCTACTTTAAGTAAAATTTTAACTTTAAAAGATATCAAAACTGAATACAAACCTTTTGAAAAGAAAAGACAATTATATAATGATTATGATTTATTCTTAGTTGATGATGCTTTGTTGAATTCCATGCCAAGTTTATTAGGTAAAGTGTTCTATAATAAGGGTAATTCTAAGGTTCCATTACCAATTAAAGTTGTCTCAAGTTCCAATCCTAAACAGTTCTCAGTTCAAACTTTCAAAAATCAATTAGAAAAATGTTTATCATCAACTTTCTTCTTACCACCAATGGGAGTTAATATTTTAATCAAATTTGGTATAATAAATAAGAATTTGGATAATGAATTAGTTGAAAATTTACAAGATATCTTAAAGACTTTCAATAAAGATTCTTTGAGATCAGTCATGTTAAAAACTTCAACTTCTCCTGCATTACCATTATTTTATAATGATAAAATTTATGATGATTCAGACATATTAAAGGCTAAATCTAAGAAAGAAAAATCTAATGAATTATCAGCATTCGAAAAAGGTTTATTGGAAATTGGTGATGTTGATGAAGTTACTAAGATTGTGGGTAGTAAATTATCAAGAAAATTGAAAAACCAATCATAATTCCTTATTTGTACAATATAAATGTCATGGCTTGTGATCTATAACACTCTTTTCTGATGCGCATCAACTTCTACGCACTTTATGTGGGTTTTCATTTATGAAAGTAAACTGGGTACAAGTATGTAAATACAATACATTATCTTGATTCAATTGTATACTAACAATGACTAGTAAGAAGGAATGTGGAAATAGGAAGCGTTTATACTTTTGGGAGAGATAAAGATTCACAGAGTGATAAATTCATTACCTGTGAACTGTTATCTATATCTAAAGAACAATTCACTTTTGAAGCCATTGCGAAGGATGGGCTGAACGGAGAACCTTGTTTGAAGATGAGTTTTTTGTCCAAGGCCAGTACTATCATAAATGGTATTAAATATAAATGTGGGAAGGATAAATCACCAGTAATTGAGAAATTTCTTGATATCAAACTCAGTATAAGCTTTCGTGATCCTGATCATAAGATAACTATCTCCTGGATACCTGTGAAATTAGTAGCTGGAAACATGGATCTATCATCACGTATTAAAAATTTGTCGGAGAAGTACGACTTCTCGATTTGTGAAGATCTGAGTGGTGAAGCTATTATCACTACAGGAGAAGTTGACGAAAAGGTAAAAGCCTTGGCTCCAAACATGAAGATTTTGAATATCAAATGGATGGAAGAGCTCCAAGGAAGTAATGAGGACTTTCTCGACGAAAAGTATATGGAAAAGTATGAGATCGAACTTCCTACTGAAAAGAAGAGACCTTTAGAGTTAGTCACAGAGACTATGGAACCAGAGGTTGCTGAAACTCAACAAAGTAGCCAAAGAAGAAGAAAAAGAGTTAAAGTATCTAAACCAGCTTTCGAGGATCTTTTCCTGTTCACCCCAATGGGACCAGAAGAGTCTCAAGTAAAGGATACAGTAGTCGAACCCTTTGAAATTGAAGAGAATTCTACCAGAGCAACACCTACCACAGATGCCCATGCCAATGATACTCCTACACATCCATCTATAACTCAATCTGTGGACTCAGAAACTCAAATGCCCGAGAGACAAACTGAAGAGGTCATACCTGATAGCGACACAGAATCGAGCCCAATTTCTCTTGTGGAAGAAACTAAACATGATGAGTCCATATTAGTTCAAACATCCAAACGTAAAATAACATTATCACAAATGAAACAAGACGATACCGAAATAAAGATGGAAGATCCTGAGCCAAAGAAAAGAAAATTAAACACAAATGTAGAATTCATTAGAGCTATACAAGCCACCAAAAAAGAAGGTGAAGACAGAACCAATGATCTTAGTATGGGAGATATTGATGAAGAGGATATAAAGAACAGAATTGATGATCTTTTGATTATTGAAACTTTCGAAGTCCGCCCTAGACCCAAAGCAAGTGAAGTTGATAATTCACAAAAGTACGCTGGACGTAAGAATTTCAAGACCTTCAAAAAAGCTAAAAAATCAACTCAAAAAGAAATCATTCCTCTTGAAGCATTACCTGAACCAAAGTATATACCAAAATATCAGGAAGAGGAATATGAAGAAGCCTATCTCGCTTCACAGTTCAACCAAATATCAGGATTTGATCCTGAAGTTCAACAACCAGGACAATTCTTCAATGACGAGTCCGGTATGAAGTCCAATGATATTTTCGTAGGCGATGAATCACAATCTCAAATGTTGGAGGTTCCTTCAAACAGGCCAAGTCCAAGAAAGTCAAGGCAAAGACCTAAACCCACATATACTGATATGGATGATGATGAAGACGATGACGATGACGACGAAGATTCAGAATTACCCCGGTTTACATTCAAACCTACATAAATACATTATTCCTGATCCCGCATAATCCCATAGAACGGAAGTACGTCGTATGGGCTTGTAAATAGTTATGAGTGAAGAAATCTATCTTCCCAAAATCTTTCTTAATACATAATGGATTCTCTCCGTCATGGCAATCTACCACCTGGTCAATGGTAGGGACAGTCTCTGTGGCTGAACAATTTAAGTATATCTGGTTGGAGAATTGGGTATACGAATCTATGATATTGTTATTACTGGGTATTGTGGTCACCACATCGTTCTTGTGGATAACTCTGAAGAACTTCCTATCAAAAGTTCCATGCACTACAGGTTTACTGCTACCTAGTACTTCATCAGCCCAAGTAACAAATGGTTGATTGCCCACTAAAGGTTGACCCATGGTTATGACCGTCATGTTATTGTACCCTAGATCTAGATAATACAAAGATAAAAATAACGATATAGCCCCTCCTAATGAATGCCCCAATATAAGTAATTCGTAATCATCCTCTCCGTCCAATTCCCTTCGTAGAACCTTATCAATTTGTATCAATGTATTGAGATAATATCTGTAGAACCCCCTATGAACTCTACACCTAGTACCACATTCTCTAAGCTTGGTACCGAGATTGTTATAATTTACCATATCCACCTTGATATCAGTATAGGAGTCGAACAATGATCGAGTACCTCTCAAGGATACTATAATGGTTTTCTTGGAGGTAGCTTTATAATTGAAAATATTAGAATGGGTAACGGCAATATAACCACAAACAGAATCATCGAAATACCATTGATGTACTAAAGTAACATTTGGAAATCTCTCTTCACAATTCAAATCACATTTAAATGGAGGATCTATATGGGAAGTTGAGGATACACAATAAGAAATATCAATTAGATGAGCATAAGTAAACATATTTCGATAAATGTCTTCATCTAAAGGTTCAGGATCAATCAATGATGAAAAGACCACTGATTGGTCCCCTGGGATAATTTGGCATAGTCCTATATTGAATAATAACAACCAAACAAAAAGTTCTAAAGTCATTGGGGAGTCATCACTGATAAGAAGATTTCGCATCTCTCCACATAATTGTCCCATCCCCAGGCTTGCTGGAAAATAGAAAGGCCACAAAAACCAATAGCAAAAACAAATAGATGACACAAATAGTAACAAAAATTATGGGGGATCGACGTTGCTTCCTTAAAACAGACCTTGTTGAGGGGGCTGAAGATTTCATGATTGAAGTCACAAGACCGATAATTTGATAAACGAAAGGTATTGTGGGGAGTAATACGAGGAGTCGTATAAGAATTTCTGTGGACACAGTAACATTTTTTAGCTGCTGTAAGACATACTTGCTTGTTTGAATGGTAAATTCGTACCCATTTATAACCTTTGCCCTGATGAAGCTAGGAAGTGAAGCTAGTTGAAATACTCTCATCAAACTTTCAATTTTTTTGTCAATTTGGCTAACTGTTTTCAATGTTCTTGACACTTGGGTGTCTATGTCGTTTAGTGATTCGTGCATTCTCTCTTCAACCTCCAAGAAGGACTCCTCGAGTTCGCCAAACAACTCAGTTAAGAAATCATTGATATAAGCTTCATTAAGTCGCTTATTTTGCTGTTGAACCAAAGCGTTTTGTCCTGTGTCTTTTAACACTTCATTAATTCTTGAAACAAGATTGTTAGTTTCCATTAAATTTTTGAAAATCAGGATTTCTTTCTTTTCTGTTTCTTCTAAATATGAGCCCATTCCTTCGAGTTTATCTTTAACGTCATCTACTACTTGGGAAAGGGTGTCAGAGATTTCATGAGATTTAAGATCAACTGTCTCCTTCAATTCTGACATTACTTTTTCGATCCCTGAATTGACAATAGCTTTCAGGATCTCACTTAGTTCTTTGTTCAAGAAATTTAGGTTGACTGCCATTTCGTTCAAGTTAATCTTACCTACTTGAGTTAATGACACTATCAATTCAAGACTGTTTTCAAAACTGTTTTGGAGGTCTACAGTAGTATCTTTGAGCCCCTTCATGGTGTCATGTTGAGTCTTCATCACCATGTCTGTGATGAATTCGACTTGATGAACTAACTCATCTAGCTTCTGTTTCATATTGTTTTGCACGATTTTCGAGTCTGCTAGAGAATTGCTGAAGTCTTTGTCAAGTTTGATAAATAATCTGGTGATATTAGTATATAAACTCAATATCTGTTCCTTCTCATAAGGTAAAGATTCTTCAAAACAAATCTTTTTGATTTCTCTGAAGTTCCCACTGAAACTTGTCCAATACTGAGGAATCTTTTCTAAGATTTTAATGCAATCATCATAATCTAATATGGTATTCAAGTTTAAACACCCTTGGGGTATTTGGATGTGTAAGTTATTCATCTCACAAAGTGTTAATTTCAATGCCAGATACTTCCTCTCTTCAATAGAAAGATATTCAACTCCTTCGTCTCTGCAAATACTCAATATTCTACCTAAAGCTTCTTTGATACAGTTGGATTCAACTTTGGCAGACTGATAAGCTTCCAACTCTTGAATATAATTTCTAACACATTCTCCACAGGTTGCAAAAACACCAAATGCAAGGACAAAATTCACGAAAAACATAAAAAGTTCCAATAGAAGCTCGTATAAATACTGAACAGCAAAATATTCAGTATTTATACAGAAAGATCACCGAAAGGCTTTTGTGGATTCATCCTCAACACCTTGCATATCTGAAACACTTACCACCAAATCTGAAACACTTACCAAAAAATGAGTCGCAAAAAAATTTTTAGTGTTGAAATGCTTAGATCGGTTCGAGGGACTGCCTGGAAAAGGTACTTCAGTTCCAAACCTAACGGTCTCTTTACTCCTAATGAAGAGATAGAAGCCACTCTGATCCCATCAACGTTGTTGAAACAACTTGAGAAACCTAGGATTGAAGTTGAATACGAAATGTTAAGTCCAGAACACATTTCAGATTTGATACTAAAGCCTAGCGTGAACGATCTTTTTTTTATCAGTTTTGCCATGGGATCTCCATTCCTAGGCAAGGATTATCAAGTTATTCCCAAAGATCCCAAGGATAAGAACTCCACTGTGTTTTTGAAATTTAGCGATATCGCTAACGACTATATCAATGTGTTCAACCAACAAGTCAAACGTTTAAATGAACTCCCCAGCCCACCAGTGATACCGCTAAATCAGAATGTGGAATATACCATACAAGAACAAATTTCAAAATACAAAGAAGATGTTGGGGAACTCGATTTATTCGAATTTCTGAATATCACCCATCTTGGTAATCTTTTACAACTTGCTGAGTCTTACAGAATGAACTTGGAGAACAAGAAGGATAGTAGCTTATCCAATTCTTCTGTGACGATTGATAATTTCTGTATTTTTCTTCTTAGTCAATTAGAAGCCGAAGTTGAAAGTTTTCCGCCTGTCATAAGCTTCATTGAAAGTAACCTTGGTTTATTTAACAACGAAGGTTTAACTACCATTGTACAATTATTGATATCAAGATTCCAAGACATAAATGATGCAGGGGCTATTGAAATTTTCCAGAATTTTATTACAAAAATTTATAATGATCATAGTTATGTGGCATCCAAGCTCGATTCTTTCCTGATAGATGTATTGGCTAGAAAAGCTTTACAGAACGGTGAATACGAAAAGGGACTGCAAATATTGAAAGTATTGGTGGAAAGAAATTCTTTGTTACCTTCTAATGATACGATAACCAGATTTTTTGAGTCTTTACCTAAAGAATTCACAACCCTAACCAAAGAACAATTCATACGAGAAACTAGTTTCATGAAGCCAGCTATTTTCCAATCTTCCATCAGTGAGGAAACTGCAAAGGTCATTCTTCGATATGGGGTCGAAAATTTAACTGAAATGGAACATTTTATGAGATTGATACCAAACAACATCACCAAACAACTCGTCAGCGAGATTATATCAAAAACCGTTGACATTTCAGAAACATCTTTAACAGTTACTCAAATGGTCGTTTGTTTGCTCAAGACAGGGGCAACATTGAATGAAGATATAACGAGACAAATACAAGAATTTTACAAAAGTAAAGGACAAGATTCCAATAAAAGATACTTAAATTAGTGTACATAGTATATACATAGTCATAAATCATGAATCAAGATTGTGATTGAGGTCTTGAAGGTTGGGAAACGTTGGTATTTCTACTCAAATCTGATAATTGAATTCTTTCTCTGTTCAAAATGCCATGAAACTGACTAGAATTCAAGGAAACTTCATCTTCAGTGCCGTTGAAAGGGGTATGCCTCCTCCAACTATTAGAGTTACTTTGTTGTGATTGATTATGGTGTTCCCTATCTCCATAATTACTATAGAAACCATTGGTGTATACATAGAATCCATCATCACTCCCAGAATCATTGGGGTCTGAAACCTCGAGATTACGGTGTGCTTTCATATCATCATTAGGGTAGAAATACTCCTCGTCAAGGTGTCTTCTTGAGAAAATTGAACGTCTCATAAAGCATACCATAGTAACTAGAACTGCTAAACAAATAATTGGGATTATCTGAATCCACCCAAGATAACTCAAATAAGGACTGAATAGCAAAATGTCTGACAAAAGTCCCAATAAAGTGAATAAACAAGACAAAATGGCAAACACCAATTGAAAGTTGAGAAAGGGAATCAAATTGACACTTCTCGTGATCTTGGAAGTTTTGGAAGTCTCATCATCATACGACCCTCTGGATCTATTAGTATCAAGATCCTCTTCATTTTTATCGATATGTTTCTCATATAGTTTCTCTCGAACCCAGATTGTGATAATAAATGTAAAAGCTACAAGTACCAACATTCCTGTGATAGCAAATGCTACCACATGGACTACTAACAATTTGGAGATACTATAACGAGCATTTGATGGCAATTCTACTGCCCCAAATTCACTATCTAGGAGGGTCGACAATGGATACCCAATTTTGGGAGGAGAACATCTGTTGTTAACATAATCACACAACCCGAAAACTCCAAAAACAAAGTTATTATATTTGGCAAAATATATCCCATAATTATTACCTTTCCCAGTCAATGGTACAGATATCACCGGTAGGAGCTGTATCACAAAACTTATCAGTGATAGTACTGCTACTAGTAAGAGGCCCTTATTCATATACAGCGAAAGTTTCAGTGCGACAGAGAGATAAGGGCAGTGTTTTATGGGATGAAGTAATGGTTATTTCGTGCACCTTGTAGGTAATCATCGAGTAGGATTACATATCATTCTTACTGAAATGGAATGTCAAAGTTTCATAATTATGGTTAACAATGGTTATGTTTGCTGGATCGTGGGTATACCTTAAAAAATGGGCCCGTCAAACTTTTGATCCTCTGATCTACACCCATCTAATGATCTCTTGCGTTGTTCGATCCCCTCATGTTCTCCCATAGCTTTCTAAATATTCCAAACAAGTCTTATCTAACTATGAAGCCTTCAAGATAAATTGATCACGTGATCTCACACCATAAAATTCTCAGTCTTAATCTCAAACCTATGGTTTCAAGATTTTTCATCATTGTTGCATTGATTTCTGTATATATTGCCACTTCTCGTTGTATAAATAATTGCTTCAAACGTATTCCAGTGAGAAACATGTCTATTCCATCAGATCACAAGTATTATAAAGAGTTAGAAATTGCAACTCTAGCTGTTAAAAGAGCTTCAAAATTAACCAAGAAACTTAGTGATTCGATTGCCACCACTAGAAGTTCAGGTTCACAAATCAAAGAAGACAAATCTCCTGTCACTGTTGGAGATTATGCGGCACAAGCGCTTATCAATCATGCCATAAAAATCAATTTCCCAAATGACGAGATTGTAGGGGAAGAAGATTCTGAAAGTCTTAAAGATGGAAGTGAAGAAGCTGATAGACTTAGTAAAAAAATCTTCGAAATAATTCAAGAAGTACAAACTTTAACCCCTTCATCCTCAGAAAAAATTGGTGATTTGACTGACATTGAATCAATTTACAAAAACATTGACTTTGGTAATTCAGAAGGCGGTTCAAAAGGTCGTTATTGGGCTTTGGATCCTATTGATGGTACCAAAGGTTTCTTACGTGGAGATCAATTTGCCGTTTGTCTTGGTTTAATTGAAGATGGCAAAGTCGTATTAGGTGTTATCGGGTGTCCTAATCTTCCAGCTACCATAATAACCAACGAAGAAACCTCAGGAACCGTGGGAGGTTTGTACTCAGCTGTTAAAGGAGTAGGATCATTCTACTCTCCTCTTTTTGAGAGCGATGATTTCACCCCATTGTCTCAACAAAAACCTATTAAAATGACAAAGGAGACTTCTCCTGACAAATTGAAGGTTGTGGAAGGAGTTGAAAAAGGACACTCATCCCACCTGACACAATCAGATATTAAAGCGGCTTTAGGTTTCGACGAAAAAACTGTCAAAAAACAAACCATAAATTTGGATTCTCAAGTTAAATATTGTGTTTTAGCTTCTGGTCAAGCTGATATATACTTAAGATTACCCATCAATGATAAGTATCGTGAAAAAATTTGGGACCATGCTGCTGGTAACATCTTAATTTATGAAAGTGGTGGAAAAGTTGGTGACATAACAGGGGAAGAACTCAATTTCGGTAATGGTAGATACTTAAATTCTCAAGGTGTCATTGCAGGTAATGAAGCTATTTTTAGCAAAGTAATTGATTCGGTCAAAAGTGTTTTAAGTAGCTAAATATAAATTTGTAGTTTCCCAAATGGCTGCGAAAAATATTCGAGCATACAACTCTGGGGTATAAATAAAAGTTCGAAATAGCGTCAACTTTTTATCTTGTAATGACTTCTGTTATTCCAAAACCACCGGATTTCCATTCCAAGAGGATCACAGATGATCATATGGATAATATGATCTTTTACCTCAAATACAAGAAAGATCATGAGATTAAACCTTCGATGGTACGGGGAAAGTGTCTCAAGAAATTGTATTCAGAAATACATTCCCTAGTACATGATATCCAAATCAAATATGATAAACATCAGTCGGTCAAAAGAGATCATTGTCTAGCTGCCAAATTTTTGGCAGCGGTTTTGACAAGCCTACCATTCCTCTATTGTGAAAGTAGAGAATTCGAAGATTATCAATGGACAAGAATTGCTTATGATTTGGGTAATGCTGACGAGTTGTTACCCCATTTAGTGAGGTATCAGGTAGGTCCATCATTCTATATCAGCTTTGGGTCCATAACTAATCAACTTAAAAGAGAATTTTTCAAATTGTTTGCAACCAATTATAAATCACCCAAGCATCCTGATACTGCTGATGATAATTTTCACAATTCACCAATCATATATCGTGATAAACAAATAAATGAAGAATTCGAATATTTCACCACTGATGAAATAAAGCGTTTAATCATAAATGGTGATCGTCTCCATAGTGACTTCACTCAGTCATCTGTACCTAAGAAAGATCCTGCCAATAGCGAATGGTATCATCATTGGGGATATGTTTATGAAACCAACAAAGATGCACTTAGAGCAATTGAACTTGAGATTGGTAATTATCATCTAGAAATATCTTTCTTACAAGATTTACTTGATCTCAGACTAGGTTATTTTAATGTTCAATCTACCAACACATCCTTGTCGAATCTCATAAGGCAGAAAATCCATAAAATCAACTCTGTCTACTTGCCCCGATTACAGAAATTGAGGGCAGTCAAGCTCAAGGGATTACAATCCACCAAACCTTTTTCATCTAAATTTTATGATATCTTACATTATTAATATTTTTCAATTCTATATACATTGTTTTTCTATATACATTAATCGGTGAACTCTACTACGTGATATTTTTGCTTACCTGTTCTTATTAACAATAACTTATCTTCGAGTAAGTAATCTCTATCAAATAACAATAAATCGTCTGGATCATCGATTTGATTTCTCTCGATTCCGATATACATACCTCCAGATTTAATGAGGTTTTTGGTTTCAGTTCTTGATTTGTTCATAACTTTTGCCAACAAGGTACTCAATTTCAATTCGTCATATTGTAATTCATTGCAACTAAATTTGGAAAGGATACCTGACTTTCTAAAAGCTCTCAATAATTTGTCTGCAGACAAAGACTCGTTGAAAGGTTGGTCAGGGGTGGGGAATAAGAAACTGGTAATGTATGCCATCTCGTCACCCACACCAACACCATGTACCAAATCTGTAACTTCACGGGCCAAAACTCTTTGTGCAATTCTATAAGCAGGATCTTCTTTGTGTTGAGCCATGACGATGTTATCAATGGTGGAAATCGGTAACAATGTGAAGCACTTCAAGAGCTTCGAAACCATTTCATCGGGAACATTTATGAAATATTGGTATAATTGATAAGGGCTTGTGGCTTGTTCGCTGATGAAAATGGCATTTCCAGCAGACTTACCAAATTTGGCCCCAGAAGGTGTGGTTAACAAAGGGACGGTCATCCCATATGAGGGCAAGTCAGTATCTTTCTTATTAGTTTTCGAAGATTTTTGTAATCTTGAAATCAAATCAACACCAGCAGTGATATTTCCCCATTGATCATTACCTCCGATTTGCATATTGACTTTATTGTTTTTGAACATATGCCAGAAGTCATATGCCTGTAAAATTTGGTAGGTGAACTCGTTGAATCCAAGCCCACTCTGGGATTCTAATCTTGATTGGATGGAATCTCTTCCTAACATAGCTGACACACGAATATGTTTACCATATGTGGCTAAGAAGTCCAACATTTTTATGTCCTTCCACCATGAATTGTTGTTTAGTGACTCAGATTGTCCTAAATTCTTGATGGGATAGTTTCTAGACCTGGCATATTCTATTCCACGACTTATAAATGTAGTCATTTGATTTTGAATATTTTCCACATTATCCAATCTTTCTTTCTCTTCCATCTGACTTCTCTCGGTGGTTCTACCACTAGGATCTCCTACGGCACCAGTGGCACCGCCTACTAAAGTAACAATGTCATGGCCCCTCAAATTGAAATGTAACAAAATCATCAAAGGAAGTAAATTTCCAAGATGCAATGATTTGGCTGTAGGATCAGCACCGCAATATAATTTGAATTTGGCATTAGATTCTTCGGCTGTCAATTTATATAAATCATCATTGGTAATGGATTCGACGAGGTACCTTGATTGTAAATGGCCCACTAACGATACTTGGAAATCTGGATCGTACGACTGTTGTTCGGTCAAACTTTCGATCTTCGGTACAATTGTGATAGTTTCTGGTATCTTAGTATCACCTTCTGTTATAGATGATTGAAATCTTCTCATCAATGCCCCAGGTTTCCCTGAAGGCATTCTAGTTAAATGTCTTAACATTAATACAAGTTGGTGCAAAATGTGAGAAAAAATCGCATCTTGGATTTTTGCAAGTTGAATCTTAAGCATAAGTTTTAGCGTAGATCTTCATTACATCGGAATATAATGTCCAACAATGAGACTAATGTCACAAGTAATGTGCTAGAAGCATCTGGAATGTCGAAGAAAAGAAAAAGAAAAAGAAGTAGGAACAAAAATCCCACAAATCCTGATAATCAAGGTGAGATCTCATCTGAATCTTTACCTAATGGACAGGTTAAACAACAAAAGACAGCCAGTAAGGACGGTAAGATCATAGAAGGTATACCTGGTGTCGTGGGAGATATCCCTGTAACCCAATTATCCGAAAACCCAAAGTTAGAGAGGGATACGAGAGGACAAGCTTACGATGGTAACAAGAAAGGGCATTTCAAGAAACCGACTTTCGAATCTAAAAAGAATAAATCATTCGATAATTACAAAAGTAAAGACAATAAAACAGTCAAGTTCTTTGAAAGGACCAATGATGAGGATGAAGACTACCATAGACCAACGAATATGAGTCGTAGCCAAAGAGCTGATAAAGCTAATGAGCTTCTTGAGATAAGAAAGACACTCCCTATTTATCAACATAAGGACGAGATTTTGAAATATGTGGCAGAAAATCAAGTAGTTGTCATCATCGGGGAAACGGGGTCCGGTAAATCTACCCAAATTCCACAATTTTTGATTTCTTCGAATAAGGGACAGATAGCAGTGACACAACCTCGTAGAGTTGCGGCTTCATCATTAGCACAGAGAGTGAGTGAAGAATATGGCTGTGTTTTGGGAGAAGAAGTCGGTTATCAGGTCAGATTCTCCAATGTGAGTAACAATAAATTAACCAAATTAAAGTATTTGACAGATGGTATGCTTTTAAGAGAAATAATGCTCGATAATAAATTAAACAAATACAGTTGTATTGTCATTGATGAAGCACACGAAAGAACTATCCTCACGGATATGATCCTTGGTTTTTTGAAGCAGTTAATTAATTCAGGCGAAAGACCAGATTTAAAAGTGATAGTGATGTCCGCAACGTTGAACGCTGAATTGTTTAGTCAATTCTTCCAAGCTCCGATTTTATTCATCGAGGGAAGAACTTACCCGGTTGCCAAATATTACCTTACTGATTCTTCAGAAGATATCGTTGATACTATAGTTCGTGCTGCTGTTCAAATCAATCTATCTGAGCAACAAGGAGATATATTATGTTTCTTACCCGGTCAGGAAGAAATTGATACGGCTGTAAATATCTTGTCAACTATTGCTCCTGACTTACCCAAAGAAGCCCCAATAATCGTACCATTACCGCTTTATGCAGCCTTATCCCCAAGTCAACAACTGAAAATATTCGAAACTTTACCTAAAAATAGAAGAAAAGTGATTTTGGCCACAAATATTGCCGAAACGTCCATTACTGTTAGTGGTGTAAGATATGTTATTGATTCAGGTTTGAGGAAAGTCAAAGTATGGAAACATGAATTAGGTTTGTCTTCATTGTTGACGACCACTATATCCCAAGCCTCTGCTAAACAAAGAGCTGGTAGAGCTGGTAGAGAGGCTCCAGGTAAGGTCTTCAGATTATACCTGGAGAAAATCTATCAATCCGAATTACCCAAAGATCAAGAATCAGAAATTATGAGAAACGATATAGTTCTTCCTATCTTGACGTTGAAAAAGATTGGAGTGGATGATTTGATTTACTGGCCATGGTTGGAACATCCTGGTGAAACGGCTATTTTGAGTGCTTTGAGTACGTTGTATTCATTAGGTGCCTTAGATAACAACGGTAAGATCACAAGCCTAGGTTACAAGATGGCCGTATTACCTTTACCTCCACAATTATCAGCAGTTTTAATCACAGCAATGAATTCCGGAGTCTTAAAAGACGTCATAGATATCGTGTCATGTATATCTGTCGATAATCTTGTTCTTAACGTCACCACTGGGGATGGAGAGATGAGAGATGAAATCAACTCCAAAAGGAGAAATTATTGTCCTTTAGGATGTAGGTATGGAGATTTAATTGCATTCAAAGAATATTTCCAATATTTTGAGGAGTTGAATAGCATGGGTAATACTGAGGAATTGAAAAGCTGGTGTTCGGAACTTCATTTCAATTTCAAAGGGTTTAAGAACGTGTTAAGAATCAGACAGCAATTAAAAGATTATATGTTCGGTACCATAAGGCAAGATGACTCCATCAACAGAGACGAAAAAGACCAACAGTTAAATAACTTGAAATCTCAATTGGTTCCAGACTATGACGATATTACCATCAAAAAGCCTTTAGATATTCCAAATATTCTAAAATCTTTCTTGAAAGGTTATATCACCAATACTGCTATTGGAATGCCTGATAGATCTTATAGAACTTGTACAAATGGTCAATTGATCAGTATTCACCCTTCGTCCAATTTATTTGGAAAGTCGAATCTTGATGCCATCATGTATATAGAATATGTCTTCACATCCAAGGGTTATGCTAGAAATGTTTCAGCCATTGAATTATCATGGTTGCAAGATGTCGCACCTCACATTTTAGGAGGGACAAAAGTAACAATCAAAGATTAATATATATTCGCGGATTGCACTTCTTAATGAATAGTCCTCTACCATTGATACCCTGCGATGATCCAGTAGATGAGGATGAGCAAGTTTCAAGTTTCAGCATTGGGGTTTTGGGGTATATGATTTTATTTGCAAGTTGGTTGGTTTTTGTCATTTCATGTAACACATTTTTTGAGATTTGGAGGTATGTCATATTGCCTCTAAAAGGTGATACATACGAAACAATAAGTAGGTATTTCGAAGTGGTAGATGCTTATGTGTTCAAATTCTGGAATGTTTATGTTGTAATTTGGTGGTGGGCAATAATCTCGTGGACAGGGTTGAAACTATTTAGACATTCCAAAGGAACCAGAAGAGAGAAACTTAAAGGTCGTGGAACAAATTGATCTACATCAGAGACGTATTCCAAGACAAGCTGATAATTAGCTGGACCTTAACAGCATAATGATGACCTATTAATGAACTTTTAGCATAGAATAGAGATGAATAGAATGAATGTGTTTATAGTACAGTAGATTGATTAATTCTATACTCCGTCTTCCCCTCTAGCTTTGGTCCATTCGGCCCCCCCTGTTTGTCTTCCTCTTATATTCAAGGATGCGATGGAAGGTAACAGTTCTGTCCTATGTGGATTTCTCTCTTGTCTGAATAACACGAGACAATCATAATAAAACTTTCTATAATCTTCTGGTGACTTCAATTGACCAACATAATTTTTCATTTGTTGAAAGGCTGACAATTTAATGAAATCGTTCACCAGTGACACATGAGTAACGACTGTTGATTGATCTATTTTCTTTTCAGGATTATTAATATACTTACTTGATAAATCCATTACATAACTGTCATTTATACCTATGACCCAACTCATTTTCTTACCCCAATTATCGGTATACAAGTTTGGTTGATCAAAAGCTGCTTCACAAGGATCAAGATGAATCCATCGTTTGAGATGGTGACTATAATACTCACACCAAACATGATCTTCATTATTCCATACATACCTCGTCTTCGAATCTTCTCCCAACACGGCCTTGAGTACAAGCATGAAACAATTGACCCATTCACCACATCTTCCTTTTCTGGTATAAAGCAATCTCACAGGATTATTGATACGTGGGAAAGCAACATTGATACCACAATCATTACATGTGTAAACTTCAACCCTAGTAATCTCGTCAGGATTGGGATTCGGAGGAGGTACTGCTCCTTTCATGACAATATTATCTTCACATTTCCCACAATTGGTACACTTTGGCTTTGTAACCCAGGTGAAGAAATCATTTTTGAAATAATGCAAAAGTTCAAGGACAAGGCAATCTTGCATTCCTAATGAAGGATGTTTCTTTTGTCTTTCTTCTAGTCCACTATAAAGCTTGTCCATCTCAATGACTGATTCAGCAATGAATAAATCATTAGCATCATTATATCTATCGATCGACCCTCTCAAAGCTGTGATTGATTGAGTGACCGCCCTGTCCTTGGAGTTTAATCTTGACAATACTCTTTTTTCATGAATGTTGAAGTATGTATCCAAAGTTTCGAAAGCTACTTTCCCATAAGCAGTTATCAACCCTTCACTTAGAGACTTGACATCCATATTTCGCATTTCCATGTGAGGTGGATGAAGATAGGTATCCATGACACGTCAATTGTTTAAAATTATGATGTGATGAATGGATCAGATATTTAGCAAGTTTGCATGAATCTACTTTTTTTTTTTTTGACTTTATTTTTTAGTATTCATGGAGATTTTTTGATTGCTTATTTTCATTACAGAACCGTAAAAATCACGAAATTAAATAAAATCAAAAAAAAAAGATCACTTGAAAATCCGTATAATCATGAATTCAGAGCTATAGTTATCCATTTATCATATTCTGAGAGGCATTGATGGTGTATTGTGGTCCAAAAAGGCAATACATCAAATCAAAAGATCTCTCCACAAAATTGCGAAATAAAGATGAGTTGTGAAGATGAACATCATAATCATGGTAATGGACACGGACATGGACATAGTCATGTAGCTCCATTGCCAACCAATGAATCACAGAATCTTGTGGATAAAATAGATTCACCCCACGTCAAAGCACTTAATCTTGCTAACCCTGGAGATGAGATCAGTAAGCTATTTAGGAAAGCTGATGAGAAGTATCAATTGAAACCAATCATCAAATCAGATGCTGATTCACAATTGATTATTAATATTCCATTCTTGAATGGTTCTGTAAAATTGTATTCTATCATCATTAGAAGTAATGGTGATAAATATTGTCCAAGGACTATCAAACTATGGAAAAATGATAAAACTATTGATTTCGATAATGTTAATGAAAGAAAGCCTACTTATAAAATAGAGCACCCACAAGTTGGTGTTATGTATAATGACGAAGATGATGAAGTTCCAGATGAAATAAAGAATGATGGTGAATTCATTGAACATTTTTTACCCAGACATCAATTCACAGGAGTTCAACAGTTGACAGTATTCATAGAGGACATCTATAATAACGATGACGAAGATGAATGTCATTTACACTACGTTGAACTCAGAGGAGAGTTCACTGAGCTAACAAAAGATCCAGTAATCACCTTGTATGAACTGGCAGCTAACCCTGCTGATCATAAAAACCTAACTGTTACTGAATCGGCTAATTTTTCTTTCAACTAGTGTGGTTTTTTAATTTATCCGGAACCATCACCTCACTTCCTTTTCTACGAACCTGTGAAAGTTTTAAACTCCGGGTCAATTCATAGTAAAAATATCATATATCATGACCTATATCTTAAATATCTATCAATACATATATTGATCAAACTGTTAGTACCAAGAGAGCTCATTTAACCCTTGGAATAATCAGGGAGTTAAAAAGTGCAGCAAAAAAAATGGTGGACAAAAGTCCGAATTCGAATCACCAGTTGTCGAGGAAAAAATCTATTTAAATACTCAATAGAATCTCAATTATTGAAAACAATTTTATATAGAAAAATGGTTAAATTAATCTTAGTTAGACACGGACAAAGTGAATGGAACGAAAAAAACTTATTCACTGGTTGGGTTGATTGTAGATTATCAGAAGTCGGTGAAAAAGAAGCTTCAAGAGCTGGTGAATTAATTAAAGAAGCCGGTTTAAACGTTGATATTTTGTATACCTCAAAATTATCAAGAGCTATTCAAACTGCCAACATTGCTTTAAGTTCAGCCGATCAATTGTACGTTCCAGTTAAAAGATCATGGAGATTAAATGAAAGACATTATGGTGATTTACAAGGTAAAGACAAAGCTCAAACTTTAGAACAATATGGTGCTGAAAAGTTCCAAACCTGGAGAAGATCTTTTGATGTTCCACCACCAACTATTGCTGATGATTCAGAATTTTCTCAAGCCAAAGATATCAGATACAGTGACATTGACCCAGCTGTTTTACCAAAAACCGAATCATTGAAATTAGTTATTGATAGATTATTACCATACTGGCAAGATGAAATTGCTAAAGACTTATTAGAAGGTAAAACTGTTTTAGTTGCTGCTCACGGTAATTCTTTAAGAGCTTTAGTTAAACATTTAGACAAAATTTCTGATGAAGAAATTGCTGGTTTAAATATTCCAACTGGTATTCCTTTAGTTTATGAATTAGATGAAAAATTACAACCAACCAAACCAGCTTATTACTTAGATCCTGAAGCTGCCGCTGCCGGTGCTGCTGCTGTCGCCGCTCAAGGTCAAAAGAAATAGTTAATACAATGTGTTTTTCTGACTGTTCTCTCTTTAATTATCATTTCTCTTGATGTATACTTAGCGTTTGTGTGTCTCATCATTTTGTCAAATCGCAGAGTTGAGAAAAAAACTTCAAAACAACTAAATCATGTTTGGAAACTCCAATAGTTCTGGATTTGGTAATAATTCATCCAATGGGTTTTCATTTAATAACACCAACAATACCAACAACAACACCACCAATAATACAAGTGGTGGGTTGTTTGGGAGCTCCAATTCGGGAGGTTTTGGTCAAACAAATAATTCTGGTCAAGCTGCTTCAACGGGCTTTGGAAGCGGTAATACAGGTTTTGGAACCAACAATACAGCTACTACTAATAATACAACCTCAAACACTTCGAGTTCGTTCTCATTTGGGGCTAAACCTGCTGAAGCAGCCAAATCAACAAACTTCTCATTTGGTTCAAATAACAACACGAGTAACCCAACAGCCAACACTGGATTTTCATTCGGTGGTGCCAACAGCAACACTACAAACAACACAAATAGCACAACCCCTTCAGGAGGTCTTTTCGGAGGTCAATCAACCACAGCTCAAAAACCAGCTACTAGTGGATTTTCTTTAGGTTCATCAACTGGTGGATTTGGCACATCAGGTGGGTTCGGTTCAACTGAGAAGAAAGATGCCCCTCCCACTGGGTTTTCTTTGGGTAACACTTCTTCCAATACTGGCGGATTATTTGGATCCAAACCTGAAGATAAGAAAGATACTCCAAATTCTGGGTTTTCGTTGGGAGGTACTTCATTAGGAGGCTCCTCGACTTCCGGAGGGTTATTTGGATCCAATAGCGAAGCAAAGAAAGATACCCCAACCACAGGATTCAGCTTGGGTTCTACCAACACTTCATCTGGTTTATTTGGATCAAAACAACAGGAAAATAAACCAGCTTCTGGGTTTACGTTAAACAGCACTCCAGCTTCAGGTGGATTGTTCGGTTCCAAACCAGAGGAAAAGAAAGATGCACCAACAACAGGATTCAGCTTAGGATCGACACCTGCTACAGGGGGGTTATTTGGTAACTCTACAGAGAAAAAAGATGATAAACCTAAGTCTGGCGGTTTTTCCCTTGGAGGATCTGCACCAGCTACCGGTGGATTATTTGGCAAGCCAGAAGAAAAGAAAGACGACAAACCAGCTAGCTCTGGATTTTCTTTAGGAGGCTCCACAAGCAGTGGTTTGTTTGGTAGTAAACCAGGTGATAAAAAAGATGCGCCATCAGGAGGATTGTTTGGCAGTAAACCGGAAGACAAACCAGCTGCCGCACCAACAACTGGTGGATTATTTGGTAGTAAGCCAACTGAAAAGAAGGATGACAAACCAAGTGGATTCTCATTAGGTGGAGCAGCTACTCCATCAGGCGGATTATTTGGTAATAAAACAGAAGAAAAGAAAGACGATAAGCCTGCTGGATTCACATTGGGAGGAAGTAAACCTGCTACTGGAGGATTGTTTGGTAGTAAACCAGAAGAGAAAAAAGATGCCCCTGCAGGAGGTTTATTTGGAAGCAAACCAGCTGAAAAGAAGGACACTTCCGCAACAGGAGGTTTGTTCGGTAGTAAACCAGAAGATAAACGAGCTGCCTCAGCTGGAGGATTATTTGGTAGTAAACCAACTGAGAGTAAGGACCAAACAGCTCCTACAGAAGCTAAAAAAGATGATAAACCGGAAACTTTGAAACCTACTAAAGTTGAACCAATTGAAGTGTCAATAGATAACAAGACTTTGGATGATTTGATCACCAAATGGTCCAAACAATTAAGTGTCACTTCCAATATCTTTGAATCGTATACTTCAAAAGTCAAAACTTGGGATCAAGAATTGGTTCAAAGTGGCGAAGAGATAAGTAAGTTATACCAAGATACTTTAGAAGCAGAAAACTTACAAAATCAAATAGACCAACAATTGGGATTCGTAGAAAGTCAGCAAGATGAGTTAGAGAAATTATTGGATAATTACGAACTTCAAGCAGAGAACTTGTTAAATAATATCGAAACCAACAACTTCAAAAACGATACTTTACTTTTAACCAACAGTTCAAACAACTCCACCGTTAGTGGGTTAAGTGTCACTGATAAATTAAGAGAAAAAGCCTATCACAATGCTGAATTATTGGATGAAAGATTAGGAAATATGGGAGAAAACTTAAGCTTGTTGATCAACGAAATCAATTCTGTCAGTGATATTTTCAATAAGAATTTATTAAAAGACTTCCAAAATAATTCAAAGAATAAAGACGAAAATTCGATCGAGGAGATTTTAAAATTATTGAACTTACATTTGGAAAATTTGAAGTATGTTGAAAAATCAGAGGAAACTTTGAAAGAGAAGTTGAAGAAGATTGAAGCTACTAAGAAATTATGAAGGGGTTATTTCATCCCTAGTTATCGTCTCATTTAAATTTGCATTTGGAGCGCATTTAGCATTCACTCGAAAGTTCTACTTGCTTAAAAAATCAAGAACCTTTGGCTGACTACAAAAATACGGTTTCAGCCAGCCGTAAACTCATCCGTGGTACGCCCAATTCACTATGTATCTTAATATATTTTCATGTACTCCTACCCCAGCTTTCGCACTCACATGAAAAATGAAAACCCAAAAATACTCAGGTATTACTTTAAATACTGATATACATTCAAAAGAATTACTCACACAATGGGACCACCTATCTTACAAATGGTCAAACTTTTGTTTGACCCTGATGTTTCTAAGAAAATGATCTTGCAATTGGCTTATAAACAAGCCAAAGCTGTTGGATTTCTTAAAATCTTATCTTTCTTGTTGGGAGCTAGTATTGTGGGAGCTTCAACTATTATAAAAATCCCCCAAATTAAGAAAATTTTGAATCCTAAATTATTAGAAGATAGAATCAAAGTTTCTCAAGGGTTATCATTAAATGGTATTAGTTTAGAAACTTTCAATTATTTAATTCATGTTCTTTACAATAGGAATAATGGGAATCTGTTCTTGGGATATGGAGAGGTGGCATGTTTAGGAGTTCAAAACGTTGTTATTATGCTTTTGATTAATTATTACGAGAAGAGAGCCACATTAGAGAACACTACTTTAAGTGACAAACAGAAAATTAGAGAATCTTTAGGTGCTTTAGTTAACCCAATTGGTATTATCGTAGCTATCGTAGTTTTGTTTGATAAGATTTTACCTCATTCAGTAATCAATGGGTTACAGGTATTGAACATTCCTTTGTCAATTATTTCGAAGTTGCCACAAATTCAAAGAAATTACTATTTGAAATCTACCAAACATTTATCTAATATTACTGTTACAGCCAATGTATTAGGTTCACTTTCCAGAGTTTTCACTACAGTTCAAGATTTTAACAAATTAGGAAGAGATTATGTCTTATTGACAGGTTATAGCGTGTCTTTCATTCTCAATTCCGTTGTTGCTGGTCAATGTTATTACTACTCTCAACCAGAATTTCAATCGGAATCCGAAAAGAGAGATTAATTCAAAATGTACGTAAAATTCCGCTCGTTTAGGTAAAAAAATGCCTGTCATGACTCTTGATTCCGCCCGCACTGGAAATATCTAAGAATGGTTCACAGGGCAGAATATTTACCTCCAACTGGTACTAGTATCGGTTCAATCTTACAAGGTGGTTACAATCATCAATTATCTAGAGAATGGCAAAATCCTCGCCAGTTAACTAAAAACATGTTTATCTTTCCATTATTCATGTCTGATATTGATGATGAAGAAACAGAAATGGTTCATTTACCTAAAATGAAAAGATTTGGAGTTAACAAAATTGTGAAATACGTTGATGGATTAGTTAAAAAAGGTTTGAGAGCTGTCATCTTATTTGGAGTCATCAAAGACGAAGATAAAGATGAAGTTGGAACCAAAGCTGATGATCCTGAAGGTCCAGTGATTAAAACCATCAAGTTATTAAGAGAAAACTTCCCTGATTTATTCATCATGTGTGATGTTTGTCTCTGTGAATACACTAGTCATGGTCATTGTGGGGTTTTATTAGAAGATGGAAGTTTAAACAGAGAACAAAGTACTTTGAGATTAGGTAAAGTTGCCGTAAATTATGCTAAAGCTGGTGCTAACTGTGTTGCCCCTTCAGACATGGTCGATGGTAGAGTGAAAGATATTAAGTTGGGATTGATCAATGAAAATTTGGCTCATAAATGTCTTTTAATGTCTTATTCTGCTAAATTTTCTGGAGGATTATACGGTCCTTTCAGAGACACTGTTGGAAGTCAACCAAGTCACGGTGATAGAAGAAGTTATCAATTACCAACTGGTGGTGCTGGATTAGCCCGTAGAGCCTTGAAAAGAGATATAGAAGAAGGTACTGATGCAATTATTGTTAAACCTTCCACCTTCTATTTGGATGTCTTGAAAGATGCTGCTGAAATCTGTAAGGATTACCCAATCTGTGCTTACCATGTTAGTGGGGAATATGCAATGTTACATGCTGCTGCTGAAAAAGGTGTTGTCGATTTGAAAGCAATTGCTTTTGAAAGTCATTATGGATTATTAAGAGCTGGTGCAACCTTGATTATCTCATATTTCACTCCCGATTTCTTAGATTGGCTTGACCAATGATCGATATAATGCTTCAACTTCTTGTATATAATCTTTATGCATTATTCTATAAACCTATGTGAAACATCCTCTAATATTATCTAAGCCGCAATAGGATTAGCACCTTCTGGTTCTTGTGATTCATCCACTTCTGATTTCTCGGGTTCGATCTTGCTTGGAACATCAGGTAAGGTCTGTATCTTATCATTGGGTGCATCTGGTAAGTTGATCGATTCCTTACCATTGATTTCTTGATTCAACTTTTCTAATTCTTCATCAACTTCGAATTCCTCATTATTACTCAAATTTCCTGCTCCCAACAAATCACTTACTTCATCTACCCTTAACTTGTGATCCTCCAAGTCGTCTAGTATCTTATCGATCTTATCAACACTCATTTCGGTATTCAACTTATTCAATACTTTATTACCTTCAGTTAACCCATAAATTACATCCTTTTCAATCAACTTGAATTCTATGGTTCCTATCAAGTTTTCAAGGTTATCTAATTGATCATATGTTTTGGTGATAACTGATTGTTGATGTTTTTTGGATCTTAAATAGAACTTTGCTCTATCAGTTTCTCCTTTCTTAATGGCTTCTTTAGCTAAATCATTTTGTCTTTGAATAGTGGTATTAATACGTTTTTGATACTGTTTCAACTTATCTCTCTGTTGTTTCATTTGAAATATAGCCCTGTCTTGAGCCGTTATCTTAGGCGTTGAAGGTCCCTGTCCCATTATCTTTATAAACTGTAACTTTGTCAATCCTTGGAAATGGGTTAGATGTCGTAGATGTCGTGCTGCGTCAACCATTTGTGTCTTGTGAGTGTTACAAAAAAGTCGCGAGTCGCAAAATTAAATTAAATTACTGCAAAAAGAGATTTTATAAACACCACCAATTAAGTTACCAAGTTGAAAAAAAAATCGATTTCAAGAACATTATTAAACTATCTATTTTAGGTAAATTGATATCATTGCATCGAATTGGGATTTTTTCCGTTTTCTTTTTCTAATAAACGAATATCGACGATCACTCATTTTTACCTTTTACAATTAAGAAGAAAAGAAGTATCACCGGTGGTATTTGAGTAGATTATAGACCTGGTTGTCAAATTTCACTTTATTATAGACATATTCTGCATCAATAGACTTCCATAGACAATTAATATTTAATTATTAGCATAGATCATCAGTAATGTCCCAAATTATAAGATCACCATCTTCGAGTTCGGGACCTTCAAGTTCTTCACCTATCAAGAACGACAGCCTAAAACCAAGAAAAAGGTTTACTTCACCCAAAGAAAAGACAGACAAAATGGGAATTTCTCCTAATAAAAGATTGCATTTGAAAAACATGAGTCCCAATGTTACCAATAAGACTATATATATAAATTTTACTCCTAAACCTGAAGACAAACTTATCAAGAGACCGACTTTGAATCGTCCTATTTCCAATAAAAGATCTAAAAGTTCCATCATCAGCAAGAAACCCACTTTGACATTATCACCTAGCAAATTATCTTTAAGAAGAACTAATTCTTTTAATGATAATGCTTTGAATAATAATAACGGGAATCCTACTGATAGATTCATCCCATCAAGGCATAATTCCATAACAGGAAAATTACAAATTAATAATAACGATCCTCATCCAAATGCATCTCCCCAAACACACATTAAATATCAAACGTCCAAAATCTATCAGAAACATGTAGCTGAAGCTTGTGGTTTAGAAATGAATTCTAGAATCTTACAATTTCAACCTTTACCACCAGACAGAAAAAAACCTATTGATTTATTTACGGCAAACTTGTCAACGAATTCAAATAAATCTTTGAGACCTTCGGTGGCTTTTGCCAGAGCCAAAAAAATTCCTACAGCCCCAGAAAGAGTGTTAGATGCTCCAGGTTTAATTGATGATTTTTATCTTAATTTATTGGCTTGGTCATCGACGAACTTATTAGCAATTGGTTTACAGGATACCGTTTATGTATGGAATGCCTCAACTGGATCAGTAGGATTATTGTGTGAATTACCTAACAAAACATTGGTCACTTCTTTGAAATGGTCAGATGATGGCTCATATATTTCTGTAGGTAAAGATGATGGGTTCATTGAAATTTGGGACATTGAAACCAATACTAAATTAAGAACTTTGAATTGTGATAATCATTTGACCAGAATTGCCAGTCAAGCTTGGAATCAACATATCTTAACTAGTGGTTCAAGAATTGGTAACTTGTACCATTCAGACGTAAGAGTTCCTCAACATTTCAATAATAAATTTGAAAATGTTCATTCAGCAGAAATATGTGGTATTGAATATAAACCTGATGGTCAACAATTTGCTACTGGAGGTAATGATAATCTTGTGTGTATCTGGGATGTCAGACAATCCGTAGTTAACCATCAACCTTTATTCACCAAACATACCCACAAGGCTGCTGTGAAAGCTTTGAAATACAGTCCTTTCCAAAACAATTTGTTAGTAACAGGAGGTGGTTCAAGTGATAAAACCATCAATTTCTGGAATACATCAACAGGATCAAGAATCAACTCAATTGAAACTGAATCGCAAATCAGTTCTTTGAATTGGGGGTATTCTTCAGGAACTGGTATCGAAATTGTCGCTACCCATGGAATGCCTAATAACAATATATCATTATTCAATTATCAAACTTTACAAAAGACTGGAGAAATCATCCAGAGTCATGATTCAAGAATCTTAAACGGTTGCTTGAGTCCTGATAGTTTAACTTTAGCTACAGTTGCTGCCGACGAAAATTTGAAATTTTGGTCTATCTTTGATTTACCAAAATCAAACAAATCTATAGAGAATTTATCTACTGATGATCCTAATTTTAGTGATGACATCAAAAAGATGAAGAAATTAATGAATTTACGTTAATGTGTGGAGAACAAAACTTTTAGCAATCTTCGAAATTTTCAAATCTCTGGTTAATTCTTCGAATCTCTTTTCATGGTAAAATCTCTTTCTCATAAAATAACTCCACCCCACCTATATAAACCTGGTTATCTCCCTTGAAAGGGTCCTTGATAAACTTTTACTAAAAAACCATCGTCGTGGCAGAACCAACATCTCTTAAAATGTCGAGTGAGAATCTGACCCAAAACAGAAAATCCTTTATCAATTCAACTTTTTTGTGTATTTAACCTAATTATTAAAGGGACCAATACATAAATACATCACCATACATCAAGAATAGTCCACAGACATATCAGAAATTTTATCCATTCATAAGAAAATTCACACAAAAATGTCTACTGACGGAGAATTTACAAGGATTCAGATTTTTGGTACCGTGTTTGAAATTACCAACAGATATACTGACTTGAACCCAGTTGGAATGGGAGCTTTTGGGTTGGTTTGTTCGGCGGTTGATAAATTGACTGGTCAAAACGTTGCCGTGAAAAAAATAATGAAACCATTTCTGACCCCAGTTTTAGCTAAAAGAACATATAGAGAATTAAAGTTATTGAAACATTTAAGACATGAAAATTTAATTACTTTAGATGATATATTTTTATCACCCTTAGAAGATATTTATTTCGTCACAGAATTGCAAGGAACAGATTTACATCGATTATTAACTTCAAGACCTTTAGAAAAGCAATTCATTCAATATTTTACTTATCAAATTTTAAGAGGATTGAAATACGTCCATTCAGCTGGTGTTATTCATAGAGATTTGAAACCTTCAAATATTTTGATTAATGAAAATTGTGATTTAAAAATTTGTGATTTTGGTTTAGCCAGAATTCAAGACCCCCAAATGACAGGTTATGTTTCTACCAGATATTATAGAGCTCCAGAAATTATGTTAACTTGGCAAAAATATGATACTGAAGTAGATTTATGGTCTGTGGGATGTATTTTAGCTGAAATGATTGAGGGTAAACCTCTTTTCCCAGGAAAAGACCACGTCCATCAATTCTCAATTATCACAGAATTATTAGGTTCTCCACCTCCTGATGTCATTGATACTATCAGTTCAGAAAATACTTTAAGATTCGTTCAATCATTACCTCGTAGGGATCCAATTCCTTTCAATGAAAGGTTTGCTCATTGTACTCATGTAGAACCTGAAGCTATCGATTTATTAACCAAAATGTTAGTTTTCGATCCCAAGAAAAGAATAAGTGCTGCTGATGCTTTAGCCCATCCTTACATGGAACCATATCACGATGCCACTGATGAACCTGCCTGTGAAAGCAAATTCGATTGGAGTTTCAATGACGCTGATTTACCTGTTGATACTTGGAGGGTAATGATGTATAGTGAAATCTTGGATTTCCATCAAATCAGTGACAATAATGATCAATCTGTTGGTGTAGAAGATGTTTCTGTTGGTCAACAACCTCAAAAAGTAGAATAATATCCTTCAATCTTTTAATGTTTTAAAACCTTTTGAACTAATGACACATAATTTTTCCCATCGAAAGCGATGAAAATGATCGTAGATAAAACCTCTAAATATATAAATATGAGATATCGCGAAACTTTATCTCTAATGAGAAATGATAGATCATAATGTTATTGAAAGTTACACCAAAATCGTTGATGACAAGCTATCAATTGAGTTGATTTACACAAAGAAGAACGATGAACTTGTGAATTGTAATTTGAAATTTCATAATATACTGAATAGCAGGATGATAATAAACGAAACTACAGATCAAAATAACAATCAGTCTGAAAGTTGGTTATCGGGGATTTGGGGTCTGAAAGACGAATCCGTACCATTGAAACGACCTGAAACTCCAGATGTTAAGTTATTCTTGGGGTATATCCAATTGTTTGGTTATGTCGTCTTAAATTATAAGTTTGGTTTAGACGAACCTAAGAATATGACAATTCTGGATAAAGCCCCAAGAAATGCAGCATGGTGGCTCAACAAAGAATATTTGGAGATGTATGCTGATTCTGACGATGACACTTTTGAACGTGATATAGCATTGGACTCAACGCCCTTCATATTGGATAATATTGTTGAACCTATGGTAGTAGGAGGAAAATTGGGAGGTGTTAATGATTTGATCGTGGAAGAAGATGGAAGCTCGTCCATAACCTTGGATTCAAGTAAAAGGTATTTCTTGCATGATCTTATACTCAATTTCAATTCTTATAAAAGACCAAGACCTCATGAGGTTGAGAATGATGGAAGAGTGGAGTTAAAAGAGTTAAGTGATAGTATATTGCCCTTTTATTCCACCAGTCAATCTTTGTTATTTTCAGATTTAATAATTGATCCTTCTTCTACCAAGGAGTTCAGTTTTTCTTTCCCCAATGTTGAAGACTTACCTCCCAGTTATAACACTAATCTGACAGGAATAACTACTGAACAGGGTTTGATTAGTATAAGATATCTGATGATCTTGGGGTTCCTGAAATTAGATCAGTTCAAAAATTTATCACCGGTGTCGATATATTATCCATTCACTGTTAAAGCTGAGAAGAAAGGACAAGATGAAAGATGGTTTCAACCAAATTATTTACAGCATATAACCATCGACAAGTCTTGGAAGATCAATATCGATGAGAAGAATGATATACAGAGTAATGGGAATGACCTCAAACTAGATGGAAGGGAAATTAAAGATACGAGAGAGTCATTTTTAACTGATTTAAAGAAATTAATCGATTCTGATTTACACAATATACCCAAAATGTCCACAACAGAAAGAAAGAAAAGTTTCCAGAGTTTACATGACCCTGAAGATATCAAACCGGGCTTAGTACCACAATTACCACCTCATCTCAAGAATCAGTATCAAATCTTGGTTAATAATAACCAACTTTGTTTAGTTACGATTTCCAAACCTTATTATCATTTGGGAGAGGACCTTTCATTCACAATAGATTTAAACACCGAAAATCCGCCAGAAAAGCAAGCAGCCAAGATCTCGGGAGTTACAGTACATTTAGAAGCTCATGAAATTTTCCATTTGAAAGACACTAAAAAAATTACTAACATTTACAGGGTGAGTCAGAATGTTAAGCTTAATTCGTTTTCACCATCAATGTTAAATTCAGTTATCATAAACAATGAACAGAATCCATGTTTATTGAATGGTTATTTACACATTGCCAATTCGCTTACACAACAATTTCAAAGTTCAAAATTAATGGATTTGAAATATTTTGTAGTGTTTAAATTCAATATGTTACATTTTGATAAACACAAAAATGTCAATTCACATGATGCAACTCCGCAAAATGGACACACTCGAGGGGGTGCAGAATTCGAAGCAAATAATTCAGGAGGTACGCAAAATGAAACTAATGGTGAGAGCTCAAATGCTGAAACAAACGTTGCCGACACGGAACTATTAATGGAAAGTTTGAATATAGGAGAATTCAATACTGCAAAATCTTATGAATTCATCAATAATTATAAATTTAACAATCCCGGTAATGATTTTACATTTAGAATCCCCATAGTTATTTTACCTTGAACAATTTGTTCGCTTAAAAAAAAGTCGGAAAAATTGCGAAAGGATCTGCACTGCATATTGTCATCCTAAAACGGGCGAAATGTCTCGCCTGAGGGCCAATTACATTTCCTATTTAGGTTAAATTACACCCATTTCAGGAAAGTAATTATAAATAAAACAAAAACTATTTCATCGCTAAATGAAACCTCTAACAATAAGAAATTGTACCGATAACATCGAGAAATTCTCATCTTCTTATATATATTGCCATTCTGCACGTCCAGAAAAATATTTATCTCCATAGAAAATTTTTTTTGAATTGAAGATGAAGTTCACCACATTCGTTACCAGTTGTTTAACTTTCGTTTCATTAGTCAATTGTCAAATAGTAAGTCCAAGTTTCACTGAATCTGAAGCTGACTTAGTTGAAAGAGACTTGAATATTCCATCCTTAGTTTCAGATTTACTTGATGGTTTTGACGTAGCAGATATCATTTCCAATATAGATTTCGAAAAGATTGCAGGTTGGGCTGATAATTTATTGAATGAAAATGACAATGTTCAGTATTTAGACAAAATTTTAGTTGGATTAAAGAACACCAAACTTTTACCAGATGCTGCCGTTTATATCGTTACTCATAATTCAACTTTAGAGCTCTTAGAAAAAGCTTTACCAACAGTATTAAAAGTTGCAGGTCAAGTTAATACCACTTCATTGTTTGTTGCTTTAGATAGATCAGGTTTAGCTTATTCCGTCGTTGCTGGTGCCTTGACTGATGATACCTTTTTACCAGCAGTTTTAGAAGTTGCTCAAAAATTGATCAAATCTGGTGATATTGATTACCAAAGTTTATTACAACAAGCTGGGGAATTCGTTTCCGACAAACTCGGTAAGAGAGAATTAGCTCTTTTGGAATATCAAACTGAGGTTGAACCAATGCAAGAGTTAACTAAAAGAGATAACATTGAAGACTTATTGACCACTGTTTTCGGCTCAATTGAAAGATCAGGTTTAGTTATGGATACACTCGACACCTTATTAACAAATGATGAATTCCAAGATGCTACTGTTATCTTGATTCAAGGAGCTCTCCAAAATATTGGATCATTTATCTCAGGAGTCAATTTTTCAGCTTTAAAACCTTTCCTTACCTCATTAAATGAATCCGGATTATTACAAAACACTTTACAAAGAGCTTTGAATGACCAAGGTTTAAGAGAGGCTTTAACTAGTGATTTGGCTGCCTTATTGAAAAAAGGAACTATCAAACAAACTGATTTAGTTGCTAAAGAAGATACTCAATCCGTTTTAGCTATGTATTCGTCCATGGATGCTAGTTCAATTGAAGTTTCTACCACCACTGCATCTTCATCAACTACTTCATCAAGTGCCGCACCAACTTCTGAACAATCAAGTTCCGATGATAGTAGTGCTTCCTCATCTACCATTAACTTTTTAGCTCTTGCCATTTGGTCTTTATCATTTGGATTAATTTAATTTATATAAGATTCTTAATATACCAAGCAAACTGACCAAGATATGCCCTTATCAGATTTTTCCATTGACTTTGTGTACCTCCTAAAAATTCTTCTTAGCCCAACTTTTCAGCCACTAGGCCCCCTTGTTTCAGTGTGCGGCGCGATGAGCTAAATTGACCGCGCAAACGATGAGAAAAATCCTAAAAGATGCAACCTTTTAACATTGATCTTACCGACAACGAAGACAACGAATCTTTGAATTCTCCACCAAGGCGTTTGATCATCGATAGTGATGATGAAGGAGACGAACTTTTATCCAAATCTCATAATTCAGCTCATTTTTCATCCGCCGAAGACAGATATTATAAAGACCACGATTTGAAGCTTAAAGCATTTGAGGCTTTACATCATGACAAAAGTCCTCAAGGAAGCCCTATCAAAAGAAGACAATCAATCATTGATTTACCACCATCATCATTGACTTTCCACCCAACTCCATCCGTGGCCTCTCATAATAATGCCCATACTCAACAGAAATTATCCAATGCTAACGCTTTACCTGAAGATTATCCTTCAGATGAATTGGTTCAATTGTTCAAGAACGTCAAGATGTCACTTGAATTAAGACACAAATATCAAAAGATATCCTTACAATCCAGTGAATTGGAGAATCCTAAAAATAGTGAATCTTGGGATATTTATCCACCACCACCAAAGCCAACTTATAAGTCTAAAAACAGGTACAATCAATTACCCAGCGAAACTGAGGAAGTTGAAGAAGAATTTGATTTTTCCAAATGTGAAATCCCTGAAGGTACTACCCTTTTCGATTATAGAACCAACAAGGAAGATGTTTTCGAGATTTATAGTAAGGAGACAGGAGCACCAATGGTTCAAGTTCCTTCAATCGGAGAATACTTCTCCGATTTGAACAAGATTATCAAGATTTCATCAGATGGTCCTACCAAATCATTTGCTTATAAGAGATTAGAATATTTGGAAGCTAAATGGAATTTGTATTATTTGTTAAATGAATTCGAAGAGACCAAACAATCCAAAAGAAATCCTCATAGAGATTTCTATAATGTTAGAAAGGTTGACACCCACATTCATCATTCTGCTTGTATGAATCAAAAGCACTTGTTGAGATACATCAAGTATAAATTGAAAACTGTTCCTGATGAACAAGTAATTTTCAGAGATGGTAAAGTTTTAACTTTGGCTGAGGTATTCGAATCTCTTAACCTTACAGGTTATGATTTATCGATTGATACCTTGGATATGCACGCTCATACCGATTCTTTCCATCGTTTCGACAAGTTTAATTTGAAGTATAATCCTATCGGAGAATCAAGATTAAGAGAAATTTTCTTGAAGACTGATAATTTCATTAGAGGAAAATACTTGGCGGAGATCACTAAACAAGTCTTTGAAGATTTGGAAGGTTCTAAGTATCAAATGACAGAATTGAGAATTTCCATCTATGGTAGATCTTACGATGAATGGGACAAATTAGCTAGTTGGATCATTGATAATAAATTAGTCAGTCATAACGTTCGTTGGTTAGTCCAAGTTCCAAGATTATATGACATTTATAAGAAGAATGGAAATGTTAAGAATTTCCAAGATATCCTTGTTAACTTATTTGAACCATTAATCAAAGTCACATTGGATCCTAGATCCAATCCAAAATTACACGTATTCTTACAAAGAGTAGTTGGATTTGATTCTGTAGATGATGAATCTAAAGCCGAAACTCCTCAAAGGAGGTATTCTCCAGCTGGCCAATGGGAATATTCTAATAATCCTCCTTATTCATACTACTTGTACTATTTGTACAGTAATTTGACATCTTTGAATCATTTGAGACAAAAATTAGGTTTCAACACATTCCTTTTAAGACCTCATTGTGGTGAAGCTGGAGATCCAGAACATCTTATTAGTGCCTTTTTAACTGCTCATTCTATCAGTCATGGGATCTTATTGAGAAAGTTACCTTTCATTCAATACTTATATTTCTTAGATCAAATCGGATTGGCCATGTCACCATTATCCAATAATGCTTTGTTCTTGACTTATGATAAAAATCCATTCTACAGTTTCTTCAAAAAAGGTTTGAATGTATCATTGTCTACAGATGATCCTTTACAATTCTCATACACCAAAGAACCATTGATCGAAGAGTATTCTGTAGCAGCTCAAATCTATAAACTTTCAGCTGTTGATATGTGTGAGTTAGCTCGTAATTCAGTATTACAATCAGGTTGGGAAGCTAAGATCAAGAAACATTGGTTGGGTAAAACTTACATGGAAGGAGGAATTGCCGGGAACAATACAGAGAAAACCAATGTCCCTAACATCAGAGTTGATTATAGAGAACAAACTCTCAATAGTGAATTACATTTGGTCGATTATTATACAGAATTACGTCAATAGATTGGTAGTTAGAATGTATAGACTTGTAAGCGCATAAACCCCAAAAACACTTTTTTTGCTGCGAAAATGTATATAGAGGGTGGAAATCGTTTTATGATTTATTTCCACCAATGCCCATTGTTAGACTTAGAGATGGTATTGTAGGACATGGCCAGAAGCTACCTGTGGTTATGACAATTGCTGGTTCCGATAGTTCTGGAGGAGCAGGCATAGAGGCAGATCTTAAGACATTTACTGCTCACAAAGTATATGGAGCAACTTGTATCACTGCATTAACGGCTCAAAATACTACAGGTGTGAAGTCTATTCATCCAATTCCCAAGGAAACTGTCAATGAAGTGTTGAAAGCTGTGTTTGAAGATTTTTTGTATGAATATTCCGATCCTCCTTTGAAGGTTGTCAAGACTGGAATGCTAACTCAGGATGCTGTAGAGGTATTGAGTGATTATGTTAATGATCTCATAGACAAAGAAGTTAAATTGGTACTAGATCCTGTGATGATAAGTACTTCTGGGTCTCAATTGTTCGATGAGAAGGGTATGAGGTTATGTATTGAGAATATTATAAGTAAAGCTTATATCATTACGCCAAATTTCCCTGAGGCCTTGGTGTTACTCAAGCTTGTTGATGATAATGAGAGCTTTACGGGGGTAGATGATGTGAAGAGCTTGGAAGATTTGAAGAATTTGGCTAGAACATTACAGACCAAATTACAATGTGAGAATATCTTAGTAAAAGGAGGCCATATTCCCTGGAATAAAACCACTGAAAAACCTTTTCAAACTCATGATAAACCAGAAGATAAAGTAGTTCTTGATGTGTTGTATGAATCGTTAAAAGACAGGTTCACTATTTTCCTCGCCAATGCTATTGATTCCGAAGATTCTCATGGAACTGGGTGTACTTTGGCTTCATCCATTGCAGCAAACATAGCCAAGTCCAAGACTTTGGTAGAAGCTATTGGTATATCTATCGATTATATTCATGAAGGGATGGTCAATATGACACACAAGCTAGGCAGAGGAAATGGACCTATCAATCATTTGATCGAGCCTGCCCTCGACTTCCATAAAGTATTAGAAAAGGACGTCCAACAATTCCTGGATTTACTGAGGACAGATGTTTTGCATTACTTCAAAGAACACCCAGAAATTAAGGCCAATTGGGAAACTTACACTAATCATCGATTTGTGAAGTTACTTGCTGAGAATAAACTTCCATTTCACCAATTCTTATATTTCTTGAAACAGGATTACTACTATCTCATTAACTATGCCCAAATTCATGCGTTGGCAGCATCTGTAGCACCAAATTACAGTCAAACCCATTCTGAATCTTTGATAATCCTGGAAATAGTTAATGAAATCGAGAAACATAAACAGAAATTGGCAGACAATTATGATATAGTTTACGAGAGAGACATTGATTTGGATATTGAGCTTTCACCAGGACCTGCTTGTAGTAATTATTGTAACTACCTTTTGGAAAAAGGGAAGTCTGAAGATTATTTGGGGATCAAAGTAGCTTTAGCACCTTGCCTTTTTGGTTATTACGAGGCAGGGATCCAGGGGGTAGAGATTAGAAAAACTCATGATGGTAGTATGAATGTTTTGACTTCAACAACTCACTCAGATACTTATGATTCTTGGTTGGGTGACTATGTTTCAGATTGGTACTCAACAGCTTACAAAAATGGACAAGAAGCCTTACAAGAGCTATTCACCAAACCAATCGCCCAGGCGAGATTAGATCAATTAGTCCAGTATTTTAATGAGGTAACTAAATTAGAGATTGCTTTCTGGGATGAAGTCCTTGAAGTATAGATAATAGATATGAGTTTTATTTTACTTTTGTGTTGCATAGTGCTACGGTAATTCATTACCGCGAAGCCGCCACCTCTACCATCTCTATTCCTGCGGTCCACCTACCAGCATCCGCGTTCCATGGTGGTAATGACTGGGAAGGTCAGGTGCGAAAAGTCCAGAAAAACCTGTCGTCGATTCACTATCTGATTGATGTATAATCCTTATCAGCAACAGCAAATGGGGTACAACCCCCAGCAGACTCAACAGACAGGTTATGGGATGGGAAACCAACCTCAATACCAGCAACCGCAGTACCAGCAATCGTTTCAACAACAACCAACTGGGTATTATAGTCAACCACAGCTTCAAACTCAAGCTACCGGTTTTTACCCCCAACAACCTCAATTGAATCAAGGGTTTGCTTCTCAGCCTACTGGGTTTGGCCAGCAACCTCAATTACAATCTCAACCTACTGGATTCATTCAAAGTCAGCCTACAGGCTTCCAACAACCCGCAACCACGGGATTTGGATCAAGTGGCTTTTCAGTGTCCAAGAACACCGAATTGAAGATCCCTAGTATGAGATTATCCTTCATTACCGCTTCTGACCAACAGAAGTTCGAAGATTTGTTCCGTGCATCTGTCCCAACAGGCGAACAAGCTCTTTCTGGTGATGCTTCAAGAGATATTTTACTTAGATCGGGTTTACAACCTGTCACGTTGGCAGAGATCTGGTCATTATCAGACACCAATAAGACTGGATCCTTATTATTCCCAGAATTTGCTTTGGCATTACATTTCTGTAATTTGGCATTAAAAGGTGAACCATTACCAGGAATGGTACCAGAGAAGTGGATGAATGAAGTGAAGAGTTTCGTGGACGCTATCAACTTCAGTATTCCTGAAGATCCTTCTAAGATTTTGCAGAACACCCCATTTGCTCCTAAGCAAGAAGATTGGTTAAGTAGTATGCAACCACCAACAAGTTTCCAACCGCAACAGACCGGTTTTGGAATGCAACCTCAAAGAACTGGTCCAGGTTTCCCTGGAACTACATTCGGAAGTCAACCAACAGGGGGCGCTTCAAATGCTCCTTTGACTTCACAAAGAACTGGCGGAGGAACTTTGATTCCTTTACAACCTCAACAAACTGCCGGATTAATCCCTGCTCAGAAGACAGGTTCTTTTCAACCTTTGAATAGTCAGAACACCGGGGCCGCTCAAGGTTCAGGATTCAATGGTTTGGTACCACAAAGAACAGGTCCTCTTCAACCTCAGACCACTGGATTTAATGGTTTAAGCGCTCAAAGAACAGGTCCCCAACCGGGTTTGACTACTTTCCAATCCCAACCTACTGGAGGGTACCAACCTCCTCCCCAAACTGGATTCCAGTCTCAACCTACTGGAGGATTTCAATCCCAACCTACTGGAGGATTCCAATCTCAACCTACTGGAGGATTCCAATCTCAACCAACAGGTTCTTTCCAACCTCAAACTACCGGTATTCAACCCCAACAAACTGGTCTCCAATCTCAGCAAACTGGTTACTTACAAAGTCAACCCACTGGTAAACCTGGTCAATGGGGATTTGTTTCCATGCCCACGGGTGGTATCCCAGGGTTGAATGCGATGGAACAGCACTTCTTACCTTCGTCTCAAATGTCTTCTAATAACTTGCAAAATGCTATGGGAGGTAATTTGAAACAAAACGTTACTTGGGCCATCACTAAGCAAGAAAAGCAAATCTATGACGGTATTTTCAATGCTTGGGATGGTTCAAAGAGAGGTTATGTCGATGGAGAAGTAGCTATCAACATTTTTGGTAAATCAGGATTATCTCGTCCAGATTTAGAGTCTATCTGGACTTTGGCCGATGGTAGTAATAGGGGTAAACTTAATCGTGATGAATTTGCCGTAGCTATGCATTTAGTCTACCGTAGATTAAATGGTTATGATGTTCCTTTGAGATTACCTCCAGAGTTAGTTCCACCTTCCAGTAAGCACATTCAAGATTCGTTCGACACTTTGAAACAATCCATTAGAGGTGGAGTTTCTAGAACGTCTTCCTCTTCAAACGTGAAGTCCAATGGTAGCAGATATAAGAACGATGATGATTCTGTCGGCTATGTTTCCAGCACCCGTCACAGAAGTAGAAGTTACGGTGGAGAACCCAGTACTAGCAGTGTCAAAACTTCCAAGGATAATTTGAGTGTAGAAGAACTCAAGAAGTTAATCCGTGAAAAGAAGATTCTCTTGGATGCCATGGATACCAAGGACCAAGATGCTTCAATCGCCAATAGACAAGCAAATTCAAAGGAGGCTGAAGATATTGCCAGACTTAAGAGACAGATCAAGGGAGTTCAAGATAGATTGGATACTTCTGCTGGAGGTCAAGCATCATTTGATGAGAAGAAACAATTATTGGCCCGTTTAGACCATCTTACTAAAGACGTGGTACCAACATTGATTTCTAAAATTTATCAGGTTAACGACAGTATTGCTAAGAGCAAGATAGAAGCTTTCAAATTGAAGTTACTCAAGTCGAATCCTGATTGGAAACCTGACAGTAGTGAGGCCGATATTGTCGGCACTGGACCTAATGGTGAAGTTACTGACACTGATAGAAGAAAGTTCAGATCCAAACAGTTGTTGAACCAAAGAATGGCTGCGTTAACTGGAAAGACTTTTGGAGGTAAAGGTAAGAACGAGGAGCTTGATAATCAATTAAAACAAACTGTTGAAGAAACCACTAAAGAGAAAGAGAGCCAAACAGGCATGATCAAGGACATCACTGACAGTATCAAAGACTTGGAAGATGGGTGTGTGGCCAACTTACAGGTCACGAATGAAGAAGAAGTAGGAGCCTCAAAATGGGAGAAAGGTGAAGGTGTGACTAGTGAAGTAGCAGCTTTCATCAAAGAATTAGCTAGTACCAGACCTGCTCCTAAAGCTACTGTAACAAGTGCCTCAAAACCTGTTTCTCAACCTGTACGAGCTCCTACCAGCCAATCCCCAAGTTATAGCGCACCTGAAGACAGAGCTGCATATATCAAAGCACAAGCTGAGAAGAGAATGAACGAGAGATTAGCCAAGCTCGGTATCAGACGTAGAGGTCAAGACAAGGTCGAAGCTGAACCACAGGTTGAGAAGGCTGAACCAAAACCAGCCCCAACCGAGTCCAAACCCGTAGAAAAACCTGTTGAAAAACCTCAATCAGTTTCACAACCAGTTTCACAGCCAGTTTCTCAACAAGAAGCCGCTGACGATGAAAGTGATGATGAAGAGTATAAAGCTCTCATGAAACAAAAACAAGAGATGGAATCCAGGGATAAGGAAAGAAGAGATAAAAGAAAGAAAGAAAAAGAAGAACGATTAGCTAAGTTGAGAAGGGAAATGGAGGAATTAAAGAAGAAGGATGAAGAAGGGTATTCTAGTGATGAAGAAGAACCTGTCACAAGTGTCCCTACTTACACACCAGGATCGAAAACTTCAACTCAACCTTCAGCTCCACCACAAGCCCCATCTACCACAACTTCCTCCACACAGGATTCACCTTTACCAGAGAAACCACAAGAGGAAAGAAAAGCTCATGACAATAATCCTTTCGCTAAAATGGGTAATGGAACACCTCAGTTGGCTAAACAACCAACTGGCCATAACACCAATCCTTTCTTCAAGCCTACCAATACTGGAACTCCGATCGATCATAAAAAAGCTGAAGCTCAAAGAAACTCCCAAAGGGGTATCGGAGCTGCTGACGATGATTGGAGTGATTCCGATAAAGAAGAAAGTGATGAAGAAGATGGAAATCGTGCTGGTGCTGCTCATTTGGCAAGTTTGTTATTTGGTGGTATGGCTCCTCCACCACAAAGATCTACCGATTCAAGTTTAAATTTGAAGGAGGAAGAAAAGGAAGATAAAAGGGAATCTTCAGTGGAATCAAAAGATGATTTCACTGATGCTGTAGAAGAACCTGAACCAATTTCCGAAACTGCACCAACTGCTCAAACTATACCACCAATCCCAGAAAGCGTACCACCCCCACCAACTGCGGCACAAGTACCAGTATCAATGCCACCCGTACCAGATATGGCGGTGCCACCGCCAATTCCAACTGGTATTCCACCAATTCCAACTGATGGACCTCCAGTTCCTGACAGCATCCCACCTCCACCTCCACCTCCAAGTATGGGAGCACCTCCACCACCTCCACCTCCACCAAATATGGGAGCACCACCTCCACCTCCACCTCCGCCACCTATGGGGGTCCCACCACCTCCATCAAGTAATGGGGATTCTAATGGTTCAGCACCTGTTGCTCCTCCAAGTATCTCTGCCTTACTCGGGGAAATCAGAGGTGGTGCTTCGTTGAAGAAAGTTGACCTGAATAGCCAAAGAATTGCTGATGGCTCAACTGTTGGTAGAGTTTTATAAGTAGAGTATTATATGTTTATCATTAGATTTTTATTTACACTATTTACAATTCATTAATCTTCTCTGCCCAAATCTTCTGCATGATTTGGTTTGACATAAATGTCTTCATCTTTCACAGTGACCTCTACTAAGTCACCTTCTTTGACTTGTCCCTTGATCATCAACATGGCAAGGGGATTTAAAACTTTCTTTTGAAGGACTCTATTCAATGGTCTGGCACCATAGATAGGGTCGTAACCGAACTCTGCTAACAATTCCTTAGCATGATCATCCACTTGCAAGATCATCCTCTTATCTTCTAATCTTTCTGAGATTTCTCTGAGACGGATGTCCAAGATATTCTTCAAAGAAACTTTGGAAAGTCTGTTGAATAAAAGAACTTCATCAAGACGGTTCAAAAATTCTGGTGGGTAATAATTCTTCAATAAAGATGTAACTTGGTTTTTGGTTTCGGGGTTGATCTTCCCATCATCGGAGGTATGTTTATCATTGAGCAAAATCTCTTGGCCAATATTGGATGTCATAACGATGATAGTGTTACGGAAATCAATATGCTTACCATGAGAATCAGTTAAGTATCCCTCATCTAATACTTGTAACAACAATTTAGAAACATCAGGATGAGCTTTCTCGAATTCATCGAATAATACCACAGAATATGGTTTTCTTCTAACAGCTTCCGTCAATTCACCACTTTCCTCATATCCAACATACCCTGGAGGTGAACCTATTAATCTAGAAACTGTATGTTTCTCTTGAAATTCAGACATGTCGAATCTGATGACAGAGCTCTTATCATTGAACAAGAATTCCGCCAAACTCTTGGTCAATTCAGTCTTACCTGTACCAGTGGGTCCCAAGAACATGAATGAAGCTATTGGACGCTTATCACTGGTTAAACCGGCTCTTTGTAATCTAACAGAATCCGCGATGGCATGAATAGCTTCATCTTGGCCAATAACTTTTTGTTTTAACAAGATCTCCATATCCAATAATTTATCCTTTTCTCCCTTCATAAGGTTGTTCACAGGGATTCCAGTCATTTTGGATATCACATAAGCAATATCATCAGATGTAACGGAATCATGTAACAAGCTTGAAGTCTTAGCTGCATCATCATTGGTTAAATTCTTTAATTTAGCTTCTAAATCGGGAATCGTGGCATATTGTAATTCTGAAGCTTGGGCATAATTACCTTCTCTTTGTGATTGTTCCAAGTCAAATCTAGCTTGTTCTAATTCTGTTTTGGCAGCCTTTATATCATCAATCAGTTTTCTTTCGGATTCCCATTGATCGGTGATATCCTTCAATTCAGCTTCTTTGATTTTCAAGTCATCTTCCAATTTTTTTCTACGATCTGCTGACAATTGATCATCTTCCTTTCTCAAGGATTCTAATTCAATTTGAATCGTCATTATTTGACGGTCAAGATTGGTAATGGCATCGGGTCTGGATTCATGTTGCAATCTTAAAGTGGAACATGCTTCATCCACAAGATCAATGGCCTTGTCAGGTAAAAACCTATCAGTGATATAACGGTTTGAATAAAGAGCAGCGGTGACAAGAGCTCCATCAGTAATTCTTACCCCATGATGAACTTCGTACCTTTCTTTTAATCCTCTTAATATGGAGATAGTGTCTTGAACAGTTGGTTCACTAACCATCACTGGTGAAAACCTCCTAGCTAATGCAGCATCTTTTTCCACATACTTACGGTATTCTTCAATAGTAGTAGCTCCACATAAGGATAACTTACCTCTAGCCAATGCAGGTTTTAACAAATTAGATGCATCAATTGACCCTTCAGCTTTTCCTAACCCCATAAGAAGGTGAAGCTCATCAATAAAAAGGATCACCTTCCCATGTTTCTCTTCAACTTCTTTCAAAATCAGCTTTAATTTTTCTTCAAAATCTCCTCTAAACTTAGCTCCTGAGATGATAGCTGCCAAATCCAAGGTGATGATTTGTTTATCCTTCATACTATCAGGGACTTCATTCTTTAAAATTCTTTGGGCTAACCCTTCCATAATAGCTGTCTTCCCTGTCCCAGCATTACCAATCAACACAGGATTGTTCTTAGTTCTACGAGATAAAATCTGGATAGTTCTTCTTATCTCTTCATCTCTTCCAATAACTGGATCTAACTTCCCATCCTTAGCGAGCTGTGTCAAATCTTGACCATACTTCTCTAAAGCAGGTCTTTTGTCTTCCTTCTCCATACTCATTTGAAGCTTCCTGGTGGCTGACACACTGAAAAGTCTTTGAGATTGTAAGTTCAAGGTCATCGATGGCACGGCCGGTACTAATGGTACCATCCGTGACACCACAGGTCTAATTACAGGCTTGCAATTGACCGGAAGCCTTCTGTTCTTAGCTAAACGTGATACTCTAAACATTTGGTTTGAATTCTGGGGTTCAAGTGACACTATATATTAATAGCGCGCGACATTCGAGAAACTTCTAGAGGGTTGTATCTATTAACCGTGTTACCGGGGACCAGTCTAGGACGAGCTGGAAGGAGAAAGGTACCGTATGATACAGTGGATGTCGAGTATCTGGGAGAGGGACATAAAGATTTGAAAACCCATTGATTCAACTCTCTTTGTCGAAGCTCAGTTTAGAACAGAGAACTATCAAGAAATTGAGCTAACTGATAAGGTTATACCATATAACCAATATAAAATACTTTCATGTCTCATTAAATTATTTAACTGGTCTTTTCAGGCCAGTAGTCTTCTCGACTGAACCCAGGATGGGCTTCAAAAGTCGGAGGATTAGCCTGCGAAGAGCTTCCTACTTGTGGTTCATATAAAGGCGTATCACGATCATAATCGTCCACATATTCCACCTCATACTCTTCACTGATATCCTCTGCTACATCCTCTGGAGGGGGGTTTTGAGACCCATTGGCTGATTCTGTCGATAAGGATTTCAGATTATTGTCACTTTCATCAACAATGTCTGGAGCTTTATGAAATAATGTCTTATCTTTGACCCAACTGACGATCTTAGTACGATGTTTACGTAATCTTCTAGGTTCTTTATCATCCTTATCCGTCTGGAAGATTCTGTCATCATCAAAACTAATTCGTCTACCTAAAACTCCCAGTAATTCATACCTTCTTTCTAATGCTTTGATATTATAAATCCATTCCCATATTACTGTCAAAATAACAATCTCAAGCAAACTTGGTAAAATCGATAACCAGCTTCGAGTTGACCAATCTGATACGAAAACCACCATCATCGATACACAAACGGTGAAATGACACAAAAATAATACCCAGACAAATATTGCCAAGGGTAACATCTTCTTCGAATAAGAATATTTACGGGGATTCTTGATGAATACAGTATAATAGATTAATAACAATCCTACTATCGATACCATCAAAAGTTTGAATACGTTCCTGGCTTGGTGGTATGTCACGTATCTTGTGGCTATTTTGTCTAGTGACAACTCGGTCAACGGGAGTCTGTAATCAATTTCACAAACTATTCCTAGCACGACATATACTATCAACACCATGGCATAGGCGATGACTATATAGTCCTGTAAGGTCTTGGACGCTATACGGGACACCACTTGAAAGAACGAGAATGATATGAATGCTTCTGAGAAAACATTAGTTACTCTATAAGTAAGATCATTGAAAAACACATCATGAATTCGATAAACATCAACATGGTCGGAATAATAGTCTGATCGAGCTGTAGCTGTGATTTTGCTTAGTAATATCGTTAGCACCACGGCATTAAACACCGTAGCTATCTGAGTCATGATGGGACGTCGTTTATGTTTGGGAGAAAGTATAAGTAGGAAACTTAACATCCAACATGCCACACAAACACCTGATATGGTGAACAAAAATGACACAAACGAGTCACCATTATTTATAAGTTGATAAGAATCACCCCAAAATGGTCTACCATCATTATAATTGAAATTTGTATAGTTTAACCCGAAATCTATACCTTCTTGAGAACAATTAGTGATGAAATATGCTGGGAAAGACTTCTCATGATAAGTCATTAGGACGTTTGATTGGTTTCCATAGTACGTTAAATTACCTGACGGTAGAGCGTACAACGAACAGTTCCCTACACTGCCGTTAAAAGCCTGTTGAATATCATCGATATTGTAGGGATCCATTTATCTTTTGGCTGAGTCTCAAGCCTTTTCACGCACTCGCGACAATAAATACCGCGACATTTCCTGTGATGTTGTTTTTGTGTGGTTTGGCGACAATCGCATTTTTCACTGATCTCGATCTCAACTGGTAAATGAGTTATTTTCCTCCAGTTCAAGAAGATCACAATGGTGTTGCCTATGGTACATCCAATGGTGAAACCAATGATACTGGAATCGAACAAGGAATGCAAAATTTGGCGTTGAAAAAGAAAAAGAGGAGTGCTAGAGCTTACCATAGTTATACCGATCAAGCTCAACCAGGGACTCCTCAAGGTCAGGGACAATTTCAGCAACCTGGTTTCCAACAACCAGGCTATATACAAACACCAGGCACTCCTAGTCAGTTTCAAGGAGCTTCGGGGGTTTCAACCCCAGGAATAGTTAACCCAGCCCTTCCTTCAGTAGCACCAGGCGGTCAATTCCAAAACCCTACGCCAACTCAGTTTCAAGCTCCCACTCCCGCCCAATTTCCAGGCATTCCAAACCCTGGAACTTTACCAAACAATTCATCATCTCATCTTGTGCAACAGGATATTAACAATCAGGATTACGATCAAAGCTTATCAGTACCTCATAAAAGATATACCGATCAGAATGAATATATGGGATATTCAGCAGATTCTGAATTGCTTTTAAGACCATTCTTAACATTTGAAAATATTGTATCACCAAGTGCCGGGACTCAGTATCAAAGTTACGATCAAGGGACAGCTTCTTCTAAGTTCATAAGATCCACCATGTATAATATTCCAGAGAACGAACAACTTAGACAAGCTTCAAAATTACCTGTAGCAGTGACTGTGCGTCCATTTGCTCCAATTTTACCGGGTGAAAGTCCTATACCTGTGGTAGATATGCGTGAAACTGGAAAAGGTAATGTGGATGATGAAGACATCGGGCCTATAAGGTGTAATCGTTGTCGTACATATATGAATCCCTCAATGCAACATTCACACAATAATAAGTTCACATGTAACATTTGTCATTTCACTAATAACACAGTGCCAGCAGATTACTCATCTATGATCACTCCTGGTACCAATAGAAGAGCCGATTCAAATATAAGACCTGAATTACATAAGGGAGTTTACGACATCTTGGTACCCAAAGCTTATAACTTCGGAGGTCCTGAAAATACTTCCAAACCCATGCATCATGTGATCTTAGTGGATATAAGTATCAATAGTATTAGAAATAGCTTACCATCATTACTTGCTGATACATTAAGATCTATTTTTTACAATGATAATAATGAAAGTGGTGAAGAGATTAATGATTTTGATCAACAAACTAAAAAGCCCACCAGAAAATTTGCTATTATTCTTTTTGATAAGAAGCTTCACTTTTATAATTTGTTACCTTCACTCGAAAACACTCAAATCACCATATCTTCTGATTTAGATGACCCTTTTGTTCCATTTTTCGAAGGTTTGTTTGCTGATGTAGAAGAAAGTCGTGTTGCCATTGAGGATGCTTTAAACAACTTAGAAGATATGTGTAACAATGATTTATTAGTTTCTGATGATGAATGTTGTTATTCGACTGCTTTAAGAACAGCTATGTTATGTCTTAAAGAAGTTGGGGGAGGTAAAATTACTTCGGTTTTAGCAAATTTACCATCCTGGGGACCTGGTGGGTTAAGTTTTAAAGATCCCAACTCTCAAGCAGCTAAATTGTCTCCCGAAGTACAAAAGAAACTTTACAATCCTGACAGTGAATACTATAAATTGTTGGCCAAGGACTTCTTAAAAGAAAATGTTGGTTTAGACTGTTTTATTGTATCAACTACACCTGTAGATTTGTCTAATATCGGATGGTTATGTTCAGTGACTGGAGGTGTTTCATATAAATGGACCAATTTTAATTATGAAAGAGATGCTAGAGAATTTAGTGGAAGATTCACCAATTCGATATTGAAATCCAAAGGGTATCAAGGACAGTTGAAATTACGTTGTTCCAGTGGTTTACAAGTATCGGAGTACTATGGTACTTCTTCCTCCGTATCAGAAGTATCGGTTGTTGGGGCATCCACTCAAGATCCAATCATCCCAGTTATAAGCGAAGACTATTCTGTGACTGTTCTTTTAGAATATGATGGACAATTATCAGCCAAGAACGATTGTCATTTCCAAGCAGCTTTGTTATTTACCGATGTTGAAGGAAATAGAAAAGTTAGAGTCATTAATCTCGTATTAGCAGTTAGTGAGAGATTAACTGATATTTTCCATTTTGTCGATCAAGATGCAGTTGTCACCACCATTATCAGGGATACTTTATCATTTGTAGGTAAACAAATGATTAATGAATTAAGGGAATCAGTAGCAGAGAAGCTTGTTGAGATATTAACCCAATATAGAGCCAAGAGTGAATTAGGTCATAATTCCAACAGAACTTTAACTAACCAATTATTAATGCCTGATTCTTTATCCAATTTACCAATGTACATTTTAGCATTTTTGAAAACCAACGCATTGAAGGGCAGTGCCAATATTAATGTCGATAAAAGACTAGAAGATGTTTATCATCTTTTGAACATGCCTATCGAAAGATTGATGTATCAATTATATCCAGCATTAGTTGAAGTACATAGTTTGACTGATATTGAAGGAACTATATCACAGGAAGAAATTAACGTTCTGAAATTCATCACCCTTCCAAAATTCAAGGAATTATCTTTGTTAAAGTTAGAAGATGGTGTTTATATCCTTTGTGATGGTAGAAGAGTATTAGTATGGGTTAGACCCCATGCCAATCCTCTCTTGTTAAAAGATTTGTTTGGAGATCATGTAGATACTGTTGAAAAAATTGATCCTTTGAATGACGAATTACCAGATTTACCAACTGAAATCTCACAGAAAGCTCGTAATTTGATTGAATTTTTCAATACCAACATTAATGGATTAAATTGTGGATCATCAGCTGTTCAAATTATAAGAGAAAGTCATGACGGTTCTGATATTTTATTTAAAGAACATCTTGTTGAAGATGGTTCTAAATTAGCTATTAACTTGAATAGTTCTACTTACATCGAATTTTTATCCAAAATCCATAAAGCCATCAAGGTTAAATTGGAAAATGATAAAACTTACAGTAAAGTAAGACAATCCATTACTCAGGCAGAACATTCCGATACCCTTGCCCAAAGATTTATACAATTTTAGTTAAATTTCACAAACTTGATGATTTCCATTACCACTTCTAAAATCTGTTTATCTTTTTGAACTTTTAAAATCTCTGCAATGGAACTTTTGAGTTGACCATGAGCCCTGAAATATCCTAATTGGGATGTGCTTATGTTAGCTGCTGCATAAATTATGTCAAGCAACAAAAGACTTAATCGCAAAATCAAATCTGTATCTGAAGGTTGATGGGAGAAAATCAGGGCGATGTTGTTGGTAAGTTGAACTTTGATGTCAGTATTTTCAACTAAAACTTGAGATATCATATCAAAAGATTCTGTAGCATTAGCTAAAAGTCCTGCCAAAATAGTTTGAAGACTCAAATCTTCCAGTTGCAATAATTTGATTAATAAATTCAATCTGGTCATTGATTTTTTGTCTTCTACATTGAAAAACTTGACGAGGATTTTGGGGTTGATGATGAGATTGGATATCAACTCCCATGATGCTTTCAAGATCTCAGGGATGTCGTTCTCAATAATGAAATTATTCAAGAACTTGTCAAAAGTTCGGGATATAATGATATCTCCCACCTCCTTATCTGCCATAGATGAAAGATTAGTCAATGCTAATAATGATTCGTATTTATCAAGGTTGGTGATTTCCTCGTAAAGATATTTGTCTTCACCGACATTAGTTGAAAGACCAGGATTATATTCGGAGACGTCAGGTCCTAAAAGTTCCACCAAAAAGGGTACACAAGTGACCACACTATACTTGTTAAAGGCCAATGCTGGGTTCACCAGGATAAGTATCTTCGTAAGAGCTCTAATAGCTTTCAATCTGGTTTCGATATCAGCATTAGACATGGGTCTGGTTTGATGGTCTTTGACCTTACTGACTCCTATCACATAATCAAGTAAAATATTTATTGATCCTTGTTTGACCAATTCTTGTCTTGTGGCCTTATTCTGATTCTTGGAAATCAGATAAATGATGTAAACAAGTTGTTGGGAATTATTGGTAGCTCCCTCTTTCATCTTCAACACTTTAAGCTTCGATAGTATGTCAATGATCTTATGGTCAAGAATCATATACTTGTTGAAGTTATGAATATCTTCAGGTTTTTCCTTCTTATCATCGCCTGATTTTGGGGCAGCCATCAGTTTCAAATAACTTTTGGTGTTCTGTTTGTCATCTTCTTTGATATTCATGAGGTTTCCTAAAATCAATAATAATCCATAGACTATCGAGGAATGAATATTACTGATATCGTCTTTGGATCTGGACTTGATTACAGATATTATATGATCGATAGCTGACTCATCATTTCTTAGCTTGATTCTAATGGTAGCATTCAAAGTGAGGTACGCCAAAGCTTCAAGACAATAATCGAGATGAGTATCTTTCTTCAACGCCAGTATCATAATATCGTACAAGTCGTCAATGCTAGCGATTTTATCGTTTTCAAGGAAATTCCAAAGCTTGATGATACATAAAGAACTCAAGATCTTCATTCCCGAATCAAGTGATTTTCCAGTCTTCAATAATTCACTATAATTGGTAGTATTGAACTTTCTACATTCATCATCAATACACGAGGTACTTACCAATTTTAAAAGCAGCCAAGCAAGGGTTTGGTTGTGTTCGGCAGACAAACTACTTGGTGAGATTTGAGACACATACCTTTTAACTAGATCTTTGCAGTTATTGGAAGTATAGATTCTACCACATACTGATGGTATCAAAGGAAACAAACAGTCTAAAGCCTTCACGAGGTTCAAGAAACTTGTGAAAGTATCTTCAGCTTCTAAAATGTAATCAAAGAAGCCCTGAACTGCTTCAGATGTCTCCTCTTGTTTCAACTCAAGATTCTTCACTACAATGAAAAGTACCGTAGCTTCAATATTAGTATCATCATTTTTTGGAACTATGAATCTCATCAATGTAGGAAGATGACTGGGAAAGCATATCTTAAACTCTGCTACCACGGCAAGATACACCAGAAGGAAGAATTCATGGTTAGTCTGATCTTGTTTCAAAAGATTCTTCAAACTATTCAACACCTGTGATACCCAATGGTCTTTTTCTTCCGTCAATGTCAATACATTCACCAATATGGAGCCATGGACGTCACCAAGTTTCTCCAATGCCTTTAAGAACTTATCTACGTTCTTTTGCATGATATCGAATAACCTCTTTGAGGTGTTAGATTGTTGAGAATACTTCAATAAGGCCTTATAGTGAGTTTTTTCATCATTTTTCACCTTCCCACTGGTAAAAATATCGATTTGAGCTTCAAAATCGTCTAATTCAATGCCTCTCACCTGGCTCTGTAGTGATTCCATCTTTGATCTGGAGTGAGGTTCTGCGCGACGAAAATAGTACCATACCTGGTTCCACGACTGCCCCTGCACGTAAACCCAGTGCGAGAGACCTCGTACCGACGAATTTGGTGCGAAAACTTTTCCATATAAACATTAGTAATGGATACCACTACCGTGATAGACAAATACACTCAGGATATATCGAATCTTCCCTTGGAGATCAGATATATCTTTGAGGAATTGAAGACTAAAGATCACCAATTATCTGAAGCCCGAAAAAGATATCAATCAAAGGATAATCAGTTACATAAATTCATCAAGCAAAATGGAACCAATGCCAAACATCCTAAAGAACAGCAGTTATACATCAAGATAGAAGAAGATATGAAATTGGTGGAGAAAATACAACGAGAAAAGATTTTATTGGCCAATACAGCGTTATTTTTGATCTCCAAACATCTCTTCAACTTTGAAACAGATATCACAAAACTAGAGAGAGACGACCTTTTACCACCAATAGAGAATATTTACGACATAGATGGAGGTGCTTCTGATTATGGTGGTATTAATGGAAACTCAGAAAGCATTTCAGTGACACCCACACCAAGACCAGGATCTTCTACTCCAGTATCAGAATCACTTATACTGAGAAAAGTTCAAAAGAGAAAGACAATGATAAAGAGACACAAAAGACCCAGATCTGACGATGATGATGATTCTCAAGCTGAAGGTAAACATGACGGACCAGATGGAGATGATGCGGATACACAATTATACTGCTTCTGCCAAAGGGTATCGTTCGGAGAAATGATTGCTTGTGATAATGATGATTGTAGATTTGAATGGTTCCATTGGCAATGTGTGGGTATCACATCCACACCCAAGGATAATGAGGTTTGGTACTGTCCAGATTGTGCTCCAAGAATGGAGAAACGTAAAAAGAAGAAGAAGTTCTAATGATGATTGACGATAATGAATAGTGAATATACTGGTAGATGCATACAAGTGAACAGCTCTTTAGACTCTTAGATTTTGGCTTGAAATTCGTAAATCTGAAATCGGGAAATTAGTGCGACACCTGGTGTAATCTGCTGCCAGATTCAGTAGGATTGATGCTAAATAGCGAGCCCTCGACCAATTTTTGGCGATGGGGTAATTCCAGAATTGGTCGCGTTTTGATTTTGAACTTTTGATTTGATTTTGAACATTCGTTATGAAAGTTATTGTATTGTTAGCTGCGTTACGTGCTATCATGGCAGCTGATGCTGATACAACCACAGCCGCTGCCGATGCAGCAGCAGCAGCCGGAGCAGCTGCGGTTACAACTACTACACCTGCTGCGGCCGCTGCAGCTGCGGCCACCACAACAACCCCTGTTGGGGCAGCAGCAGCTACCACACCTACCACTGCCGTTACAACAACCCCAGCAGCAGCAGCAGCCGCCACCACTGCAAAGACTGGAACCACCACAGGAACCACCACTGGTGTTGCAGCAGGTGCCACTACAGGTACTACTACAGGTACCACAACAGGAACTACCAAAACTGGCACTACAGGTACTACAGGTACCACAGGGACTACCACAGGAACAGCTAAGACTGGTACAACTACAGGTACTGTCAATACTGCCACCATGAATGCCGACCAACTTGCTGCATATTCCCTTACTGCCACTATGAATGCTGATCAATTAGCCGCTTACTTGAGAACCGCCGTCACTACTACCACCAACGCAGCTGCACCTGCTTTAGCCGCCGGAGGAGCTGGTGCAAACACCCAAACCACTTCAGTATATATTCCTCAAGGAGCTCCCGCTTCTGATACTGTTAGTTTCATTACTACTAGAGTTTTACGTTCCGACGAAACAGTTCAAGCTGCAGCTACTGCTGCAGATAACTCCAACGACTCCAACGAATCCCAATCTGCTGATTCTGATTCTGCTTCCTCAGATTCTGGTTCGGGTTCTCTTGGTATGAGCTTAACGGTACTTATTGGTGGTTTGGTATTGGGACTTATCTAGACTTTATATATAACTCGCGCTGGGTGAAAAAAATCTCTAACGATGATGAGGATTACAAGACTAACGTTCCCTCGATTAGTGTTGCGTAGATTCAACAGTACGATCCACGACACCAAAGTCCTTGGTGACTTGACCAATGAAGAAACAGTATTTGGAATAATTAAAAATCATAAATTAAAACAAACTGAGACTTATGAACCTCAAGCGTTGAGCGATATTGATGATGAAATACTATCATTATTACAACACCCAGAGGTTGATTTCAATAATCTGTTATTGGCCAGAATCTTAAGATTGAAGTTGAATACTGAAACCAACATCAAATTGATCTCAGAATTTTACAATCATCAACCAAAAGGTATCATTGATAAAGCTACATCCTTGGTTCCATTAAGACAATGTTTATTTAATGGAGATATTCAAAATGCTTTGAAGATTACTGACATGACAGTAGGTCATCCAAACTATGTTGAACACAAAGATAAGATTTTTAAACGGAATATTGCTAGATTAATAGGATCAAGTATATCTATTTCTATATTTTCCCGATTTGGTATTGAAGAGTTAATCCAACTCGGTTGGGTGTCTTCAGGATGGAGTCATATGTCAGCTATTAGTTCCCTTATCATCACCTATTTACTTAATTCCACATTTTTATTGACTATAGTGAGATTAGGTCGAACAGCTGTTGCTAGTGGAGGTGATTATCTTACCTGGCAAAAGGGAACATTTTATACTCATTGGTATAAACATGCTGATGAAATGATGATGTGTTCAAAGATTGTCGAAGCTGATATTAAACTTACAGGTGGAGGGATTTCTGGTGGTGAACCAAGTGAGAGTTTAAAAGATGAGTTATCTAGAATTAATCCTCATAATACCATGAAACCTGTTGCAGGTTATAATAAAGATGGAGAAAAAATCAGATTAATGAGATTCAAAGATAATATTGAAGATATTACCTTACAAGCTTATTGGATGAGTGGAGGTGAAGGATTCGAATGGGTGGAACCTGATCAAGATCCTGCTGATATTTTATGGAGAAATAATTTGATGAGACAAAAGTTAGAAACTTCCAGCACCAGATCGATTAAATGGGCCGAACAATTAATCGAAGACACTAAGAATTAAGTTGGGTAGAATCAGGAAAACTTGTAAATAGATGCATTTATTCATTATCATTATCTTCAATCTCTTGGATATTATGCCATTTAGGTATTAATCTTATATCGTAATCAGTCTCTATCTTTAATTCATCCCAAGGATTGAATTTTTCCCAAATTCCTTGAAACTGTTCATTGTCATTTAAAGGATGATTCCCTAATTGTATAGAAGGTTTTGAGTAGTTTTTGTTGAGAACCAATTTCCCTTCAAGATAATCGTCAATTCTTTGAGCTCGATTCATTTCATTCAAGTCTTTCAATTGGGTATTCAAAAGGTTTTGAAATATTTGGGAATTCTTTTGTTTGATGTCGGTATGGATTTCAATCAATTCGTGGATCTGTTGAACAGGAATGTTGTCTTCCAAGTTGAATTCAAGTTTATTAATACCATCTTCAGTTGATTCTTCATGGTTTTCAAGAATAGTGATGATCTTATCAAGATTATTATTGAATTCTTTCAAAGTCATAGGTTGGTAATTTCTAGGTCCTAACCACCAATGAGGAGTTTCACCATTCTTTATAGCTAAAGCTCTGTACATCTTGGCTTCTTCAACCCAAGGATTGAAAGAAACTGAAAATGTTATCATTTCCAAAGCTGTTTGGAATAATAAATAAGCTGAAATTCCAAGATAACTATATTTCCTCGTTCTAAAATGCCAATTGTTAGTTAAACCAAGATTTTGAAGGTTTTTCTTCCTATAAAATCTTGATTTTCTGAATAACACTAAACCAGTAATCATTTGGATAGAACATAAAATCCCTCTCCCCCATAAATTATCAGCAGCTGGAACCAATGGACCCCATAACTTCAAACCTACAGTGGGATTTTGATAGAATTCAGGTAGATAACTCGGCTTTTCCTCTTTATCATTGTTATTGTTGGGGGGTATATAAACGCCCATGACTGATTGATTTACTAAAACTGTGCGAAGACTACAAGATGGTGAGGGATGGGAATTAGTGGGAATTAGTGAGAATTAGGCCGAGCCCAAGGAGAGAAAATGAGAAATTAATGAGAAATGGTGGTAAATAGGGAGAAAAAAACGGGGGGATTGGAAATGAGTGGAAATGAGTGGAAATGACACCATATTGGAATAAGGCCATTGAATCTACATTGGTAACTGTTCAAAATAAATTGAAACGTCATCCTGGCATTCAAAAACATTACCAAATTCATTGCTAGACCTTAATTTCCCTTCTAAATCCCCATCTTAATCCCGAACTCTAAGAAATATCGTAATGTTTATTATCTTTTTCTATCATGATAAATACCTATTCAGTAATTAAATCTTCCTTTAAATCAATACCTAATTCTTGTCTGATATCTTTTAATTCTTCCAAGTAAGCTTCGTATTGTTGATTGTTTTCTACTTTGAATTTTAATGCTTCAAAAGTTCTTACAGCAGTTGGATAATCATTAACTCTTCTACAAGCTAATAAAGCTTTTTCAATGACAACAGGAGCTGGAACTAAATCATAAGAGAAACAGTTATTTAAAATTCTTTGAACTTCAAATAAATCGTAAGCTTCTTCAAATTCTTGTTCGTATCTTTTGGTGAATTCTTCAAAAGTTTCTTCATGATGGTCAGAATAATTTCTAACTTGGTTAACTTTTAATGCAGTCAATCCATTGATTCTAACAGGTTGGATTGATTTGATTGGGTTTATTCTTGATCTTAAACTTGAACGAATAGCTGATGAAAACATTGTTACTATTTTCTCACTGAAAATTTTTTTGTCAGTGAGTTCATTGGATCGTAAGATTATGGGCGTGCGCCTACCGAGGAGAGATATCAGACAACTTTATATTTCTATCTATGGGGGAAGGTGGGGGACGAGGATTTAAACCTATGGCCCAATATCATTAATCGTACTTTTTCATGGGTTTTTTCTTGACAATTTTGAAATCATTTATAAATTCACTGCCAATAATATCATTGACATCTACTGTTAAGCTTGTTTTATCTCTTCGGAGTTTAATATCGATTTTAAAGAAATAATCATCAAGCTTGATCAAATCGTCATTCAGTTCTTTGATGTACATATAACCGTTCTTATTTCTTTTGTAAAAAGTTGAGCTGAAAGATTCATTAAATTTTTGAATATTGAGGGTTGGTTGAGCTAAAGGTTTCAGTCTGGGTAGTTTGATGAGGATTTCATCATTCTCGAAGCTAAGGGGGTTGGTTGACATCTCAAAGCCATTGACAGAGTCTATGGAATCCACAGGACCAATAGAATGGACTGAAGATGTGGTATGAACTGATGATATGGAAGTTCTTTGATTAGAATATGAATACCCATATCCTTGATTGCCATATGTTGCAGGATTAGGACTACTAAAGCTACCTTGAGGTCCAGCCCCTGAATTACCACTACCTGCACTGCCATTCCCTACTATCGCAGGCCCTAAATGACCAAGGCTATTGATAGGATAACTTGATTGAGAACTAGCCGAATTCATAGATTGGAAACTTGATTGTGTTGAAGTATGATAATTAGATTGGGGTACCGACAAGGGGAATAGTTCAGGACTATAATTTTGACCATTATAAACATAATTATGATTTGACGAATAAGATCTAGACTTTTTCTTATAAATATTTGAATCTGGTAATTGATCGGGTGCTAGATCTGATTCTTCCAACACAAAGTTGAGGGTACTACTCAAGTTACTGTTTAAATCCAAATAACTCTTCTCCAATTCCCTCCCTAATTCTAAAGTGGATTCGAATGTAGATTCTAAGGGAAAGTTGAAATCATCAAGGGGCTTCTTCCAAATATCATTGAAACTCGAAGCTCGTTTATCGGGAGATTTCACTTCAAACTCAAAATCATTAAAAATAGGTGTAGATTGGTTTGAACCATATCCGTTACCTAAAGATCCATTCCCATAGTTAAAGGAGGGATTTGAATTGGCACCAGGATTGGAGACGAGGGAATAATTGGAATGATTGGAATGATTCGTGTGACTACTATACGTAGAAGACGACATCCCATTACCGTTGAATGAACCACCACCACCACCACCACCATAACCCAGGCTAAAGCTTTTAGGGGTTGGTTGGTGACTAACTGATGAATTTGATAAATTTGGTAAATTGTTTAAAGCTTGATTCAATTGATTAAAATTAACTCCGGAAGGATTGTGATTAATAATTGGTGTCATAGGAGTGGAATAAGTATTCAAGTTGGGGGTAGAAATTGCCAGCTTAGGGAAGAAATTTGAAGTCTTCCTTGAACTTATACTACTATTTAAGGAATCAAATGATTTATCTTCCATTTTGCTGTGGGAAATTTCGGGTAAAACAAATAAGTTTCCTATTGATACTGGATAATTCTACGGGATCAGTTCGTTATGATTATATTAAAGTTTCTTAACACTAAAAAGGAGTTTATGTTTTGCAACCAGGAGTAATTTAATCAAATAACCAATTAAGTAACCACGCGAACTGCGACATCAAGGCGACATCTACTACGATATACCCGAGATCCGCGACATCTCTCTTCGCTGTTACTTCCCTAGAAGGAGGGACCCTTGCGGCACTTACCAATAGTGGTTATGGAAATGTATTAGGGTCTGTATAGCCATTAGTTACTCAAAGCTGTTCGCTGAAAGTTCGTATATTTGGAATGTAAGTATTTTTGACATGGCATCATACGAATTGTTTAGCCTTTCCTGATACTAAAGAAAGGGGTTTGATTTGCGCTAGTTAAAACGCCTTTGGTGCTACAATAGACTATGATTGACCCTTGAAATTGAAAGGGAATTGATGAAGATGTTATGTACCTTTGGATCTGGATTTCGGAGGTCTGATTTCGGAATTTGGTATGGCACTGTTGTCAGATTATATTCTGAATCACTATATAAAAGCGGCCAGACTATTTATACCATATACTCATCACCTAATAAAACTCATAAGAACAACCGTTTACATCTCCCTAAATTGCCATAATTAAACCTTGTGGCCTCACACCCGTACACCCATACAATTTTCCCGCGCCACGACTTGTTGATGAATTTTTCCCTCCAAAGATTTATTTGTTTACTGCTTTATTTACATAATCATTATATAATCTGGTTGCAAATTTATCAAAAAAAAAATCTTACTCCACTAAAAGTTAGTTAAATATTCAAATGACATCAAATTATAATAGTTATGAAGAACAAATTGATCCTTCATTTGATAGGAAACTAAATTATCCTGTTGATAATTCTAGCTTGCCGAATATTAATGTGGGTAACAATTTACCATCAGTGAGTAATATTTCCAATAATTTGAACACTACAACAGGGTTGTCTAATTCAAGTTTATCGAATTCCAATTTGAATAATAATATGAATAGTAATTTACCTAATGTTGGTTCTAATTTATCTGGCAATCCAGGGATTTCTATTCCAAATTTACCCCTTAACAATCAACAACTTCCAACTAATCAATTAGATGATGACGATAAACATCGTAGACCTGTTTCTACAACCAAAAGAGCAGCTCAAAATAGGTCAGCTCAAAAGGCTTTCAGACAAAGAAGGGAGAAATATATCAAGGATTTAGAAACTCAAGCAGCAGAAGTACCTAATTTGAAACAAACAATTGAAGATTTAAGGAGTGAAAATTTAAGATTAAGAGACTATACGATTGCTTTACAAAGTAAATTAATTGAAATGGGTTCTGATGGGTTTAATAATGATAATGCTTCTTCTTACAATAAGATAACTGAACGTCAATGATAGTGAATGAATAATTTGTTTTTGTGTCTTTTGAATGCTCTCTGATAATCTTTGAGTACCATCGTGTGGTGATCACTCTAATTCCCATGATTGATCTCTTTAAACCATCACTCCCTTACTGCCCGAATCGTGCCTTATCTTATGTCTAGTTTAATGCTCGGTCCGTTTCCTAATCGGGCGTTTTGGTCAAAACTTCATGGGTGCAAATATTACCATTGCGGTCAATATATTCTCCGGGATGAGTTACCTTCACATATCCAATATAATGTAAACCTTAATTCATTCTAGCCTTGTAATCATCTATTGTCACATTGATCCCGATTTAAGGTGTGGCAATCAAAGTGGAATTACAGAAAAAAAATTAGATGCGTACTGTATAAAACCTTAGGCATTTTTGAAACAAAAAGAAAGGTGTAAGGCATTAATATTTATATAAAGAGATTTCACTATAATTTATTTTTCCACCATTTAATGGAAGCCAAAGCAACAGTTGAAAGTTATAATGAATTTCTTAATCTAATGGAAACTACAGATTATTCTAATAGTCAAATAATCTTGAATATGAATCATGGCAATACAAGAAAATATTCTCATAGTTATCCACCATCATTTATGAACATTAATGATTCAAAAGATTTTAAGAATTCATTCTCCGATGTTGAAACCAAACGAACATCATTATTCCCTGAAATAAGGCGAAAGAGTCTAACGAAAGATTATCAATGTGATCAAATATATAATCAACTCAATAAGGATATCAAAAATCATGTACAGAAGGAAATAAGTTATGGTGAAGATAACAGTGAAACAAATGTACCTTCAAGAGATAGCTACCATACACCTTTACAATCGAATGATAGTTACAATGAATTTCCACATCTACAAGAGTTTGAAATATCCTTAGAAGAATATAATCTAGATAATATTTCGATCATATCTTATGAATCTGATGATAATGATGACGACGACGATAATGACAATGCCATGGTACCGGGATTGTTCCCCAAATTAGATATTAATAAGAATTTCCTTAAATTTGATAAGTTACCATTAAATCCTTCATATATTGCACATTGAAACCTTCTACAAAGAACAATAGGAAATGGTTAAGAGCAATTCACACATAATAATAAAACTGACTGGTTCAGTGACAATTTGTACATATTACAATATAAAGCTTAATAGTTACTATACTACATGATTATCGATGATTGTCAACTCATAGTATCACTTTAATGACCCCAGTGGGTTGGCCGTAATCATTTCTCTCCTGTCGTGGATTACCCACCGTTATCTCGTAATTTTTTGTAAGGCGAAAAAATTGCCATACGTAGCCCAATTCAGACGTCAGGGGGTTAATTTTTATGAGGCATTACTCGAATATCCAGGCTAGTGAATATGTGTGTTAGATGCTGAGTCATCGGATATATGGGCTTAGATTATTAAGATAACACTAATGAAATGTTGAAGCTGGTGGGTTTTTAAAAGGAGTTATTTTTAGGGGAGCGGAATTGGTGGATAATCTAGGGCGGAAAGGGCCGTATTTAGTACTGGAGATCTGATAAGATAGAAGGGTGATCAAAAGTTTGGAGGGGATTCAATGTTGGGTCTCGTGGAACGGCTTAATTTAGGTGGTCTAGAACGATGAATGGATTAGTTGTCTCTTTTGGGAATAGGTAGAGGGTGGTTAAAGGGTGAGCTTATGCGTTGTATTTTTCACAATGTGCTGGGATTTTTGGACTTCTGAAGTGAAGAGTCCTTTGTCTGGGTTAGTGTCTGGGGAAGGGAGATAAAACGCATTATTAAACATCATGAGACATGAGGTTTTTACATAGAAGTCCCCGAAAATCGCATACATAGCCCTACTTCTTTTTCAACTACACAACTTCGTCGAAACCTTAGAATACTCATGTTGCTTGTAGTACTTCTATCTATTAACACACTTTTTGTTGAAGCTCAAAAATCAAAATCTCGTATGAAAATTTGTCAATCTCAAACACACCAAACAAACAGTATCTGAAATCAGTTACCACTAGTATGAGCAAACCACTCTAACAGTTCGATAAACCTCTGTTTCCTGCCAGAGCATTCTGGTGATACTCTCACATAAACTTCATAGAAATCTCACAGTGCGAAGTGAAAAATTTTTAACCATGTTAAGAATCTTCAAAAGATCATTGAATAGTGGTAAAGGAATATGGTCTAATTTTTCCAATAGATCAGAAACCTTGAAAGTACAAAACATAAAACCACATGCTGCCACCTATCACTCCCCATTATTAATTGACGATGCTTTTAAATCAGCCTACGAAATTTTACAACAGGAAAGTGAAAAAATCTATCAAAGGGCCCAAACTGTTGAAAAAGATGATTTAAAAGATAAATTATTAAGTCAAGCCGAAAGCAAAAACCCCGAAGTTTTATATAACATCCAAAATGGTAATGATTTAGATATAACTCAACCAGTTTATAGAAATCACTTAAAGAAACAATGGGAAAATTACGATTTAATGATTTTAATGCAAAGATTAGAACAATTCAAAGTCATTCCTGATACTTTACCAACAATTCAACCAACTGTGGACGTCAAGGTAAAGTTTCCTCATATCACTAATGGTGAATTCAATCGTTGGATCGTTCCCGGAGAATTTTTACCTTCATTTTTAACCAAACAACCACCAACCATTAAATTGCAACAATTCGATAACTATAAAAATGAATCCAAGTTATTTTCCATAGTATTAATCAATCCTGATGAACCAAATTTGGAAACTAATTCATTCAAAACCACTTTGAATTTTGGAGTGTCTAATTTATCATTATCTTTGACTGATGATAGTTTGGATGTCACTAAGTATTTGAAATATGAAAATGGTAGTGAAGAATTCTCCATGTTCAAATCTTATGAACCAATCTTACCAGAAGTTAATGCTGGAGATTATCAAAGAGCATGTTTATTTGTGTTTGAACAACCAGAAAAGATCAATGTTGATCAAATCAATGCTGAAGATTTCGATATTAGATCGTTTGTAAATAATTATAACTTATCACCAGTTGGTGGAACTATGTGGAGACAAAAATATGATAGATCAGTTAACGATGTAAGAAGTGAATATGGTTTATCTAAAGGTAGAGTTTTCCATAGGGTACGTAAACCTTTCCCATTAATCTAATCTGTATATACATTCCAAAGATCTTTATACTTCTCATATCTCTGTCGAGTGTTAAGCCAAAGCCCATGGGAGTTTCTGATTATTCCAAGGGATGAGTTTGTGGTAGATATAGGTTTCACAATGCGCGGTGAATTTTTCAGATATATGTATGGGAGTTGATAAACTTATTACATTGAATATAGCGGCTTGGGAGGCCCCAGACCTTCCACTGACAGCCAAACTAGATTCCTCCATCAAAAAGAATGTTTCTCTTGTTAGAAGATTGCGTACAATTACTTCCAAACAAACTGAAAGTATTATTAAAGAGATAGACAATGTTACTCTTGATAAGTATTTAAGTGAGATACTACCTTTGATATATGAGTGTTTGACTAGAACAACTAACCAGGATGATATTTGGGCTTGTGTTCAAGTGATTTCTAAATTGCATCATAGGTTCAAGCTTTCCTTTAATCAACCATTGTTGGAGATGATTTTAGATGGGATGATGATTTATGATGATTCTGAAGAAAGTCGAGTAATTCTGATGAACCTATTTACCTGTTTCATTGAATTGGTGTTGGTGGGTGTTTTCAGGAAGTTTGGAGATTATCCAGATGTTTCACCTTCTTCATGGAACCTTCCTACTAAGGATAATGAAGAGTTAATACTATTTCCCGTATTAAAGAAACTTATACAAATGGAATTATCCGACTTATCATTTTTGGTTAGACTTTCTTCGACAATGAACATTGTCTGGCCAATTATTAACGAATTGACTGGAGATGATAGAGCAATGTTGGTTAAAATATTGGATATTTATCATCTGAGGGTGGTGGAGATCACCACGACGTTAACCCAACGTCTCAACAAGTGCATTCAAACATCCAATAGATCGAATTTGAGGTATGGGAAGAGTTTTGATGAGAATACAGCCGAATTGGAAACTCTTCAAGAACATTATGATCTTTCCATTAAAGCATTAAAAATCCAAAGTAAGCTTTTAGGTACAGAACTCCCTGAATTTACATTGGAGCCACTCATCACAGACTATGAACAACAATCCGTCATTCAAGTAGAATATCCTGAGAATTTCTGGGAATCAGAGGAAGAGAGATCATTCTATACTGATATTCCTACCCTTGATGAACTTGGAGATGTAGATTTATCAGATTACGAAGGCTTGATTGATGGTGGAAAAATAACATTGTTCCTCTCTCATTTTGAAAACCTTGAACATGAGAATGATATCAATGATCTTGTTTGTACCTTCCAAAAGTTGAACTTGAACAATTTGGCTACCAAAAACCGTTTTTTCCGATTCTTTACCGAATCCTTCAAGTCTATTAATTTCAAGATCTATGCAAAGTTTTTGAAGATCAATCAGGAGACTATTAAAGATTTGTTGGGGAAATTGATTGAATTTTTCGATAAGAAATTGATAGGTCAATCGTTCAGTGATAGAATTAGTTTCAGATTTGTCTATTTCTACATTGAATTGATCAAGTTTAAATTAATCCCTAATTATCTCATCTTCCATAAAATCGGGACTTTGATTCGTAACATTGCACTCAATAACAATGATGATTTATTGACAGTATTTTTCGAAAGGTGTGGACGGTATTTGATCAATGATGTGGATTATATGGAGATTGCCAATCAAATGATTGCTTTGTTGAAGAAACAAACATCAGTTCCTAAATATCAGATCGACAATTTGGTGTTGATTATTGAATCTGCTAGAGTTGATGGTACAAAACCCGTAGAAGTCGTTAAACAAACCATGACTTTGAAACAATCTTTCATACTGGCCCTATTCCAAGATATTAATGACAATACTATCAATACCATTGTCGGTATCATGAAAAAAGTCGATCTTATGGACAAAGAATTCTTTTCCCTTGCTATAGGTCTTTTCATGGGAACTTCTCCGACAAATCTTAATTCCCGTATGTCGTTGTTAAAGAGGATCGAGCAAAATGAGTTCCTCGATCAATTCAGAAATAAAGTACTTGAATCAATTCAACAAGGGTGCCAATCAGGTGATTATACTTTGAACAAGGACAGAATTTTGAAGACTAAAGTGATAAATGAAATGTTTCAGAAGAAACTCTTTTCCTTTGATGACTTGATTGATTTGTGTTATAAGGTACTTAATCATGGACACAAGAATAATCAACCTTTACCTTACGATTATTCCGTCAAATTAGATTTACCTAATAATTTTTTCAAGATTCAAATGATCTGTACATTGTTCAGCAACATCCATCTGCTCAAACTGGTGAAGGGTAATGAGAAGTTGGAAATCTTCATGGTTTATTTCCAATATTATATATTCTGTAAAGAACCTTTACCTTTGCAAGTTCAATTTGATTTGGAAGAATTATTCGAAAACATCGCTCAGTGTGTTCCTGTTGAACGATTTGAAAATTTGAATGAAGTCTTGGTAGTGTTGAAAGAGATTTCAGCGAAAAGACTGATGAAGAAATCTGTTGTTACTAAAGAGGAAGAAGCTAGGGAGAACGGAACTAATGAAAGTACAGTGCAAAATGAGGTTGTCCAAGCACCAGTCACTTCGGTGCATCAGGTTCAAGTTCAAGTTCAAGAACCAGAACAAGAACCACAACCAGTGGCAGTTCCAGAACCAGTTGCAATCCCAATTCCAGCTCCAGATCCAGATCCAGCTCCAGCTCCAGGACTTCCAACATCATCTCCTAAGAAACCTACGTCCACCAATTTCGAACGAGAACTTGAACTTCAATATCTCCAAGTTCTTCGAGAGTCACAAAATTCGTCTAATGCCCCTAGATCAGATATTCGTGTCCCTGTGGCACGAGGATCCAAATTCAATTTGTTGGTGAAAAATGGTAAAAGAGACGGCCTTAGAGAAATATCCCTTAAGGACGACTCCTTGAGACAAAGAATTCTTAAACAAAAAGCAGAAAGAAAAACTCATAATTCAAGAACCATGGAATTGTTTCAACGCATGGATAGCCCAGATTGGGAAGAACCTGTAGATGATGAGAATACTACACCTAACCCTCTTGGTCAACAAATCTCAAATCCTTAATGATGTGTAAATTACTATACAATTAATTAACTTGAACCAAAACTATGGTGATGTCGTCTTCTTTACCACCTAAATATTTTTGACCGGTCAATTTAGATAATTCTTGTGCAAAGTTACTTGGGAATTCTGGGTTCTTTGATAATTTAACTACTTGACTAACCAAATTCTTAGAAATATCAGGTAAAAGTTCCCCCTTGGATAAACTGTCTTTCAAGAAGTTCCCAATATCTTCAGGAACTACATTATCGGTAACTCCATCAGTTGCAAACATTATAATATCATTTTTTTGTAAATCCCATTGATATTCATCTCCCATTTCAGGTTTATCAATTATATATCTTTTACCTGATAATTGGGCTTGTTTAATAATTTGAATAGGGATCTTGGCCAATTGATAAGGAGTATTAAAATTATGAGTTTGGAATTTAGTTTCATGAACTATGGAGAAATCACGGAAAACCCCACACCATGAATCACCTAAATTTACTACCTTCAACTTTTTATCATTAGTTAACACTCCAAAACATGAAGTAGTACCACCGATTTCTACTTTAGGGGATTTCAATATCTTTTCAAATGCATTAATCAATAATTCTTTTGGTGACATTTCACTGTTATTCTCAAATTCTTCTTTTATAGTTAAACACAACTCTCTGGAAATAGCAGATGAATCATAACCTGCTTCACTCCATCCTCCAACACCATCAGCTACACCTAATGCTATATTCCCATTAACATTCTTTGATATGAATAAATTATCTTCTCCAGTTGGTGAGGTTAAAGCAGCTGAAGGTTTCTTGGTTTTGAATTTATTACTTTCTTCTCTATCTTTAGGTTCATAAGCAAATGCTATGTTATAATCTTTACTTAAATAATCATTAGCAACATTTAAGGTAGTGGAATTTTTCAGTTGAGACCACCAGTTATTTGATGAGTTACTAAAACTTCTTACAGTTCCTTTTACTGTTTGACTATAAGGTTTGAAACTGACATTATTGACAGTATACTTGATGGTTCTCTTACTTATAAACGATAAAAACATCCCTATAACTATTACAATAAGATACCTACCAAGCTCTAATCTCATTAAACTTCCCTGACAGTTTCAAGTCTTTTGAGACATCAACAGTCGGTAAGTCCACGACACTTTGGTTGATTTTCGCGAACTATGAAGTTGAAAAAAAATTTCAACCAATTATTTAAACTTTAAAGATGTCCACAACTTTCAATGTTTTAAGATATTCATTATTTGGTGCCGGTATAGTATACGGAGCATACCATAGATATTCATTAGAATCAGATGTTGAAAAACAAAAATTCTTATCAAGTTTCGCTCATGAACAAAAATTAATCAACAAAGCTAAAAAAGAATATGCCAAATTAACTGCTCCAAAAGCTACCACTGGAGATGCTATTAACTGGGAAGATCCAAACTTAGATTTTGGTAAAGCTTTGGAAACTTTGGTTCAAAAATTAGAATAATTGTATTAATAGATCAATGCATGATGTCGATATTTATCTGAGATGAAGGGAGCGGAATGACTATTGAGGAATGTAGATAGAGATTGATATAGTGAGAGCTTCATAGAGAGACTGAAGTATAGTGTGATTCATCCAAGACATGATAAACAAGTGCACTATGTCCCCTCCAGGTTTCAGTACACTCCAGAAGACAATGTGATGTATCACTAAACTTTTTCGAATTCTACTCAGTCACTTTCCCCGGGTTACTTCTACATTTCCTATACATCTTCTCCTCTTCACGTTGAATTACCTCTTATCCATTTCATATCTCTGACCTACCACTGTAACTCCCTTATCTGGTTCTTTACTAATGATTCGCGAACATGAAAGGTAGACGAATACTTGGATCTCCCAACGACAGTCCCGATAATGTCCGTAAGAAGGTCATTCTAGATCCCCAGAGTCCTACTCCTTCACATCCCAAAAGCAATGCCATTGATGACATCAGTGAGGAAATTAAATGTCCCATTTGTAATGAACCTATGATAAATATGTTTCAACTAAATCAACATATTGATGATATACATGTTGACGGCCAACCCAACAAGTCAATTGATACAGAAACAAAGGTTTCAAATACTTCCTACACCTCACCAACCATCAATAAACTCATCAACAATGATTTCATCCAAAAAGATATGAAAAAGTGGTTTGACACCACTCCCACTAAACGGAAAACCATCAGTTTAGATTTATTTGATGGCAATAAAGGATTCAGTCTAAGTGGAGAGAATAATAATGACGATTCTGTCCTTAGCGGATCAGAAGCTAACACTCCAAAATCAACTTCGAGTCCATTGAACAAACCAAGGATCATCAGAAGTCATTGGAAACATCCTTCATCCAATCCTCAATGTAAATTATGTCAAAAACCTTTAAACGTCAAGCACGGGATTGTACATTGTAGGAAATGTGGTGAATTGACTTGTAATGATGATAGTAATTATAAGGTTTGTCTACGTAACCCACATAAGAATGAAACAATCCCTCAGTATGATAAAAATGGGATTTGGAGTAAATGTTGTAGAACATGTTATTTTGATAAACCCGATTTGAAAAATCAGGGACAAATCAATATGGTAGATTTGACAGATAAGTTCAAGAGGATGAGAACCACTAACAATGAGACGAGTCAATTAAACAGAGACAAGTTGATCAAAAGATTCATAAAGATAATTAATTTCCTTTCTGAGTATTACTTAACAAAGAAAGATTCATTTCTTTCATTTTCTTTGAGTGAAGACCAAGAAATCATAGATAAACAGAAACAAATAATCGGTTTTGAAAATTGGCAAGATGATGATACTATCAACCATTGTTATATCTGTTTCACAAGGTTCAATTTTTTAGTCAGAAAGCACCATTGTAGAGTTTGCGGTAAAATTGTATGTGATGATAAGTTTGAACAACGACAAGGATGTTCCTTATTGGTACCCGTTCCCATAGTGTTGAAGATCTTGTCTAATCTAAACTATTCCAAATTTGTATTGGATAATTGGAAGAAATTAATGAGCAATAATGACATAACCATCAGAATGTGTAAGAATTGTAAGAATGACTTAACTTATGATTTCAAGTTGAAGTCCCTCGAAAATCCAGAGGATACGGAGGAATCTAATAATTTGAAATTAATATTCCTGGTTTACCAGCAATTACTTGTGGTGAAGAACAATATCAATCACTATCTTCCTAAATATGAAAGTCAACTTCTTTCACCGGAATTAAAGATCGATATCACCAATAAATTGAAGGACAGAATCATGATATATCTTAAAGACTTCGAAAGTCTTATATTCCAATTCAAACATAAGTTTTATCTTCGAAGTGGAGAAATAAACCCGGTCTTTTCCAAAAATTTCAAACTCATAAATGGTATCAATCAAAGCTTGATCTTATTCTTGCAAGATAATCTCCTCAAGTTTAAAGACTTGAATGAAAAGTTCCGTAATATTGAAAATAGTCTCCTCCCCAAAGAAACTATCGACAAACCAAAACTCACAAAACGTCAAATACGAGAATTGAGAGAACAATTGATGGTGATGAATGAACAAAAATTCATCATAGAGAACATGATATACGACATCACCAAACAAAGGAAGTTCGACCAATTGCAGCCATTATTGAATAATAAACAAGAGTTAGTTAATGAAATTGAATCACTTGAAGAGAAATTAGGAGAATTCGGATTTTAATTCTAGATCTTAATGCATAACGATATTTTTTCGGACTTTTCTTGACCTCTCAATCTACCACCCCCTTGTAAATCTAGATATCTCCACAAATTACCATTTCCGCAACACTTAACCGCTTTTTCGGACTTCATAATAAACCGGATTTATACTGGTAGATCAGTGACGTGAATAGTACATTGCCATCGTATCAAGGAGTTATTGTGCGATAAATCCACCGACTTCAACCTTCCCCTTCTTTATAACTTAAAAGGGTTTATCTCGGGAGATTGTTGTAGCGATAATTCTATTGTTATACCATTTGGGGGTGGGGTTTCCTCTTTGAGGTTACGATCCCGCATTTTGTCCCTTAAATCTGGGGTAGGGTAAATAACTATTTAACTAATGGTAATAATACTCTATGAAATCAATTCTCTGAGAGATGGACGTGGAGAGTAAAGATTCATTATCAAGAAAATCAAATGAATCTGTAGAATCATTTGAAGAGAAACCAAGTTTTGGCAGAAGAGTAAAAAATGTTTTACTCTTGAAAGAGCTTTTTTCCAAGAACGAAGAAAGACCAACTCCGAAAGAAGTCTACAATTTCAGAACTTATGGTACGGCGTTCATGACTTCAGCTGCAGCTATTATTATTGGTTATGATTCATCATTCATTGGAGGTGTTATGGCTTTGGATAGTTTCAAATCAGAGTTTGGTTTAGATGAAATGACTCAAAGCCACGCTAGTTACGTAATTTCTAACATTATATCTTCATTCCATGCGGCTTGTTTCTTCGGGGCTTTGATTTCATATCCCTTCTCTCATTATTATGGGAGGAAAGTTACATTGTTGATTGCTTCTTTTATGATGACTGTAGGTTCAGCAATTATGTTGGCAGCTAGTAATTCTGTTGGTTTAGGTCCAATTTATGCTGGTAGAGTACTTGGTGGCTTAGCCGTAGGATTCTCAACTAATGTTACGGTAATCTACCTTAGTGAGATTGGTCCTCCTTCTATTAGAGGGATGCTTGTGTCCATGTATGAACTTTGTTGGAGAATTGGTGATTTGAATGGTTTTTGGATTAACTATGGGGTAGATTCGAATATAGCACCTTCAAGAAAACAATGGTTAATTCCTTTCGCCATTCAATTGATCCCCAGTGCTTTATTCTTGATAGGTAGTATCTTAATGAAAGAAAGTCCTCGTTGGCTCTTTAGTGTTGGTAGAGACGAGCAGGCTTTGAAAAACTTACTTTGGTTTAGAAGGTTACCTAGAGATAGCGAATATATCATCTATGAAGTTAATCAGATTAAATTAAACATAGATTACCAAAGAACGCATGTTGGTTTAGGCTTATGGGATCCTTTCAAACAAGTGTTTTTTAAAGACCGTAGAATCTTGAAAAGATTGTTTATCACAGGATGTATTTTTGTATTCCAAAGTTTCTTGGGTATCCAATCTATTAATTATTATTCCCCTATTTTCTTTAGAAATTTGGGAGTTAAAGGTACAAATGCCACTTTGTTCTCAACTGGGATCTTTGGTTTGGTAAAGTTTGTTTGTACATTTATTTATATTTTATTCATTGTGGAAAACTTAGGGAGAACCAAAGCTTTAATGATCTCCTCCACCATATGTGCAATATGTTTCTGGTATATCGGTACTTACTTGAAATTAAACGACCCTTCAGATCCTAGTTATGTAGCTGATGCTGGGGGTAGGGCTACCATTGCCATGATGTACATTTGGGTTGCCAGTTTCATTATGGCTTGGAGTTCAGCTCCATTTGTTATTGGTTCTGAGGTGTTTGATCAGAATATTAGATCTTTCGTCCAAGCTATTAACGCTGCTATATGTTGGGTGCCAATTTTCATCTTATCAAGATACACTGCCAATATGGTGCAAGCTATGGGATATGGAGTTTATTACTTTTTTGCTAGTATTACAGTTATATCTGTTCCTTTTGTTTTCTTTTTAGTTCCTGAAACCAAAGGTATTGCCTTAGAGGATATGGATAAGTTATTCGATAGAAGGATTCCTGCCTACAAGGCCCATAAGATTGTATTCGAAGCTAGACTTAGAGAAAACAAACAAATAATGAATCATGAGATCAAAGACATAAATTCTAGGAAATCCAACGAGATCCAAAACATTGAATATGCCTAGATAGTGAATGTATGTGTGTAATTTAACTGACTCTCCCCACAAAAATAATGTTATTTAAACCCATTTAGATAAAAGAAGATCAGTGGTGGATGATGCGGTGGGTGGTGCTGGTGGATGGATTGGGGGATTTTTGGGGGATCCCTCACTATTTTATGTCAAATCTCACGTCTTGATCCCCCACGTCTTACGTAATATTTGTTGCGACCCCTCGCTGCAAAATCTGGGGTTAGCAGACAAAATTTTCGTATTTAATCTTTAAAACTTCCTCGAATCTATATCACAACAATGGACGTTGAAAGTAGAGATTCATTATCAAGGAAATCATCTGTCACCATGGATGAGCCCCCAGTTTCAAAGTTTTCCAAAGTCAAAGACGTCTTCTTGCTTAAGAAGATGTTTGCTAAGAATGAAGAAAGACCAACACCAAAGGACGTTTATAACTTAAGAATTTATGGTACTGCTTTCATGGCATCATTTGCTGCTATCATAATTGGGTATGACTCGGCTTTCATTGGAGGAACCATGGCATTAGATAGTTTTAAATCGGAATTTGGATTAGATAAAATGACTAAAACTCATGAAAACTATGTCATTTCTAATATCATTTCATCATTCCATGCCGCTTGTTTCTTTGGTGCCTTGATATCATATCCTTTCTCACATTATTATGGTAGAAGAATTACATTAATCATTGCTTCGTTTTTAGTGACACTTGGTTCAGGAGTGATGTTGGCTGCAAATTCATCTGTGGGTTTAGGTCCTTTATATGCTGGGAGAGTACTTGCAGGATTAGCTGTGGGATTTTCCACTAACATTACTGTGGTTTATTTGAGTGAGATCGGTCCCCCATCTATCAGAGGTATGATCATATCCTTCTATGAAATTAGTTGGAGAATTGGAGATTTAACAGGGTTTTGGATCAATTATGGAGTTGACTCCCATATAAGTCCATCCAGAAAACAATGGTTAATTCCTTTTGCTATCCAAATGATCCCAAGTGCTATGTTTTTGATGGGGAGTTTCTTAATGAAGGAGAGTCCTCGTTGGTTATACAGTGTAGGTAAAGATGAACGTGCTTTAAAGAATTTACTTTGGTTCAGAAAATTGACTCCGGATAACGAATACATCATTTTTGAAGTCAACCAAATCAAACAAAGTATTGATTACCAAAAACATCATGTTGGTTTGGGTCTCTTGGACCCTTTCAAGCAAGTATTTATCAAAGACCACCATGTTTTGAAGAGATTATTCATGACTTGTTCACTTTTTTTGTTCCAAAATTTCTTGGGGATCCAATCCATCAATTACTATTCCCCAATCATTTTTGAAAACTTAGGAGTGAAAGGAACCAATGCTACATTGTTCTCCACCGGTATGTTTGGGGTGGTCAAGTTCATATGTACCTTCATTTATATATTGTTCATTGTTGATAACCTTGGAAGAAGAAAAGCATTGATGATATCTTCATCTATTTGTTCTATTTGTTTTTGGTATATTGGTGCATATTTGAAAATCAATGATCCTACTCAACCAGGTGTTGAGGCAGGCCCTGGAGGCACTGCTGCCATTGCTATGATGTATATCTGGATTGCAAGCTTCATTTCAGCTTGGAGCTCAACCCCATTTGTTATCGGTGCTGAGGTCTTTGATCAAAATATTAGATCGTTTGTTCAATCCATCAACGCTGCCATCTCATGGGTTCCCATCTTTATTATGTCCCGTTATACTACCAACATGATAAATTCAATGGGATATGGAGTTTATTTCTTCTTCGCAAGCATAGCTGTCATATCTGTACCGTTTGTATTTTTCTTAATCCCAGAGACTAAAGGTATAGCTTTGGAAGACATGGACCAATTATTCGATTCGAGAATCCCAGCTTATAAAGCTCATAGTATTGTTTTTAATGCAAAAGCCAAGGACAACAAAGAATTAATGAACCACAAGGGATTATATGAGATAAGTTCAAGGAAATCCAATGAGATTCAAAATGTAGAAAATGTTTAGTAAAATATAATGATATAAATTGATTAACTGTAAAAATCACAAAACTCTAGAAAAATGAATCTGACTATTTATGAACTCCAAACGTACTTTGACACCGAATTTCATCAACCTAGAGGGCTTTGTGATCTAGTAAACGGAAAAAAATCGAAAACCGGAAATTTTAACTACGAATATCATTCCGCTCGAAAAATCTCTCATTGAGGCAACTTGTCCGAGTGGTTAAGGAGAAAGACTTGAAATCTTTTGGGCTTTGCCCGCGCAGGTTCGAGTCCTGCAGTTGTCGTTATTTTTTTTTTTTCCAATCATTGCATAGTTTGTTCTTAGAGATAGTTATTCTTTCCTAAAACTCATAGTTTGTTCCTAGTTATTGATGGTATTGTCATATTCTATATTATTGAACCTATAAACATAAACTTCTTTTTACCGTAAGTTTTGGGAAAAAACTCTCGAAGTTTTTTCTACCCTTGATCTATACACCTCTAATCCATTCGTTCGACGAATTCCTCGAAGTTATTGATATCATTATTTCTGGATTGCCGCCTAGAGTTGGCATTACTCGATGGGAGAAGTAAATAATTGTTGACGGATGGTCTTTGACTCATATTGAACTCTGTCAAATTATTATCGTTGAAAGTGAAATTGGGATTCAACCCATTGGTTAATTCATTGATTTTCAAATAGTCTGGATTACCGTCTGAATTAGTTGGACTTATATCTTCTGACAAGAAGTCAGATTCATAATCGAATTTTTCTTCATCAGGTCTTTTTCTTCTCCTTCTTTGGGGTTTCTTTTCTGCCTCTTGTTGTTCAAACTCTCTATATTTAGCCAAATATATTTTTAAAGTCTCTGAGTAGTTTTCAAACCCTAATGTATACATTGCCCATAAAATATCTTCCCCATTCAAAGTCTTACGTTTCTCTATCTTACATTTATCAACAGCTTGACTAGTAACAAATGATATAAACTCACTGACACATTCTTGGATACACACCTTGGATTCTTTAGAAAGTTTTCCATGAGGTGGTAATGCCAGTTTCATTACTCTCCCTACTAAGATTGTTAGTTTTTTGCAGCTAAATGATCCCCCACCCACCATGAATTTTTATGGCTTTGGGAATGAATACATACCATTAGCTATAGGTAAGAAACGGTCCTGTTCTTTTATTTCGTAGTCTTCGTTAGTCCAATTGGCATCAAGAGGTCTATCCATTATGGTAAGGCTGTAACCAAAAAAAAAAATCTTCGCAAATTATGCGAGATCGGAGAGATAAAAAATTTGGATCCAAAATAAGTAATAATACATTTTTATACATCTAAGTGAGATCTAAATCTAAGCAGGAGTCTCTTCCAAAGCTTCTAAACATCTGCGGACTAAACTGGCGTAAATTTTACAGTCCTCAGCTTCATCTTTCCAATAATCATACACCAATAAAGAATGTTGGAGAGTATAAATGATAGTCTGTCTAGGTAACAAGTTTTCAATGATACCACTAATATCTCCTGCAGCTTCAAAAAGTGGATTACCGAAGAATAATTTTTGAGCTGAAGCATTCGTCCTTAAATTATCAAGGAAATCCTGTAATTTCTTGAAAAGTAAGAACATGTAAAAATTCCCTATCAATAGATTTCTTAAATAATACCATTGACCAGGATGTCTGTGAGCACCTAGCTTTGGAATATTTAATTTGGGAACTGTCTTCAAATGGATGAAGAATAATTTTATAATTTGTTTCTTAGCATTGGGGAGAAGGTCCATTCTGAAAAAGGATCCATTTGAAGGCTTCATATCATTATTGACAAAGTAAGTGGAGAAATCTTCATCTACATTACTTCTTTGATAATATAATGGAGCTTCTAAGATCTTATCATAATCCATTGCCCTTTCATTATCTAAATGAGAAGATAAATCAGAAATACTGGAAATGGATTCAGGTTCTTTAGTTACTTGAGAATCATTAAACACTGCTAATGCTCCTTCGATTAAATCTTGCATGGGGATTTTATTATTGAGAATTAAATATATCATAGGACGGAATAAAATCAATTTGGAAGTTAAAATCCTGGTTTTAATATACATGATGGATTCTGATTGAGATTGAATTAAAAGGTTATTGTCAATCAAGAATTCGTCTAAATCTGCTGCTATTTCATCATCACCTAATTGTTTACTTCTACGTCTCTCATAAGCTTTGGTGATGCTTTTAAGGATATTTTCAGTATCGACCTCTTCTAATACGAAACTTCGAATCCTGGGACTTAAAGAATTAATAATCCCATTATATTGGTTAATACCTTTGATAAAAGATGTCCAGAAAGTTTCTTCATAAAACTTTGGTTGATCCCATAATCTAGCTTTTGAAGCATCTATGGAATAAAGTTCATTAAAAGTTTCATTTTCGGCTTTCCTTATAGCTATTTCTGTTAAGAAATAATACCAAGTATATTGATCATCAAACTTGGAAGCAAATTGTAGACATTCTTTACTATGTTTGGAATTAATGACATTTTCATCTTCAAGGATTGATTCCGGAATAGTGGGGAATTGACAAGGTGGTTCGATATTGGTAATACCTGAGGTGGATATTTTAGGTGATAATTCAGTTTTCAATTCACATTCAAGCTTCAAACAACTCCAAAATAATCTTTCTACTACCCTTCTTTTGTTTTCGTTTTCATAAACAACTTGATTTGAAGAATCTCGTTTCTTATTTAGGTAATGCATCATATGTTGACAAGATATATTGATCTCTTCAAAAGCTATTGTGGGCTTCAAAATATATAAATGGAATTGACTCAAGAACAAATGATAAAATATTGAATTCAATGAAAATCTCTTATAAATTCCTGGACAGAATATAAGGATAGTCTGGGAGAATGTAATTAACCATGAAGAAATGGCGAGTCTTTCTTTTGGTATACCTTCAGGAATCAATTTAATACTCTCTTTAGTTAAACAACTAGTGGATAAGTCTCTTCTTTCTTCTAAAGAAGTTTGATAACTTCCAAAATTATTTAATTGGACAGGTGAAGATAATATTCCTAAAGCACAGACCACAGGTATTAAAGGAATACTCTTACAAAGATTGAAATAGGCTTTTCTTCTGAATGGAGAATCTTCAACGGGATGTTTAGTGACTAATTCCAAATATAAATCTCCTATTTCTTTGGACTGAATTTTAATCAATTCGAAATCTTCTGATAACCTCAAAAGGGAGAAATTCCCAATGTATTTATGGAATATCTTATATAATTCAATCGATTCAATAAACTCTAAAACATCAAGAACAGGTACTTTTGTATGACAGTTTATGAAAAATGAATTAATACATTGATTCAAAGAATTGAAGAATACTGATTCAATTAATCGAAGACTATTGAATTTTTGTTCCATTGTTAACACCAAGGATAATTCTTTGGGAGGTCTTACATCATAAGCCTTCAATAATTTCTGATCTATATCTTTATAATCGTCTAATATTCCAGGTATCTTTTCGGAGAAATAATCCCATTGTAATATAGTAGTTAAAGACATATCCCATAACGGACTTCCATTGCTAACATTTTGGGGTACTTTCTTAGTAGAACCACCTTCGTTCTTTTCCTTAATAACTTTCAAATCGTCCATAATTATATCTAATCGTTGAAGAATAGTGTTCGACATAGAATCATAACTGGTAATCTCTTTAATTTGGTCTTCATTGACATATTCACAAGTTTCTATGCCATTCTTGACACAAGCTCCACACCGAGGTCTTAAGTTGTCACATTTCACTTTTTTCGTTCTACAAGTGTTACAAGCTGTCAAAGCTCTTCTCCGTGGAACAGGAGTCTTATTTTTAGTAACTTTCTTCTTAAATTGAGGTGACATATCTGAAGAAATATTAGTTTCTAACCCCTGATTAGGATAGTTTGGTGGTCCAGGTACTTGTTGTGGTAATTTCAGGGCAATAGGTTGACCAAACTGAGGACCAGGTTGATTTTGGTTTCCCGTCATGCTCTGTGACGGTACCATCTGAAACCCTGGTATTATCTTCCCATTATCGTTGATTTGCATGAAGTTCCCCGGCATTTGTCCCATACCACTTTGTATACCTTGTGGTACCTGGGGATTGTTTTGCACCATAGCAGGTGGAGGCAAGCCACCTCTCATATAATTAGCCATGTTATCATTCTGCGGGTAAATAGGTTGATTATAAAAAGGTTGAGGTTGTCCTGGTGTAAAACTTTGATATATTGGTTGATTATCTGGTAAAGAAGGTGTTCGATTATAATTACCGCCATCTCTTTCCTCCATTTTGGGTTGGTTTACTCTCCATCGATGTTCTGGCATGACTGAGACGGTATAAAATTTTCCGTATGTATGTGTTTACGAGACAAACAATTGTCGCGCAGTTTTAGTGGTAAGGGTTTAAGGGACGAGCGACAAGGAGAATATATATTAAATAACCAAAAGAAGATTAACCTGGAGGTAATTGAGAAGCATCAACAATATCAGTAGCATCAACTGGTTCTTCATCTTCAACAGCATGATCTAATGGAGTTCTTGGTAAAGCCATCATACCAGATCTTGCTAATTCTAAAATACCAAATGGATGTAATAATTGAATAAATGAAGAAATTCTTGAAGGTTTAGCACTTAATTCCACAATAACATTTCTATCAGAGATATCAACAACTTTACCACCGAATTTTTCGGTTATGGTTGAAATATGATCTAAATGATTATGTTTTTGTCTTAAGGCTTCACTTGGTGGTAAATTGTTTGGATGATAAGCTGATTCTGGAGCTTCTAAATCTGGTATAGATGATCCATCACTAGTGAAAACTTTATGACTGGCAATTAATTCTTGGAAATATTCAGGTCCTAAGATTGAAACTCTTGCTAATAATAATTCTCTTTTGATGATTTCAGCATTACTGTAATCTAATACAGCATATACAGGGACTAAATCTTCGATTTGTCTTCTGGCTTGTTCAATAACAGCATCTTGACCAGCTAAGACAATAGTCATTCTTGATAAATCTTTAACTTCAGTATTACAAACAACTAAAGAATCAATATTAAAACCTCTGGCAGCTAAAGTACCGGAAACTGATGATAAAACCCCTGGTTCATTTTGAACTAAACAATTTAAAACATGTTGTTTCTTTGGAGCTCTTGAAGGTACAGGAGTTTCATATAAAATTGAAGAAACTGCTGCATCGGCTGACCAGTTTGGAGTTTCTAAAGTTGGCAAAGGTGGTCTTTTTTGATTACGATGTAATGTCTTATAAGCCAATGCTGAGGTAGAACTACTAGTCTTGGTTCTAAGGAAATTCCTTCCAAGTCTTACGGTTGACATTTTGCAAAGTGAAAAGTTCAAGAATCGCTCTTTTTTCCAATGAATCATCAAAAGTCGTGGAGATGCGCGGTTCAGGACAAGAGGAAGCGATAACGGTTCCTCCACCCGGGGGGTTGTTCGTATGATTATTTAGTTAGGGAGGTCGCTAAAATTAAGCTTTCTCCAGTATCTAATCAAGGAGTTACTCATTAATTATTGCCGTTCCAGTAAATTTTCTTTACAGTCAGCTCAACTTACGGTTTTTAGTACTCTATGTCTAATTCTTTTCAAGTTTGATATTGTCTAGTTCCTCTAAAACACATCTTGACAGCTTCAAACTTTACCAACATACTTAAACTCGACTGCGTCGCCACCTGTGGATGCAAATTTAATACCATAAATAAGGTTGCAGGCTTCGCGAAAGAAAATATGACCAAAACTAGAGCTAAAAGAAAGAGCCATAAGTGTGATAATTGTCGAAAGTTGAAGATTGCTTGCGATAGGGTGAGACCCAGTTGTGAATATTGTGTGGCGACTAATAGGACATGTGTTTACGAAGCTGATTCATTAGTTTTTGCCTCTGATCTCAATGCCACAAGCGAATCATCAATAGACCCAAGTCCCACTTCATCTGATGGAATCGAAAATTACCTTGTATTTTACCCCATTAACGATATGGTAAACCAATTAAGTATCAGTAGATTTGAATTAAAACTAATGAAATTCTTCAATGATTCATACTTGCCGTCTTTAATAGAGAAACGTCAAATGGATGTGAATGTCAAATTTCAAATTCCTTACACTTGGACCATTTCAAGAGTTCTCCGTCAAACTGTTTACAGTTTATCATGTTTGGTACTTTATAATCTGGATGATCGAGGAAAGAAATATCTTAGGGAAGATATAGAAGGAGAAATGAGTGATCAGGAATTATACTTTAAAACCATGGATTATTTCAATCAATGCTTACCTTTACATCAAAAGAGTGTGGATTTGTTGGGTGCTGGCACCCCAACAGTGCAAAGTGTTGATCATGCTTTAGAAATGGTTCTTTCAAGTGTTTTACTCTACACATTTTTAATCCTCCAACCTTTCAATGTTTTACCTTTGGTGTGTAATGAAGGTGGCCCGGATCTTCTATCGATGATCAAAGGCATGAAACTTTATATGGGTCCGTCTTTTGCAATGTTGGCTCATACGAGGTTTAGTTCTTTAAGTAGTCTTTGTGGTAAATCTGACTTCTATTACGTCAATTGTATTGAAGAATTCTTCCTTACTCAACATTTGAGAGATCAGCTAGTTTCCATACAAGGACAGTATGAATTTTCCATGTATCTTGCTTTAGAAAAAAGTATTGATACATTAAGAGGGTCTTTGAATAACTTGATCAGATACCGCAATGCTTCTTGTTTATATAGTTGGATATTTTGTATGGACCAGGAAGTAATCGAGCTCATGCGTGATGGAGATTATTTCGGATTAAAGTTATTGTTTTATTATTCATGCTTTATAATATGGTGTGGATTATCTGACCGTCCAGAAATGATTTTACTGTTCTGTAATCAATTCAAAGATTACAATTTTCAACATTTTGGTGGGTGGTTCGATGAGTTGGATTTCTATTCTTATACACTTTGTTTAAAGCCATACCAATTCCCTCCGGAATCACTTGAACTGTGGGAATGGTTTAATCCTAAGAGTGTTGTACTTAAGGAGTTTGGGTCTAGCGATGCTGCTCAAGATACTGAATCAACTAATTCCACTTCATCGAGTGGTACACCTTCTTTCCGTGTTGAGGCTTCAGTTGAAAGTTTCCAGATTCCAGATAATTTGACTATAGAGCATGATTTGGGTATGATCCCAATCCTATGAACTGTTTTATATTGTTCAAGTTTGGGTTTTAAATATATATTGGGTTAGGATAAATTTCCGTCCTCATTGCCTCTTTGAGCGCGGAATAGATGAGACTTAAATACCACAATCTTTTTCTCACCGTTATCTATCAATGTTTAAAATCTTCAGACCACCCAAATTGTCACGATCCTTAGGTTTGGGATTGGGGTTTGCTGCCTCAGCCATGATGACCACTTCAATATTATGTGATTCCATTCCTATCACTCGAAAAATTACTGTGGATGAATTGCAAAAGCATAAATCTACTGATTCTACTTGGGTTGCAATCAATAGAAAAGTTTATGATCTCACTGATTTCTTACAGAAACACCCTGGTGGATCAGCCATTATCATGAAATTTGCTGGTAAAGATGCTTCCAAACTATTCAATCATTTACATCCCATCTATGTTCTTGATCAATACTTAGAACCTGAGAATTATTTAGGTGAACTTGAAGGTGAATTTGCAACTGAACCTAAAGCTAAAAGTGAAGGAGGCGTTCCACCATTATCAAGAGTTTTCAATCTCCATGATTTCGAATTTATTTCTAAGAAGGTTCTTACTCCAGAAACTTGGGCCTATTATCTGGGAGGACTGGATGATGAAATTACTATGAGAGATAATCATTCAGCTTTTGCTAGAATTTTCTTCAATCCTAAAGTATTGGTTGATGTCAGAAACGTTGATATTTCCACGGAAATGATGGGAATTGAAACAGATGCTCCATTTTATTTAACGGCTGTTGCCATGGCTCAAATGGGTCATCCAGATGGTGAATTATCAGTTGCAAGAGCTTGTAAAGAAGAAAATGTTATACAAATGATTTCATCTACTTCTTCATACCATTTCGATGATATTACCAAAGAAACTACCATGTCCAAATGGTTCCAACTTTATGTTCAACCAGATAGATCTCATTCTCATCAAATGCTTAAAAAATGTGAAAATCAAAATGTGAAAGCCGTTTTTGTTACCGTCGATACACCCGTCTTAGGTTTCAGAGAGAAAGATTTCCGTCTCAGATATGCTGATGTTGAAGATGATGATACCACTGAACAATTTGATCCTATCAAAGATTACCAAGATCCAGGTATCACTTGGGCCGATATTGATGATTTTAAATCAAGAACCAACTTACCGGTAGCTATCAAAGGTGTTCAACGAGTTGAAGACGTCCTTTTAGCTATCGATCATAAAGTTGATGCCGTGGTATTATCAAATCATGGAGGAAGACAATTAGAATATTCAAAACCTCCAATTGAAGTTTTAGCTGACGTTATGCCTATCTTAAAAGAACGTAAACTTGACGACAAAATTGATATTTTCATTGATGGGGGTGTTAAAAGAGGTACCGATGTGGTCAAGGCCTTGTGTCTTGGTGCTAAAGGTGTGGGGATTGGTAGACCGTATATTTATGCCAATTCTGCCTATGGAGAACGAGGTGTTAGAAAAGCGATTCAATTATTGAAGAATGAGGTCATTTTAACCATGAAATTATTAGGAGTTACCAAATTGGAAGATTTAAACGAAGATTTGATTGATACCAGAAATTTGAAAAACAGAAGGTTCCACAATGATGTCCATAATGATATCTATGAACCTTTGACCTTCCCCAAATAGACTTATTTATAGAATTACATTATTTATTACGGATCACTTAACCCTTTTGGGTCAATGCTTATCACTCTAATTTTTTTAATCTAACCTGTAGTTTTTACACTTTTCGGAGGTTTGCTCTATTACATTTTTACATGTTAGCTGATCAAAAAAGAATCTGAATACACTGTCTAACATCTCAGAGAGTACATACTATAAGCTTAACACACAAAACATATATTTATTATGGAATAACTCCTTGGAAATGTTTCAACTCATCAGTTTCGAAATCATAAACTTCCTTTCCCTCGAAGTAAGTCTTATAGACGATGGTCTTAGAGATGTCTTCTGCTGTCAACAAATCACGGTCCAACACAATGAAGTTGGCCAATTTTCCTTTGGTGATGGTTCCTTCCTCTTTATCTCTTGAAACAGCTTTAGCTCCATCAATAGTAACGATCTTGACTACTTCTTCCCTAGTCAAATCCCAGCCATGCTTATTCTCAGTGATAGATTGTAATCCGGGAAAGATATTAGGAGTATCAGGAGAGAAAACCCAATCGGAACCAATGGTCAACAAAGCACCAGCATCCCTTAATTGATTAAAAGGGTAAACTGAATGAGGGTTAACTTCTGGTTGGAAATCAGGATCGTACCACACAGCAGGTGACATTTCCGCTGTTAAATTCAATGGCTTGAATCTCTTACAATCTTCATCGGTAACGTTCATGTTATGAGCTAACTCATGACGAGGACCGTTTGGATTCAACTTTCTCAACTGCTCAAAGCAATCTAACGCAAATTTGGCCGACCCTTGACCACAGACATGGACTTTACAAGTTCTTCCTTCTTTGTCAAATTGCTCAATAGCTTTCTTGAAGGTATCTTGAGGAATCAATAATCTTTTATAGTCAACTTCTCCATCTTCGGTTAATGGGCAATGACTATAGTTTTCAGGCCAAGGCACTCCATCTAACCAAAATTTAGTGAACATGGGATTGAAGTGTTTTGATTTGTAGTCCTTTGCATTGTATAAAGCATGGTGTAAAGTACCTACCACCTCTTGGGAGAAAGCACCGACTCCATAGGCTACAACATGTGCATCTAAATTAATAGTCAAATCACCCAGCTCTTCCAAAGCTTTGGCTGCTTCCAAATACACAGTGTTTGCAGAAGCTTCTTGTACAGCAGTGAAACCGAACCTGTTACTCATCTTCACGCCATACTTTAAAGCAACTATGTTATCTTCAGAACGAAGTTTAGGAATAGCATTAAACATTTTTGTGGCTGCACCTTCAATTAATTCACCTGTCATTCTACCATTTTCGTCTCTGATAAACCAGCCATCAACAGGATCTTGTTCTCTTTCAATATCATACCCGGCGGCTCTCAAAGCTGCAGTGTTTGCAAAGATATTATGAGTAGTATATTCTCTAATAACCACGGGTTGATCACCAAAAGCATCATCCAAAAATTTCCTGTCCGGTTTACCATTTGGGAATGATCGATAATGATAGAAATTTCCAATCAACCAGTTGGAAATCGACTGCAAGTGACCGCATTGATCATGTTGATGTTGTTTCAAACCCTTAACAATCTCATCGGTTGTACCATAGACACCCAATTTAGCATCAAAAAGCTTCTCTCTACTAGCCATTAACAAATGACAATGAGCATCATGCATACCAGGCATAACAAATTCTCCTTTTAAATCAATGATCAGCATTCCACTAGCTAATGCTTGAATCTCTGAGGTGGTTCCTACAGCATCGAAATATCCATCATCGTTAACAATAAAAGCTTCAGCTCTCATCATATTTTCGTCCACAGTGTAGACATTTCCGTTAATGTAAGCAATTGGCATATTTTTATAGTAAAAAATCTATATTTCTAATAATCTTTAAATATCGAAGAGTTTATCTTTCTAAAATATCTGGGAGGATGCTGTAATTTAACCCAATTTTTATTCTTCCCTGTCACACAGTCATACATCCAATTGACCTGTTGCCATATTAAGAATGTATTAATTGGGTTATAAAAACCGACAGTATTACACCTAGTTTGCATTCATTTATGAATAATTAAGTCTGCTTTACCAGGAAAGATAAGAATTACATAATGATATTTTTTTTTCACATCTTTGTACTTTGTTAAAACCTTGTCTTTTGGGGTCAATTTGATGAGCCTATTGGCCGAAGAATGATAAGGTGGAGGAATAAACAATTCCGAAACCTTAAATTGTTTCCTGCTCTTCTTATGAATATTCAAGCTATGAAGGAAAGAATCCGCTCAATCCCGCATGGATGCAAATTCCAATTTTCTGATACTTAGCTTCCGCTCTCATTATAACGAGTCAGCAATGCAATATGTTATACGCAGTGATGAATGATAATATCAGCGTCCCAATTGGGTCTACCGTAAACACCCACCAATTAGAAGCTATAAAAGTGAAAAGATAAGGAAACAATAAAGCTCCTCAGTACTGTATAGACTATTTGATGTTCATTTTCTAAGTATTTCTGACCCAATTTGGCAATATGCAGCCATACTTAAATTCTTAAATTCTTATTGAGATGTAATTGCCTCCCTATGGTTGGTTCATGTATAAAGTCATGTAACAGTCGATGAGTGTGTTGAGACGAAGAGATGGACAACAAAAGGATTTTCCATTGAGATAACCCCGTAACTCTTGTTGAGAAATGTTCAAAACGTTTTTACCAAGGGCATATTGTGTTTTTTTTTTCAAACAGCTAACAAGATTTTCAAACCTGATTTGCACAAGTGATAAAATCATAGAACCCTCCTAACCGTATTTTCCAGAGTCTTATCTGAACTAATTCTACTATCGTGGTATGAGCCTGTTTCAGGAAATTTTACCATTCTTATCAATTAAACTATGGTTTGTGTCTGTCCATGATCGTTTGATTGTCTTTGAATGGTTATTTTATCCTTATCTCTTATCATTCGAGCTTTTGGTTATCATGATATTATGTGATGATAACCCAAATTGAGTAAACTTTTCAGAACCAGCAATAATGATACCTCTACCAGTCAATATGTCCCTTCGCTTCAACTTATCTTATCGAGGGAAAGAGTCTTTTTATTCCTTTCGTGGTCAATTAACCCCTTTGCATCTTTCGATTCTTAAGGATTTCTTATCAGCTGTTTTAGATAAACCGTTCCAGGTCAAATAAACCCAAATTTGTTTTGCTTAATTATACTCAACAATAGGAAATCTTTGATACAAAAAGGGTAAAGCAATCCAACCCATTCAAACATAAAACCCCTTACTTCTGGTGTGTGTCAGTGAAATAACTTACAAAATGTTAGGAAAAGACAAAGGAGACATGGATGTTAAGGTTCCTGGTACAATCCACTTAGTGGACCTCGAAGGTAACATGAACGTTAGACACGAAGAAGGTGATGATATTGTGTTGGTACCGCAGCCAACTGACGACCCTGAAGATCCATTGAATTGGCTGAAAAAGAGAAAGTACCTATTGGGTTTTTGTTTAATGTTGGCGGTCTTTTCGGCAGATATTTTAAGCACTGCTTTATCAGCCGCATTATTAAACATAGTTGAGGATACGGGTATTCCTCTAGCTGATATAAACACAGGCGTTGGAATTCAATACTTGTTCTTTGGTTGGTCTTGTCTTTTATGGCAACCTTTGGGTTTGAATTATGGCAGAAGACCTTTGATAATTGGATGTGGGTTTGCTTTGATTTTGTTCACTATTTGGAGTGCTTACGTCAAGTCCTCAGCTGAATGGTACATCAATAGATTGTTGGTGGGTACTGCTTATGGTCCTATTGAGACTTTGATTGAAATATCAATTGCTGATGTGTTTTTTGCTCACGAGAGGGGTGGCTGGGTAGCTTGGTATTGTGCAATATTATTTGGTATTCCATTCTTATCAGGTATTCCAGCTGGATTCGTCGCCGCTAATGAAAATTTGGGATGGCAATGGATCCAATTTATTGCTGTCATTATTTCCGCTGCTTGCATGATATTTTTATTCTTCTTCATGGAGGAAACAATGTATTATAGGGATCCAGCTTTGGAATTGGATGGAACAGATTCCATTCCTGAAATGCTTTTGAGTAATCCAAATACCCACAATGATCCTTCTGATTCAGAAAAGAAGAATAACGTTGATGTCCAAATCGATAAAGTGAATTCATCTACATTATCTGCCGACACTTACCCAAAGAAAACCTTTTCTCAAAAATTGAAAATGTGGGGATCACGAAGACCTGGTCAGCCTAATACCTTATGGCAGGACACTTGGATTCCTTTCTACTTGATCAGATTTCCATCAATCATTCTTGGTGGTTTTACTGTTGGAGCTGTATTATCATGGTTTAACGTTGTAAATGCTACTATTGCTTCAGTCCTAGCAGCTCCTCCTTACAACTTCGGTTCGAATATGATTGGGGTTTTTTTCGTTTCTCCTACCATTGGTATCTGTATTGGGTCCTACTTTTCTGGAAAGGTAGTTGACGATTTCACATTGAAAATGTCAAGAAATGGAAAAGGTTTCAGGGAGCCTGAATTCAGGTTATGGTTGTCCGTCATTCCTTTGATTGTTCATCCTGCTGGATGTTTTTTATATGGAATTGGAGCGGCTCATGGTATCCATTGGGTAGGTTTAGCTTTTGGTCTTGGTATGATTTGTGCTACTTTCCCAATTGGGAGTGCTATTGCTATCAATTATATCATTGACAGTTATAAAGAAGTATCAGGAATGGGTCTTGTCACCATGATTTTGATCAGAAACACTATGGGTTTTGGTTTTAGTTATGCTGTTACCCCTTGGTTGACAGCTGTGGGAGTCCAAAATCTATACATTTCAATTGGGTGTATCGGTGCGTTCTTTTGGGCTTTACCCTTGGTCTGGATAGCTTTTGGTAAAAGGATGAGGAAATTAACCGCCCCCACTTATTGGAAATTAGTTGATTCTTATGGTCTTAAAGCCCATTAGAATTTGTGTAGTTTGTTGAGATTGAATTTGAATATAAATTTTTCGCAGCCTTTTTCCTGATCTGTTAGTCAATCGCGGTAGAGACTTTTGTGACATGCCCTTAAGTAGGAGGTGGACTTCCTAGAGTTAGGGAGCTATGATGCGTAAAGTAAGTATAAAGATTCTTTCAAATAGTTCAAAGCTGTTTTCATTGGCACCAGAGGTGTTATCATTGTACTTGACTTTCCAACGTCAACTCTCGCCGGGGTTATTAATCTAACTTCCATGTCCGGAATCTTCTCAAATGTCCAATTATGTCTAATGACCGGAACTCTTAAGAGACTGTCCCCATCTGAGAAAATAAATATCAAAACCAATTTACGAGATTTTATTTTCCGCACCAACGGCCTTACGTCATTTAGGAACCATCTTTGAAAAGAGCCCCTATTGGAAGTTCTATTAAGAGGTTAATCATAGCAGTTGATAGCCTTGCGATCATCATATAAAATTATCGTTTGAAAGTCCCAGGGATTCATGAATTCTTCAGAAATTGAACTACCGTATCCAAAAAGTTCCCATGTCACCAACCATTGGAAGTTACTTTATGCTTTCAAGAAATTGAAAGCTACCATCATCAACCAACCTCAACTTGAGACATCCCAAGAGAAGGAGAAACATTGGCAATGCTACGTGACTTTAGCTTTCAGGAGATACATTATTTTCGTCAGTGGTTTGAAGTATCTTTTCAATATTGTCGAGGTTGGAGATAATGTCTCCGAAGAGACAGCTGTAGAAGGTAAGGACAAAGAATCGGACACACATGATAAGCAAGAGGAATTCGGGGAGCTAATGGATAAGTTGTTGCCTCCTTTGGACGTTATTATGATCTGGCATTCTTTCATGTTGAACCCTAAAAGTTATTTGGGTAATATGACTTGCAATCAAATGGATTACCTTTTAAACTATTCTTTCCCCTTAGACAAAATTGCAGCATCTATTTCCGAATCCTCCTTCTTATTCTCCCCAGATCAAGAACAGAAAGGTAATTTTATGATAGTAGTAGACGAAGCGATGGATACTTTAGGATTGGATGAGAATTTCGGATATGACAGTTATGAAATAAAACCTTTGCAAGACTTAACATTGCCGATTTATTGTCCATGTGGTGAATTATTAGTAAGGGCTCCTCTTACCAAGCAAGGAACTGGATTCGCTGATAAATCTTTCCGAATGGAAAACGTTGATCAATGCCAATGTGCTATGGGTCCAGTATTAACCATGGATATCTTGAGAAAACGAAAGTTTCTTTATGATCGTGATCTTTTTGACGTTCTCCCAACTTGTTATAAATACTATGGTCCAAAAGACCTTGGATTTAAGACATCCACAGATACTTTGTTTAGAGATTCCAACAATAGCACCAGATGCATCCTTAGACACCCAATGGAAGACAAAGAATTGAAATTTTTCATTCGTGATTTATTCATCAAGAAAGCTTTGGCAAAGGAGGATCTTTTGGTTCTTAGAGATTACGTGGAACTTAATCCAGTATCTTTGACTGTGCCACAAACACCATCCACTTTCCAAGTTCATGAGGATCTAGTGGTGGCTGTTTTGAGAAATGATAGATTTGTGGATCAGATAACGATGGATGATTTGCTGGAAAATCCTTATGATACATCCATTATACCCAGAGCAATCATTAGGTATGATAATTTCTTCAGATTGATGAGAGATTGGCCAGGTATGGTCATACCGACGTTGGATATTGATTTAGTATGGCACACACATCTTTTGAATTTCCCATCCTACTCTGAATATTCAAAGGTTGTTGCTGGTCAGATCATTGGTCATCATGATAAAATCGATGAAGAGAAGTTGGATAAATTATGGGACAAAAGTTGTGAGCTATATAAAACAAAATACGGCGAACAATTGTCCTTATGTTCATGTCCATATTGCTCCATTGATAGATCGCCCAAAGGAATGTTTTCCTTTTCTCGAATACTATTTTCCAAGCCACCACCACCCAAAGACCCATTCATTGACGACCATTTTTACCATATAAGTTACCATAACGTAACAGAATCACCCCCTCAAGATCCTCACGATATAATGAAAAAACAATCTCAGACTATTGAATTTCCTTGGAGAACATTGAAACAACCTACCGATTATGTCAATGATCCTTTTGTCAACTTTGAAGCCGAAGATGTTGCCCTTGGAGATTTCTATAAAAGTTCAAGTCTTTATGATCTGGCCAGTGTAGTTTACTCTAATTCTTTCCTGAGCTATGCTTACAAGAATGTAGAATATTCAGAACCAAGAAATTTAGGCGTATTTTATGCTCCCTATGGTTTTGGTGGTAATGGATTGGGTACATGGAATGAAGAATTTTAAGTGAGTTTGAACTACCTGGATATTGAAGAGCGCAAACTAATTAGAAAATGGAATAGAGCTTAAAGAGTTTCCTTATGCAATGTATATTCTTATGTATCTTTGAATAACTGTCTGATCATCTTTGACCAATTCTTAACATCTTTATCATATTCGCCTTCTTCGACTCTTGATAAATAATCATGTTTCAACAAATCGCAGGGTGTTTGACGTTCTTTATCATTCTTAATTAAACAACTATTTATAAATTTACACAATTGTTCATCATAAGGTTCATTGGTTACAGGATCAGTTCTATTATTTAAATTTGGTGGATCTTCATTAACAATTCGTTGTAATAAATCCAATATACCTTCAGGACCATTTTCTGACACTTTCTTATTATCATCATACCAAATTGATTTCCCTGTAGATAATTCAATTAACATTAAACCCATTGACCAAACATCAGATTTAATACCATATTCCAAACCTTGGATTCTTTCAGGTGACATATAAGTTGAAGTACCAACGAAAGTATCAGCCATAGCTAAAGAATTGGTCAATTCTCTACTCACACCGAAATCACATAATTTAAATTGACCTTTATGATTCATTAAAACATTTGATGGTTTAATATCTCTATGAATGATTTTATAGTTTTCATATAAATATACCAATCCTGATAATATTGAGAAACTTAACTTCTTCAAAGCAAAGTTGGGGAAACTTCTTTTATGCGATGGTAAGATCTTTTGAATTTTATCTAATGAACCACAATTAATATACTCCATACAAATTACTATGGTATTATTATTATTGATAAAAGCTCCAAAGAATTCAATTATATAAGGAGATTGACATTCATGTAAAATTTTCAATTCTCTGATAATTTGATTCTGTATGATGGTTTTGGAATCTATAGGTATAACTTTCTTAGCCATAATTTTTTGAGTAGGAACATGTAAAATTTTGGAAACTGAACCAGAATTACCCGAACCTAAAGATTTTAATGTAACTAAATCTTTATTATTGAACTTCATTGAACTTGTAGTTGAAAAAATAGGTGAAAATTCACCTTCGATATCATCTTTAGGCGAAGGAATGTTTGAATTTGATTTGGTGGGTGAGATTGATGAAATAACTGTTTGCCTCTTTCGTATTATTTCTTTCTTATTATTTTGATTCAATTCTAAAGTGGAGAATTGATTTATTATGTTATCTGTTGAAGTTATGGAATCAGGATCGATATTTCTTTGACTTAAATTGATAGTATTTAATGATGATATTGAAGACATTGAAGATCGATTACTTCTTGATTCTAGTCGTTGATTATTCAAAACTAATGGGGCAGGTCTTAAATTGTTTCTCTTGGTTCTTAAACTATTAGTTTCATATTTCAAATCATCTAAAGGTTCTTTTATTTCATCATCGTCATTATTTAATGACAATTTTTTGAAATTTTTACGCTTTAAAGATTTGATTTTTAAAACTTCGTCATCATTAGGACCATCGACATTGGAAGTTCCAGGTGGGGGTATAGGGGGTAATTCTTTGTCTTTTGATTTTAGGGAACTCGTCGAACTATTTCTTAAATTCATCATTAGACGAAAAGGGTTCAACAATTTTATTCGCGTTGTTGCGGATTATCAAGACGTTGATATTGATAGGTGTCTAGGTGTTGAGAGTGTTATGACGTGACTTTCGGACCATTAGAGTATGTACTTCGAGGTATGGGATGTTGGCGTATTTGGTATATGTTTAGGAAAAAGTATATAGGGGAGAAATAGACCAATCACGATATAAGGAGCACTGGTGAAATGGGTATATCACTTTCACTCATGCCCCTATGTTAGAAGTATACATGGCCATATACCTGTACTGTAAATGCCGTTCCAACCCCAAATCACATTCATGCACTTGAAAAAAATTTCATTGTGATTTGTTATTGATCTCCGTGATCTGATCTCTATTATGATCGATGGTGGGTCCCCTCTTTTCATAACCAAATGGTTAGATTTTTGACCTTCCTGGATCTCAAAACCTCTGGGTTTCTCGATCTCTGAGTCTTTCGAACTCCTCTTAACACTCCTGTTAGTTCAAAACCTTCAGAACTGTCAATGACATAGATTAAAAAGAGTATGAATTTCAAACTTATATTACATTATATTACATTATTGATAATGATAAGGCATTTGGTTCATCTGTAAATTTTGCTGATTAGGAGAAATTTTTTGACCTTGATTTTGATTTTGATTTGGAATTTGATTTTGGGGCATTTGGACTTGTTGATTGATTTGATTGATAGGTAAAGGAATGTAATTATTTAATGGTTGATTCATGTATAATTGATTATTGATTTGAGGTAATTGATTGTATTGACCTAAATTGTTAACCATTATTGGAGGTTGTAAAGGTAATTGATGCAAAGGTAATTGGTTCATATTAAGTGGAACTTGATTATTGTAATAATTCATTCCCATATTCATTGGAGGAATTGGAGCATTATTATTATTAGGAGATGATTGTTGAGGACCTCTTACTTGTTGTTGAACTTGAGGTATTTGTTGAACAGGATATGATTGATAATGTAAACCTTCGAAATCACCTGATTGTCCATTATTATTTGAAGTTGGAACATTACTAACAGAATTACTTACCGTTTCAATATTATAATTGATTGGTAAAGTATTCATAGAATTTGAAAGGTTAGTTGTATTAACCACTGATAAATTTTCATCAGAAGTGGAATTTTTCTTCTTTTTTGTACGACAATTTATACAAACTTTATGTTTACCAATATCTTCATTACTTAAAGGTTTTGCACATCTATTACAATTCCCTAATTTTTCTAAATTATTTCGTCTAATCTTATCATTCTCTCGACATCGTTGACAAACTTTGAAATTTTTATTGGGTTTCGGAATTCCATTATTTTCATTATTATTAGTTATAATTGAAGTATCCAAGGGACCTGAACAATGAACGCATCTACCTTGTTTTGCCCTATTTGCTTTTCTAAATCTTAAATTTTGTCGACAGTTTAAACATAATACAAATTTTTGTAAATCAGGAGGAATATCATTACCACATCTTCTACAAACACCAAATTTTTCTTTGGTTTTTTTCTGCCATCTTCTTGATCTTTGACGTTGTAATTCTCTACAATGTTGACATAATTTAAATATCTTAGGTTCAACTAATGGTTTAGCAACATCATCATTGGAATCTTTAACTTTGGGAATAATAATCGGTTGATCAAAATCTTTCTTACATCTTGAACAATTTGATCTTAAAAATTGTGATGATTCATTGACGTCAACAATCTTATTTGTATCATTAAGATATTTTTGTTGAACATGTAATGGAGGTATTGGAGTTTCTAATTTTGTTTCATTATCATAATTAATATTTTCATTCAAATTCCCATTTAAATTATTGTCTAGTTGATTTTCAACTAAAAACAGTTGATCCATAATGATTTATAATGATTTTATGATTAGGAGTTGATTTTTTGATATGATTTATATAAGGATTATTAACAAAATGGTTAGATGTTAATAGGTTATTTTTCGATGTTGAAATTCTGGGTTTCAAATTGTTGAGGCACACTTATTCACAAGTTTATGTATTGGAATAATTGATAGTTAAGGCGAAGGGAAAAAAACTTTCTTAAAAATATTCAACAAATATTTTTTTATTTATATTAAATAGCAAATATTTTCGACAACAGTGAAAATGTCTATAAAAATCATTTAAGGTACACTGATCAATATAAAGGATCTATTTTTATTGCTGTGTCTCAAATCTCACGGCCGAATTTCACAGGGTTAAAAACTATTTTATGGTCACCAGAAACAAAAGAGATGATTGAGGAAGTTAATTTACATTTGTTATGGCCTCTATATCTTATAGTTACCTTTATATCATTAGTTTAACAGTGAAAGGATGGGTTTTAAAGGGCAAGACACAAATTTGAGAAACGCCAAATTTTATGTAAGAGTTATGAGTTCATTGCGAATGTAACATCAGCGGGTTTTTTTTTTGGGAACTTTTTAGGTGCTCCAAATAAAGAACATTTCAATGGCAGTGCTTTTGATTACCAGATCTAATGATTTTTACTATTTGGTCTAGTAAATTTCATTAACTAATACCCACAAAATGATTGATTAGAAATCACCGTCTTTACGTCATCATTACCGAATGACATTTGGGAGCAAAGAATATTTCGAGAAAAATTTCATAACGTCATCGATGGCTATAAAGACAAATTTTTAGTGTGCCCCTTAAAAATAGGACGAAATACATGATTTTCACACTATCGGATATTTCCTCGAATCCTCGGAAAGGCTGAGATATAAGAGTCAAAGACATAAATTTATATAAACACTACCCTAACCAAAATTCATGAGTGAATACACCATGATTGAACTGAACTGAAACAAAGACTCATAGCCTCCAGTAAAAATTTTTTTTTTCGTTGTTTGATTTTTTCCAAACAGGGATGAGATGCGAGGTTAGGGGACGGAAATACTCACTAGGGAATAAGCCGAGCATTAAACGACAATTGTGTCATAATTTACCATGGGGTACTTATTATAGTTTCCCACAAACCTCTCTCATTCGTCGGAAATGATCAAATATTTATTTTATTTTTTCAACACTTAGAAGGTCGAAATTTCTCTGAATTCTCTACAAATGGAAATTTCTATTAAAACCTTACAATTAAACTTTACATTAATCATCTAATCTTTTCTTTGATTTCTTTGGTCTTAATTTTTGATTATTCTTTCTGATTTGAGTTATTTCAATTAATTTCTTATTTCTTAAATTTTTATCTACAACATAATTTGGTTTATCAGGAGAATAATCACAATTAATACCATATTTAACACATGAAGTACAATGAGGTTTAATTTCATCACATTTTAAATGTTTAATTCTACAAATCCAACATCCATTTTTTGATCTAGGTAATAATCTTCTTCTAGTATATTTCTTTGCTGGAGTTGAAATTGGTGATTCAGTTTCTACTGAAACTCCTAAACCATTAATTGAAATACCTAAATTAGGAGAATTAAATGGAGAATTAATTTGATTAAAAGATTTTTTCTTTCTTCTTAATTGGAAATCTACTGGAGTTTTAATAGGAGAATCAGGTGTTGAAGGTTGAGAACCTTTATCATATTCACCATTAACTAATTGTAAATTTGGTAAAGAAGGATGATGATGGAAAGTTGTTAATTGGGGTAATTTTGGAGTATTATTAATATTTGAATAATTAACATTATTATGAATTGGAGTTGATTCTATTGTAAATTCTTGATATTTATTTAATGGTGAAACATCAGAAAAGGTTGTTGATAAATTTCTGGATAAAAATTTTTCCTTATCAAAAGAATCTACATGATTTGAATTATGATATTCAAAATAATTTGGATTATAATGATTTGAATAAGAATTAAAAGAATTATTAAATGAATGATTTGGGGTATTAATACTACTATCAATTGATTCAAAAGATCCTAATTCATAATCTAAATTATAAATTGAATTATCGACATCATGAATTGAATTATAAGAATTATTTGAATTTGAAAAAATTGATGGATTATTTTGGGAATCATTATCAATTGGATAAGAATTTGAAGATTGAATTGAATTTTGTCGATTTGAAATCGGAGAATTTGAATAACCTATTTGTGGATGAATATGATTTGAAGGATTGAGGGAATTATGATTATTGTGGTTAAGTCCTCCATTAATACCGGAATGAATTGAATGTCCATGATTATTACCATTATAATTATAAGGATCCAGAATTGGTGGAGGTGGTAAAGGATTGAAATTATTTAAATTATTCAATTCATATAAATAAACATCCTTATCTTCTTCAATAGTTTCAATAGTTGAACTAGGTGAATATTCCATAATTTATAACCACTCAAAAGGAAAAGGAAAGGAAGGAGAAAAAACGATGAATGGAATTGAAAATTATCTTTTAAATGAATGTAAAAGGTTGAAAATTTATCAACTTTTGATATGGAAGAAATGAATGAATATAAAAAAAGATTGAAAATTCAACTTTATAGGAATTAAGTTAATGTGGTGATTTTTTTTTTTTTCTTAAATTGAAAATTTTTTGAGATTCCGATGAAAATGCTAACCACCCGAACTTTAATTAACTTGAAGTTTTTCAATAAATTGTTTGAAAAATTCACAATAAAATTAAATAGAAAACTTTTTCAATTGATATAGTTGAACAAAATTATTTCAATAAATAATTTCCATTAGATTTTCATGGAAAAAAAAAGGTTTTAACTATTTTTATCAAATTTAATATATGATGCGTCAAATAAAGGGCTCCTATCACAACCACTACTGTGATTACCATTTTTTTTTCCACACACTCTCAAAATAGGAGTATTGTCTATCGGAATGTCATTCCTTGAGGGGACATGAGTATGATAATTGAGATCTTTCAAAGGGATTAATAGATTTATTAGGGGTTATACTAGGGTTATAGAACGGTTAAAGAAAATTCCCAATAATTATTACTTATTTTTAATGGGTTATTAATTCCCAAGTATTGTACCTTAAAAATATACAAACCATAACCAATTGAGATTAAATATTTCAAGTTATTTCCTTTTATTCTGAATATATCGGAAGTTTTCCAACTAGTTACAATCAATTGCCATAAGTAATTCTAATATCAATAATTTTATTCATCAAATCTTCCCATCTCAAAATCTATTGTATTAAAACATCGCCTTATGTTAAATGCCTTTTCCTGCGATTAAAGTTTATCATTACTTAAGCGAAATTTATTTTCACCTGCTATATAGCACCATAATTTTTACACCATAATTGCATCTTGAATTTGGGTAACATTTGAAGTTGTTTGATTTTTATTTGTAGTAGTTTTATTGTCATTTATTTTTTTTTTTTTTAACATCCATCGGATTATAGCAAATAGAGGTAATTTTTTTAACAATAGAAATATTTTTTTTTTTAATCAAACAATCGTTATCCTATTATGTACATTTTATTACGTGGTATTGAGGAAATTGAGTAAAAGTTGACATTTCCCAATAAACTTTATTATTTACCTATTTGCTAATGTGATTTTGTGGTTCCTTTTTACTTAGCCACTCTTAATTGAGTTAAAATCTCTGGTTTCTTACTTGTTCTTTATCTATTACGTCAATAAAGACCATTCCGATTAAGTTAATTTTTAATTCATAAAATATGTAAATATTATGAACAATTGATTCATTCTATTATTCTTGAAGACTGAATTTGTTGCTGGTGTTCAATTGTTAGGTTTATTTTTCTTAATTATTTAATTACTGCAAAACTATAATTTTATAATTAATTATGATTTTAAATGCTAAACTAGCCTAATTCTCTTAATCCTAGCCTAAATCCTATTGTTAACAAAAGCTTTTTTTTTAAGTAAATCCTTTATTTTTTCCCTATCATCCCTTACATTATCTTATTTAGGTCAAACATTCTCTTAGATCTTTTTTTATTTTTCTTATCACCTCTGTCAATTATTTAACACTTTTTACATTCACATACTCTACTAGTTGCCATTCGCCTTGAATTCTTTCCACTCACTAGGTCGTGTGAGGCTCGGGTATTGTCAAATTCTCATCTCAGAAAAATTTCTCTATACATATACCACCTTCTGGAGTACCAGCGACACTAAGTAATAAGATTTAGTAGAGCAAAAATGGCCGGAAGTAGAATGACGATCGTCTTATAATCCTTGGTTCATTATTGAATTCTAGGTTCGCTTGATGACAACACTTTTCCTATTTTCTTAATGCATCTCCCTCGCCCTTGAAATTTCCCTTTAATTGAATTCCTCATTCAATTCCCTTTGATTAAATTCCCTTTGGATTTAATTCCTTTTTGGGTATATATGCCCTTTTAGGTATATATCGAAGACCATCATACAAGGGGTCTTGGTAATAATTTCTAAACATGTAACCTTAATCTATCAGAGTAACTGCTTCAAAATATGTACATAATCTATTTTACCTATTTACAATGTCCCTTAATTCAAAAACTTCTTCAACTTCTTTAAATGTCCCCCTTTACTAGTAACAGGAACGAAGTTATCTAAGTGTCTTAATAAATTACTACTAAATCCTCCATTACCATGCTTTCTACCAGCTTGTTTTCTCTTGTATCCATTTCCAATTTTGATGAATCTTTTGGCTGCTGAATGATGGGTTTTCATCTTATTCCTTACCTGTATTAAATTATTATTGATGATATTAGTTGGTCTTGTGATACTACCAAATCCATTGGTCTTGAATATCGATTTAAACATCTTATTACCTTGAACTTTTCACTTTTCACTTTTCGATCTTCAGTGAGTGAGGAAAAAAACTTTTGAGATTTCTCTTCTCACACGACCTGGGTTATCACCTACATACCCAAATTATTTTCTATCTTTAAGGTTTACCATATGAATTTAGAGGTGTCCTTTTACTCAATTAAGTTATGTGCTGATGTGTATTGAACAAATAATATTCTATTTTCTAATTTAAGGGCTCAATTGGAAATATCTAGGTTTCTTAAACACATGATATTTATGCCCCCTGATACCTCTACCTTTAAACTTCCCTGGCATACGTAAATCCTCCGGCACATCTTTTTCATCAATGAAATTATTATCATACAAGAAATCATCCTCGTAATTACCATCGAGCAATTTAAATTTCCCAACTTGTAATTCAGTATCAGTGATGGTGGATCTTGATATTCTAGCATAGGCTACTTTCTTTAAATCTCGGAACATGATGTATTCACACCATCTATCCCAATCAGTACTATCAATATCATGCATTCTAGACTTTTCTGAGGAATAAGTGAAATAGTTACCTTCTAATGGTTTGGTAACTAAATAACTTAATAATACCATTGGTCTTGATGAACTACCCATTATATCTTGTAATGCTAAACTTTGTAATCTTCTATCTTCAACATCTTCTTCTTGGCCTGAATGGAAAACTACCACATCAACAAATTCCCCGTAAATATCTAATGTAGCTAAGATAGCTGGGGCTAATTCTCCAACTGGTGAAGGTAATAAGAAGTGTTGTGATTTAATGATAGGGAATTTAGATAATAAAGCAGCTCCCCATGTATGCTTATTAGGACCTGGACCGTAATCAACATACATTTTCAAATCTTCAGCGATTTTTTGAGTAAAATCTCTATTACCTCCAATCAATCTTTCAGTATCAGTTTCTAATAATCCAATAATATCCAACTCAGCATCATTGATCAAATCTCTCATTCTATCGTGACTTGACCACATGTCATTATCGATACCGAAATGAACACACCAAATACCTGCATTGAAAGATTTACTTCTCTTATGGTGTTCAAAAGGTTTAATCTCTCTATTTTCAAAATGACGACTGAACAAAAACGCAGTTGATAATGATAATAAGATGGTTAATACTATTAAAGTCTTAGACCAAATCTTTCCAATGTCAAATTTAACGACTTTAGACTTTTTCAAAATGAGTTTATAATTCCAAACTCCTAAAACTGAGAATAAGTATGATAATCCCACCATTATATCAGTTCTTTCTCTCAATAAAAATCCTCCTGGAACAAATGCATAAGCAACTATCCAAACACTAGCAAGACATAATATGATACACACAAAAAATGATAATGAAAAGATTACTGAGTGGAAAGGAACAGTGGTGAAGACTACAAGGGGGAAGATGGAGGACAAGTAGAAGGACCAAACACAACTTCCTATGAATCCATTCCAGTCTTCAAACAATACAAGTGATACTGCAGCTAATAAACCTACTATTTGGAATCCTATGGTTGAAATAATCCATCTTTTATTCGAAATTGAGAATAAAATACCAAACGCAATGGATGCAAAATGTGGTAAAGCTCCAGTTATTGGTGTTGGGCCAGTGACTGGGAATCCAGACCAATTCCAGAAAATTAAAATGGATGAATCAGTTAAATATGCAAATAAACAGAAAAAGATACCACCAAATCCTAAAATTGATAACACCATTGAACCACCTTGGAGTTGATTTTGGTTTTTAGGTTTGAAAGTTGTTGCTGGAGTTAAGAAGGAACTTACAAGACCAATGAAAATACCTATCTCATTATGACCACCATTTGGTTTATGCATAACCGCCCAAATAGGATTGTTTGAATAATAACCAAATTTGATTATGGAACTTAAAAGTAAACCCGTCATGAACGCCACGGAATAACTATATAATCTTTTATGGTCATTATTCTTAACCAAAGCTGATAACTCATTGGTGAATGATAAAATCAGGAAAAAAGATCCAATTGAAACTGCCAATAATTTATATTCTGGTTCATGAACTTTGTAGGCACCGATACCTGAGATTACCGATAAAGTTCTGGTGATGAAAGGGAATTTAGCCATGCCTTTGTGTAAGAAAGGTACTAAAATGAATAATGGAGCTAAGAATAATACAACAATTGAAGCTTCATAACCCGAAATCCCCATATGCCAAAGTGGGAAATACCAGACACATAAGAAAAGGGAGGTTAAAATTGACCATAAAATGAATGAATTAACCACATTAATAACAAATTCGAATAAAGAAAAATCATCTTCAACTACGAGTTTTTGTGGTTTGTCACTTTTATTTGATGATTTTGTAACTTTTTTAGTAACATTAAGACCTGATCCACCAATTGAAATTTCCAAGTCTTGGAAATCTAAGATGGACCAACAATCAAATCCTACGTCTAATAAGATCAATGCCCATTCAAAGTAAGCATATATGGAATAAGCTCCAGGTCTCACGTGAACTTTGTGTTGAATAAACCAGTACACCAAAGGTATCAAAGTCAAGAAAAAACTTGATCCAGTCAAGATTCTACCAGTTTTGGCTCTACCGGAACTTAATTTGGAAATACCAATAGTCCAAGGAATAGTTAAGACTATGTATGAAATCATGAAAATATCATGCCAATCATGATCATCTGTTGATGTAATATATACCCATCCACCGCAAGTGAAAGTTCTGATCACTCCTGAAATTATAGTAAAATAACATAATTTATTGGATTTTTGTGGATTATAACATTTCAAGAAGTTGAGTAATAATAATAAGAATCTTGGACCTGAAGTGACAGCAATCAAGATCTGGAAAATCGATCTTTCAGGATATCTATCTCCAATTGCTGCTGAGACACTGGGGAACCATTCATCAGGATACCCAAAAGAAGAATTTTTCACAATTTTATGATAATGTAAGTAACAACCTATGACCAATGCTGATAGGAAGGCAGAATAAGCAAACAACCCATGAGCAATGGCGATGTACTTACCATTGATTGTAATGGTTGACATAGTTGAAATTTTCGCGTGAAGATTCTCCACCAAATCAGTCCACGATTACTGCTAGACGAACTTTAGAGTTGGGATGTAAGATCACAAGATTACATGAAGGCTTGGAAATAAACTTCTTTTCTGGTTTGGGGTGTGATTCTATCACATTTGGAAGTTCTGTTTAAAATCATGATATAGGCTGATTATTATCTGATGCAGTACTGGGAACTCGTCCAACAACAGGACTTCACCACACACGGAATTGAGAACAATCAATTTAAAAAGCTATTGTCAAAAATGTTAAAGTTCCAGGGTCTTATTGGAGACAATAGGCCTTTTGTTCGGAATTTTTCAATATTACAATTGTTCTTTAGCGGGATTTCATCTGCCTGTTTCGACTGTATAAAAGCTATCGAAGTGACATAATTGACCCTTGGACATAGTTCTTGACATTTCAAAATTTGCATTCCACTTGCTGGTTCTGCAATTTTCCTCTTATCATGTCTCACAATGATTTAGTTATCTGACTCTGGTGCGAAATTTTCTACACGTTCACTATGTCTGATTCCAATGATGGTAAGTCATTACCCATTAATATCGATGTAGAGTACAAACTCAACCAACCAATGTCACCATTAAATTTATCTCCTACTCAAAAATCAGGCAAATTTCTGTCCGAAAATGTGGAGATCAAAAAGGACCCTGAAGTTGAGAGAGCAATGGCTTCAATCGCCCCTATGTTAGAAGGATTTCAACCTAAAACTAATAGTGAAGATGGCATGAAATCTGAAGGTGAGAGCGTCTCTGAAGAGAACTTACAAGTTTTGAATAATGATAATTCCAATGGGAGTAATGGAGGTTCAAGTAAAAAATCCAGATCAAACTCAACCTCATCAAGTGATTTCCCCATGTTAAACAAAACTATTTCAAATTCATCATCATCTCAAAGAAAGTATTCCATCCACAAAGAACTCCAAGGTCCTAAATTGCCCAAGATAGGTAAATTGGGAGTTTGTGCTATGGATGCTAAAGTCATGTCCAAACCTTGTAGAAGAATTTTAAACAGATTAATAGAAAATGGAGAATTCGAAACCATTATTTTTGGTGATAAAGTCATTTTAGATGAATCTATTGAAAATTGGCCAACTTGTGATTTCTTGATCAGTTTTTTCTCCACAGGATTCCCATTGGATAAAGCTATCAAGTACGTGAATTATCGTAAACCGTACCTTATCAATGATTTAGTATTACAAAAATCTTTATGGGACAGAAGATTAGTATTGACAGTTTTAAATAACGCTGGTGTTCCGACACCAACAAGATTAGAGATAAGTAGAGATGGAGGACCTCATATTGATGATGAGTTAAAGCAAAAGTTGAAAGAATCAGGGTTGACATCTGAAATGCTTGATAAATTAACTGATCAAGAAGAACCTGATTGGGAAATGGTGGATGATGACACTTTAAGAGTTGGAGATCAAATCTTGAAGAAGCCATTCGTGGAAAAACCTGTCGATGGAGAAGATCATAATGTCTATATTTATTACAATTCATCAACTGGTGGAGGAGGTCGTAGACTTTTCCGTAAAATTGGTAATAAATCATCTGAATTTGATCCCGAATTGAAAACTCCTAGGGTTGAAGGTTCTTATATTTATGAGCAATTCATGGATACTGATAACTTCGAAGATGTTAAGGCTTATACTGTAGGTACTAACTTCTGTCATGCTGAGACCAGAAAATCACCCGTGGTGGATGGTATAGTTAGACGTAACACACATGGGAAAGAGATTAGATACGTAACAGAGTTATCAGATGTTGAAAAGCAAATGGCAAAAAACGTTGCTAAAGCCTTCAAACAAACTATTTGTGGATTTGATTTATTGAGAGTTCATGGAGAAAGTTATGTTATTGATGTTAATGGTTTCTCTTTTGTTAAGGACAATAATGAATACTATGATTCCTGTGCTTCAATATTAAGAAATTTGTTCATTGAAGCAAAGAAATCAAGAGATTTAATCAAAACCAAGATTCCACAAAGCACCAAATTATTGAATAAACAATTCTTTGAACAAAAAGAACAAAAATGGGTATTCAAAGGTATGGTTTCTGTTATTAGACATGCTGATAGAACTCCAAAACAGAAATTCAAATATTCTTTCAGATCACCTTTATTCATATCATTATTGAAAGGGCACAAGGAAGAAGTTATCATTAGAGAAGTGCCAGACTTACAAGTGGTATTACAGACTGTTAAAGTTGCAGAAGAAAAACATTTGGAAGATTTGAAGAAATTGAAACAATTGAGAATAGCTTTGGAAAAGAAAATGAATTTCCCTGGTACTAAGATTCAAATCAAACCTTCATTGAGGGATGATGAGAATGAAACAGTTGAAAAAGTTCAATTGATTTTGAAGTGGGGTGGTGAGCCAACACATTCTGCTAAACATCAAGCCAGTGATGTTGGTGAACAATTGAGACAAAACATTAAATTATTGAATCGTGAAGCTTTGAATAATGTCAAAGTATTTACTTCTTCTGAGAGAAGAGTTATTGTTTCAGCACATTTATCTACCATGGCATTATTGGGTTATGATAAAGAACAAGATGAATTACCTGATGATTTTTTGACCATTAGAAAAGATTTATTGGATGATTCAAATGCAGCTAAAGATTTGATGGATAAAGTTAAAAAGAAATTGAAACCTTTGTTGAGACAAGGCGCTGAAGCACCTCCACAATTCACTTGGCCTCCTAAGATGCCTGAACCTTTTGGTGTTATCAAAAGAGTTTGTCAATTGATGAATTTCCACAAAAAGTTGATGGAGTATAATTTTAACCACAAAGATGTCGATGAATTCCAATCCAACTGGTGTTGTGGAGAGGACCCAACTTTGTTCAAAGAAAGATGGGACAAATTATTCCAAGAATTTACCACTGTTGAAAAAACTCATCCATCTAAAATCAGTGAATTGTATGATACTATGAAATATGATGCTTTACATAATCGTCCATTCTTATCGAAAGTATTTGCATTTGATCCTAATGACGAAAAATTGATAGAGTTGTTGAATGAAACTTGTGGTGATACTGTCAATTCAAGTGGATTGGTTAGCGAATACCCTATTAATATTTTGGCCATGAATAATTTCAGAATCCCTAATGATGCCTTATTTAGTAGTGGTGGATCTACAACCAATTCTCCTTCAACATCTAACGTTGGATCACAACCAAATTCAAAACGTAATTCTTCTTACAATTTATCAAACATAGGAGGTCATCCATCAGCTGGATCTTTAGGATGGGTGTTGAAAGGTGCTACCTCTAGTGTTGACGAAAGTACCTTGAATAACAATACCAATACCAACATCAGCTCCAGTGGCTCAACCACCTCATCATCAGAAGAAAATCCTTTCGATCATCCAACTTACGCAAGATTAAGAGAACTATACAGATTATCAAAGGTCTTATTTGATTTCATTTGTCCCCAAGAATATGGTATCAAAGATGAAGAGAAGTTAGATATTGGATTATTAACATCATTGCCATTAGCCAAACAAATACTTAATGATATTCAAGATATCAGAAAAGATGATACTCCTGGTGTTGCTATGTATTTTACCAAAGAATCACATATCTACACTTTACTTAACGTATTATATGAATCCAAAATCAATATGTCAATTGCTCGTAATGCATTACCAGAACTTGATTATTTATCTCAAATCACTTTCGAATTATTCGAATGTGAAACTCCTCAAGGGAAGAAACATTCTATCAGATTATCTTTAAGTCCAGGTTGTCATACACAAGATCCATTAGATGTTCAATTAGATAACAATCATTACATTGGATGTATCCCAAGAATCAATTTGACTAGACATTTGGATATGGATTTGGTTGTTCAAAGATTGAAGAGTAGATTTAGTAGAGTTTCATTACCAAAGAAATTTACTCCAGTTAACATTTCAAGTCCTTTAACTAGTGGTATTTAATAGATAATCAATCGAATTTCTTCCTAACAATATATTAATCTATAAACAAATGAGATTAAGCAGATTCATACTTATCCCAGTTTTCAATGATACTCTTTAATTTATCACTCTTAGTTAAAGCATAAACTTCTTCGAAATATTCTTTACTAATTTCAAAAGGTTTAGCAGTTAAATTTGGAATATACTTTCCAATCAAATCACCAGGATTAACGGAACTCTTGGAGATTTTTTTGTTCAAAAATCTTTGGAAAGGTTTAACACCATTCATTAAATAAGATGAATGGAAAGGAACTGAAATTCCCTTTAATGGAATAACAGCGAAACCTCTTTCTAAATCAATTGGTTGAGGCTTAGCTAAAGATTTAGCACTAACTTCTTGGACGATTTCTTTCAAGTGTTCCTTAACTTTATCTAAAGACATTTGTTCTTGTAATTTAACAATATCAATTTTGTTAATTTTCAAGACGTTCAATACATTAGTTAACGTATCTAAAGCTCTTAAATCACCAGCAGTAACATATTGAGTGTTTTCAACATTGTAATTAACAATTTCTAATAACCAACCAGTATGAGTATTAATTTCTCCTACAACAAATCTTAAAGCTGCATCATTGAATGTTGGACTGATTCTGGTAGGGTTGACGGCACACATACCATAATTGGATCTTCCTAATTCATCTCTTGGAACAGCAACTTGCATGGTCATACCACGGTAGAAAACAACATCAACTAATGATTCTACTGGCATAACGTTGGCTAATGATGATAAAGCACTATATTCTCCTAATGAATGACCGGCAAACATAGCATCGGTTGGAACTAAACCTTTAGATTTTAAATCTTCATAACTGGCTTTTTCCATTAAAGTTAAAGCTGGTTGAGTAAATTGAGTAGCTGATAATAAACCAGTTGGTGAAACGAATTTATAACTAGTGGTAGTATGATCAATATCTTTAAAGATTTTTTCAGATTTGATTTCACCATTTGGACCAATAGTTTCGAACATCATACCAATATAGTTTTCTCTAATCTTTCTACCTTTTTTACCATTGAAATGAACAACTAATTCATTTGGATTGGTTTTAACAATATCTAAGATGGAGAAACCATAGTTGTTAATGAAATGAATATCAGCTCTATCCCAAACATCTTTGGCAACAGCTGATTTAGCATATAAGTCCATACCCATACCTTGTTCTTGAGAACCTTGACCGGTGAAAACAAAAGTAGTGATTGGTTGTTCAATCTCAGCTTCACCTTCTAAAACAACGGAATCATTTTCATTCTTGGTTTGAATTTTAATGATCTTTCTACCGTTAATCATACCAATATGTTCTAAAGTAGTTTGTAAAGTATCGTTTGGTAAAACCATACCAACGAAATTACATTTGAAAGCGATAACTCTTTCAGGAACTGAATTAGCAGCCCATTCTTCAACTAATGATCTAATTGAACCTGATGAATACATACCATGAGTGATAGTACCTGGTAAGTTAGCATAGTTGGCGAAAACTCTTGAAACGTGGATAGGATTATAATCACCACTAACTTTAGCATATGGTTCATTAGTAGTTGGAGCTTTGGAAGTTAATTCTTCATTAGATGATAACGGAATAGAATTTTCAAAGATAATAGCTTGTTCGATTGGTTTACCATTTCTTTGTAAGTAATCAATAACTGGATTACCATAAGATTTACCGGCTTCATAATTGATTTCAGCAATTTGAATGATTTCTTTAGTTGGTAATTCAATGAAGACTTTACCAGTAGTAATGATGCTTGAATAAACTTCAATATCTTTATACTTATAAACAGATTCACATCTGAAAGTTAAAGATTTGTTTAATAAGTCAGTTTCTTCTAAAATTTCGAACCATTCTTTAGATTTTAAGATAGCTAATTCCTTCATAGAAGAAATCTTAACTTCATAAGGTGTTTCAACTTTCTTACTGAAGGTGTTTTCGAAATCTTTGTAATCACCACGGTATAAGAATTGTGAAGTAACTTCTAAGACTGGTTCATTGTCTCTGATGATAGTACCAATAACTTCAACCATTTTACCACTGGCTTGGTTTAAAACGGATTTGATTTCAGCTTTAGTAGAAACAACATCACCATGAGCTAATAATTTAGCTCCTGGAATCATTCTGTAACCGTTACTCAAATGGACTAATTTCAATAAATCACCATCAACAGTTTTAGGGAAGATAGCGTTAATGATGGCTTTCCAACCAATAACGATAGCAAAATCCATTGGAGCAAATCCACTCTTGGAGTTTTCACCTTTAGCAACGAAAGCTTGTTGTTTGTTACCAATAGCATGGATAAATTCTCCAACATCTTTAGCGTTAACTGACATTGATTCACCAACAATGGTTTTTTCAACATCAATGTTTAAATCAACTGGGACGTTAGAACCGTACCATAATTTCCAGTAAAATTCTTTGATTCTGATATTTCTGTTTTCCATAACTTCACTAATTGGGGCAAACCCATCATCAGTGTATTTGAACAAGAAAGGTAATTCAACAGGTAATCCATCAGCAGTTCTGTGTTCAATCAACTTGTATTGAATTTCATTGTTAACATATGAAATTGAAACAACAGGTTTTAAATCATTGTGAACTTTTTCAAAAGCAGTTAAAACTGGTTCAGTTTCAAAGTTCTTGATTTCAACAATCAAACCTTTAACTGGAGATAAGACTGAATGAACTGAATTATCAATATGATTGATACCTTGAACAACTTTCTTGGATTGAATAAAAGCGTATAACCAATTAATCTTAGTACCAGTGATTAAGTTGAACCATTGAGCTGGATCAACATCGTTACTTAAGACAGTCAATTTTTTGGTGGTACCTTCGATATCAACTTTAACATCAACGGCTGAACCTTCAACTGGGTCAACAGTTAAATATTCAACAGTTTCAATCTTAGATTCATCATTATCATATTCATCAGCTAATAATTTCTTGATTAAACCATCATTGATACCGTTCATGATTTCACCAATAGGTTCGTTGACTTTGTTGGCGTATTTAGTAGCAACAGGACCATGTAAGATACAAGTTCTACCAACATCTTCATCAACAACAGCTTCTAAATCTTCTGATTGCCATAAACTATCTTTCTTGAAGTAGTAAGAGAATTTATCATCCAAAGTTGGAACAAATGGAGCAGGCTTTTGACCAGGTCTTAAACATAAGTTAAGGAAATAATCACAATCTTCTTCATTGATTAATTGGTTACAACCTTTACTATAAGTTTTGAAGAATTTATCACTGAAATCTTGAGGGTTAACTGATAATTGATTATAGTTTTGAATCAAAGATTCTCCACTAGTAGCGAATCTTTCTTCAACCCTTCTTAAGTAATCACCAAGGAAATTTCTCAAAGTAATATCAATCCATCTTGAAGATTTCTTGACATACATTAATTCAATCAATCTGTCACTAACTTCTTGATAAGTCATATCTTCTAAATCACAAACACCTTCAGAATTTTTACCAAACCAAACTTTTTGGAAATCTTTATTCAATCTTTCGATAATATAATCTTTCTTAGATTTTAAAGCTTCAGCTAATTTAGCCTTTGGTAAGTTGAACAAAGTATCATCAAATTCTTTCCATAATTTAACCCCTCTAGTAGCGATTTTATGGATTGGTTCACCCATTTCTGAGACAACAGTTAAAATACCTCCAGTTGGTTTGACGAATGAAGTTTCCCAATTAGTATCATCAACACCACTACATTCAGCAATAGCTTTTTTGGCATCTAATGAAGTGAAAGCTTCTTTAGCAACCATAACTCTACTACCGAAAAGGAAACCATCAAATGGCATTGGAGGATATTTGAATTTAGCTGACCATGAACCATTCAAGTATGGATAAGTATCAACATCATCCCCAAAACCTGAACCAGCAACAAGAATAATGTTCAGGTATTTTCTGATCTTACTATACATTTGTAAGATTGGTTGATGGAAATCTTCAAATGAATGATGACCACCACCTCTACCACCAGTCCATTGTAAGATGATTGGGAAGTGAGGATTGTGTTTAGCAATGTTAATAACTTGGTTAATAGCATCAGTTGAGCCTGGTTTCAAACCTAAATGAGTTAATTTCAAGTCATTGATATATTCATTGGCAACTTCTAATGATGGAACACCAGCACCAATAGTTAAACCTTGAACAGGGTATCCTTTTTCTCTTAAATCTTTGATCAAAGGAATAGCCCATTGCATTTGCCTTGGACTGACATAAATCAAATTAATAGTAATACCATAACCTGGTTTGATTTCACTTGAGATTTTATCAATGGCATCTTTTAACATTTGAGGAGCAAAATAACCACCACCAGCTAATTCAATATGATATCCTTCATTTAAAGTATCAATGATGAATTTAGGATTAACAGTTGTTGGGGTCATACCTGGAACCATCAACGGTGGTCTACTTAAAATTTTAGAAAATTTGGTATTAATGAAGATTTTACCAGTCTTGTCCTTGATTAAAGTAGGTTTAAAAGTAGCCCAATTGGTTTGGTATTTGATATCTTTATTACTGAAAATTTCTTGTTTGAAACCATATTCATCATCTAAAGATTCATCCAAAGCACCAGCTAAAATGATTCTCGAACCAGTACCATCTTTGTTTTTATGGGTTAATATACCTAAACCACTAACACCTCCTGGACCGAAATCTAAGATATGAGTTGATTTAAAATTGGTAGCAATTTCCCAATTGACTGGGAATTCGATAATTAATTTGATTAATCTTTCAACGATTTCATCATCATCTTTAATATCTTGGAAATTTGATCCATCAAAAGTATCAAAGACAGGAATTTGAATCTTATTATGGTCAAAAATAATATCATTTTGTTTACATAATTTTAACATAGCTTCAAAACCATTTTTCAATAAATGTGAATGGAAAGGAGCAAAAATTGGTAAAAATCTATTGGAAAATTTCAATTTTCTTTTAGAAAATGGAACTCTTGATTGATCTAAACCACTTGGAGCTTTTTCATTTCTTAAAGTAACATTTAAACCATATAAAGATTCAGGAGGACCTGATAAAACAAATTGATTTGGACCGTTAATCAAAGAAATTGAAATATGTTTTTCAACAGGTAAATGGTTATTAGTTTGGTTGATGAAGAATTCAACCTTTTTCTTAGATAAATCTCTGATTGAAAGCATTGGAGATGGTCTACCTTCACTATTTTCCAAAGAATCTTGTAACATTGAAGGAGGTAAGGTAGTATTAGGATAAGTTAACAAACAATTAAGACCAATAGAAAATAATAAACTAACGGATTTAATAGAATTTGATAAGAAATCTTCCCAGTTTGAAGATGAGGCAATAGCTAAAGCAGTAACTAAACCTTGGGAGTGACCAGTAGTACCTTTGAAGAATTGTTGAAATTCTTTTGGTGTGAAGCCTAATACTTTACAATTGATTTGATAGTGACATAATTGAAGGACACAAATTAATGGACATGAAACTGGTACTGATAATAAATATTCTTGATCAGGAGTTTTATCAATGTTTTCCAACCAATTGATGAAATCAAGTCCTTGAGTATAAATTTTATCATTATCAATGGAATTCAATAACTTATTTAAATTGTTATTTATTTCAATAAGGAATTCTTTGATTAAAGGATTATAAGTATTATATAAATCTCTTAATTCTTCGAAATAATCATCAGTATTACCTTGACCTCCGAATATAGCATAAATTGAATTACCTTGAGATTTTTCATTAAATAATTTGGAATTGTTCTTATCGTGAGATAATTGTAAGATATCTTTAGCAATATAATAGTTCTTCAACATGATTTTAATTTTAGGTAAACTAGTCTTATCTTGTTGTAATAATTGAACTAAGAAATTGTGAATATCATTATTATTAAAATTCAATTGGAATTCTTCAATACATAAATTTAAAACATGTTTTAATTCTTGAGAATCATAGTTAACGTTTTTTGAATTGATTAAATCATTAACAAATCCAATGAAATAATTGGATAATTCAATTGAATTTTCAATTAAATCAGGAGAATCTAAATCAATAGATTTATTAAATTGATAATTTAATTGTTGAAAAAGTTGATAATATTTTGAATCAATAATTAAGTTCAATTCTATATTATTGAAATTTAATTGGAATGGTCTATTAATGGACATTATGGGATTAAAATTAAAAGATTTGATAATTAATGGAAATTTGGATGAATTGGGATGAAGTAGATAGTTTGAATTATTTAAAATTCTTTACTTTAAACTACTTATTAAAAATATTAAAATAAATAAAGTTCTAAAACCGTCTTTTTTGAGCTATAATCAATTACCCGTCAATAAATGTTATAACAAAGGAGCTTTTCTAATTCTTTTAGCAGTTGTGTGAACAATTCAATTAAATTTACCTATTCTTTAAGTTACTTCAAGAAAAGGATGAAAAGTAAAGAATTTGTGGGATCAATTCACCTTATGTATTAAAAAATTTTGGGTTGAGTCTCAAAAATCTAATGTGCAGGACACTGTTGAGTTGTTGAGGTTTGATCGCTTTTAGATACGTTGTGAATACAGAAGAAAGAGATGAGAATTGAGAATGGTGACAATACGATGTGGTGAGCTTTTGCAACTCCAGTATTTGTAAGCATTAGACAAGTATTATACGGTTCAATACCTTTGGTTATATTCTTGGTATGTTGAGAAAATGCGATGTTAACCTGCTAGGGGCGATGACATTTTATACTTAGATTTCTCTAGTGTTCTAAGGATAAATGGATATTTTAAGTTCATTATTGTAAATTGTAATCTAATTCTCCTATCTCTATACCCTTAAACATTGGAAAAAAGAAATGTTAGGTCTTGAAAGTAGTGGCTGCAAAATCAAATCGAGACGATTCGTTTTTTTTTGTTGAGGTTCCTCTGAAGCGTCCTGCAGGAAAACGAATAAAATGGCCTGCTTTTTATATATGGGTGCACGGGCGTGTAGATTTTGAGTAGATTTTTTTGGTGAGCAGCTTATGTAAGCAAAGTGATGAGAGAGTAGATTTTCAATATAGTTGATTAAAGGGGTTGTAAGTCTTAATTAGCGTTTACCAACATATCAAAGTGGTTGGTGAACTAAAGTGGATGCACAATTCGTGATTTGGTCATCTGGGTGTGAAAAATTCATATACTGTACTATGCATATACTGCCTTATTCTTAAGTTTTGTTGAATGAACTGAATTCAGTTATTGGGGATCTGCAAGGTTTAAGTAACAAAAATTGTATCCTGGGTGATTTTAGGATACCAGTTTGGGTGGCGTAAAAATTAAGTGAGTAACTCACCTCTTTCAACTACGTCATATCTGGATTCTCGCTAAAATCAAATCAGCAAGGTAACTTATTGTTCCTTAAACAAACAAAAGCGTGACCATAATCCCCCAACTCCTCCACAGTAAATAGACCTCGTGTGTTTCCAGAGAAAATTTTCCTTATCTACAAGCCATAATTCAAACTTTTAACTTTGAAAACCCCTGTGGATAGATGGATAGTTACCGTATTTGATGCCTTCCCTCTATCCACTAATTACCTCCAATTGGTGGTAACTCTCTCAAGATCTTTCGCACCATTTTCTCCCCGGCAAACGGAAATTCAAACCTTATCTTATGCGCGTTAAACGTGCCAATCAATCTCTGATAAGCATCCAAGATAAATCTGATAAGGACGCTCAAAGTTTTTTTTCCCACAACAATATATGGATATTATTAATTTAATAGTAATTGGAGCTGGATTGATTGGCCCTCGTCATGCTAGTCATATATATCAAAGATCTGATTGCAGAATATTTGCTATTGTTGACCATTCCTTGAATGGTCCTAACATTGCCAGTAAGTTTTCTACCAATTTATTCAAAAATTTAGATGAAATGTATCACTACATCGAAGAAAATAATTTAAATTATCCCGATGGTGCTATAATTGCTACTCCAAATCATACTCATGTTGATTTTGCCGTGAAATTGGCAGAAAAGGGTATCAACTTATTAATCGAAAAGCCTTTATCTTCCAATGCATTAGAATGTAAATATTTGATTAATTACTTGAAAGATTTAACTGATCAAGGAAGAGGAGTCAAGACTTTGATAGGTCATCATAGAAGATTTAATCCATATATCGTGTATACCAAACAACAATTAACGAAGATTGGGACCCCTATTGCCATTCAAGGGTCTTGGTGTTTAAAAAAACCTGATCATTACTATTTAGAAAAACCCTGGAGAACAGACGTCACCAAAGGAGGTGGTACTCTATTGATCAATCTTGTTCATGATTTGGATTTGTTATTGTATCTTATTGGACCCATTGAAAGAATATATGCTGAGTTATTACCAAAACAACGTGAATATGATGTTGATGAAGGAGCTGTTTTGACAATTTCATTTAAAAATGGATGTAAGGGTACTTTCATTTGTGGTGACAATTTGGTTTCTCCTTTCAATTTCGAAAATGGGACCGGTGAAAATCCCAATGTTCCTTTCTTTAATACTGAAGGTTTTTATAGAATCTTTGGAAGTCAAGGTACTTTATCTGTACCGGACATGAAATTTTACTATCAATCACAACCTGGATGGGAAAATCCTATTGATGTTGATCACACAATTCTGAAAAACGAGGAAACTAATAACTTAGGTACTTATACACCAGCTACTTCGTTTACCAACATGTCATCATTCAATACCAATATGGATATGATGATGAATGATGAATTCGAAAATCAAGATAATTTTTTCGACATCAAGCCCTTTGATTTACAATTGTCCCATTTCATTGATTTAATTAGGGGCCAAGATAAGGTTAATTGTACCGCAGAAGATGCCTTGATGGCTTTATTGTGTATCGAAACTGTAATGAAATCAGTTGAAACTGGCAAACCTGAGTATGTCCCAGAAATTCAAGATTTGAAATGATTATCAAAATTCTGTATGAAAAAAAAAGTTTATAAAATGCTATAAAAAAGTTGTAAAAAAGTTGTAAAAAAGTTACGAATGTGTAAAAATTATAATGAGATAATGTCATATTAATCTACTACTTCTTGAAATTCTCTCAAGCCTCGGAGTACATGTTCTCGAGAGTGCTCCATAATTTACCAGTACCGAACAATCCATGTAAAATCTTTTTCAATAAAAACCTGGGAAGACGTGCAACAAACTTAACTGCTCCAGCACTTGTGCCTCTATAGTAATGAACGGTACCCAATTTTGAGTTTTCGAAGTCACGAATTACACTCAATCCATAGTCTTTTGGTGACATTGAATCGGTATTTTTCATTTCCTCTCTCTTGTCCAATATTTCTTTGAATCCTTCGCCTTGATATCTGGTATTTGGAGCGAGTGGTCTATCATCTGAAATTCCAGTCTTGACCCCTCCAGTAACAACATTGATAACCTTGACACCAAAAGGTTCTAATTCAAAAGCTAAAGTATCGGCGTATGCGTGAATAGCGGCTTTACTAGCAGAATAAACTGAAAGAAATGGAATAGGAGCAAGTGCCGCAACACTTCCGGTGTATCCTATTGTACCTTTGGTCTTGATAACAAAATCCATCAACTCTCTGGTAACCCTTATACATCCATAAACATTGACTTCAAAGCATTTTGCAACATCCTCGTCTCCAACTTCAGCTGCAGGGAGCTGACATGGTTGACCTGCATTGTTGTATAAATACTTTATCTTCCCGTCGTATTTAGTCTCAATCAATTTCTTCAACGAAAGAACATCATCAATGCTGGTAACATCCAATTTGACTATTTCAATCTCATAGGAGGTCAAGTCTTTCATCGCATCCAACCTTCTTGCACCAGCAATAACTTGATAACCTTTTTTAGCAAATTCAATTGCAATCGCATGTCCAATCCCAGAGGAACATCCTGTAATAACTACTAAATCTTTCATTTTGCTTCTGTGATATTTCATATTCAAAGGAAACTTAGCCATTTAAGTACGGAAAATATGAAAACACGGAGACGGGTTATTTAAGGCCCGCATACGGAAATTTGAAATCATTCTTCAACTTTTGATTGTTTAAGACTTATAAGTAACCTTCTCCGTCCGTTGGTATTGAATAAAATTCAAAAGGAAGATGATTCTGTGACGAGGTATTGTTATGTGCCTCATTTATATATGTCATCCTTTTCATGAGTTGAAATTGTTCCTGATGAATTGTCACCCATGTTTCACAAATACCATGTTTCATGAATACCATGTTTCACGAATACCATGTTTCACAGATACTATTTTTGACACGTAATTTCATCATGTTTGGTTCGTCGGTTGCTTGTCTCTGGTGAACGACAAAGCATTTATGATTTTGTCCTTGTAAAAATAATGCATGAACTTGATATTTCCCTCATTATAAGCAACTATTCCTCTTCTTCCATCCTTAAGACCTTCTACACACTTATTTCCAGGTGTTTCTTCAGAACTTATGTGTAAAACCGGCACGTCGTAACAATATTTATCGAACCATTCTGAATTTTTTGGATCCATAATATCAATGAACTCAATTTTGGTTGGAACTTCTTCAGTAGCGCTTTTTAGTATCTTGGATGCATTTGTGCATAACATGCAGTTGTACTTAGTGAAGAACGTGACATTGGATGTGAATCTCCTCTGGACTCTCGTTATCGATCTTAGCATCGTCTCAAAATTTGAGGATCTCATCCAGATTTCAGCTAAACAGTAGCTCATCGAGATTTTGTCTTTTAGTGTGAAGCTCACATCATGGTAGTTTCTTATTCGTTATGATACACTTTTTTTCACTCTTCTGATTTCCTATTGATAATTTTACTACCACATAAGAGCCGTGAGAATGAAAAAAACTAGAAATAATCGAATTAGAGAACATTACAAGGCAAATCATACCACGGATGAAGTTTTGGGGGTTTTCATTGAGGACTTTATTGTGTATCTGAACTGACATTGTTCGAATCTATTGAATAAGAATACGTTCCAAAAAACCATATATTACTAAAGTGTTAAATTACGAAAAGTTCACAAAAAGATATTAGACGGTGTCTTGTTGGACTTATGACTCTCAAGCCTCTGAGTACTTCTTTTCAAGAGTACCCCATAACTTACCAATACCAAACGTTGGGACCAAAATCTGTTTCATCAAAAATCTAGGAAGGCATACCATAGCTCTTACTAAACCGGCACTTTTTCCTTCGTAATAGTCAACAACACCCAATTTTGAATTTTCAAAATCACGTATGACACTTAATCCGTAATCTTTAGGTGACATCGAATCGGAATTTATCATTTCTTCTCTCTTCTCCAATACTTCTTTGATACCTTCAGCTTGGTACCTAGAATCAGGAGGAAGTGGTGTATCATCTGAAATCCCGGTAGCGACAGCTCCAGTCACTACATTGATAACCTTGACACCAGAAGGTTCTAATTCAAAAGCCAAAGAGTTGGCATACGCATGAATAGCGGCTTTACTAGCAGAATATACAGAAAGAAATGGGAAATGAGAAATACCTGCAATACTTCCGGTGAAACCAATGGTACCTTTGGTCTTGATGATGAATTCCATTAACTCTCTAGTGAGTCTTATACATCCATAAACATTAACTTCGAAGCATTTCACCATTTGGTCATCTGTGACTTCAGCTCCAGGGGATTGGCATGATTGACCAGCATTGTTGAATAAGTATTTGACTTTACCATCATATTCGGTTTCAATTAAGTCCTTCAATGATTGAACGTCGTCTACACTCGTGACATCTAATTTGACAGTTTTGATTCCGTGAGTTATTAAATCATCCATCAACTCGGGTCTTCTAGCACCAGCAATAACTTGATAACCCTTTTTGGCGAATTGGCGATGGCGTGTCCAATTCCAGATGAACATCCTGTAATAACAACTAAATCCTTCATATTATCTCTAAAGTAGGGAACTTCAACAGGCAAAATGTATTATTTGAAAAGTTTCCTGGTAGGAAATTTACGGACTCGGGACATTTACCTGCCACCCGAGCGGGTTCAAATTTGCAACAGGCGGGAATAAATCCGTTGTGCTCATTCACACATAAACCTTGGAATTACGCAGGAAAAGACAAGGTTTTTTACATCTAACGCTAAGGAGCTTTGGAAAGATAGAAAGAATCGTTTTTGCATGTTGACACGATCAAAACTACGAAAAATAATGCTGGCCACACCGACTCACGAGAAGTGAATTGATGTGAGAATTTCAAAAGGGAGGAAGTGATTTTCGGTGATAGTATATTCTATCTGTATATGACCTTTACGGGAAGTCCTTGTGTAATATATAATAGTGGATTTTTTTACTCTCAATAGAAAAGTTTCATGCAACTGACTGTAGGAAAAAAAATAAAAAAATGATTCCGCCCAGGTTCGAACTGGGGACCTTATGCGTGTTAAGCAGACGTTATGACCAACTAAACCACGGAACCAATTATATTAGCAGTTTCTCATCTAGTATATATATAGTGGCTAAATTACACAAAAAATTTGGTCTCTTTTATTCGAACATCCTAGACCATCCTTAGCAGATACCTTCTTCTCCGTTCACTATGTGAAGTATCATGCTTTCAAATATGCTTTATACTTTCAAACCATCTTTCATTTACACGATTACTGTTATGAAAAACATCAAACTAGTCACTTTCCTTCAGATACAAATTGGATTGATTCGTGATGGATGCGAAATATTTTCTCCATAGCTCAATCTCTATCCAACATCAAACATTATTAATTATTTACGAAAAGGTTTTTTATGAGTTTTATCAATTCACTTTTCCTTAAGTCAATTTAACTAATCGAACCAGATGTGTCTTTATATAGGTAGTATAGATTTATCATAATGACAATATATATTAGTTAAAAAAAAAAAAAATTTTTTAATAGATTGATATGTTGCAAAAGGAAAGAAAACAGTGTTTCGGGCACAAAAGGAATCTTTCATGAACAAAGCATCATGAGAGATATTAACCCAGACTTTACTTGGTTCTCATAGTCTTCATTTATCAAGTATAATCAAAGAACCCAATAAGGCTCGATTATATGGGATAACATTGTCATCATCTATTCAAAGATAACTTTCCCTGAATTCACTTCTAACCTTAATTTGAAACCACATTCACATGTAGTATGCTTCTCAGAGAGTTAACGGTATTATGGGAGGCAAAAATGACAAGTTTGTATCGTGAGGCACATTTCCATCTAGAGTTATCTTCTATAGGGCCAAATTCCATCACCATAGTGTACTATGTCCAGTATATTAATTCCATTCATGGTATATTTAACTTGGTAATTGAAAATCAGGAGTTCTGTTTTTTTTATCTTTTTAATCTGATTAAATCCTAAAATTATTGATTCTCTCACAAACATCAAAATCTTGTAAAAAATGCAAAAAAATAAATGCAAAAAAAAAATTGAAGATCTATCAAAAATTAGCTCATGAGAATGTTCACCCAGATATTTGATTCATGTAGATCTCTTATGGTACTTGTTAACTTTTCAATTTCTTCAAGATAATTCGACATAGGCTAATTTTCAGCGAGGTGGTCCGGGGTACGGGGTGCATGTGTGCGATGAGGCTGAGAGACATTAAAAGATCTAATTCTTCACGTCATGAAGTTAAAGATTCAACCAAAGTTTTGGGTCTTAGATAAGTAATTTCTACGAAATATACCTCTTAGAATTTGCAAGGAATTGAATTGTTCCAGTCTACCCCGTTACCCTTCGGTATTAACTCCGCACATGGTAGGGCACTACTTCATTGCGGGACAAAGTGGGTCAATTAGGTCCGAAGAAAAAAACCAAGCATTTCAACAAAACACATCATGTTTTGGAAAAACTTTTGACAGAAGTTGAATCTTAACACCGGAATCTCCCCCCTCATCAACCCTTAATTAGTCTTTTTAAACCAGTTGTTCCGTAAAGTTTGATCCTCTTAATATTTTCACAATCTGAAGTCCGATGGAGCCCAAATATCGCTATTTGATGAATGACCGATATTGATGTCCAAACCTATATTAATAGACGCTGTTGAACAAACTTGCTAGAACTCGTGATTGGCTTTTATTGAAGAATTTAGTGCAAAAAAAACTCCGACCCGGACTATCTCGATAAAAAAAATTACACCCATCGAAATATTATTTTTTTTTGCCATAAATTAACTATGGAATCGATCAATAGCGATAAGTATACAGACAGCATGATGGATAACATGCCAGTGAGTAAGATCCAGTTCTCTGGTGAAAGTAATGAGTACGTCATTTTAGGCAAAAAAAAGTACTACAAAAATGAATTGTTATCAGCATTTGGGGGTACATTAAATCCTGGTTTATCACCTCCATCAAAATATAACTTTGCTAATCCAGTACCATTGGGATTAGCAGCTTTTTCATTCACAACTTTTGTTTTATCAATGTATAATGCTGGGGCCATGGGTGTTCATACACCTAATGTTGTTATTGGTGGTGCTTGTTTCTATGGGGGAGCAATCCAATTATTGGCTGGTATCTGGGATTTAATTTTGGGTAACACTTTTGGTGGTACTGCTTTAAGTTCATATGGAGGATTTTGGTTGTCATTTGCATCCATTTATTTGGAAGATTTTGGTATTGCAAAAGCTTATGAAAATGAACCCGAACAATTTGGTAATGCTGTAGGGTTTTTCTTATTAGGTTGGGCCATATTCACATTCATGTTGGTTTTATGTACCACAAAGTCAACAGTTGCATTTTTTTCACTTTTCTTCACCTTATTTATAACTTTTGTCTTATTAGCTTGTGGAGAATTTACTGGAAATGCTAAAATTACTAAAGCTGGGGGTATAATCGGAGTTATAACTTCATTCATTGGTTTCTATAATGCATTTGTCGGTGCAGCTACAAGACAAAACTCTTACATTGTGCCTAAGGTTATTCCTTTACCTCATTGAAATGAATATATGGATTATATAGTCAAACTCTATCGCGATCTCAAATCTTACAAATCAATGAACTTTTGGTTATTCTTATTAATTCCCTTAATTACTGCTCTTGAGAAAGTTAATGACTATACTTTTGACAAGGTAGTCAGAAAGTCGGGGGATTATGTTTTGGTTGACTTTTATGCTGATTGGTGTAGACATTGTCAACAACTAATGCCAACTATTGAAAAGTTGGCAGATGAATATCAAAACGTCCCAGGAGTTAATATTGTTAAATTGAATGGTGGGGATAGAAGTGGGAGAAAGATGGTCAAGAAATATGAAATAGATGGATTCCCAATGATGGTATTATTTCATGGCGATGACAAACCACTTTTTTATGAAGGTTCAAGAGATTTTGAATCGATTAATAATTTCATAAAACTTGCTTCAGGTGTGAACGAAGTCAAAAACCCTGAAATAATTCCTGTCTTTGATAAGGAACCAAATGACGTTATCCAAGTCAATGATTATAACATTGAAGAGAAGGTCTTGAGAAGTGATAAGAAGACTTTAATGTTTGTGGGTGGTGAGTGGTGTAGACATTGTAATGAATTAAAACCCAAAGTTTACAGGATTAACGAAATTTTCAAGAATGATGACAACTTTCAAGTTGTATCTGTTATGTTGGATCCTGATCAAGGTACTACCAATAAAATCAGAATTCAATTTGGAATCAAAGAAATTCCTAGTTTGTTATTTTTCGACCCTTCTAAGACCGATGAAGACGGATTAAGGAGACCGGAATTATATACCGGCAGAAGGAATGTCAAAGATATATTATATTGGGTCAACAAACATGGATTTAGCAGGCAACAAGATGGTAGATTAGACAATAAAGTGGGAATTTTAGATTTGAATCTCAAACTTTTGAAGAAGGATATCAAAGGTTTAATGAATAAAATCGAAAGGTTCGATATAGATGAAAACATAAAAACATATTACGGGAAAATGATGTATCATTATCAAACCGACAAGTCATTCTTTGAAACTGAAATTAATAGATTAGAGAAAATGGTTGAAGAAAGTTTTGACCATATCAACCAAAAAGATATTGATTGGATAGATACTAGATTAAACATTTTAAGAATCTTCAAGAACGCATAAGTCATTCTTGATATATTAAAATAATATAAAATACAAATAAATATGATAAATATGGCAAATATGATATATACACGAAAAGCTTTGACTTGTAGCCTTAGAATAACTCGCCATCGAAATTTTGGATTAACCTAGTATTTTCAGGGAAAACCTTTCCTTTCAAAACACATTCATCCACTATTGATTTAACATTGATAGGTGTACATCTAGCCAACCAAATGAATTTATTCTGATTTTTCACATAAATTAACAAATTAGCCACAAATTTATGTCCACCAATGTGGTTGATAAAATCAACTTTGATTCCATTTGGCCTATCATCTCCATGATCTCTATAAAAGCCTAAATCTCTAGTATACAAATCTATTTCTTTCTTCATTATTGGAGCAGTAATACCACACCTCTTATCTCTGGTACGGTGAGAACATAAAAACATATAACTTTGATTCGAATCTTCGGAAACTTTATAATCACCTGTAACTTTGATATCCCCGATTTTGCCATCAATAATCATTTGTATGACTTTATGTAAGTTATCGTTCAAATCATCGATATGTAAATTTTTCACCCACACAAACTGTGGCAATATCAAAAAATCTCCTTTTGCACCCGATAAGTAATCAGCATCATGATTTTCTAAACCTTCTGTACATTGTGAACTTACGTTGACTTTGATAACATCGTCAATCATGTTGTTGAACTTTTGGTGTTCCATCCAAGAATTAACTTTACGTGAAAACGTATTCTTTTCATTAACTGCATCATGCTCCCAATCGGTTTTGTTTGTGGGTATGACAATATGCAATCCAAAAGGTTTGGTAGAATTCCATAAATCACCGGATTCCGATTTCACACTCTTGGGGAATTGGAAATTACAACTATCACATTCAAATGAACAATTACTCACTTCAAATCCTTTTTTACTAATTTCTTCTTGTGGAGATGGTGCATTTCTAAGCTTATCAAGAAATCCCATCCTTCAACTAACGAAAACTGACCTTGACTTGTCTATGACTATAAAATATATGCAAATGGATTCCCGAATCTATATCTATAAATAAATAAATCTTTTGTGTTATGTGAACTATCTTGTAAAAGATGGCCTTATAATTTCAAAATTTTTCACTGTGCGTTATATAAATAAAACAATAAGAGACGGACCCTTTCGTAAAAAATCACCTCCGTCGCCGTAAATTATAAACTACACATGTGATAACAACCAATAGAATTAACTTTCAGTTCAGCAGGAACGGATTAAGCCTGGCATGTATTAGAAATAGAGGACTCGGATAATTTTTTTAGTAAGTCGGATAAAAACTACCGACTCCGACCGCGTTTGGATGGCTTGTATTACTAAGGCCACCACACACATCTGGGTGATTAAAAGGGGTGAAAAAAGACAGAAGACCAATTCAAACTTCTTGAAATTCCTATGGGTTCAACAAAAGTCTGTTCGAAACATTTTCAACCGATAAAGACGTGTTTTACTTATTCCTATTGTATTGCGTAAAAATTTTGCAACCGTTAAAATCTTATCAATTCGATCAATGAGTAAGTAATTTTGTTTCCGAATAATTAAGTGTGACAGTCTTACCACTGCATGAATTCAGAGTCTTGCAAAGCTTCTGAGGCGTAGTATAGGGGTTCAGCGACCTATATTGCCCTTCCTGACCGAGAAGCAATTTGGTGTTTTCAGGCTAAAATGAGAACCATTGTTCAAATTCGTAACGTATTCTCAAAAGAAAAAAAGAAGCAGAGCGAGTTTGCGGAGGTGTCAATAGCAACTGTTTTCCAAGTCAAACTTATCATTAAGCAAACCTGTTTAATCTGATTTTTTCATTGAAGGAGAGAGAAGGGATTATCTCTCCCTCCTTCGTCATTGGACATACAGGTATGGTTATGGGCCATTAAGAACGATCTACCAATTTCATCACCTGACGTAAGTTTACTAAATACTTTACTTACGATCGGTTACTGTTTACTTTTGTTATATAATTCAAGTCTTCTCCAACATTGATCTTAATTAGGCGCAATTATACCCTAGAGTTGCTTCCCATGTTTGATACCATCTGATGTGCAATAGATGAATGGTTTTTAGAAGTTACAAAAAGCTTAATTCGCTTGAAACATCAGTAATGTTTGTCAGTAAAGCTCTTTACAACAATTAATACTAAGCCAATCTATTTCAATGAGCCATTAAATACCTCTAATTTCAGTTTGTACCATTTTCCGCACTCAAGAAAAATTTAATTGTGAACAGGGGACAAATAAACTTAATGATATGATTCAATACGAGAATCCTATCGATATTAAAGAGGTGAAGTCCAATGAGATGAATCACAGAAATATTCTTGATACGTCTGATCTATCAAAGGATTCATTTCAATCCATAGAAAAACCTGGCACAGTGCAACGAAAGGATAGTTCTTCATCGTTATCAGAGAATAACTTGTTACCGTCTACTCCAAGCTCATACAAAAACAATAATTTGGAAAACAATCTCGATAATAATCTTGAAATACTCAGTAATGATACATCACCGTCATCTACAGATTCGGAAAACCGTGATTTGGTGAAGTTGAATACAAATTCCACTATAATTCAAAATTTCGAAATCGACCCTTTACAAAAAATTTATACCAACGACAGGACTGATACTGTAAAGGAAGGATCATCTTCCCAGATGAAAACTCATAAAGATCATAATGCGGGACTTAGTCATTTAGTTCATCCATCAAATAAATTTTCCAGAAGACATACAACTAACGATTTAAACAATTACAAGTTGAAGCACACTAATGACCAAACATCCATCACTTCATCACATCAGCATCAAACCATGAAATTATTTCCCATCAAAAGGTTGAGTTTAGATAACCATATTACTCAATCACCAAAAAAATTGAACTCCAATGACTCGGCTAATAGTGAAATTCAAAGGATGAGAAATTCAGTCATTTTAAAACGTAACAATCTCAAGAGGAAACGTAAAGAATTCTATGATGATGATAAAGTATTGATAGGTAACAAGATTAGTGAAGGTCACGAAAATTTCGTCATGGCTTATAATATGTTAACTGGTATTAGAGTTGCAGTTTCAAGGATGAGTGGTGTTATGAAAAAACTAAATGATGAAGACTTCCGGAGCTACAAAAAGTTAACTTTCAATATAGACGGAAGCGAATTGACTCCTTCTTCTAAATATGATTTCAAATTCAAAGACTATTGTCCTGAAGTTTTCAGAGAATTGAGACAAATTTTTGGCTTAGATCCTGCGGATTATTTGATTTCGATCACAGGAAAATACATATTGTCGGAACTTGGTTCCCCAGGGAAAAGTGGTTCATTTTTTTATTATTCAAGAGACTTCAGATATATAATTAAAACTATTCATCATTCTGAACACAAACAATTGAGAAAAATCCTCAAAGAGTATTATAACCATGTCAAGTCAAATCCTAACACATTAGTGAGTCAAATTTATGGTTTGCACAGAGTAAAAATGCCATTACTTAATGGAGTAAAGAGAAAAGTCCATTTCATCGTTATGAATAATTTGTTTCCACCACATAGAGATATACATTTGAGATTTGATTTGAAAGGATCAACTTGGGGAAGATACACAAGACAGAGTGATGAATCACACGATAGTAACAAACCATTAAAGGATTTAAATTGGTTGGAATTACATCAAGAAATCAAGTTCGGTCCGAACAAGAGGAAGGTATTTTTCGACCAGTTGGACAAAGACGTGAAATTTCTCAAAAATATTAATGCTATGGACTATTCATTACTATTGGGGATTCATGATGTGAAGAATAAGAATAAAGTTTATGTCAATTCCAATAAAAACTTATCAATCTTCGATCCAATTTCCAACAAGAAAAATGAGTTGATTAAAACCAACCCAAGAGATATTAATGAAAATGAATTACCTAATGATGTATATCCTGGTAGATCAAAATTCATCTTTTATGGTCATGACGGAGGTATAAGATCTACCAATGAAAACAATGAACCGCTATCAGAAATCTACTACCTCGGAATAATTGATTTTTTGACAAACTATTCATTGAGGAAAAGATTGGAAACATTTTGGAGGTCATTAAGTCATAATAGGGAAACCATATCAGCTCTACCGGCCAAAGAATATGGGGAAAGATTCTTGAAATTCATCAAGAAAGGTACAAGTAATTTCAAGTCCAAGAGGGATTGAAAAGGGGAGAGAGAAGAGAGTAAAATATCAAAATTCAGATTATTCAAACCAAAATAAAATCAAAAAGGTGATTCTTTTCACTTAAGTTGTTCGCTCATTTGTATTATTAGTTATTTATTATCGTCGCTTGATTCAGTTAGACTAAAGGTCATTCTCCAATTGATTTTAGTTAATTCGTAGTCACCAATTGCATATATTCATTTAATTAGCTCTTTATTATTCTCTTCATTCAAATATTCCTAATTTGAGATTTTCAAAAAAAAAGGACAAATGCTCTAGGAGGGGTTTGAACCCACGACCGTCGCGTTCCTCACACGACCGTGACTTTAGGTATAACCTGTTCGTCAGTCAAACGGCTATAAGCACGAAGCGCTAACCTCTGCGCCACTAGAGCACCTGCTAACGCATTGAAGGGATGGAAAAGGCTATATGGATAAAAACATTATAATTTTGATTTTTACTGATTTCCCAGTCAGATATCGATAGTTTGAGTAGTAAATTTGTTTCAGCATATGTAATTGGACAAATGGCTTATGATTACAGCAAAATTCTAGCTCAATTTCTACCTAGTTCAGTGAACTCCCTTGAACTCTCAACAGTACTAATACCACCGAAGTGCGATTTTAACCAATGAAAAATATCAATATGAGGTTTCAGGTTCGATCAATCAGCATTTCCACCAATAATAACCTTATTAAAACAGGATTAAAGACATCCACTGAGGCAAGTAACATAAAAAATGTCTCGAAGTTAGATTTTCATGAAAGTCCTGAAATCAAGTCCATAAATAATTCCATTTTGTCAATCGAATTACCACCATCGATTCCAATTTCAATTAAAAAAGGTTCTTTGATTTCTATTTATGGGATTTCAAACTTATCTATCTCATCGATTTCCAATCAATTGGACTTCAAGTTATCGGACGTATTCTATGGGGATTTCAATTTAATCTTTTCCAGGATAATCTCCACTAGTAAGATATCGATGTTGATTTCATCGAATAGATCCAAGATATTCAATTTCAACAAAATCTCCAATACAAATTCTATATCCATGATAAATCTTGATGGTACCAATGACTGGGCTCTACTTAATCAATCGAATTTACAGTTTAAAATCGGAAACTCATTAATTTTATCAAATTATTTAAAACCAAAATTCATTTCCAAAAAATCAGCTAGAAGTCAAGGATTGTCAAGAAATGAAATGACTGGATTGAGATCAAAGTTCATTGCCGATTGGCTTTGGCCCTTCAACAAAACCTTTAAATTGATCAGTGGTAGAGGTCAAATAGGTATAATTGGTAAAGGATCAATCTACAATATAAACTTGGTTGAAAACGAAGAAGTTTTGATTAATAAGGACAGTTTATTAGCAGTTTCAGTAAATGGACCTCATGACTTACAAAATTGTATGATTAGATACCAACCTGAGCTTGAAATTGCACAACCCACCGAAATAGTTTCAACCGATACCGATCATGTAAGGGCCGAAGTAATTAAATCAGAACCGATGAAATCCATTAATAATAGAACAGCTTGGTTGAAACCATACATTTCGGCAGTATCCAAATTTTTTGGTACAGCCAAAACTCAAACTTCTAACTACCTTATAGGAAATCAAGAATTCATCAAAATTACTGGACCTAGAAATTTATTGATTCAGAGTGATACCAACTACAAACTTCCTGAACTTCCTGTTGATACAATTAACGAGAGTTTGAAAACATTTAAGAAAAGGACTAATGACTACATCAACATAGCCACCATCCAGAGGGATGAAAATCTCATACTGAAGGAAGTGGGTCAACCTCCTAAAGTATGAAGCTCAAGAAAAGAATATACATAGAACGAACTTATGTCATAAATACATTAATATAAACTATCGTTGCAGTTCATCTAAACTTCTACGATGACTCATAGTAGATTCAGTTAAATTTTTAACATTTAAACTAGGAAAACTATTTCTCTTGATCTTGATTGGCGGTAACTTTATGCCATTGTCAATATTGGCATTTTCGGTTTTATTCGCTTTGAAATATTCTTCCAAGGAAGGTAATTTCACATCAATGGGATGTGAGTAATGCAATTGGGAATTTTCAGGATATTGATAATATTGTGGATGTTCCGTTATTTGTTGAACAGTACCAATTTGGTTACCTGCTTTACCAAAAATTCTCTTACTTTGATCTGAAGTAAAGTCGTTGATGTTGGTTGTTCCATCGAGGGAATCTTTATCCATGGTTTTTGGTTGACTATTGTCGTAATTCTCTTCACTAGTCAAGTTGGTCCCAGCAGAATCAATTCCAGACCTCTTGTTACTGAACAAACCTGACCCATGAGATACAGAACCAGAACCACCCGAAGCTGAACCTTCATTCGAAGCTTCATTCGAACCTGAAGAATTATTGGCGCCTGGGACGTTTCTTCTCAATTTGGTAGGTTCAACCTTTGGTGACCCACCAGAAGCGGCCATTGAAGACACACCGTTACTACTAGCTTCATCATCGCCTGAGCCACCGTCAGCAGAATTAGAATTTTTCAGCCTTGTACCTGATTGTTCGTCACTAGATGTGATGGCATAGGCTGAACCGAAATCACCACTTTCACCAGTGGTTGAAATGGAATCAGAACTATCAACTTCCATTGCGTCACCTTGTGTATCTTTGTGACGTGGTTCCGGAATATCATTTCTGTCATTATCGTTATCTTCATTTTGGTCTGTGGGTGATTCGGTTTCATTTCCTTCGATTGGTCTTGGCATCTCAGGAGTAATTCCATTAGAATAGGCTTTATGCTTATGTTGTAAGTTACTATTGACATTTTGTTGATTATTCTTACGTTTCATAACCTTGAGTCTTTCCAAAGGTAAAAAGGTATCCTTATTTTCCAAGTTGGGGATGTTGTTGGTGATGTTCTTTTGGAGGTTGTTGGAAGGTAAATTAGGATCGGATTGAGGTGGTGGTAAATGAGGAAGTGGAAGGGCCGGTGATGTTTGTACTGGACTTGAAGTATAGGAATATTGATTGTTCATCTGACTGGAAGCTTGGGAGGAATTTGGTATTATGTTGTTGGTACGACCGGGTTCTGGTTCAGGATTGAATTGACGTATTTGAGGATTCATTTGATTCATAGGGTTGATTTGCTGGTGCATTTGACCAGGGAATCCTTGATTAGGAATACCCTGTGCTTGATAAGGAGGTCCCATGTATTGATTAGTTTGGAATCCCTGATACTGGGGTTGAGAATTATATGCATTGTTGAAAATTGGTTGAAAGTTCGAATAGCTGGAGGAATTGATTTCTCCATTAGGATTTCCTGCAATACTACCAGATGATCCTGACATACCAGAACTAGTTCCGGAACCAGAATTCAAATTTGAAGTAGGATTAGAACTTGATGAGCTCTGGTAAGTGCTCATAATAGGTGATGCATTGGTCAAATTATTTTCCACTTTCAAAGTAGCGTTTTCATTGGAAGTATATTTGGATATCACCTTACTTAAAGCCTTGAACAAATCCGACCATTTGAAAACCTTGATATCCTTCTCTATATTACGGGGTCTTGGATCTTCTAGATTCATTAATAATTGGAAAAATCTTTGATATGTCTTGTTAGTTCTTGAAATAGTATAAGGCTTCAAACTTTGTAAATTTCTTCTGACCCTATTCTTCTCTTCAATAGTGAAACTATCCTGTATCAAATATTCCAATAATAAAATTATATCCACTGATGTGACTATATGTAATTCTTTTTCTCCCCAGAAAATACATGATATTATTGCTGCACTATTAGTGAAATCTGATTTTTTTATCGGTTTGAATTTTACTAAATAATCTGTAGGACTTAAACGTGCAAAATCGAACTTCACTAACCTTCTTTGATTAGTATTTTCTTCTTCTGTCCAATCTTTAGTCATATCCATGTGATCTTGTTCGAATAGTAATTTCACCGGTGTATTAACAAGACTTAAATTATTCCTTATGAAATTGGGATCCAACGAAGACGTCCTTATGAAATTGGGTTGCCCATTATATTCCTCGTAAGGATTGAAACTATTCCCATTCATCGTTAATAGTTCTATGAAATAGATCTAGTACACTAGATTATTGAAAAGCTACTTTTTAGCAACTATGAAAATTTGTTTGAAATTTCTTATATCTCTGACTAAGGAGTTATGTTATTATTACTTTTGATTCTTCCCGTTTTATTCTGGAGATTTTCTGATCTCTTATACAACTTCTTAACTTTGTTTCACAATAATTGAATTTTTGTGGAAAAGGGGGCTAGTAATATTTATGTTGAATTAAAAATTTTCCGCAATTAGTGGCGAGTGACGTTTTTCAAAATTGCTGCCAATCCAGACATGTCTTAAACATGTCTCATAATTGGAAATTGTTTAATCGCACAGAAAGATCCTTTGCAGATTACTTGCATATGTATGAGTAGAGACAGCATCTTATGCTACCTCTTGGTAGAGATTAGTTATGTACATTTATAAGGGTGGTAACTTAACTCGATGCGATGGATGGAATTCCTTAGCCTCATCTGAAGTTTCAACTGCCTCAAGAAAATGTCGGTAATTAAGTTATACTTACACAAAAATGTCGTAGTAGGATTACCGGTGCAAGAAAAGAGGATCAAACTTCATGAGAAAAAATCAATTAGCCACTTTCTGGAGGCTTGCTTTTTTAAGAAATCACGCATTACGAACTGCAACTTATGTCATAATTATCCACAGCAAGTGGGAAAATTTCTAGATGTGGTAAAAGTGTCTACTATGGAAGATGGGTTAATACGATGAAAATTGAAACCTCAGATTATAGGAGCAGGTATCTAGTCCGCCTTAACTCTGGAAATTTGATTGCAGTGGAAAATTGAATCGCGACATAAGGTGGAAATATGACGACACTTTGTGCCCCAATGCGACTTTCAAGAGATCTGCCATTTCTATTCATTAAAACGTAAATAAATCAATAATGATGTTGATGATACTAACAACAACTTCAATAACAACCAATATAATAACAATATACTCGAGATTCTCCTCATGACTGTGACCCAATTGTTCTTTTAACATTGACAATAAATCACTAATGACTTCTAGTCTTTGATTGAGAAGTTCAACTCTTTGATTGATCTCTAGATAACCTCTTGTAGCTTGATAGATAGGCTCGAGTTGAGGTTCAACCCACATTAGTTCGGGAGAATCTAAAACTGATCCATGTAAATTGATGTTGATTCTTAAGATAAACAATTCTCCTATACTCTTCATAATTTCATTTCTATTCATTTCAACTTTACCCGTATTGGCAATTTGTTGGGGTATATCTTGAGTATCTTCAATGGTATTGTTAACCAACTCTTCGAATAAGGATATTTTAACCGATTGCCCAACAGCATGACTAATAGATAATTTCAACATATAATTTGAATCATCACTTAATGTAATGAAATCATTATAAATTCTTGGTTGATAAGATTTCGTTATATAATAATTGAATTCTTCAATTTGTATATCTTCATTACTTAACTTTTCATTTTCGAAATTGGATAAATCAATTAAGAATGCTTGTTCCTCTTTAATAGTGTACCCCCACATGACAATAACTCCATATTCAAATATGAATAATTCATTTCTTTTACCGAAATCAATTTCACCTCCATCATCTGCTAATCTTATTACTTTATGCTCATCATTATTCCCATTCAAATTGAAATTCTCATCATCATCGTGGCCATTATCACTTCTCCAATCTTTGTAGGTAAAAGGTGTATATAAAACTTCGTCAAACAATTTAACACTAGTGTTGTGAATCCTTTTCCTATCCCTTAACCACCTTAATAATTCTTTCATCTTATATGACCCACATGTACAATATGCGGTCACTCGAGGTAACAAATCTCTATGAACTTTACCTAAAGATTCAGCATCTTTTCTAGCTGGTGCATCGGTAATTTTAGTTACTTGAGAATAAACTCCATTACTATCTTTTTTGGATTGAGCTAAACTAGGGGGATCTTCCGGCAAAAGTTTCATCTTTTGAGTTGTCCTGGTTGTTCTTTGTAAACCTATCTTGCTATTAACATTGGTTTTCAATTTATTTCTTGCGGATGTGGTTGTTATCTTACTATTTATTGAATTTGATGATGGTGATGCTGACATTGAATTTGATTTCATAATATTGCCATTGCCACCTTCATTATGTTCTATGGATGTGCTAATACCTCTGACGGTACCATGATATGGATTTTCATTGATTTTATTACCGAGCAACGGCGTAGTATCAGAACTAGACATTTGAGGGTTCTGTCAATTCTCAGTATCTAATTCTCAGTAATCTGTGAGCATCTCTTCGCGAAGACTTTAAATTTTTTTAGCTCACATTATTTGACTAGCGATGGGGAAAATAGTAAAGACCACAAAGTCAGCTAAGAAGTTCACCTTCAGCTCTTTCAAAGAGCGTGTGGATACTATAAAAATCGAACCCACCCTTAATTTAAGTCAAAAAGTTTATGATGATGTAGAATCATCTCATTTCATAAGTACTGTAACTCATTGGAGTGAAGTAAATTTGAGTAAAACTTTCAGTGATTTCTTATATGAAATAAGAGAAATAAGTAACTCATTACCACAGATCATATATCACCAGGAAAAGATATTCGAAAGTTTGATCAAGCATATTGAAATCAATGATTCATATTCAATTCAACCTTTATTAGAAGTATTATCACAATTTATTCATGATTTAGGACCAGATTTCATGAAATTCTATGAAAGAACTTTGAAGACATTAACCAAATTAGCATTAGAAATCAATCCCAACGATATACAGAATAATAACAATTCATCAAATCTTTTAGAATGGATATTCAATGGTTTGACTTTCATCTTTAAATACTTATCCCGTTATTTGGTTGATGATTTCAATGCTACTTTCGAAATCTTATTGGATATTTTGACTTTAAATAAGAGAAACTATCTTTCTAGATTTTGTTCAGAAGCATTATCATTCTTAATCAAAAAGATGAAATCTGATCAATTATCTCAAGTCATCGATTATTTATTGATACAAAACCGTGAAATTTTCATCAACAATGCCACATATAGATCTTCATTAATTATAATTTTCAGTGAATCTATGAAATCAACTAAAGAATCATTCCACTCAAAGTCCATGTTGGTATTCACTCATCTTTTATCAATCGATATTAATATCTCCAAGTTTTTGATTTCTGGAATCTTATTAGAAGTTTTACTCCATGGTAATTCTTCTTCAGCAGAATTGTTCATTACCACTGTCATAGGTAGTCTCAAATCATCGATAACTACTGATAATCTTGCATCGATATTGGAAATATTGATTTCCTTGATTTTCGCTGAATCTGGTAGAAAAGTTAAGAGCTGGGATTTGCTTGTAAATACTTTAATTCAAATCTTACAACTTTTACCAAAAATTGAGGCTGATAGTGAAATCATTGATAGATTATTGTTCTGTTTAACCATTTTAGTCAGAAATTGTGAAGTTTTAGCATTGAATAAGAGTATTAAGAAGATCATAACCTTACTCATAGATTTTAAACAAGGGATCTATTTCATACCATTTGTTGATTCAAGTTTGGAAATGTGTCAACAAAAAATTATGTCTATAAATATTAAAAGTTATCTCCAAGATTTCATTATCAAGCATACCAATGATGATATATTGAAACAATTATCCTATTTCCTTTTCAAAAGACCTTCATTTGATATTTCCATCCCCAATACTTTGATTGAAGAAGTAAGTTCATCCATTAATTTATCTTCTGTGGAAAATGATAACTTACTTGATATTCATTGGAGATTGAATTTAATCAAACACCTGAATAAAAAACTTTCATTCATGGAGTTCTTCAATAGACTCCCACTTGATTCATTATTTGAAGCTGATTTGATAGGTTTGTCTTTGAATCTTAGTGATTTCACCATCGAATATCTCCAATTCTTCCAAGAGAATTTTGAATTTTTACAAAAATCATCAATTTTCATGGACCTTTTCCTGAAATATTTACTGGAAATTGATAGGTTGGAAAGTAAAGATGAGTATTTCAAGTTAATTTCAATGACTTCGGAAAACTTGTCTTTGGATGATAACAAATTGAGACTCAGTTCCATTGGTTTCATCATTAACTGTTATAATATTATGGACAAAGAATGTCCTGAATTATATTCACAAATCAGATTGATTGAACAAATGCCATTGACTATTAATAACGCCAGAGACATTCAATTAAGAATTAGGAATTTGGCTATAGAGTTTGGTCAAATGGAAAAGGAAGAATTGCATTGTAAAATCATTTCCCATTATTACTTTGGATTATTAACTAATAAATTCCAACCTTGTTGGGAAGGTGTTTTCGAAAACATCCCTACTTTAGTTAATACTTGCGAGGGTTACATTTGGTCCTTGACTAAGAAATTCTTAGATCACAAGGGAGATTTCATTAACTATCTCAATAATCACGACCCAATGTTTGTGGATAACGATGAAGTGGAAGTGAATTTGATCGATACCAGGATCACTGACAATTTCAGAAATTTGGAAACTAACTATTATCTCAAATACAGAGTGTTAGCTGAATCAATTTTAGAATTTGCTGAAACTTCTGGAACAAAATTAACCTATTCTTCAAATGTGAGAGAATTAACTTTGCAAACCATACTGAAAATTCCAGAAATTGCTGAAAATAAGGTAAATTATCATGAACTTGTGGAATATGTATTGAATTCCGAATCTACTAATAATTGGACTTCCAAAGAAAGAGATTCTTTGTTAAGCATTTTCCCTAAGTTCAAATCTTTAAGGTCATTGGACAGCTCCAGGGAATTGTTCAATAAAGCTATGGATATTTTGACCCTGAAAAATTTGAAAAGTCAGAAGTTGGCTTTAGATGTGGTGTTAAATTATAAAGTTGGTGGTATCAACAGATATAGAGATAATTTGAAGAATCTTTTGGATGACACTTTGTTTAAAGATGAAATTACTACCTTAATAACAGCTGGGAATGACTCCTTGATAGAGGATGATGATGTGGAATATGTTATGCCTGTTGTTTTACGTATTTTTTTCGGTAGAGTCCAAGGAAGTTCCAGAAGTAATAGTAAAGCTGGTAAAAAGACAGCAATCATCAACAGTCTTCCAATTTTGAGTCAAGACTTGATTAGTCAATTTTTATTATTGGGATCAGAAAAAATCAAAGTGCAAGATGTCAAGACCATCTCATCTGTTGACGTTCCAATCAAAAAAATCAATGGTTACATTAGTTTGTTGACTGAAGTGTATACTGTATTGGGACATAATTTCAAGGATTCACTTGTGACTACCATTGAGCCATTGATTTATTCAATCTCTGCTGCTCAATTGAGAATTGATCAATTTAAACTCGATGGTAAAGATACAGGAGTTGAAGAAGATCCAGAAGAAGAAATCAAGACCATTGAATCATCTAAGGAAGAAGAAATTATAATCAAAATGTCAAAGAATATCCGTCAATTGGGAATGAGATGCCTTAATGATTTATTTAAATTATTGGGTGATTATTATGATTGGGAACTTCAATTCGATACCATTTATAACTTCATAATCAAACCAAGGTTGGTCAACTTCGCTGATGAGAACTTACAACAACCTTCTTCATTATTGAAGATCATCACCAGTTGGATCAAAATTCCTAAAATCGGAAAGTTCTTATTGATCGATGATTTTAGTCCTGTCAGATCAATCATTTCTTTGATCGAGAACAGAAAGGCTAAAGATTCTGTCATTTCTTTGGTGTTGTCTTTCGTCATTGATTGTTTAGAAACCACTGTTGACGATGATGATTACTTTACTTTATTGGCTTTGATAATCGAATCCCTTTTCAAAAACTTACCTGTGATCATTGATTCTACTAATGACGCCGAAACTATCAATAAAGCCATTACTATCCTTTTATTGTTGATCAAAGGGGAATATATTGATAATGACTATACCAGAAACACTTTAATCGAGTCATTAACCAATGCTTTCAGCAAACCTCCTGGTAAGATTGTTCCTTCTGATAGGGAAAAGATTTTAATCTCATTAACTTCTTTGGTGAGAGATTGCAATTTATCTTCAGAAGAGTTTTTACCTTTTTATAAACAATTTTCAAAAGGTTTCAAGGTATTCTCAGAGAAGGAGATCAGATTCCAATTGGTTCAATTATTCAACGTTATTGGTGGTAAGTACGACGAGTTCAAAGAGATTGCCGATGCATTGGCCAAAGTCAATTCTTTTGTCACTGAACATAGACGTTTGGGAGATTTTGATTATGAAGAAGTTTTAAGTGGTTATAAAATGATTAATGAAGATTTATATTCTCACTTAACAACTGTTCAATGGTTACCTATAATCTATGCAGCTTTGTATTTCATCAATGAAGAAGAAGAATTGGTTGTTAGATCAAATGCTACTTATACCTTGAACCATTTTGTTGATTGTTATTCGAATTTAAACGAAGAGCAAGCTGCTGAATACGTCAAGTTCATGAAAGATTTGATCATGCCCGAAATTAGATTGGGTATCAAGAATAGCATTGAGGTGGTTCAAACCGAGTTCATCAGTCATTTGGCATACATTGTAAAGAATTCAAATCATTTCACTGATCTTGAGGATATGAAGATTTTGTTATTTAATAATGATGAAGAAGCTAATTTCTTCACCAACATTAATCACATTCAAATCCATCGTCGTCAAAGAGCCATTAGAAGAGTGGCAGAATTAAGAAATGAATTGAAGAGTAGTAGTATTTCTCACTACATCTTGCCTATAATTGAAAATTATGCTTATAATGCCGATGAAAAATTAAGAAATGTAGGTAATGAAGCTATCGTATCTATCGGATTGTTGATCAGATGTGTTTCATGGAATCAATTCAAATCATTGATCAGAAAATACGTTGCAAAATTAAGAGTGTCTAAACCTGAAAATTTGAAAACTTCAGTATCTATTGTGGTAGGTGTCTCAAAAGCTTTGTATTTGTCTTTACTTGCCAGAAGAAACACAGAAAGTGTGGACATTCTTAGAGAGTTCCCTAGAGATCCCGAACAGGAAATTGACGGGTTGATTGTTAGGGATATAGTTCCTACATTACAGAAGATATTGAATCAACGTAATGATGAAACTATTGTCGATAGAATTGTTATTTCCGAAGCTTTGGTAAATTTGATCAGATGTATTTCTGAAAACAAAATTCAAGAGAATTTACCGGGACTACTCACATCAACTTGTCAAGTTTTAAGATCTAGGTCAGAAGAATTGAGAGATGCTGCTAGAAAATCACTTTGTCAAATTGTTAAAGACCTTGGACCTAGATATTTCAAATTCTTATTACAAGAATTGAAAGGAGCTTTAACCAGAGGTTCTCAAATTCATGTTTTGAGTTATACAATGCATGCATTCATGATGGCCATTCAAGATACATTAACCCACGGAGATCTTGACGAATCTGCTAATATAATAGTGGGAATCATCATGGAAGACATTTTCGGGGCTGCAGGTCAAGAAAAGGAAGCTGAAGGTTACACTAGTAAAATGAAGGAAGTCAAACATAAGAAAAGTTTTGATTCTGGTGAACTTTTGACGTCTAATATTTCATTGAATGAGTTCGGTGAAATCATTAACCCTATCAAATTGATTTTACAAGAAAAAATATCTTTGAAAATCCAAAACAAATTGGATGAGTTACTTAGAAGATATGCTTTAGGTTTAAATCATAATGAAGAATCTACTTCCAGAAATATCTTGATTTTGAGTTTCCAAATCAATAAACAATCCGTTGAAGTTTTCAAAGAAGAAGAAGTTGTCAAAAAAGGTCCAGTGAAACCTGTTCATAAATTCAAAACTAATCCAGATGATCATTTTTTGGTTAAATTGAATGCTAGACCTTTGAAAACTCAAGTAGATTTCAATCTTTATATGTTCACTTTACAAAAGTTCTCATTTGAATTGTTAAGAGCTGCTATTTCAAGACATGAAGAATTGTTAACTGTGGCCAATATGCAACAATTTGTACCTTTATTAGAACAAGGGGTAAATTCTAGTCATGAAGGTTTGGCTGCAACATCTTTGAGATTACTTCACACCATCATAAAACTTGAATTCCCTGAAGAAGTGAATAATACTTTCAAATCATGTGCCAGAAAAGCTTTGAGTATTATTAAAGACAGTCCAAGTACCACTAATGAGGTTTGTCAAGCTAGTCTTAGATTTTTGGCCACTTTGATTAGACATAAATCTGAGGTCAACCTTAAAGACACAGCTGTTAGTTATGTATTGATCAGAATCCAACCTGATCTCGAAGAACCTAAGACTCAAGGTTTAGCTTTCAATTTTTTGAAGTCAGTTGTAGCTCAACATATCTTGTTACCTGAGGTTTATGATATCATGGATAGTGTTTCTAAGATCATGGTTGTTAATCATAATAGAGAAATTAGAGATATGGCTAGAAGTGTATATTTCCAATTTTTGATGGAGTATGATCAAGGAAGAGGTAAATTAGAGAAACAATTCAAGTTTTTGATCAATAATTTAAGTTATGAAACTCCTACTGGTAGACAATCTGTATTAGAATTAGTCAATTTGATTGTCAATAAGGCTGGAGAAGATTTATTGAACAGAATAGCTTCATCATTCTTCTTAACCTTGGCCAATATCTTGGTCAATGATGATTCCAATAAGTGTAGAGAAATGTCTTCACTTATAATCGCCAATTTGATTAATCATTTGAAAGGATCCAAATTAGATAACTTGATTAAGTATACTAACGCATGGTTGACTCAAACTGAAAATGATCTTTTGTTGAGATGTGGATTAAGCATTTATAAGATTTATATCAACGAATTCAAGTTCGGAACCAACAGTGAATTGGATAATTTGGCTTTGGACAGACTTAAACAAGTATTTGACCAATCCAGTAAACATGATGATGAAAGTGAAGCAGAGGTTGAATGGCAATTAATCTATAGTTGTTTGAATGTGTTCACAACTATTTGTGGTCAAGAAAAACAGAATATTGTTGGCGAAGCATACGAATCAATGTGGAAATCAATCATGGATACATTATTATTCCCTCATTCATGGGTAAGATTGACATCGTCCAAGTTAGTTGGAATCTTGTTAAGTAACCTATCAAGTTGTGGATTTGAATTATCCAATTTGGAAATTCAAACTATTGCTTACAGATTATTACATCAATTGGGAGCTCCATCAATTACACAGGACCTTGGGAACCAGGCCATCAAAAACTTGGTGTTGATAGCCATGAAATGGGAAACCGATAGTACTAAATTTGAAAATCACGCGAAGGTTGATAGCGATGAGCCTGAAGAAAAGAAATATGATTTTGCCATTGATTTCTTGATTCATAGAGCTTGTTCTATTATAAGACAAGAACTCAGAGATTCTTTGATTTCCAAACAATCTTCTATCAAGTTATGTGCCATGGTAATACAAATAGTTAAACAGAAAAGTTTATTAGAGAAAATTTCTGAAGAAATATTACTTTCTTTATATGGATATAACGAAGCCGAAGGATCCACTAACACAGAACTCAATGAGTTAGCCAGTGAATGTAGGGATATGATCGAAGAGAAGTTGGGAGGAATTATATACTCTTCCATTTATACCAAGGTCCAAAAAACGGTCTATTTCAGAAGACAAGAGAGAAGAACAAAAAGAGCTCAAATGGCTGTCAATGCTCCTGAAATTTCTGCTAGAAGAAAAATGAAGAAACATGCTAGGTCAAGAGATAAAAGAAGAAGAGATAAGGATGCTGATGGTTATTATCATACCAAAAAGAAGAAGAGAACCTAAACATATCAGGTTTTGTATTTGTAGAATAAACGTTTAATATTTAAGTGAGTCGAAGTCTCTTTTATGGATGACGAATTGTGTCCTTTGTATTTGTCCGTTTGCATTTGCTTCGGTAGAATGTGGTTCCCTTTTTCAAAGAACTCTGATTACGCATGTCAAGACTTATAGACTGGCAGATAACATGAAAAAGGAGGTTGGGCAGAAGGTAAAGTACACATGTATATAATATAATCTATTCATTTGATGTAGGTTCTTCCTTAATTGGGGTTGGGGCAGGTGGAGGAATTGAAATACCAGGGTTTGTAGAAGTTGGGATTGGTAAAGAATCAACATTAATTTCTGATGGAGGATGTGATTGAGGGTAAGGAGAATTGTCATCTTCAATTTTGGGAGTATCCAAATCCATTGAATCATGAGGTTCGTTATCATTATCATTATTTTCGTCATCATCTTCATCATCATCAATTTCATTCAAATCTACGTTATTATTCTTATATTCCAACATTTCCTTTTGATACCTTTCTTTGGCTTCCTCAAATAATTTATGATATTGTTTCTTTTCAGCTTCAGTTAAATTTTTCCATTTTTCAATTAATGTTTTACCCAATTCATTTATTGAAGTTAATGAATTATCTCCAGATTCCTTCTTTATCCTTTCTTTTTCTGATTCACAGAATATTAAATAAGCGTTGGTGGGTCTCTTAGGTAAATTGGGATCTCTTATCTTTTTATTTACAGCTTTCTTTAATTTCTTCTTTGGGGATTTGTCTTCCGATTCGAAATTATAACTTGGTGATGGAGGTGGAGAAATGTCATCATATTCTGGTAATCCTACAGCATGACTCTCTAATCTTTCCAATAATATAGAATATTCCAATCTCATTCGACGTATAGAAGTTTTGGTTCTTGTTATAGCTAAAGTAGCTAATTCATTTGAATCTTCAACTTCTTGAATTCTTCTCTTTAATTCTTTACATTTTTGTCTGAATTTTTGCTCTAATGGTTAGTAATTGTTTAAAATCAATCAATGGACCGTTGCTTAATGGGGTTCAACATACCTTCACTCTCTGGAGCTGAATCCTTTTGTGTCATAACTGTCGACTCTTTTTTTCACTCGCGATCTTCAACTTGGTGAAGGTGGGTGGTTCTGGTGATACATGTCGCGGAGAAGTGAAATGTCTCAGATGTCGTCAGAACCATCAGAGATCTAGAGATTTGGTATAACCAACACATATATATAACATAAACATAAAATAGAACCTAATGATAATTTGAAGTCGAAGGAGTTAAGATTTCATAATCTGAACCAAGTTCAAATTCATTATCGGAAACGATTTCGGAATTACCAAGATCGATTAACATCTCAACATCATCTTTGATGGTGGATTCTTTTGGTAAGGAAGGTAAAACCATTGAATCAGTTGAACCTAAAGAAACAGATTTTTCATCTTTATCGTCAATTTTTTCTTCTTCAGTTTCAAATCCTTCAGTTTCAGTAGCTGGAGAATTCCCTTCAGTTTCAGTTTCAGTTTCTTGAATTTCAGAAGTTCTTTCAACTTCTGGAGTTTTTTCAACTTCTGGAGTTCTTTCAACTTCAGTGAAAGATTCGGTTGATTCATTTCCTGATAACTTGATATCTTCTTCACCGGAATCTTCAGATTCAATGATTTCTGTTGGAACATCATTTTCTAATTGTTTGACTTCAAATTCAGTGGATAATCTATTAAGTGATAAATCAGCAATGGCTTCATATTTACCGTTATTCAAGATAATCTTGAAAGGAATTTTCAAATGAGCTGAATTCAAAGAAATATTGAATTTACTTGTACTCCATGGTTTAATACCGTGTCTTTTATGAACCAAAACTTTACCTATAGTGTTACCTAAGAAATTATTAATCTTAATCAGTAAGTCTGAGCAGTCAAAAGTTTCATCATTGTTGTTATAGATCACTAATTGGACCATTTCTTTAGCTTTTAATACCACATCAATGGATAAACTTTCAGACGTTTTAACCGATTCAACCTTCTCATTAACTTGAATGGCCTCACCGGTGGTTGATTTAACAAGAGTTAAACTTGATTCACTTCCAAAGTCTCCAACTAATTTGAAATCATCATTGTTGAAGGAAATTTGAACCTTTTTACCGATGAATTTTTCAATATCTCCTTTCAAGTTATAAAATCTTTGTTTACAACTATCGATGGAACTTGCGTTTCTAACAACAATTGAATCATTAGATTCACTGTCGAAGAATTCGAAAACCATATCTCCAGCAGGGAAATAATGGGTTGAGTTATTGGTTAATGAAACAGAAAAGATCTTTGAGTTAGGTCCAAATCTTTTAGTCTTCAAGATGAACTCATTGGAATTATTGGTTTTTGGAATAGTTTCAAAATCTACTTGCCCTGGTAATAATTCAGTACTTTGTAAATCACTATCAATTGGATCAATATAATCTTTAATTTCAATATCTTCAGTTTTGGTTACGGTGTTTTTGAAATCTTGGTTTTCATAGACAATACTTTGTAATATAGCATATCTTACATCATCATCATCAACCTCAGATTTGAGTAATTCTAATAAATTATTATATCTTTCACTATCTTCGAAAACTTTGGTTAATTTATCTAAAAAGCCCACAATACCAAATTCTGATAACAAAGCTTTGATTTTATTGGAAATAGGTTTTGCTGATGAATCTAAATTGATGTCTAAAATATCTTCAGTTCCATTAGTGGAAAATTTGATATCTTGATTATTAGAAGAAGTTGCACTTTCGTAACTTGGACAACTAAAAGCAGGTTTTTTGAAAACATTCATTTCATGATCAGGTGAATGGAATCCATAATGAGATCCTTGGAAGATTTGATTATCGTAACAATCTTCACATAAATCATAATTTGGACAAGTCTTGCACTTATATCTTGTACCTCTAATAGGTCCTTTATCACAACAATCACAATAAATGGCATGGTGAATATTAGATACAGAAGGAACATGTGTTAATGCTGCTTTATCGATTCTGAAACTTTCAGGAGTGATAATCTTCATTGTAGCATGTAAATAAGAATGAGTACCAGTGATGATTTCATTTTCAAGGAAATTAGTTTCACAATCTTGACATAAATCATAATCAAAACAAGTCAAACATTTATATCTAATACCTTTGATTGGTACGAAAGTATCAGGATTACAACTATCACAACAAGAATTAGAATGAACGGCTTGATATTTCTTTGCTTCAGGTTCTTTTGCAGATTCTTTTGATTCTTTTGGTTCCTTTGGAGTGAAGGAATGAAGAATTTCAGTAGCAAATTCTCCAATGACTTCTTTCAACTTCTCTTTAGCAACATCGGTGAATAATTCTGCTAATTTACCTAAATTGATATCATCATCTTTAGAATATTGATTGTACTCGGGGGTAACTGTTGGAGGATCATCACTATCACTTACAGTACTCTTAGGTTCAGAATTGGTGGTAAAAGTTTTGGATTCAGGTACCTTTTCAACAGGGGAATGATCATTAATTGTCAATTTAACATGATTTTTGACATTCAAACTTCTAGATAAGCATTTAAAATCATCAATAGACTCTAAATTGATATACCCTTTATTCTTCTTCAGCTTCCTGGTGAATTTTAAATAGTTACTATCTTTACTCAAAGGAAATGGAAGTTCAAGATCATTTAATAAACCAACAAACTTGGATTTATCAGTAATTGAATCAAATTTACTCTTATCAATTGTAATCACACTATCAGTGAAACTTTCATCTGATAAGACTTTGTTATAGACAATTTTCAATTTCACCTTGTCAGACATCTCTTTCTTAATCTCTTACTCAAGATATCCTCTAAATCAACAGACAAATGTTTTGAAGGCGAAATAAAATCAGTTGCAAAAGGATAACAGGAGATAAAATATTTATAGTTTGCCCCCTACGCAATCTGCATAAGATGACAAAGTCGTGTGCGATAGCCAAAATCTGGCTGAGGGTTTGATTCTTTCATCTTCTGGAAAACCTAACGGTAAGGTCTGGCGGAGATTGAAGGGTCAGAGCGGAGATGCTAATTAGCTAACACCGGGCAGATATCACTTATAGTACTATTTTTTCAATCGGGATTGGTTTGTGGTGATGTACCTTGGATTGGTACTTTACCGTTGTTCTCAAATAACAATTTCTTGGGGTAAGACCTGGTTTTATCAACTGAATCAAATCTGAGGAATGCTCTTTTTCTTGTAAAATATCATTCAAGTTGAAAAAATTTATGATCTGACGGGAGAACAGGTCATTTAGATTCACTTGCTTCAAGTCCGTCTTGGAGTCCTTGTAGTCTTAGTCGTGCGCGATTATAGATCTAAACCTATTTAAGCTCGACAACCTTTAAGTAAAATCTCCAAATAAACCCATAGATAATGAAATATCCAAAAGCTGTGGTATTCGATTTGGATTATACGTTATGGCCATGCTGGTGTGATGTTCATATTGAGTTGCCTATCAAAAATCATAGACCCGATGAGATAGTTGATAGTTATGGATATAAGTTAAAGTTATATAAAGATGTTCCTGGGATCATAAAAGAATTGAAAGACAATGGTGTCACCATTATAAGTGCCAGTAGAACCCCAACTGTTCACATAGCTAAAGAACTCATTTCACATATCAAAATCGATAACATACCTATGAAAGATTATTTCCATAGTAGTCAATGGGGAACAGGATCTAAAACTAGACATATAAAGAATGCTGCCAAAGAATTAGGGTTAGAAAAAGAATTGGCTAATGGAGAGTTCATCTTATATGATGACGAATATAGAAATAAAGATGTCAATTCTATTGGCTGCAAATTCGTTTACCTTAGAGATACTGATTATGGATTAACTAGAGAATTATTTGAAAAAGGTTTAAAAGAATATAATTAAACTATCTACACTAACATTACATAATATACCCCAACATTGAATTTTCTCCTACTTTGTGTTACCTCTTTAAAAGATTCTGAAGAACTAAAAGTATCAGTACGAAAAATCTACTTATGTTTAATTTGATAATAAAATTAGGGAGATCCACCTTGTTGAATAGTTTTAACAAGGGATACAAGGTTAGTATGACTAGCATTTTCAGGAGTTTGGATTTCTTTCTACAATGTTAGTAAATTTCTTCATAAAGGTTAACATTTAATACATACTTCTGATAACCAAGATTTTAAGTTATCGTTAGACCATTCGTTGACATCTATCATACTCTCTTCAGCAATATCTCTGGATGGTTCAGATATGGTTTGTTCTTCATTTAATTCAATAGGTTCATTATCAACTTCTTCATCTTCTCCACCTTTGATATAATTTAAAATTGATGTTTTCAAATGAGGGAAAGTATTCAAAACAATCAATGAAGTTCCAATGACAATAGCTCCACCGATCCCGAAGTTTCTTAACTTATTAGACTTCTTTGTTAAATTTAAAGACATGGTATGATTAATGAAAAAAAAAAATTGATAGGGAGCGAGAAGCATCTGAATTGGGTTATCTAACCCGACGTGTTGTGCGGGTGCACGGGACTTTACATAATATTTTACGATATATCGAAGGAGGTGACATTTATTCATTATACATTACGGGTAAGTGCTGGAGGATGGTGTATGGTGTTGGATATTGATGTTGGATATCAGATACTGCTACTGGATAGACTTATTGGTCTTTTCTCTGGTAATTGTAGAAACTCTTAGCTCTGATGAACCCAAAACCGAAATTTAATCCAAATATGAATCCAATAAAGGAAAAAAATACGAGGAAGAATTTGAACCCTAAAGGTTCAATCAACGAGTTCAATATAACACCTAAAGTTTCGGCACTGATAGATGATTTATTACCAACATTCTCAGTATCTTGATTCATACATTTCAACCAATATTCACAAGGTTTCTCTAATGCTGGAACTATAAGATCAGGAGAACAATTGTTTTCAACATAATTCTTTCTGCAATTAGCGATTTCTATTAAAAGATTAGTAGATTGGGCCACTAATTTCGATTCAATATCTTTCTTAATGGTCTTGATGATATTATATATAAGATAAATCCCATAGAAACTGATGATGAAATTCATAAACAACTGGAGGTATGTAGATATTAAATATGAATAGTTCTTAGATGGTACGGCTTGAAATGATTTCTCCCAAGGTGAAGGTAAGGGTAAAATCTCATGCGCTGTTTGATAACTAACCAAACTGCCATCGACATTGGTTACATTAGGTGAATAATAATAATGGTGGTGATGGATGACAGTTTTTTCAGGGGTATTTAACATGTTCATACTATCATTAGGTAAAACTCGGGAATTTATAGTATCTACTGATGCATTTGATTGATTGAGTATTTCTCGATTAACTTCATCATATTTCTTGGTTCTAGGATTATAGACAAATTCATCTTCAAATAAACTGATATCACTATTGGAAAATGAATTTATATGTCTGACAAGACTCTTTTCCATAAAAGAATCTTCGTGTGTTGGTGGGGCAGGTAACATCTTTAAAGCGTAATTTGCCCCTACTGAAGTGGGTGAAAATAAAGTATGAGATAATGCTGAAACAAAGGATGAATGTTCTTCGTCGACTTCATATTCACTTTCCTTTCTAGTTTCTTGTTCTGGGGTGGAACACTTTCTTGGTGATAACTTTAATGTTTCCAATGACCGTGTATCCATGTCGTCATCATCTTCATCATCGACCTCTTTTGGTTGATAAGCATGATTATTCACATCCTTACCATTGATAAACTCCAAGGAGCTGACAGAATCTATTTCCATGTCATAGCTGTCATCAATCGATAAACTTGATAAATTCAAATTCATGATAAACAAACTCGCATTGATCTCATCGCGAATTGTGTTAGATAAAAACCATAATGGGAAGCAGTAAAAAGAAGAAAGAAAAGAAGAAAGACTTTATTAAACAGAAGTTAAAGGTAGGAAAGAACGAAAAGGCTGCTAATTATACTGATACTTCATTTAAAGCCAAATCCATTTCTTTACCTAATCAAAATTTAGGTACTAAAGATATTACTTCATATATTGCATTAACTAAGCATCATTCTTCATCTACTAGAAAAGAAGTCTTAGGTCATATAGAGAAACAACTAGACACTTTTAATGATGCCACAATCTTAAAAAAGGTCATCTCCAACATTATTCCTTTAATTAATGATGAATCCTTAGAGGTTAGAAAAGCGTTATTATCACTTTTTGAAAAATTATGTAATGAATATTTATCTGTTATGGTTTTACATGATAAGCAGTTCATCCTTTTCATTCATTCATCCATGAATCATTTAAATCCTAGCATCAAGAATTTTCTGATTAATTTCTTAAACTTGGTTATAAATCATTTCCCTGATAATTTGATAAATCTTCATTTCACTAAAACTTTAGATGGATTATTAGCCTTCAAAACCACCGATAAAACAAAAGCCTTACATACAAAGATCTTTAAGAATTTCATAGAGAAATCTTTAGTGGAACCTACTCAACTGAAATTGAAATATCATGTATTAACCAATAACTATATCACCATTAATGAATTCAACAGTTTGAATTTATTCCACAACGAGAACTTATCCACAGATTTGAATACCAGAAAACAGATACTAACAGATAAACATGAAGATATCAAAGAGAAGATCGATTTTGTCATAGCTGTATGATTATGAATTTATTATAACAGGAATGTCTGAAGTTGGAGAATATTTAAAAATTCCATTAAATTCAAGATATTCCAATGATGAAGGGAATTTCCTATGTATGGACAAATCATCACCTGTAATGATTAATTTCTTCAAATTCTTTGGTAATGGGATATCGTTTATAAGATTATAAATGTCATAAAACTCTTGAACAAACTCTATTTCTAATTCTTCAAGACTTTCTGGTAACTCCGTTCGATAGAATTCACCGATGTTACATAATGAAAACATCATGAGCTTTAATTTTTTGAGTTGAAGTGACTTTATTGGCTTTAAATTCTTCAAATACTTACCATCACCTATGGTTAATGATTCTAATGTGGGGGGAAGATTATCAAGGGAATTGACATTGTAAATCTCAAGATTCTTCAATGGAAAATGTGAAAGATCTCCTGTGTTATAATCATTGATGACCAAAGATTTCAAATCAAGGTTTACATTGGTGTCAAGCTGTTCTGTAAAAGAATTCACAAGGGTAAGTTGTTCAAGATAAGGAAATCGAGATAATTCTTGCTTTGAGATGACATGATTATGAATTTCAAGTGATTTCACATTATGATTTGTTGGTGGTACCCCATCCACTATAAGTTTCTCTACTGATAACTGTTGTATATCCCTAGCTTGATTCAAATACAAACTTTTATAATTGAAGTTAGGAAGTGGTGCATCTACATTTTCTACTGACAAATATTTGAACTTCAGATATGGCAATTGTTTGAGTTGGTCAGCTGACGAAACAACTAGATGATTGGGGGAGAAGTTTGTGTCTTCCAAGAACTTCAGTAGCAGTTCACTGGATTCGAAATCATCATAATATAAAGTCTTGTGGACTAAATCATTGACTGGTTTGAAATCAACAGACAATTCCTTCAACTCCAGGTCTGAAAGAAAACTCAAAGTTCTATAAATCAATTCTACAGGTAATTCAGTAAATGTCATGATTATTGTCTCCCCAGGATTCCATTTTTTTTATATATAAAACGGAACAATTCTCTGACCATCTCTTAAAAAGAAAATGTACCTGCCTTTGTGCATCACACGATATGAAATCATAGGGATTATGTAAGATCATGTCAGAAGAATTGAATTGATAGAGTTAGAAATTCTAAGTGATGGGTATATAGTGGTGAATTTGAGTCATATGGGTATGAAGTAATGCTATGGTAGAGTAAAGATTGGGGCTAAAGTACTGTGAGACTGAAAGTTCTGTCGGACTGAAGAAACTAATTATCTCCAAATTCAACAAACAACTTGAATCACTGAACTTGCATCATCTTCTGTGTTCTCTTCCCACTTCCTCTTTCTCTGTTCAATCAACCAATCCCTCCCAATGGGTGTCAACCCCACGACCTCATCGATTCTAATCAGCTATCGTTAACACCGCGACTGATAAAGATTATGTCAGTTATAAATCTAAGTCCCCAGAAACCAGTCATACGACCTCAGTCGTCAAAGTTCACATATCATGATCTAAACCAACTAAACGATCGTTCCAGATCTTACTTATCTCGTTTGGCGGTGATTGGCCATTTAGATTTGAATGCATTCTTTGCTCAAGTGGAACAGGTAAGATTGAATTTAACTATTAATGATCCTGTTGTATGTGTTCAATGGCAAGCTGTGATAGCCGTTAGTTATGCAGCACGTAAGTTTGGTATTAAGAGAATGGATACTATCAAAACAGTCAAAGAGAAATGCCCTAATGTGGTTCTAGCACACGCAGCTGTGTATGAGAAAGGTTCTTCCAAATGGAAATATGTTGATAAATTACCATTTCAAGGTCATTGTAAGGTAAGCTTGGATCCTTATAGACGAGAGAGTCGTAAGATTTTCAAAATTCTACTGGAAAATTGTGACTTGGTTCAAAAGGCAAGTGTTGATGAGGGATATCTCGATTTTGGTAGATTGGTTTATGACAAAATACGGCAACTCGTCCCCTTCAGTGATAACCCTGATGATATACTACCTCCTATACCTGAAGATTTGGAAATCGAGTATTTTGGGAAATTATACAATGTGAATGGTGTGGAAATCAATGATTGGGATGATGTTGCTATTTTAATGGCTTCCAATTATTTGTTCAATTTCAGGAAACAGATCTTCGAAAAGTTAGGGTATACAACATCAGGGGGTGTAAGCAGGAGTAAGAACATGGCCAAATTGGCTGGTGGGTTTTTGAAACCCGATAATCAGACTATACTTCTCAATAGTCAAATACCTAATTTCTTAAAGAACTTCGAATTGACAGAGATAAATGGTTTGGGTGGGAAATTGGGTGAACAGATATTATCACAATTCAGTGTTCCTCCAGAATTCAATTCTATTGAATATTTGACCACCCTTCCTGAAGAAGACGTCAAATCTTCAGAATTTGATCATTTGTATGAAATAATAAGAGGTGACTTCAGACAAGAATTGAAGGATAGAACCGATATTAAATCCATGATGTCTAGGAAGCAGATGATGGGAAATGCTCCATTATTGACCCTTTTTGATTGCTTGGATTGGTTGAAGACTTTTAGTGGAGATTTATGTAATAGACTTGAAGATCTCGATGAAGAATTCGGTCAATTGACACGTCCAAAAACTATCAGTGTTAGTGCATTGATACTGGGTACTAGTCATTCAAGGCAATTGGCTATACCTGTCCAAAGTGATTTAGGAAAACTACGCTTGATCTTAGAGAAAACCAGCGTAAAGTTATTACTTGATTTAGTCAAGAGTTTATTTGATATTGACAAATTGAACGATGGGAAGTATAAAGAAAATGCGGAAATCAATCGTTTTAATAAGGTCAAAATCCCACCTATCATGAATTTTGCCATCATCATATCTTCCTTACAACGATTAGATAGTTCGATTGATAATTTCGCTAAGAAAGAACAAGTCAATTTGTTTGAAAAGTTCGAAAATGAGCAGAAACTTCAACAGCAAACACCAGAAGCTCAGAAACCTCCAGAACCCAAAAAGAAATTGGATAAGGAATTCATATCTAACCTTTTTGCCAAATACGAACAATCCAAATCTGAATCCCCAAGCCCTGAAAGGATCGCTAAAAAACGAATGGACACCAAAAAAAGAGTGGAAAAACCCAAGAAACACATGGACACAAAAAGACCCAAATACAATATTCTAGAGAGTTTGAATCGTCGTTGTAAAGAATGTGGAGAGATTTTCAATAATGTTCAAGAACATAATGATTTCCACACTGCGCTACAATTATCCAGAGAAAGCGCGGACCCCAGGAAATAATCACACTCTCATGTCAAAAGTGAACAACCACTCATTACCGTTTGCTAATGCTGCAACGATAGTAAGAGCCAATCAGAAGGACACTTACTTCGAATCGATATTTAGGAACCATATATCGGAGAATTTGAGTATTTTCAAAGGACAAAAATTCATCAATTTCTACCCCGAGGAAATTACTATTGGTAGTAAGGTTTTATATCTTGTCTTAACTACTTTATTGGGCTACCGTACATTGGGTGAAGAATACGTTGATTTGATTTATGTTGATCGAAAAGGTAAGAGATTCCCACGATTATTGAATAGATTATTGTTCATAGCATCATATGCTATACTTCCATATATTATCAATAAAATCGTTAAAAGATTCAAGAAGAAAGATGAAGAAGATGATAACCAAGACAATAAGTGGATGAAATTCTTCACCAGCTACTCCAGTGTTTTAGATACTTTGATGAATTTGCATATAGCTATATTTTACTTCCAAGGGAATTTCTATTCGTTATCTAAAAGAATCTTCGGTATGAGATACGTTTTCGGTCATAATAAAGATCCTAATAAGATAAGTCAAAGTGCCAATTACTCATTGCTTGGTGGAATCATTTTAGTTCAATTTTTAGTGAAATTTTTGATAAAATTCAAAGCATATACTGATAAGACCAACTTAGAAGAGTCTGTCATCGAATCTGATAAGATCTATAACATCAATCAACTCACCAAACCACAAGAATCCATTGAATTGTCTGATCCAACTCAATTACCATATATTCCTGAGAATTCCAGAAATTGTATTTTATGTTTATCTCCCATGACGGATCCTACATCAGCTAATTGTGGCCATTTATTCTGTTGGGAATGTATTGTAGATTGGGTCAGAGAGAATCCTGAATGTCCTTTATGTAGAACTGCTTGTTTAGAGCAAAACCTATTACCTTTAAAATGATTAATGAACAATATTTAAATTTCAGCGTTAGGCTCTTAGTCATTGACTTTTGTAACTCCAAAGATCTTGAGTATTCCAAGAGCTAGAGACCAAGATTTTCGATTCCCTTGAAAGCTCTGCCGTTCACTGCCCCTCACACATTGTAAAGATCACCAATAGGTGTTCCCCTTACATCTAAAAGTGAGCACTTTCCACTACGCGTGAAAATTTCATCGAATCAACATCATGGAGGATGATTACGATAACTATGATAAAACGTTCAAGCCAAGGACAAATCCCTATTTCAAGAGGATAAAGAACTCATTACAGTTGAATTTACAACAATTAAATTCCAATTTCTTATCAAATAGTTTAATTGCTAAAATTTTGATCGGTATTTTCACGATATTATTTTTATCATTATTCACTTCAGTACCATTTTTACCCCATTTTAAATCCACAGGACCTAAAGTGGTGTTGATATTAGCCGCCAATGAAGGTGGTGGGGTGTTAAGATGGAAAGGACCTCAAGATTGGTCTATTGAAAGATCATCAATTGCCAATAAAAAAAACTATGCCAAACGTCATGGTTATGGATTAACTATTAAAGATATGACCATCAAGAAAAGATACAGTCATGAATGGAGAGAAAGTTGGGAGAAAGTTGATATCATGAAGCAAACTATGAGACAATTTCCTGATGCCGAATGGTTTTGGTGGTTAGATTTACACACATATATTATGGAACCTCATATTTCCTTAGAAGAACATTTCTTGAATAACTTAGATAATGAAACTTATAGAAACTTGGAAGTATTCAATCCATTAGAATTAACTACTGATTTACCTTATGTTGATTATACTCAACCTGTTGATATGATTATAACTCAAGATTGTGGAGGATTTAATTTAGGTTCTTTCTTAATGAGAAGATCTAGTTGGTCAGAAATGTTATTAGATGTTTGGTGGGATCCTGCTATGTATGAACAAATGCATATGAAATGGGAACATAAAGAACAAGATGCTTTAGAAACCTTATTTTCGACATCACCTTGGATTAGAGAAAGAGTAGGATTTTTACCTTTAAGAAAAATTAATGCTTTCCCACAAGGTGCTTGTTCTGATCAAGCTGATGATCCACGATATTTCTTTCAAAATCATGATTTTGTTATTAATATGGCAGGTTGTGAATATGGAAGAGACTGTTGGGGAGAAATGGAACATTATAAAGCATTATCCAAAAGATTACAAAAACCATGGTACAAGTTTTGGTGATAGTGAAGTGGGAAAATCTAAGAAACTTCGACATTAAACTCGCCAAAAACCAAAATAATAAAAGTCATCACTAACCATCTCCACCACTAATCAACTATCTTCAACCACCTCAACACCTCCATATAATCTCTACTGTGAGGCTTATTGTATAATTTAATAGAAACTTGTGCGACTTTCTCAAAAAAATTCGACAACCATCAACATGTCAGACCTATTTAATGATGATTATAATGGAGATGATTTTTTGAATTCTATCTTCGATGAATCACAAGGACAAGGATCCAATGATCCTCCACCACCTGTACAACAGCCGGTTTCTCAACCTCCACCACCACAACCTCAGCCTCAATCTCAACCACAACAAGTAAATAAAGGATTTCCAGATAATAATTATATGAGACAGAATTATCAATCATTGGATGCCAATAAACAGGAACAATTGATGAAGATGAGACAACAAATCATGCAACAACAGGTGCAGAAAGGTAAGATGCCTCAGCAAAGAAATCAAATGAATATGAGTGTTAATATGAATAATGTCAGTCAACCAAACAGTCAACTGGGAAGTAGAGTTCCAAGTGGGTCGTTTAGTCCTAACTATCCTGTGAATTCACCAGGTATTCAACAATCACCCGTTCAACATTCTCCACAATCGTTTCAACAATCACCTCCTCAAAGTTTCCCTCAACATCAAGCTCAACAAGCAGCTCAAGCCCAAGCCCAAGCTCAAGCAGCCAGAAATCAATCTCAACAGATACCACAACAAGCTCAACAGGGACAACAGGGCCAACAAGGACAACCGGGAAAATCAGCAAAACCAACTAATGCTCAAATAGCTCAATTCCAATTAGAAGTGTTTAACAGATCTTACCATGACTTTATGAAAAACCGTAATACTCCAGTAGAGTCTGAACCTGTTATCAACAATAAAAAAATTAATTTATTCTTATTTTACTTGTTAAGTCAAAAGGCTGGTGGTCAACAAACATTGATCAATGCCATTCAACATCCTAATCCCAACCAAGTATCCCCTTGGTCTGTTTTAGCAAGTAGATTCGGTTTACTCGAAGGGGTTCAAGATTCCAATGTCAAGTCACAAATTGAAAAGGATTTGGGAAGATGTTATATTCAATACATTTTCCCTTACGAAAATTATAATCTTACTCCCGAAGGACAAAAAGAGATTCAACAAAGAAAAATGATGATTCAAAAACAATTCTTGAGTAATTTACAAAGACAACAAGGACCTCAACCTCCTAATCATCAATCTCCTATAGGTTCCAATCATGATTCTCCTATGGGTAATTCTCCAATGATTCAACAAACTCAACCTGTACAATATAATTCACCTCAAATGAGAAGTACACCTCATCCAAATGAACCACCACGTAAAATGAGTAGAAACAGTAATTCTGCTTCCGGATCTCCAAATATCGTTCAATCTCCGTTTACTCAAGGTAAACCTTCAAGATCAAGTAGTATATTACAAAAACAAAGATCTCAATCACCAGTTATTGAAGGAGAACCAACATACATCAAAAACAAAATAGCACAAAAGAGAAATGTTGAAAGTTATGGAGGTGTTGATATCAAAACTGTTAATCAAGTGGGTACCGAATTAGATGTAGCCAGACCTATCTATTTATTTGCTCCTGAATTAGGAACTGTTGATATTCAGAGTTTGACGATGTCTTTAAAGAGCAATATTGTCCCAAATAATGGTGAGATAATGAGTGCTTTGAATACTTTATTAGTAACCACCTCTGAACAAGGAACAATAATTGATCTTAATTATTGTATTGAATTATTAGAAAGTTTATCTGATACTGGGTTGAAAGTGTTAGATAAAATCATTTATAATGTCAAATGGGATAAAGAAAAAGCTGGTGAAACTATCAATTATGATAATTTGAATTCTAATTCATCTATTGATGAAGTATTCAACAAATATGTTAATCCAGAAGAAATGAGGGATGAAGATTTAATGTTTAATGTTGATTCTGTCACTGGGAAAGTTATTGATGAAGAAGATGATTTAGATGATATCTTCTCTCCATTACTTGAAGTTGATAAAAAACTCGATAGTGAAGATGAAGATGATGAAGAAGTTGATGAAGAAGTACCTAAATTTGAATATTCTGATTATGGGAAGATTTTAATGGATTTCAAACTCGAAAATAAAGATCATTTCAGTAAATTACAAACCAAAAGTGCAGTTGATGAAGATCTTTTATTGGTGGATGAATTAATTACCATCACCATGATCTTAAGAAACATCTCTTTCCATCCTGAGAATAAGTCAAAGATGAGTAGTAATGATATCTTCAAAGATTTATTGTTCGGAGTCATAAAGATGGTTGGTATTTATCCTGAAAAGTTCTTATTCAATAGGAAAAGATTATGTTTGGCAAAAGATTGTTTGTTTTTGTTATATAATATTTCTCAAGATATTGAATTAAGATCTTTGGAAGAAGCATTCCTATCATTGACTTTGATTTCATCTTTTGGACCAAATTTATTTGATTGTAAATCAATTCCGATTGCTAATGTTGATAAATATTCTTATTTACCCTATGGTATTGATGCATTAACTAAATTATTAGTAAGGGAACCTCACAATAGATCCTTCATGAAAGCTATTTTAACTGGAGATTTCAATATTCATACACCAAATTCAAATGTTAAAATTGAAGAAAGTGATAAAACAATCACCAAGAATCTTATTGGTAAATACCTTAAATCTCAAGATATCACCAATGGTGAATTATTAACGAGAACTTTCAATTTATTCCTTTGTATTGTTCCATTCAATACCAATAGTTTCGAATTCTCCAAGGCTATTAATATCAGAATATCAACATTCACTCAAACATTCTTTGGAGCTAAAATCTTAATTGATTTGATAAGTGAAGAAGATTCTAAATTTAGAAATTTATCCACGGATTGGATATTAGATAATAGAAGAGAGATTTTAATCAACCTAGTTAAAGTTATTATATCACTTTATCCAGAATCAGTAAAGAATAAATTGATTGCTCTCGTGATATTGAAATGTTTCATTATGATTAATTCCCTATTAAATAACACTGTATTATTATTACAAGAAGACCCATCATCTGATACCAAAGAAAAGATAAAACAAGTTTTATCTATAAGTAATCTTTATCCTGATAGGGAAATTACTTTGGAGAATTTGATTAATCCTGTAAATGATAAAAACTTATCAAATGAATTGATCAGATTTTGGGGCTTACTTAAACAAATCGAGTCTTATGTATAGCTTAATGTATATTATGTAAACCATGTCCTTATCAGGTAATGTATTCACTGTATAAATGTCGTTGCTTAATATTGATCGGAGATATGGTCAATAATCCCCAGATTGAATGATTTTTGACATAAGTACTCTTAGGTACAGTTTATCCAATTATAGTAATTGATTTGATAATCCTTGCTTGGAAGGAAAAACTTATCAGTGGTTTTGGCACTTTAGCTTACGTAATCCTGGGAATCGATGGCTCGATAAGGAAATTGAGACCATAGATAAGAAGTTTAACTTTGAATGATAACAGTATAAATAAAGATTGGAAATCCTGGTAATGTCAATTAACTAAAATATGGCTACTCAAGTACTTCCTTCAGCTCCACCTCCAGAAGATCCAAAAGAAAAATTATTACCAGGTGAACACACCTTACCTGCAAGTTGGTGGACTAGTGAGAAGATATTTGATTTAGAGAAAAGAGCTATCTTCAATAAGAGTTGGTTATTTTGTACTCATGCTTCAAGATTTTCAAAAGCTGGAGATTATTACACCTTCACTTTCACTGGATTAAATTTCTTTGTTATTAAATCCAAAACTGATGGTAAAATTAAAGCTTTCCATAATGTTTGTCGTCATAGAGCTTACCCAGTTTTAAAGAAAGAAAAAGGTAGTACCATTGTTATGGGATGTAAATACCATGGGTGGTCTTATAATACTGATGGGAAATTAACCAAAGCCCCACACTTTGATAGTGTTGAAGGTTTTAATAAAGATGAAAATTCTTTGTTCCCTATTAAAACTCATGTTACTGAACAAGGCTTAGTTTTTGTTAATTTTAGTAACGAGAATGTTATGCCATTCGATGAATGGTACCAAGGTTTGAATGTGGAGTTGAATGAATTTGATTTCAGTGATTATGAATATCATATGTCTTATGAATTAGATGGTCAATTTAACTGGAAAACTCTTATGGATGGTTACCAAGAATGTTATCATTGCCCTACAGCTCATCCAGGTTTATCCAAAGCTTTCAAAATGGAAACTTATAAAGTTGTTCCAAAAACAAGATACTGTAGACATTATGCTACTATTGTTAAAGAAGAAGAACCTGCCGAACCTGAAGAACCTGTAAAGGAAGGATGGTTTGGAAGAGGTAAAAAGCAACCTACCGAAGAACCAAAACCAAAAAAGAAAAACGTCGGTGGTGAGTTTAATGGTTTATGGGTATATTTATTCCCAACTAATGGTATTAACTGTTATTCACCAGCTTGGTATTCTATTAGAGTTTTACCAATCAGTGCTTCTCATACTATCTTACAATATGATATTTATACCAAGAAAGGTTTAGATGATGCCACTAAAAAAGAATTCGTTGATTTCTTACAATTAGTTGAACTTGAAGATTTCAACTTATGTCAATTAACTCAAAAGAATTTAAACCAAGGAGTTTATTCTTCAGGTTACTTACACCCAACCAAAGAAAGAGGAGTTTTATTCTATCAAAACTTAACTAGGGATATGGTGAAGGAACATTTCAAAAAAGAGGAAGAATTAGGAAGACAAATTAATCCAGCATTTGTTGGTAAGAAATCAGATAATGCTGAAACTCAAGAATTGGATGAAATTTGTAATAAATTAGAATGTGGTACTGATTCTCCTAAAGAATTACAATGGTAAGTTATATCTTGATGATATTAACGTGATAATTTATGTGTTTATAGGTGAATACAAACAATTTTGCAACCGAATCTCTATTTGCAGCCAAATTTCCCTCAATCATCCCTCGGCCAATACTATTGGGGAAGTAAAATGAATGATCGCACCATTTTTGGTAGTAAAAAACCTCGGTAATTTACTGCCATTTCTCACCAATTCACAAGATTGTCGAAATGTCGGTCTCGTGATACTTATGACTGTGAAAATTCTCAAAAGTTGGAGTATCACTAATCATCTATTTTCTACTTTAAATAGTTTTTTCACCAACTTTTTTTGCAAATAATTATCAACTAATGTCATTTGTAGCAGGAGGTGCAGACTGTTCTGTTAATGGGAATGTCTTGGCCCAATTTAATAAACATACTCAACAAGATAGATCATTACAAAGACAAACTGGTAACCAAGGACAATTTACTAATCAAGGTGGATTCAAAAATGATAATTTAATGAACCAAATGGATAGACAAAACATGGAGAAGTTCATGAATGGAGGTAATTCAAGTTTCCAATTTCAACCTATGCAACATGAGTTAAATATGATCCAGAATCAAAATCAGAATCAAAATCAAAAACCTATGAATCAATCCAATAATTGGTCCAGTGAATTCCAAACCCATTCCCCATCCCCAGTATCAGCTCATCAAACCATCAATCAAGTTCAAAATTCAAACTGGTCGTCAGAATATCAAACGAGTCCTCAATTGGGTTCAAGTAATGGTGTTATGGATAGATCCAATCAATATTCTAATATGCCCATGAGAATGAATTACCGTCCTATGATGGGTATGTCCATGATGAATGGGGGTATGCAAAATGCCCAACAACAGCAACAACCAAAGGAAATGACCCAAGATCAACAAGTTGATTGGGATGATCAATTTAAACAAATCGAAGAATTAGCATCTGAAGAGAAAGAAGTAGAAGAAATTCAAAGAGAAGCTTCTCCTGATATAGTTATTGATGATAAATATCAAGCCACTTTCCAAGAAGTTTGGGATAATTTAAATAATGAAGTTTTCGAAAATGATTTCATTAATCAGCAATATGAAGATTTCAAAAGTACTCAAAGAGAAAACTTGCCTGCTGATGTCGAACAATGGGAAAGGGATTTTGCCAAATATGCTTCTACAAGAGCTCACTTTGGTGAATATAAATTCGAAGATAAGGCCAATAATCAATTTTTGGATTTACCAAAAGATCAAGATCCTTATGAAATTGGTTTACAATTGATGGAAAATGGTGCTAAATTATCCGAAGCCGCATTAGCGTTCGAAGCTGCTATCCAACAAAATGAAAATCATGTTGATGCATGGTTGAAATTAGGAGAAGTTCAAACTCAAAATGAAAAAGAGTTTGCTGGTGTTTCAGCTTTAGAGAAATGTTTGGAATTAAATCCTGAAAACTCTCAAGCTTTAATGACTTTAGCTATTTCTTATATTAATGAAGGTTATGATAATGCTGCTTTTGCTACTTTGGAAAGATGGATATCCACTAAATACCCCCAAATCGTTGATAAAGCAAGACAAGAAAACCCTGCTATCTCTGATGAAGATAGATTCTCATTGAATAAAAGAGTTACAGAATTATTTTTAAAAGCCGCTCAAATATCGCCCAATCAAGCCAATATGGATTCTGATGTTCAATTGGGTTTAGGGGTACTATTCTATGCTAATGAAGATTTCGATAAAACCATTGATTGTTTTAAAGCTGCTTTATCTATAAGACCAGAAGACCCTGTTTTATGGAATAGATTAGGAGCTTCCTTAGCAAATTCCAATAGATCAGAAGAAGCTGTTGATGCTTATTTCAAGGCTTTGGAGTTGAAACCAACTTTTGTAAGAGCTAGATATAATTTGGGAGTGTCGTGTATTAATATTGGATGTTATAAAGAAGCTGCTGAACATTTATTAAGTGGTTTATCAATGCATCAAGTGGAGGGTGAAAATATGACTTTATCCCATAATCAATCGACTGCCTTAACTGAAACATTAAAGCGCTCGTTTATTGCTATGGAAAGAAGGGATTTGTTGGAATTGGTTAAACCTGGTATGGATTTGAATCAATTCAGAGGTGAATTCAACTTCTAGTAAATAAGAAAAAACTTTTAACGAAATATATATTATCCTTATAATAAACCTAATTTTTCCATTCTAACATGGACTGCATTTCTATGAGCTTCTAATCCTTCAACAGCAGCGATGGTCATGACAGCTTTACCAATACTCTTTAAACCTTCTTCAGTAACTTCTTGAGAGGTAATGAATTTTTGGAAAGTTGCTGTATTAACACCAGAATATTGTCTGGCATAACCATAAGTTGGTAAAGTGTGGTTAGTACCACTTGAATAATCACCACAGGATTCTGGTGATAATTTACCCACAAACACTGAACCAGCATTTTCAACATATTGTGGTACAAAGCTAGAAGCTTTTTCTATTTGTAAAATTAAATGTTCTGGTGCATAATCATTAGATAATTTGAAAGCTTCTTCATAAGTATCAACCAATAAAGTGTAAGAGTGAGCCAAACACTTAGCAACAATTTCCTTTCTTGGTAATACTTCGGATTGTCTAATGACAGCTTCTTCAATTTCTGCTAATTTCTTGTCAGATAAACCAACACCAATTAAAATAACTTGAGAATCAATACCATGTTCAGCTTGAGATAATAAATCACTAGCAACAAAATCAGCATCAGCTTTATCATCAGCGATAACCAAAACTTCAGAAGGACCAGCTGGCATATCAATTGAACATAAAGCTTGAGTATCATTTTGAACGTGCATCTTAGCAGCAGTGACGAATTGATTACCAGGACCTAAGATTTTATCACATTTGATAACACTTTCAGTACCATAAGCCATGGCAGTGACAGCTTGAGCACCACCAGCCATAACAATACATTGAGCACCTAATTTGTGAGCTACGTAAACAACTTCAGGAGTCAATTTACCAGTTGATCTTGAAGGTGGTGAAGCAATAATAATATTTTTACAACCAGCAACTTTAGCAGGAACTCCCAACATCATAGCAGTTGATGGTAAGACTGCAGTACCTCCAGGGACATACAAACCAACATTTTCAATTGGTTTGGCAAATCTGGAACAGATAACACCAGGACTTGTTTCAACGCTCATGATTTCCTCTTTTGGTAATTGAGCCGCATGGAATTTTTCAATATTAGACATTGATAAATCAATAGCTTCCTTCATATCTTCGGAAATATCCATTAAATCTGGAGGGAATGGGGCGTTTAAGATTGGTGATGATAATTTCACACCATCGAATTTTTCGGTTAATTCGATTAATGCTTTATCACCATTCTTTTGCACATTTTCAACAATAGGTAATACTAATTTCATAATATCAGAAGTCTTTTGATTTGGTCTAGTTAAAGCTTTGGCAATATCTTCTTTGGAGGCAGTTTTGACTTCCAATGTAGTTAATTTATAATCTAAAACAGGTTCTTCTTTGGTTGTTTCCTTTGGTTTTTCTGCATAAGCAGGTTTAGCGTCACCTTTACGTCTAGTAACTTTCAAGTCTTTGATGTCCAAGTTCTTTTCTATGTCACTTAATCTAACATCATTCTTGATACACCAAGTCATGATGAAATAAATTAAATCAGCAGCCTCCCAAGCAATTTCATCTTTATCGTTAGATTGACCAGCTTCGATTAATTCATCTAATTCTTCCTTCAATTTGGCAATCAATAATTTTTCATCATTGAATAATCTCTTGGTGTAGGAGCCTTCTGGGGCGTTGACTTTCCTTTGAGCTAAAGTATTATCCAATCTAGGTAAACCTTTAGCAATAGATCCACTATATAATTGATTATCATTAAAACAAGTGAAATTCTTGTCTAAGTGACAGAAACCAGTACCTTGTTTTTGTTCAACAATGAATTTTACAACATCGTTATCACAATCTTTGGATAAATGAACCAATTTTTGAGTAGCACCACTGGTTTTACCTTTGTACCACAATTCGGTAGTACGTTTACGGGATTGGTAAACTCCTTCATCAGTGGCAATGGATTCTTCAATAGATGCTTTAGAAGAATAAACAATACCCAAAGCGGTATAGCTAGGAGCTGGTGAAGTAATCAAAGTAGTAAAAAGTCCATCTGGTCTGTCAGTAGTCAAAGTACTTGTGAATAATTTACCAATGGAAATTTTAGAAGTATCAGATCTTGATTTGGTTAATTTCTTGGTAGCTAAGATTGGAGTGAATCCCGACTTTATGGCTTCAATGGCGGCTTGTTCATCTTCAATACCTTCAATATATACAATTCTGTTATCGTTCTTGCCAGTATCGATTTCTTTCTCAACTATGAAAGAACTATCTAATTGACTGAATATACTGAAATCTTTGGATTTGATACCAAATCTATAGCTTGGTAAACCGGCTTGTTCAATCAATTCTTCAACTTGTTCACCGTTAATGAAAATGGTTCTAACACCAACATTTAATAATTCAACGGTTTTATCTACTGAGATTTTTGACTCAGTTGCATCGATGAAAACTTCAGTTTCTTGTGGAATTTTCGATAAATAAAACTTGGTGACTTTATCATCAGTGTATGGAATTAATACTTTTCCAACAACCTTGAACTGTTCGATGTCCTTATCATTCAAAGACTCAACCAATGGTAATAATGGGAAAGTCATAGTGATTCTCAAATCGATTTTTTCTCAAATTGAGTCATCGCGGCTGCAAAAATATTGCATGTTTTAGTATATCACTCAACGTTGAAAGAGTCATAAATGTTTATTGAAGTTGTAAGAATCATAATTTAGAGCTTTGATCATTATCGTCTTCGTCTTCGTCATCTTCGTCTTCGTCGTCGTTGTCATCCTCACCGTTGATGACGTCGTAAACCGCCAGTTCCATTCTAAAATATCCCAATAAAGATTGTGGATCAGCCATTGGTAACACTTGGGATCCCCAAAACCCACCAATTTGATTGTCAAAGTCAATCCAGTAGTATAAATTAGCTAATCCACTCCAATAAAGAGTTCCTTTGGGTCTTCCCGTGGCAATATCTTCTCCTGTTACTGCCATTCCGCAGAATGAAAATCCGTCAGGAAGATCAGGCAACCCGGGGATATCCAAAGTAACTGTCATTCCATCAGGTAAATGATTCTTCAAAGCATATTTAGCCAAATCAGAATTCACAATTTGAACTTGAGAATCAGGAGAAAATCCATAATTCAACCACATTCTAATGAATTTTAAATAATCCTCCACTGTTCCAAAACATCCTTGACCTCCCATATCGATTTTAGGATCCAAAATTAATGATTTGGAATAGTTTACCAATTCTCCACTACGGGTTCTTCTCTGAACGATAATCAAATTTTCTGTGGTTTTCATATGAAAGGTACAAGACTTCATACCAATCTTGTCAAATACAGCTCTTTTCAAATATTCACCCAACTTTTCACCAGTAATGTTTTCAATCACTAAACCCACCCAGTCAATACTATGGCCATAAGTGAACCTAGCTCCCGGTTCGCTTATCAAAGGCATTTTATCGATGGAAAATAACTCTTTTGTGGGGTTTCCTGAATGTAAATTGGGGTTCTTTTTAAATGCTAAATACCCATACTCTTGATTCAAAAAGGGGTATGAGAATCCAGCTGTTTGAGTCAACAAATGTTTGATTGTAACCTTAGTTTTGGGTTCTCTTGGAGGTTTCAAAAATTCACCTGTTTTCTCATCCACCGTACCTTTGTCAACTATCCAGATCTTTTCGATATCAGGTAAGAATTTACGAACTTCATCGTCAAAATTGACCTTTCCTTGATCTACTAAGGTCAATAAACCTAGGGCAGTAATTGCTTTGGTACAAGAATAATAGCAAAATACTGTATCTTTAGTTACTGGTTCTTTAGTCTTTAAATCTAATACACCTTTGAAGTCATAATAAACTGTCGATTTTTCATTAGTGAGTCCAACCACTACACCCGGGACCTTGGGTTGTTTTCTACCTGAACTCTTGGTGACATTGGTGATAAGTTTGTCGAATTTGCCACTAATCTTTTTCAATTGATCGTTGTCTAACATTTGCAGCTTGAACTTTCATCTGATTGAGAAGTTGGGGTTTCCGAATATGAAAGGCAATTTTCAACCACGGCCAATTCAAATTCGGCCAATTCGGCCTCGTCATAACAATTTCGTTGCATTGATACTTTGGCCACTCGTGTTCACTATCATACTACAAAGTCTTCATAGACACATTTTAAGGTAGACAAAAATAATAGTTGCAAAAAAATGATTCTACCGAGGATCGAACTCGGGATCTTCTCCGTATTTATCTTGCGATTGTAAAGGAGACGTCATAGCCGCTAGACCATAGAACCACTTACTGATGGAATGTCGGAACAATAATTTATGAACAAACCCTAAGCGGAGTTAACCGGCTTTAACGAATTATAGAATTTACTGTCAGTAAACCAGAGTTAGGTTACTGTAAGGCCTTACAGTCCAAAGGATCCTTCAGCATAGATAAAAAAAACATGGAAATTTTAGCAATTTTTAGTAGATTCGACCAAACCATCACAAATGAAATTAACAACTTACATTCCGAACCGGAATGAAATTGAAGAAAAGAGTCGAAAAATTTAGCTGAAGTCGACTGGACAGTGGCTTATGTTTGACAATAGTATTGGACCTTTGCGACGCTCTGCTTCCAACCAAATCATTTAAACAAAACAAAATGCACATCAGAGCAAGAACCGTCTGAATGATGCATCTCCTGCAACTCCACATAAGATATCTGCACCATTCTAGGACCTTCCACCAAAGAAGATTCCACGAATTTTGACATCTGATTTGGGGCATCCCATCCTTGAAGAAGCGCAATTTTTTAGATAACAATATAAACAAACAACAATAAAACTTTGATTGTCCGTATCCAAGTAAAGTTATTGGATGACTTGCTATCTTATCATAGACTGTTTATCTTATCTCTTGATGTTATCTTTTTCAATGATTTGATATGGGCCGTCTATTGGCTAGGATTATCGTTTATTATCTGGATTGCGATTAAGAGATAAGGAATGGTCTAAAATCTCGGAAACCAACCTAAAGTTATCTAAAATCAGGGTCCAACGGATAATCGTTCCTTCATTACCAAAGGATAAACAGCATTTTTGTATGAGATTACTCATCGAATAAGAATGAATTCTGATAATCCGTGGAAACTGTGGGCACTATGAGCACTCAAACTGATAAGGCTCAAACCAATATGACAGCCACACTAAAGGCCCCCCTGATTAGGAGGCAAATATCTTAATATAGCAAGAAAATACTTCTATTTGATGACCGTATCTTCCTGAAGGAGAAAGTCAAGGAGAAAGTCCTTTAAAGTCCTCGATAATTCTCCTTATCGGAAAGCACTTCTATTGAGAGGCTCCAAATTTGTTATCGCATATAAAGAAACTCATGGAATATATATGAGAGTGAAGACAAAAATACATACATAGACAATTCTAAAGTTTAGATCCTTTGACGAAGCTAACACCTTGATCAATAGATTTCTTCAATCCATCTAATGCAACTTCGATCAATTTTTGTTCTTTGTTGGTGATAGTTAAGTCTTCAAAAGGATCAACAAAAGATTCAACTTCACCATTTTTTAAAGCAACTGGTACTGAAAAGAATTCAACGCCATTCAATTTCTTAGATACTAGTAATTCACCTTTTTGGAACCCTGGTAAGTAAATGAAAGCCGAGTCTGGAATATAAGTTGAATTGAAAGTTGATGAGAAGAATGATTGTAAGATGTTTTCAGCAAATCTATAACCAGCATAAGCCATTGATAAAGTAGCTGAACCTGCACCGTTCTTAGCTTTCACTACTTCATCACCACCGAATTGAACTCTATGAATGAACTCGTCGTAAGTTTTATCGGAGAAGTTAGAAACTTTATCACTAATTGATTTGGTGATGTTGACTAAAGGAATGATAGTATCACCAGAATGACCACCAATGACTGATATCTTACCTTTGACACTATTTGGAGATTCTCCAATTAATTGACCTAAGAATGTTTCGGCTCTAACAGAATCTAATGTTGTGACACCGAATAATTTTTTGGGGTTGAAAACACCAAATTTCTTCAAAACTTCTGCTGCTATTGGGACGGTTGAATTAACAGGATTGGAAATGATTAAAATAGAAGCATCTGGGCATGTTAAAGCAATATTTTTAGTTAAATCTCTAATGATAGAAGCATTTATATTGAATAAATCGGCTCTGGTCATACCAGGTTTTCTAGGAACACCTGCTGGGATGATAACTAAATTTGATCCAGCTAAAGCTGTTCTAATAGCCAGTTGATCGGATTTATCCTTTGGTTGATAGCCTGTCACTACTGCATTACTGTTAATATGACTTAAATCTGCTGCAACTCCGAAAACATTAACGATATCATAAAGTGCTAATTCATCGATTAAGTTGTTGGTTTTTAATAATAATGATAATGGTTGTCCAATACCACCGGCGGCTCCACAAACAGTTACTTTCATTCTTGTTTAGTTTGACTTGTTTATTTTACTTCTTCTAATATAAAAGTTCGATATAAATCTTTGATCAAAATTATTAACTGATAAAATATTTCATATGATTCATACTCGGTTCAAAATGTGGAGCAAGAGTCACCTGAGGACCGGCTAATCTAACCCTGTGACTTACGGCATGTGTTTCACGTGATGAGTTTGTTTTTTAGATTTTAACAGTATTGTAGGTGGTAATATGGATAATCCAAGTATAGAGTTGTTGGTCATCGACTTTAGAGCTAGGATAGATAGATATTGAATGATATAATCATCGTTGCTATTTTTGAAAATTGCCCTTCTAGTGGTTTGACGTCTAAATGAGGTATCAGCAGTCATATTGCTATCATGACATATAAATCTCAAGTACATGTCTAATAAAGCGATTTCTTCTCTTCCATAACTTTCCCATCTCTTTATCCTGAAGCCTTAGAAACTTCAATTGACCAGCGCGAATTTTATCGATAAGATGAAGTTACTTAACATATTGATTAATACCTTGTTGATAGTACCATTGGTGAAATCATTCGACTGCTCAGTAGAAGAGTTGAAGAAGTACAATTTTGAAAAGATAAAAGGTACGCATACCATCAAAGTGGAAAAAGATACGCCACCAAGTAAGACAGAGATTACCTGGAATATAGGTGTATGTGAAGATATCAAGGATGTGGATGAATGTAAGGACAGTCAATTATGTGGATTGACTAAAGTGACAGTCGATAAAACTAGCATGATTTCTGAAATCATTAAGGTCGATAGTAAAAACTCCATCAAAATTTTGAAAAATAGTGGTAAACTGAATAATGAGAATGGTGTGTTAGTCAGTTATGAAGACTTTAAATGGGGTGATGAAACCATCAAGTCTGAATTGAAATTCATTTGTCCTTCAAAAGGTGACGAGGATAAATTGGACGAATTTGTTATAGATAAATGGGATAACAAGAATTTAAAATTATCAATGAAGACAAAATCTGCTTGTATTTCCAAGAAATCTGGTCATAAAGATAATAAGCATGAAGATACTGGTGATAGCTGGGGTTGGTTCACATGGATTTTCATCTTTTTTGTTTTATTCTTAAGTATTTATATTATCGGTGGTGCCTGGTTTCAATATAATAAAGGAAATTCAATTGATTTCCAAACCGCATTGAAAGAAGTTGTTGAAAATTTCGTAGAAGTTGTTAAAGGTTTACCTATCTTCATCAAAGAAATCGTTGAAAAGTTCACCGGTAATTCTAATAGAGGTGAATATAGCGCAGTTTAATTGATTCGATTTCCATTCGGAAACCCAAGACAATTTACCTATATTAAGATTCTTTTCCTTTCCATTTCACCATCTTTCGGTTTAACATACGAAGGTATCAGCACTCTTATGTAGGGTGGTAGTATTATATAGTTCAAATGTATGTGAAAAAAAAAAAATGAGACTCTGACTCCAGATGGGGAAAAGTGAGAATTCCAACTACCAAAATGACTAAAATAACGGAGAAGATCAAGGCAGTTGAAGGGAAATTCGTATCATTCGAATTCTTCCCTCCTAAAACTGACGCTGGGTTTAAAAATCTTTTGGCCCGTTTGAACAGAATGAAGGAATTAAATCCTTTATTCATTACTGTTACATGGGGAGCTGGAGGTTCAACTAATGAGAAATCTTTAGAGTTAGCATCTATTTGTCAAAAGAATTTAGGTATAACTACCGTCTTACATTTAACCTGTACAAACACTAATAAGGAAATCATTGATAATGCTTTAAGGTTGGCCAAAAAATTCGGTATCAGAAATATATTAGCTTTAAGAGGTGATCCACCAAGATCTGAAGAATATTGGACTCCGAATTGTGATTTCCAAAGTTCTATTGATTTAATCAAATATATCAGAGGTGAATATGATGATTATTTCTGTATTGGTGTTGCTGGGTATCCTGAAGGTCATGTTGATGGATCAGATACTTCAAATCAAAATCCGAAAAATGATATTCCATTTTTGGTGGAAAAAATTAAAGCCGGTGGTGATTTCATAATAACTCAATTATTTTATGATGTTGATAAATTCTTGTACTACAATGATTTATTACAACAACAACCAGAATTGAAAGATGTTTTGTTGATACCAGGTTTAATGCCAATAAATACTTTCAATACTTTCCATAAAGTATCCAAATTATCCCATGCTTCAATTCCTGATTCCATCATGGCCAAAATGGAAACTTTCAAAAGCAATGATGATGATGTCAAAGCCTATGGTATTGAAGTTTTGAATAATATCATCAATGTAATCCATGAAAAAGCTCCTAATGTTAAAGGTATTCATTTCTATACCATCAATTTGGAGAGAGTTGTAGCTTCTATCATAGAATCATCACCTATATTGAGTAACCAACCTGTGTTTGAATCCGATAATGAAGATGTAGAAGTTGAGAGTCATCAATTCACCAGAAGAAAGTCATCTGTAGAAGGCAGCGAAAGACCTATCGTTAGTAATTCACCAAAAGCTTTGATCGATATAAGTAAAGGGAAAGGTTTATTGGGTAAGGACGCTAATTGGGATGATTTTCCAAATGGGAGATTCGGTGACTCTAATTCCCCTGCGTATGGGGAAATCGATGGTTATGGTCCAAGTTTGAAACTTGACTCTCCTGAAAAAGCTATTGAATTCTGGGGTGAACCAAATTCTACCTTGGAATTAGCTCAAGTCTTCATTAATTACTTATCTGATAGAATTCCACAATTACCTTGGGTTGATACTCCATTGAGTATTGAAACCACCATCATTCAAGAACAATTATTTGAATTGAATTTGAGAGGGTGGTTTTCAACTGCTTCTCAACCTGCTACTAATGCTTGTCCTTCTAATGACAATGTCTTTGGATGGGGTCCAAGTAACGGTATCGTCTATCAAAAAGCATTCATTGAACTTTTTGTTCCGAAGAAAGATTGGGATAATAAAATCAAACCTTCTTTAAAGTACGAATTTGATAACAAGATCATGACTTATTTCATTGGTGATAAGAACGGATACATAGGATCGAATTTAGATGAAAATCATTCCAAAACCGCTGTAACTTGGGGTGTTTTCCCTTCAAAAGAGGTTTTACAACCAACATTGATTGATTTGGATTCTTTCAAAGCTTGGAATGAAGAAGCCTTCCTTTTATGGTTGGAATGGGCCAGATGTTATAAAAAGGCATCAAAGAGTTATACTTTCTTGAACTTTATCTATGACAACTATTATTTAGTAAGTTTGATTCATCATGATTTCACTCAAGAAGAAGCCATGTGGGAATCATTATTGAATGTTGAATAGCAAACAGCTTTTAAATTGTGATACTTTTTCACAATTTACAAAGAGTAAAAATAATGGGTATTTATTCCAGTATATATGATGTGTATGCTTAAAGTACCTGTAAATACATAAATAGACTTATAAATCAGGATTTTGTAAAATATTGATGGATTTCTCTAGTAAATTTGCGTTCAAGTTTTTTACTAAAGTTGAAGACTCATCAACACCTAAATATTGACATTGAGCTCTATTCAAGAGCAAAGTTCCGTTCTTGATCATTGTGCCTCTTTTAACAATTAACTTACCTCCTAACTTGATGGGGATAGGTAAATTAACACCAGATCTCAAAAAGGGTAATTTATCATTATATTCAAAGGCAAAACAGTAATTGTCTTTATTATCCTTCAAAGTCAATTTGTAGACGCTTTGATCGAATTGTTGTATTTGAGGGGTGTTAGCATCTTCATTTAAATTAACTTCTCTAATAATCCTAGAATTATTAAGTCTATCATCGCCAACTTCATTGGGGTCTTTAGCACCTTTCCAGGCTTCTAGTTTGGTGATTTTACTTTTGCTTATATCATCAATGTATATAATGTGGAATGCAGTTGGGTTTTGAAGGTAACTTTCCTTCTGACCAACATGATCTTTGGGATTGAAGAAGTTGGAATCTGGGGTATTCATATTGAAAAACTTCTTAAAGCGCGCTGGAGATATTGATCGGGTTAAGTGCCAATGTCTTTATTTGTAGGCGATGACGATGATGATATCCATACAGATGGTAATGTCGTGATCAACGATGGGGGAATTGTGGTGGAATTAAAGGATGATGCTGAAGAAGAGAACAACGTGATAGAAAATGGAGATGTTCAAGTGAGCAATGACAATGATACTGGAAAAGATACTGAAAAAGAGATTGATGATGATATAATTCATGAGGTGATACACGAAACCATAAATGAAATAGGCCTTAATTTAACTTTCAAATATCAACGAGAAATCGTCGATGATTTGTTGTCAAAAGACGGTTTGCTCATCCTAGGAAGAGGTTTGGGGTGGGAATTGATAGTTGCTAATATTCTTTACATCCTCAATTTGTCCAATATGAAAGACAAGTTGCCTAACCCACCGTCCAATCGTAAGAGTTTATTGATCGTTTTGAATGCTAATGAAGTGGAAAATGTCAAGTTACAGAAAGAACTACGAAATCTAGGCACAGAAATGATAATGATTACAGGTGAATCTACAGTTGCTGATAAGAGAAGACAAATTTATGATGAAGGAGGAATCGTTTCTGTCACTTCAAGAATATTGGTAGTCGATTTACTATCTGAAATATTATTACCTGAAGAAGTCAATGGGTTTTTTATTTTGCACAGTGAAAGGATTAAAGAGACCTCTAATGAATCTTTTATTGTCAACTTGTACAGAGATAGAAATCAATGGGGATGTATCAAAGCTTTTTCTGATGATCCTGAATCTTTCACGGGTTTCACTCCTTTGGCAACAAGATTGAAAAATTTGAAATTATCAACTACGTTTTTATGGCCAAGATTTCATGTTTCTGTATCGGAATCCCTAAGTTTCAGACATAAGAAGTATTCCAGAGATTTGAAGACTGTTAATGAGTACAAAATCAAGTTGACTTACAAGATGGTGAGAATTCAATCAGCCATAATAACGTGTCTTACTGAATGTTTAAAAGAACTAACGAGACATAACCAAACCTTGGCAACTGAGTACTGGGATATGGAAAATATCTATGATGTGGACTTTGTTCAGAGAATCAGATTATCCTTGGAGTCGCAATGGCATAGAGTATCGATTACTACCAAGTTGTTGATCTCCGATTTGTCCTTTTTGAAGGGTTTATTAAACAGCTTATTGACAAAAGATTGTGTGACTTTTTATCAGATAGTTCAAAGCGCTGTTGATAACAACATAAGACCATCTAAGTCCTTACATATTTCGTCCATGAGTCCATGGTTGAACTCTGATGTTGCTCCTACTATCATATCGTTTGCTAGAGAAAGAGCTTTGGGTATACATAATAATGAATACGTTTTGGAATCATTACCCAAATGGGATGAGTTGGAAACTTTGTTAAAGGATCTTGGTCCCAATAATGACAATAAGATATTGATTATGACTTCTAATGAAAGTAAGGAGATAATAGATAATTTTATTCATAATTTTAAGACAAGTGGTAAATTTTTCATCAGAAGATTTTTAGCCAGGAGAATCAATAGCTACATAGCATGGAAAGAAATAAGCAAATTTTCAAGGCAATTGAGTAATGCTGTTAATGATGAGCAAGATGAAGCTATCAATGTGTCTAAAACTTTTGTCAGAGACAGAGAGGTACATAGTAAGAGAAGAAGAACCCGGGGTGCAGCCTCAGTTTCGAACGTCGATAGATTATATGCTGCCAACGGTGATAGAAACCCTGAAGCTGCTGATATTGATGAAGAATTGTTGAATAAAATCGATGATGATATTGAGATAACAGGTGTTTACCCTGCTAATTTCGAACCATCAGAGGGGGGATTCATCAAAAGTGAAGTCAAGAAAGAATTTGATGACGACCTCCTGATAATAGAAGAGAGAAGGTACAATATAGTAGTTGAGTCTTATGGAACGAACGACGAACCTTTCCTTTTGGACACTCACAAACCAACACATATAATTTTATACGAGCCAGATTTATCTTTCATTAGAAGGATAGAAAATTACCAAGGATTGAACGAAAAGAATCCTGCCATAATTTATATGTTATATTATGGTGATTCAACAGACGAACATGAATATTTGACACATATGAAGAAAGAGAAAGAATCTTTCACCAGATTAATCAGAGAAAAAGCCAATCTCTCGAAACATTTTGAAACAAAGGAGGATACTAAATTCAAAATTACGAAAAACAATGTTGTTAATACCAGGATTGCCGGAGGACAACATTTCCAAACTGAAGATGATGAGTTCAGAGTTATTGTCGATGTGAGAGAATTCCGTTCCTCTTTGCCCAATTTATTGTATAGAGTTGGATGCAAGGTATTACCTTGTATGTTGACTGTTGGAGATTATATTTTGACACCGAAAATATGTGTTGAAAGGAAAGCAATTCCAGATTTGATTTCAAGTTTCAAAAGTGGTAGGTTATACAATCAATGTGAACAGATGTTTAGACATTATGAGATCCCAGTGTTGTTGATTGAATTTGATGAAAACAAATCATTTTCTTTTGAACCATTCAATGAACATAGACATCAGAGAAATATGAAGCCTATTACTTCGAAATTCTTACAAGATGACTTACAGAGCAAATTATCCATGTTGTTGGTATCATTTCCCAAATTGAAGATTATTTGGTCTTCTTCACCTTATGAAACGTCACAAATCTTCGTGGAGTTGAAATCTGGAGAATTACCACCTGATGTGAGTCTGGCTATCAGAAAAGGTTTAGACCCCAATGAAAATCCATCTTTAGTGAATGAAGAAGCTTTGGATATCTTGACCAGTATTCCTGGTGTTAATAATTCCAACGTTTACAGATTAATGAACTCAGTAAAGAACATAGAGGAGTTCGTTGATTTACCCAAGACAAAATTGATCGAATTGATGGGTGTAGAAAATGGGACCAAAGCCTATAATTTCATAAACCATAAAATTGGAATTCAATTCATTCCTGATACATAGTTTGACTATTAACTAGAATAATGTATAGTATATTGATGATATCATGATGTTAGTTCGACTTTCTAATAACTATATGTTTCTGCCGGAAATGATTCCACCTCATTCTATTGTTTTTTGCAACCAAAAAAGCCGATGCCATTGATACGACATATCAGGTCAGTTTACGACCAACAAAAAAGTGCAAGACTGTAAAGAATCTTCACAGAAGAAGTACCATCTCTTTAATTACAGAGTTTCAGCCACGTCATCTCTGTTGTGCCTGAAATATTTGATGCAAAAAATAGATGATGCAACAACAAAAATCGCGCAGTGTTTACATTTACTGCATTGGATTGATTTATCTGCATATCTTCACCACAAGTTCAATTCTACTTGAAAGCTGGCTATAAAGTCAAGAATTGGTTGTTAAATAATTATTGGTGGGGCATTTTTTTAAGAGGCATTTTCAGGAAACGGTAGCATTTTTATAGCATGAAGAAGAATATATCCAAAACAAGACAGAAAGAACTAGAATTCAAATTTCTTTATTTTAAACTCCAAAAATTGATTAACAAAAAGGTGATTATATCTTTGAAGTATGAACAGTTGAAGCAACCAGAAATTATTTTGACATTGATCAAACCCTTGACTGTCAGAATCATTGAATACGCTAATAGCAACAATCTTAATTATAGAATAACTAAGAGTAGTGACTTCAGAACTATGGTTGAAAACAAAATCTCCATCTTGACCATACATGTGTTATTGTTGATCAGGTATGAGTTATTGATACAATCCAAGAGGAACTTGATTATATATGATTTATTGATAACCAAAGCTATGGTTTGTGAATTATTAGCCATCAGATTGTTGAGAGAATATAAATCTTTTGACAGGGTTAATGTGTTGTTTGTTGATCCTTTGAAGAAGTTCAATACCATCGAATTATCAGTTTTATCTAAATCAAAGAAATTCTTGTCTCAACCCATCATTATTCAAATCTTAAATAAGTTCTATAATGGGGAATTAATGATTGATGCTAAAAAGGAAGATGATTATCATGAGCAAAGCCCTCTCATAAATGAGAACATCAGTAACTACAAGTATCAAAAGATTACATTGAGTAAGATTCATCACAGGTTGATCAATGTGCCAAAATATCAATCATTAGTAATTAATTTGAAGAATCTCTTCTTCACCTTCCTCCATATCTCCATCATTTTGAATCAACATACCAAGGGAATCCCACCTGCATTTCTTGAAATCCCATATATGTTGATGGGGATCAACTTTAATTATGAATTCTTCATGAAGATTTGGTATATCAATAATAGTTTTTTGAAAAAAATCGTTTGGTTCTATCTTGATTTTTTCATTGTATTATTGATAGATATCAATTTGATTTTGAAGTTTTTTGTGATTTTAGAGAAGTTCGACAATAAATTCTATTATGAAGTATTCAGTTTGTTATCGATTTTGATTATTCCTCGAAATTTGTCAATCTTTAACAATTACAGATTCTTCAATCTTATCATATTGAGTTTCAAAAATATGTTTTTGAATATGATTGGGTTGTTTTTCTTATTTTTATCAATAATTGTTGGATTTTACATTGCATTCATTTCCTTAAATTTTAATAGATCCAACTACCAAATTGCTTTTGATTTGTTACAGATCTTCTTCGGTTTCACCCCTGCGGTATGGACAAATTGGGACAGTTATCACAACCTTGGGAAATTCATTCAGATCATGTACCTTTTCATGAGTCAATTCATTATCTCATCAATCTTAGCTATTGTTTTATCAGAAGTATTCTCCAATGTTTCTGTTAACATCAAAGAAGATTTTGAATATTTCAGAACTGTCAATTTGATTATTTATTTCCAAACGTCAAAATTATCCATCAAAAATTTTACCAAATACCCCATACTTGTTGTAATTTTTATCTATGAATCCATAAGTTCACATTTCAGTCATGAAACGGACGATAAGTCATTCACATTTATCGATAAAGAAGAATTCTATAATGATCAAGAGTTGATGAATTTGGATAACGATGATGATTCAAGTGTGTTCATAAAATCAAGAAAAGCCTCGAGTCAAAATCCTTTCGCTTTACAACCAGTGATTTCGAATATTGTTCCATCAATGGCATCAAGAAGATACAGTCAAGTTGATAATAATCAATTTGTTCAAAGTCCAGTTATCGGACCCTCTACTACTGCAGCTATTAATTCAGGAAATCCCTCGGTACCTGTTGGAGACACCCCAGGATTATTACCAGTACAATCAATATCCACTTTGGGAAACTTTAAGAGTGCTTCGACAGATTCTCTTTTCATCGACGACATTTTGTCAAAGAAATACGGGTCAAATTTGATTAAAACTAGAACCAAAAAAGAGGTCGATCTTTCCATCATCATCGATAAGTTGAACAATTTGGAAGATAAAATTGATAAGTTTGAACATGTGAATGAGCAAGATGTCAATCAAACCATTTTGAACGACATTGAAAATGATTCTAGCTCCATTAACTTATACAATATAGTGGAAACATCTTTTGATGGACAATCAATAAATTCAGAAGAGTTAAGCGATGATACATATTAACGGTTAGGTAACTTTGACAGATTTTCCTAGGTACACCTTCTTTAGTTCAAACTGCAATCACATGTCACAAATGTTTTTTTATAGAATATACTTTAACCACTAACGAATCGCAAAGATATTGAGTGCCTTAATTGGATACGACCTCTTGATATCCTCACTACGGAAATTTTTACCTCAAACGAAATTTGTAATTGTTCGGTGATAATTGGATGCGGATCTCATCACTGAATTTTTCACTGTGAAAATAAAAATCTCAGTGATTTCTCCAAAAAAAACTTGAATATTCCAACATAAGAAAAATATTAAAGTTATACATAATAGAGTAATAGATAATAAAATGGAAGGAATAGAAGAAATCAGAATTGGAGGAAGAAAATCACATTTAGCTATAGTTCAAAGTGAAATAGTTAAAGACTTGATTGAAAAAAATTATTCACAATATAAATGTTCAATCACAGCATTAAATACTTTAGCTGATGATAATTTGGACAAAGCATTATACACATTTGGTGGTAAACCAGTATGGACACAAGAATTAGAAAATTTATTAACCAAAGATGTTGGAGATTTCAAACAAATAGATTTAATCGTTCATTCGTTAAAAGACTTACCGACCAACTTACCTGAAGATTTTGAATTAGGGGCCATTACAAAAAGGGAAGATCCAAGGGATGCTATAATTATGAAAGCTGGCAGTACTTACAAATCGTTAAAAGATTTACCCGATGGTTCAGTTGTCGGTACTTCATCGATTAGAAGATCTGCTCAATTATTGGAAAAATACCCTAACTTGAAATTTGAAAGTGTTAGAGGAAATCTTGAAACAAGACTCAGAAAATTGGATAATGATAACAAATATGAATGTATAATATTAGCAGCTGCAGGTTTAATAAGAATTGGAGCAGATCATAGAATTACCAAATGTTTAGATAGTGATGAAATGTTTTATAGTGTTGGGCAAGGTGCTTTAGGAATTGAAATAAGGAAAAATGATCATAAAATAAAGGAAATCTTATCAAAAGTCAACCACTTATCTACAAGTTATAGATGTTTGCTGGAAAGATCCTTAATGAGATTCTTGGAAGGTGGATGTTCTGTGCCTTTGGGAGTTATAAGTGAATTTAATGAATCAACAAATGATTTAAAATTAAAAGCCAAAGTTGTTTCTGTTGACGGTCAACAATGTGTAGAATGTGAATTAAATAAAACAATCACCAACAATCAAGATTGTGAAGATTTAGGTGTTGAATTGGGTAAAAAAATGATTGAAAACGGTGTCAAAAAGATATTAGATGAGATCGACTACGAAAATATCAATCAAAATCCAAATAGATCTTAAGAGTAAATATGATCTTAAGAATAAATAGTCAATAATGTATATATCACACCACGTAACTATGAGCCAATAACTAAGGACCAATTACTTTAACCAATTAACCTTGATTATGGTATGATATTACTTAATCATTCAATGATTATGTAATCTTAGGCTTTTCTTTTTTCGTTCAGAATCATTTCCTGTAATACCATGGCTCGTACCGCATAGGGACCATTGGGGGGCGGGAACGGTAGTAAAAGAAAAAGTTTTGCGAATATCGGATCGTTTTCTGCTAAACGATAAATACGATGAGAACGAGAATATAAATAATTAATTTTCTACTCGCTTTATCCATAATATTGTATTTTTGAGTAAAAAAGGATTTAATCACATAATCTAAAGTTTACCATGGATATTTTATTAGAAGCAAGTGACTACTATGTCTTTGACAAGGTTTATGCAAAGTTATTACCAAAAACCAACAATAATTTAACTGTCTATGATTCTAACTATAATTTCGGTAATACTTTTAATTTGATCTCAAGTCAGTTGAGTAAACTTCAAACCATCGATGAAGTCTATGGAATGCCAAAAGTATTCCCAGCTACTGAATTTATCGATGCTTCATGGTTATGTAGATCAAATATTGTTAGAGAATTTCTCACAATGACAGTTTTATTAACAATCGCTGGGTGGTTAGCTTATTTCTCCGTTGCTACATTAGCTTATTTCACTATCTTTGATAAAAAAATATTCAATCATCCAAGATACTTGAAAAATCAAATTTCATTAGAAATTCACAGAGCTTTCACTGCTATCCCAGTGATGGTTTTATTAACAGTTCCTTTAGTATTATTAGAATTAAAAGGTTATTCAAAATTACATGGTAGTTTAAGTGATGTCTTTGATGATAAAAAATTATTAATTTTCCAATCTATTTCATTTATTATGTTTACTGATTGTGGTATTTACTTCATCCACAGATGGTTACATGTTCCATGGGTTTATAAATTATTACATAAACCTCATCATAAATGGATTGTTTGTACACCATTTGCTTCACATGCTTTCCATCCTGTTGATGGTTGGTTCCAATCATTACCTTACCATTTATATCCTTTACTTTTCCCACTTCATAAGGTTTTATATTTGGGTTTATTCACTTTTGTTAACTTCTGGACAGTCATGATCCATGATGGAGCTTATTTCTCCAATGATCCAGTTGTCAATGGTACTGCTTGTCACACTGTTCATCACTTATATTTCAATTATAATTACGGTCAATTCACTACCTTATGGGATAGATTAGGTAGAAGTTATAGAAGACCTGACGATTCTTTATTTATCAGAAACAATAAAGAAGAGAAAAAACAATGGGACGATCAAGTCAAAGGAATGGAAGAAATCAGAATTGTTTTAGAAGGTAAGGACGATAGATCTTATTCTTGAGAGTATTTCATTTAATTTATGTAGTATGAAATTATGTATGATGTGTCAAATACTGCTGCTCTATTAACGTGTGAAATTGTCGAATAACTAGAGATTTTCGAACTAGACCTGTTCTCTTTTAGTTTTTCTCCTTGAACTCTCTTTGAATGACGAAGTTCTATAAAATTGACTGATAAGAATAAGTGCGAAGTATGTCAAGCTCCATTCTAACCTTGGGTCCCTACAAACATCGTAAGGACTTGACCAGAGAAAGTGTCTTATCCAAGTATGAAATTTTAGGATATATAGCTGCTGGTACCTATGGAAAAGTTTATAAAGCACAAGGGAAATTGAAAGAAAAACGTAAAAATGAGGAAGACTCGATTCCATCCAAATTGTATGCCATCAAGAAGTTCAAAATAGAAAGTAATATAAAACCCAATTTGATGGACAATGAAGTAATCAATTATACGGGTATCAGTCAGAGTGCCATAAGGGAGATGTCATTATGTAAAGAATTGAACCATAAAAATGTAATTAATTTAATTGACATCATTTTGGAAAACAAATCAATCTATATGATTTTGGAATACTGTGAACATGACTTGTTACAAATCATTCATTATCACTCCCATCCGGAGGTTAAACCAATTCCTATCAAAAATGTGAAATCATTAGTGTGGCAAATATTGAATGGAGTTTTGTATTTGCATAAAAACTGGATATTCCATAGAGATTTGAAACCCGCAAATATCATGGTCACAGAATCAGGAGTAGTGAAGATAGGTGATTTGGGATTGGCTAGAAAATTTAATAATCCACTACAGAGCTTATATACTGGTGATAAAGTGGTCGTTACTATTTGGTACAGAGCGCCTGAATTACTAATGGGAGCGAGATATTATACCCCCGCAATTGACTTATGGGCTGTGGGATGTATATTAGCTGAATTGCTTAGTCTCAGACCAATCTTCAAAGGTGAAGAAGCAAAATTTGACATAAACAACAAAAAGACAGTGCCTTTCCAAAAAAATCAATTTTTGAAAATTATCGATATTTTGGGAATACCCAACTCGACCAACTGGCCAAGCTTATCCAAATATCCAGAATACTATTCATTCCAACAAATGGTTGCTGGAAATAGTAATTTGAACACTACAAATAATCTCCTCAATTGGTATAAGTTGATCGGAGGTAATAATAAAGCATGTTTCAATTTGTTACAAGATTTGTTACATTATGATCCCAATAAAAGGGTGACTGCAGATAATGCTTTGGTACACGATTTCTTCTCCGAACAGCCAAAAACCCTTATTGATAATGCGTTTGATGGGTTGAATTTGAAGTACCCGAAAAGAAGGATTTTCACCGATGACAATGATATTATACTGAATTCAGGTAGGAAAGTATTTAATGATAGTAGAAAGAAAGTTAGACAAATATAGATTTTTTTTTTCCTCTAATTTTCAACTATTTTGTGGAATTCACAGATCTAACAATACTCAAATTTCAAGTAAGGAAATAAAATTAAAAAAAAAAAATAATACCAATCAGCCTAGAAATACAAATAAGAGGAAAATAATCACCCAATTTCATTTGAAGATCCAACCCATCTCGTTTGAAAGGTATAAAAGGGAGTTGATTACAAGAAGAAACCTCTCAGTTGCAAAAAAATCGCGTTATGGAAGTAATCTATAGTGGAAATTATTCTATAGTCAAGAAGTCGGATGATAAGGCCATAAAAATAGTGGACAAGGATTTCAGTATACCTCCACATGATATATATAGAGAAATAAGGCTTGTGAGATCCTTGAAACATGATAAAATCATAGAAATACTAAATGTGGAAGAGAAATTTGACGATATCTTGATATATATGAAATATTACCCTTTCAATTTGTATGATTGGGCATTAAGTAAAAGCAAGAAACGGAGTAGGTTCATTGATGGAGAGATAACATATTCCATTCAAAATCAATTGACTGAGGTGATGAGAGAATCAGTTATTTCACAAATCATCGAGAGCATTAAATACATTCATGATCATGGTATAATTCATAGAGATATTAAACCAAGCAACTTTTTGGTTGATGTGGCTGGAGATCAAGTTAATGTAATTATTTGTGACTTCAGTATTCTGATAGAAGAGAGTAATAATGATATGATTCATGATGTATGCTCAACTTATTATAAGTCTTTGGAACTTATATTTGCATTGGACTACGGTAAAGAGATCGACATATGGTCTTTAGGAATTCTTATCAGTTTTCTATATTCTAAAAACTGTAAGCCGTTGACTTGGAACGAAGAAATGACAGATTTTCAATTAATCAAGGTAATATTCGATAGCTTTGGCATACCGAATAAAACACCAGGAACTAATTATTGGCCCGAAATTTTTGATATAGATACATTCAAATTGATAAATTTGAAACCCAGAGAAAGAGATCAGAAGTTCAATTGTGACGATGACTCAAAGGTTGAGCTATTCAATAACATATGTCACCTCAACCCTAAACAAAGATTGGACGCCAAAGAAATTGATTTGGCCTGGAGAAGTATAATCCAAGGTTGAAGTTACAAAATATATAGAAAACCCCCTGCAATGTTCGTTCATATGCCAATTCTGTGATATTCTCTAGGTCAGAAAAAATAATTTAGTGAAAGAGTTCCACCTTTTTGACACACAAAGATATGTAATCATAGTTTCAGAATTCCTTATGTAGCATACTGGTGCTAAAACCGATAAGAAAATAAATGGATATGGGCAGGAATAAAATGCATATTCACAATCAATGCGAAATTCTCCACATTATGGTTTCTATAAACTTACGACCAAAAGATGAGTTAAGTAATATAAACTATGATTTATTGGCGAAGAAGTACCAGATGTATAAATACTACCCTAAATACTTTCACAATGAGGAACTCAAAACTCCCGATATCAAAGAAATGATAATAGATAAACCGATTTACTCTTCTGCCAATGAACATTTAGATGATTATGTCAATCCAGGGGTCATGAAAATATATGAAACAGAATTAGATTTAGACAGTGGGAAGTTAACTATTACAAAGGAAAGGAAAGAGAAGAGAAAGGAGAAAAGAGAAGAGAAGATAGCAGAAAGGGCAGAAAGAAGAGAAGAAAGAGAAGAGAAACGAAAAGAAAAACGGGAAGAGAGAAAAGAAAGACGAGAGAGCCGTAGCGAAAAAGGAAACAAAGACGAAAGAAAACTTGAAAGGAAAAGAGAAAGACAGGAGAATAAATGTAAGCTAGTAGAGAGAAGAAAATTGATCGAAAGCAAGGAGAAACCAGGAGTTGTTTTTAAAAACCCATTTGGTAATGAGCCACTACATAAGTTGTCCACCACATATTCAAATGAAACCAACATAACTAACTTTACTAACTACACCCAAATAAGTATGGGAAGCAATGAAAGGAAAAATAGCATTACGTCAAGATTGGTAAATCTTCTATCTAATACAAGCGACGATTACGATTTAGAGAGAACAAATAGTTTTGATCAAACTAAGAGTAACATGACCAAGGGAAGAAAAAGACTCTTTAGTAAAAAGAGATACAGTGATCAAATAGGTACGTATTTACTAACCAAATTAGCAGTCTGATAGTAGAGATCAAAACACCAGATCGAGAAATGGAAGAACACTCGGTTGAAGCAACAGTAAAGTTTAAGGTTATGCGAATGAAATTATGTGATTTTGGGAACTTGGGAATTTAATTTTTTGGTCTTGGTTATATGATTATATTAAATATGGTACAATATTGCTAACACCTGTTGTTGGGAAGTTTCTGGTAGTATTTTGGTCTGTCAATGATCTAAGCATCGTTCAATGATTCGAGGTAGTGCACCGACTAAAATGTGGGGAATTATAATAAGTTCGCAGTCATTCAAGACGGTGAGAAATTTTCCCAATCAACAGTGTTACCAAATCTATTCAATTCTATATTATTGAGATACTGAATTGAATTGATCAACCCATAGACTACAAAAACCAAAAAGTACCTTTTAAAAATCTTTAATTCATAGTATTCTAACCAAAACTTACGATAAATCACAACTTATCAATCCATTCCTTGTTTGTTTAGTTTTTTGATATTTGAAATTATTGAATCAAAACTGTGGTATTTTTACTATTGACTAATAATTTGATATAATTGTGTTCTACTTAATAAAAGATTGATGACTAATGAGTATAGAAATCATAACTGAACAAGTGCATAATGGGTATAATGATGAATTATCTACCATTCAATATACCCAATCTCAAATGGTTGGTCATGGATCATTTGGGGTTGTTTTCCAAACGAAAATTTTACCCATGAATAAAGTGATGGCAATAAAACGTGTCTTGCAAGATAAGAGATTCAAAAATAGAGAACTTCAAATTATGAAGTTGATTCATCATAGAAATATTGTAGATTTGCAATATTATTTCTTCAAGAATAATGAAAAGAATGAATTATATTTGAATTTGATTTTAGAATTTGTTCCTGAAACTTTATACAAAGCATCACATTACTATGTTTCTAAGAGATTGTCCATGCCCCTTTTAGAAATTAAATTATACAGTTATCAAATGTTCAGAGCATTAAACTTTATTCATATTCAAGGTATTTGTCATCGAGATATAAAACCTCAAAATTTATTGATCAATCCATTTACAGGTGAATTAAAATTATGTGATTTTGGTAGTGCCAAGATTTTAAACCCTAATGAACCTAACGTCAGTTACATTTGTTCGAGATATTATAGAGCTCCAGAATTAATTTTTGGATCTATCAATTATACAACTAAGATTGATATTTGGTCAGCTGGTTGTGTAATCGCTGAATTGATTTTGGGTCAACCATTATTCCCTGGTGAAAGTGGTATTGATCAATTAGTTGAAATAATTAAGATCTTGGGAACCCCTACAAAAGATCAAATTAAGCATATGAATCCAAATTATATGGACCATAAATTCCCTTCAATTAAGCCAATTCCATTAAATAAAATTTTCAAAAAGATTCCACCTGATTTTATTTCCTTCTTATCGAAGATTTTACAGTATAATCCTTTGGAAAGATTGAATTCTTTTGATTGTTTATTAGACCCATATTTCAATGAATTGAAATTTGAAAACACCAAATTACCAAATTTCAGGAAATTATTCGATAATAATAATCAAGATGAAGAATTGAAGTTATTACCTGAATTATTTGATTTCAGTGCTATTGAATTATCAGGTTATCCTCATTTAAATGGTCAATTAGTTCCTAATTGGGCTCATGATAGATTGAAGATTAATTGTCCTTTAGATCAATTTGTACCTTTAAAACCTGAAGAAGTCAAAATCAATCAACTATAATGAATAATGTTAAGATTAGAGTTGTATTATAGATCCTAATGAATAAATTCTAGTTCATCTCAAATGCGCATAAAAATCCGTACACCAACCTCTTGGAGAAATTCTCAAAATTCTCAAATCTCATTTTCCAATCAAATTGAAGAATGGCATCAAAGTATACTAAACATGGTCTTGCTGCCATGCCTCACGTCCATCCAGGATTTAAATGGACCTCCAAATTATTAGGTGCTACCATGTGGTTCTGGATATTTTACAGAATAAACAAAGAAGGTCCAGTCATGTTCGGTTTCAAGAAACCTTTTGAACATCATCATTAAGAAGTTAAATAGAACTATAGCAATAAATATTTATTCATATTTCAAACATGTCTTCCAGGGAGATTAAGTGGATTGGTATACGAGACAGTAAAGAATTCATGATTAATCAGGTTTCAAAGTATAAATCATTATAAGCTAAGGAAGGGGATTATTGTAGAGATGAATTTATTTATTCATCGTATCAAGGACGGTGATAAATTCACATATATTCCTATATTCGTGGCATCTCTGTTTCCTATATGTTGATACCAAATCCATGGCATCCTATGATACCTTCTATAATCTCTTGTTCCAATTTCAAGGTCTATAATCCACTATCTAAAACCTCTACCTCTAACAGCTCTACCTCTGCCTCTACCTCTTCCCCTCCCTCTTCTGCTTCTGTTCTTGAACTCTTTCATTTCAAAATCGTCATCATCGTCAGTGTCGTTATCAATTTTGAAATTGAAGTCAAATCCAAAACTATTGCAGTTCTTCAAGTTGACTTTCCCATCAGCCAAATTCAAGGTAAGGAAGTTGAATTCATTGTTAATTTTAAAATCACAAAGGTTGAAATGCCACAAATTATAAAAGTTTTCAAAATATAACTCATTGATTTTCGAAATTGATTCATTTGTACTGATTTTATCTTTCAAACTCAAAGAGATAATTTTATTGGAGTTAATTATGGGTATTTTATCAAAAATTTCGAGTCCAATCTCCAAGTTGTTGATCAAATCTTCATCATTGTTACAATAGCTTATTAAATCTTTTTGAATTATCTTGAAAAATTCACCAAATTTAATCCTGAACTTAGAGAACTTAAGCTTGAAGTTTTCAATGGAATTAAGAAAACTCATTTCATTACCGATAATAGGGAATTTGAAATGTAAACTTGAACTTACAGTGAAATTAGCATTTGTTATCATGGCCAAGTATTCTAGTATTGGTGTCTTCATAATGGAATTGTAACACACAAAAAAATTGATGGTACTTTTATTGTGATAATTCGATTGATAGAATTCACTTATTTGAAGTAAGTTTATCCATAACTCACCAAATTCACCTGAAATCAAGTTATCGTATCTACCTTCATAACCCATAATATCGTTTTCCTCATTGATATCCCCATTATTGAACAATTTTATGAATTTGAACTTTCCACTGATTCCATAGATCTTGATATCTGGTTCATTAGGTTGGGTTATAATATAATTATGTAAGTGATCGATCAAGAATAAATTAGGGATTACCAATTGACCAGTTTGAATCTTTCTGATGATTCGAGGATCATCCATAGGTCCGAATATTGTATAAACCGGCTTTTCAAATCCTTTGAAATTATCCAAATACTCAAAGTAAGGTAGAATCTTATTCTTCATCGATTGAATTACCTCTTGTGAAGGAATTTGGTTGATTAAAATGACTTCATTAATTTCGTCGACAATGTTGGAAGGAATTATAGTCAGAAATGATATCAATTGTTTAAGATAATTGAAATCACAATTCAATATCGTTTCAACATCCCAGAATCCGAAATTACCACTATGTATTATGATACCTTCTCCATATTCGATCTCTGACCAATTACCTTGAATATCAGCTAATAACTTAATGTCAATCATTTTTGGTCGAAGATCCTTTATCTCTTATGTTAATTGAGTATTTTTCAGCCTTTTAATAGCTTTTATAGTAAATTTAACAAAGTTTTAAACTGTTACGTCAATAGATAAATTAGGCTGCAACCCCTAATTAATTCGCACTCTCGTGTTTCAGTTTAAACATTAAGCATATCTGAAACCGATAGATTTCACATCAGACGCAGAGGGGTGAGATTGAAAGAAGGGGGAACTATCTGAACCTTAATAATTAATAGAGGGTGTGATTCATTGACAAAGTAGTTGATATTATCACTGAGATCATTAGAATTACAGTTCATCACCGCATTCAAAATAACCACCCAGGTCAAGACTTTCAGGCAGGAACTGATACCTTTGATACCCAATATGCTAGAACCAAGTGAGAGGCTAAGGAGCGCTATAGTTGAAGGGAATCTTTCCATTACAAAACGATTGTTATTCAGGTTTCCTGAACTTTGGTTGAATATAGATAACAAAAACGGTTGGAATAATCTACATTATAGTTCATATAATGGTAATTATTTGATTTGTTTCCATTTAATTTCTTTCATTAATCAATTTAAGGACGAGAATGAAGATTTGAATAACATACTTAACAATAGATTGGATATGTTAACTTTTGATAAGTTATCACCTTTGCATTTAACCATTATGAATGAGCATTTACAAACATTGCATTATTTATTAACCGAATTTCCTGGAAACTATTGGATAAATCATCAAGGAGGAGAATTGTTGCAAACGCCATTGCATTTTTGTTGCAGATTTGGATTCATTGAAGGGTTAAAGCTTTTACTTGAGAAAGGAGCAGATCACAATATTCTTGATAAAAACAAGAATAACTTATTGCATATATCATTTGAATTCGGGCAATTTGAATGTATCAAAGTATTCATTAACTTCCTATATCAGAAGGAAAATGGTGCCAAGCTTATCAAATCATTTGAGAATTCAAAGAATGAAAGAGGTTGGTTACCAATAGAATTGAGTAAGAATTTCAAATTAACAAAGTTATACAAGAGTTTCAAGTCAACATTGTTATCTTTGAGCAATTCATCATCATCTATTGTTGACGAGAATATCAACATTCCTGCTTATAGCAATTCGTCCTCGCTATTCAACAATGATGATGAATTCAGTATCAGTTCTAATAGTCCAAATAAGATTCTTGCATCACCTATTATGTCAGTGAATGAATTTAAAAGAGCTCATTCACAATCATTACCAACACAGATAGAACCACCTATAATAAGGCAAAGAGCAAACACGTCTATTGAAAGGCCACCTATTACTCCAACCTTACCTGTGACGCCAGTTTTGAAGAAAACTTCATCATTAAAATCATTGACAATATCACCTTCAATAAGATTGAATACTGAAAATGATCATATTGATTTAGATTCGACATCCTCATCAACAACCACGACAACCAATTCTTCTCCAATCAAAGCTCAATTCCCAATGATCAAGACAAAATCGTTCAAACTAGTGGAAACACCAGAATCTCCTTCATCGATAGCTGCAAAAATTGCATTCAGTTCATCGAGAAAGAATTCTGATTCCAAAAGTTTAGCCAATTCAATCAACTCAAAGTCAAGAAGTAATTCTGATTCCAAGTCCGAAAGGGATTTGAAGGAATCAAAAAATTCCTCTCCTAAAAAACATAAGAATTCAATCAACTCAATAAGTTTCAGTAGAATTAGATAGCGCGATAATGAGACATCCACCGATTTCGAAGTTCTTCTCTAGATCTAAGACCTCCCTGGCACCTGTGTTTCGTGAAGCTCCCAAACCCAAACCTCCTCCAGAAGATCCTATAATAATCGATGAAGAGCCTGAAGTACGGGTGGAAAAGAAAAAGAAACCTGCTGTGAAAAATGAAAACGCAAAAAAGTTAACTCCATTAGAGAAACAGATCTTAGAATTTAAAGGAAATCATCACGATAAGATTTTGGCAATACAAGTTGGGTATAAATACAAATTCTTCGGTGAAGATGCAAAGATTGTGTCAAAATTGATCAATATCATGTTGATTCCCAATGGTGATGACAGATTTGATTATTGTTCTATACCTGATAATAGGTTACACGTCCATTTAAAAAAGATTTTAGACTATGGCCACATAGTGGGGGTCGTAAAACAGACCCAATCGTCATTCGAAGCTAAGGGATTATTTCAAAGAGAATTGACGGGGATTTATAGCAAAGCTACATATATGAATGAAGAACTGAATGGTGAAATTGAAGGAAATGGTGATTATATACTGGCATTATATCATGAACAGCTGAATTACCATATGGTAACAGTCAAGCCAATAACAGGGGAAATAATTATTGATGACTTCATAGATAATGAGTTGAAGCAAGATCTTGAAACCAGGTTGAGTTACTTGAATCCTTCACAAGTGTTATTAGTGAATTGCGATTGCAAAGAGGGCCATAGTTGTGGATCTTTGATGAAGCTTTATTCCTGTAATATAATCAAGGGTGACGAGGGCTCTTTAAATGAGTTTTTACTGGACTACCCCAATATAGAAGAGTATTACCGTCTAAATTATGATGATAATACCATCAAATGCATTACCTCATTAATGAAATATCTAAAACTATTCAAGCTTGAATTGATTTTCACCATTACTTCCAACATATCTAACTTCAAGGATTCGAATACTATGATATTGTCACCTAATTTATTGAAAAATTTGGAGATTTTTGAAAATTCTAGTGATTTCACTTCAAAAGGTTCTTTGTTCTGGCTTTTGAATCACACCAATACGAAATTCGGTGAAAGACTTTTGATTAAATGGATTTTGAATCCTCTTACCAATAAAGTTCTCATCGAAGATAGATTGAACGCTATTGAAGATTTGAGTAAAGAATTCAATCATTTCTTCGATTGTCTCAAAAATAAAATCATTGGAATTGATTTGGAGAAGTTATTGATCAAAATCTACTATAACAAGATATCAACTGTTGAAGTACAAAAGTTCTTGTTCAAATTCAATGAAATCAAAAAAATTTTCAAGACTTTCGAACTGGAAGTTCATAGTTTATCAGATAAGTATAAGTCCAAGAGTTTGATTCTGATTTTCACCGCTATCAATGAAATATTTAATGATCTTGATATTGAGCATTATTACAATATGATATCAAAGAATTACTACGAAGACGATAATGAAATTACCAAATTCTTCGAGTTGAAATACCATGATTGGGATGAGATTTCTAATAAACTCAAGGATATAGACAATGTTCGTCAGGAAATTGAAGATGAAACAAAAGAAGTTGCTAAGGTGATAGGAAAACCAATAAAACTAGTCAAGAATTTGAATCAAGATAACCTTGTCGAAGTTCGAAACAGTTTACTCCCTAAAGTACCTGTAGATTGGATGAGAATCAATTCTACTAAGACCTTAACAAGATTCAGATCTCCCAAACTTCATAAATTGAACAATAGCTTGAACAGTGAACTAGATAAATTGAACTCTATTTGCCATCAATGTTTTGGAAAGTTTTTGGGTCTAATTAACAAGGAGTATTTTAAATTCAACCAAATTATCAAGAAATTATCCATATTTGACTGTTATTTATCACTATCAGCAGTGTCTAACCAATACCAATACAGAAGACCTACAATTTTATCTGAAGAGCAGAAAATTTCCATAAAGAGTTTCAAAAATCCCATCATCAGTTCATTGACCAATTTCATCCCTAACGACATTGACATATCTGTTGAACACAACAGAATCTCCATCATTACTGGTCCAAACATGGGTGGGAAATCCAGTTATATAAAATCGATTGGTATTTTAGTGATTATGGTTCAAATAGGTTGCTATCTTCCTTGTGAATCAGCCGAATTGAGTATATTCAATAACGTGTTCATCAGAATGGGATCCATTGATAACATACTAAAAGGACAATCCACTTTCATGATTGAAATGTTGGAGATGTTAAACATTCTTAACAATTTCGATGATAAGTCTTTAATCTTATTAGATGAAGTGGGAAAAGGTACGGGAACTATTGATGGGTACGTGATAGCATATAGTATCTTGAAATACTTTGCTCAACACGCTTTGAAACCTTTTATCTTATTCATTACTCATTTCCCACAATTAGGTGAATTATGTGATGAATTTAGAGATATGGGGAGCTTCCATATGGATTATGTGGTTGAAAATGATGAAGTTATTTTCTTATACAAGCTAGTAGAGGGCATTGTTGATTCATCTTACGGGTTAAATGTTGCCAAATTATCTGGGATTCCCAAAGGAATTATAGACAAGGCTAAAGACATTTCTAGAGAGGTTAGGTTGAACAATAATTTGAAGATGTTCTTACATGAAATTCATGAATTAAAGCATAACGACTGACCTATTCATTATCTAAATGGAAGAAGTCAATAACCAATTTATTGAATTCTTCTGGATTATCTAAATATATATGATGACCGGCGTCGGGAACCATTTCAAATGTCGACTCACCCCCTAATTGATTAATTTCTTCGCTTATAGCCATACCTCCTTTATCATTCATCCAATCTTTATCACCATATAACCATAACGTTCTTATTTGGTTATCGGTGAAGAATTGTGATAACTTTCTCTCTCCTAATGGTAATCTTGGTAAAATCTCATGATTGATCAATTTTGTTATAGCCAATTCACCTGAACCTTGGAATTGGTTGAAAATTGAATATGAATAGTAGTGGAGTTTCAAAATTAAGTCATGATTATCACCTTGGTCATCTTCATTAGAAGTCAAATTTTTGAACCTTTGAAAAGACCAGAAACTCAAGAATTTGGAAAACAAAGGACCAAATAATTGTAATAACTGGAAAGGGCTTATTTTCCATTCCCAAAGTTTTTTCAAAACAATATTTTTGGGGAACTTTGGTCTTCCTAACTTCTCCCACAATTTCTCCAACTCAGGATTTATTTCTTCATTTAATGGTTGAGCAGTAATCAACTCTCTTAAAGGATCACTTCCTAATTCATGATGATTAACCTGTAAGTTTTTATCATGGATGAGACTCATACTTGAGGATTCCGTACCCATTGGACTAACTATGATCAAATCTTTCACTTGATTCATGTTATACTTCATGAGGTAACAACACGACAAATAACCACCCATGGAATGACTAATTAGTTTAAAATGAGTCAAAGAATTTTTAATCCTCCATAATTCAATTCTATCGATGAACCAGTTTTCAATATTCAAAACTTGATTTATCTTGTCGAATTTATCAGTATAATCTTTCAACAATTCCTTAGGGAACTTTGGCCTAGAACTATTACCAAATCCAGGTAAGTCTATTACATGAATCTTCAACCATTTCTTGGATTTAATTAATGTTTCAAAGGTCTTAACGAAATAACCTGATGCTGCCATATAACCATGAATTATCACAATATGTTGGATATCTTGAGGATCTTTGTTTTCGTCTTTGGGAATGTTCTCTAATAAGAACTCATGAATAACATCACCATTGTCTAATTCACTATCAACGAAAGAACCTATTAAACCTGTAGAATAAACAGATTCAAAAGGTTTATTGATTTGTATATCTTCACTCAATATAGCTTTATACAATTCATACTCAATCATTAGATTCTTATACCTAGCTTCATGATAAGACTTTGAATCCACAGTTGGTTTCATTAAAGTGGACAGAGTTCCCCACCAGTCGGAGATCGATTGAGTGATTGTTATGTTCGTCATTGATAACGGTTGTGAGATCTTCTTATCGCTTTTTCACAAGCCTGCAAGCTTTTTGAACCACTACGACAAACGAGAGACATTACGACATTAATATCATATCTATATCCATTACTAAACACTATATCACAATCATCACATTAAAGAGGTAGATAATGAGGGTAATAAACTGTGAAATTTCCTTTTTAAACTGATGAATCTGACAATAAAAAAATAACATTATTACACCCCATTATGAAGAAAAGTTCTAAACCACTTAATTGATTCCAGAACTTTTATCAACTTCAGTGTAAGGAGGAGGATTGGCAGTATCATTGGTAGCACCATAGGTTGGGTTGGAAGTTCCACTTGGTTGTTGGTTGATGTAAGTATTGTGGTGATGGTGGTGGTGATGTTGTTCACTATTGACTGATTGAGGAGGAGTAGCTAAACCTCTTTCCAAATCATTTTGGTAAATGTAATAAACTTTGGAATGTTTTTCTACAGTGTATGGAGGGTATTTGGCAATAATATACCAACTATGTATCAATCCTGGAATATAACCCAAAACACATAATAAGATATTTATTAATGAATCCATGGTACAAATACCCCTTCTAATCCAAACAGGTAAAGGTGGGAATAATACTGAGATTATTATAAGGCAAAGATCTGATAAGCATCCACACATTTTTAATTGGTCGTTTTAAATTCTATAAGTTCTGTGAGTTTTTGAAACAAAGATGACACAGGGAAATCAATTAATATTTATAGATGAGAATTTTGATGATGCGAAAAATCGGAGGGCCGATGGATTTACAGGGTTTTAGAAGGGCCTTAAGAATATCCACCACCTGTTTCTTTTTACATGGTCCGGACGTAGGACGAATGGTGGAAAGATGGTGGTACAGTAATGGATGAATTGAACTTCACCGGTTATCAATCTATGTTATATGATTGATGGCTAAGATATAATAACTTTCCTCCTTCTCTATGGAAAACGGTTGATGAACTTTAAACTACACGATCAGCCCTTCAGAGGATCAAAAGGAAGGAAATTCGTCCTTCACTGCAAAAAGTTCTCTCTTCCGATACTTCAATCGGTTTCCCCAGACCATCCTCATAGAATTTGACAGTGCGAGTAAAATCAATGGCAAAATGATTTCCTTCAGTATAAATTATAATAACCAACTGAAGAAGGTCAGTATCAATAAGAATAAGACGGTCAGTGATCTCACAGAGTTGGGATGCTCCAAATTCAATCTCAACTATGGTGAATTGTATTATCAACAGAAAAAATTGAACAGTTTGGATGCTATCAAATATACCAATTTGATTAACAATAGTAAGTTAGTTCTTAAACCAATCGAATTGTCAGAGAAAGACGTTAACGTTAAGATTTTCAAACCTAACGGAGAGTCATTGATCAAGAAAATCTCCAATAAACTCACGATGAGTGACATATTAAAGGATTTAGGACTAAACGAAAATCATACTGTTTCAATACTAAATAAGTCATTACTGGGTGATTTCGGGATGTCACTAGGTAGTTTAATAGGAGAAAATAACAATGTTGTTATGAGAGTTAGTGAAGTGAAAGAAGATTCGGTTGAACAAAGGAAAATCGTAGAGCAACAGTTGAAGGCACAACAGATAAAGAACGAACAGTTGAGACAAAAGAGGGAGTTAGAAGAAGCTGAGAGAGAACAAAGATTAAGAGAAAGTAGAAAGAACGATATGGAAGTTGATGAACCTGTCAGATCTCCAGAACAGTCTGAGAATTCAGGTGTTGATTCCCAAGATGTAGATTCATTCCAAGAAGAGAAACTGGTCATACAGCCAACTGAACAACAATCAGCACCAGTTGAGACTCCAATACAAGAAACAACCTCCGATTACAATGAAACAGTCGAAGAAGACATTGCTATATACAAACCTAGCAGTACAAAGATATATGAGAACCCAGATGAAGATTATGAGTTCACAGCAAACCATGCAAAAATTTATCAACAGAGTATCAAATACAAGCAACCCACAAGAAAGGCAGCCACCATTCCTGAAAGTTATCATGTAAGGATCAGATTCCCAAATAAGTATCTATTGGAAATCAGGTTACCAAACACATCCAAATTTGGAGAATTGATCAAGAAGATTGATGAGAATTTGACCGATTCATTCAAATCCAATTATATATTGAAATTGAGTTACCCACCATTCACCAAAATATCCATAGATTTCACCACCAATAACAAATTATTGTCAGACTTGAAATTCGATGGTAAAATGATTCTTATTTGGGAATCGGAGAAGTCTGGTGATTATCTCGTAGAATCTAATGTTAAAGATTTTGATAGTTTGCCTGAGGTGAGATTAGAGAATATGAGGAGCAATTTACCCGACGAAGTTGTAAAAGTAAAGCAAGCAAAAGAAAGTTCTACTGGTAAGCCAAAAGATAAGAAAGTTCCTAAATGGTTAAAAATTGGGAAATGAACGTTTATTGTCTTAAATCATCTAAAATATTATTACATATTAATTTAATAGAATTATCATCAGTAGTGTTTTTAATGAGTCTTATTTTTGTCAACACTTTCCTATTTCTATCTTTAAGATCCTTGAATTCTTGGAACATCGTTATATAGTTTTCATAGAATTCTTGGTACGTCTTCAACTCTTTGATATACTGACTTCTTAATTCGTTATATTTTACATTATCATCGTCTTCCTCTGCTTCTTTTTTACAATCAACTAAATCATTTAACTTTTCAAGAAATTTATTGTTATTCTCCACCTTTTGGTTAAGTTCCGAAAGAAATTTCAAATCAAATTGTTTTATCTTGTAATCTTCTTTGACCGATACTGGTGGGACATCTTGGTAAATCTTTATGGGGTTATGGTCGTATCTCGAAGGGATCTTGAAATCATCCTTATATGTGGAGTTGATTCGAGGCTTTTCAGGTATTGAATTTTGGTAGTCGAGCTTGGGAATTCTATCGATTCTAGACAATGGCTCGAATCTAGGTTCAAGCCTCGATATATTTGATTCAGATTTTGGTCTGTCATGCATGGAATTGTCATATATTGGAGTTTCGAATCTAGATGATTGATATCTAGGTTTAGGTATGTCTGGTTGTTCGAATCTGGAAGTATTCACTCGAGGGATTGGTGATCTTCTACTAAAATCATCTTTATTTGTAACCCCCATATTTGAGTTAATGCTATAATTTGAACCTCCGAATCTGGACGAAGGTTCATAATTTGAATCAATATTATAAGGTTTGTCTCCCACAATCCGTGGTTCATTGAGTGGTTTAAGTCTATCAATTCTTCTGAATCTGTCAGTATACTCAGATATTGGACGAGAATAATCATTTTCTGAAGTCAAATTATCATATTTAATATCCGAATCTAGTTGTTTGTCATATTTGTTGAATAAACTGTCATTTATATCGGGTATAAATCTATCTCTTGGGACAGAACTAGATCTGGATCGATTGAATTGAGGTTCCTGATATACTTTTGGAGAATAACGGTATGATGAATTAGTGGTGGAGTCATTCAAATTAATAGAATTTATGGTGTGATTATAGTCAATGGTTGGTTCATTCAATATCGGTGAAGGAGGACCAAATAAATTTGTTATTGACTTGAACATAATTGTATTTATGTGTAAACGCGATTTGAATATTTTTACTTTTGCAACCTATCACATGATCAGTCACATGATATAATATAGTAGCCATCCCGCTAAAAAATTATTGTTTGGCATAAGATTCCGTAAAGTGAAAAATTTGAAAAATTTTAGAAAATAATTAGAATAACCGAAAAATCATTGAAAAAAAAAATGAAAAATGGCTTCAAAAACTGACGATAGTTATGTAGCTATTAGAAACATTCAGGGATAGAATTAATACCGAGAGATCTTGCATTAATGAAAAGGGTAAAAACCTTAAAGGGTTAGACTGAATATTTCCCATTAAAGTAACGGAAATACAAATTTTTCATTGATACAAGGTATTCGCCTTAAATTTGAACCTCTTACATTTTGTATGAACCCATTGATAATCGATTACCTTTACTATTAAGGAAATAATAACAAAAGTAATATCAATTAGGGTAAAGAAACTTTAGCCTAAGCTAAGCGTAAAGTAATTGTTAGACCATTTGATAATCGTAAGACACTTGCTATTAACAGATATATTAATTGTGTCATAAAAATTAAACTCAAAACATATACAATAAAACTTACCTATAAATAGATAATTGAATTATTCTTTTCCTTTGTAATTGCTAAGGTGATGAATAGATGATATAATGTATTTAGAGGCTATTAAAACCATAATGTAGTTAAATTATAATGAGCTTTGTTATAACAATCAAAGGAATTACTCAGTTTGACCAGAATGAAAACATTGAGTCTCGTCAACACTATTATGATAATTACAATAATCTCGATTATTTACCACAATGATTGTTGAATAATAGAAATAATAGTAGAAAATAATTTGCAATATATTGGTATTATAGTTTATTTGGACCTTAGTAGTAGTTAAGGTTTGGAAAGTTTGCGGAATAGGATTATACATCAACGGAAGTAATGTCGTAGATGTCGTAGAAACTTAATACTCACTACCGCATCGAATTTAACCGAATAGGGAATATTTAAGGTACCATCAAATATTATAGTTTGGTACCTTTTATTATGATTTGAAACAAAAAATTGGTGAAGAAATAAAGTTTTAGGAGTTGTTAAAGGCGAGTAAAGTATTTATTATATAGAGTTCTAAAGTTAAAATCTCTTCGAATGACCCCTTGAATGCCCGAGATACTGATTTGAGCATAACGCGGTTGAAAAAAAAGGTTCGAACCCCAAAAGGAAGGGAATAAACATCAAAACAAAAAAAATGAAAGGGGAAGTAGAGGCCATGTGAGGTGGTTTACTAACTCATAGAGTACGAGATATTGAGTGGCTGATAGTTGGGAGGGAAATTATTGGACCAATGATGTAATTACGGTAACCCCTTTTCACTCCTGCGGTTTCACCAGATTTCTCGAGGTGCATAATCAAGAAGGCATCTTTTCCACTCCTTTAACTTAAAACAGGTAAAAGATAGTAATAAAGCCATTCGATTGAATCAAATAATGGGATTCTAAACAATTGAACGTTGAAATGATAAGAATCATCAACATGTAACCATACTCTACGGTTTTTAATAATTTATTATTTTATTCGTTAAAAGTTATCCGATGATGGATATTATCAGGTAATAAAATCAACAAATAATAAAAAATTAAGGCTATTCATGAAAACTTAGGCTAATTGATTAATGGGCTAATGGTGAAAATATAGAAAACAGTAAGAGTAAGAGAACATATCGTGTAGATGAGTATATAAATATAAAATGCCATAAATCTAACGGTTTTTAACAATAGAAAGTAAATGGACAAAGGATTGTTAGGACTAAAAAGGAAATTATGTAATTGTTAATGTTGGTTATATACAGTCTAAGACCAACCAAAAGAGATATTTTCATGCACATTAAAAATAAGTAATTAGAGTTAAAGTTAAAGGCTAATATGGTGATAGACGAAGACATGTGCAAATTAGAAATGGAGGAGTCGATCAAATAGTAACTCTACAAAGGTGATTGATTGTTGTTGTAATAAATGAATGAAAAATTTGGTGCCTTAAATTGAGAAAATAAACAATCCTCTCATTAAAGAATGTACTTAGTTAGAATGTATAATCAATATAGATAAATATCGCCTATTAATTGATAAATTCACATTATCACCACTACTACGGTATGTAACAAATAAAAGAATGGAGACCCTCATTATGAGGCATTGGGCGAACATAAAGATTTTAGCCTCAATCGTTCGTCTCTTATCTCGTCTCATATTAACTTCTTACATTGAGAAAAATCTTTTCCACATGGGGTGTTAAAAGAATAGATTCTTGTCTGACAATTGAAACAATATTACATTCTCTGATAACTTCAACGTAAGTTGACTTAACTGTCTAACAATCCACACCTTTTAATGTCTCCTATTGACTCCTTAAAGGAGTTTTTTTTTTCAAAAAAAAAAAATAAAATTTTTGACGAGCAAAATTATATACCGGACGATATGTATCATGAGAACGATTTTTTTTTTTAAAAAACTGAATTTTTCAACAATTGTTGAAAATATAAAATACAATATTTATCCATTATCAACTATATTTTCAATTCAATTCTTTTTTTTTGTATATTAATTTGTTCAATTAAAAACACATTTTAAAAAGATTCACATTCTTTAAATAAAAGTTAATACCAAAAATTTTTCAATCATTTTAATCCCCATACATTTTTTTTTTTAGTTCTTGATATTTAATTCTTCTTATAATGTTTAAAATAACTAAATCATCAATTGATTTACCATTTCATCAATTTGAATATTCACAAAAATTATATAAAAGTGAAATCCTCAATCATGAAAAAGATTTAAAAGAATATGAAGAAATCTATCAACATTTGATTGATAATTGTAATAATAGTAATTTAAGACCAAATTTAGAATTATATCAACAACAACCATATATTAACTTTAACATTAGATTAAAGTTAATTGAATTCTTATTAAAAATGTCCATAAGATTAAAAATCTTACCCTTTGTATTCTTCAAAGCAGTTAAAATCTTTGATAGATATTGTTCAAAAAGAATAATATTATTGGATCAAAGTCAATTAATTATTACAACATGTCTTTGGATTGCATCTAAAATTCAAGGAGGTAATAATCATTTCATAAATTTAAATAACATTGATAAAATGTCAGATATTAAGACAATTAATGATTTAGGTTATGGATCAGGAGGGAAATTTTTAGGTCCAACAGAAAGATTCAGATTACCAAAATTACATGAATTAGTAAAATTATGTGGTAATAAATGTAAATATGATAATTCAATGTTTAAACAAATGGAATTACATATTTTAACCACATTAAATTGGAACTTTAATGATGCTTCAATTGATGATTTTATAATGAAATCTCAAGATTTTAATATCAACAATAATAATAATGAATTCTTTAAGATTAAAGAATACTTATCATATGTTTCATTATATTCCAATGAATTAATTGATGTTAATATAATTGATTTATCAAAAGTAATTGTTGATTTAATCAATGAAACTTTCAATTTGAATGAAAATCATTATTATTATCAAACATTAAATGGTCCATTAAATAATGATGATGAAGATTTCTTCATTGAAGGTGAAAAACCAATAGAGAATTATAAATTTGATTTAAATACTTATAAGTTCATTAAAAAGAATTTGATTAAAGCTATATTAAAATCATCAGATTTCTTATTACAATTATTCAATTCAAGAGGTCCCCAATTCTTATATAATCAAATGTTAATGAACTATAATGATCAATTCAATCAAATATCACAAAAAATCGAATGTCAAAAAATCGATTGTCAAAAATTCGAATCAAATGATTCTCCATCACAATGTAATGATTCATTCAGAAAAGATTTCATATCTTCTCAACCTCCTTCAATTCCTGTTCCATATCCACCATCAACTCCAACTGATGAATCTTTCATTTATAAACCAATTCCAATTCTGTCTCATTCATTAATTAAAAAATTTGATATTAAAATCAATACTAGTCATCAACATAATAATAGTACATTAAGTATTAATTCATCTCAAAGTATTAATACTTCAAACACTTCAATTTTCGATCTTGATTCCAGAAAATTCGGAGTTTATACTCCAGTTTCCGATGAAGATTCTCCAATTTATCATTTTAAATAGCATTTGTAAATATAGGTAGGCCTTTAAGTAAAAAATCTATTTTTAATTCTGGTACCTTTTTTTTCTTTCGTTCCACAGGGAAATTTTTACTACCATTGGGATGGTAGTATTTTGACATTTCATGGTACCATCGTTAGTACCATCCTTGGCACCAAGGAACGCGATTTCACGGCGATGCAAAATTTTTTTTTATAATAAAATCGCACTGCCAACAATAAAACAAATAATTGCTTCAATGATTCAACTACTTATATTTTTCATTCATTTAACTTCTATATTATGTGATCCTAACATGGGTGAACTAGAAGGAACTTGGAGTTCAAAATCAAACACAGTTTTCACAGGTCCAGGATTTTACGATCCTGTTGATGAATTATTGATTGAACCTGATTTACCTGGAATTTCTTATTCTTTTACAAAAGATGGTCATTATGAAGAAGCTTTATATAGAATCACCAGTAATCCAATAAATCATTCATGTCCTGTGGCAACCTTATCATATCAACATGGTACTTATGAATTATTATCAAATGGTTCATTGGTATTGACTCCTATAGCTGTTGATGGTAGACAATTATTAAGTGAACCTTGTGGATCTCAAACTAAAAATATGGCTACTAATTCCTTATATTCAAGATATGTTCAACCAACATGGTTCAAGACTTTCCAAGTTTATGTTGATGGTTATCAAGGTCGTTATACTTTGCAATTATTTCAATTTGATGGTTCAAAAATGCAACCTTTATATTTAGCTTATAAACCTCCTTTGATGTTACCAACTTATGCTTTAAATCCTACTGATAAAGCTTCAGAAACAAGTTCTACATTAAGAAAAAGAATTAAAAGATCGTTAGAGAATCAATTCAGAACTACTGCCATTAAAGACTTCAATACTTCAAATTTTGATTTTTACTATTATTTAGGTATCACCATATTAGGTGGTAGTGCTATAGTTGCATTCTTCCATTGATTATTTAAATACCATGCATTGTAGATTAGGATATATCGTTTGATTTACTTATCTCTAATTATTTCTTCGTCCAAATCTTCAATCTTCAACCGGTCTCTGCCCCCTATGTTAAAATGATCACTCCCTGATAAGATTTCGCATTCGCACTTGTCACCAAAGATCTTATAATGTCATGGTTTGGTAATTCTGTTAATACTCAAGAATTGGATTCTAAGATTGAAGAAGCAACTTCTGAATCAATTCCTAATGGAGAAATTGATATCGCTGTTGCTTTTGAAATCACAGATCTTATCAGAAGTAAAAAAATCCCTTCAAAAAATTGTATGAGATGTTTAAAGAAACGATTAATAGCCGTTCAAAATAATCCCAATTTATGTTTATCGATCTTAAAGTTGATAGAAGTTTGTGTTAAGAATGGTGGGTATCATTTCTTAGCAGAAATTTCTTCAAAGGAGTTCATGGACTATTTGGTAGAATCTGTATTTAAAAGAATTTATAATATCAAGGATTATAACGTAATCAATAGTGAAGCCAAATTATACGTAGGTAATTTTATTTTACAGTTAATTAGAAATTGGGCTTACTTCTTCAAAAATCAACCAGGATTAAATTATGTGGAAAGATGTTATGAAGAGTTAAAACATGAATATAAATTCCCTGATCTGGGTCCAAGTGAGAGTAATAATGAAGTATTTATTGATACAGAAACACCCGCTGATTGGGTTGATAATGATGAATGTATGATTTGCTACAGACCTTTCTCCATGATCAACAGGAAACATCATTGTAGATCATGTGGAGGAGTTTTCGATCAAGAACATTCATCTAAATCTTTACCTTTACCAAGTTTAGGGATAATGGAATCAGTTAGAGTATGTGATAACTGTTATTCTAAAGTGAAGAAGGAACCGAGAATGGAAGCAAGAAACCAACCTTCCAGTAATGAAAATGATGATGACGATTTAAAGAAAGCTATAGAATTAAGTTTAAGAGATTCCGGTCCACCTGTTCAACCTCCTCCAGTACAACCTCCTCCAACCACTCAACCATCAGAAGGTGATGAAGATGAAGAAATGAAAGCCGCTATTGCTGCTTCTTTGAAGGAATTTGAAAATCAAGAACGTTTATATAAAGCTCAAGGCCAAACTCAACCCATACAACCAGCTCAAACACAACCTCAACCTGATCATGACGAATTTTATGGTAACATTTTACCTACTTCCAATTTCCAATCAACTCCGAGTTTCCAATCACCAGGATTCCAATCACCAGGATTCCAATCTCCAAATTATCAATCGCCAAGTTTCCAACAACCAACCCCTTATGGACAACCTCAACAAGCTTCAGGTTCAATGACTCCTGTCCAACATATACAAAGTCACCAGACCCAGAATCAAGACTTGTCTCCTCAAGAAGAAGAATCTATCAATTTATACATCACATTAATCAACCAATTGAGAAATGATCCTTCTAAACAATCTGCAGTTTTAAGTGACAACAACTTGAATGAATTACATATAAAAGTTTTGAAATTAAAACCCAAATTGAATAAATCCTTGAGGATATCTATTGAAAACTATGAAAGCTTTGTTCTGTTGAATTCTAAAGTTTCGACCATAATGAGATTGTACGACCAATTCTTGGAGAATAAATTATCAGATGCTTATAATCATAACATGGGCTTCCAGAACTATCAATATACCGGCCAACAATTCTCAGGTCAACAGTTCACTGGAAAAAGAAACGAAGCGCAACCTTCTGGGTCAGCGCAATACAGCCAGGGTATCCAATATACTGGCATGGGGCAATACGGTCAAACGGAATCATTTAGCGGGTCTGGACCTCAATATACTGGTCAGAGCCAAAACGGATTTACCGCTAGAGATTCAGGGCCTCAATTTACTGGGGAAGAACCTTATAGTACAACGCAACCTCAATATACTGGGCAACCAACACAAGGTTATGCATCTGAGCCTCAATATGAGCAAAGTGAACCTCAATATGACGCTTATAAGTCAGAGTATGAACAAAAAGAGCAATACCAGTCTGAACCCCAGTATCCAGAACCACAATATGGGGAACCACAATATGGGTCACAATATGATTCTAAGAACCAATACGAATCAGAACCTCAGTACGAGTCAGAATCTCAATATGGCACCCAGAATTATCAATCACAACCACAAGAATCTGAACCTCAATATGGAAGTGAACCCCAATACGAATCTGAACCTCAGTATGGATCAGAACCACAATCTCCACAAAAACAGTCCGAACCACAACAATACGATTACCAATACCCTCAACCCACCAAGTCTAATGGATCACAAAAATACCAGTATCCTTCAGAACCAAAACCCACTACCCCAGTTTTCCCTTCGGTCCCCTCCGAACTCTCCAATATATCCCAATATCCCCCAGTTGAAAAACTCGGTGGTAAAGAAGGGTTCAGTAACCAAAATACTGGGGATGATGAATTGGAGTCTACCAAGTTGAAATACCCCCCCGTGGATGAAGTTGAAACCAGAATTGCTGAAGAACCCTTGATTGAATTATAGAAAATATAAGCGTATCTCATCTCAACCCTGAAAACTCATTCTTTCCTCGGCTTACTTGTCTTAACTCATCTCTTATCTTTCATTAAGACAAGAATATCAAAAAAGTCTTGATAATAAGTATAGATGTAACATTAGATTGAATAACGACCAATCGAAGCGGAATATTTTAATATGGTTATACAAAGCGTTATCGAAAAGAGTTACCTAATCGGGCGGTTATCTCATTCACCTTCCGTTTTAGGAAATTGGCATCTCCATATTGCCTTACAAGATATCAAATATATACTACATAACTAGCAATATCTATTCGGACAATGTATGTCATCTCCACTTATCACCTTTACAGATTAGGTATTAATGTTAGCGGGAATTTAACTTTTCAGTTTTGGGTCATTATATTCAAATCTGTATTGTTTCTTAATTAGTATTCTAACCAAAGTTCTGACACTAATTAAAACAACACATTATTAAACTGCTTAATACTAATGTTATTATTATGTTCATAGTATCATCATAACGTGGTTCTATAAACTCGCTTAACTCCTCGGACTAATGTCCTACCATCTCACGTTTAATCCTCGCTTGAAATTTGATATCTTATCAGATCCAATGAGGAAATGCTTATCAAAAAAAATTTTCGCATATAAAAACCAATGTAAATCCTGTAAAATAATATAGGCAGAATGAGTGATCCTGAATTACATGCTATAAAGTCCAACGTTCATGTTGATGACTTAAATGTTAAGTCTATATTATCAAACAGGGGGATCACTATTAATGTTGATCATGAAATAGATAGTGATGAAGCTATGATTTTGGCTTTAGGTTATAAGCAAGAATTTAAGAGAGAATTCAATTTATGGACTGTTTTTGCAGTATCATTTTCAGTTTTAGGTTTATTGCCTTCTATTGCTGCATGTTTAGATTATCAACAATTGGTTATTGGTGCCTCACCAGTTCCATGGATTTTAGCTATTATTTTCATTACTTCAGTGGCTTTATCAATGGCTGAAGTGGCTTCAGCTTTCCCAACAAGTAGTGGTACTCCTTATGCTGTAAGTCAATTGGCTCCTCCTTCAATTGCTCCAATTATGACTTGGTTAACTTGTTGGTCAAATTGGTTATGTCAAATTACTGGTTCTCCTTCAGTTAATTATTCTGGTGCCTCCTTAATGTTTGCTTTGGGTACTTATAATAATCCAAGTTTCCAACCAACTGTTGGTCAATCATATGCTTTAACTTTAGGTATTCAAATCGTTTGTAGTATTTTGACTTCTTTACCAACTAAATGGATTTCAAGAATTAATAGTGTAGGTACTATTTGTAATATTGCCTTCTTAGCTATCGTTTTCATTTTAATCTTAGCTTGTAACAAAAGACAAGAAATTTTTGCTGGTGATTCCGATTTCGGTTCAATTCCAAAATTCAATTCTAATGGTGAAGCCTGGGGGTTATATAATCAAACTGAATGGCCAACTGGTATTGCTATGTTAATGTCATTCTTAGGGGTTATCTGGGCCATGTCCGGTTATGATTCTCCTTTCCATTTATCAGAAGAATGTTCCAATGCCTCTTCTGCTGTTCCAAAAGCTATTGTTATGACAGCTGTTGGTGGTGGTGTTATTGGTTTCATGTTTATGTTGGCTATGTCTTATACTATTGTTTCTTTAGATTTAATCACTGAAGATCCTCAAAACTTAGGTCAACCTTTCGTTTCTTACTTAGCTCAAATTCTTGAAAAACCAATTGTCAATACCGCTACTGCTATGACTGTTATTGCTTCTTTCTTTATGGGTGAAAGTTGTATGGTCTCTGCTTCAAGAGTCACTTACGCTTATTCAAGAGATGGTTTATTCCCATTTTTCTCAGGGATTGGTGCCAAAGTTAACACTATCACCAAAACTCCTGTTAACGCCGTTTGGATCAACTTTGTTATTGGTCAATTATTATTATTATTAATGTTAGCTAATGACACTGCTGTTGGAGCTATTTTCTCAGTGGGTGGTATCGCTGGTTTCGTTTCATTTATCACTCCAATTATCTTCAAAATTACTTATAGTTATCACACCTTCAAAAGAGGTCCATTCCATTTAGGTAAATTCTCAAGACCTTTAGGTTTCTTAAGTGTTTCCTTTGTGGTGGTTATGATTCCAATCTTATGTTTCCCATATGTTAGAGGTGGTGATTTGACTTTAGATGCTATGAACTGGACTGCTGTGGTTTATTTCGGTCCAATGTTAATGGCTTTGGTTTATTTCTTAGTTGATGCTCATAAATGGTATAAAGGTCCAAAATCTAATTTGGACGAAGGTACTATAACTTATGCTGTCGATGGAATTCCAGAAGAATATGAAAAGGAATCCAAAGAAAAGCAAGATTCAAGTGATTAATGTATTAATAGGGTTTTGTTGAATCTCTGTATCTCTATTTTGAAGTTTATGACATCTAAACTCTCATCTACAAAAATCTGCAAAAAGAATAGAAAGTGTACAAAAAGAATAGAGAGTGCACAAAAAGAATAGAAATTTAAGTAGAAAATAATATTAATTAAATATTTAGACTATCTAAAAAAGAATGGTTTGTCCATTTTCATCGAAGAAACCACCAGTTTGAGCCAAAGTGAAAGTTTCAGCAAGATGGAGCATTTTACTGGCACTTTCTTCAGTAGTAATGAATCCTTCACTACCAACTTTAGCAGCAACATCAGCACCCATGTCCAGTAAAACGTAACCTGGATGTTGTAAGATTGTGATGGAATTCTTGACTAATTCATTATCACTACCTTTGTTTTCTTCAGCAATTTGTTTACCAAGATGGTTAACAGCAGCTTTAGAAGCACCATAAGCGTTACCACCTAAAACAAACCCACCAGTAGTACCAGCGACACTTGAAGTGATAATTACTTTTTTGGTAATACCATTATCTTTTTTGAATAAGTAAGGGTAAGCAGCTTTATAAGTTTTAGCAACACCTCCAACATTGATATTCAAAACATCTAAATATTGTTCAACATCATAGAGAGTAGAACTGTATAATGGATCTTCACCTAAAACTCCAGCGTTGGCGAAAAGGTAATCGATACCAGCTGGACTATATTGGTCAATCAATTTGAAAGCAGATTCGAATTTAGCATAAGAATCAGCCATATCGATTACAATGGTTTTAACTTTAGGATATTGTTTTTGAAGTTTATCAGCAGTTGATTGACTTCTAACACTTGCGATAATCAAGTTCTTTTCATCTTTGGATAATTGTTCAAGGATAGCTAAACCAATTCCTCTGTTAGCACCGGTAATTAAATAAGCAGCCATTTTTAAAATTTATTTGAAAGTTTTTAAGTAAGTATTTATGTTTTTAAGTTATTGAATAAACAACTAATGATTAATTCATGAATAAATCATCTAAATTTATAGTTTTCAGCCCTTTGCCCATCTTACAAACATCCCCTTAAGAGTTCGGAGTTGTTACTAACGTAAATTATGAGCCCGCGATTTGGATGATAAATCATGGATTTCTAATCTCAGCCGCAGGAAGGATAGCCGGATAACCAGAAGAAATTAGTAATTCGGCCGACAATTGATATGGTAAGCAGACAGTATTCTATAGATGTTTTGATGGGTACGGTGTCAGCTTTGTCATCATCGGGGAACTTCAAAGATAATTCATATGGAGTTAGTGTGTGGACTTCTTAATTATTGAAATTGTCAATAAAAGAATGTATTGATGGAGGCATGCCGTCGTGTAGGAATTTTTTGCTGGAGTATGATTAGAAGATTATAAAGCTGAAATTCAAAGTACTAGTATTTCTCTTTCCCCCCTTTTTTCGAAAATTACTTAATTTTGTGAAGGTTGATTATATTAGAGACTGACGAATCGATCAATAAGACTGATCATAGTGATGTAGTGAAAGGGTCAATAAAACTGGTGGATGGAGTTTGAACAGAAAACTCCGAGGCAAGGCTGAAAGTTTATGACCAAGAGTCAGTTACACCAACTATTACACGGACAAGTAATGGCGAATATAGATATCAGCTTGAGTGAGAGTATATGACTGGTATTGAATACCAAACTCTATTGCCAGGGATTGTTGAATGATTCTGATTGAAATTGCTTTCAACCAAGAACGATAAAAGCGTTCCAACCAAGAACAATTCTGGGTCGTAATAGAGTCGGTCCTTCCAAACCATCAAGCAAACCATTACACTATCCAAAAAATGTCACCTATATTTACACTATTTACAAGAATGTGATATTTAACCAAACAACGATGGGTCTAAGATCTTTAAGCTCCCCACTATGGATTTGAACACTTGTGTATCATGAGAATTATTGAAAGATACCAAAATATCAGTTTCAAACTTATCAAATCTGATCAAACCAATGAGAAAATTCTCGTATTCGACCATATAACTGTTTTCTTTCAAACTGTCGTACTTAAAAGGCTTCACATCATCGAAAATATCACTTAAATGAGTATTCAAAACTTCGTTTATCTCACCTTCAGGTTGTTCTAATAACTCTATAATGATATTTTGATCTTCATTGGCAGTGGATTTCTCTATCAAGAATACTTCTTGATTATCAGGAACTTGACGAAACTGCGATACATCGATTACTCCCGTTGGAAGATCAATTTCAATAGCACCACCAAAAATCTTCATGAAATCAATCGCGGTTTTTTTTCTCTCAAATCAACGATGAATATAAATAGAAGGACCATAATCTTATTTATAGTGATTTTAGTATCGTTGATTATCACTGGTAGATTATTCTTGAGTAGTCAGGATGATTTGATCTCCAATGAGAATATCTTAGGTATCACCAAATTAATTTCATCGGAGAATAATATCAAACAAGATGAATTATTGAATAAATTAACGAAGTTGAATAAACAATTGTTATCTAAACAAGAAGAGAGATTAATCAACTTGGAACAACAGAACAAGATGTTGTTGAACAAAATCAATCAATTAACAACGAAAAACTCCTTAAATAATGATGCCACTTTGAGAGAGAAATTGATCAGCCTTGTTCCATATGATTCCTCGATTAAATTTCCGGCTTATATTTGGCAAACTTGGAAACATGGATTGAATGATGAAAGATTCAATGCTTTATATAGACAAGGAGAAACTCAGTGGGCCATCAAAAATCCAGGTTTTGTTCATGAATTATTCAATGATGACACGGCTTATTCTGTTATCAAACATTTATATTCAGGTATACCTGAAATTATACATACTTATGAATTGTTACCTGAAGTCATTTTAAGAATGGATTTCTTCAGATATTTAATATTATTCGCTAAAGGAGGTATTTATGCTGATATTGATACTTATCCTTTACAACCTATACCTAATTGGATACCTGAAAATGTATCACCTAATGAACTTGGTATGATAATGGCTATTGAAATTGATAGTAAATCTAAAAATTGGGCCAATGATTATCATAGAAGATTGCAGTTTGGACAATTCATTGTTCAATCAAAGCCTGGACACCCAATTTTAAGAGAGGTTATTTCTAAAATTGTAGAAGAAACTTTACATCGTGAAAAATTAGAGAAACTTCAATTGGTAGGTAACTCTAATGAAAAACAATTGGAGATTTTGAAATGGACTGGATCAGGTATTTGGACTGATGTTATAATGAATTACTTTAATGATTATATTAAATCATCAATTTATAATAAAATTACATGGAAAGATTTCACTGACTTAAGTATACCAAAATTAGTCAGTGACATTTTAGTTTTACCTCAAAAATCTTTTGCTTCTGATATTGAAATTCCAAAAGATGGTAAAATTGAAGATCCTTTAGCGTTTGTTAAACATTATGCTTCCAAGATTTGGAAGACCACTTAGGGACTGGATTATTTAGTTCAATAATAGAATATTCTGACATATTATTTAGTTCTGCATGGACCGTTCTCTTTCACTCTTGCACACTTCCGTATCTAACACTTTGAATGGCAGTCAGCACTCAAAATGGGCTCGAATCAGCTTTATCTCTATTCCGTCTACTAGGTTTTCACTGTGTGAAGTCTCACTGCGCGAGACATATCAATCATGAAACACAGAATCACTATTCTTAACCATGAGTCCACCCATGACTCGATCATTTCTCATATCAATAAAACGTCGATTCAATTGACTTCCAACTTCACTCGTGAAGATAAATTCACCTTCGTGGGAGACGAGGTTCCAACGATTTTCAAGAACAAAAATATCAAAGATCTTAACATAAGAATGGGAAATGTCGATTCCTTGGTTTTCAATTACTTCACCGACGATTTGGAGGTCAATGTAAGACCTAATAGTAGTAAAGATAAGTTTTTTCAAGGAACATCGGATTTGTGGAAACTTTTGGGTATAAATAACGATTGGAGTATCTCCAAATCTTCAGTAATGACTAGACAAGATACCAGTGAACCTTTGAAGGATGTCATGAAGAAGATCATTGGTATGGATTTTGAAGCTATGAATTTGGTCTATACTTCTGGGAAGCTAATAATTAGTGTTCTCAATAAGGATGGTCCTAAACTGATCTCTTGGATGGATGACGTGTATACTGAGACTGGGATCTTCCTTATTGATGATTTTGAGGTCGATGACATAGTTTTGAGTGGTCTTAGAGTTATTATGGATGGGAATGAAAAGATAGAATCGGAACCTGAAACGGATGACACCAAATTCGACCATTTACATAAAACACTTTTCCATGTTAAACCCAAGTTTCGTACATTCCCTATAACCACCAAGTTCAACAACAATGGACTCCACCCTAAAATCCAATTCGAGTTCCCTGAGCCTCCTGTTGATGATGTTTCCGGATGTGACCGATTCTTCTATACTTCATTACCAAAAGATCTCTTCATTGATCCTTATAATCCAGGAGAAAACGTGGAGATAGTGGTCAACTATGGAGTGAAGGATTTGGAACTACCAGAATACTCTATAGATGAATGGGGTCACCAAGTTCTTGTCAGATTAACAGAAGATGTTGGTGAGTTGACTTTACATAGTAGATACCAATTACCTAACAAACATGGAAATCAAACAATCGATTTTAATGGTGTGGCCTTCTATGGTTGTGACTTAAGAGAAAGAAATATTCTTCAATTGAATCCATTCTATAATGAGTTCCTTGATGGTTACAGTAGCTTTTTCACCAACGATACTGTCATATATCAAGATTTCAAGAATTTCAAAGTAGATATACCTGTGCCACAATCTGAGTTCCATGATATAAACAACATAACTTTGATCACATTAGTATTAGGTATCCTAATTATCATTTTACAACTTTTAAAACCTAGAAAGAAAGAGAAGAGAGAAAAGAAACATCAATAAATTCCTCCATTTTTTTAATCTACAATATTTTTTAAATGATCATCAAACAGAATGATATCATAAACGAAAGTTTCATGGTCCCTCCAACCCTTTTTATTATACAAGTTAATTAGTTCATCAAAAATCTTGATGTTTTTGTCGATTTCGGTGCCAAAGTATTTATTTAAACCAGTTAAATCATTACTTTCATTACATTCATCGCTTTCATCTTCATCGATTAAATCATCCAATACCAGTAAATCATTAATATACTTTTGGAATGCTGCTTTGACTTTCATTAATCCCATCACCATCACTTTAGCATTATTAGCAATCTTATAAAAATTAACATTGGTATATATTTCCAACTTCATTTCATTGTAAATCTCCAGCAACGATGATTTTAAACTGGAATTATCATTTTTTAGCACCTGGTATACTTCCTTGTTCAGACGAGTTAAGTTTTGAAGATTTTGACTGAAAAAAAGTTCTTCAGTGAAAAATGTTTTCAAATCTTGTTTATAATGGAATATCGAAGGTATTAGCTGCTTCAACAGACTAACCATAATGTAAGTATCACGAGCTTGGATAAACCTCTGTTTAGATTCCGAATATCTCTCTTTGTATTGATATTCATCAAATGTATACTCATGGGTTCTTTCTCGATAGGATAACCCCCCGAAACTATGTCTATCTCTTGTAGGAATAGGTACTTCTTCTGAGTCTTGTGAGTAATTCATAGCAAAATCTTCATCATAAACACCCTCTACATCCAATCTCTGGTCCATAAAATCACTTTCATCAAAAGGCACCCCTTGATACTTATACTCATTTGTATCTCGTATTTGGGTAGAATTATCACTATTAAGATTTAATCCTACTTGCTCGACTAGTCTTGCACTCATCATAGTTTGTTGAACTAAACTCATGTATTTGAATCTGTAGGATCTAGATGTTTCAAATGTCTTTAGTAGGTTGTGTAGAACTTTCTTTGCCCAGTAGGTGAATCCAAGAAATGAGACTTCTCCACAATCTGATTAAGAACCCCGCGATAATTAAAGATCAATCATTTTGATCACTGGAAGGGGACAAAGGAAGCGAAGGATGAAATTTACCTAGAGGAAGATGATTTCGGCGATGGGTGGATAAATGGAGCTGGAGATGGAGGTATATGAAGTTAATTGTAAGGTTTTTAGGATTAAGGTTGCTAACAATAGCAATAATTGCGGAATCCAGATTTATTACGAGGGCTACAATAGCCTTGCGATAACGATGAGGTGAAGAGGTAAACATTATGGAGGGGTGGTACAGAATCTATGTATTTATGCTAAAGCGAAGCCTGGTTTATCTACCCCTCTATCTACACTGACCGGGCCCCGTACTTATACAAGTTATCTCACTATCAACTCTTCCACTTAGGAGAAGGTTGTTTTACTGATGAGTCTTCTACTTACTAAATCAAGTATATAATCCAGAACAGGTGATGTTCCGTAAACCCATTGGGTTCGTCGTGCCCACATACTCAATCTTATAATTCATCTTTAACAAATTGTGGCTCAGGAACCAAAACCTTATATTCAATGAACAAGTCCCCGAAATCATCATCAACTGGCATACCCTTACCTTTGATAACCTCAACTTCATTATTCAAAACCTGAACTCCTTTACTTCTTTCAATCACTATATCTTCATCACTATCGAAGAATCCAATCAGTCTTTTCCAACCTCCTTTAGTAGCTTCTGCTAAAGTTATTACTTCAGTTCTATATAAATTATTCCCAATTCTTCTATAACCAGAATTTTTGTTGTAATCTTCGAATAACTTAACCAAAATATCTCCAGGAACCCAATCAATATTTTCATCACCTTCATTTTCAATGACTACCATGTCTTCTCTTTTAGCACCTGGTTTGACATAAATATTGAATTTCTCGGATTTATTCACTACACCATTATCACATTTCTTACATTTATTGGTGATTTTGAATCTTTTTCCTTGACATTCATCACATTGAACTTGAAATTGTTGAAACATTCCTGGTCCAAATTGTTTCTTTACTAGAAGAATACCTTGACCTTGACATTTTCCACAAGTGTGTTGTTTACCATCACTTGATCCTGTACCTTTACAATGTTCACATAATCTATTCATATTTAATTCAAAATCTAGGTCCCTTCCAGTATAAAAATCACTTAAACCTAAGTTGATTCTGACTTGCTTGTGTTCACCTTTTCTCTTTTGATTTCTAGTATTACCTTGACGATTACCTCCAAAGAATTGGTTGAAAATATCACCCAAATCAATTCCTTCTTGGCCATTTGGATCGCCATAATTATCATAATTTTGTCTCTTTTCCTTATCACTTAACACATCATAAGCTTCACCAATCTCAATGAATTTTTCATGAGCGTCTTCATCGGAATTTTTATCAGGATGATACTGCTTACTTAATCTTCTATATGCTGCCTTGATAGTCTTATCATCAGCATTCTTATCCACATCTAAGATTTTATAGAAGTCTTTACAAACCACTAACAAAAGAAGGTAGAATATGAACTTCATTTAATACGGTGTCAGATCGAATGCGAACTTTCAAGATGGAGATTGTTACCTCATCAGCATCAACATTTTCTAACAATGTTGTTACCCATTTGTTCAACTATCAAGAGTCCTATATTCCATATAAGGCATTCAGAACCCCTGAACAATTAAGCTATAATGATTTAATGTTTCTTTCCCGATCTAAAATAGGTAAAAGAGTGAATTATTCACCTGGTTTGTTACTCTTTGATGTTAAAAATGGTCTTGGATCATTGAATAAATATGAATATTTCGAAAAAAATCCTGACACAGGGAACCTTGGGTTGGAGATCATTCATACCACTAATTCTGTCACCAAGAATGAGTACCAGAAAGGTCTTGATAATGGGGTTAATAGAAGTGAGATGTTAAATGATGAGAACATAAAGTATTGGAGTGATTTCAATAAACTTATTCACAAACCGGATAATCTTTTCGGCTTGAAATCATGGCAAGCCAATGGAAATGAAATTACCAATGTATCAACGCCGACAGTTTTATTCAAAAAGTTCGAAATGGGAGTGGATGAATTTAAGAAAGTTGAGGATGATGTAATTGAAAGTTATAGGAAATTACTTGAAGAAGCTGATTATTTCCAGGGAACTCAATTTTTCACCGATTTAGATAATTCTTGGGGTGGATTTACCAATGAAATGATACTGGCCATTAAAGATGAATTCTTCAATTATACTTCCAATAATAAATTCAACATGTGGACATTTGCATTCATGGATCCTCAAATTAACCTCAATAAACATGTCAATATGGAGAATAAGGTAACCAAGATTCGAGCATTGAACGAATTGAGTAAGAACTCCAGTCTTCTCATTCCTATGAATATCCCTTCAGGTTCAAATTGGAGATCTTCAAGTGAAATATCAGTATTAATAAATTCCGTTTGGGAAGTTTTGAACGATAAATCAAGTAATATGAATAAGATTGAATCAGACTTCATTAGTGAAAATAGAAATATCATCAATAAGGTGGAGCTAACCACCAAATCGACATCTCAAGATACTATCAATGAATACTATAAATCTTTGAACATAAGTGATAGAGGTTACGATATAATAGATTTAGGTGGAGATTCAAATGAAACCATACATTATGGATACAACAAAGATTCCAAACATGAATTCTGTTCACGTGAATTCGATAAAAATCTTGAAAACATCACTAAAATTGATACTTTCCCATCATATAAATATCAACCACAGAAAGTTAAATATTCTATTGATTCTTCCGTAGTTTATGATTTAAAACAACATATAGAGTTTATAAAAAGAAGCAGAATCGAAGATAAAGACGATTTATTGAACGATTTGTTCGATCTCAAGTATAGTTATCACGATTCACCTGATTTCGAATACGATTCTGATGAATAATTGCATTATATAAAGACATGTATATATTACCTAAATAGTCTTTTCAGTCAAATAAATACCGTAATCATCCTTTAAGGTTTTCATGATTGGATCATTGATTTCTGAAGTGTAAGGAGCTAATAAACCAACTTTAGATAAAGTACCATCTAAGATTTTTTGAGTAGCAACGGCACATGGAACACCAACTAATTTGGCCATGGATGAATAATCACCTGAACCAATTGGAGCACCAACATCAACTAAAGTAGAAGTTCTAGTTTCAGTTTCACCATTAGCCCATTCAATACCGAATTTATGTTGTAAGATAACTAAATCTTTTTCACCTTCTTCATATTGCATCAATTCTTCTAAAGTGGCACATAAGGTATCTAAAGGATTACCTTTTGGAATGATTTTGTTATCACTGAATAAACCTAACCATTTGAAACCTGATAAGATTCTTTCTTCATCACCTTCTTTGAAAGTAGCTAATGATTTGATTTTAGCAATTAATGATTTTTCATCAGCTTCAGTATTTAATAAAGCAGCTAAAGCATCTTTCCAAGAAATATCTTTGGTGAAGATTTCATTTTCAGCATCAGATAATAAACCTAAATCAACGAAAACTTTAATAAATTCAGGGAATCCTTGGAATCTTAAAGTACCTCTGATAACAGTTTCAGCTTCTGGAATACTGTAGAATTCTTTATAAGGAGTAGAATCTCTGTTTGGGTAACAAACTAAAGCATAACCTGGGAAGATATAATAAGGTTTAGCAGTAGCCATTAAATCTTCAGATTTAACATTGATGACATCACCATTTTCCCAATAACTAGCAGCATTTCTTAAAGCTAATAAAACTCCTCTTGAAGACCAAGAGAATTTATAACCTAAAGGATTATCTGAGTTTTCAGCTGATGGTAAACCACCACAGTATGATAAGAATGATTTAATTTTACCATTTTGAGCATGAACTTCTTCAATGGTTTTAATGGCATATAAATGATCAAGACCTGGATCTAAACCAATTTCATTCATAACGGTGATACCAGCATCGATAATTTCTTGTTCTAAAGCTTTTAATTGTGGGTTAATGTATGAAGTAGTAACAACATTCTTTTTGTTCTTAATAGCTGATTTAACAACTAAAACATGATAAATATAAGGAATTAAAGAGATGACTAAATCAACTTTACTAACTTCTTCATCTAAAGCAGTAGCATCAGTAACATCTAATGAAATAGCTGAAGCATTAGAACCAGCTAATTCTTTAGCTTTTTCTAATGTTCTACAAGCAACAATAACTTCAATACCTTCAGTTTTTGATAAGATATCAACTGTTGGTTTGGCAACGAATCCAGAACCTAATAATAAGACTTTTCTATTTTGTTAGTAATTGATATTTAAACAGTAGTGGTTTGAATGGAGGGGTGGGTTTTACATACTGAACCATTATAATCTAAGAGTGAAAAATTTCTATCGATCTTATCGCGGAATAAATCCTATGTAGCCAATGAGTCATTTTGATTGAGTATAATGATTTAGCGATGATGAAGAGGCAATTGTGTTATTTTGACCATATATTTGGATTGATTGGATGTTTGTTACTAAGAGGAGCTTTTTTCCGGTTGGAAAAGTAGATTTTTTGATTGCTTTCATATTGACAGTATGAAAGTCTTGATAAATACTAAGGGTAGTGAAGGGAGTCGAAATCTATGGAATTCTGCAGTTGTGACCCGATATTTGATAAGAATTACTCCTTAAAGTCAGAAATTCCACTATAAGAGAATATCACTCGAAGAGATAATCACTTTAAGAGAAAGGTTCACATAATTTCACGTACATTAAATCTAAAGAATACCATCAGCGATTAATTTGGCTTGGACTTCTAAGATGGATTCTTTGGTAAGTTTAACCATAGCATCAGCATCTTCTTTAGTAATAGTAAAGTGTGGTGCATACATGATGAAATCACCACCTTTGAAAGTTTCACCATCTCTGACATTATCATTACATCCCATGACTATTAAACCTTTCTTGTGACAAGTTCCACTAACCATATGAGAAACATCTAATTTTCTTGGGAAAAGTTCTTTGGTTTTGGTATCTTTGACGAATTCAACAGTCCAGAAACCACCTAAACCTCTAACATCACCAACCATTTTGAATTCTGGATCAGTTAACATTTTTGCTAATTCAGCTCCAAGATAATTACCTTGTTCATAAATGTTCTTAGTGTAACCATTAGAAATGATTTTTTGTTGAACTTTTAAGGCAACAGCACAATTGAAAGCATGACAAGAATAAGTTTGAGCACCAGCAATGGAACTTGAACCATCTAAGTAAGCATTTCTAACTTTTGGTGAAACTAACATACCAGCGATAGTAACATAACCTGAACCTAAAGTTTTACCAACAGTTTGTAAATCTGGACCTTCATTTAATGGTAAGAAATTTTCCCAAGTGTTTAATTTACCATTTGGATTCATTCTACCAGTACCACACATAACTTCATCAAAATGTAATAAGATATCGTATTTATCACATAATTTTCTTAAACCATAAATGTAAGTTTTGGTTGGACGTGGAGTTCCAAGAGAAGTACCAGAAACTGGTTCAACAGTCAATGAGGCAATAGTTTCTGGATCTTCCTTTAAAATGATTTCTTCATATTGAGCTAACAATCTAACAGAATATTCTTCATCAGTTTCATTTTCGAGTTTATAATGATATGGTAAATATTCTGGTAATTTGACCATTAAAGATCTTGGAGCCAAAATTTCAGTGAAAGGAGTTGATCTGTTGGAGAAACCTAATGATAAGGTACCAGTAGTATAACCATGATAAGAGGTGAATCTGGATAAATATTTGATCTTTTGTGGTTTACCTTTTTCAACCCAATATTGTCTAATGGTTTTTAAAGCCATTTCATTAGCTTCGGAACCTGAAGAGGTCCATAAGGCAGCAGCAAAAGCGTTTGGAGCAGAATTATCAATATAAAATTTAGCTAAATCTTCAGCAGCATCGTTACAGATAACTGAAGGAAATTGATAAGTGTATTCTTTAGCAGCTTCACTGATGTAATCAATGATATCTTCATCACCCCAAGAAAGAGCACCGACGGCTGCACCTGTCATACCATCGATAACATCTCTAACTTCACCAGTTGGTTCTCTAATGGTAATAGTTGAACCTTTCCCGGAAATAATATGTGGCTTAGGTTTATTGATACCTCCAAGGAATAAATGTGATTGTTGAGGCTTTTCTTGAATTGAAGGACTTGGTGATACTGAAGTAGCTGGGGTTGCACTCATTTTCTTTAATGGAAAAATTCCATGATAATGGGGGCACTTATATAATAGATATGCGGAAAATTCATCCGACTGATAAGATAAGGTTTTCGCATTTTTCACCCTTTTGAGCCATATTTTAGCGGTAATGGTTTTGTATTGTTTCCTAGTGGATAGTGGGAATATTGAACTTGATGGGGTTGTGAGTGATAAGTATTTGCGGAAGGGTTCAGAGGTTCAAGTTTCTGATATGGTAGAGGTGCCGTTTTCCCTCTTTTACTCTCTACACGGTGAAGTGAGACATCTTAGGCGAACTCAAATTGAGATCGATCAATGATCTAGAGGAATTGACTCATATAAATTGATCAAGAGGTGTCAATTCCGAACAGTATTGGGATGCAAGTCAATATAGACATTGACGTGGTTGATCTTTCGAATCTGATTGCTCATAAGTCCGATCAATTGCATGGATCAATGTGGCCACGGAATTTCTCAAGTGGGAGGAAATTACTGTTTTTGGTGTGGTTGACGCATTTCCTATCAAGGCTGCATGCGCCAAACCGCTATTTTGCTAAGACCATGATATAACCACATGCTGAAGGGACTCGAGTTTACCGGTGATGAGATGATTCATGAGTCACCTATATGGGGTTTTAGCGATCATAGTATTAGAAAATCTGTTGTTATTTAGCCACGTAAGGGTATTGTAAATAAAAAACCCTGCTTCATAATGTATAATGAAGAAACATATTACAGTAGTGAATAACCAATCTAGTAATATTTGTGTGAATTGACACAAAACCATTTAGATTAACCCTTGGGCAATCAGATCGGCCTTTGGGGGGCACCCAACTCTACCTGCGAGTTTCTTATCAGTGCGAAATGTCATCAATGGATGTCAAATTTATCCCCATAAAGTCATTCATTGACTCGAATTTCTTCATCAGATTATCAGAATTGAAATTAGATGAGTTGAAGTTGGATTCAAAACCCATAAAGATTCATGGATTCTTGAATGATGCTTTAAAGTTGAACAAGTTCAATAATGTTCCTATCATGAATTTGAATTATGATAGTTTCAAACCAGAAACAGGAGATTCCGAATCATCAGGGTTCAACAATATCATGGAAGGTACACTTTATAACTTCAACACAATCGAAGAGTTTAAAAATTTAGACAAGCAGAAGATACTCGGTGAATGGGGTGAAGAGATCAAAGATGGATTCGATAAGGGGAAATTTAATCAGTTTAGAATGATCACATTCTGTGACTTGAAAAAGTATAAGTTCTATTATTGGGTAGCATATCCTACTGTTTATAGTAAGTGGGAGGTTACTAGTGTTGAGGATGTTGAATATGAAGGAGATTTGACTCAACAGTTCCAGTTGGATGAGAAGGTATACATTGATACGTGTTTGGAAGAAAATCAATTATCATACCAGGTGATCAATTTCTTAAATCACATAGCAACCACCAAGGATGAATTGACCAAGAAAGAAGTCAGTATGAAAATCTATAAAAATGGTCAGTTCAAATCATATACTTTCAGAAGTGACGTGAAAACCAACTTTATTGGATGGGAAAGAACTAACCAAGGGAAACTAGGACCTAAATTGGCTAATCTAGGTACTTTAATCGATCCCCATCAATTAGCTAATCAAGCGGTGGATTTGAATTTGAAACTTATGAAATGGAGAATCGCTCCAAATTTGAACTTGGATGTTATTAACCATCAGAAAGTGTTATTACTTGGTGCTGGTACGTTAGGTAGTTACGTTTCGAGATGTTTGATGGGTTGGGGAGTCAAAAATATCACTTTTGTTGACAATGGAAGAATTTCATATTCTAATCCAGTAAGACAGTCGTTATATAGTTTTAAAGACTGTTTTAGTGATAATGGACAAGGAGAGATCAAAGCAGTGAGAGCAAGTGAATCATTGAAAGAAATATTTCCTGGAGTCAATTCTCAAGGTATAGAGATGGAAATTCCCATGATAGGTCACCCCATGACCAATGAAGCTAAAGTCAAGGAAGATTATGAGAAGTTAGATGAATTGTTTGATGCTCATGATGTAATATTCCTATTAATGGACTCGAGAGAATCTCGTTGGTTACCTACCCTTATGGGGATTTCCAAAAATAAATTAGTTATCAATGCGGCTCTAGGCTTTGATAGTTATTTAGTGTTAAGACATGGAACTAAAGAATTGGATTTGGGATGTTATTATTGTAATGATGTGGTTGCACCCAATGATTCGTTGAAAGATCGAACTTTAGACCAAATGTGTACTGTTACTCGACCTGGAGGTGCATTGATGGCATCTTCATTAGCCGTAGAACTATTAGTATCGGTATTACAACATACTAAAGGGAAAAATGTTGACATTGATACCAGTACTTTAGGAGAAATCCCCCACCAAATCCGTGGTTTCTTAAATAACTTCCAACAAATGAAATTATCAACTCCAAAATATCAATATTGTTCAGCCTGTTCAACTAAAGTGGTTGAAAAATATGAACAAGACTCTTGGGAATTCATTAAGAGCTGTTTAAATGATACCAAATATCTTGAAGATGTTTGTGGTTTAACTGAAGTACAAAAAGAAGCTGAACGAGTAAGTGAACAATTAATGGAATCATTAGAATTAGATGATGACGATTGGATGGATTAGTCAACTTCAGTTTACCCATAGAACTCTACATATATATATATATATCTTCTCCTTTTGCAGGTGATACTCAAATATCTTCATCGCGCGCGATTGTTTTTGTTTATCATGAATCGATTAGTACTACTGAACACGCCTGATCTCATCGAATGTTGTGTCAATTCAGACCTCAAAGCTGTGGCAGAAAGACCAGTGGGAATGAATGAAATTGGACAAATCAATATTCAACAAGCACTTATAGTGAAAGATTTGATACTGGTGTTCTTAGGAGGTGAAGGTAACTATATTAAGTTTAATGATAAGTATAACATAAATGATAACAATCTCATAATAAAAGGTAATGACTATAAAATCGTGTCACAACTCGATGTATCATTGAAACTGTTGACTAAGAAAGTACTTAAATATGGAAGATTCTACAATTGTATCACCAGATTCATAGAGATTTATAATAAGCCTATGTTTGGTAAGATCCTTCAGCGATTTATTGATCATTTAATAGGGTTCAAACATCGATATGAAGATATTATCATTGAAATCATCAACGAGTTCAAGTTCAATGCTAGCTTCACCCTTTTGAAATTGAAGAATCTATTGGAAGATAAAGTATTGAATGAGATGAGACATTACTTTTATATAATCAATGATATCCATAATGAAACTTTGAAACGACAACAGAATAATAATGAGGAATATTTCCATAATTTCATCGACTATTTATCCAAAGATATAAATGAAGGTATAGATTCACCCGACTTATCAACAGATCTCATGAATTTCCCTATTTGTAAAGGAGGTTCCTGTTTAAAGATTCTTCAGGATAGAATAGAAATGTTTAAAGGAGATCATGAATCCAGTCATTTACTTATAGAGCTTTTCAATAATATCAGTAAGAGTTATATAGACTCATTGAATCGATGGTCGATTAATGGAATTATTGATGATCCATTTGATGAGTTCTTCATTAAAGATAATCAACTTCCTAAAAATCCTCAATCATGGCATGAAAAGTATTGGGATGAAAAGTTTCTCATTAGGAATGATGGTTTGATCAATCAATTGAATAATAAAGATATTCAAAAGAAGATTTTATTGACAGGGAAGTACCTTAATATCTTCAAAATTGTATGTAACCTCGAGAACTTCCATTCATTTAATGAAACTTTCCAACCTATTGAAAATTTCAATGAATTTGAACTCAAAGTTGATTTCTTCTATAAAAGGGCCAACAAATTAATGATTAAATTGATCTTTGAGGGGTTTAAATTCAATGATTTGATCAATTTCTATGAAAAGGAGTTTCTTCTTAATGATGCTTTCACTGTTGATAAATTCATAGGCCAAAATTTGGTGGATTTATCAAGAGATAAGTATAAGGTTTCCGTATCGAAATTAGCCAGGAATTTCAATAACAAAGAAATAGAATTATCCATTGATTCTACGAATTTCTTTCAATTATGTAAAGAAATCCTAAACATTAAATCTGTAGATGCAGAAAAGATCCTTAATAGTGAAAATGCTAATGTCTTTAAAGATTTATTGAATAAATCCTTGAAACCTGAGACTTCCTCCGAAGTTAAAGATAAATTAGATGACATGTCTATATTTGGAATCAACATCGAACACGAAATTCCGTTTCCTATGAATCTTATCATTAACCAAAGTTTCAATTTTGAATTCCAATTGATATTCAAGAACCAAATACTCTTGAAGTTCTTAAATAAACTTATTGATGATTCTTGGAAAGAGATTAATTTATCTTCAGTATGGAAGTATAAACATTTCAACAAAAGAGTTAAAAAATGGATAATAAGGTGTAGAATTCTCCATAATAGAGTCCGAGATTTCATCAATGAGTTCCAATATTATATAAATTTTGAAATCATAGAGAAGAATATTGTTCAATTGAATGAATATTTGAATGGTATTGAAGGAAAGATAATTAATCAAACCATTGAAACTTTTGAAGAACAGCTGACATCCAATGGGAAATTCTTTTTCAATTCCAACTATAATCATCTTTTCCAAAGTAAATCCGTGGAAACCGATTTGGAAGTTAGTAGCATTACTAATAATCTCGGAAGTTTCTTGAATAACATCTTAAGAGATAGTTTCATCACCAATGATATCACCATCAACATCATAAGGAAACTCTTCTACCTCATCATTGACTACAATCAATTCCTTTTACGATTGAAGAAATCTATCATCATGATGGATTATGACTTATATATGGAATATAATGAAATATATCCAGGAAAGTTCCAAGGAAACATTGATGAGGAATCTATTGAATCAAGATTTAGCAATTTGAATAGTCTCCTAAATTACTATTATGAATCATTCAATAGTCTGTTGGGAGAATTCATGGTGGTAATCAAGAATTTAGGGGATTTAGAGAACCAACTGTTTTTGGTCCTTATGGAAAAATTAGAGCAGTGCTTCCCTGATAACTAAAAATGTCGTGTATAATATATGTATTATTAGCAAATATACTGATTCGTCTAGCGAAAAAAATACCTATAAAATAACTATAAAATAATCCTTGAGCCATATGAAGAAAATACCTCAAGTTTAAGGCATTGTTTAAGGTGAGCTCGTAAGTTTGTTGATCTGCAAATCTGAAACAAATTTGAAACAGCCGAGAGGCAGCGATTGACAAGGAATTACGAAAGGGAGGGAGCCGGTTATAAGTGCACAAGGAGGGTTTCAGTAAGAAGTATACAGGTCGGGGCTATACAGAGTAACAGGGCATTGATGTCATTACCCAGATCTAGACTGTAGACTAATAGAGCACGCTTTGAGTCAGTAAATCTTCCTTGTCAGAATATATTAATCTTCCGTTTCAGCTTCGTTCAACTCTTTAATAATCTTTTCAGTAGCTTCATCACTATAAACCTTGAATCCCTCTTTAGTAACACTAGCTAATTGAGCATTTTTACAATCTAATTTCTCTTCCATTACTTGTTTCAATATTTTTAAAGCTAATAATTCAGCTTCTTTTAAAGTTAAAGATTTATGATATTCATTTTGTAATTCAGCTTGTGCACCTTCAGATCCTGAACCAATTGCTTTAGCATCATATCTATAAAATGTTCCTGAAGGTTCAGCATGATATAATTGTGGTCCATTATCTTTATCAATACCGGCAATTAATAAAGCAACCCCAAAAGGTCTTGACATTAATCTTTCTTCACCACCAGCACCTTCACCGAATCTTAAAGCTAAATCACAAACTGATTGAGTTAAACTTTCTACTTGAATATCTTCATCATAGTATAAATTATGAGTTAAAGATGAAACTCTAGCATGGTCAATCATTGATCTGGCATCAGCAGTTAATCCTGACATGGCACAACCAATATGATGATCAATTTCTACAATTTTTTCAATGGATGAATGTTCTAATAATGGTGAAGTAACTCTTTTTTCGACACCTAAAATTACACCTTCTGATGTAGCAATTCCAATGGCAGTGGATCCTAATTTAATGGCTTCTAAAGAATATTCCACTTGAAATAATCTCCCTTCAGGAGAAAACGTCGAAACACCTCTATCGTATTCACTTCTAGTTAAAAACATAGTGGCAAAGTGCGAGAGTGATTTGGAGTTTTTTAGTGCGAAACTTTGAAAGGTTGGAACCATTTGTCGATAATGGGATAAATTGAGGGGCCGCGACTGGTAGTAAGAAATGTCACCATGTTGATGGAAGAGATAGGTCGATAAATCAATAAAGAATATTTTCTAGTATATATGCTATAACTAAGCTTTTGGAGCTAATTCAACGATTTTTTCAGCAGCAGGATCTAAATCTTCAAAAGCATATAATTTCAAACCGGAGTTATCGATCATTTCTTTAGCTTTAGCCATATTAGTACCTTGTAATCTAACAACAACTGGGATATCTAATTTGAAGTTTTTAGTAGCAGCAATTAAACCTTGAGCGACATAGTCACATCTAACGATACCACCGAAAATGTTAACAAAGATACCATTAACTTTTTTATCACTTAAGATTAATTCGAAAGCTTTTTCAATAGTTTCTGGAGTAGCAGTACCACCACAATCTAAGAAATTGGCTGGTTCACCACCATATAATTTGATAATATCCATAGTGGCCATAGCTAAACCAGCACCGTTAACAATGTTAGCAATGTTACCATCTAATTTAATGAAATTAAGACCATATTCAGCAGCTTCAACTTCTTGAGCATCTTCTTGAGTTGGATCTCTCCATGAGAAAACTTCTTCTTGTCTGAATGAAGCATTGTCATCGAAACCTAATTTAGCATCCATAGCTAAAACTTGGTGATCTGGAGTTTCAGATAATGGATTGATTTCAACTTGAGTACAATCTCTTTCCATGAAGACTTTATATAAGTTTTGAACGGCTTTAGCAGCTTCTGGGATAGCAGCATCAGTGTAACCTAAAACGTTAGCAATATCAGTGGCTAAAGCATCAGTAACACCTTCTTCTAAAGAAACTGGGAAAGTTTTGATAGCTGAAGGATCTTTAGCAGCAACACCTTCAATATCCATACCACCTTGAGCTGAAGCAACAATCATTGGGGTTTGGGTACCTCTATCCATTAAGATGGCTAAATAAGCTTCAGTTAAAGCATCTCTTCTTTCACAAATGTAAACAGCAGTAACTTCTTTACCAGCAGCACCAGTTTGTTTGGTGATTAATTTATGACCTAACATTTTTTCAGCTAATTCTTGAGCTTCTTCTGGAGATGAGATAACTTTAACACCACCTTGGAAACCGTTATCGAAATGACCTTTACCTCTACCACCAGTTAAAGCTTGAGCTTTAATAACTAATTCATTAGTACCTAATGATTTAGCAGCTTTGAAAGCATCTTCTGGGGTGGTAGCAGCAGCACCGGCTGGAACACCGACACCGTATGATTTTAATAAGGCAGCTGAACGGAATTCATGTAAAGATAAACATCTTTTTTGATTAATGACAGTCTAAAAAAAAAGTTAGTATTTGTTATGGGTGAAAAATGAAAATTGATGTGGTTGACATATAAGGTCGATATATCTTTATTGAATGAGGTTGATGGCTTGAAACTTCAACTGAAGTTACTTGTGAGTCTCACCAATGTTATGGTGAAATCAGATTCTTGATAGGATATATGATGATTGATTTATGGATGGAATCATTGAATCGGACAGTTATACTCCACGAGTCAATAACATCATCAAAAACACCATGAAAACCTTCGGAAAAATTCCTCTAACCAGACCAATTCCTTAGATACATAATTGACTCAATGGTTTACCACGTCGACACGTTACATACTCTTGAAGCACGATTAATAACTCTGGATAACATGTTTAATTAATGTGAGGAGTAGAAAATTTTGTCGAGTGAGATTTGACTTTCCCGAGGTTGGACATCGAAATTTCACGGAGAGATATAATCCATGGGATTTGAACTACTTAAAATATTTGTGACGTTAGTGTGAATGTATTCAGATGATAGACCATGGCTTCAAATATATTTTGGCGAAGTTTGGGATGAAAAGGAGTAGAATTAGGAGAGAAAAATAGGAAAAACCGTTCTAGAGTAGCTAGAACTTCCAAATTAAAACCAAAGTAAACCGATTCGCTTCAAGTATATAGATAGAAAATAACATCGAAACCCGGACATAGTAAACTTTCGAGATAATCCACTGCTCTTCTCGCTGATAAGCTCCATCGCAGCGATGCGAATTTTTATCAAATGAAGCATATAAGGCATCGGAACATCGATGACGATGACGACAAGTTATTGAAAAGTTTGAAAAGAAAGAACAATGACGATGATGGTTTGAGTTTTGGCTCTTTAAACGAAGCACAAAAGAAAATCTATGATGACGATAATGATAATGATAATGATAGTGATAGTGATGACCCACCAGAAACCACAAGTTCTAAATTCAGAAGTTCTACCAGAAATTCCAAATTTGATAAAACCAAGAATAGTAAGAGCAAACATGCACCTTCTGAATCCTCATCTAAACGACCAGTATCGAAGATTCGTAAAATTGAAGGGTTGGATACCAAATCAACATTATATCAAGATATTAGATTTGATGCAGCTTTTGGTAAAGCTGATTTACATGAAACTAGAAAGAATTATGCTTTCTTAGATGAATATAGACAACAAGAAATTGATCAATTATCAAAGATCATCAGAGATAAGAAGAATTTCAGTAAGTTATCATACTATGAACAAGATGAAATCAAACAAAATCTTCAATCCCTTAAATCAAGATTAGATACTATGAAGACCAGAGACTTACAACATAAGATCTTACAAGATTATAAAGATGAACAAATGAAGAATTACAGAGAAGGAAAACAATCCAATCCATATTTCTTAAAACGTAGTGAACAAAGGAAATTATTACAAAAAGCTAAGTTTGAAAGTATGAAACCAAGACAAAGGGAAAAAGTTATGGAAAGAAAGAGAAAGAGAAAGTTGGGAAAAGAATTCCGGGAATTGGAATTCAGACAAAACCAGAATTAATAACCTATGTATATGAAATAAACAATATGTATAAGTATTACAAGACTCTATAATTTAAAGGAAAGGAATGGAGGAATTTATGATTCTGATTTCTTAATTTCATGAGTTATCCAATCTTCATAAGAACCAATATAATTACCTCTCTTAGTATAACCGAAAGTTTTAGCTAAATCTTCGGCAGCAGTTGATCTTACACCACCTAAACAATAGAAAATTAATTCTTTACTTGGATCAGGTTTAGTGAAACCGAAATTTTCTTCGAAATCTTCTTCGCTTAAACCTAAAGCTCCGGGATTAGATTTGAATGGAACATTTATAGCTCCTGGTATATGACCTTGTTCGAATTCAATTGGTTCTCTAACATCAACTAACATGAATTCTGAAGAAGGATTGGATGATAAGTTTTTAATTTCATTATAATCATAAATTTTAGCTTTACATTCATCAGCAATGACACTATAAGATCTTAATGGGGAAACCATTGATCTGATCAAAGGACCAGATGATCTAGCCATTGATTTGACTGGCATTAACATGGAAGTGTTTGTGATTCTGTTGAATGATCCATTATGAAGCGATCTTAAGGAGATTGATGCTAAGGAAACAGGTCTTAAAGAAAATTTGAACCCAATCATTTTGCACCTAGAATGGGGATTTTTGTGGGGGGAAAACTATTAATTATATTATTAAGGTATTAATATGGAAGATTTAAAAGTCCTTTTATGATAATTTACCAATAATACCGATTAAAAACGATACTTTAATTGACTAATCAGTTGCTTTAAAGTGAGAAAAGTTTGAATGAGAAAAGTGAAATCCCGAAGGTCGTGCGAGAATTACCGGAGACACTCGTGTCGAATTTGAGGTAGTCCAAATTTGGCTACCTAAGATGTTAACCCATCTTTACTATTTGGAGAGACAGAGAGACACAGAGATTATACAATAATCGACGTTGTTGAAACCCTAAAAACAAAACCAAATCTATGTTCGGATACTAAAATCCGAAATTCTATTCTCTATATAATCGTAAATCGTAGGTTGAACTTTAAAATGGATAACGATTTAACTTAGAATAATCCATCAATCTCACCATCTTCATTAACTTCAACATTCATAAATCCACAATGAGTTGGTAACCCTGGGATAGTTTGAATTTCAGCAGCTAAAGCATAAAGATATCCAGCTCCAATTGAAGCTCTAACATCTCTAATTGGGAATTTGAAACCAGTTGGAACCCCTTTCAAAGCAGCATCATGAGATAATGAATATTGAGTTTTAGCAATACAAATTGGTAAATTACCGAATCCTTGTTTAGTGTATAAATCAATCTTCTTTTGAGCTTCTGGTAAGAATTCAACTTCTGAAGCACCATACATTTTTTGGGCAATGGCGGTGATTTTTTCTTCAACTGATGGTTCAGTATCGTATAAAAATTGGAAGTTCTTGTTTGGAGAGTTACAAGCTTTGATAACTCCATTAGCTAAATCAACAGCTCCTAAACCACCTTCTTCCCAATGGTTAGAAACAATAGCATCATCAGCTCCATATTTAAGAGATTCTTGTTTGATGATTTCATGTTCTTTATCACTGTCACTACTCATTTTGTTGATAGCAACAACAACAGGTAAACCATAGGTTTTAGCATTTTCAATATGCTTACCTAAATTAGCACAACCTTTTTGTAATAATTCAACATTTTCTTGAGTATATTCAGCAGCTAAAGCGGCACCGGCTTTAACTTCTGGTCCACCACCGTGAACTTTTAAGGCTCTGACAGTTGCAACAATAACAATACAATCTGGTGATAATCCTGAAGATCTACATTTAATGTTCATGAATCTTTCACCACCCATAGTGAAATCGAAACCAGCTTCAGTAACAACATAACCTTCTTGTTCAGCTCTTTCTTGTTCAGATAAATCTGGGGAAGTACCAGCTAATTTCAAAGCCATTTTATCAGCTAAGATAGATGAAGCACCAATAGAAATATTAGCAAATGGACCAGCATGAACGAAAACTGGAGTACCTTCTAAAGTTTGCATAATATTTGGTTTGATGGCATCTTTTAATAAAGCAGTTAAAGCACCAGCACATCCAATATCTTCACAAGTAACTGGTTCACCAGCTCTTGATGAGGCAACAACCATTTTACCTAATCTATCTCTTAAATCTGGTAATGAGTTAGCTAAAGCTAAGATAGCCATACATTCAGAAGCAACAGTAATATCGAAACCGGTTTTTCTGGTCATACCTTTTTCAGTTGGAGCTTCACCAACAGTAATTCCTCTTAAGAATCTATCATTACAATCAACAACTCTTCTCCAAGTAATGGTTTCTGGATCAATATCCAATCTAGCAAATTTAGAAATTTCTTCAGTAGTTAAATCATCAGGATTAGTTTTATCAATACCTAATTTTTCTAATCTTTTTAACATACAAAGAGGGAATTTTCTAACACCCTTTTTAGCTGGTACTAATCTTTTGAATAAAGGACCATCTTTTTGAGTACTTTCATGGAACATTCTGGTATCAATAGCAGCAGCTAATAAATTGTTAGCCATGGTGATAGCATGAATATCACCAGTAACATGCATGTTGAATTCATCCATAGGAATAACTTGAGAATAACCACCACCGGCAGCACCTCCTTTAATACCGAAAGTTGGACCCATACTTGGTTGTCTAACATTAGCGAAAACATTTTTTTGTAAGTGAGCACCTAAAGCTTGAGCTAAACCAACAGTGGTAGTACTTTTACCTTCACCTAAAGGAGTTGGGGTAATACCTGTAACTAAAACATATTTACCATTTTGTTTGTTTTGTAAACGAGTTAATAAATCTAAAGAAACTTTAGCTTTGTAGGCACCAAATGGTTCTAATTCTCCATCTAAGATACCAGCTTCTTTAGCAACTTCAGTAATATGTTTTGGTTGTTGATCTCTTGAAATTTCAAAATCTGAAGGAACAGGTTTTTGTAAGTTTAATTTCAAAGGATTGGTGAATTTAGGAGTTTGGTTATTTTTTTGATAATGGTTCTTAGCAGCAACAACAACATTATCTAATAATGAAGCAACAGTCATTGGACCAACTCCACCAGGAACAGGAGTGATTAATTTAGCTTTTTGAGAACATGATTCAAATTCACAATCACCGACCATTCTAGAACCGGTTTTTTTGGAAGCATCATCAATGAAATTAGTACCAACATCAATAATAACACAACCTGGTTTAACCCAATCACCTTTAACGAAATCTGGTTGACCAATAGCAGCAACAATGATATCAGCATGAGATAAATAAGCTTTAATTTGATCTAAAGGAGTTTTGGAATGTAATACTGAAACAGTAGCATTAGCTTTGGTTAATAAACTAGCCATTGGTTTACCAACAATATCTGATCTACCTAAAACAACAGCATTTGAACCTTCAATTTGAACTTGAGATTCTTCTAATAATTTGATAATCCCTTTTGGAGTACATGGTAAGAAGAATGGTTCACCACCTTTCTTACTTAATTCACCAGCGTTAAATTGACCAAATCCATCGATATCTTTATCGGGTAAAACCGCATTGGTTACCTTAACTTCGTCAATATGGGAAGGTAAAGGTAATTGAACTAAAACACCATCAACTTCTAAATTATTGTTTAATTTTTTGATTTCATTTAATAATTCAAATTCACTAACAGTTTCAGGTAAGTTAATAATTGAACATTCAATATTAGCTTCTTTAGCAGCTTTTAATTTCATTCTAACATAAGTTGAAGAATCTTCTCTTTGACCAACTTGAATGATAGTTAAATTAGGTTTGAAATCTTGATGTTTAGATTGAATTTCACTGATTTCTTGGTGGATATTACTACGAATAGTAGCTGCAATAGCTTTACCATCGATAATTGAAGCCATGATTTAGTTTGAAAAATTTTGGTCTCAACGCGGAACGAGTCAATGGTTGCAAATATTGTGGGGTGCACGACTCTCCAAAGAGTCACTTTGATTCAAGAGTCAAGTTTAATAATATATGTATATGGAGGTTATGAAAGAATCGATTGTACGGCTGTGATTTCTGATGACGTAAGTTCATCTAGAATATGGTTTTGATAAGGAAATTTCTTATTTAGATTGTAAAGAACTTGTGAAGGTCCAAGGTTGATGATATCGGAAATCTCCAATTGTTGTAACAGATTTATTGATTTAACCCAATTGACAGGTTTGGAGTTTACAGATATGGTATCGTTGATATCATGGGACATTTCCCCTGTTAGATTTGTTATTAAAGGGAAAGTAGATGGGTTTATAGGTTCAGAATCTAAGAATCTCAGTAATTCAGGTTCAACTACTGATAATTGTGGACTATGAAATGGGATTTTCACTGGTAATTCAGTACTTCTCATTATGAGCTTTTTGGATTTCAAGTCTTGGATAATTTGGTCGAGTTTTTCATTAAATCCAGAAATGGTGATTTGTTGATGATTATTGATATTTGCCAAAACTTCTTTTTGTAAGCAATATTCTTGAATTTTATCAAACTTATCAGGTCTAAGCATTAATATCTTCATTCCATATCGATCATTTTGAAGTTTTTCCATCAATTTCCCTCGTAAAGTAACTAATCTTATGGTAGTAGATAGACTTAAAGTACCATTTAAACATAAAGCTGAATACTCTCCTAGTGAATGACCTAGTATTACTGAAGCTTTATCTAATCTCAATCCCAAATGTTGGGTACAAATATTAGCTATTAAGTAAGTTATAGTAAATATAGCTGGTTGAGCATTAGCTGTGTTCTTAAGCCAAAGTTCATCATTATCAATCAATTGACGTGTAAAATCATAACCCAATGATTCATTAACATCATTCAATATATTTTTAATTGGAAATCTCAAATAAGGTTTTAATAAACAATTTTTTAATACACCTTGACCAGGACAAGTGATTGCAAAACCCATGGCATTAAAATCATGGTACCAAAAAAGTGCGGACTGGTTCCAGTAACTGCGGCGAAAACAGATCTAGAAATGGTAGAATCGCGTTGCAAGGAGCGGTGGTCTCCCCCCCAATGTTTTCCTCCAATGAAGTGCCCGCGGCCCTAAAAATTGCGGTGATTATTTAAGTATCGCTCGTCGCCCAACTTTTGTTTATTTTTCCCACCCTGTGGTAGTAACTTTCCCTCCCCCCTAAACCACTAAATCCTCAACATGTCAGATATAAAGGCTGCAAAAGATACTTTAGTATCTTCATTATATGAATTATCCAAAGCTGCCGAAAAAGCTGCTGCTGCTACTTCTAACTATTATAACGCTTCTAATGTTGATGCTGTTGTTCCTGTTAGTCAATTAGATAGTTTATCAAATACTTTAAAAAGATTAATTCCTTCTATTGATAATGGTGAAGTTGTTGGTAATGTTACTGTTAAAGCTGAAAAGAAGAAGAAACCTGAAAGAGATCCAAATGCTCCAAAAAAACCTTTAACTATGTATTTTGCTTATTCTTTCCATATTAGAGATGCTATTAAGAAAGAAAGAGAAAGAAAAGGTTTACCTGCTTTATCTGCCATTGAAATGAATGAATATGTTAAAGATAGATGGAGTAAATTAGAACAAGGTGAAAAAGATATCTGGCAAAGTAAATATAGAAAAGAATTAGAAGTCTATAATAAAGAAAAGGAAAAATATAAAGCTAAATTAGCTGGTAAACCAATTCCTGATTTATTACAAGATGTTATTCCACCAGAAATTCAACCAAATTTAGATTATGATATCAGTGATTTACCACCTCAACCAAAATTATCTACTTTAGATGATTCTGATGATAGTTCCGATGAAGAATTACTGAAAAAGGAAAAGAAAGAAAAGAAGAGAAAGAATAGAGAAGAAAAGGAAAAGAAAAAGAAGAAAAAGTTACATCAAGAAGCTTAAACTATCAATTTTGGTCGTTATAGTTTAACAAGTTCAATAGCTTTTCCAGCTCAGATTCTCTTGATTCAATTCAAATGTTGTTTAATTAGTTTGTATTTAATTTGAGTGTATTATAAATGTATGTTTATTAGCTTATTTACCTCCCCTTTTCTGTTTAGTTATATGTGCTCTTAAAACTTTTTGCCTATCTCTTAATGATAATTTTTGTTTACCTTGAACTGAACGTTTATGAATCATCATAACAAAATTCTTCTTACGGGCTTTCTCTTTATTAGTAGTACTATGATTACCATCTCTTTTACCTTTTCTAGACCCGAATTTTTCTCTACCTTCTCTACCTTCTCTAGCATGAGCAATTCTTTCTTCACGTAATTGTTTATACTTAACAGGTCCAACTAATGTTTCAAAATCAACCGTATCATCGGTTTTAATTCCCATTTGTTTTTCAACCCCGGCTTGTAATTTCAATTCATCTAATTTAGCAAAATCTGCTGGGGTTAAAATCTTACTGGATAAGATTTCTTGCATGGTTTGTTCAGCAGTCTTTTCAATAATTTTTTGTTTCTTAGCTGGTCTTTCTTCATTTTCATCATCTGATAAATCTAATTCTGAATCATCAGAATTATCCTGTTCAACATCTGAACCTTTCTTAGGTTCATCATCATCAGAATCACTAATATTATATTCTTTATCAGATTCAATATTGACCCAATCATTTTCATTATCATCTTCACTTTCACTTTCACTGTCATTTTCAGCAACTTCCCAATCACCTTCTTCATCATTATCACCTAAACCTTGTTCTTGTCTCCATTTAGCTAATAATTCAATACCAGGAATTGAAGTAGTAGATTTTTCAACCCCATATTCAACTTTTCCTTTATCATTACCCATTTCAATAGATGCAACTTTACCTCTATCCTTTCTATGTAACATTTCAGGAGCAACTTCTCTATATAATCCAATTAATGATCTAGCTGCCATCATAACAGCTTTTGATTTGGATCCTTTATATTCAGTTAAATCTTGTAATAATGTAGCATCAATAGCTAATGGAGCTCTTGATAAGATTTCTCTAATAGTGTTTAATCCAGCACTAGCAACTTCAGCTGAAACCCCATCACTAACGAATTCATCAGCAATTTTTCTAACTACTACATTAATAGATTCTGGAGGTACAAGATCATGAGATGCTTGAGCACAAGCAGCCATGATTTGTGTAACATCTCTTTGTTTAGGAGTCAAATATTTCAAGAAGAATGAATAAATCCCCAATACTGTTAATTTATGGGATCCAATTAATCTGGAAATTAAATTCATGAATAAAATCTTTTGTTCCAAATTAAACTTGTTACTATTCTTACCACTTAAATGACCATTAAATAATTGTTCAGCAAAACCTTGAGGATCTCTTAACAAATGAATGGCAGAGAAATTTAAATAATATTGAGTGGTTTTATTATTCTTCTTTTTAACGGCTTTAACTGCTGCTTCTAATTTTTTACCTCTTTTACCACTTTTCTTGTTAACTTGCATTTTATGTCTTAAACTGGTCATATCAACTTCATCTTCACTATCACTTTCGAAATTCTCTTCACGTTCTTTATCGGCACCCAAAAAGAATTTAGCTCCAGCAACTGAAACTTTAACATCAGGATGAATGGATGCTTGAGTCATGATTTCAACTGTTCTTGAATCATCCCAAATCCCTCTTCTCCATAATTCTCTAGTTAATTTGGTAGCCCATAACCCTTGATTATCTCTTTGTTCTAATAAATTGAATAATAATGCTTGAGTTGATTTATTAATCTTTTGATTCTTGACATTTTGATTAATAGCTTTCAATAATGAAATCAATGTATTATAAATTTGTCTTCTTAAGTTCTTACCTTGTTGGGCAGTAGCAGTTTTTGATGTTAATAAGGGGAAAATGGTTTTAATCAAATATTCAGCTGATATAACATCTTTATTTCTTAACATAACTAAACATTGGATGATTTTTTCTCTTAAATCTGGATGTAAATCTCTATTACCCAACAAATTCTTCAAATCATCAGGAAAATTGGCGGTTTCTTTAGGATAACAGTTACAGACTGCTGAAACAAAACCAATTAAATCAGCAAATTCTTGAGATTCTCCTTGAGGATTAGTTAAATAAATATCTCTTAATGATTGATAATGAAGATATTGTTGACTAAACTCGTCATGGTATGACATGGGATCTCTTTTAACCACATTCTGTAAGAGAATAATGTTGGTTGGTAAAATAGCTGCTCTTCTCTTCTTTCCCATTTTTGATTTTTATCTCATCGCGGAAAATGAGATGAGATATTTGGTGAGCACAGAGAGGTGAGAGACACAATAACCCTACCTTATATATTACACTAACTATAATCAATACTGTCCAAATTAAGATAATTAAGTTTTCTGGAAATCTTCTTAGCACTTTCTTCAGATTCAATTTGTCCATCTTCATTGATTCCTCCTTCCGTGACCACATCAAGTCCCAGTTTCTTTCTTTGTCTTTTGGGTTTTCTGGCTGATGTATTACCAGCCAATTCATCTGATTCAGCCTTTAATCTCTTTCTTTCTTGATCAAGCAAATAATCGAAATTCTCTTTAACCCAGATAAGTTCTTTCTTTTTAACCATTGATGCATCATTGAAATATTCTCCATCATCAATATCTATATCAATGTCATCTAAATCGGCGTCAGAACTAACTTTTTGTAAAACTTCTGCAGTTTTTGGTAAACGTGCAACCAAGTTAATGGGTTTATTTTCATCAAATCTGACAGAAAAATCTTGAGATTGTGATGGTGCTTCGTACACTTTATTATTGATATTGTACTTATTTTGGAGTTCGATTCTACGAACGTGTTCTTCCAACTCATCATTACTGAAATCACAGTCCTTCAATAACGCTTTGAATAAACTATTACTGTCTTTCTTTATTATTTTAGATTTTGTCTTTCGTCCTTCAATTTCGGTTGATGAAGTAGAACTCGAGGAAGGTTTCTTCAGTACTCTTCTCAAACTGTCTAATCTCCTAGAACCTTTCGTTTTTCTAGAATTCGATGCTTCTTTGTCTGTTTCTGATTCAGAAGCTTCTCTTTCACTGATTTCTGTATCAACATCGGCTCTTTCAGCAGCTGTTTCAGCAGCTCTTTGTTCTTCCTTTTCCTCTTCTAATTGTTTATTGAGTTCGATGATTCTCTTAATGTCTTTTTTTCTCTCTAACACTTTCTTCCTCAACTTGGTCTCCAAATCTACCCCTCTATTGAATGAAGGAGGATTGGAACCCGATTCTCTAGAATGTCCCTTTCTGAATTCTGCAATCGATAAACTTCCGGAATCAGTTTCTCTGAATTCCCTTAATCTTCGAGCCAAAGTATCTTCAGCAACGTGGGCAACTGCCACTATTTCGTTATTGGTTCTTCTATAACCATTCATTCTTGATGCTAATAATACACAAGCTCCCGCAACCCCGGCAGGTCTTCTACCTTCATGAATCCAATCAGCGCTCATTCTTTTAGCCAATTGAGTTGCATCTCTGATAACATTTATCTTCCCTGGATCTTCAAATCCTAATTTGTCCACAAAATGAGATATAAACAATGAAGGGTCAGCCAACGGTAACTTAACTATATGTAAAGTTTTAACCATTTTGAGAAATGTAGCCCCTAACGAGAAAACCGATATTTGTAATTTTGAACTGAAATCAATCAACATATGATGGGTTTTCTCTTTTCTACAGGCAATATACAAACAAGCAGCTGTAACATTTTGTGATCTTCTTCCTTGAACGAAATTATGACTTAAAGCTAATTTAAACCATCCACAAGCTGATTCAAAAATATAATCGGGAATTCTTAAAGCTGTAGCTAAATCTCTAATGTTTCTCTTTCCTGTAGCTAAAGTTTGTTCTCTTGAATCCATAGCATTCTGTCTTCCTCCAACATTAGCTCTAGCTTGACCGGCTCCCACCATTGTCCCTTGAACTGATGTGGCACCTGAACTTGATTCAGAATATATCAATTCACTAACCATAGGGCTTTCATGTGCCACAAAACCACACTTGATACATGTAAGGGCCCCAGAATTCCCCGTCATATCGGCTTGCAATGATGCCTGCCCACATTTAGAACAAATATCATACATGTTTATTTTGATGAGATGTGCGAATTGAGAATTTTTATGGTAATAACCGTTGCGACATCGATTAAGTGGGAAATTATAAGTTGAAGGTCTTAGGGAATTTTTTTGGTGGAACTTGTTAGAATAAGTGCTTAGAAGAGGAAATTAGAAGTTTTAATATGAACAAATGGTTTTTCAGCACCTCGTCACATCATTAGTATATTCTTCAATAGCATATTCTTCTATAGCATAATCTCCCAAAACAGAAAGACTTACTAAACTTCAATGAAACATAAACAACGCCATATGAAAACACCATTTATTATCTCTTGAAATCACAACAAACAATGCCATTGCGACGAAAGGCAATGATTGTCGACCAATCATGTTATTTGACATTTTTCCAAAAGTTAAAAATACCTCAATGAGGAAATATTCACCTGATCATAATAAATATTTTGAAATTTTTGACTATTGGTAGTCCTCGTTTCTCAAAAATTCTCGTTCTCAGCCAATCATATCGTTTCTTTATTTCTCACATCCCCTTGGGATTCTAGAGTTTTATGTCGCGAAAGGGATCACACGACTTATTAGATAAGGGATAAAATTGAGGGCAAAAAGGGATATTTTACTATAAATACTTTTATATATTTCCCTTTACTTTGAATTAACCATGTCAGATTTTAGCCAAGTAAGAGAAATCAGATTGGAGCCAGATTTTGATATCATCATTGGTAGAGCTTCCACTAGAGACCCTGCCAGAACTCCATCTAATGATAATTTATGGTTTTTCAACAGCCAGTTATCAAAATGTCATGCTTATCTTCAAAATGAAGATGGTAAATTATCACTTTATGATTTCAATTCAAGTTTTGGAACCGTTTTGAATAATAAGGTCTTAAAACCTTCTCATGTTGTGGAGGTCAAAGATGGTGATGTCGTATCTTTTATAATGGTTAAGTCTTATAATTCCATCAAAAAGATTTTTGATAGTTGCAATACACCAATGATTGATTTGAAAACTTTCGGTAATCCAAGATTAATGATGAGTTTCAAAATTGAAGTTGAAAAAGCTAATGTGGATTATTTGGTTAATTTTCATCCATTAGAAGTTCCTGATGCTGTTTCCTTAGATAGTGATGATGAATCTTATGAAATTGAAGATCTCGAATCAGATTTAGAACCTCAACAAACTGTTGAAAAAGCGGATATCTATACTTTATTAGAACCTATTTCTTCGGACTCCGAATGTGATGATTCTTATATATTATCAGATAGAAATGATTGTGAAGATCAATTTTCAGATGAAAACGTTGAAGATGATGATTTCATTGAAGTTCAAAAAACTAAATCAGCAAACTGTGGTAATTTGGATAAGGATTTTGAGGCACAAAAATCATCGGCTTTAAAAGAATACTTCGATTATATCAGAGGAACCAACCCAACTTTGATCCTTGAAGATGAACCTGAAGAAGAAAGTGAACAAGAGATTTATGTTGAAGAAATTGAACACGATGAGGAGGCTGAAGAAAGTGAACACGATGAGGAGGCTGAAAGTGGAGACGAGGTAGAATACGTTTGTTACGATAATGATTGTGGTGACAACATGGATTGTCAATGTGAGGATGAATCTGATTATGATCTCGAATCTGATGATTCAGTTTTAGCGGATTATATCTATTCCAGAGCCCAATGGATGGAAAAACCTCCTTCTAAAGCCAAATCTTTCTTCAAAGAATTCGGTAAAGCCATTGGCTATTCAGTCTTAACTATTATTGCTTTAGGTATATATGGTGGTTATTCCGAAGCCAACTCATCTTAGTATTGAGCTTAGATATGTTACTGGTTGTTGATACCCTTGTATAGTAGTTTGTATTTGATAATGGAATGTGTTTTTGTGTATGTCGCGCAGTTGCAATAATGTCTCTTGTGTCGTAGTATTGAATGTTACAGTTCCAGAGGAGGTTCAAGGAGAATTTAGAGGAGTTGTTGGTAGGTATAGGTATGTTTATGTAAGATGAAGGTATCCCATGATATTTTCAAATTTTCTTTATTTTTTGCACTTTTTTTTGTGAATTTCACAACATTTTGTGAAAGTAAATTTATTTAAAATTTGGTCACATAGTCAGAACAGTTGATTATTCGAAGTCGACGAGATAGGTAGTTATCTCTGTATCCGAAAAGGTCATTGCCAATACCAGCAGAATGGATCATACTTGAAACACAAGGTTCTCCATCTAACGAGGCTGGTTCGGAATTTTCGGTAGGAGATGAACAATAAGCAGAGTAATGTAAGCTTAAGTCTTGACCATTTACCTAAACTGCATCTTCATGTAGGTGCGTTTGAATAACTCCGGCAATAACTTCACCAAATTTGTGAGTAGAATATCCGGAATATTCGTGCCATACTCCGTCTAAGACTTCATTTAATCCACAGTATCTCGAATACCCGATGAAGTGTCATTTGTCCATTCATCGTCCCTATTGTTCCCCTTTCTTTAGTACCATTTCAGGTTAATTCCTGATAGTGCGCGTTCATCTTCCATGGCAGAAGAAGAAGCAATTAGAAGGGTTAATTCCTCTTCTCAAGTTTCAAGCGTGGGGTTCAATAATTTGAAGAAACTTAATACCAATTCTTCGATTTCAACCAATGCATCCACTGGGTCTCAAAAACCCAACGCCTTAACAAGATTATTTACAAGAAATCGATCCAATACTACATTAGATGAAACCATTTCAGACGAAGACGAGGATAAAGATAAGTTAACTTTGGAACGAAAGCCTTCCAATGTATTCCGTATGATGAACAAACGAAAACCGAAGAAAGATTTGACGATACAGACAGATTTATTCAAGGAACCTCCTCATAGAAAAACTGCTGTGAATTCTCCTGTGACCACCACCTTCCATAATTTATTCCATAGGAACATCGCAGAAGAAGATTCATTGGCCACTAGACCTGTGGGTAATATAACATTATCGTCGAGTAATTCCAATTCCCGAATTCAAGATGCACATGTTGCTAAAGTATTCAGATTCACAGATCCTAGTAATTCGTTAGACGAAGATACCGAGGATGTGGATAATTACAAGAAACTTTTCCTCCCAGCAGACCAATTCTTACGTTCCAAGTCTCCGATAAGTCCCACGGCATCGTTATTGGATGATGACGGAGATGAGAAATTCTGGAATAATTTATTATCATTACTCAAACCCGTGATACTATCTAGTCGTCAAAAAAAGTTAACAAACAACTATAAAGCATCACAACTCATACAAACTCAAGAAGATATTGCCAATTATGTACGAGATAACTATCTTAATAATTTGAGATTTGAAGATGAAGAATCTCATGATTTAAAATCCAGAGAGATTGTTCAAGATTTGGTAGGATTTTTTAATAAAATCATGATACTATTTTACAAGGATTTCAAATTCCATGGGATGACCGAAGATGAGTATAAAAACAAATGGATTCGAATCAGTCAATTATGGTTATATTTCAGAGGAAAGATATATTATTTCTTATTAAATTGTTTTGTAACCTCCACAGAAGACGAATTTCTTACCAGGTTTGGTATTGACATCGAAACATTGGTTCTTAATAGTTTCAGGAATGTAATACTAAAACCTTTCGTTGAAAAGAACGAATTTAATGAACAAGATATTGAATTTTTCAAAGCCAACAATCGAACTTTTAAGCATGTCATGGCATGTTTCGGTATCGTTAACTCGTGCCAGGAGTATGAGAACGATAACCACTTCCTCAACACTGTTGTATGGCTAACTAAAATAGATATATAGGAAAATATAAAGCCGGGTAACCTTTTTACATCGCGATGATTTTGCAGCCCAAACCGCGTCCACCCATTACACATACATTGGGGGAGTAAAGATGCTGATTCCTTCACATTTACACCAAAACTTGATGCCTTCAGAAGTGAACTTCTTGGCTGAGAATGAAATGATTCAAATACTTCCGAGATATTCTATGAAATCCATTCAACTTATAGGGGTATGTATTTTCAATTCATGAATTTCAGGTTTCCTTATACTAACAATTCAAGACAAAAATACCCAATTTGAGGGCCCTTAGAAGAGAGAAAGTTCCTATATGGGTAGCGTTGATATTGAAATCCCAAGGGAAATGTAATATAGTTCCACCTAAATGGTTAGAGTTAGGATATTTGAAAGAGAAATATGATGAAGAGATAAAGAATCCTTTCAAGTTTAGCGATTTACCATGGCATTGGATTGAAATCAGTAAAATGTTATTATCGAAAGCCGCTGATGATTTATCTGACCCTTCACATCAATTACGATCAATAATTCAAGATTTAAAAGAAATAAGGTTGGTTAAATCCAAGAAAGGGTTCACAGAATTGAATGAAAGTAATATAGCATTGACAGGATTGAGTTTATTGGAGATTAATGAAATCAGACCATTTGTTCTAGGAGTTATGAACAAATTAAGAGAAATTCATGAAACCATTGATCGAGAAGGTGAAGAAGAAGGTGAAGAGGAAGATGACGATATGGATTAAGAGATTGAGTTCATTACCCTGACCATTTGTTGCAAATCAATCAAAGATCTTTTGTGTTACACATCAATCAATGAAATTTATTGTTACAGATCAATTAAAGATTTCACAGTGTTCCAGCTCCGGGTTTGATCTCACCCACATTTCTCATTTTGAGGAATCGCGCATTCTTTCAATGAGTCAACTAAATTTGACTAAACAACTAATCTCCAACATTGAGAGCCATAGAATAGGAACCGAGTACAAAAGGAACCTTATCTTATCCATACTTAAATCCACAGCATCCAAAAGAGAAACCAAGAATTATCTCAATAAATATCAGAACCAATTTGCTTATGGAGGTTCAGATAAAAATTATCAAAGAAACTTATTTGTAGACCGATTTTTAGCCGATAGAAACCCCTTTGGTAATATATACGACGAAGATGAGAATAAATTAAGTAAAATACCTTTAAGAGTGGCGATATTTAAATTAAATTATCAATCTATAAAACCTCGGTTTTGGAATGGGATTCAAGAAACATTCAAACGGTTAATTAATCTTGGAATTAGTCCAATAGTCATCATGGATTACGATTTCTTGAATGACAAATCCCCAGGAAACTTCAGAAATAATGAATTGTTAACTATAAATGAAGGTAACAGAATTCTCAATAGTTTGAAGGATATTAATCCTCGTTTAGTACGGAATATCTTCAAGATAAAGGAAGGGAAGTTGTTTTTACATGATTTACAACAATTAATAATCCCTTTGTATCAAGAATTTGTTCCTATCATCCAACCTATCATCACTGAGATCGATTCATCTAATCAATTCTTTGCTCAGTCTAACGATCTTCTTAAGACCTTATGTGAATCATTGTTACAAACCAAGAACATATTATCAATTGAGAAGATCGTTATCATCGACAAAAATGGGGGGATTCCATCGATCGAAAGGAATCAAACTAGCCATGTGTTTATCAACTTGTCTCAAGAATATAGTGATTTGGTTTCTGAATTGTATATTGGCTTCCTTGAACCAAGTAAACGTGATTTCCATTTAAATAATTTATCCACAGTAAATGACGTGTTGACTACCATCAACAATCTTACTGGTAATGACGAAGCAACAGCTATTATCACTACTCCTTATATAACATCGATTAATAATGATCAATTGAATCCTATTATTTATAATGTTTTAACTGATAGACCAATTATATCGTCATCTTTGCCTACAACCTTCGAAAGAACCCCTACATTATCAACATCGATTCTTAAAAAAGGTATGAAAGTAGAAGTTCTCGAACCTGAAAATTACGATAAGCAATTCACTTTACAGAACTTGATCGATGATGGTTTGGTGGATAAAACTAAGTTATTTGCATTAATAGAAGATTCGTTTGGAAGACAGGTGGATATGGACAATTATATGAATAGAATCAACGATACCATTGCTACAGTGATTATCATTGGTGATTATGATGGTGGAGCCATCATTACTAAAGAACAATATGAAGACCAAACAGTTACATATTTGGATAAGTTCGCTATAGCCAAGAAGAATCAAGGATTACCAGGAATGGCAGATATCATTTTCAAATTGATTGTCCAATCCAACCCCGATGAATTGATTTGGCGTTCCAGAAGCAAAAACCCGGTAAACAAATGGTATTTCGAACGTTCAATTGGTTCTATGGCTACTGGATCCCAATGGAAAATTTTCTACACCGGAGATATCTTTAATAAGTCTATTAACACCAAAAAAAGAAGAGATCACGTGAACATCAGTGAAAAGTTAAAGATTTATTCGGCCATTTGTGAAAATATCCCTCCATCTTTTATATAGAAGGCCTTACCTAATGCATAAGTTTCACAAGAATCTCTGTCACTTGCTACGAAGCCCCACTTATGTTGGCTGCGAATTCCCGTCAGATGATCGCGGAACCTTCATATGAGCGTAAGACAAAGGAAGACCACAGATACCACTTCAAAGACATCTACTTCGACTAGTTCCACGTCTGAGAAAGTTAAAGACTTCACCAAAACCATGAAATTGAGTTTTTATCATGAATTAGATGAATGGCAGCAAGATAACCATTTCATAAAATCGGGATACGTCAGAGGTACTAATTCCTATAAAGAGAGTTTCTTGTCATTATTTTACATCCATAACGAAACAGGTAACATTTACAGTCATTTACTTCCATCTTTGGTCATAATTGCTTCTATTTTGTATTACATTAACTATCAGCTTGAGGATGTCAAATTATGGGAACAATTGAATTTCCTTCAATTCGGATTGGCTCTGACTTTTTGTCTTTTGATGTCATCAATCTTTCATTGTCTCAAGTCACATTCCCATAAGGTATCGAAATTCGGTAATCGTTTGGACTATTTCGGTATCATCATTCTAATCACTTGTTCTTTGATATCCATCATAATGTTTGCATTTGTTAACGAACCAGGGATTAGGAATACCTTGATGTTAGTTTTTCTTTCCTTGGGAGGATTATGTACTTTCTTCACCCTTGATGTGAAGTTTTCATCTCCTAAATATCGTCCCATTAGATCTACAATGTTCATCTTATTTGGATTATCAGGAGTTTTACCCATTTTGGTGTCGACTCGAGAATTTGGTTGGGAAAATACAAAAGAAAGGTCTTCTATCAATTATCTTATCTTAGAAGGGGTGTTTTATATCTTTGGAGCAGTACTTTATGCTATGAGAGTACCTGAAAGATTTACTCATATTGAAGATGATGCACTTTTAGGTCAAACAGTGGGAAAATTTGATATTTGGGGTCATTCTCATCAAATCTTTCATGTTTTTGTGGTCATTGCTGCTTTTTGTCATTGGAAAGCTCTAGTCAATGTGTACATTTATATGAGACAACATTGACTTGTGCGATTTTTTTTTTGTAGGACAATATATGGAACATATGGTGATAATTCCCTGCCACGGGATATGGAAAGGTGGAACCACTAAAGGTGAAGATAGAGACGAATGGGTGCTAGCACCGTTTCAGATCGAAGGAAAAGACCATTTAAGCATGAAAGAACATATTTTAACTAGTCTAAAGCTTTTATCTGATAACACGGTTATTGTGATCTCTGGTGGAAAGACAAAGAAGGAGATCAATGATAGTGAAGCCAACTCCTACTACAAGTTGCTCAAAGAATACAGCGATGCCGAAGTCTTGTTAGAGGAATATGCTAGGGATTCGTTTGAAAATGTCATCTTCCTGATATGTAGATTTTACCAGGAATATCAAACATATCCCAAGAAAATCACTGTGGTGGGATTCGAATTCAAACGTGACAGATTCTTGAAACATCATTTCAAAGAAGCTTTAGGTTATGATAACGTGGAATACATAGGGAATGCCCCTAAACCAGAAACCAATGTCGAAGAGTATTTCCAAGATCTCCACCAAAGTGAATATCGTCATGCTGTTAGATGGTTTGAACAAGATTGGTATGGAATTAGAGATCCCCTTGTGACAAAAAAACTGAGTCGAAACCCCTTCAATCTTCAACACCCATATAAAGAAACCAATCCACAATTGAAAGAGTTTTTGGACAATATTGAAGATGACGGAGACAAATTACCTAATGAGGAACTTCGTAGTCTCTTACCAAATTGGGGAACGTAAGAATATATAAATATATTACACTATGTACTTTAGTTTTTTAAGGATCTTCTCTTTTGAACAGCTTGACTTAATTTAGTTAACATATCAACAGTGGTGTCCCAACCAACACAACCATCAGTGATGGAAACACCGTATTTCAAAGTAGACTTATCGGCATTTTCAGCTGGCATACTTTGTTTACCTTCATTTATATGAGATTCGATCATAACCCCAATGATTTTATCTTCACCGTTGGAGATTTGTTCAACTACAGAATCCAAGACTTTTGGTTGGTTTCTATAATCTTTTTGTGAATTATCATGAGAACAATCAACCATTAATTTAATGGAAGGATCAGTAGATTTAGCAATGGCTTCTTTAGCAGCTTTAACAGATTCAGCATCGTAATTGGTGATTTTTTTACCTCCTCTTAAGATGATGAAACAGTTATCGTTACCTTTGGTGGTGGTAATAGCAGCCATACCATCTTTAGTAACACCCATGAAATGGTGACCTTTTGATGAAGCTTGAACGGCATCTAAAGCAACACCTAAGTTACCATCAGTACCATTTTTGAAACCAATTGGGAATGATAAACCTGAAGCTAATTCTCTGTGTAATTGAGATTCAGTAGTTCTTGCTCCGATAGCACCGAAACTTAAGAAATCACCGAAATATTGTGGTGAAATGGTATCTAACATTTCAGAACCAATAGGTAAACCAGCTTTACCAGTTAAATCGGAGTATAATTGTCTGGAGATTCTTAAACCTTTGTTAATATCGAAAGAGTTATCAACGTTAGGATCGTTGATTAAACCTTTCCAACCAACAGTGGTTCTTGGCTTTTCTAAGTAAGCTCTCATGACGATCAATAAGTCATCTTTCAATTCTTCGGATAATTTCTTTAATCTGCCAGCGTATTCTAGGGCAGCATCAGTGTCATGGATGGAACATGGACCAACGATAACTAAACATCTATCATCTTTACCTTTTAAAATATCGTTACTTTCTCTTCTACCTTTGATGACTACATCTAAGGATTCTTTAGAAGCTTTGATTTCGTGGGCTAAGTATGATGGAGAAATCAAAGGATCGTATCCTAAGATTCTAGTATCGTCGTACTCTGCTGGAACTGGGCTACTCATTATGATAAGTAATTTTTTGTGGAAACTTTTCAAATTTTTCATTCTCATTATGACTCCCAGGGTCGTGCGCGGCTCGAGAGCTTGGGTGATGGAAGTGTGCTGAAGGCTATGGAAGGGAGCACATGGACCACTTGGGGATGGCAAGAAGGTAAAGATAGAAGTAAAGAAGGTTTGGGGGAGGGATTGGGGAGTTTAAAAGGGTGATTAGCGACTAATATGAGGCATTTTGGTTAGAAGGTAGGTGTTCGGAGTTTTACACGTGTTGACTGAACACCTGTCAGTGAGTCGTAGGGTACCAAGAAGACTCAAGAATTGATTCAGAGTACACGGAATGGAAGATTTTCGACGTTAAAAGGGTATTTACATTGAAAAACCTCGATCTAACAGCCTCATCTACTGGTAGTAACAAGCCGTTTACCTTCAATCATACCCAAAGTCATCTCATGACCCCAAAATCATCATCAATTGTCCCAAATCGATCTCTGGATCATCCCTGACATATTTACGGCCCCATATTATGTATTGTTACTTATTTGATAACACCATCATAACCTACCACTGAAAAACCCCCGTTTAGGAAATACATTTCCACCTAAAGGCTATCGTCGGCTTTTGACATATTTCGCAGGTGCGCGAGATAAGTGGTCAAGGATGAAGGACTCTCATAGAATATTCACTTCTTTTCTAGGGTTTGGGCTACTTAATAATATTTTATATGTGGTAATATTATCAGCAGCAGTTGATTTAGTAGGATCACAAACTCCCAAAGCGGTAGTATTATTATCGGATATATTACCTGCGTTTTTACTAAAACTTGCGGCTCCGTTTTTCATTCATTTAATTCCTTATAAGACCAGATTATGGTTATTAGTAGGTTTATCCATGACGGGAATGTTCATAATCAGCTTGGTAGATCATATAAAGTTCAAGATTTTCGGAATTTGTATGGCATCATTGAGTTCAGGATTAGGTGAATTAACTTTTCTCCAATTAACTCACTATTATGATGAATTACATTCAATTGGTGGATTCTCCTCGGGTACAGGGGTTGCTGGATTAGGAGGAAGTTTCCTATTTATGTTGTTGACCAACATTATGGGAGTATCCATATCATGGACTTTACTTCTATTCTCAGTCTTACCCCTTGGATTTATTATCCTTTACTACTTATTATTACCTCCAATGGCTGAGGAAATACGTTATGAAGCTTTAGATGATTACGAATTAACGTCACATTCCTTCAAAAACCATTTTTTCACTATTCTTGATCAAATCAGACCTTTGTTGAGACCTTATATGATACCTTTATGCACAGTCTACATTTCAGAATACGTTATAAATCAAGGGGTTAGTCCCACATTACTTTTTCCCTTGGAAGAATTACCACGTTGGCTTTTCAAGAGCTTTAGAGATATTTATGTGGTGTATGGATTTTTATACCAATTGGGAGTGTTCATATCTCGTTCGTCTATAAATTTTGGTTTCAGATTCAAAAATCTTTATTTACTAAGCATTCTTCAATTCATCAATGTTCTTATTACCATCACCCAATCAGTTTATTTCTGGCCATTTCCTAAAATATGGTTCCTTCTCGTTCTCATCTTATATGAAGGGTTGTTAGGAGGATTATCTTACGTAAATACATTCTATTCTGTCAGTGAAGAAAGCTCCAAAAATAAAAGAGAATTCAATATGGGATGTGTTGGGATGAGTGATAGTTTAGGTATTGTAATAGCTGGGTTAATCAATTATAATTTGGAGAGAAGCTTATGTAATGCCCAAATTTCTAGAGGTAGAGATTGGTGTCAAAGAACTAAATAAGAATAAATATATTAAACCTTTTCCATGTGTCCCAATTTAACCTTACTATCCAAAGAACTGGTTTCACTTTGAACTTCTCTGATTGAATGCATATCACTATGAATTTCTAAATCTCTATGGAATCTTTCGTAACCCAAGAATGTAATTAAAATGATATAAGCAAAGATAGCACCACAGAAAATGGAAGTAACTAAAGCATAGTTATGAGAAGGTAAACCAGTTTTGGTTGTAATGGGGAACTGTTCACTCAATTTGGACTCGATAGTCGATGACGCACTGGAGGCTAAATTACCCAATTGGTATACCACACCCGACAAGAAAGCTCTATAATTGGCGTTAACCAATTCGATGATAATACACACAGAAATACCGTAAGTGGCCATAACACAAAATACCAAGAAGAATGAACCACCCAAAATAGTTGGTACATGATCAACCATATAAGCGGGATATAAGAAAGCACCACCAATAATAATAAAAATGATGATAGTTAATCTTCTACCTAATAATTCGGATAATTGACCAACTAAGAACCCTCCTACCATAGCACCAATATTAGCTACACATAAGATAATTGTTCTAGTATCAAAATCGTATTGATATTGGGTAGATAAAATGGTAGGGTAAAGATCTTGGGTTCCATGAGAACTGAAATTCATACCTGCCATCAATAAAACCAAGTAAATGAAAGTTAACCATTCAGTTTTGATGGTTTTCACAACCGCTGGATCAATGTATTTGGAGATACCTGTTCTGTTAATGAGTTCTCCAGAAGCTTCTTGTTTGGCTTTGATCATCTTTTTCTGTTGTTGTAATTTGACAAATGCCCTGGTTTCTGGTAAGAAGAATCTCCATACAATGATAATACATGGTAAACCAGCAGAAAACCAGAATAAAGATCTCCAACCTTCTCCTTCTTTATAAGTTGGTTCAAAAGCTCTGAAAAAGGCAGTGGCTAAAAGATAACCTAAATTGTAACCAACCAAAAAGAAGGCAGATAATACTGATCTAGCTCTAGGAGGTAAATCTTCTAAAGCAGTGGTACTGGCAGCACCATACATAGCACCCATTAAAGCACCAAAAACAGCTCTAACACCTAAAAATTGTTGGTTAGTCTTGACGAAACCAGTTCCTATTTCAATGACTATAAATCCAAAACAAATACCTATGAATACCCATTTTCTTCCATAATAATCCGCTAAGATACCTCCAATAGCCGCACCAACAGATCTTAACATTAAAACCAATGTAATACCCCAACTAATTTCTGTAATAGAAACATTTAATGTAGCAGCAATTTCAGGTAAAGCAACAGAACAAGCGAAAAAATCAAAAGCATCGATAACCCAAGCAGTGAAACCACAAAAGTACATGGAATAACCCAAAGGTGTCACTTCTTTTAAACCAGGAATAGGATTTAAAGTTTCCCAAACAGTTAAATTAGATTTTTTATAAGGTAAGTCGAATAAAGTTGAAGCTCTGGTAGCAAGATAATGTCTTACAGATGGCCATGAAAGATCAGGCTTTTCATTGAAGATTTGCTTTTCAGCGTATTCAATCTCGTCACTCATAGTTTAGCGATTCAAACAATAGAAACGGGATTATTGTGAAGAAAAAAAAAGTAGGGATGAGGCAACTTTATATTTCCCCAGATTTTTGCGGAGGGGCTTAAGGCGGGGTCTCGGAGTTCTCTTGAGGGTGATCGACCGCGTTGATCCTTCATTTGCCGAGGTTTTAGACGTGGAGGACGTTGTCAACAGTAAGTAGATGATGATGGTACCAATAGGTGGTAGATATGGTCTAATGGTTAGGTGGTGGTGGTATATTTTCGAAAAGATAGTATACCAGCGGCTTTCGCAATGTAACAACTATCAATCTCTTTGATGTGATTGGTGCGGATAATTCCTTCAGGGATTTATTTTTTCAGATAACAATGGATAAGCGTGGAGATTAAATCTGGGCAAAGGGATGAATCCTTACAGACAACTAGAAGGTATCACTATTAGAGATGAAGATGTGAACTCAACAGCATTAGGGGGCGTGGGGGATTTTGAGTAGTGGAGGAGAAATTTGTGGGACTGTGTAGAGCAGAAAGTTTATATGGTTGTGGGGATTACACCCCGGACAATCATCTTAGTAACATCGTTGCCCGTCTGAATGTACAACAAATTAAACCACCCTGTCAAATCTATGTTTTGGCAGAATTTTCGAACTCTTTCCTGGAAGCTATACTTACCTTGTATGAAATCTATGCTGGAAAATTATTCTATATAATGATTCAATGCCCGAATCCACTCAAAGAGCATGAATCGTTACGAGTCCGTGGTGTTCTTTGAACGTACTTCCAAGAGATCAATGATGAAAGCCAAGCTCAAAAGATTGACAAAATATCTCAAGTCAGGAATTCTCAGATGTTTTTCCGATAGGATAAACTATTTCTCCACTAAACCACATCATGGTAGTTTTGATGAATTTGATGTATCTGATGGATCTGGATCCATAGTTGGAAGATCAACAGAGAGTCTTGCTTTGAAGAAAATCATGGAAATCACTGATGCTATGGTTGATGCCTCGCACTCAATGCCACATCTCGGAGCTATACTCATGGAGTACTCTGAACCAAGAGTAGATCCCCAGCTTGTGGATATTGGCGCAGACTATTTGATGTATGAAAGGTATTTATGCTCTATTGGGTGCAGTTCAAGTGTTCAGGGGATGAAAAGTGACAGTTTGGATGCTGAGCATGGAAGTGTCGATACTAGTTACAGGAGTATGGACAATTACACCGCTGAAACTCTGCCGAGTTTGATCAGTTTCAAAAGTACCGAAACAACTTACTATGATAGTATATAAATCTATGTTGATGACCTCTTGTCAATTCTATGCCATCTATGAAGTATATACGATCTCATCAACTGGATTTTTTAAGTAACATGTCACAACTTATTAGAGAACATTTGCAATTACACTGGACAGGTCAACAGAGCTATCAGGTCAAAGACGGAGTGGAGCTTTACACTTTCGAGTCCGATAGGGTTCGGAAAATGATCAAAAAGAGTTCATGCGGACTTACCTTTAGCTATGACGATGAAGAGTGTCACGAGTATACCTCAGAAGGTCCTTGCTGTTCTCGATATAGTTACAGGAACAAGAAGCCGTGGTTTGATGATGAAGTTTATTTTCATGAGTATCGAGAAGAGCCTTTGTTTTGGGCTGAACAATACGAGGGAAGAATCAATGGACAGGATTGTAGATTTTCCCAGTTTGGAACTGACGACCATTATACTTATGCTTACTACTGGGACGACTGTTTGGAAGAGTACACTAGCTATGAGCTGGAGGGAATTGTAACCTATGAGTTTGTATACAAAGATATATTTGAACTGGGAATCATCACAGGGGAAGAATCACCTGAAGGACACCAATATTATCACGAGTTTCATAACCTACAAGGCTCAGGAGTTGAAGGAACCGTAGAGGAGGAAACACAAAGAATTCTTCCATCCCCTGAGAGAAAAATAAAACTCAAAAACATCTGCATACTAATCGTCGCCACACTAATCTTGACCACAATAATGGTTGTTCATAAAGTACTTTTATTATAATACAAACTATTCAAGGTCTTCATACTTTTCTAATCTATCTTCTCCCTTATCTTCATCATCTATTTTAACACCTCCACTGACGGAGAACTGACCTCCAGCACCAATGAGAGTGATATCATGGTACTTGGTGGCAGTGTTGACGATTCTAGTTGGTTTTTCAACGTCATCATCTAAAGGACCTAAACCAGGACCATAAGTATCACCGAAACCCCAAGAAAACACCATTCCATCTTCAGTTACAGCGAAGGAATGATGTGATCCAGTACCAATGGTTTTACATTTGACACTGTCAGCACCAATAATTAACTTGGTAGGAACGGGGATAGCTCTAACATTTCCATGTTGGTCCTTGAAGGTAGAGTCTGGTAATTTATCTTTAGGAATACCAACTTCTTTCATATCATATCTTCCCCAGCCCCAAACTTGACCATTGTTATCCAAAGCTAAAGTATGGTGTTCACCCCCTACAATTTGTACGATTCCTAAATCGGATAATTGAGGAATAACTGTTGGTTTGGTGATCAAGGATTCATCTTCTAACTCTCCCTTGGAGTTAGTGAGTGCACATTGGCCGTATTGGTTCAATCCCCAAGCATAAACTTGACTATCATGGTCAATAGCGAAACAATGGAAATCTCCACTGGCAATATACTTGATGTTATAAAGACCGAATTGTTGAGGTTCCAAAGCTCTATATCTATGTCTATCGAGGATCTTTCTTCCTAATTGGAACTGTTGACCATTACCCCAGGCCCAAACAATCCCCTTGGAGTCTAAAGCTAAAATATGATCTTTACCACCAGCCAATTGAACGATATTTTTGAATTCAGCAATCTTCATTGGTGTTTTTTGGATCTTGATTTCATCTCTTAAGAACCCTAAGAGCCCTTCATTGTTTCTGAAACATCCCCAAGCCCAAACATCCCCATTTTCTAACAAAACAGCACTCAAATTATCAGTAGCACATAATTGCACGATAGTTGAAGAAGGTAAACCTTCAACTTTCCCTGGGGTGGATTCAGCTTCGTTCAAATCACCATCTTCATCTTCACTTTCTTCAGCATCCATATCTTTCAACACTTCTTTGGCTTTAGAAGTATCCCTACCTAAAACTCCACTATCATTACCACCCCAAGACCATAATTCATTATTAGAAGCTAAAGCTAAAGTATGGATTCCACCAACAGCAAAATCAACAATACTTTCACCTTTTAAGGCTTCTGAAGTTAAATATGGGTTGAGTCTGGGTCTCTTTACTTCTTTGTTTTTGGCAGAAGGACCAAGTCCTAATTCACAGATCGATCCAGTACCCCAAACAAATACGTCTAATTTAGTTGATTTGGGTTTACCGATGGAATTGATTTCAGGCAATCGGGAATATGAATGTAAAACATTGGAATTAGTGGATCTAATTCTTTTGGCAGTACCATTTGATGAAGGTGAAGCCTTTCTCTTTCTGTCCAATGCAACCATGTCGATGAGTTTTTCGCTTAGCAACGAAGAAATTGCGATGTGGTGCCACCAGTGGCGGTGGACGTAGTGACAGTGGTGCGAAGTACTGGGAGAGTTACTACTACGAGCGGGAAGTGGTTTTTATGAGGGTCCAAACATATTTGTTCAATGAGTAACAAGGGTTTAAGTTTGAAGTTGTTGGGTATGATACAATTGAGCCAACAACAGTTGCATACAATAACCACTCGGCTGATAGCTAATCAACTGATACCTTCCAACAAGAAGCAAAAAAAATGGCGTCACAGACAGGATTCGAACCTGCGCAGGAAATTCCCAATGCCTAACCGCTAGATAGCAGGGCATCGCCTTAAAACCACTCGGCCACTGTGACCGCGCTAACGAAAAATTAGTATTTTTCACTCAAGTCAATGAAAACACATACCAAAAATTTTTGTCATGTTATATCGTCCCTTGGACCATAAAGTCACTACAAAATGAGAGATATAGGCCCACACAAACCACAGAACATTCCCCAGAACGACCAAATACATTCACGCGACAATTAAGCGCTATGGAGTTGTTGTCCGGCTCGAGATCAATAGCCGATTCGCATACCTTTGATTCACAACGGTATTATTTATCCACCTTCTTACCTTCCAAGGCCCTAGCATGTCCCCAACTTTCATACATATCAAATTGAATACTGCCATCACACACTTAACACCAAGAAGCTACATATCTTTGTGTCCCTTGTAACCATAACTCCCTTTACCCTCAGCACACGACTGTTCGGAGTGCCCCACTCCCTTTCGGACATCTGCCAACCCCACCAAAACTACTGTCAATTCGATTTCAACTACAAACCCCGAAAATCTAACTCCGGTGTTACCTACTACTTAAGTACTACTAGAAATCCCCGGATAATAAATCCCGATAGTGAATCTGACTCAATATCACATTTTTTAGTGAGAATTTTTTTTCCTCCACAACCTGTAGCAACGGATATTCACACAAGTAAGTTAAAGGTAAGAAAACCATGGACCCAACCAATGATCCCAACTTTACACCACCGTCTTTGAACCCTAACATTGAACCTACGGCCCCATCATCCAAGATTCCAAAGAATGCTCCCATCCAACCATTAGTTTTAGCAGATATGGGGGAACCTGTTGATGCTCCTCCACCTCATCCACATCCTTCAATGTCATCAGCCAATTTGAAAAAAGTCACCCATTCCAAAATTCCTATCAAACACACGGAATTAATTGATTCCAATTCATCTTCAGATACAGAAATTTCCACCAAACCTCTGTTCCATATAGAAGATGATCAGGAAGGTGAGGTAGAAGCTATTTTACCACCATCAGTGACAATTAAGTCCAATCAAATCGCTGATTTGGAAGAAGTTCCTCATGGAATTCAACGTCAGGCCAAAAAAATCGAAGATTATCAATTCCCAACTCATAGATTAGCCACTAAATTGAATGATGATTCCAAATATCCCTTAGTTATTGTGGCTTGTGGGTCATTTTCTCCAATCACTTATTTACATTTAAGAATGTTCGAGATGGCTTTGGATGCTATCAATGAACAAACTCGATTTGAAGTCATTGGAGGGTATTATTCACCAGTTTCTTCTAATTATAAGAAACAGGGACTTGCTTCAAGTCATCATAGAGTAAGAATGTGCGAGTTGGCATGTGAAAGAACCAGTTCTTGGTTAATGGTAGATGCTTGGGAGAGTTTACAACCCAAATACACCCGAACGGCGTTGGTTTTAGACCATTTCAATGAAGAAATTAATATTAAACGAGGAGGAATTATGACCAAGAATGGTATTAAGAGAGGTGTTAAGATCATGTTATTAGCAGGAGGTGATTTAATCGAATCTATGGGAGAACCTGATGTCTGGGCTGATCAAGATTTACATCATATTTTAGGAAAGTACGGATGTTTGATTGTGGAAAGAACCGGATCTGATGTAAGATCTTTCCTTTTGAGTCATGATATCATGTATGAACATCGTAAGAATGTGTTGGTGATTAAACAATTGATTTATAATGATATTTCATCGACAAAGATCAGATTATTCATAAGAAGAGGGATGTCAGTACAGTATCTTTTACCTAATTCGGTAATAAGATATATTCAAGAGCATAAATTGTACATTAATGAAACTGAACCTGTAAAGCAAGTTATGTCCGATAAAGCTGATTAATTCAATTCTGTATTGTAGTTTTAGATAAATGTAAGTTAAGTAGAGAAAGTCTGTTAAAAGCAAATCTATATATCAAAGTAATTATGCAAAAGATATCATACCCACCTAAAGGCCCTAAAAAATTTTCATTTCTTCCCATCAAAATTATAATCAGTTTTTTCAACATTAGTTGAACTCCAAGAATCAGCTTGATCGATTACTTCTACATCTTCATGACGTTCTATTTCATCTAAGTTAGCCATCCATAATTGAGGAACAAATTTACATAATCCATAGTAAATAAGTCCACTAACAACTATACCGGTTACATAAGACACGGAATAGAGGTAGATAGCACCAGTTGGAATTCCAACGGCACCACAAGCAGCAGCCAAACCAGGTAAATTGGGAGCAATCCCACAGAAAAATGCAATAAAGGCAGGAATGTTGAAACCTTTGAAGAAGTAAAATGGACCTTTTAATCTGTACAACCCTGGAATATCCAAATATCTTCCACGTAAGATGTAATAATCAATGATCATGATAGCTGCTGGTGGGGCCAAAAACATAGTATAACCACCTAAGAATTTGGAGAAACTAACAGCGTTATTTTGAATTTGCCATGGGTTAACCAATACTCCACAAATAAGACAAATAAAAGCTCCACGTCTTGGATCAATGTATCGTGGGAACCATAAGGATAAATCATTGGCAAAAGAAACGGTATTGGCAGAGACGTTTGTACCCATGATAGCTAACATCCAACAAATAGATGAAAATGCTTGGGCTGCTCTGTTATTCCACAATTTAGATACTTGGATAGGGTTCCATGTCAATTCTCCGTAGATAACTTGACAAGCGGATGTGACGACAATACCTAAAATACCACATAAAGTCACTAACACCACTAAACCTACAAATTGAGGCCACATGACTTGTTTAGGCTTTTTGGCATAACGGGAGAAATCAGCAATGTTCAAAGCTAAGGTAGCTTTAGGACCAATAGCTGAAATCATACATCTGAAAAATACAATTGCCACAGGTGTACCGTCTTTAATGTTATTTCCTTGTTTGAAAATAGGACCAAATCCGTGAGCTTGAGATACTGCCCAAGCAAACAAAACTATCCCGAAGATAGGCATGATGACAATTTTCACGTAGAAGAACCATCTTAATTGGTTAACGTTTAACCATAATAATGGAAGTTGTAAGATGACGAAAATGAAGAAACATAATAATTCAGCAGAAGTAATATGAGCTGATGCTGGTAAATGGTTAGGGAAAGTAATAAATGATGGCCAGATAGCTTCTAATAAAGCTTGTGTCACTTGACCACCTTGATAGGTTTGTGTACCACACCAAATTAAGGCCACCATACCTCTAACTAACACACCAAAATAAGCACCCCTAACACCGAAACTATATCTCATGGCAATAGTAAAACCAAAACCAGTTTTGGCACCTATGGAAGCATTCAACATATTAGGAATAGCCACGATAATATGACCTATAATAAGTGATAAAATAGCTAACCCCGGACTTAACCCAAGAGTAATTGAAGATGAGGCCACTTGATACATTGACATACTGAAAGCTTCAGCGATCCAAAAACCTAAGAAAGATGGCCATTTCCATTTTCTTTCATCTGATCCCACAGGAACAGGATCTAAGTATCTATTAGTAGCTAAGGTACCATCAGAATAAGTACTTTCCAGTTGTTCTACTAATAACTTAGTTTTAAACTCCAGCCATCTCATCGCGATTTTATTATATGAGCAACAAATGGGATGTAATACAAATCAAAGGGAGGCTTGTATAGAAGAATGGTATTATTGTAGGACTATCATTTTATATTTAAAGTTAAATTATGTTAGGAATCTTATCTCCACCTTTACCTCAGCTAATACTGATAAGCTTATCTTTTACCGGTAAAGTCGCAACAACACGCCGGAATTTTTATCTAACAGACTGAATGTTCGGAACGGAATTAAAAGGAATTTATGATTGGATTACAATCGATGCGCTTAAAATCAGGTAATCGATAAATCTATTAAAACGTTAAATTTTTCTCTTTTTTGTCTCAGAGGATCTAAATCATTTTTTATAAAGATGATATTTTTATTATAGGTAAGGGGTGTTAAAAGTTGACGCGGGTGTGCGGAGGAAGAGATTTTAAACAGTTTATCCGATGCGCAGAACGCAAAAAATGACTGCATATTTCCATCATCTTCACCGGCCCGGTAATAATATATTAAAAAATAACAACACAAAATTCCTTTGACAACAGGAAGGCTGAAACGATGAAATGCACTTCGGTTATAAAATCAATCATTTGACAAAACAATAGGTATTCACAAATCTATTGACGAATCCCAGAACTGTAAATTCAGTATAAGATTGTTCCAGGGGTTTTCATGATTCTCTTCCTTTATCAAAGGACTTTCATTATCTTGATAATTAAATTCATTAACGGTAAAATTTTCTAAAATTTCATTCATGATAAGTTCTTCTTGATCGAAAACGGTATTTGATGGTTGAACAGTGGGGATTTTTGGTTGAGGGATTTGTCCATGGAATTCATAACTTGGAGATGCCATTTCACCAAAATCTGATTGATTACGTTTATATTGTTTAACATTATCAAGTAATTGATCTAACTTCCTTAATCTTAAATCATTCTCCATAGCAGTGAAATTTCCTGCTACTTTCATGTATTGGTTAGTCTCCCTTCCAATGGCTATTTGAGGATATTGATGTCCGCAACAGCTACTCATAATTAAAATCAATAATGACAGAAAACAATATTGAGCATCCCAGAATCCAAATGTGGAGAACCATCCACTTTTCTTCAAATGATGAAGTATATCTATAGTTGTCTTGGCAGCAATAGTACATTTTTGGATAACTCTTTTATTTATGGTATTCTCACTTATAGTACCTTTAAACACCGACAAGGCTAAAGGTCGAGTAGTAATGATAACAATTTGATTAAGTCTGAGGTAAAGATTAGCCGAGGATCTGTTGGTAGTACTAAAAATATTTTTTTTGATGGACACTGGTAATGATTTTTGGAAATTATCTAAATCTTCTAAACATTCCACGATATTCTTTAAGTTGATAATCTTTGTTTTATATATCTTTTTCATGACTTTATTTATTAAGATGGCTAGTTTGACGTTGATGGTGAAAAGTTCTGGCAGTAAATCGTCATTTAGACGAAGGGAATTTTCATCAGGTAAATCAATCTCAATATCTTCAACCGTAATATGAATAGGATGACCTAATTTAGATGACCAGATGCTATCTAGAACAAAACAGGTCCACCAAACTTTCTTCCTTTTCTCTATTTCAGCTTCTGACATATTAACATCACTCACACGTTTATGTAATCCCATTAACATGGAATTTCTTAAGGCCAAACCATAGAAATTGTACACTGCATTGACTCTATTAAGACCTTGTTGATAAAACCCAATTAATAAAAGGGTTTGGATGAATTCTATGGTTAAGTTTTCGTAATAATTCTGAAATAATTGCATAGCTGGAGCAAAGAATCTCATTCCTGGTACTCCACCATCAGGACTTTCATTAAGATATTGTTCTCCAACAGCTAGGATAGTCAAAAGATAACAACAAAATACAGGATCTCGATCACTCACAGTATCATAAGTTTCATTCAATTTTTGGAAGATTAAGTGTCTATCAATAAAGTAATATTCATATCCCAAAAACCCAATGACTTTATCAATTAAGAAAATGGCATAGTTTTTCTCGGGTAACATCATCACACCTCTGAAAGATTTCTTCATATTAGTATCTTGAAGGAAATATCTTAAATTATCGTTATCTTCATAATTGGAATTGTGTGTGAACTTGAAAAGAAATGAATTCAATGAACTGTCAAACGTCTGACAGGCTGCAGTTCCAAAATAATTTTTATCTCCTACTACCTCCTTATCAAAAGGATCAATATATTCTTCTTCAACTTTGATATCACCACCAATATCTTTCTTTTTTAATTCACTTTCTAAAAATTTGATACGGTCTTGAAGCTTTTGGAACTGGGAATCAAGGAATACTAACTTCTTCTCTCGTACTGGGTATTGACAATCTTTATTGGCACTTTTACATGATTTACAACTTGGATGGTCTGATAACGTTAGTATCATAATTTGAGATGGAAATTAAACTCCGCTAGATAAACATACCTTTAGAACACTTCATCTTCTGACTCCTACACCTCAAACAAGCCATCTGGGTTCTACCCATAGCCTTGACACTTAAAGGCTTGATGTCCATTGGGGTTAAAACTATTGATTTTTTTTCCTAATGGAAAAATGTACTATTATTACTTAAAAAAAAAGAAATAAAATATAATGCGCTTTCTACAGGATCTGGTGTACCGATGGGAACGTCGGTGTACGGGGGAACACCCATCTCACAGGAGTTTTTCCCTTCACCGGAAAAAAAATCTATTATATGTAGGCACAGCAAAAAGAGATGGGTTATGAAAGATATTATTCATTTAAAAATGGAATTGATATCGTGGAGAGGGCCACGTAATGATGAGGCATGACGCTTAAGATATTGACCAGATTTTGAACCAATTACTCCACTGTTATCTCTATCGTAAACGACTTCGCCTCGTAAGATTGTATAACGGGGCCAATTAGTAAACTGCATCCCCTCATAGGGGGTGTAATCAATACTGTGGTTCAACATGGCATTAGTTAATTTAAAGTTGATTCGGTTTTTAGGATACCAAATAGTTATATCTCCATCAAATCCAACTCCAATAGTACCTTTATTAGTTAACCCATATAATTTAGCTGCATTAGTACTGGTAAGTTCAACGAATTTTTGGGGTGAAATCCTTTGAGTTTCAACTCCAAAACAAAATAACAATGGAATTCTGGTCTCGATTCCGGGTAATCCATTAGGGATTGACTTATAATGAGGGATACCATTAATTATCCCAGCTTTTTTCCCTTCAGGATCATCATATGTAGTTGGTGCATGATCACTACTGAAAACAGTAACGGTACCATTATTGATATTATCCCAAATGGCATCCAATTCACTTTGTTCTTGTCTCAAAGGTGGTGAACAGATATATTTGGCACCTTCAAAATGATCGTGGGGATCTAAATGATGAATACATGAAGGTTTCAAGTAATCAGCGGTTAAGAATAAATATTGTGGGCAAGTTTCTGAATAAATAGGGATATTATCAGTTTGGGCTTTTCTCACATGATCCATGGCAGTCTTAGATGACATGTGTACAATCAAAATAGGTACATCAATCAATTTTGCAAGGGCAATGACACGATAACTGGCTTCTTCTTCAGCAACCAATGGTCTGGAGATTGAATGGTAGAATGGATCAGTTAAATTCTTCTTTTGAAGTTGTTCATTGATGAAATCTATAATATCACTATTTTCTGCATGAATCATGGTAGTGACTCCAAGTTTCCTATTGGCCAACAAGACATTCAATAATTGATTATCAGTTAACTTATAACGTGGATAAGTAGTATAAACTTTAACAGAAGTAATCCCTTCTTGAGCAATGATCTCAGGGAATTCTTCGGTTAACATCTCTTCATTGGGTTCGGAAATAATCAAATGGAATCCGTAATCACAGTAACTACCTCCCTTCTTATTAGCACGCTTATGGTAATCTTGAACCACAGCAGTAATGTTCTTCTCTTTTTTTGGTTGAATGGCGAATGGAAGTATAGTGGTAGTACCTCCGGCAATGGCTGACTTAGACCCACTATCGAAATCATCTCCTGTAGGAGCATTATCTTGATCCAAATGAACATGGGAATCGATCCCTCCAGGGGTGATATAAGCTCCTTCACAATCTATTTCTTTCTTTCCTTTTAAAGGTTGAGTGGTCATGGTTTCAATGACCCCATTGTTGATTCCAATGTATATTGAAGGTGGTAATATATCCGATGCAGTAACCACTACTCCATTATAAATAACTAAATCGTAAATCATGCTTATCTCGTCTATGACTATTTGAACTAAAGGTTTCTTTTAGTGATGCTTTTATATGAATTTTTTTTATTTGATAAATGACAGGATCCTAATTCCTACTTAATATATCTATGACGGTGTACGGTGGTACGATAAGACGTAAATCGAGAAAAATTTCAAAAGGAATTGAAGGTGATTAAATACCGATAAGAAACTCCCGCAGTGATTTTTCCGTGTGTGGAAAACTTAATCCATTAGGCCTGGTATTACAGCTTATGGAAATTTCCTAATCGATGTTACTTACTGATCTCCCTGTGGTAAGAAATCCTATAGGTAAAGACATACCTGAAGACAAGTTAGTCAAGGTATTATTAATCAATCCAAATGCTAGTGAATCTATGACTTTAAACGCAATGAAAATGGTTGAGGGGTCCTTACCAGTTGATGCTATAGTCTATGGATATACTGGTCCCAAAGGTATTACACCCAGTACCATTGAAGGTCATTTAGATGGAGTGTTGTCGTCAGCAGCTGTGTTCAAAGATGTTTATCCATTGATGAGTCAAGTAGATACCGCCTTGGTAGCTTGCTTCTCAGAACATCCGCTCACTAATTGTTTAAGAGAAGAGTTTGATATCCCAGTATGTGGGATTTTCGAAGCTGGATGTTATTCTGCCAGGTTAATTGGTGGTAGATTCGGTGTGGTTGCTACAGTTTATAGATCAGAAATTAGACATGCTGATTCCATTAAGAATTTAGGAATCGATAAATTCTGTGTCGGGGTTTTATCAACAGGTTTAAAAGTGTCTGAGTTGGAGACAAAACCTCGAAATGAGGTTTTGGGGAAAATGGAAAATATTGCCCAGGAATTAGTTGGTAGAGGAGCCGATGCTTTGATCTTAGGATGTTGCGGAATGTCAGATATGAAAAATGCCGTAGAATCATCAGTAAAAGATAAAAAAGTCATGGTAATCGATGGAGTTGTGGCCGGAGTTAATTTATTATGCGGGTTGGTGAGAAGTGGATTAAAAACTTCTAAAAGAGGATTATTCGCAAGCTCTAAAGATGCAAGAGTTTCCCGGGGTCAAGAATATCTTTGATCACTTTCCCCCTTGATCTTCGGTAATGTTAACATACATGGAATCTTGTCAACGGATTTCTCACTTAACATTGCCGGTACTCTTATTTAGGTAATTCACATCCGCTCAAACTAGAAAAAAATCTTATCGCGAAAGTTTTGCAACTCTAATGACTTCAGATAAACCAAGAATTCTTTATATTCCTACAGAGAATGCTGTTCATGACGATGAGTCTTGGAAACTTGTCAATGAAAAGTTCGATTTGGTTTATTATGATTTCGACACTATCGAGGATTATATGGAAGAGTTAAGAAAGCCAAATCATGGAAAAATAGGTAACATTGAAGCTGTTTTTCGTCCTACTTGGCTAAAAGGTGCTCCTTATGTTCATCATTATATCTTCAGAGGTGAACCTGTTAGATTATTACCTGAATCCGTGAAAATATGCGTTCAATCAGGTCATGGATATGATATAGTGGATGTGGATTATTTGACATCTAGAAATATAGTGTTCTGTAACTCTCCTGATACTGGATCAAGGGCCACTGCTGATGTTGGAATTCAACTTGTGATCAATAGTTTCAGATATTTGACATTTGCTGAACATTGTGTCCGTTCAGGGGATTATTACACATCTCAGACATTAGCAAATTTGGCTGATGATCCCAATGGACATGTTTTGGGAATAATAGGTTTGGGTGATATAGGTAAACTTGTAGCACGTACGTGTTTATCCTTAGGTATGAAAGTGATATATCACAATCGATCACGGAAAACTGAAATTGAAAAGGAATTCCCATCCGATTCCTTGACCTATGTAAGTGATTTCGATGATTTCCTCAGTCAAACTGACTGTTTGATGGTGTTGTGTCCTTATACTCCAGAAACAAAACACATGATTAATGGTGAAGCTTTCAAGAAGATGAAACTGAAAGTAAGACTTGTAAATATAGCTAGAGGTCCGATTGTTGAGGAAGCAGCAGTTATAGATGCTTTCGAAAGAGGTCAATTGGTAGGAGCTGGGTTTGATGTTCATGAGTTTGAACCTAAAATACACGAGAAGCTTCTCAGTAATTGGAAAGTCACCCTTTTACCCCATCTTGGTGCAGTAAGTCAAGCTACTTGGAAGAATTTCGAAAAATGTTGTGTAGGGAATCTCATGGAATTCTTCTATGGATCTGGAGTACCTAATACACCAATCAATCTTCACACAACCTCAAGTAAGTAAATCATATAATATATATATATTCATCTATTCAATTGGAATAGCTCCTTTTTGTGAAACTAATCTTCCATATAATTCAGGACGTCTATGTCTAGAGAAATCAAACATCTTTTGTTTACCACTAATGGTTTCATCTAAATCAATATCAGCATATAAAATCTCATCACCTTCGGTCTTTGCTTGAGCAATAACTAACCCATTAGGGTCTACAATTAATGAACCAGCAATCAATTCTTGATCATCTTCAACACCACATTTAGCTACAGAAACGGCAAAACAGGAGTTACAATAAGCATTGGATTTAGTTGATAAATCACTATGATACATTCTTACCTCCTTATTTTCAACTTTATTGAATAATGCAGTACCATCAGCGGTGGTATTATACCCATTGAAACAAATTTCCATTCCTTGTAAGGCATAAACTCTCCAAGCTTCAGGCCATCTTCTATCGTTACAAATCAACATTCCCATAATACCATCGATCCATTCTTTATTTGGTCTGAAAGCTGGGAATCCTAAATCTCCATATTCGAAATATTTCTTTTCTAATTGTTGCCATTTAATACCTTCGGTTGGTTCAACATACCCTGGTAAATGAGCTTTTCTATATTTTTGTACTACTTGACCTTGATTATCAACTAATACACATGTGTTGAATCTATGACCATCATCAGTTAATTCCGCATAACCTAAGACAAATCCACATCCTCTTTCCTTTGCAGCATCAAATAATGGTTTGACCACTCCTTTTGAGATATCTCCTTTTTCAAAAAATGAATCGATTTCTTCTTGATCTTCAATCAACCAACGAGGGAAGAATGATGTTAATGATAATTCGGGGAAAACTGCTAATGTAGCTCCATTGTCAGCACTTTCATTAAGTAATTTACATAATCTTTGAACGGTTTCTTCTTTAGGTGTAGCTCTTTGGATACCTCCAATTTGGACAGCTGCTAATTTGAATTTTCTGATCCCCATGGTTGTTAATGAAAATTTGTTTAACCTAAAGGCCCTGATTATAAAGATTCCTTATCGACGGAAAAGCTTGAGATGATTTCCGGGCGGAATTTTAATGCGGCGGCTTATCGATGTTCCTCCAGACGCACTGAGTATAATTCGGGCACTTCTTAGAATATCACCGTTTCCAAAGACGGTACTTGGAGTGTAATGGCCTGATATGGCAAGAGACGGGTAACGAAAAAGAATCCTATATTTCTAAAGCTTAGGGGTAGTTGGAATAGTTTGGAATAATTCAAATACTTTTTGAGCCATTCCGTAGGATAATTCATATCCCATACCTCCACATCCATAGGCATGAATGATATTACCTTCGGGTTTTTTCTCCATTTCAACTCTAACCCCTCCTTTACGAGCAGGTCTAAAACCTACATTAATATTTCTGATATCTAATTCCCCGTCAATGAAAAGTTCAGGGTATAATTTCTTCCCACGAGCAATTAAGGCTTGAGTATCTTCTTCTCTAGGAGTGGTCTGACTAATATCTACTTGCTTGGTACCTCCTAAAATCACACCTCCATCTAAGGGTCTTCCTATAACAAAAGTCCATAAACCATCTTTGGATTGATGAGTGATAGTCTTTTCTAAATATGGACAATTTGCAGGAGCTCTCACTAATAATGTTTGACCTCTGATGAGGAAACCTTGAGGGTCATAGCCACCATCATATTGTAATCCTCGTCCTGAAGCGTTGATAATGGTGGATTTAGGATAGTTTTCAAAGATATCTTTCAAGCTATCGAACAGTTGACGGACAAAATTCACTCCATAACGGAAGCTTAACTTATTATACAAGTATCTGAGGTAATGAGGGGAGTTTAAAGTCCAAGCTTTATAGCTAGTACCAAAAACAGAACCTTCAGGGAGGTCTTTCTGGTCGAGAACCTTGAAATCCTCAATATCTTCAGTATATCCATAACCAAGATCTTTGATAAGGGAATCTGGATTTTCAAAGTATTCTATACCTTCCACAAACTTTATGGAACTATAAGGTTCATCAACAGCCAATTTCTGAAAGTATTTTTGGGTAATCCTGGTCATTTCCATTTCTTTCTTATCTGACTCACTCCTGGAAGGTTGGGGTCTGAAGTGGGCACCAGCCCAAGGTGAAGTATATTCTGCGGTTAAAGCATCAGTAGGTAAATTTCTAGCAATAACAGTGACCTTGTAACCTTTTTCACTTAATACAAGAGCACAACTAAGGCCTACAACCCCAGCACCAACTACAATCACTGGTTTAGACATATGGACAATGCGAATTTGCAGCTATTTATGCGCGGGTGCGGTGCTGAGGATCAGAATAGTACGATCTATTGTGGTTATCTGGCCCGGGGAATTTTCTTATTACGCCGAGACACCTATAGAGACGCCATAAAAGAGCACTACAACAGGGGCCTACAGAGCACAAGAAGAGCACAACCCTATAGGAGGCAGCACTTGAAAATAGAATATTACAAGAGACACTATGCCACAGAGTCCTACAAGAAACAAAATCCTTTGATATGCTTTTATTACACCTACAAACCTACCATTCTTGAGTCTTTAACCCATACTTTGATTTCTTAGCACCTTTAATAGGTTTGATCAACTTGGATCCACCTTCTAAGAATGAATAAATATCTTTTCTTAAAGTTTCATATTTAACAATGAACTCTTCTTTTTGTAAAGTTAAACCAATGTCATCTAATCCATTGACTAAACAATGTTTTCTGAATTCCTCAATTTCGAAATTTTCAATCAAAACTTCATCAGTTTCACCGTTTCTGATTTGTTGTTTAGGTAAATCAACAGTCAATTTCTTTCCAGCTTGGGCCAATGGGTATAATTTGGATAAGATATCTTCTTGAGGGATTCTGATTGGTAATAATCCATTCTTACAGGAGTTATTGTAGAAAATATCACCAAAAGATGGAGCTATCATACATTTGATACCAAAATCTTTCAAAGCCCAAGGAGCATGTTCTCTTGAAGAACCACAACCAAAGTTATCACCAGTAACTAACAAGATATCAGCGTTTCTATAAGGTTCGACATTCAAAACGAAATCAGTTTCAACATCTTTACCAGTTTTTGGATCTTTAACAAAACGAGACTCATAGAATAAACCAGCTTTTAAACCAGTACGTTTGATGGTTTTCAAGAATTGTTTTGGAATAATGGCATCGGTATCAACATTGGCCTTATCTAAAGGAGCAGTGATACCAGTTAAGACAGTAAATTTACCCATTCCAGATTCTTGCGGTTTTTGTTTTTTGGATTCTGGTTCTTTAGGAATGTCATTGATTTGTTCATCAATTGAAGATTTATCTTCAGCTATTGGTTGTTTTTCATGTTCATAAACAGCATCTTGTAATTCTTTATCTTCTTCTTGTTCAATAACAATATCAGGTTCATCAGTATTAACGTAATCGAATTCTCTGATATCAGTAAAATGACCTTTAATGGCAGCAGCAGCAGCCATAGCTGGAGACATTAAATGAGTTCTTGATAAAGCCCCTTGTCTACCTTCGAAATTTCTATTAGAAGTAGAAGCACATCTTTCTTCAGGATCTAAAATATCTGGATTCATACCAAGACACATAGAACAACCAGCTTCTCTCCATTTAAAACCAGCAGCTTCAAAGATTTTATCTAAACCTTCCTTTTCAGCTTGTTTCTTAATTAATCCTGAACCAGGAACAATTAAAACTTCTTTAACATTATCAGCCTTTTTATGACCTTTGGCAACTTTAGCAGCAGCTCTTAAATCTTCAATTCTTGAATTAGTACATGATCCAATGAAAGCTTTATCAATTTTAATATCTTTTAAAGGAGTATTTGGTTTTAAACCTTGATATTTTAAAGCTCTTTCCATACCAGATTTCTTAATTGGATCATCAACTTTTGAAGGATCAGGTACACTGGCCGTTATTGGTAAAGCATCTTGTGGAGAATTACCCCAAGTAATTGTAGGAACAATGTCACTGGCTTTGATCTTAATGTCGTAATCAAAATGAGCACCTTCATCAGAATGTAAAGTTTTCCAATATTTAACAGCTTTATCCCATTCTTCACCTTTTGGTGATAAAGGTCTACCTTTAATATATTCAAAAGTAATATCATCAGGTTTAATCATACCAGCTCTAGCACCTCCTTCAATAGCCATATTACAAATAGACATTCTAGCTTCCATTGATAAATTTTCAATGGCTTTACCAGCAAATTCAATAACACATCCAGTACCACCAGCAGTACCAATAACTCCAATGACATGTAAAACCAAATCTTTGGAAGTAATTCCTTCATTTAAATCACCTTGAATATCAATTCTCATATTCTTAGATTTTGCTTGAATAATAGTTTGAGTAGCTAAAACATGTTCAACTTCGGAAGTACCAATACCAAAAGCAAGGGATCCAAAAGCTCCATGAGTGGAAGTATGAGAATCTCCACAAACAACAGTGGTTCCTGGTAAAGTAAAACCTTGTTCTGGTCCAACAATATGAACAATACCTTGTCTATCATCATCCATACCGAAGTAAGTAACTCCAAAATCTTTAACATTTTGTTCTAAAGTTTTAACTTGTAACTTAGAATCTTCTTGATCAATAAAACTATCAATATCTTTGAAATTAACTCTGGAAATTGTTGGAATGTTGTGATCAACAGTGGCTAAAGTACAATCAGTTCTTCTAACTTTTCTACCGGCATTTTTCAATCCTTCAAAAGCTTGAGGTGAAGTAACTTCATGGACTAAATGTCTATCAATATATAATAAATAAGATCCTGATTCATCTTTATGAACTATATGGTTTTCAAAAACCTTATCATAAAGGGTTTTAGGGGAGTTTGTCATTTTTGATTGTTGGAGATATTGACGGAGGTTTATATATGAATGATTTGGAAGGTGCGCGCCGCCAACGGTCCGGTTTCAGGACCGCACTTTTGTCCAATTGTGACTTGAGAGTTAGTCATAGATGGATCAGCGGAGCGAGTTGCGCAAGCGAGCGAGTGGCCTAGCACGAGCGTAGGCCTGTGCCCATCATGTGATAAACATGTGACCCTCGTGTGATTAAGACTAAAGCCACGTGAGGAAGCACATGACCTTCATAAGTTTTTCTCTTACTTTTCGCACCTTCGCGTATAGTGAAAGGTTATAAAGTGACACCAATTGTCATTGATTTTACTATTGCTTGGACTTTGAAGCTTACCTTATCATTTCTAATTCGTCCATTAACACCTGAAAACCTTTAAAACATCGTTCATTCATAATTAAAACCTTATCGGACCATCATGTTACCACCAGGAAGTAGAGGTACTAAGATCAAACCGCCACGGAAATCAATTGTTAATTCATCCGGTGGAGGTCAACCAATTGACTTTAATAGTTCCTGGGATGTATTGGCCGGTGCTATTGTTCAGATCCAAAACAAAAACGTATCCAATCTTTCATACGAGCAATTATATCGTAAAGCTTATACCCTAGTACTCCACAAATTTGGTACCAGATTGTACGACAACGTTAAAGAATTGATCAAGAGTCATTTACTTACCAAGAGAACTGAATTATTGATGGTTCTAGCCAATAATGCCGACGGAACTAATCGAGAAAGATTCCTTAAATCCACTTTAAATGAATGGAATGAACATCTTCAAGCAATGAAATTCATCAGTGATGTTCTTATGTATCTCAATAGAGTTTATGTTAGAGAACAGAACAAACTATTGATCTATGACCTTGGGATTCAGCTTTTCAAGGATAATGTCATCAAATATAACAATAATGAAGTAGGAGGTAAACTTACTGATATACTTATTCAGGAGATAACCAAGAATAGAGGAGGAGAAATCATATCTACGAAGATGTATATCAACAAGATCATTGAAATGTTTGAGTTACTTCATGAGAATAATAATATTTATGAAAATACCGTAGTGGAGAATTACTACCAGAAATCTTTTGAACCGGTGTTTCTTAGTAGTTCGGAGACCTTCTTCCAATCATTGGTTATTCAGAATTTGGCTTTTGAAGATAGTTTCAAGTATCTTATTGAAACTGATCAATTCTTAGAAGATGAGATATCTAGAATTAATCTTTACTTGCCTGAAACCACCATACCCAAACTTGTTGATTTAATGGATAATATTATGATTAAAAACCAACTTGATGTTATCATCAACTTACCCAACAATGGTCTTCAAACTTGGATAAGAATTATTGGTGATAAGGTGATTTCAGGGCTTCAAACCCTGACAATAGATCAATTGAAATACCTTAAACTCTTATATAAGCTTAATCATCGGATTGATGATAACTGTGAATTATTGAAAGTCAGACTTAAAAACATCATAGTAAACCAAGGAAAAGAATTTCCTCAATTGATCAAAAATGTCCTTGCATCATCAGAAAATAAAGAATCTAAAAAACAAACCACCAATACTCCAGCATTTGCCAATAGATGGATTGAATCGATTTTATCTTATAAAGCTCAATTTTCCGTGGTAGTGAAGGAATCTTTTGATCATGATTTTTCTATGGAACAATATATCACCACAGCTATACGAGATTTTGTCAATTTACCCAGTAAAATCCGCCAAAAGCCTGAAAACCAAAATCTTTTGGTAGTTAACCCCAGTGAATTGTTATCAATTTATATGGATTATCATATAAAACAATTTTCCAAACCTAATTCCGTTAAGGATAAGAAACAACTTGATAGTATCAGTACTGTGGATGAGTTCATCAACAATTCCATTCAATTCTTAAGGTTTGTTAACGATAAGGATGCGGTGGAAGCATTCTATAAGAACCATTTTGCTAAGAGATTCTTGAATTCGAAAGGTTTCAATTCTAATGGACATCTTCGTATTGATATTGAAGATTTGGTAATCTCTAAGTTATCGGAAGAATTGGGTACAACTAGTCTTGATAGTATCATCAAGATGAACATGGATATCAAACTGTCTAAAGATATAACATCGGATTGGAAGAAGAGTGTTGGAGAAAAGAAAGACAAATCTATCGTCGATCTAGATTTGAAGATTTGTAATGTATCTTATTGGCCAAATTCGATGACAAAAGATTATAAGAAACTTTCAGGGAAAGAACCTGATACTGAAGATAAGTTCATTTGGCCCCGATACCTTAAACAAACCATCAGTCAATTCGAACAATTTTGGTCTGAAGGGAAGAAGAATGATAATAAATCATTGTACTGGAGTCCTAAATTTGGATCCATCGACCTTAAAATCACCTACCCATCCAAAACCTATGAAATCAATCTTTCAACCTACGCAGGGATCATTATGTTACTTTTCGGCCCCTCCACAGTCAATTCCATGGACGCTGATTATGTGTCACCATTCAAAGATAAGAGGAAACTTACATATAACGAGATCAAACAATTAACAGGGATCCCAGAAGCTGATCTTAAACGTCATTTACAATCCATAGCTGTAGCACCAAGGTCTAGATTACTTATCAAGACTCCTATGACTAAAGACGTTAATGAAACCGATGTGTTTGAACTCAATGAAAAGTTCAAATCTCCTTCGGTAAAAGTCAAGGTCTTGACAGTCTCGGCATCGTCTACGACGAAGAAGAAGTCTAGCCATGAAGAAGAACTCGAAGAAGTTGAGTCTGACATAGCCGAGGGAAGGAAACATGAAGTCAATGCTGCTATAGTGAGAATCTTAAAGTCAAGACAATCCATTGTTCATAGAGATCTTATCAGTGAAACCATCAAACAACTTCAATCCCGATTCATACCCAGTAATATTCTCATCAAACGACAACTTGAGGATTTGATCGATAAAGAATATCTTAAGAGAGATGATGAGAATAGGAACTTGTTCCATTATATAGCATAAATCACTATTTTGTGTAATTTCTATTGAACCGTGATGTCTCTTAACATTAGAGTCCCATTGTAAAGTATTCTAATGGTATTCTTGTGGAATAAATCCCCATAGAAAACGTCTTTCAATGCAATATCTAATAATGAAGTGCACCGATTTTGTGTAACTTCTCAGGGTTTTTGTGTAACATCTCAAGATTTTTGTGTAACAATCCAACAGAATTTCGCGCACAAAAGTTTTCCTATTTAACCATGTCAGCAAACGATGTTTTGGACGTATTAAACATCCAAAGAGATACTTCTGGACAACCAGCTAAGAAGAAAGCCAAGACTTCAAATGATGGTACTACCGGGCTTCGTCAAAGTGGAATGGCACGGGAGTTATATAATCTTTTAGGACCTAATACACCACCAGTGAATCTTCAAAATACCGCCAACAACACGGGAATTAAAGATAAATGGAAGACCAAGGCCACTCCTTGGACATTGCAAGAGTTTAGACCTACGGCAGAGCCGGGTAAAGAAGAAGGGGTCAAGTTATATCATTGGGTTCGTGGAGCCAAAGAGTTACTTCAACAAGAATCATTGAAACAACCTTATTTCTTCAAGAAATTCAACACCAACGTCGATATACCCGAACTAGTGGATGAGAAGACGTATGACAAATTCATGGTAGAGATCAAAGAGCATGTGAAGGAAGAGAAGAAGATTCAAAGACAAAAAGAGAAACAATTGGAAAAGGAACGTAAAGCTAAGGAAAAGAAGGAAAAACAACGTCAAGAAAGATTGGAGAAAGAGAAATTAAAAGCCAAGGAAGCCAAAGAAGGTAAGAAGAAAGAGGTCAAAGAAGAAGAAGAGGAAGATGAACAAGATGAAAAGGAAGACGATGAAGAAGAAGAAGACGAAGAGGAAGATGATGATGATGAAGAAATTGAAGATAATGAACCAGAATGGACATATGAAGAAACAGCATATTTATTTGATTTGTGTAAAGCTTTTGAATTAAAATGGCATATCATTCATGACCGTTATCATCATGAAAATGAAAGATCTCAAGAAGATTTAAAAGAACAATTTTATCGAATTTGTAAGTATATTTATGCCAATGATACAAATGGGAACCCAACATTAATTGAAGGTTTGGGTGCATTCTCCAAAATCAAAGAAACCGAAAGAAAACAGTATCTTGAAAGATTATTAAGAAGAACTCCAGCAGAAATTGCCGAAGAAGAATCTTTGGTGATTGAAGCCCGTAGATTCGAATTAGCAGCTAAGAAAATGCTTGTGGAGAGATCTAATTTATTAACATTATTGGATTATCCCCAAAGTTCTCAATCAGTTTCTCAATACCAATCATCTCAAGGTATAGCTAACTTATACAGTAATTTGATGATTATGGACAAGAATCAAAAGAAACGTCAACAGAGTACTGCAGTGGATCCAATTCCACCACCAATACCTTTGGCTGCTTCTTCATCCAGTAGAAAAGAACGTAGTTTCCAAACTCATTTACAACAATACTTAACCGGATTAGTTAAACAAAATCAACAACAAAATGGTAAACATGAAATGTCTGCCGTACAAGCTTTGCTTACTAAAAGACTTTCTGTCAAAGATGAAGAAGCTTATGGTCTTCATTATCATAATAATGAGAAGTTAACTCCAGGTGTAGTACTTCGTTCATCTCAAAGGCTTCATGGTTTACAACAAAGGCAATCAGTATTGAAGTCAGTTAACACCATATTGGAAGAATTAGATATGGCTACAGCTGCAGGAACTTCTTGGAAACCAGTTATGCCAACTAGAAAAACCATGGCTAAGTATGATGAACTCTTACGTTCAGTGATAACTCTTTTAGATCTTAAACGAGGTAGAGATAAGTTAGAATCTGAGATCCAATTGATAAGGAGTCAAAAGGGTTTAGAATAGAAAAAAAAATGTATATTAATGTTAATGCAAATTAGAAGTCAAATGGTAAAGTTTCACTCTCAAACTCTAAACTATTGACAATGAGATTAAGTTGACTGAACTGATGTTCAGGGTTATATTTTTCCAATTCAGGGAGATTAAGACCATCTTCCATTAATTGACTTAGTTCCTTGGATGTCGTGGAAATGTCGTAGTAGATATAATGGGAAAAGGGACGGGAAAGTTCATGAAGTTTCTGGAAATTGGGGAGTTGATAGTCAATGACTTGACGTTGGATAATTTCTAAGATAATGCTTTGATCTTTGTACCCATCAAAAGCAATGAAAGAAACTTGTAATAATTTACAAGTCAAAATCATGGTTTTAAGTTGATAGTTCCTTAACACATTACCAAATCGACTGACTGATCTCGAGTTGTATACTGAAGTCATGTCTGTCATCATTAGAAGGATTCTACCGAAATCTCGATCAGTAATATCAACTTTGAATTTTTCCATTTCCCCAATTAGGAAATCCATGAGATGACATAAAAGCATCCATAGTTCTGGTTGATTCTGGATAATACCCTTGAGGTAGATACTCATTAGATGATAAATCAAATGGAATGAAGTACCTGTGAACTCCTTTAAGGTTTGTACGACATCTTTTTTGTAGATAATACTGGAAACGAGATTTTTATGTAACATGGATAATTGATCGATTTCACTCATATTCTTCCACATTAAATGGGCCGAGGATACTGGGGTGATTCCTAGCTTATTCACTAGCTCTCTGAAAACTTCCAGGTCTTTAGAAAGTTGGGATATTGATTGAAGAAGTTCAATAATTCTCTTACAACTATCAACAAATCGAGGTGACATGAAATACTTATCGTATTCATCATTGAGGAACTCCACATAATTGGTCAAGATAACCAGTTTTGTATCTTCCAGCATCCTAGGGTCATCGACAACATTGGTTAGAATACTAGAAACAATTTGAAATTTATTGGTAGATACTTCAATCTCTGAAAGGTTTCTGTTCAATGCTTGGTTCTTAAAGTTCACCATATTATACAGATACTTCCTCAAACTGTTGATAGTCTCGTTAACATAAGCTGAAGGATTGAGTTTGGATACTTGTTTCAAAATGGTTTCAATAATGGTTTCACGATGATGGTCAAGGAAATCGAACTCAAGAATCCTATTGACTAAAAACAAAACAAAGATATCTCTCAGATAGGAGTTACCCATATAAGGGAAGTCTTGAAGAAGGATCTTATTCCAATTGGCATTGATGGTTTTGCTTAATTTGATCCAGATTTTAATCGAATCTTCTATAACTTTGACTGATCTCATTTCCTGAACTCTATTCTGCATGGGGAACCGGCCCATTTGATGGTTAAGGAAGGAAGTAACTTTTGTGATGGTTTGTTCCATACACCCCAGTTGTTCCACACGGAGCAGTTGTTCTACATGGAGCAGTTGTTCCGGAAAATCTAAAGATACCATTTCAGCCACATTCAAACAGAGATCAATGAGTTTAGATGAAATACTATCATAGAATTTCCTGAGATCTAAGGCATTGAACATTTCAAAGAACTGCCAGCCATTTCCCGGTACCAAGAATATCTTTCTTACGGCTGACGTGAGTTCCATAAGCACATGTGTACTTCCCGTCAACGTGTACGTCAATTGGGATATCTTTTCCAATAATAAGGTGAATGAAGTCACAGGAATATGTCCGGAACTTCTTTTCCCTGGCACCATACTAATTTTGGCAGCCATGGTTTCACTATAACCCTTCAATAATCTGATGGTCATCTGATAAACATTGACGTTGCCACAATCAATTATCAGCTTAGTGAGGTTGGTCACCAATTGAGTTTGGTTCAAGTCTGAGACTTGGCTCAAGAGAATGACAAAGTTGAAACGATTCACATAAGCAGCAAGGGACTCCTTAGATAATTCATATTCATAACTACTGGAAATCAATAGTTTGTTAGCGAGTCTCTTCATGGAAGATGGTTTGTCCAAAGAAGAAGCAAAGTAATAAACCAACTGCATGAATCTCTCAAAGAAAGTGCTGTTGGGGATATCGTTGAAAGTATAAATTCTCCCCATAGTAGTGACCTTGGTTCCTTCGTCTGAAAAATTGAAGAATTTGTTTTTGGTGATAGTCCCGTACACCTTCATAATGAGTTTTTCTTCTAATGGCCAGGATTTTCTTTGATTGAGAAGAAAACATACATCAAGGAAGTCTTTGTGAAAGGTGCTGCTTTGGGCTGAGCTTAATGTGGCTCGTTCGTAAAGCTGGTAAAAACATTTCCAATTATAATGCTTAGAGTCGAGTTTATTGGCCACAAAAAATATACCATCTAACCATTCAGATGGTTCAAAGGTCGTTGAATCCACGTCTTTTACTCCCGTAGCCACAGAGTCCCAAATGAGACTTTTCTTATAACTCAAAAGTTGGGTTATGAACATGAAATCGTCTTCAGTATCTATCAGCACCACTTCGTCTAATTCTCGTCCTAATCTTGCAAACAAAAGTTTCCAGTAATATCCACAGAACTGCAAGAATTCCGTCTCCACAGTGGTGTTTCTGCTGAAACTATACCGTTCTTCAAGCTTCCAGAAGATAAAGAACAAGCAAAGAAAGTATGGAGCTAAAGCCCCCAATCGAGGGATGTTTCTCTTGACCAAAGTACTCAAACTTATACGGAGGTACTTCCATTCCATGTCTGAGGGAGATTCTTGAACGGTCAAGTGCCAAATAATCAATGCCTTGATTGACTGTGAGATATGGGATAAGGCTCCTTGGAACTCATCATCGTTCATGAACTTGGCTATCTTAAGTAGTGTAGTTTGGGAGTTCTTAGTCGATTGAGGTTTGTTAACTGTGTCAAAACTGAGATCCGATATGATTGGTGGGAGATTAAACAAATAGAATCCCTCAGAAAGGTTGTGAAGTCTTGAAACATCTATATCGATCATGGAGGATCTCTGAACGTCTCGTGGAGTTCGGGTGAGGTTATTGTATCGGTTGAAATTGACGAATTTCTTATCACTTTCTGCCTCGAACACTGTGGTGCTTAGGACGGGATTTCTATGGAAGTAGAAATGTCTCGGATCTAAAGTGTGTGGTTTGACTGTTTCTTTGGAGACGGAAGGTTTCAGTGGAGGTTGTGGAATTGTCGTTGGTTCTGTAACGACGGCGGTGTCACCTTCCTGAGTTGTATGGATGAGAACTCCGCTTCGGTAACTGGTACTTCGACTTTTAGAGTTTGCACTCTTCGTACTCTCACTCCTAGAGCTCCCGCTTTTATAGATGGATCTTGGTCGTGTCAGTTTCTGTGCACCTGACTTATCGAAAACCTTTCTCTTCAACATCTTCCTGGGCCCCAAACTTCTAGTACCAGTCTTTTTCCTTTTTGAGCTGGACTTAGGTGTAGCACCCTTAGTTCTGGGAGATCTGACAATGTCCGGATTGATCTCTTTTTGATCATACATCCGAGGATACTGTTGGCCCTCTTGTCGAGGTAAGTCCTCAGCTATATCGTACACATCTGTCATATCTCGGCTAGACTCTATTGGGGGCTCTTTTCTCAGTTCAAACATATCAAAATCATCTCTTTCTTCCACTTCACTATCAGATATGTCTGAAAAGTAAGCTCCGTACTTACTATCAAATAAAGAACTCTCTGTTAATGCTTCATTGACATTTACCGGTTCATTGAACGGTATGTAGTGATCACTGGTATCTGATTCATTGGTGAAAAGTTCATTATACAAATCACCTTCATTAAGAAAACGAGTTTTGTGTGACAGCTTCTTTTTCACAGCCAACCCTTTACGTTTTTCCGGTTCTAGCCTTCGTTTGGTAGTGTGGGGTTTTTTGGTGGTGTATATATCTAGTCTTCTAGCTGATTCGGGTAAAACTCCTCTAAGGACAGATTTCTCCTTCCTTACTCGCCCTCCAACTCTGACATAAGCCTCGCTATCACTAGAATCCTCTTCGGTCCCTTCACTATCACTTTGAACTTGTATGGGAGGCAAAGGTTGTCTTGCGACGTCAACCAAAGAATCATCTGAATCCGAAATGAACATCGGCTTATGAGTTTCTACCAACGAATCATCTGACCCATAGTCGCTCTGCTCATTAGTCGGACCGTATACGGGTTCTCCTATGCGGAGATCATCGCCTTCTGCTTCATATTGGGACAGTTGATTGGTATTATGGGGATTCTGGTGTGGATCATTATTGGGATGGCTGACTCCAAGGAACTTGAAGAAACTTTTCAGCTTGTACCGTTCCTCATTGGGGTACTTCTGCTTGTTCCGGAGATACTGTTGGTTCAAAAGTCGAAGCATAGTTTCAAGATCATGGTTTTGTTCGTAGATATCATTCAAATAGTCAGCACTAGCTAGACCTAGCCAATGGGCTTGATCTGCCAAATAAGGATGTGTCGATGAAAAATTACGCTTTCTTAACCCTCTTCTTGAGGTCTGAGCTTGATTATTGGCCATCAACAGTAATGCTCTTTCTATATCTTGATTTTCAGTATCACCTTTAGGAACCTGAACATCTCGATACTTTTCCTCAATTTTTGCGGAAACCTGCCGCTTTAAATCGTCATTAAGTTGCTGAAGGTATTTCTGTACCTTATCAGCAGATATGCTCGAGATAGGGATCAATTCCTCTGTCTCTGAGTCTGATATCAAGTCTGTCATATCATAATCTTTAAGGTTTTTCGCGTCTCTCGCGACATTACTTAGTGGCCAACGACATGTGACATTTCAAAACATCATCGCCAGATGTCGTACGACACTGCTATTTTTCACTGGTGCGAAACGACATCCATTTTGTCACAACTCAACATGGATAACAGACGTATTTATAAGAAGAGAAACGATAAGAAGAATTTAATATCACGGGTCAAAACATTGGTTGGCTCTTTATGGCAGAAATCACAATCTCCTGAACCTATAAAAGAACCAGAACCCACCATCAATACCCCTAAAACCAATAAGATTCTCGAATCCACCACTCCCATCACAATTAATGAACAAGTAGAAAAAACTCCCAATGTATTGTTATCGGAGTTCTTCCAACAGAAAGGTGATAAACCTTTAAGCACCATTGAATATGAAGGAGTGTTATCATTACTTTCCCAATCCAATAGAAAAGATTACGTCATGCCAGGAACTTTCTCCAATAGTCCTATCAGATCTCCTAGTAAATCCCATGATATAAATCATAGCATCAATGAAAGTTTCGTCACAAACACCAGTCCACAAACATTAAGAAACGAATCGTCAAGGATCTTTGCCACACCTGAATACAAATCGGTTTATAATTTAACCAGTTCTACCAAAAAGAAGGTTCCTTCAGTTAAACGAGTGTATCAATTTTCAGGATTACCATCTCCATATAGAACGAGAATCAAACCTCCAGTCATGACACCCAAGAGATTAAAACCTAACATGTCTATGGAAAAATCAGACAAACCTATGAATAAAGCTGCCACAACGTTATTATCAGTATTGGACGATTCCAAAAAGAGTAGTTCGTATTTACAACAATTTTCCAACCCATATATTTCCAAGAAGAACTTTTCTGCTGACGTTATCAACTCAACATTGATGTTTGACAAATCAGTAGATATTCCAGAATCTTCCAATAATCTGTCGGTGACTACCCCAGCCGATAATGGATCAGTTAATCCTGAACCACCAACGTCGTCGTTAGCTTCAGTAGTTAATGCTGAAAACAATAAGGAAGGAAAGGAAGCATCTAAATTCAATTTTACATTCCCTAAGGCCACAGAAGTAGAGGACACTGACAAACCAGAGACCAAGAAGGTAGAGACTGAAAAGGTAGAGACTGAAAAGGTTGAGACCGAAAAAGTGGAACCAAAAATTGAACCATTCAAAGACCATCAACCCGTACAACCACCGCAACCACCAGCTGAATCCAAACCCTCAATTCCTCAATCGTCAATCCCACAACCTACCCAATCATCAATTCCATCGAATTCACAACCTAAACCAGCTTTCAATTTCAATTTCAATCCTCAACCTGAAACCACCAAATCTCCTCAATCAGATAACGAAACTTCCACTCCAGAACCAGAACCATTATTCAAATTCCCTTCATTAAAACCTCAAGCAGTCACTTTAGACTCTTCAAAAGTTGAAAACTATAAGAAACTTTTCTCTTTTGTTTAAGTAATACATATATACCATCTCGCATGTACGCGAGCGCGATCTCATTGAACGAATTCTAAACGACGATTCACTAACATGTCCGATTTAAAATCAGTTCTTTTAGTAGGAGGTTCGGGATTCTTAGGAATCCATTTGATCGAACAATTCTATAAACACTGTCCTAATACCGAAATCCATGTTTTCGATGCTCGTCCACTTCCAGAGAAATTAACCAGTTATTTCACTGTGGACATTTCTAAAGTATCCTGCCATTTAGGAGATATAACATCAGCTAAAGATATTGCTGATGCCATTAAAGCTAGTAAATGTGATGTTATTGTCCATTCAGCATCTCCAATGCATGGAAATCTGGAAGAAATCTACCACAAGGTTAATGTTGAAGGAACGTTGAATTTGATCCAAGTAGCCAAAGATTTGAAAGTCAAAGCTTTAGTATATACATCATCAGCAGGAGTCATTTTCAATGGTGGAGACATTGTCAATGCTAATGAAACTTGGCCCTATCCTAAAGTTCATATGGACGGATACAATAAGACTAAAGAAATTGCTGAAAGAGCCGTTATGGAAGCCAATAGTAAAGATTTAAAGACTGTTTGTTTAAGGCCAGCAGGAATTTTTGGTCCAGGAGATAGACAGTTAATTCCAGGTTTAAGACAAGTAGCTGAAGCTGGTCAATATAAATTCCAAATCGGTGATAATAATAATTTATTCGATTGGACATTCGTAGGTAATGTAGCCGATGCTCATGTTTTAGCAGCCAAACAAATCTTCACTAACGAAAAGATCGCAGGAGAAACTTTCTTCGTTACCAATGACGAACCAGGATATTTCTGGTCATTAGCAAGAACCGTTTGGAAAGCTGATGGATATATTGCCAAAAAGAATTTCGTCATTCCTAGACCTTTAGGGTTAGTTATTGGGTTCATTGGTCAAAACATCGCCAAAATCACCGGGAAAGAAGGATTGACTGTATTTAGAGTTAAAATCAGTTCTGCTAATCGTTATCATGATATTACTAAAGCTAAAGACTTATTAGGTTATAAACCAGCTGTGAGTATTGATCTGGGAATTCAATATACTCTTGATTGGATGGATGATATTAAAAAATTATAGTAAATGTAAGAAAAGAACTAATGTGACAGCAATCGATACGAAAACTGTCATCACAGTGTCATTGGTAAATATTTCTGTTTGATTCAAAGTAAAGTTTTGAGTTTGAGGTTGCGTAATGTTACCATTTTGGGAATGAATTCCCTCATGGTCTTTGATATCTTCAATTGGTCCTTGTGCTTCAATTGGCTCTTCAGCTCCAATTGGATCTTCAGCTTCCATTTGTGATAACTTCGACTTGACTATAACGGAATTCTTAATTTCTTCTTTGTCTTGATTGACTTCAACTCTAGGTAAACCATCATGTTTTTTGAATGGTAGTGCACAAGCATTAATATCATTCAAATCTCTACAATCATCAAACAAAACTGTCAAAAAATTATTGGATGGATTCCCTGGACAGAGATTATAACATTCAACGTTCATTTGTTGTAAAGCACAACATTCACAGGCTTTATCGTCACTTTTACAGTCATCAAGTTTGACTAAGATCTCATTACAACAATTAGATAATTTGATCAATTCTTGGGATGTACACCTTTCGTAGGGACGTGGGTGGGGGTTAACATAACTGCCGTGTTCGGGGATTCTATCCCCATATACCGACACTAGAATAACTATTATTAATAAAATAAACTTCATTGTGGTAAGTAGTTTGTGCACGGAATAAAGTTTGCGTTTTTCAACTTTAAGTCAAATTCGTTAGATTTGTGTTGCAGTTCATTTTTGGATTTAGAGTTAGTGTTACAGAGAATCAGTTGTTAATGTTTAGGGGTAAAGTCTGTGGAAATTGGTTTTGAGACTAATACCAGACTAGTCATTTGATTTTTCAATCAAATCTCTTATTTGTCAGACCTCTTGGTTTCAGACTTTTTGATGACAAGCCACTTAACCTCTTTGTATTGAACCTTTCTCTATTTAGATTTTGCATAATTACGGTAGAAATAATCCCGAATTGGTTTTAAGGGGTCTAAAGTTCTCACGTTAGCTGAAATTTTCCATTTTAGGAAACGACAAGCTGCCGACTTTATGAATTTTGTTGGAATGTGGGGGATCCAAGGTGATCTCTGTTTCAGTTTGGGTTATACATGAAACAGGGTTTGTAATTTTGCTCAACAATTGAGCAGTTGAGAGTCTGAGCAATAAGGAACATGAGCAATATGAGTATTGTTAAGTGCAAAGAAGGTTACATTTTCTGAGTTTTGATGCAAGGTAATAGGTACTACATAGAGTATTACGTAGGAGGATTTCTTATCGAATAAAACCTTGGGGACTCTTTCGGTGGTATCACCGAACGCTTTCTTTCTGGATAATCAAGATGAACATATCTCGGTATAGACAGAAGTATTGAGGATTAATTCAACAATAAATCTCAATTCGAGGTTAATGAAGGATCTCAATAAAGGGCTCTAAAGAGACCGCGTGGAGCAACTCACTTGGTAGTTCTCAAACTCATCTAAGTTTGACTTCAAAGTTAAATATTGCTGTCGAATTCTATGCACAGGGCCATTGATTAGTTGAACTGAGATCTTGGAGCTCTAAAATACTGATATAGGTGGTTTCATCAATTCTCATGGGAACTCTCCGGGAGTCCCAATCATACACTCACTAGGCACAGATTGAATACCAAATAATCTCTTCCTCCCCTTTCCAAAATAGGGGGTAAACTTTATTTCGGATTTATAGGTTGTTAAGAGAGTTTGAAGCTTTTGTCGAAGGATGACTAAAATTAACTTTTACTCAGATGTCGTGGTTGCAGATGGGAATGGGGGTTTGAAGCTCTCTCTGTATTTTACTTTAGGTTGCTTCATACACGAATATGTAAAAGGAATGTCATGTGATGGGTTATAATTCCGTGAATTCGATAGTCAGTTAATGATCCACTTCACTCCATGGACCACTATAATATCTTCTACTCTCCATTGTCCACATCTTCCAACTTGGCTCTTGGATTACGGGCCTTAACCTACCCAATTCTAAGTTCTTCGGCAATGTTCATTGAAAGTTTAATAAAAGTTTAATTCACAATTGAAGAAACTCTAGTCGAAATGAGATCATGACCGTATGGAATTGTTAGGAGTCCAAAACCCTCAATCGAATATAAAAGCACCCTTGAATGTCTTTGGGTTCCTAGATATCAACAATGAATTTCACGTTCTTCTTATTCTTGATTTCTTCAGTTTTTGCAGCTGCACCAGCTGTGAACTTTAAAAATCCTGCAGCAGGTTATAACAATACAAAAATCACTTCCACTATTAATATCCATACAGGTAATGTTACCGGGTATTATTATGCCAACCAAGGGTATTTCACTACCGGGGATGTTGGTTATTTCGGATTCCAACCAAGAGGTGGAATTTATCTTCAACATTTAACTTACTCGGTATTCGGTAGTGGTCCATATTCAAATCACCCAAATTGTGGTAATGGAGCTGACGGTGGTGATGGTGTATCATGTGCAGCAGAATACCATTTTGATTTCAACAAAAACTATACTTTCGTTCAAGAAAGAATTGCTCATAATGAAGCTACTGGTGAAAATACCTGGCAAGGGTCTGTCATCAACGAAGAAACTGGAGATATCTTTATTGTTGCCAATTATACTACACCAGCTAAATATGGTTTATTAAAGAATGAAGTCTATTGCTTTGATGAATTCTATCCTTATAATAGTTTAGGTAATACTCCGCCAGAAGAATGGTACTGTACACCACCATCCTCATATGTTCAATATGCTCCTGTTCTTTACGATGCTGACGGAAACAAATACCCAACTACTTTCGAGACATTTGCCGGTGATTATAATAAAGAGTTTGATGAATGTGCTTTTGCTCAAAATACTCCTAATATTAGAATCACTAAATTGAATGATTATGCTGCATTCTTTGAAAATGGGTTTTTAACTCCATAAAAGTCCATTTCCTAATCGGGGATGTTACATTTCCGGTCACATTTCCGCACTCGATTAAAATAATGGTTTTTATGAATTCTTTGCGTAGGTTCATGATCTTTACATGATTTTTTCAGACCTTGATGGTTCTTGTGGGGATTTATTTGTGATAGTGTAGTAAAAGTATGATGTTTCCTTTGATTCGACTCTTGAGGTCCTCCGTTTCTAACCTCCTTGTATCACGTAAGATCATTGACTATAAATATTCCTCTTATTCTCTTCTTCAATCAATGAAATTCTTAATTACAGGTGTTAATAAAGGTATTGGCCTTGCTTTGGTCAAAGAATTAGCTAAAAATTCTAACAATTTCATCTATGGAACTGTTAGATCTTTAACTAAGGCTTCCGACTTGTTAGACCTCCACTTGACTAACTTAAAGTTACTTGAACTTGATATGGCCGATGATTTGAAGAAATTTGAAACTGTTTTTGAAGAGATTGACTATATTGACGTTGTGATTCATAATGCTGGGATCACTTACGATAGAGTAGTTCTACCATTAGAAGAATCATTGGTTGAAGATTTTGACGAAACTTTCAAAATCAACACTGTCAGTACATTCAAAATGTATAAAGCCACCTTGCCTTACTTATACCGTCATGAAGGTATCCAAAAGAGATTCATTGGAGTTTCTACTTTCCTTGCTGACCCTCAAGCTATGGCATTATTTGGTATGGGCGGTGGAGCTTATGGGGTTTCTAAAATTGGTATGAATTATCTCATCAAACAGATAGCTCTTGAAAATTCCAAAAGTCAAGATCCTTTGAAACGGGATTCTATGGTGTTTACCATCAATCCTGGAGCTGTATTTACTCCAATGACAGAATCGTATGCTACTGAGCATCCGGAAGGATTTATAACCGTGGAGGAATGTATCCAGAACATTCTTAACACTATTTTCCGTTCAGATCTCGTCAGTGGTAGATTTTACAATACTGTTGACGGCGAAGCGTATAATTTCTAAAATATATACATCTCCGACCCCCCCAAAAAAAAACTCGCACCACCAGACTCTCCCGCCGCCAGCACCATCCCTGAGGAAATCGTGATTGTTTCATCGCGATGCATTCGCGACAATTCGCGATTTGTTTATTTAGTCCACAAAGTTTACAAATATTGTTTTTATATACTTCCCCCAACATCCAACTGTAGACATTCGTTAAGATCCAAGATGAAGTTGAAGAGTGGTAGAAAGGCATTGAGTGACTTGACATCCATTGAGAACTCCAAACATCGTTTTGATAAACGAGTTAAGTTGAATAGTTATGAAGAACTCGCTGAGGATCACAAACAAGAACTTCAAGATCCTGAAGATGTTGATGATGATTATGAAGATATTGATGACGAAGATGATGAAATCGGTGAAGAAGAAGAAGACGAAGAGGAGGAAGATGATGAAGAGATTGATGTACCAGAAAAATCAGCCATTGAATCTATTGATGATACTGAACCCTTAATTGCTGAACCTATTTGGAGTAAAGCTATTCATGAAGAATTGGAAACCACTATGAATAAATATTCCTCTAGAGCTTTAGATCCTAATGATGAAGATACCTTTGATGTCACTATGGTAGCTGAATATAGTCCTGAAATTTTTAACTATATGAGACAATTAGAACATCGATTATTACCTAAAGCTGATTATATGAATATTCAAGATGAATTAAAATGGGAAATGAGAAGTGTATTAATTGATTGGGTGGTTCAAGTTCATTCAAGATTCAACTTATTACCAGAAACTCTTTTCTTAACTGTAAATTATATCGACAGATTTTTAAGTAAAAGGAAAGTATCATTATCAAGATTTCAATTGGTTGGAGCAGTAGCACTTTTCATAGCAGCAAAATATGAAGAAATAAATTGTCCTACAATACAAGAAGTAGCATATATGGCAGATAATGCTTATTCTGTTGAAGAATTTCTTAAAGCTGAAAGATTTATGATTGATGTTTTAGAATTTGATATGGGATGGCCAGGGCCAATGTCATTTTTAAGAAGAACTTCGAAAGCCGATGATTATGATTATGAAACTAGAACTTTAGCCAAATATTTCCTTGAAATAACCATTATGGATCATAGATTTGTAGCTTCAAAACCTTCTTGGTTAGCTGCTGGATCTCATTATTTATCACGAAAAATCTTAAATAAAGGTAAATGGACAGAGTTACATGTATTTTACTCGGGTTATACTGAAGAGCAATTAAAACCTTTAGCAAAAGTTTTACTTATGAATTGTAAGAAACCTGAAGTTAACCATAAATCCATCTATGAAAAATATCAAGAAAGAAGATATAAACGAAGTAGTATATTCGTGCAAGATTATTTACTGCAATTTTCCTAATTTTAAACGTCCCATGACTTGAAACCTCATAGTACTAACAAGTACCGACAAAGAAAATTCCATTCCTTAAGAGAATGATCATAAGAACCCTGAGGGTTGTGTAGCATAATGTATATCATAATATTTACGAGTTTAAGATCTGGTTAGCTGAATCGACAACTGATTGTTCTAAAGGAATAAACTCTCCCAAAAGATTTCGAGTTCTAGAATTGTCAACTTTTGGTAATGATTTCAAACCTTCAGTTTTAGAGCCATCACCTACTGGGATTTTCCCTTTCAAAGAAGGAATGCCTTTGTTAAGAGCATCCAAAACATATTGAAGACAGAATTGACTTTGAACCACTAAATAACGGAAATTCTTGACATCACTTTCAAAAGCATGTAAGTGAGCTCTAGCAACATCTCTAACATCAATGAAATTGGCATTAATATCAGGGACTGTGGATTCGTCTGGCCCGTTCTTTAACACAGCATTAATGATCTCAGATGAGGTGTTCAAAGTTCCTCTGATTCCACTGGCAAAAGCTTGTGGGCCAAGGACTAAAGTTGGTGCAACCGTATTGAGAGTGAAATTTGGATTCTCTTGCTTAACAAATTCCCAAGCAGCCTTTTCTGCAAATGTCTTGGATCCACGATACCCTGCAAACAGGTTGGTTAAAGATTCCTCATAAGTAGTGTCACACCATGAATCTTCAGTGATTGCTGGGCTGGAAGAATCACCATTAACATACAGCATAGCAATATCAGAAGTAGTAACCACTACCTTAGATACTTGAGGGCCATACTTCTTTATGGACAGAAGGGCATTCTTGGTACCATCAATAGCAGGTTTCAATAAATCCCGTTCAATGTCTTCGATGTCGAATCTAAAAGGGGAAGCAGTGTGTAAGAAGACAGTCACTTCAGGATGTTTCTTTAAAGCTTGGTCAAAAGCTCCTGGAGCTGACAATTCCTCTACAATTTCATATTGGAAGTTAGGAGTATCCAAATCTTGTTTCAATTGATCTCCTTTCGCAGCTGATCTGACAGATCCCACGACTTTGTAATCTTTCTCGATCAATTGTTTGACAACATGTTGGGCAATGAACCCAGAAGCTCCTGATACAAATACTGTAGTCATTGAGAGTCGAAGATGTGGGGCACAGGTTTTATATGTCCAGGATATGTGCGCGGCTCATGCGACATCGAAGCCACAGGCCATGGTTATGGTTGTGGCTTTTGTTACTGAGGTGCACAAGGACCCATACAAGACCGTTTAGTCAGGTCTATGGTGGTTCTTTTTGTTGGTGATGGAGACATCACAAGAACTGGCTCAATTACAAGCTCATAGTGCCCATTGCCTCCATACTTAGGTATGTCGCATGGACTTAATATGTCGTTTTTCAGTCTTTAGGCTTTTTGAATCCAATTCTTTATACCACTCATACAATGCTCAGCTGATAACACATCATTTCAGCCAGTACGATAATTCTGATCTCATTTTCAACTATTCCCAACTCAAACATCAAAACCCACCTACCCTATGCACATCACGTGCATGAACCATTTTTCAAGGGCTCCAGCCCTCGTCAGAAGTTTTTCTCAAATAAAAAAAATACTGGAAAAATCTGAAAAATTAATAATGTCAACTGAATCAATTATATCATATGCTTCATTAATTCTTGCTGATGCAGAATTAGAAATCACCAAAGATAACTTATTAGCCATCACCAAAGCTGCTGGTGCTACCGTTGAAGAATTTTGGGCTGATGTTTTCGCTCAAGGTTTAGAAGGTAAAGACTTAAAAGAATTATTATTCTCATTTGCTGCTTCTGGTCCAGCTGCTGCTGCTCCAGCTGCTGCCGCTGCTGGTGGTGCTGAAGAAGCTGCTGCTGAAGAAAAAGCTGAATCTGAAGCTGAAGAATCTGATGATGATATGGGTTTCGGTTTATTCGATTAGGTCTCATAATGTAATATAAGTCATTTCATCTCGTCCAATTCTCTGATCTCTAATTGTAGGGCATGAAGCCTCATGAGCGAGTTACGGTGGTAGGAAAGTCAAAATTAGCATCGTAACAGAGGAATTTGAACTGTAACACAGTAATAGTCAAAAAGAACAGTCAGAAGATTGTACAGGAAAACATTTATTTACAAGATACTCTGAGTTTTCAGAAACGAAGCTGGAATAAAGCCTCTTCAAGGGGTTCAATGAAGCTAAAATTACTTAAAAGAATCCACTTAAGTCACTTAACCACTTTCTGTATTCATCTTCTTCTTTAATTTCACTGAAACCAATGATAAAGTTAGCTAACTCATCATTGATTCCTAATTCATTTAACCAACTTTCAAATCCTAATTGTAAACTTTCATCTAATTCAGAAAATCTTGGTCCTTGGTAGTTAACTTTATCAACAAATTCTCCACTCAATAAGTTTTGTTTCAATTCAACAGCATTGTTGGTGGAATTGATGTAATCAATCATAAATGAATCACCTTGGAATAATAAGTTTAAGAAAATACCGGAGTTATCAGGTTTAGAAACTAAAATCTTAACAGTAGATAAGTAGTTATCAATTTCTAAATCATCTAATTCTTGATCTTCAAAAATTTCTGAATCGATAGGTAAATCAGTGATTTCGTCAATGTCGAAAACAACAGAGATGTTTTGGTCATTAACGGATTTAACCATTTCAACTAATGATTTACCTGGAGTGGAATTAATCTTGAAACTTGAATCTTGAATGAAAGTTTCATGGATTTCAGATAATTTATTTGGAATGGATTGGGATGAACTTAATTCGTTTTTTAAGATTTGTTTCAATTGAGAATTTGGTCTGACCAAGGTGCTAGAAAAATATCTAACATTGATTAAAGGTTTAGCAATAGTTTGTAATCTTAATTGTCTGAACATGGTTATAGATTCTGAGGAGATTTTCGCGATGGGGGAAGAACTTGAAAGAAACCCATGTTTGAGATCTCACGTGCTAAATCAGCTGACGCATCACATTCCTCTATTACATAAGCGCGTGGTAAAATTGCTTTCACGGCTCCCGCATCAGTAAATAAGTAGTAGTTATAGCTTATGTAATCGCAGAGCCGTAATTAAATTCTTCAACTACGAAGCTGACACAGTATGGCGCAGAATAGGAGCAGCAGTCAAGCCCTTTTCAAATATTGGCAAAAAAGCAAATATCAATCTTAGATGTAATCAGGAATCAATTACTAATGTTATCAGTTGGTTATCATATAAACGGGCATTTAAACGGAAATTGCTCTATCAGCCGTACAGCCGTTTAAACGGTAAGCAATTCGGGTAAGACAAAAAAACCTCATCCGAAAAAAAAGGGATTAAATGGAAATAACTCCCAATTGAGAAATTCACCGAGAAAGTTTTCAACCCTAATGCGTAAGTGCGTCACGACATCAAGTACGGATTATACATTTCTAGAACGTCCGATTTCCGATCACCGCTTTCCGTGTTTTTGTCCGTGTGCTTCACCACATTAACAAGGTGATTAAATCGATATATTTCTGTAATTTCTACTTACTAAAGGTAGGCTAACATCTACGGATATAACACCCATTGAAGTATATCCAAGAATTCTCTACATTTTACCTTAAATTTGCCCGAATTTGTCATAACGCTTATTAAAGATTATTACAAATGCGATTACAAATCGCTATTTCTAATCACTTTTTGGTGCATCGAAATTGACTCACCGACATTTCAATTGATTCCAGCTATTGGGAATTATACCAATAACTACCTCATTGACCCTATTAACTTGTTATACATCATAGCAATGATAAAATATTAAGGTAAAAAATGTCATCAACCCATTAGCAATTTTGGAGCCGAATTTGGGAGCGATTTTTAATGTTTTCAGCCCAGAAACCGAAACCGAAAATATCTCGCACGGTAATATTTTACGGATGACATTTTTATTACCGATGAATTTGTCATAAAATATAAATATAGATCAAATCCCTCTTTGGATGAGATTATAGATTTTAATCAACAATGTCTTTAAGTGAAACATATTTATTAGCTTCTAAAGTTAGAAGTAAATTAACCAAAGATGCAGCCAATGCTAAAATATCATTAAGAAATTTAGTTACCCAAGCTAATATGTTAGATAATTTAATGGATCACATACAAATTGAAAATGAAAAGAGATTAACTAATTTGAATAAAGTTAAATTCGATTTATCATCAAAGAAACCTGAAAGATCAAATTTATCATATGTTACTCAAGTTAATGAATATGAAATTGATGAAGAAAGTGAAAGTGATGAAGATGATGATTATTATTACTCATCTGAAGAAGAAGATAGTGACTATGATGCTGATGAAGAAATTGAAATGCCATCCTTCAAATTATCAACAATTGAAGAAGTTGATGATGAAAATTTACCAGAATTAACTATTAGTTCTGATGAAGATAGTGATGAAGAGATTTTAATAACACCTAATCACTCATTATTCAAAAATACTAATAAAAAATTAAGCCATCCTATAATACCAATAACGGAGATTTATAATTAGGAGGATTTATAATTAGGAAAGAATAATGAAATGTAAATAGTTACGAAGTTACGAAATATAGAATAAGTTAAATTTTTCACTCTTTTACTCTTTTCTCTTGAAATTATACCTTTGAAAGTTATTCTGTTGAACATGTTGATAAATTCCCTTAAAATTACTCATAATTTTTAGGTGTAATTACATTATCGGTGCCAGATCCTAAATAATGTAAATATGTTACCGGAGCAAATATATTTCCCCAGACCAAAATGGCTAGATTCGAGATCAGCTTATTTTTCGAGAGCCATCAGATGACGTTTACATTTCCGTTAACCTATTATTGCTACACAATCCGACCATTGCTTGTCCTATTCAAAATCCTATATAACCACCTATTACCCATAGTTCGATTAATATTGCTATTTAAGCCTAGTTATTTGTTTGCCATGACGGCTAAAACATCTCAAAATACCCAAAATACTAAAACGGCTGAAGTTTCTTTTTCCATGCTCCGAATGTTTTCCGTGTAGCCTCCGTTTCCGTGTGCGACGGATCTTTTTATTTAATGCAAACTTACGAGCCGCTTTTACTGCGAGCCGAGAACTTCTTATCTAATCCCATAGGTAATTCATAATTGCATGACTTTATGGGGCTTTGACCCATAAGTTTACTAATGAACTAATCAAAACCACAATTAAATATGCAATAATCACCTTTCTCAAGTAATAAAATTTAATCCTATATTCACAAATATCACCATGAAGCTCATCTAGATTTGTAACCTTGACCTTATTATTTTTAGCTTCATTGATCTTATTATTTATTTTCTTAAATGGTAAATTTGAATCTGATATATTCTTAATGTTCTTAAGCACATTCATATTAGGTGCCAGCCTTTTTAATGGCTTTGATATTGGTTCATTATCAGTCTCTTTGACGTGTAATATCACTGGTTCTTTGGTATTGACTTTGTCTGCTTGATCTCTTACAATCCTTACCTCTTGGTATTGTTGTAGTTTACCTAAAATCACTTTTTCATCCATATAACTATCATATTTATCAAACTCATCTTCCTCATCAATCTCATTAAACTCTATCTCAGTGATTTTTTCACTAAAACTGGTGATTTCTTTGATGTTGGTGTTGGGGGCGATATTCTTCCTCCTTCTGAATTTCTTCTTCACCTTAAGTTTGATCCGTCTCAAACCTATTATCATTTTACTTCCTTGATTCTTTTAATGTGATGACTAAATTCTTGATTTCTTGTGATTTCGAGATTGCGCTTTTAATCGACTAAAAACTCTAATTATCAACGGCAGTAAATTCGAAGAACTGGGTTAAGGTTGATGATGAATTGCTGGTTGATTGAAGTGTCACGATTTAGAGTTTAGTCGTTATTAAACTTCCCGAAAGACCTGGAGAAGGGATTATCGGTAATAACTTGAATCTAGAAAAGACCCTGGTTTAGAGTCCCGTGACTTTGCTGTCAAAATGTATGGTGAACGCGACATCGCGACATCGGTCTCAAATCGGCCGTAATTTCTTAAACCTGGTCGGTAGTTATCAATCAGCTTTTCAGAATGGCAATAAAGTCTACATCGGTATTATTTGATGATTCGGTCCTTCGATTTTTCGTGGTTAGGAGGTGTGGAACCGGTTTCCGAGTTGGAAATTTCGGAACTTGAACCTTTTGAAATGATGTGTTTTTTGCAATCTTGTTGTTGGTTGATGAGAAGTTTTGCAGAATGAAGGTTTGATTCCTTGGAGAGTGAAAGATTTGATTCCTTAGATCTTGTTGTTAGTGGTGTAGGTGATGAAAAGTTCCTCTCTTTCCATGTCTCCACTTTATTTTGGTTCGTGGAGAAGTTTTTGCAACCATTTTTTTTGGTAATTGTCATATTTACTTTAGATCTTTATGAATGGTGTCTACAAGTGCTGGGTCACAAACTATCAGTATCTACGGTACTAAGAGTTTAGTCGACGTATAATTGAATGGAGTAGCGTGGCTCATTGTCCTTCCTTTAATAACGTTATTGTTGGTTAGTTTTTACGAAGTTCCTTTTTTCCAGCAAGACTTGTGAGCTGGGATGCATCAAAGAACTCAAAACTTGTCCATCAGCTTCGAAATTGCGTTGAAAGGAAACTGACTATGTGGTCTCCTTTCAAACCAAGTGATAAATTCTACAAGTTCTGTCAGTTTCAGGAAATCATTATGTCTGTCACTATAAAATACTGTAATTGATTTTAACTTACTCCAAAAAGTAACTTCAACCCTCCAATAATGCTGAACTTGCATAAAACTTAACCTTGCATCAACCTGAAACACCTGATCAAATCTGAAACATTAATCCCACCTTTTGTGTGGTCCACGCCCGTGTGTAAGCTGTCTTCGGGAACGGATGTTATTTTCTGTTCCTAGTTTCCGAAATCCTTCTCGGAGTGGTTGGATTCCGAAAACTCAAATGGATTTCAGCGGAAACGAACTGATCCGAACCTTTCTGCCTGTGTACATAGGCTGATCTTACGACATCTAAAGCCAAGAGGGCTGACTTTCATCGCCACCCAGATCTGAAATATTTGCGTGTCAAGTTACACAAAAGACACGTATCCTAAAGTTGGATTCAAATTTCCATAAATAGAATTCTTCCAGTTTTACGGTGTGATCCTGAGGAAACTCTGAATCTTGGAATTTGTATTCTGGGAATTGCAAAACCTGTGAACTGTTTTACGAATCAGAAAATTGAAATATTGGGCAACTCACCTGTCAAGTCACGAGACTTTTGATTTGTTATTCAAACGGCTTGAATATCGGTTTACTTGTCTATGTTGGTTGGTCTTATCTGAAGTATCCAGATCACCTAGAGCTAGTGGTGAAAGCAATTTACCTGGAGTCACCTTGATTCCTGGAAAAAGCGACATCTTTGTCTTACCATCAATAGCTTCTGTCATACACACCTCTGACGTTGAGTACCTCCCTTAATCTTCTCTCATATACCTCTGTAAATTCTTCAATCACGCACGTCTTTAACTTTTCAAAATAACAGCTTATACACTGTCAAACAAGGGCTTTGTCGAAATTAACTTTTTTCTGGTACTTTATTTGAACACTCGGAAGTGTCAATATAAGAGCCTTTTTAGCTTAGTGGTAGAGCGTTGCACTTGTAATGCAAAGGTCGCTAGTTCAATTCTGGCAAGAGGCATCTTATTTTTTTTATATTTTTACCACCACTGACCTTAAACAATAACTTCTTATGATTAACCTCAATGCATCACTTATGGTAAAGATTATGGTTGCCTCTGAATTTGATCATCACAGTGTCGTCAAAGTTCATCTTCTTACATCAAAACATCAGATGTTGAGGTGCGCGAAATCGATCACGATGCTAAGGGTAAAGCCATCCTTTATGTTTGGACGTAGATTAATAGGCTCTAGAAGTTATTCTAGGCCCAGTCAAGTTCTATATAGTGGATTAATTCACAAACGTCAAATTAGTTTCATCAAATATTTAAGAATTCCAGGATATATCGGAGGAACTGTTGCAGCAGGGGGAAGTTATGTAGCTTACAAAGTTGATCAATTTGGTAATTATACCTCTGATCAGTTCAGTAAACTTCGTGATTTCACCGGGAACTTGTTTGATAAAGGATCTGAGTTCTTGAAAGCTGGCGAAGGTTCTAAAGATGGAACGAGCAATCATACCATGAATACTAACGATGGTGGTAGTGGAGGTGATGGTGGTGGCGGTGGTGATACTACTACTGCTTTAGCCACCGCTGCAGCCGTAGCTGTTTCTTCAGAGAATGAAGATGATGAAGAAGCAGAAGAGTTCAATCCTGATGATGAAATTGATGATAATGAGACCACTAATGATATGCTTAATTTAACTAAGAAAATGATAGAGATCAGAAATATTTTATCATCAATAGATAATACCAATCACTTGAACTTACCATCAATTGTGGTAATTGGATCACAATCCAGTGGGAAATCATCTGTTTTGGAAAGTATTGTAGGTCATGAATTTTTACCTAAAGGTGATAATATGGTAACAAAAAGGCCCATTGAATTAACATTAGTTAATGATGATGAAGCAGCAGCAGAAACCATTGAATTTCCAGCATTGAAAATGAAAATCACTGACTTTAAACAGGCTCAGAAAGTATTAATTGATTTAAACCTTGCTGTTCCCTCAACTACTTATGTTTCTGATGATCCTATCCAAGTAACTATTAGATCACCTAAAGTTCCGGATTTATCACTTGTAGATTTACCAGGGTATATTCAAGTAGAAAGTTATGACCAACCACCGGAATTGAAGTTAAAGATTAGACAATTGTGTGAGAAATATTTAGCTAAACCTAATATTATCCTTGCTATATCAGCAGCTAATGTTGATTTAGCCAATTCTACAGCTTTGAGAGCTGCTAAATTAGCAGATCCTTTAGGTGAAAGAACTATTGGTGTTATCACCAAATTAGATCTTGTTGAACCAGAATTAGCTGCACTGATACTTAATAATAAGAAATATCCTCTTAAGATGGGATATGTTGGAGTAATCACCAAAATTCCTGATTCTAATAAAAACTTCTTAACTAGAAAATCATTAAATTCAATTGAAAGTTATATGGCTCAACAAATCAATGAATCCAAGTATTTAAATGAACATAAATCGGCATTTTTCAATTGTCATGTTGGTACCAAAGTATTGAAACACAGATTAATCAAGATTTTAGAACGTTCAATGATTGAAAACTTGTCTCCAACTCATTTAATGATTCAAAAAGAATGGGAAGAAACCAATTATAAATTTAAAGTTGAATTTAATGACGTTCCTTTGACTCCAAGAATGTATCTTGCTAATAATATTGATATTTTGAAGTTATCTATCAAGGAATTATCAACAAATTTCACTAAAAGAGAACTTAAATCAGTATTAAAGAATGAACTTGATCAAAAAATCCTTAATCTATTAGCTCAATATTATTGGGATGATAACCAATTGATCGATATCAAGAATGATGGGTATTGGGATAAAAAATTAGATATTGTAGTTGGATCATTAACTAAATTAGGTATAGGTAGATTATCTACCAATTTAACTACTAACATTCTTATTCAAGAAGTTGAAAACCTTGTTAATAATACCCAATTAAAGAATCATCCACAGACCGTTAAAGCAGTTAAAGAAACAGCCCAAAAAGTCTTGGGGTCAAAATATTATTCAACAGCTGATCAAGTAGAAAATTGTATCAAACCTTTCAAATATGAGATTGAAGTTGAAGATAGAGAATGGTTGAGTTCTAAAGATGCTTCATTAAATATCATGAAAGAGGAAATCAAAAATTGTGATGAATTATTACATTCATTAAAGAATCAAGTTGGTGGTAGGAAACTCAATCAAGTAATTAAATATTTGAAAAACCTTGGTAATAATGTTGATTATTCATCTATTGAAACTTTAGGGTTTTCAAATAGTTTAATCAATAAAGCTAAATTAGGTATTTTCTTAACTGACAGATTATCGATTCTTAAAATGAGATACCAATTATTAAAGAGTAGTAATAAGTGTAAGAAGAAAGACAATAAGACTATATGTCCTGAAATATATTTGGATGTTATAAATTCCAAGATTACCAACACTTCAGTATTATTCTTAAATGTTGAATTGTTGAATGATTTTTATTATAATTTCCCAAGAGAATTGGATAATAGATTTTTTAATAATATGTCTGATGAAGAGATGGAGATGTTGGCTATGGAAGATGAGAAGATCAAGAATCATATTGACTTGCAAAAACGTAAAGATTTATTGACCTTAGCTTTGAATAAGATCGAATCGATCATGGCAGCTAGAAGATATCATAATTAATGTATATAGATGTGGTTTTTTCTCTTTCTGGTGTGTATTGTTTACGTCTGGGTGTTCTATATGGGTCTAATATACTGGGTCTAATATACTGGGTCTAATGTACTGGGCCTAATATACTGGGTCTAATGTACTGGGCCTAATAGATGTCTGGATCTTATATACTGGGCCTAATAGATGTCTGGATTTTATATCCCGGGTCTAATATACTGGGCCTAATAGATGTCTGAGTCAACTATACTGGACCTAGATAAAATCTGACTCAGATGCCTAATTATTTACAATCTTGATAATCTTTTCGAAAATCGAATCCAAATTGTCAGATTCAAAGTTAAATGAGTTATTATCAAATACCTTCAAACTCAAATGTTCAACTTCATCAACCTTAACATCGCCATTACTTTTCGTTATTTGAGGGGTGATTTCTTCATCTATGGATAAGTTAATCGATCCGTTGTTAATGAAACCTAATCTCTTCAACTCATCAATGAATATGAATGAATTGTTATACTTGATTATGGATAAGATCTTATTTGAATGTTCATGGGTGAATATAGGATTTAATAAATTATCCATGATGATGATGAATTCTCCAATTGATAAACAAAGTAAGGAATTTTTAGCTATTAAATGATTACCTCCAATTGGGATTTTTTCTGGGATTTTGAATTGTTTAGTGACAGTGAAATCAATTAAGTTGAAAGATAAGATTCTAGTTTTACTCAATACGATCAATTGATTTTTCAAAATCTGAAGACCTCTGATATTACAATCACTTAAGTTCAAATTGACATCCAATTTGATCAAATTATTGTTGAAAAATATCAATTTGTTGTCATAACTAAGAACAATAAGTGAATTGTCATCACTTATATCAATATTGATGAATTTAGTTATAGGTAAGTTCATAATCTTATTCTTGACCAAGGACCATTGACCTTTCTTAAATCTCCAGAATCTTAAATTACATCTATTATCAATGGTTATGAACCCGTCTTGGAAGGGCATCACATTTATAACCGGTAAGTTATAATGAGGATTAATGATCTTGGTGATAAGGTCCCAAGTTTCACCATTCTTCTTCCAAAACTTAAGACAATAAGTGATATCATCCTTTGATAAGTAATCATTATTACCAACCAATTTATCGAATGTACACATATAATCACTATTGAATTTTAAATGAGTAATGACTGGATCATTGAGTTTTAATTCACTCTTAACCTTACCCATACCAATAGATTCACTCAAATTGATAATCGAAGATTGTTCATTCTTATCAACATTGTAAATTTGTAATAATGAATCATTTGTAAGGTATAAGTTATTATTAAAGATCTCAGCTACTGTGACAATACTATTCTTATTACTTAATTTATTTGGTCTGATAGTGTTAACAGATAATCTGGAAATCAAATCTACTGCTGATAATATAAGTAATTCATAACCATTACCATGGTTCAATATGACATTATAATTATCGATTTTGTTATGATCAATGAAGATTTTATCGATAACACCATTCAAACGAGGTAAAAATTGTAATTTATCAGTGATAATAGACCAAATAACCAAAACCTTTTCCATACCTCCAGAAACTAATTGATTCGAATTAGTGAAAACTAATGATTTTACTGGTCCAATATGCCATTTTAATAATTTTTCTTGATTATCAGGAAAGATAATTTGAATGGGACCTGAAGATGATCCTAATGCAATGGTTCCATCGTTACTAATATCGATGGAAATAATCGATGACTTATAAGTGAAAGGAATTTTGTCTAAAGTTTCATTTTCAATATGATACTTAAATAATTGATTGTGTGATAGTATGGAAATGAATTTTCTATTGGCAGAAATGGCAAATATGTATGAAGATCCAAGATCGGTAATGATATTTATAGATGCTTGGTCAAAATCAGTTAATCTCAATTCATTATCGATACATAATGTATTATTGAAGAACCTCATCACCCCATTATCATGAACTAATTCTTCTTGTCCACTCTTCCAGTTAACCTTGATGGTTCTATTAGAAAATCCTATCCATAATTCATCTCCCTTCACCTTAACATCCACTAAATCTTGGAAATTTCCTTCAATAGTCTTGATACATTGTCTAGTACTTAAAAAATATACTCTAATTTGATGCGATAAAACTGTAATAAAATGTCTTCCGTCTTCAGAATAACCTCCGTTGACCCCTGAAGGACACATCATCTGTCCTCCATTAACAGCTAATGACCATTCCATGTTGTAAAGATTTGGTTTATAAATTACTTTAACTAAACCTTACTACTTGAGATGAAGATGAGATTTCTCTGCGCGAAAATTTTTCCAATCTTCACATATCCAAGATGATTATTCCAATCCGTTGTTTTAGTTGTGGGAAAGTTGTTGGTGATAAATGGGAACAATATTTAGAGTTATTACAAGATGATAACTTAACTGAAGGTGATGCTTTAGATAAATTGAAGTTGAAAAGATATTGTTGTAGAAGAATGGTATTAACTCATGTTGATTTAATCGAAAAATTCTTGAGATATAATCCATTAGAAAAGAAGGATATCAATTAGGGGAGACAACATGAGGTTTCTTCATGAAGATATTCGAAGAGCCGTACAAAAATGCATGAAAAGTTCTTTGACTAGGTCAAATTTAGGAGAGGACAAACCAATAGGATGTAATATACGATTATGATAGTTTTCAAGCGAGGGAGAGTCTATGTTTTGAGAGATACTTTCTACGGCTTCCGTTCCAGAGTGTCTGCTTGCTTCTTCCATTTTTCTCTCCCACTAAATCTCTACGGTCTCTACCCTCTCTATGACTATATCTATTTATTTGCTACCACTCAGTCCCTTAAACCCTCTGCTTACACAAGAAATCTTCTTTATTCTTCTATTATGCTACTATACAATGCTATACAATGCTATAAATGCTACATCTTTTACTATACATGCTAAATTAATTCTCTGACGATATTCTCGTTCTTAATACTATTCTTAAATTCCATATAATCCGTCTTGATACTAATATCTTTCCCCAAATTGACTACTCCCATTGAATCTAAAGTCCCTAAAATCTCTAAGAAATCAGATTTCTTCATCTTAATATGATTATTTTGAGTATAATAGTCAAAAAAGTTATTGACACTACCTACTTTAGTACTGGATTTTTGGAAATTGAATAAATGTACAATTACTTTTTTTTGTAAATGATTCAACTTCAGAAGGATTGAACCATTATTTAAATTACAAACACTTGCCATATGGTTTATTTGTACTCTTGGTGCAGTCAAAAAGTCGTAATGTCCTAAATCTTCCAGGGACATTTGCTTTTCTAACATTTCAATAGATCTAATGATTAAATCAAATGATCGTCTTAAATCCCCTGTTACACTTGATACCTTCTTACAACATAATAAGATGGCTGAGGCATTAACTATGGGGATGAAGTTTTCACTAGTATTTTCTTTATTACTTTCGATCAACGATTTTAATTTGAAAATAATGATTTTTTGAATTTTGTCAAAATTATAAGGTTTAAAGTTGAGAAGCTTTGGTTGGACATTAGTTCTGGAAACCAAAGGAAGAACTTTAGTTGTCAAATCAATAGCATTGGAAATTCCAACCATAATCAACTTAGTTTTATGGTCTAAATGATTCTTTTTATTAGATAAACTGAATAATTCTAATAAAATTCCATCTTCTAAACAATCAATTTCATCTAAGATGATCATTAACGATTTGAAAGTGTTTTCAGTTTTAAGAATATCTATCAAAGAACCCTTTTGACCAGCTGATGTGACAATGACATTGAAAATTTCATTAGAATTGACTAAACTCATACAATTGATCTTGACCACTTTACATTTATTATCTTTAATGGTCATCTGACCTCTCTTACAGTCATATTCTTTAAGAGAAGCATCTAATTGAGCAGTCTTACCACATCCTGGAGGTCCAGAAATGTATAAACTATCACTATAGTTGAAACCTACAGTATGTTGAATGAACTCATTGATTTCATCTCTTTCGTCTTCCCTTCCAACCAAAACATCACTAGAGCTTCCTCTTTGGAATAATGCTTTAGCTTTTGTGTAAACATTAGATTTTGGTTTGGTAGGTGTGGTTGGAGGTGTAATAGTATCTTGTCTAATATCGAATTTCTTACCTCTTTCACCTAAATCAATATCTACAAACTTTCTTCTTTTAGTTGGAGTACTTGGAGGTGTTAATCTTCTTTTATTATTCATATCCTCGAAGGCAGTTCTCATCATTATGCTAATTATTTGAATTAAATGAAAGTAAAATGAGTTCTTAAAATCGAGATATTTCACGATAAGAACGCGTCTGGTTGAGATGAGACAATTTACGCCCGAGATTTTTGTACTCGATTGAGAAAATGAGACAGGTCGTGTGTGTACCTATTAAGGTGCATAGGGTGCAAAAAAAAAGTCATAGACGAAACATTTATAAAACTAGCTAATTCATACCTAGAAGCTATCCCAAGGGACTTACCAGATATAGAAATATCACAGTGATTCAACTTTCTTCTTCAAAGCTTCATTGAATCTCTCGAATCCTGGCTTGACATCCCTATCTAACATACCAGAAGTGAAATATACCAAGATCCCATAGAAATTTTCAGTTTGTTTTAAAAGAACTTTACCGTTTGCTTCTTCGATTTCGAAAATGTGTTCTCCATCGAAAATCCCTCCGATGAGTAACTTTCCTAACCAACTTAATCTTTCATTGGGTTTAAAAGAAGTGACTGTGGGTTTGAAGGTTTGTTTGGAACTCATGTCTAAATCAACTTCTAGTTGAGCTCCGGGTGCCACAGTTCCTTTAATATTGAGGAACTCTGCCCATTGGTAATCAGAAGTGTTGATCAAAGTCGACCAAACCTTTTCTTTAGTGGAATTGATCTCTATCAGGGTAGAAATAGTATGGTTCATTAGGGATAAAAAGTGCGAGTGGCTAAAAAATAATGCCCCCCAGTCCATGATGATTGGGCATTATCTATGACGAGGCTTAAGGGTCGCCTGGTATTAGTAATTGAAGAATTCTTTAGATTTTGATCTTTTGTGTCACATTTTTGATCTTTCGTGTCACCTGACTTGTCAGAGTTGACGCGTAGATACCTCATCTGTTCATTTGTTCATCTATTTGCCTGTTTATATGTGTGTTGTTAAGCTATTTCAACGTTCTTCTAACTTCTTTTCAAACTCTTTCAATACTGACGTCAATATTTCATTCTTCCTTGTCACCATGAACACATCATCGTTTTTTATAGTGGATCTACCTCCATGTTTGGCAAACAACTCTAGATCTTCACCCAAATTGATGATTTGATTCATGACCAATTCCACTAATGATGCAATGAACATTGGTGTAGGTTGAAGGTCATGGTCGTTCTCTATGATCTTCGATACCATGAGGTATATAGAAGATTTGAGTTGAGTTTCTATCTCTGCTTTATCCATTGAGTGAGATTTTCGAGCGAGTATGCGTCAGGATTGAACAGATTATGGAGATGCTGAGACGTAAGTTGATAGGAGATGGTGTCGAGGTGGTGTAGGACATGTGAGATGTTCTAGAATGGGGAACGCTAGAGATGTTAATGCTCTGGAAGTCGATATTCTGCAATTTGATTGAACTGGAATTTGAATTATTGGTGTTTTGTGTTAAGTCAAAAGGCTATCAGAGTTAATAGGGTATGAGACTCTGACGTTCATATTCCGGAAGACGTTTGTTAGATATAAATTCGCAAACGGACTCGGGATAAACCCGTTCCATAACTTCGGTCCAATCCAAAAGCTAAAAACTTCTCTATATCCACCATCCAGTTATTCTCCTTTCATGTCTTCAGTAACTTCTTCTCTAAAACTCCCTCGACCTTCACCTATCCTTCCCATTCCCTCAATCCACCAAACCCCCTTCTCCTCCTTTCCATCTACAGAAAATTGACAACCGCAAATCTCACTTCCCAAAAAACCCAAAGAATCTTCGTGGGGAAGTGCGATAATGACCAACGCAAGAGTAAGGAAAGGAATATCCTATGTTATTGGTGATAACAATGACAAAGAGAACCATATATTGCCCATTAATGCTATGGAATACAGTCAAAGTCGGAATCAGTTGTTCACAGGAGGAAGAGATGGTATTATAAAGATCTGGGATAGCGATAGTGATAAACCCAACGGTTATGATATCAATGGGAACCAAAGTAATGGTAATGATGGAGATGTTACTGGGGATATAAATGAAAGGATCTTGAAACTAGAAACTTCCATATCGTCCAATCCATTGACTTTCAATAAGATTAATCATAGTTTCGATGTTACCAATAAGAACTATGACCTTCATTTCGATTGGATCAATGACTTGAAACTTGTTAATAACGATAATGATTTAGTGTCATGTTCATCGGATTTATCCCTTAAAATCACCAATTTGAACGATAACAATACGTCGAAGTTTGAAAATATCCACACTGATTATGTGAAGAAATTGTCTCATTTCAAAGATCAGGATTTGATTTTGAGTGGAGGTTTAGACGGAAAGATCGTTTTATGGGATTTGAATCAATTAAAGAGTGTGAATGTCATCAAGAACCACAATAATATCAATAGTTCCAACTCCATCTATTCTTTGGCCAATAATAACTATAATTTGATCAGTGCTGGAGGTCCTAACAATATCATCAACTTATTCGATAAAAGATTGGACAATCCATATGTTAAGAAATTAATAGGTCATCAGAACAATGTGAGATGCTTACTTATGAACGATAACTTCATTTTATCTGGTTCATCTGATTGTACCATAAAATTATGGGATTTGAGAAATTCAAAGATATTGAAGAATTTCACCATTCATGATGATCCCGTTTGGTGTTTACATTCAGCAAGTGATGAATTCAGTACATTTTATTCTGCTGATAAATCTGGAACTATCATTAAAACTGATTTATCTCATTTACCAGGAGATTTACTTGATAATAATACTATTTCTACAGAGAATTTCGGGTTATCGACATTTGTAGCTAAATCTTCAAGTTCAATTTTGGCTTTGACCATTGAAAATGATTCAATTTTTGCTTCTACAGATATGTCTTTGGATAGATATCAAGTTCCTAATACTGATAATTTAGCCAACTATCAATATTATAAAAGTCTTAATGATGTACCTATTGAAGTGGTTGAAAAAGATGAAGATTTGAATTCAGAAATCTATGATCTTGTAAGTCATATGTCTGTGGATAGTAATTATGAATTACAATCCAATTTCTCTCATAATACTGCTGATAAAGGTGATGATAATGAATATGAATCAATGTTTCTTGATGTCAATGGAGGTTGTTCTAGGGATTTTGTTAATGTTGATAAAGGTACTCCACAAGACGATGATTTTGTTGATTTAACACCAGTAGAGATTTTATTAAACCCTGTTTCTTCAGAACAAGTGAGTTTAATCCCTTTTAATAAGAAACCATTGGAAAGTTATGGACTTACACCCAAAAGTGTTATTGCCAAAAGATTGTTTAATAACAAAAGAACCATGTTAGTACTCTATCTCAATGGAGATATTGCTATTTGGGATTTATTCATATGTAAGAAGATTAAGAGTTTCCCTTATAATACGGAGAAATTGGATTCACTTGTTACTAATGAAATGATCAAAAAGAGAATCAAAGATATGGATGATATCTTCCAACAGTATCAAACCACTGATACGTTGAATAATTGGTGTGAAGTTGAAATCAAATCAGGGAAACTTCTAGTAACTATAACAGAAACTAACTTCAATAATATAGAAATTTATTATGATGAATTGATTGAAAGTTATCCATTCTTGCAATATGAAAAAGATCAAGATGCTGTTAAGAACACCAAGGTCAAAGTTAATGGAGATGATAGATTACAAGTATCGAGAATATTTTTGAATTCCATATTCCGGAATTATTCTTTATTTGAATGGAAATTTGATGGTCAATTAAGAGAAGAGTTAAGAGTTCAACATCAGAAGAAAGTTCCTGATGGAGCTTTCAAAAAAATGTTTTCAAGGAAATCTTCATCAAATGGTATACCCACATTGAAAAGAGTTGGTAGTAGAAGTAGTGGTATCAATAGTACTAATATCAGTGTTAGTAGTCAGAATAATAGTGCTGTAAACAGTACTAACATCAGTATCAATGAACTTGAATCACCTATTCATGAGTTTATCAACTCAACTGAAGATGTTGATGATGATTCCATAAATCATATCTTGAATGATAATAAACATAAATATTTGGAAAAATTGACTGTATCTTCAAAATTACCTGATACCAACTTGAAGCTTTATACCAATAATTATGATCATGTTAAGAATTACTATTCAAGTGAGGAATTCTTACCTTATAAACCTGTTATACCATTCGATGAACTACCATCCAATTTATTAATCATTATATTTGAAAATTCTTCTGATTTAGGAAATTTAAGAGATTTATTCAGTTTCAGATTAAGTGACCTTTCAGATGCTTCCAACTTAGAAGATAATTATCAATTGATAAAGAATTTAAGAAGTTTCTTGCCAAAATGGATTGGTCAACCGATTTTACTAGATAAATTCCCAATCAAAGAATCACCTAAAATTGCCTTCCAATTACTTGAACTTGATTATACTACTTTACCTCCAGAAAAGAAAATTCATGGTAAATCTCAAAGAAAGATCAAACGTTTACCAGTACTTGAAAGTTCCATCAAATTAACTAGTCATAATATGCTTCGAGTAGGTAAAATCTTAACTTATTTGACAGAAAAGTTCGAAAGTAGAACCAGTGAAATGAAAGATAAACTTCCTGCCACCGATTGGTTAGTCTTAGAATGTAAGGGACAAGAGTTATCCAATAATATGACTTTACAAACCATTAAGACGAAGATTTGGAAATCTAGTAGTGATATTGAATTGAAATTCAGAAGGAAATATGATAAATAGGGAAATATAGATAGTTTAAATTGTAGTGATATAACGGGACACCATCAGGTTTCTAAACCCCAATGACATACTTTAATAACCACATTAATCTATCCAGGATTGTATCAACAATCAATCAACTGTTCGCTGGGAAAATCTCTTACCTATCAATCCACCATGAGTCCCTACATAGTAGGAGAGCCACGCTTCATGAATTCCCTAAGGACGGTCGTCAATTTAACCTTAAAACCAATCAACTGCCAAATTTCCTGGAATCAACTTTCTGAAGTTTTTGCAAAAAAAAAAATCGATGAGAAATATCACTTGTCCGGGTAAGTTGCGCAAAGAAGAAGGTTACAGTTTGAAATTTCGATCTAACTAAAATAACTATGACATTCTATGATATATTCATTGCAGGGAGTTCTTTCATAGTCACCACCTTGGTATTTGTAATGAGTAACGTCATTGCAATTACACAATATGGAATGGCAGAATATCCACAAATTACTACATGGATATTAGGTTTAATAGGTATTTACTCATTCTATAGATTATCAGTTAGAATAGTTAAATATTGGATTTCTACCTTTATCATGTTCATTAAGATGATCATCATGATGATAACTATTGGTCTTGCATGTGTAGTATACTTAAGGGGTAATAAATTCATCAATCAAGATATCCCATACTTCAAATCAGTCATTATTTCATATGATGGAGAAAGTATAGGTGAATATGTCAAAGAAGAAATTCATAATTTGATGTTTGATAGTTTTATAGGTCAATTCAATCCTTTCAAAGATGATAATCACGGGAGTAAAAGCCAAAACAAGAAAAAGGCTAAACAATCTAGAGACAAGTTTCAAAAGAATGCTAAAAAAGTGATGAATGATTATGGAATTGAAATTGATGATAGTTATCTTGATTATATGAACCACCAAGGTTCAAAACATGATGATAAAGATTTCATGGATCATTTAGATGAAACTTTGAATGATCTAGGTATTGATTTGAATGACTTAATGAAGAAATTCTCTCACTAACTGACCTTTGCATTGATTCTGTTTAAGATATCCTAATTTGGTTAGATATCCTTTGGCTAGAAATCCTGTTTGTGTGTTGAGTCTCCTGACGGGGACTATGGCAAAGCATATCAATGTAGGTTGTGGAATGTCAAACATTACCTTATGCAGGCAAAGGGGGGTCGTGGTTGTGATATTTTTGAAAGTACGAACTTTTATTTACGAACTTCCAACCTTCCATAAACCCTTGAACCAGCACCAAGAATTTTGATCATGGTTAAAGAAACTTTTTATTATGACACCTTAGGTATTAAGCCCACTGCCAATGATGTCCAATTGATGAAAGCTTATCGTGAGAAAGCTATTCAACTTCAACGAGAAAAGAGAAATGAAGATCCCAAAGCTGCAGAAAAAATAAAAAACCTTGACTTAGCTTACTTCATCTTGAAAGATACCGACAAAAGAAAACTTTATGATGAGATGGGTGATAAAGGGGTATCAGATTTGGATAAGCAGAGTGATATCAAGGTTCTCCCTCATGAACTCGCCTTTATCAAATATGCTGGTAATCCATTTGAGACGTTCATTGGTGAACTTTCCATGGTAAACAATGTTCGTATTATCAACGAAATGGCTAAAGGGGAAGAGGGTGACAAATTCAAGTACTCTCTACCTTCTAAACATATTCATATGATTCAAAATGAAAGAGAAAAGCAAGTGGCTAAGAATTTGATCAGCAAGTTAGACAAGTACGCCAAAGCTGACGGTAATCCTGCAGCTTTGAAGTCATTTGAAAAGGAAATTATTGATGAGGCAAAACCATCAATTTATGGATCTATGGAAATCGTATTATTACATTTGATTGGAGAATGCTATAGAGATTGTGGCAGTGACAAAATATCTGCGTTGAAATCTCTTGGGATGTCTAAAGTATTTGGAAAGAAGAAGTTGACGACAAGCACCAAGAAGATGGCTGAATCTGCGGTCCAAAGTCTCGTTGTCATCCAGACTAGTGTGCAAATGATGTGTGGTCAGCAAGAATTAATGACAAGTGGTGAGAAACACGATGATAGTATACCAACGATGTTCCAACTAGAAGAATCAGAGAAGTTTTTAGCCAAAACTGGTTTAAATAGCTCTCTCATTTTAGATTCATATGATGTTATAAAAGTAATGGATTCGGTATGTAAGATATTATTCAATGATAAATCTTTGGGGAAGAAACAAATCACTATGAGAGCCAAAGGACTTAAATTTATTGGTGAATCCATGCTTAAAATCGACAGATCTAGTACAGAATCAGAAGATGCTTCTCTTTTTGAAGAGTTCATGGTAGAACACAGTCCTATGAATGACCAACTGAGATTAGTCTATCTAGCTGCTATGCAAACCATTTTTGAAGATCTAGCCGTGAGACATGCCGACACTTTTGAATAATACCAACCGATATCACTACTTATCCAATGAATATCACTCTGTAAATCTTCTCATCGATCACCCCCTCCTCATTGCCATCTCCTTCCACCAACAATCGTTGATGGCCATGTTCTCTTTTGAAGTGAGATTCCGCGCTTTGCCACAACAAAAGTATGGTTAAAGATACACAATATTATGATATTTTAGGCGTAGAATTCACTGCGTCTGATTTGGAATTGAAGAAAGCTTATAGGAAGCAGGCAATCAAATTACATCCGGACAAGAATGCCAATGATCCTGAGGCGGCAAAGAAATTCCAAGAATTAGGTGAAGCATATGGAGTTTTAAAAGATAGTGAGAAGAGAAAACTCTATGATGAATTGGGTAAAGATGGAATGGTAGAAAAGAAAGGTGAAGTTGACGTTGATCCTGCTGAATTCTTCACCATGATCTTTGGTGGTGAGAGTTTCCGTGATTGGATCGGTGAATTGAGTATGTTGAATGATTTAAGTAAAGCTGCCGAAGTCTTAGAAGAAGATGAAAGTCAAAGTGAGGGCAATGGAACCCAAGTTGATGATAAGTTCACTGATTTGACATTAAGAGAAGAAGATGGCAAAACTTCAAAAGAAGATCTTCTCACCTCTGAAGGGATCAAGAAGAAAAAGAATCAAAAGATATCAAAAGATCAAAGAGAAGAAATCATCAAATTACAAGAGGAAAGTAAGAAAGAAAAAGAAAAACGTGTGGACGAATTAGTTGATAAATTACTCGTCAAATTAGATACTTATGAAAAGACTTATAAGAATACTGAAGGTTTAGAATCTTTTAAAAAGAAACTTATTGAAGAATTTGAAGATTTGAAAATTGAAAGTTTCGGTATTGAATTATTGCACTTGATTGGAAAGATATATAAAGATCAATCCAACGCAAGATTAGCATCATCCAAAACATTTGGGGTCTCCCAAGTATTTACAAATGTTAAATCAACGGCCACCACGGTAAAAAATGGTTACTCAATTTTGAAAACTGCTATTGATGCTCAAGCATCAATGGAAGCCATGGTGAAAGAACAGGAAATACTACAATCTAAAGAAGAATTAACCGAACTTGACCAAATAAGAATGGCAGAAATGGAAAGATTAATTACAGGTAAATTCTTAGCCACAGCCTGGGCTTCAACTAAATTTGAAGTCACTGGTGTTTTAAATAAAGTTTGTGAAAAACTTTTGAATGATAAATCTTTAGGTAGAAAGGAAAGAAACTTGAGAGCTAAAGGATTATCATTCATAAGTGACATCATGTTAAAAATGGAAAGATCTGAAGAAGAAGCTGAAGAAGCAAGGATCTTTGAAGAAATGATGGCTGAAGCAAGTTCTAAGAATAAGAAACAAACCAAAGCTTCCAAAGCTGAATTTGAAGCTTTCTTACATGATTTTGCCAAACAAAATGAAGAACCTGAACCTAAATAGATAATTTATGAACATATGTTAATATAGACTATGAAAGTTTCGTCAATTCATGGATCGGTTAAATAATACCTTCCTCGTATCTAACGTTGGTACTAGCATTTTCCGTTGGACCTAATGCGAGAATCTCCCGGTGTGCCTTTCCTTATTCATCACAACTGAAAAGTCGCACATCATCGATTTTCCCTTCCGATTATATCATCCATCGTCAAACCAACATGACAACTAAAACTGACGTCTTAAGATTATATAAACAGTTATTAACTACTGCTAAGAAGTTCGATAACTATAATTTCAGAGAATATAGTAAAAGAAAGATTGTTGACTCATTCAAAGAACATAAAACCGTGGATGAAAATCAAATTACTAAATTCTACAACAATGGTATTGACGAATTATCCAGATTAATCAGACAAACTGCCGTATCACGAATGTACACTTTCGATAAATTAATCATTGAACCATTGAAAAAACATCATCATTAGGTGGATCCATTTAAGAAAAATCATTGTTCATCGCTAACCCAAGTAAAACAATCACCAATTCATCACGGGCCCTCAGTTTCAGAATGATATGATTTTAACCATCCTCCTTCTTGCAGTGATCTAGAAAACTTGATTCAGAAAATCTTATTTGATGTATAACTGTAACATACCAAATCTAAAGGTCTAGGCGTTGAGTTAAAATCTAAGGTAACTGAAGGCTTAAAACCTTATTATGAATGTATATAACTATTTTGTGTTTCTCCTTAATCTTAATCTTATTTTTTGAAAAAAGATCGCCATTGGCTGCTTCTATAACTCTCTTAATTGCTCCAATTCGACTAATTAGGATAGATAATGTAGAGTGTCTATAACTCAATCAAGAAATAATTATGTCGCCGGTGTTTGTAATGCTAAATCTAGATAGGGATTGGCCCTTTATGCCGAGGCCGGCCAAGAAATAGTGATGGTGATTTTGACATCTAGAGGGGGAGGCTTTCAAAAAAGCTGTCAATTTTTTTTGAGTGAAGAATAACACTAACCAATAGAACATTCGGTTGAATTTTGATTATTAGCCTAAAAACCGTTGGATTATTGATTTCATCAATTAAACTGTACAGTGGATGATTCAGATGAAAAATTTTCTATTATAACCTTCCTCAGACACTACCCCTTTCCAACAGGAACAATGCCCCTGTTTATGAGCCCGGGTCATTTCATGCAACTGATCAATCTGATAATTTCACACACAAACAAAAAAAGTAATTGTTGGTTGACTTATATGACGTCCATACAACGGAATTTGAGTTTAACAGTAGGTATGTAACGCCAGTGGTACAAAAAATACAGCAAATAGGAAGTATGCATTGAAAAGTTTTATTTCATCGAAGTTTTACTAGCTATAAATTTATCCACTTATATAACAGTAAGAAAAAAAAACTATTTAACCCATTGATTTCAGCCTATTTCACAAATTCTTTTTCAGATTTATTACTAGGCTTTGAAACATGTTGAAAAAGTTTTTGTTAATATGCATGATCCCTTTGATTTATGCTATATCATACGAAACCTATGATGATTTCTCCATCGCCATGTATGGTTGTTTAAAAACTATAGGTGTAACGGCTACTGTTTGTGAGGAAGCCAAAGGCGAAGAAGAAGAAGATCCTTTAGGTTGTTATTGTATTACTGATGCTGGGTTTGGTACTTTCACCAATTGTTTAGTTAAAGGTTATAATAATAATACCGAAAGAATTGATCAATTCATCAGTAAATGTAAGCATCATAATGTTTCCATGACAAGAGAACAGTTTTGGGATAGATATGACATTACTCAACTGAACTTAACTAATGTATCAGCTATTGAAGGTTTTAATGCCACTTTATTGTTTCCTTATCCTGTTGATATTGACTTCAAACAATTCGAATTAGATAAAAGATATAATTATATTAATCTTATGAATTTCAATTATTCAATTTTATTCGGTTATGTGTTGATGGTTTATTGGTTAGCTGTTCTTGTTATCGCTAGTGTAGTTAATTGGACTATTTATCTTTTCCCTAACTTTACAGGTAAATTTACTGGTCCTATTTCAAATTGGTGGAGGAAAAATGTAACTTTACCAGCTTTTTATGGAAAGAAAAAGACTAATGCTGCTAAATACTTAATGATTTTACCTTCAAGAATGGAAACTATTATTTTAACAGTCTTCACTATTTTGATGGCAGCATTCTGTGGTATTGGTATTTATCCTGTTTATGGTAATAGTATGTATCCAAGTATTACCGGATCATTGGCTAGATTAGTAGCTATTAGAACTGGTGTGGTGGTAACTTTCATGATCCCACTATTAGTATTATTTGCTGGAAGAAATAATTTCTTACAATGGTTGACTAGATGGAATTTTGCAACCTTCATTACTTATCATCGTTTTATCAGTAGAATTGTTATATTGGTTGTATTTGTCCATGCCATCACATTCACTGTAACTGATTTCATTAAAATGTCCTACTTTAGACATATGTCAAGACCTTTTGTTAGATGGGGAGTTGTTGCTGGTGCCGCAGGTGCTATTATAATCTTCCAAGGTATGTTATATGCCAGAAGAAAATCTTATGAATTGTTTTTGATCATTCATATATTAATGGCTTTATTCTTCATCGTAGGTGGTTACTACCATGTTGAAGAATTTGGTTATGCTCCATTTATGTGGGCAACTGTAGCATCTTGGGCTTTTGATAGAGTCATTAGAATTTCAAGATTAATGAGTTTCGGTAGTCCTCAAGCTACAGTTACTTTATTAGCAGAAGAAACTTTAAGAGTAGTTATCCCAAAACCTTCATATTGGCATGCCATCCCTGGAGGACATGCATTCATTCATTTCTTAAGACCTTCATGTTTCTGGCAATCACACCCTTTCACATTCACTGACTCTTCCGAAAACGACAATTACATTGTTATGTATATCAAATTGAAGGGAGGTGTTACGCATGGTGTTTATAAATATTTAAACCAATTCCCTGGTAAATCTGCAAAGATCAGAGTGTTGGTTGAAGGTCCATATGGTGAAGCTACAAGTGCAAAGAAATATAAAAACGCTGTCTTCATTGCTGGTGGTAATGGTATTCCAGGTATTTATTCTGAATGTATTGATTTAGCAAGAAAGAAACCAAATGCTCAATTGAAGTTAATTTGGATCTTAAGAGAATGGAAATCGTTAGCTTGGTTTTATCAAGAATTGAAAACTTTGAATAACACCAATATTAATACTACTATTTATATTACCAAACCTGATGAGACCAGTGGATTCCATCATTTGAAAACTCTTTCGGATAATGAAAGTTCTTCTTTGAATATTGAAAAAGAAGAAGTAAACATCAATGATAATGAGGATAAAGAAAAGAAAGGAAGTGATAGTGAATCTGTATACTCTTTGGTAGATTCCATTAAGTGTGAATTGAGTCATATTGACTTCAGAGAAGGAAGACCAAAAGTTGAGGATTTAATTAAACAAGAGATTTCAAATTCTGATGGTTCAACTGCCTTCATTACCTGTGGACATCCTGTTATGGTTGATGAGGTAAGATACTCAGTTGCATCTAATTTACATCTCTCAAAACATAGAGTAGAGTATTTCGAACAATTACAAGTCTGGGCTTAGATAATAGATATTTTTGATTTAATGATCTCTATTCTAACATCAACCTTCTCTGCCAGCATCTACCCCATAGTTGTGACTAGGAAATGAATCTGGCAAAAAAAAATAACCGACCTCGGAGAGGATTGAACTCTCGATCTTGTGATTAACAGTCACACGCCTTAACCAGCTTGGCCACGAAGTCGTAATATATGACAATTTTCGCACAAATTCATCATGTTAGTGAAAACACGTTTTTCAGACAAAGAATCTTTTTTCGTGTTTCCTTGAGTCTGTTTCCATGCAATGAAGACTTTTTTGGATTAATCAAGGTATTGGGTATCAATTGTACTATTGGCACTTGTTAGTTGCGAATGTTTGTCAATTAGAATAAATAAAAATCCATATTGCAACTCGCTACCAATTTGATGCTTTTTTTCGTGCCAATTCCCCGGAATTTAGTTGGATTGTTGGTAACAAAGAGCTGTTAGATTCTTTGAGTTTGATTTCTTCCTTATTCGTCACTTCAATTGGCCTACTTTTATCCCGAATGACGCAATATGTGATTGTTTTGGTACTTTTCCTAGTCGAGAAATTTTGACAATAGCATTGTGACATAAGAAAGACTTGCTTGATCTCGACATATTAAAAGGTGGTGGTTTCTCAGATCAAAGCAGAATCAAAGAATTTTGCTACAGGTCTACTTAGTATCTTACAGTTAATCAAAATGTTAATCTACAAAGATGTTATTACAGGTGATAATTTGTTCTCCGATCAGTATCCATTCAAAGAAGTGGGAGATGCTGTCTATGAAGTGAGCTTTACTTCGGTGGATGGCAAAAACCTAGTGGAGGAATTCAACCTCCAACCTACTTTTTTTGATAAGAAAAGTTTTCTCGAAAATTTTCGTAGCTATGGTCTAGTTGTTAGCAAATATTTAGAGGAAAGTAACCCAGACTCAGTTCGTCCCTTTCAAGCAAATTCAATGGCGTACGTCAAAGAACATTTACAAAATATAAAAGATTTCGAATTCTACACCGGTCCTTCGGGAATCTTAGAAGGAATGGTAGTTATGGTTCCTGACGAAGAAGTCGCTCTTTTCTGGAAATATGGTGTTCAACCTTCAGAATCTTAAGAAGCTGGATAATAATATACGATCTCCCACAACAGCTCTCTTCAAGTAATCATAGTTCTTGATTTGCCATTCAATTGACATACTTGTGTCCCAAAATATGCGTTCTAGTTTTCTTCCTAGACGAGAAATTTTAACAATAGCATTGTGACATAAGAAAAGACTTGCTTGATTCCGAAAAATATGTGATAGTTTCTGAGATCAAAGCGGAATCAAAGAATTTTGCTACAATTCTACCTATAGTCAATTGAGATGTTAACCTACAAAGATGTTATAACAGGTGAGGACTTGTTCTCCGAGATGTATCCAGTCAACCTAGTGGATGATGCTGTATATGAAGTAGGCTTGATTACGGAGGATAAAAACTTAGTGGAGGAGTTCAACCTTCAACCAATTAACCTTGATAAAAGAGCCATTGCAAATCGTTTCAATAAATTTTCTAAAGCTGTTACCAAATATTTGAATGCAAGTGACTCGGACTCAGACGCAGCTTCGAGGTTCCAAAAAGGTTCACTGTCGTACTTGAAAAAAATTTTGAATGAATTATCCCGTTATAATTTCTACACTGGTCCATCAGGAAACGAAGAAGGAATGGTAATTATGGTTCGTGACGAGGAAACTGCTCTTGTATGGAAATATGGGGTTCAACATCACGAAACTGAATGATAATATACGATCATTCATAACAGATCACCTCGTATGATCATAGTTCTTGATTTGAACATCGATCTCTTATTTTTGTATTGTATCTTGGATTGTGTAGTCTTAATTGATAATATTAAATTGGCTTTGCAAATCCTGGATACGGGATCTTTATAATGCTTCAATCATATCACACCTCACACCAGTAAGCACTTATATTTTTAGGTTCTTTTTTCCAATCAATATTTGAAAAAAAAATCACTCTGATCGAACTGTGAAATCTGCAAAAAAAAGAGAAAAAATTAATCACAAAAAAATCAAAAGGGTCTAGACAGTCAGAATCTGAACAGTTCCAATTCACAGGACCATTATGATTTGGAGAGTTTCAAAATCTGCAATCTAAACTAAAATTAAGAACTGTTGATGTTTCGCTCCGTATACATACAATATTTGTGCATGATAAACAGATTCAAATTACGGGCTTATATCTTTGGGTCTAGAATTTTGCTCTCATTAAATCAGTCCTAATACCATTCATTCCCTCTCACTCCTTTATTGCCTTTTACTGATCACAATCAATCCTGAGATCAGTCTCAGTTTAAGTATGAGAAATCTCGAATGAAATACACGCGATGATTCAGATAGGTTACTATGATCCATTCAATGTGTACCCATTGATTCAACCCAATATAGAGAGCAAACTACCGTTGACAAATCTACATTGGAAATTCCAGAGTACACTCAAGTCAATTCCAAAATTACCTGTTAAATTTATCGAAGAGAACCCAAGGAAAGTACAAAACGTCGATGGTAATATTATGTTCATAACATTCAAAGAGCTTGAAACTTATAAAAGTCAAGTACGACCATTGATTAAAGAATGGCTTAAGATAGTGGGAGAAGAATGGTTGATTGTGGTGTATAACCCAAAAAAGGATAAACTATTCAAAATGTCTACATTTGAGAAACTCCGGACTGATTTTGGTAAGGATGGTAAAGAGCTCCTAAAACATAAGTCAGATGATAAAGAAAGAGTGTTCAGACTCAAGGAAACAAACGACAATGATTTAGAAAAGTTGGAATTGTATAATGATTTCATTAATCACTTAAAAGATATCATATTGTCTTCATATTCTGGGAAATTTCAGAAAATCCAATCTCAACTTAAAGATTCTGAATTTAAGGATCTTGTGCATGTAAAATTGATTCTAAGTCAACAGAAATTATACGAAAACCTCGGTCTCGTCAAAGACTCATTAATGGTAATGAATGAAGCATCAAAGATTATGAATGAATTCACCAAGACCAATAAATTCGATATGTCTTTGAGTGTAAGGCTGGAAGATATTCCCTTCTTACTTATAAATTCAGATATTTTAGTGGAAAACAATTTGTTTCGGTTGAAATGGGGAATGTTTCTGATGAAGGCCAAACTCATGTTATCTATGGTAGACGACGAACCACTCAATTCAATGAAAGTAAAGATTTTGGCACAATTATTCCAGGATTTAATAGTTACCTTGAATGATTTATCGATTATATATAAGAATGATATACTGGAGTTCAATTATTTGGTGAGTGGGAAATTTATTAAGCTACCTGATATAGGAGATTTAGTAGAGTCAGGTATTGATATGGGAGAATTGAACGAAATCAAAGGAGAGTTGAAGCTTTTCCAAAGATCAATGATTACCAAATTGGGAGCTTCCAAAGGATTTCTGGCAGGTTTGAATGATTTCCATGAAATAAATTTGGAAGATAAAGAAGAGAAAGAATTTGGCAATACAATCAGTAAAATAAATTCCACTATTTTAAGTAATGAAGATGCTTTCTATACTTATTTTGAATCTATCACAGAGTCTGCAATAAGTGACTTTCTCGATTGTAATAGGACAAAAACCATTGATATATTGTCCATCGACTTGGCAATAATCAATTATAAAAGACAAAATTATCAAAAATGTCTTGAAATCCTCAACAATGCCTACGAATTCTTGATAGACAATGGATGGACTTATATGGGTGGTGTCCTTTTGACGATTTATATTGAATGTTTGGAGAAAACTAATTCTAATACCACCAAATCGTACATTAAATTACTTTCGAATTTGAGCAAGAGTCATGACAAGATTGATATCAACAAATTCACCACATCCACTGACATATTCAGCAAACTTTCTGATGAGCAGATGGAAGTCTCATTGGAGGAGATCTTCAAAGTCGAGGTTGACCACTATATCCATTATGATAATGGCTATTACATAGTATTAAACCTTCAAAATATTTTCAATGACACCATACTTGACCTTATAGATTTGAAGTTATCTGAAGAATTGCACTTCACGGCTAAAGATGTTCAAATAAAAAAAAATAACGAAATAAGACTTTATACTCAATATTTTAGCGAAGGCTTTTTCAAACCTTTGAGTCTAGTTATACGAAAAGGCAACATTAGATTCACCAAAGACTTTAAGAAGTCAGATAGTTTGATAAATCAAAATAAGGACAATTCTATTTACTATTATCCTATACCTGGAAGTCCCATGGTGGATTTAGAATTTTGTTCGGAGTATTTACTCGGATCTCCTCAACTTCTGTTCAAATTCAAAGATGTCAAATCGAGAGATGTCCGCTTAAACATTCTACAGTACGAGGGATTCACATTCGATGAGTCTCTTTTATCATCGATCACCGGAGATTTTGAAGTGCCTATAAAAATCACCACCCCCAAAATCCACATAAAGGTTGAAATGATGTTTGAAGACTTCACATATCTCATAGATAAGAGCATTGACACCAACTTGATGATATCAGTATCAGTGCAGGATATATTCAGGACTGAGTCTATATTTTCAAGGTACCAAATCAGTTCTTTATCCACACCTATAAGAATCAAGGGAATCAAGCTTCTTAACGATAATGACAACTATACTGTCAAAAGACCAAAATTTTTACCCACAGATGTTATCATCACAGGAGAGCAAACATTTTCTTCATTCTATGAAATAGTAATCCAGGATGACTACAAACTTAAGCCCAATGATGAATTCCGATTAGAGATCGACTACAGTTCATTGAATGACGAGATGTTGGAAATATTAGAAGCTAGTTTGAATTTAGGAGACAAGCTCTACTTATTTCGTAATTTGATAGCCCCCAAGATCTTGTTTGATTTTAAGAGATACATTATTCGTGGAGACGTGAAATTTCACAACGTTGATGAAATTCAACATATTTTGCATGGAATAAATAAGTTTTTACTCCAACCCATTGAAATAGGAAGTCATTCAATCAACACAGAGGATAAAATAGTTCCTACAAAAGAACCCAAGAGATTACTTATTGACGTTCCTATCCCCAGCATCGATATACTTCAAATAATAGAATTCAAATACCCTCAAAAGGTAAAATATATTGTTGGTGAGCCAATTGAATTTGAAATTTTTGTCGAGTTCAGTCAAAGATGGGCTCATAGCGAAGATGAAGATATTTCTATTTTGGCTGAAAGTTCAGTAATCAATGAAAACGAAAATTTTCAATTACTTCTCATTAACGATGACAACTGGTTGATATCAGGACATAAGAAGAAAAATTTCAAGATGGATGTGAAGAACCCAACAGTGAACTCATTTAAAGTAGTTTTAATACCGTTGAATGTAGGTAGGATTTTGTTGCCCAAAGTTAATATAAAACTTGATAATAAGGATATTTCAATGGATTTATTAGTTAAGAATGGGTCAGAGAGTTTATTGGTTGTTCCAGAATTGGATACCATCACATTCACATTCTAGAGGAGGACAAAAATACATAATTACTTATTCAAATATACACTAAACAGTTTCATGTTGTTGATGTTGAGGTTTAGATTCATAAGATTCCAAATCATCATCTTTATGAGCAACATCAAATTCCTCATCTCTATCGATATCGAAATTGGCACCTCTATTTTCTGGGCCTAAAAAGGTGACAGTCAACACAAAAGCGAAAACACAACCCATGAAGATAGCCATTGTCTTTGAATAATCATAATGTTCACCATCATCCAAAGGAAATCTTTCACCAATTGTAGCTTCAATAGTAGAAGAAGCTGAAGAACATAAATTACCTAATTGGTAAGATAAACCTGTAATCAAAGCTCTATATTGAGGAGGAGCCATTTCTGATAAATGGATTGGGATAATACCCCAACAACCTTGAACACACATTTGTAAGAAGAAAGCACCAGCATTTATTCCTGAATTGGTGACGAAAGCCCAAGGATAAATCAAAGCACCACCTAAAATACATCCAATGATAATTAAAAGTCTTCTACCAACGAAGGTTGAGAAATGTCCAGCAACAAAACCTCCAAACATAGCACCTAAATTAGCCACTGAATTGGTCACAGTAGACCTGTCACTTCCAAATTTCAATTGAACTGTAAGTAAGGTTGGATATAAATCTTGAGATCCATGTGACATGAAATTAAACCCTGACATTAAAACAACACAATAAATAAACATCAACCAATAAGTTCTGATAGCTTTCAAAGCATGATCACTGAATTGGTAAAATTTCTTCTGTGGGATACCTTGTTCCACCATTCTCCTTTTTTCCAATGCAAGCTTTTCGGTTTGTAAAATATAAGCATCAGTTTCAGGTAATAACAATCTCCAAACAATGAAAATAACTGGAGGGCCTGCACTAAACCAGAATAAAGCTCTCCAACCATGAGGAGAATTATCAGTAATAGCTCTTTGGAAACAAACAACTAATAAGTATCCAAAAGCATAACCTTGTTGGAATAAACCAGAAACAACCCCTCTAGCAGATTTAGGACAATCATCTAAAGCAGTGGCTGCAGCTAAACCGAATAAACCTCCCATGGCAATACCGAATAGAGATCTCACTGCTAAAAATTGTTTAAAAGTTTGAACAAATCCACATCCAATTTGTAAAACAATTAAAAGGGCCAAATTTATAATGTAGGTATATTTCCTACCATATCTAAAGAAGTTAGTATTAATGGTTCCAATATTCTCATGGAGGAAGTCTCGGAAATGTGGGCCCAAATGTAAGTAGTTAAGCCCCACAATTTATATTTCAGCCGCGCGGCTTGCCCGAAAAAAATAACCCCCGCCATCGATCAACACTGTCAAAAAAATCTTGTCACGTCAAAGTGATTTGACAGCTAATTTACATACCTATCTGATAAGACCCCAAAAATCAAAGCTCCTACAGATCTCAACATCAAAACCAAAGTAATACCCCAAGTGATTTGTTTAACTGAACGATCAAAAGTTTCAGCCAAATTGGCAACATTTAATGAAACAGCAAAGAAATCAAAAGCATCCCATGTCCAACCCAAGAAACCAACTATGAAAAAAGTCCATTGTCTTCTATTCAATTCCAATAACGGTTTGAATGGATTCCAGATCTCTTGTCTAGTATATTGGTCTAACTCTTCTTTAGGAACAAATAAGGAAGGAAACCTAGTTTTGAAGTATCTTTTTACAGTGAAAGAATCAAACTTTGGTGGTCTTATAATATGTTTATTCTCTATGACTGATGATTGAATAGACGTCATATTGAACTACTGATGAAAATTTGTAAAGACTTTGAGGGATATTTATAATGGATTACCCCACAGAACGAAAACTTTCCATGGAGCCGTAAAAAAATATTGTGTCTAAAATCCAAAGGTTACGCATAACCAGGGGTATTGATGCGTTAGAGAATTTGCTATTGTTCACATGATAAGCCTTCTAGAATAGGCTTTAACAGTGATCGTTAATAGTCAATAAGGTTACAGTTTCATTGATAATAAGATAAAACAAGAGGGATGTTAAACCATAGCAATTCGCTTAAAACGGGGAGATAAAGGACGTGGCCGTACCAAAACCAAACTTTTTTAAACTATAAACTCTAGATAAGCATATTGTTCGGAGTTTTTCTAAAACCTTTAATGGGCTGTGATTCTAAGGGTGGGGAATCTATCCCGTTAATTATAAGGATACTCCCACTACATAATCGGAAACAACAGGACGATGATCGCTGAAAAAATAATGGAAATAATTAGTTAAAATGGCAAAATGTTTAATGGTGATGGAATAATTCAACCAATTCTTATGTTTAATCAATTCTTTCTTATTAGAGGAGAATGATGGTGACCAAATGTAATCTATGATACTATGACGGTCATTTTTACCAAAGTTTGTGAATGTTTTCTTATAACCATATTGATTCAAACTAAGTAATCGTGCGTCTTTGAACCCGGAGGAAGTTAAGATATGATACGGTTCATCTGAGGGCTCGGTGTTGAAATCCCCACACAAAAATGATGGGTAACTGTTATAATTCTCCATTTTCTTAGCAATAAGCTTTGAACTCTCTCTTCTTGCCTTGATTCCCCTATGATCGAAATGGGTGTTGAAGAAGTTTAATTTGATCATTGGATTACTACGACTTTGTAAAGTTACCATGGTTACGATTCTTTCAAGTGCTGCGTCCCATGATCTACTTGGGAAATCTGGGGTTTCACTCAACCAAAAGGTCTTACCGTCAATGAAAATCCATTCACTAGACTTGTAAAGAATAGGAGCATATTCCCCGAATCTTTTACCATCAGTTCTACCCACACCAAAAAAGGTCCAATCTCCTTTTTTAGGATTTCTAGAATAATCAATACTCTCAACATAGTCATTCTGTTGAACAGATTCATTTGTTTCTTCAGTTGATTCTGCACCACTTGCTTGATCTTCACTGTTATCTGTAAAGCTGGGGATTTCGGGATTAGTAGGCTTGTCCTTATAACCATTTAAATGGTCTAAAATGTCACATAATTGATTATGTAACACTTCTTGTAAACAAACGATGTTTCCTTGGTTGACAGTATTGAATAGAATTGAATCAGCAACACCTTCTTTCCTGATTTCCCAGAAAGGTTCATGTTTTACAGGGTTTCTGTTATCATATCTAATATTATTGGTATAAATCCTCAAATTTAAATCCAAAAAAGAGCTTTTGGCCGACAATGTACTGTAGCCTGTGAATAAGGTGGTACTGAGTAATATCAACCCAAGGGTAATGGGTATAAACCACTTAAACTTGGATTTTCTGATTAATGGGGTTGATTCATCCATATCGCGAATGACGTAAGGTGAGAATTTAGTTGGGGTAAAGGTGCGCCTGGTCATGAACAGTGGTGAGGTATAATTGGTCCGATTTCAGGGTGGGGGCCTTGGTATTGGCTTACTATATAAAAAGAAATTGTAATGGTGAAGACGTGGAAGAATATATGGAAGAATTGGTGTAGTGGTGATTTTGGTAATTGTAATTAAGTAATTGATTATGTGCGAGAACCCTTAAAGGCATAATTGAATGATAACACCACTGATTGGGATAATTCGTAGTTTTTTTTTGGCTGAATAAACACCTGTTCTCCAAAAGAAATCCACAAAACACTTCTTGAGAACTCTTCCAACTCATTTTGGTACCAAATCCGCTCTATATCCTCGTAGTTGCTAATCGTATATTTGTTATCTTCTCGTTTAAGTCGCACCACCAAATCCCTCCGAGGTGGTACCATGTAGCCGCACCGTGATGGTAGTAACTCCACGTCGATCGCACTAATGTCAAAATTCTCAATCATCAACATGGGAAAGAAACCAGAGATGTCACAAGTTTATCCCAATGAATTCGTTTTCAGCGAAAAAGGTGGGAAGGGCAAGAACATCTCGACATTTCTTAAGAATCTTTCATTGACACACAAAGATTACAAAGAAGTCAATTCCAATATTTATGGATCTTTGAGTTATAAATCATCCCTTGATAGATCTGATTCTCAATCGTCACAATCAAATGGTGGATCTGGATCTCACAATTCTCGTCCTAAATCTCCTAAAAGATCAATAAGTGGTCCTAACTCATTTCTTTCAGGAATAGCACCCATCACATCTCATAAAGATGGTTCAGTATCACCCAAAAAGCGAATAGCTAGTTTAAAGTATACCGATTTAGACGATGATTGGGATGCCGATTTGAATACTAACAAGCTCAACGAAGAAAAAGATCAATCAAAAGAGAAATTTAAAGGTCATGGTAATACAATGAAGAACTCATCCATTATCGTTGATTCATTCTTTCCTGATTTATCATTATCACTTGATTCACCCAAACAAAGTATTGAAGATGAAGATTTCAAGGCCACTATTGAACAGAATAAGATCAACCAGCTCAATGTGAAGTTCGATAAGTTCAAAGCCATTCTTACTAATGATTCCACTATCAATATTCAGGAACTTAGGAAGTTATCTTGGAACGGGATTCCAACTAACCTAAGACCAGTTTCATGGCAGATTTTATTGGGTTACTTACCTACCAACAAATCAAGACAATTATCCACACTTAAGACCAAAAGACAAGAGTTTATTGACGGAATCAATGCCACATCCATAGATTTCGATGAGGATGGTACATCTAACTTTAAGGATAATTCTAAGGAAAAACAGTTATATCATCAGATCAAGATTGACGTTAAGAGAACCAATCCCACTATAAAATTGTTTGCTTCACCTCAAGTACAAAAATCATTGAGGAAGATCTTATACTTCTGGGCTATAAGACATCCTACTAGTGGGTATGTTCAAGGGATCAATGATCTTGTGACTCCTTTTTATAAGATATTCTTAGGTCATTACTTATGGCAATTACAAAATAAAGACCAAACACAATTATTCATACCTGGTTTAATGGATGATGGTGATAGTATGGAACAGGAGTTACTCAACGCCAATGACCTTATCAATCTTAATATTGATAATATTGATCCTTCCAGATTGAGTGAAAGAGTTCATCAAATAATAGAAGCCGATAGTTACTGGTGTTTATCGAAATTACTCGATACTATCACTGATAATTATATCCATGAACAACCAGGTATTCTCAAACAAGTCCAAGACTTAAAGAATCTCATTTCCAAGATCGATATCGACCTAATCAACCATTTCAATAGTGAATCCATTGAGTTTATCCAATTCTCCTTCCGTTGGATGAATTGTCTTTTGATGAGAGAATTAAGCATAGATTTGATCATAAGGATGTGGGATACCTACTTATCAGAAAACCCCTTAGGATTCTCATCATTTCATATCTATGTATGTGCAGCTTTCCTTGTAAGATTTTCACCCCAATTGAAGACCATGGAATTTCAAGATATATTGATCTTTTTACAAAATCCACCAACAGAATTTTGGACTGAAAAAGACATAGAATTAATGTTGAGTGAAGCATTTATTTGGCTGAGTTTATATAAGAATGCATCTGCCCATTTAAGATAGAAATTAATATAAGTTAACATACATTAGGGCCAATTTATTCGCACTAAATTTACCACCATTTCCTCCCTAACCTTTAGCACCAGCTTTCGCACCGTCAGACCCTCACAACCCACCTGCGCAGAGATGAGATCTGGGGATTGACTCTTCTCAAATTAATTAAATGTCAAAAGTATTACCAGCAGGAAGAACCATCTTAGCTTCTACCATAGCTAAACTATATAGTGAAGAGATAGTACAACAAGTAGCTAGACTCTCCTTCAAACCAAAAATTGTGGGATTTTTAGCCAATAATGACCCAGCTGGTAAAATGTATGCTAACTGGACTAGTAAAACCTGTCAAGATCTTGGGTTTAATTATGAATTAAAAGAATTAGATAGAGAAGATTTAGAAACTGAACTTATCAAGGCTAATAATAATGACGACGTTAATGGAATAATGGTATATTTCCCAGTTTTTGGTGATAAACAAGATCAATATTTACAACAATTGATAAGTATGGATAAGGATGTTGAAGGTTTGAACTTCTTATACTATAAAAATTTATATCACAATGTCAGATTCATTGATGAAGCTCAAACTAAGAAAAGTATCTTACCATGTACACCATTGGCTGTAGTTAAGATCTTAGAATATTTGGGTGTCTATAATAAGATTTTAAGATACGGTAATAGATTATATGGGAAGAAAATTATGGTAGTGAATCGTTCTGAAATTGTAGGTAGACCATTAGCTGCTCTTTTAGCTAATGATGGAGCTACTGTTTATTCAGTGGATATTAACAACATTCAACAATTCACAAGAGGTGATGATTTATCTGATCACAAACATAAAGTTATCGAATTACCTGGTCAAGATATCAATGAACTTATACCTAATTGTGATGTAATCATCACAGGTGTACCTTCACCAAATTATAAATTCCCTTCAGAGTTAGTAAAGTTCGGTACCACTATTATTAATTTCAGTAGTGAAAAGAATTTCAATGATGATATCAAATTGAAAGCTGGATTATATGTTCCATCCATTGGTAAAGTCACTATTGCCATGTTATTAAGAAATTTATTAAGATTATTGGAAAACAAAAATAAGAATTAGTGCCACTTGTCGCGCAATTACTACCAGGGGGAATTTTTTTTACTTCCATGATGGACCCAAATCCGCCCCAAAAGTTTTACAATGTATGAGCCTCATCATCGCGAACTCTTATCAAATCACAGTCAAGTCTAACAAAACCCTTAACCTACTACCCATATAACTAATTGACATCTTGGGGTAGTTCTGGTTATTTAAAATGAATAAGGATAAATATGATAAAATGGATCCTTTATCCATAACGGAATCGTTGGGGATAAAGACATTCAGGAAATCATCAAGACATATTTGGTCTGCAGAAGAAGACCACCAATTGACACAATATCTCGTAAGTATCACAGGGAAGACTTTAGGAGATATAAATGCAGAAGAAGTTGATTGGGATCTCCTTGCTTCCAGGTTATCAAAGGATGGATCCAGGAAACCAAAGGATTATAAGAAGAGATGGACGACATCTCTAGATCCTAATGTCAAGAAAGGTAAATGGACCAAAGAAGAAGACGAACAATTAATCAGAGCATATGAAAAGTTTGGAGCTAGTTGGCAAAAAGTAGCTGCTAGTATTCGAACTAGAACCATGGATCAATGTGCCAAAAGATATACTGAAGTTTTAGATCCCAAAACAAAGGATAGATTAGGTCCTTGGACGACGGAAGAAGAACTTTTATTGATCAAACAAGTGGGCATTCATGGAACCAAATGGAGAACGGTGGCAAGTCATTTCAAAAATCGTCCTGCTTTAACTTGTAGGAACAGATGGAGGAAAATAGTATTGAGTGTGGTTAAAGACAAAGCTGATCCTTATATTAAACAAGAAGTAGAAAAGATAACTAAGAATGGAACTCCTGGATCTCCCATGCAACTATCTCCTAGTTCCAATAGTAACGGCAATTCAAATCCTAGTTCGAACCCACCCACCACAAATGAAAATGGGTATGGAAATCCACGAGAATCTCGAGTCACAACAGAATGGAAATATAATTTAATAGGAGATAATGTTCCAAGTCTACTAGAGAATGGGGGAACCATCAATAATGAAGCATTGGTTCACCAATTGATAGGTATGGCCAAGAACAATAATATCGAAATTTCAATCCATCAACATGTTCATCATCATTATTCACCTCCACCACATCCTTACAATCATATTAACAACGGTGAGTTTGGATTCTTTGATTTCGAAAATAATCCTACTACTACCACGCCTGCCACTAAATCGTACTTCCTTGAGCCTGAAGCTCAATTGAATAGATTCCAGCATTTTAATTACCTTCCTCCATTAACAGAAGTCCCCAAATTGACATCTAGTAGTCCGGATAAGAAATATAGGGATTCTCCTTCCCTAACACCGTTAACCCAAGCGGTCCATCTTGTAGTTGAACAAGAACTAGAGAAGAAACGAAAAAGTGGAGAAGATGATAGTAGTAGTGAAAAGAGAGCAAAATATGATAGTGAAGATGAGGATGGGATGGATTTCTGGGAACAAATCCATAATCTTGGTGAATTATCCAAGAACACTAAACCTGTTTCTACCCATCATCCCTTACACAGTGCCACACCTCAACCTCAATTCAAAGAAGAATCACCCAGCTCCAACGTCTCAAAGGACGTTAAGAGTGTGACTAGTGAAGAAGATCAAACAAATTTCGTTTATGAACATTTGGTAGGGAATTTCGGTATGATTCCTTTCAATCCGTCGTGACAATATAGATTGTTCAGATTCGAATAGTCGATTATCTCTGTGCCTCTTTCTAGTATGGTAACCCCTGCTGACGTGATAAAGGGCTGAAAATTCAAAGATTCTTACAACGTTTAATGGCACGGAAATCTCCTTCACCTCTCTGATCATAATCCCACCTAAGGCAATACTTACCGAATTGAATGTTTACACTGTTCCTATTTGAGTTGACAACTATCCCTACTCTTTTGGGTATCTTGCGACATTACCATTTGATTGATAACGTCTCAAGAGCATTTGATCTCATTCTCGAAGATCTGGTAAGCGATATATCGTAGATCACTCAAACTAATACCCTCAAATACCATAAGTCTGGCACCAGTTCCTGAATAAGCCAAACTGGCAATGAGATTCAGATTCAACACATCCCAATAAAGCCGTCCGTGTCACTTCCCTAAATATAACTCGGTAGGCTTAGGCTATCGTTTTAAGACACCGCCCAGGTACCGAATGTATTCGCGATTTTGCATCTTGACCTATTTTTAACCATGACTGGTGATAATGAAATCAAGAGGTTTTATTATAAGCTCATAAACCACGAGTTTCGAAGTCTCCAGCTAGACAATAACCTCAAGAATAAGTCAGTATTTGATCTAATAGATTATTGTGAATTGCTTTACGAAAATTCTCAGTTATCAAAGGGCTCAGATAAATCATTGAATTTTTATATCAAAGGGTACTTGATCTTCAATTATTTCATTAACAGTTTCATAATGTTACATTTTAAAGGTTTCGATGAGTTCATTAAGTCCAATGAATACGATTTCATCATTTACTTGAACGTTTTTGCCTTTTATAACACTAATGACATGATAGATAATGAGGAGTATAGTTTCCCCTTAAATGATCTCAGAATGTTGATCTTGGAATATTTGGATGATAAGAACTTACTAAAGTTCGATGTAGCAGAATTGTATGCTTGGTTATACGAGTACATCGATTATTTGAAGAATAAAGATAAAGAGTTGACTGGTGATGAGAATGATGGGATTGACGAATCTGCGAATAAAGACGATTTCTCCAATGCTGATGATCCTCACAGAGAAGAAGACGAACAATCTGTAGATAGTCTTGTATTTGATAAAGATGAAGATATCAAGTTCAAAACCAGATTCCCTTCATTGAACATTACATATAAAGAGAAGGAGAAACCTCAGGAGAAACTTCAAGAGAAACCTCAAGAGAAACCTCAGAAACGACCACCAATCCCCACTAAATTACCTCCAGGATTACCTTATCCTATGGAGAATGCATCTTCGCTGGATTTGAAACCTATTGAGCCGATCAATGGTAATCATGGACACCTCAATTCTGTGAACAGGGATTCTCAGCCATCAATTCTTCCCACTCAAATATCAAATCGTTCAGTGCCAAACCTTCCTCCCCTTCCAACACCTCCTAATCATTCAAATTCAAGTCATCAAATTAACGGGACTCCACAGGGCCCCCCTCATCATATCAAACCACCTCGATCAGCTACCATGCCAATGAATCCTCAAATGAACCAATACGTTCAACCCCAATACATTCAGCCTTATGCTCAGCCTTACAGTCAGCCTCAGCCGTATATGCAACATAACCAGGCATTTCCTCAAGCATTTCCTCAACAGTTCCCACAACAGTTCCCGCAACAATATACCCAACCTTATAATCAGCCTTACCAACTAAATGGCCAACCAGGACAATACTCAAATCCACCTTCTCATAATGGGTACAATGACAAATCCACTAGAATGAAAGAATTATCTATTTGCGGATTGAAGAACTTTGGTTCTTCTTGTTATATCAATTCTACCATTCAAATAATCTTTGGAATTAATGATTTCAAGAACATTTTCCAAAATGGTGAATACAGAAAATATATCAACAACCCCAAATTTCTTATGGCTAGACAATCTGGAGCTAACAATTCCAAGGAAACTGTCCTTCTTAGTGAATCGATCTCAGCCCTTTTAAGATCATTCCAGATGCATGGTGGCTCATCTATTGCCCCTACCAAATTCATAAGAATCTCATCTATTCTCAAACCTGACTTCAATATCCCTTACGAACAGCAAGATTCTCAAGAGTTCTTACTTTTCATCTTGGATAGATTACATGAGGAACTTTCTCATAAACCTGGCGATATTGATTTCAAGACCTTCGAAGCTTTCCTTAATCAATGGAAAATAAATATCCCTGAAAATGAATTTGAAGGATATTTCAAATGGTATAACTCGGTAATCAACTTCGAAGGTAAGTCTCCCATTAATAGTCTATTCCAAGGACATCTTCAGAACAAATTGATCTGTAATAAGTGTAATTTTGAATCCATTAGTTATTCTCCTTTCACCATATTATCATTGCCTATACCGGAAACCGGTAATAATGCAGTAGATTTGAGTGATTGTTTGAGATATTATACTCAAGATGAGTTACTTAAAGGTGATAATGCATGGCATTGTCCTAAATGCCATAAAGAGGAAGAGAATGCCTTAGACAATCATCCAGTGTTTACCAAAAAGTCCGGTATCTTCAAGTTCAGTAGGAGAAACAAGTCACCAAGTAGATCAAAATCACCATCCAGACCTTCAAAGGTCGATACATCCATTAAGAGACTCACTTTTATTAAGATGCCTCAGGTACTTTTTATCCATCTTTCTAGATTCTCCTTCAATTTGACAGATAAGCTCGATACCAACATTGTCTATCCTTTGAATTTGAAGTTCAACAATTACTCCAATGAAATATCCTACAGATTAACAGGGATAATCAATCATTACGGAACGTTGAAATCAGGTCACTACACCTCATTGGTGGATAAAAGCGATGATTATTGGTGTTATTTCGATGACGAAAATGTGAGATTGGGTGTTCACCATGGAAACTATAAGATGCTGAGTAGAGACGTTTATGTATTGGTTTATGAAAAAGTGATGTAGATAGAATATTATAGAATACACAGCATTAATCTGAATCGTAAACCACAGGTTTAATTACTTTTTTCTTGATGGTCAATCGTATTGGCTTCATTGTTGGTTTATCATTTGTTCCCAGCTTTGGTGGTTGTGGATCTTCCTCTCTAGAAAGTTCTTGAGTTTCTGGCTCTAACTCCTTGAGTTTCTCTTCTTGTTTCCCTAGTTGGACTTGCCTTTGAATGAATTTATCCATACCATCATCCACTTGTTCCTTTTTCTCTACCTGTGTCTTTCCGTCATTATACTTTATCATCATTTTGAAGTTCTCATCTTCAAGAATTTCAACTTTGATCTTTCCACTTTTACTCAAGTACTTCACGAATCCTGTCAATGAAAGCCATCGGGTAGAGTTCAAATGGATGTGGTCCTTGATCAAAATGTATTCCTGATAAAACTTGTTAGCCTCAATCCATTTAGTACCATGATTCATTTTCAATAAACTGAGGAAATTCTTTTCCATTTCTTCGGAGAATTCATTGATTATGCTATTGTTTTCATTGTTTTCTACTATCTTTGCCACTCTCTTAGTGTGACTGGGTGAGCTTTGATGGTTTCTGAATCCATTCAAGTCATTACATTGTTTCTCACAAATCTGACAATAGAACTTGGTTTTCTTTAATCCCAGACTTTTTAGCTGTTTGGAGTAATATTTGGCTGTACCTATTTCAGACTTTCCCATACTGTGGACTGGCTGGTCTTATGTAGACAATTTCTAGGGTGTGTGGTCTTATCTTGATAACAAACGTATCTGGGGAAATTCGCAATGCGATGAGGAAGTCTTTCTATACTAGTAAATCATGGTTCAGTAGATTATGGTTCAAAATCCCTAGTAACTTCAAATATGGAACAGGTTTAGTAGGAGTAGCCACTACAATTGCAAATGTTCATCCTAACATTCTCGTTACCCTCGGCCCACCAATAGGTATTTCATCTTATTTTACATACAGATTTTTAATCGAAAGGCAGTATAAGAAGGATGTGAATATTGCTAAAACCAGTGAGAAGACCATCAAATTGGAAAATTACGATGAAACTGACATAGATCTTGTTCTCAAAGGTATAAATAATGAGTTTGAATACTTTAAATCTAATATCTTGAGAGAGATCCATCAACTAGTTAACCTGAACATCGACAATGATTCGATTTTCGTCAAGGATGATCAGATCAATTATAAGTTTGGTGATTTTGAAAACTTTATAGTATCCAATTATGATAGTAAGAAGTTCATTAAGTTCTCAATGAGTCTATTTGATAAAAGTACGGCTAAGAGACTAGGTATTATGGAAGTGTATTTGACAGAGGTTAGTGAAGATGAGTATAAGGTGAAATTGGTCATCACTCCCAATAATGGGAAAGTAATGGAGATATAAATAGCTATCATGACAATTGTATATAGATTTAAATAAATTATGAACACAAGTGAATCCCCCTACATAGAAAAGAAATTGTATAATTGATTACAATTGGAAGATTCTCTGATGTTCTCTAAGTCTCCCATCCAAGACTTGATGTCTCTAATTCTCTTATCATTATTAGGATGAGTTGATAAGAATTCAAATCTCGGAGCTTGTTTTTTCTCTAAACTATTCATTCTTTCCCAGAAACCAGGGATTTTATAAATATCGAAACATGATTTGGCCATTAATTCACAACCTATTCTATCAGCTTCACTTTCCATTTCTCTGGAGGCTGGCATTTGGAAGAAACCTGCTATCAATAAATCATTGAAATATGAGATTCCTGTGGCTAAGTACAAAAATGTTGATAAAGCCATGTAAATAGGCTGTTTACTCATTTGCTCCATAGAATGACTGGCTAATTGATGTGATAATTCATGAGAAAGCACAGTAGCTATCCCGTCAGTATCTTTACAGATTCCTAAGATGGATGAGAAGATAAAGATCTTACCATTGGGGAGGATAAAAGCGTTGGGAGGTGAATTGTCGTTAATGATATTGATCTCCCAATCGAGTGACTTTAAGTATCGAATCTTCTCCTCTGAGAATTCATGTTCAAAGGCACTTTTCAACAATCTGTCTACAATCCCTCGAATCTCTCTATATATAGGGTCACTCTTAGGAAGGATACTAGATCTGTATTGTAAGTAAATTTGCTGATAGCTCATATCTCCAATTCTTAACTCCAACCAACTAGGGATCCATAAGAATCTCCTTCTTTTAGTATATGGAGCTTCATCTTGATTGTATAGATAGAAACCTAATAAACCAAGAATTGTACCTCCAAAATACCTATTTGTGAATAAAGTTTGGTAATTGAAAGTTGATTGTTGATTGAACCTTTTATAGTTTCCTCTACTATATAGTCTTGTGGCTGTCAAAGGTCTTGTGGCCGCCAAAGGTCTGATGGCTGTTGAAAACCGGGTACTTAATCTGAATGGTGATAAATTCATCTAATGAGTGGCGACATTCGCATCCAGTTTACATGACTATTGCGACATAAGAGACATTATCCTTCAAATATTTGACACAAAGGGTTCAAGAGTGCAAAAGACCAAGATTACACATCTACATTAATCCTATCCTTATATATAAATGGTTGTGATATTTTGGTTTTTCTTTGAATACAAGGTGTTCATTTGAACACAACATCTAAACCCAGTTCGTTGTTCTCATTCTGGAAGGAATTATCAAAATTACCTCCAAGAATATTAGATAATTTGTTGTCCTTATTAGGATCATCCGCTTTACCTACACTTTCTTTACTTTCCTTGTATTTGTCATTGGAGTATTTCAAATCTCTTTCTCCATTGAAAGGTTTCTTGGATAATGAAGTAGGGAGTTTTTCAAAATGGTTATTCAATTGTTTGGCCAAATTATCTAATTGGTCTTGATCTTCTTTATCCCTTTCTTTGTCTTTCTCTTTATCCAGATTCAAATGAAGAATGTTGAAGTTGGATAAAGAAGAATTCTGGGAGGTTGAAACCTGAGAATTGGAATTCTTTTTAGGTGGTAGTATGGGGATGAATGTTTCATAAAAGTCATATACGGAATTATTTTTACTATGTTTGGGTCCATTGAATGTACTACTGAAAGTACCTGGGGTTCCTGGAGTACCTTGAGCATAAGTTGGTGCAATTCCAGGTGTGCCAGGAGTACCCGGTGTACCGAGATCTCTCTCTTGTACAACTTTTGTATCACTTTCTTGATCTCTTACAGGCAGACCTTCTTCACTGACACTTCCTAATTCAATCAGTTTCTGGTGACGTTCCATATCTTCTCTTTTGAAGGAATTACTCTTAGAACTCGAATGATTGGACCCTTTATGTATCTCTTCAGAAAATAAATTGAATGAATGGTTATCGTCACTTTCAAAAGAGTTATCCTCTTTCTTCTGCTTTCTTCTGAATCTTATGTAGAACAAAACCATAATGACGATGATAATAAATGAAGGTACCCCCACAGCTAAACCCACTGCTAAACTATTAGAATCAGCCATTTTTTCTCCTTAAAATTGGGTGATAGTTGGCCGATAACGATTGTTTCTGTAAGTTTATACAAGTAAGTCTATGGAAGGAGGAATAAATATGATTTAAACAACTTTAATAATGGTTTCACCGAATAAGTTATAAATTTGAACGAAAACGAGTGAAATTTGAGATGTATTTTTAGCAATTTAAGCCTTGGTGAACCTCCTCACGTTTTGGCTGGGTTAAAAGATTGATGGATTCTTCTCATGAGCAGCTAGTATAATCTAGGATCGAATAGTATGGTAGAGTATGTAGTCAATTTAGTGTCAAGAAGAAGTATTGGGGGTTAATGTGCATATGTGTATTTACTAAAATATGAAAGGTAGCCCAGATGAAGGCGAGGTAAATAGGTCGATTTATGGTAACCGAGAGCAAGAAGAGAACAATAGGTTTAGAACCTTCAAGATTCAAGAACCTTTCAAGATTCAAAACCCTTTTGAGTGAAAGTGAGGAACAAAATATCTACAAGTCTATTTACTATGAAGGTGAGTGTTACATAAAAGCCCTTAGGCGACATGACACATTATAAGAATATGATCGATATAACACAAAGTTTAAGAATTAACTAATGTCACGAGGACTAGAAACCAAAATCTATCTTATCATTCTCTTTCAAGTCGATTTTCTGTCCATCAACTTCTAAAAACCAATGGTGGATGGTGAAAGGAACTAATTTGGAGGATCTTGAAGCTTTGAAATGTAATTTTCCGGCATTTTTATCACCTTTGATATCAAAACTGATATCGATTTCTCCTTTGACGGTGTTCAATTCTCCTGAAATCCATGGCCATGAATATTTGTAACTGATGTTTTCACCTAATTTGTCCAATACTGATGGGTTTCTTCTGAGGAAGTAGAACACTGAATTTAAAATTGGGGATGTGGTTTTTTCGTAATTAAATATAACAACACATGACACTATGACCCCGATACCATAAGCAAAGAAGTATTTTCTATTGGTTTTCTTGAACTTGAATGGATCAGGTAATTCTCTATCTATTGAAATTTGTTGACCTTTGAATGTATTATCGAGCTTTCCAACATGGTTTGCAGTACTATTGTATCTTAAAGCTAAGGTAGCAGGGGAGGGAAGTTGTTTGCTACTAGTGATTAATGTGGATAATCTTGGTCCTAAAACCTTTCCAAATCGACTCATCATGAAGTTTTCGCGAAGTTGTTTGGTGATGAATGTTAGTGGAGGATGTATCCTAAATAAGGAGAGTGGTATGGTATATATACGAGAGGATTTGACTCCTTCTGTGTTACAGTTCAAGTCTATTGACACTAACACCTCGTTCGAAATAGCCTTAAACTCCATCAAGAACTTGCAAGCAACAAAAGATACTTCACCCAAGATGATTATCAAGATCATATATAATGAAACTAAAGAGTCTAAAGAGTCCAGTGAAGGTGATAAGGACATAAGGTTGACATTCACCAATAAACCTACCATGAATAATATCAAAGAATGCCTCCAAACGATTGTTTCTAGACAAAGAATCACCATAGATTCAAATCAATCAACTCCTACAGTCAAGTTGGGACTCAGCGATGATAACTTACTTAAGAATCATGAACTTCAACAGAAACTTTTAAATGAAGATAAGAACCTCAGATCAATTTTCACTCAATCAGTCATTCACTTCAAATTATCTCCAACAATTTTTTGGTCCAGTAGATTGAACATTCTTCGAACTTATGCATTGACGGTCAATCAAGATAGAGGAATGTACAATGTATTAAGTACTATCAAACCGGTGGCAACAAGTGATAATAAAGTCCATGTGAATGTTACCAGAAATATCATTGACGAAATTTTCAAGACATATCCAATAGTAAAGAAAGCTTTTGACGATTTAGTACCAGTCAAATTCTCTGAAGGGGAATTTTGGTCGAGATTTTTCAACTCTAAATTATTCAGAAGATTAAGAGGGGATAAATTGAACAATAGTGAAAGAGGTGATACTGTTCTAGATCAATATTTGACTATCATGGCCAATGAGATAGCAAATGGAAATTCTTCGAATGAAGCTAATGAGGTGGTCAAACTCATTGATTTGAGTGGTAATGAACAAGATAATAGTGTGAAGTATGGGAACAAGCCTGATTTCACTATGAATTATGAGAACAATGATAATGAAGTGGTCACTTTATTGAAGAATATGAACAATTTAAGTTCCAAGATGATTTCAAATGCTGAACATGAAACCAAAGGGGATGAAGAAGATCATGAAATAGAGGAAATGCACGAATTGGAATTGAACGACTTGAACGATTTCCAACATGAGAATTTTATAGACTTGAAAATCAATTTCAAGAACGATTTTAGATCCAGTGAAGCCATTAATAGTGAAATTAAGAGTTTCTTGAAGCTGAATCTTGTACCCACTGAAGGAATAAACTTGAATGATAATAATAAAGATTCAATAAATGAAACTGCTGCCATAATAATAAATTTGATCAAACTGAATTTCAAAAAGGTCAAATTTAAATCAAAGAATAGTCTTCCCAACGCCATTGCTCAAAAACTCATTAATTTGAACATTACAATAGTGGAATTTTTATCTCATTTTTGGAAATTGTTTTTATATGATAGTAATCCTAATCAGTTGAAAAAGATTTTCACCATTTTAAAGTCTTGTAAAACCAATTTGGTGGATTTGAAAAAAGAAGCTATCACTGCAATGAATGACGATGAAATATTGAACGATTTGAATTTTTACTTGAGTCCTATTCTGAATAGTTTAGATAAGGCATTAATGGAATATGTGAGGGCCGTTAAAGGGGTCAATGAGAACGGTAAACGTCCTTTAGAACAATAAATATATTTAATCTGTAATTGAAGTAACCAAAACCCTCCTGAACTCTTCTAACCTTCAAATGTGTGGTGGTGTCCATTTGCTCTTGAGAGTATTCGATGATGTGAGAACTGGTTGCAAATTCGCAGCTCATCGCAATGAAGAAAAGTATGTACATTGATATGATAGCAGGTCCAAACCCAATACTAACCATTTAGTATCGAAGAACAGTAGAGCAGCCAGAAGAGCAACTGTGGAAAGTGAAGAAGCTAAAGAATTGGCCAAAGTTGAAAAAAACAATAATGATATAAAAAAATCCATTATCAGAACAACCATTTTAAACGAAAACTTATTGAACAAGAAGATCGAAAAGAAGAAATCCAAGAAACTTAATAATTCCATCAAACACAAGATTGAGAAGAACACTAAGCTTCAAGGGGTTTTAGATACAAAGATCAATCAAAGTATTGAAAGACACAAATTTGTCTCAACCAAGAGAAAGATGGATTGGGACAAGATTAACAAAGAAATCAAAGATGAAGTTGTGGATGTTCCAGAAGTTGAAGATAAGAACAATAAATTTGCCATATTGGGTGAAGAAGAAGCTTAGATCGATAAGAAACCTCCAACTACCTATTGATATTGATCAAAAAAAAACTCAAAACTCCCACATATGGTGACATACGGTACATTAAGTCCGTCTACTGATCCCTAAACGTATAGCCAATAAACATGATTGAATTCATCATCTCTAGCCTCGGACCAGTCAAGCGCAGATCAACTATTTCATCATCGCTGTTTTCCCGTGATAAGCCGATCTGCCATCAAAATGAAATTCTGGAAAGATGGATCCAAATGTCGTAGCTTCTACTTCATGTGATGTTATAAGCAAATAGCAATTTCCTTGTCTACTTATATCCCTTCTCCTCTTATAGTTACCTAACAACTTTAATTCAAACAAAGGTACCGTAATTATCTTCATAGCAAAATTGCTTCTATTATTATCCCTTGCCCTAAAGTTCGGTGCCGACTGAGTAGATAAGTGTCGCAATCAATAAAATTTAGGGGTAATTGATTTCGATAAGAATTTTCATCACAGCTTATCATCTGAAAGAAAACAGGTATTTTTGAAAGTTGATAAAAGCTAGCTTAATAACTTACCTACAACTGTTTCGTGATATAGTTGTAAACGTTGTATAAACTATTGATAATACAACTAAATTTTCCCGATTTTCCCATCACGAGATTCTTATCCCATTGTATCCTTGGATATTTAAAAGATATATAAGTTAGTTGAAAGGCCAAAGCCTCTCGAGTTATTAGAGCATTTACTGGTTTATTCCGATAGATTTGATAGATTCCATACCTTCAAAGTAACCCTTTTGGTATAATCAAGATAGATCAAAGTTACTTTTTTAGATCGATAGGAAAGGAAACATATTTTAAATTTTTTTTTTTAGTTAACATAATCATAGAGTTTCACAATATTACTGTATCAATATGAGTAGTACATCCGACTTTTCCTTGGATGATATCACTCCATTAACTACCAACTCCAACGCTTCCACCAGCTCCGCCATTAAAAGTTCCCCTATAAGGGCGTGTGAAGATCAAAACGATTTTTTACATTATTTGGAACCCAATCCGGTATCACCTCCAGATTATCAAACTTTACCCCCTGGGGGTTGTCCAAAATATCCAATTTATGATAATTTACACACTGAAGAATTACCTGGTTATACTCCTTCGGTATACAAGATTGGATGTATTGGAAGGAAATTGGAATGGCTCAATCCATATGAACCATCAACTTCAAGATCCTGGAAAAATGTCATTATGGAATTGAATTCAACTCAGTTGAATTTTTATTCTATTCCGGCTAATGTTGAACCTCATTTAATGACTTTCCAACCTTTGTTCAATCTTTCTATGAACAATTTCGAACAACACAAGTCTTTATTGACTAACAACTATGATTACCAATTCCATAAATATTGTCAAAGATTAAATCTTTTGAATAGTAAGAAACTTATCAGAAGTTATTCACTTCAATACTGTAAAGTGGGTTTAGCTACTGATTATAAGAAGAAGTCTAATGTTTTAAGACTCAGAATTGAAAGTGAACAATTATTATTGTTTTTCAATAACACTAATGATTTGATCAATTGGAATTTGGCTATCAATATCGCCAAAGACTTATCTTTAGACTTGAATGTTAGAGATATACCAAAATATAGAACAGTTCCAAGAAGAAGAAGAAGAAATAGAGAAGTCATTTATCAAAATGTTAATGGCAGATCAAGAAGCTATTCTGATCCCATTTCAATCATAAATTCAAAGTTTTCCAAATTGAAGTTGAAATTAAAGAGAGATTCTTTACCTGATTTGAATAATATTATTCATGAAGAAGATTTGGATATCGACTCTTTCAATCCAAGTTCAAACTCAAGTACTTTTGAATTACAATCAAGTAATAGTTCTGTTTTTGCAACCAATAATACTGCTGCAAGCATTACTACAAATAATAGCTCTAACTTACCTTCAACGAATGTTGATGAAACTTTTGAAGATGATGAAGAAGCTGATGACATAAGTGAACTCCATTCGGATGATGAAGATGAAGAAGATCCTGAAATATCCAGGTTAAAAAAATATAGCGAAAAGTGGAATCCTTACTATAAACCTCAAACTCAAAGAAGATATTACAAAAACTGTCTCAGATGTATTAAACCTTTGACTACTGACGAATCATGGGTTTCCAAGAATTTGGTCAAACCTACATCTATTTGTCCTGACATGAAATTTGCAGATCAAAAAGTTAGTCATTTTGTCAAAGAGTTTATTGTGGGTTCACATGGATTGATTCCAGCTGACCAAATTAATGTTTAGATAAGAATAAAGGAAATAGGATAGATTATTGAAGGAATAATAATAAAGGGAAAAAAAACAGAAAGGACATTACCATATTACATGAGCATATAGTTATAGATTAACTAGGTATATGATAGAACCAAATAATTTCTATATTTCTCTATTTTGTATCTTTACTTGTTTTTCAAACGACTTGATCATCAACTTACTTAATTGTTGATTGACTAGGGAACTCAAGTTATTATAAAGGAAGTTGTTAAATTCATAATCTAATTGTAATTCCACGTTAGTTTGATCTTTATTGGTTAAATTATTCTTGAATGGTGAAAAATTCCATTGAACGAGGAGATGTTTGAATACTCCTGTTTCACATCTTGAAATGATCTCTTGGTTGACCTTGTAGGATATCTGGCAACTAATTTCTTCTTGGTAACCATTCCAGTTCATATCGAACCCCCCTGTACCGTTACCTTGCTGTGACTGACTATTTACAATTGATGATGAAGTATGGTTGATTTCATAGGGAAGGGAATGATATGAATTGGTGACAAAGGGTATGAAATTCTTATAGTTCTTTATATCGATTACCACATCGAAGATCTGTTTAGGTGAACAGTTAACCTTCTTAGAATACTTGTACGATAAGTATCGTACTTGATTCATCGCACAATTAATCCCAGCCTCAAACTCAAGTGTTTTAAGCCATGTGAATGTCACAAATGAATGCTTCTATAGAGAGATAAAGAGACGAAGTATTGACGATTATATATTCATGAAAGCTCTGACTAAATAACTTAAGCAGCTCTAGTATAAATAGCTTGTTTAGAGTGTTTTGAAACTGGAGTGATGATACCTTCTCTTTCTAATTGTCTTAAAGCAACTCTAGCAACGGAACCTCCAATCTTCAATCTATCAACTAAGACGGAAACGGAAACGTATTTGTAGGTTGGGACATCTTTCATAATTTTATCATATTTTTCTTGATCTAAGATGACAATGTGTTGAGCCTTGTCCTTAACTTTACCTTTACTCCACTTCTTTTTACCTTTTTTACCACCGGCTAAAGCGGCGGCAGCTTTAGCTGCTTTAGTTTGTTGGACTTTTGGGGCCACTATAACTTGTTAGTATTTTGTTTAATTTTTGAATGATAGAGGATGATTGAAAAGTGTAAATTTAATAAGTCTTATGTATGCTTTGACTTAATCTTTTGAATACGATGGCATTATCTTAATTCTTTCCCTTGATTAAACTCGATCATCTTGTCGTTTGATCTTTTATTGAAAATATTAACCACTTCATCTTGATAAATTCATTTGTTTGTTCAACTTCTTCTTGGACGTATCATGAAAACTGTGACATATTATACATAGTTCTATCATAAAACACTATAATTTAACTCAATTCAATCATATTATTTGTATCCTTAGTTTTACATACTTTTAACTTATTGAAGAATTTTCAGTGAGGATTTTTTCTGAATATCTTAGGAAGAGACGTCGTGGAAAAAACAAATATGTGGTGAGGGAAATTGTGACTGTTGAAAGGTGCCAAAATCTCGTGATCTGTTGGGGCATAAGCCCTTCTTGAGCGCGGGAGTTGTAATGTAAGCGTTGAGCATCTCTGAGTGTGTAATAAAACAACCATGTCTAAAAGGTCAGCTTTTTTACAAATTGGTAAAGATATCGATGAAGTTGATGAAGTAGATGCTGGTTTCAAGAAGGCTTCAAAGGACGTGATGTCCAAGAGGAAGATCATCCAGCCAAAAGGAAAGAACTTTCAATTCAAATCAACTCCAAGTTTTTCACCTCCAGTCACCACAACTGCTGTTCAAGATACCTCCAACAATTCGTCAGGGAAGTCTGAAATGTTGAAAGCTTTGAATGAGAAAACTATCGAGGCATTGAAATCTTATGATGGGGTTGTTAATTTCAAACCTATCTTCGATAAATATAATGAATATTGGGAAAAGATTGAATCTGGAAAGTTCCCAGAGTCTACTGCTAATCCAGCAGAACCAGTGAGCAAACCAGTTGTCAAACAAGCGGCTAAAGCTCCATCCAGTGATTCAGAATCAGACTCGGAAGAAGAAAAGAAAGAAATTGTTATTCAAGGACCAACCTTTACCTTGTCTTCCAAACCTGTGATCAAGAATTCCCCCTTTTCTTTTGGTGAAAAGAAGAAAAAGCCTGATTCTGATTCCGACTCTGATTCTGAGTTTGAGATCAAAGGTCCTAAATTCGAATTCAACAAACCCATAAAAGATAGTGTTTTCAAATTTGATCAACCTGCTAAACCTGTATTTTCTTTTGGATCTACTGCTAAAGTCGCTGAAAAGCCAGTCGATAAACCTGCTGAAACTCCAGCTTTTTCTTTCGGATCGTCTGACAAACCTGCTGATAAACCAGCTGATAAACCAGCATTTTCGTTCGGTTCCAATAATGAAAAATCTGCCGAAAAACCTGCATTCTCATTTGGTACCAGCAGTGACAAATCTACTGACAAGCCTGCATTCTCCTTCGGTAATACTGCTGAAAAACCTGCGGATAAGCCTTCCTTTTCTTTTGGTAACACTACTGAAAAACCTGCTGAAAAACCTGCATTCTCATTTGGTAATAGTGCTGATAAACCTTCAGAAAAACCTGCTTTTTCTTTTGGATCAACCACCAACGATACTACTGAGAAACCTGCTTCAACATTTTCCTTCGGATCATCTGAAAAAGCTGCTGATGAGCCTGCTTTCTCATTTGGTTCCGCTAACAATGACAAACCTGCTGACAAGCCAGCATTCACATTCGGAAAGACTGAAGACAAACCTGAGGAATCATCTCAAAAACCTGCATTCTCCTTCGGAGCATCTTCTGACAAACCAGCTTCCACTTTCAAATTTGGATCTTCAGAAAATGCAGACAAACCTGCATTCTCTTTCGGCTCCACTGATAAAGCATCAGCATTCTCATTTGGCTCATATGAAAAATCATCCGATAAGCCTGTAGAAAAACCTGCATTTTCATTTGGTTCCAGTGGAAAAGATGTTGATGCATCATCTGCGGCTGATAAAAAAGAAGCTAACGACAAACCATTGTTTTCTTTCACTCCAAAGCCACAAGAAGAATCAAACAGTAAACCAGCTTTCTCGTTTGGTGGAGATAAACCAGCTTTTTCTTTTGGAGGTGATAAACCAGCAGCCTCATTTTCATTCTCACAACCTTCAGAACAACCAACTGAGGATAAACCTAAAGATGACGATAAAGTGGAAGAAACTGAGGTCGAAGGAAATTTCAAACCCGTCGTAACAATGGACAAGAAAGTTGAAGTTGAAAATGATGACAATGAAACCGTTCAATATACTAAACGTACTAAATTAATGTTATTTGACAAGGATGCTGATCCAGCTTACAAATCTAAGGGATTAGGGGAATTAAAGATCTTAACCAATAAAGACACTGGAAAATCTAGGGTTTTAATCAGGGCCGATGGTGGATTAAGAGTGTTGTTAAACTATTCAATCCAAAAGGACTTCAACTATGATACTATTGGTGATGGGTTAGTTAGATTCCCTACCATCAACGGTGAAAAGAAATTCGAAACCTATGTTTTCAGAGTCAAAACCAAAGCAGACGGTGAGGAATTGTTGAGTAAATTGAACGAATTTAAATCTTAATGATAGAATGTAATATATGTAGTAAGGATCTTGAGTATCATAAAATCTGTCAACCTCTCTCACGTGACACGTTCATTTAATGCGAAGAGAAAACTTCTAGAAATCTTTACTCAATGTTTAAGACAATATTAAGACACAATAGATATTTTAAACCATTAAGGTGTTTCCATAACTCTGCCTTATTGAGGATTGACTTTGATCCTTATAAAGTTTTGGGAGTTCCCAAAACAGCCGATCAAAAAGCCATCAAAAAAGCCTATTATGATTTGGTCAAGAAGAACCATCCTGATGTTAATAAGGAAGAAGGTGCTGAAAAGAAGTTTCACAAAATCCAAGAAAGTTATGAAGTATTGAGTGACAAGGATAAAAGAGCAGAGTATGACACATTTGGTACTGCTGGAGGTCAAGGATCAAATCCTTATGGTCAAAGTTATGGAGGACAAAATCCTTTTGGAGGACAGAATCCGTTTGGGGGTATGGGATTTGATTTCGAAGATTTATTCAAACAAGCATTCAACCAAGGATCCGGTGGAAGAGGTGGTAGAAGTGGTGCAGGTTTCGTCACTGAACATGTTGGTGATGACATCGAGATCTTGAAAAATATCAATTTCAAAGATAGTGTATTTGGAAAGAAAATCAAAATCAATTATAAAGCTGTGGACTCATGTAACACCTGTAAAGGAAGTGGAATGAAATCAGGAAAGAAAAAGTCAACATGTCCTACTTGTCATGGTTCAGGTCATTCAACTCATTCTTTGGGAGGTTTCCATATGCAATCAACTTGTGGAACCTGTGGAGGTACTGGTGTAACCATCAATAAAGCTGATGAATGTAACACTTGTCATGGACATGGAGTTGAAGAAATTCCAAAATCTACAGAAATTGAATTACCTCCTGGTATCAAGGACGGTACCAGGTTGAGAGTTCCTCAAATGGGTGATTCCCCAATGATTACCAAAGATCCTTACAACGTTTTAGTAAAAGGAGATTTGATTATCCGTGTCAATGTGTCCAACGATCCAACATTCAAAAGACAAGGTAACAAAATTACCTATAATCATGATATTTTGATGACTACTGCTGCTTTAGGAGGTGAAATTATTGTTCCTACTATTGATGGTGAACAAGTCAAAATAAAAGTCAGACCAGGAACTCAAAATGGTGTCAAGTTGCTGATTCCTAATAAGGGGGTCCCTATTAATAGAAACTTGAATAACAGAGATGATATGGAGGTATTCTTGAATGTCAAGACTGTTAAACCTGAAACTCCTATTCAAAAAGCTTTATTAGAAGCCTTAGCTGATACAATCAATGACAATACTGCGAAGAGATCTGAGGATCACCAATTCGTCAAAGATCCTAATCTGACAGAGGAATTACATCCTTCCAAGTTGAAAAAAATTGGAGATGTTTTATCGAAATTCTTTAATTTCGAAAAGAAAGATTAGGAGTGTACATAGTGTAAATATATTCATAAACCAAGCTTTATCAGTGACCAATTCGGAGTCAATGATTGGATCTGCTATGAGGAAGCCCCATTGGCCGCTTATTTTATAACTCCACATTTAACCCTTGCTGCGAAAATACACCGGTCATTATGTTTACTGCCATAGAAAGAGACGTTTCCAAAGCCCTTCCCAATCCAAAACCTCCAACTGCACAAAGTGTTAGACAATTACCAACAACTCCTATATGTAGAACCATCTTGGATTATGTCAAGAAAGAATTGAGCTTGCCCGTTTTGAATCATTCTTTGAGGGTCTATCAATACAGTTTGGCCATTATTAAAGATCAATTCGATTGGGATTTAAGTGAAGAAGCTGTCTTCATAACATGTCTATTACATGATCTTGCTGCTACCGATGGTAATATTGCTTCGACCAAGATGTCCTTCGAATTTTACGGGGGTATTTTATCACATGACTTAATCATGAAATATTCCAATGATAAAGATTTGGCTGAAGCTGTTTGTGAAGCAATTATCAGACATCAAGATTTAGGAGAGTCCGGAATGATTACCACGTTGGGTTTGATTTTACAGATTCTGACTATTCTCGATAATGTTGGATTGCACATGCACTTGATCCATGAAAGTACTTTGAAAGAGGTTAACACCAAATATTCCAGAGACGGATGGTTAGGATGTTTCAGCGACACTATCAAGCTCGAGACTCAAACTAAGCCATGGTGTCACACCACTTCAATTGAAAACTTCAGTGAAAAGGTTTTAAGTAATAAGGCCAAATATTAGCAGCAAAAATTATCACTTTCTTATGAAATACAAATATGTCTCACATTCATAATCATCTCTAGTAATTTTGCACCCAAATCTATTGCCATGACGAAGAGACCCATAAAGACATGGAGGGGATCGGAAAAATTAACCTTTGAAACCAGTATTCACAAAACATTCCAGAATTATTTATCTTCCCCCCATATTCATTTCTCCTCCTTTAAACGATGGGCTATCCCCTCCCCTCCCAACATCTTTACGCGATACAGATCATCGCGCGGTGAGCACCTGACTTGAATCTTTGATTTAAGCCTACAGAGAATAACATCATTAATATACATGAAACTCTATACACTAAAATTTAACATCCCAACTATCCAATTTCATAGTACCATTTTCTTGGAAATTGAGGTGCATCTTGAAAACATCTTTCAAGATATGTGGTTCATGCAACATTTTCTTCTTCTTCATTTCGAAGTTAGCTCTATCATAGTATTCGGTCAATTGATCTCTGTAGTCAGGATGAGCACATTTCTTGATAATTTCAAGGGCTCTTTCTTTTGGTGACATACCTCTTAAATCAGCTAAACCTTGTTCGGTAACAATGATATCTAAATCATGTTCAGTTTGATCGACATGACTGGCCATTGGAACAATACATGAAACACCAGTTGGATCAATCTTTGATGGTCTAGCACTAGGGGTATGCATGATGGATAATTTGGCATTTCTTAAGAAATCAGCTGATCCCCCTAAACCATTTAACATTCTTGAACCCATAACATTAGTGGAGTTAGCATGACCGTAAATATCAACTTCAACTGGGGTATTCATGGCAATAACACCTAATCTTCTGATAATTTCTGGTGAGTTAGAAACAACTTGAGATCTTAAACATAATTTTTTGGAAAATTCATCCCAGTTTTCGTAGAATCTTTCGAAACCAGCTTCAGTTAATCTGATGGAAGTGGCAGTGGCATAATCTAATGATCCTGAAGCGAAGAAATCCAAGAAAGAATCTTGTAAAACTTCAGTCCAGACAGTTAAGTTCTTGAAGTTTGATTCAGCTAATCCTTCAACAACAGCATTGGCAATGTTACCGATACCACTTTGTAAAGGATGCAAGTTTGATGGTAATCTACCTTGTTTGACTTCATGTTCGAAGAATTCAATTAAATGAGCACCAATTTGTCTTGACATAGCATCAGATGGGGTGTTTGGTGGAACTTTATCCATTTGGTTACTTTCAACAATAGCAATGACTTTTGATGGGTCAATTGGAATGGAGTTCAAACCAATTTTGTAATCGGCTGAAGTGTGTGGATATGGTTGTCTGAATGGAGGATTTACTGGTAAATCAATATCATGTAATCCTTCAAATGATGGAGTTTTAGTGTTAACTTCAATAATAATATTGTCTGAAACACTTAACATTTCTGGTGAAGCACCGACAGCTGGACCTGGGACAATTGACCCATCTTCTTTGATAGCAGTAGCTTCAATGATGGTGAAATCTAAGTTTGAATTACCAACTTTGTTTTTGGTATAGAATCCATAAGTTAAATCTTGAGGAAACATAGATAAATGTTTATCGAAGAATTGAGTTCTACCATCGTTAATTGCAGCAGCAATTGGCTTACCGACTTGATGTGGAGATCTTCTTAAAATCATTGAATTTTCAGCCCATCTACTTTCTTCTGGACCTGCACTAGCACCAACGAATAAATTGAATCCGAGTTTACCTTGTAAATTGTTCTTTTCAACATGGTCGACTAAAGCAGTTGGGATAACTTTTGGTGCACCAACACCTGTGAATCCTGACCATCCTAAATATTGTCCGTGTTTGAATAATTCAATACATTCTTCTGGGGTCCTTAACTTCTTTAAATATGGAGCATATCTGACTCTTTGCTTTAAGATTGAACTCATTTTATCACTTTGTTTTGAATAAATCGAAAAAGGTTTGGGAAAAAAAACAGTATTTTATATTTTGGGAATTATTGAGTTTTAAATATTTTTGGGTATTGTGGTTAATTTTTCAAAACTGTTGATTGATTCTCCTGATTATACACAGGTCGCACCTCTCTTTGGATTTCCCTATTTTTTAAAAATTGTAGTTTTTAGAGGTTGGGGTTTTCCTTTTGTTCCAGGATTTGCAGGATAAAATCTGGTACGTCCAGTTATTATGTGAATCTTATTTTCATCATTCAAATCTGCTTCAATCTCATGGATTATTCAGTTATATCTTGATATTTCCTCCTTAGCGCATTTCTAGATATCGGAGGTGTCTCTTTAGTTCGCGACATCTTACTGATGCGATTGTCGCAGAATAATTTTGGCTGGAAATCTGCAACTTTGAGGGGAAGATAGTAATAAGGGAGGGGATAGAGTTTATTCGTATTGGCTGCAAATAGGTTATTTTTGCAGCCAAAATCATCAGGTTTATAATATCATTTCATATACTTGAAGAAAGCATGTTCCTTTTTGAAAGGTTTGGCTGCCGGTGTTTAGACCATCACCCTCTTTCTCAAAACGGTTATTGCGGTTATTGGCTGATCAAAAGAAAAAAAATTAACCTCTCGACCTATTAAAACTCACTAATTAAATCTTTATCTCCTAATCAGACCTTTTTTAACCGATTCATGGGGAAACCTTTTTTGTGGGGTCATCCACAATACTTCTACCGTATAACCCTCTTCTAAATATATTTATTTACTATTACCCATTTTGAATCCGGAGATTTCTTGTAAGAGGCATGAGTGGAATCAACTTATGCAACTCATGACTGAGAGTGAATTGATTAGTAATTTACCGTTGAAAGCTATTCATGACCTTGGGGTCGAGTTGCTTTATGTCCGAAGTATATGTTTTACATTGACAGAGCGATTTTTGTTAAGGGATTCTCTTCACCTTCAGATATTTGTGAAATTCACTATTTTTCGTTTATTTTGATGCTTATTCGTGTAATTCTTGCTACATTAGTTACCTAATCTTTGTTTGAATCTACTGATTTTGGGCTTTTCAATCTCGAATTCTTTGGATTCGTTGAGTTTGTCCTTCAACTTGAAATACTCTCTTTTGACATCACTATCCAAATTGTCTTTGAGATCTTCGACATCCCCCACGGTAGTTTCTTTCTCTGTGATCTCAGTCATGATTTTTCCGTCGTCTTCTGTATCTGCATCATGTTCATGATCATGTTCATGGTCGTGTAATTCGTACTTGTCGACATCCAATTTGTCTTGCAATTTATTGTATTTTTCGATATCTTTAACTTCTTGAATGACAGGTCCCTCAATATCATCAATCTCCTCGTTGTACTTTCTCATCATCTCCAAGAGTTCATTGTTCTGGGAAACAGCATCCACTTCTTGTATCGAATCGTTAATGATGTTGTTTGTGGCTTGGTTACCATAATCATTGAACTCTTTCTCCACGATATCGTTGATAGGTGCCTGGACAGCCTCTTCGGATAAACCTCCTGAAATACCAGTTGATGCTTTGCTTTTTATCGGCGTTTCGATGCCGACTTGCTTATGGGCTCTCTGTTTGAATTTGGAGACTCTTTTTGGTTTTTCTGACTTCATGACCTCATCCACAGCATTTTCCACTATATCATTGATAGTCTTTTCTACAATATCATTTACAGGTTTTTCAACTACATCGTTGATTGGATTTTCAGTTACGTTATTAACAGGGTCTTCGGTGATTTCGTTGATCGTGTTCTCGATGATATCGCTAATAGGTTCATCAATCCTATCTTTAGAGCTTTCCATTCTCAGTTTAAATTTCGATTTCTTTCCTGGCTCTTCATACTTGATCTTCTCTATCTCGAAAATATCTAAGTTTTCAGCAAATTTGACTCTCTTCCCGGATTTTTTGTCTTGTGTGTCCTCAAATTCTTTTACTTCGCTATTATTTCTCAACTTATTAATTTGATCCCATAACATATTGTTCATTTTATTGTCACGGAAGAACGCTCCTTGATCCTCTTCACTTTCGTCATCTTCAAATTCGTCTTCAAAGTCGAATTCGTAATCTTCCTCAATATCGTCAGCCCCTTGAAAATCGTCAGCAATCAACTCGAGTTCGAGCAAATCTTGTCTCTCTATCAGTATATGATCTTGCAATGGCTCCTCTATGTACTCGTCATCTTCATCATCTTTATCTTCCATCTCTTGTATCTTTTCCTTTGCAGCTCCACCCCTGCTATGCAAATCTTGGGCGATTTCTTTCAATGCTGCTTTATCCTCATCATTTATCGATAAGCTATCTATTTTGTTAACAATTGTTGTCTTGTGCTCAATCTCCATATCCTCCAACAATTCTTCGAATTGATTGGATTCGTTCTCTTCTGGTGGTGATGATTTGTCGTTCCTGAACAGGTCATTACGATGGACCTCTTCAGATGAATTAGGCTTCTTGAAACCTTCCATAGATTTTCCATTCGAAGTAACGTTTATTACGTTATCGTTCTCATCTAATTCTTCAACTATATCAACAAATTCCTCTTTCACAGGATCCTTCTTTTGAGACTTATTCTTTGGTGGTAGTGGCGTTTCTTTCTTCTTTTCGGCTTTCTGCTCTTGAATTTTGAAGTCTTTCTTATTTAATTTGACTGAAAGAATGTTATCATCATCATCCAACTCCTCTACAATATCCATGAAGGGCATCCCTTCTTCGTTTCTTTCTTCTTTGCTTTGATTAGAACTAGAATCGTTGATATTAAATTGTTTTATTAATTCTCTCGAACCGTCTAGTCTTGCTGTAAAATCCTTTATGATTACATCTATATTTCTGATCCTCCTTTCCAAGAATTCGTGGGCTTCTTCTTTGGCCATATTCACAAAATAGCCATCTCCGATCATGATCATTACCTCATCTTGAATGTTTTTGGATATTTGGGACCGCAAAGTCTGATAGGTGTCTCTCTGAGAGAATAGCATGTTCCTTTGGGTATTTAACTTGTCTAAACCAAGCTTGATCTCAGATTCCATCTTGGATATTTCATTATCCACATTCTGATTATCAAACATATTCATCTTAGATCAGTGCGAATTTTTTTAGATTTGTCACCACTTGAAACCTTGGTCACCTGGTCGATTTCAAGACTTTTCTGTGACATATCCCAGACCAGATGTGTTGAAGAAGATCCAAATATGAATTGGGGCACTGGATGACTCCACTCACATCTGTGATCTCGATTGAGCAGGTTCATTGCGTAATCACAATACTAGTTTGGACATCAGTTCGTGGATGGTCACTATTATAACAACTTGTAAGGTGTGGCCACGAGCTATTCCCGCTGAACTTCAAGGACCAGAGTTGTGCTAGATAATTAGCACAAATGATACTGTGGTAGTGTGTAATACAACCTTCTATATTTCTCAAGTGCGATCTGTTAGAAAGTCTCCGAAGAATGCCTCCTTCACAATTAGCCATCAAAACCAATGCTTTGAAGAGATTGATCAAGGAGAAATCACTCTACTCACAAGAAGTAGAAGATCAATCCAAATACGTACAACAATTGAAAGCATCCAATAGTGATGAATATGAGTTGAAAAAACAAATCGAAGTTTTGGAAGAAAGTAAAAGAATGGTACCTCAAGTTGATTCAAAGATAGAAGCAATGAAGAAAAGCTTGAAAGATTTCTTGGAATCATACAATGGAGATGAAGATGTCGCCACAGCTAAACTGTTGTTGGTATAAAGAGAAGAGTTCATTTATCAAAGCTGACAACGCGTTGATAGGTTAAAATGAATGATAAGCTGTATTTAAGAGTATGAATATGAATATATTTTGAGATCATTCAATTGGAAACTCCTCCTATCGGTATCCTACCTTCTACGCAATCACTCTGTAATCAACCATTCCATTTACATTTACCGATTCATCGTCACCTCTATCAGATCGTCAAAATTACTGTTATACGATTATGTCATCATTATGTAATCGTTTCTTTCAAAGAGAAGAGACAGAAGAATAAATAATTATCTACCCTATTATAATATACAATTATATAATACACCGAATTAAACTTATAATTCTTGAGAAGCTTTATCTTTACCTGATTTTTTTGGTAATAAGTTTTGATGAATGTTTGGTAAAACACCACCTTGAGCAATGGTAACATCACCTAATAATTTGTTTAATTCTTCATCATTTCTGATGGCTAATTGTAAATGTCTTGGGATGATTCTGGATTTTTTGTTATCTCTAGCAGCGTTACCGGCTAATTCTAAGATTTCAGCTGATAAATATTCTAAGACTGAGGTTAAGTAGACTGGAGCACCTGAACCAACTCTTTGAGCGTAGTTACCTTTTCTCAATAATCTGTGAACTCTACCAACTGGGAAAGTTAAACCAGCTTTGGCTGATCTTGAAGTTGAAGCTTTTTCTGAACCGGAGGCTTTACCTTTTCCTGACATTATAAATTAATTTATTATTAGATTTAGAAGAGAAAAAGATTTCTAAGGGGGGATCAGGTCAGATATTTATACGTTTACCTTTTTAGACACCTTTTTGTTGTCATTTGCAATCTATTTTCTCATCACGATAATTTATCTGGTTGTTTATATTTTGCAACATTTTTTGCAGCCATGACTGTTCTGATATTTTCTCAAAGTTTACCAAACCTCTTTAATAAACTTCATTCCGCACAATGGTACTAGATTCCCAATCTACCACCACCTTTCGTACTAAATGTAAAGAAAATTAGGACCAATAAAGGCATGCTGAAATTAACTCTTAGTGAACAATAATAAATTACCTTCGCGAATTTAATTTCGCGTTGTCAGATTCTTCTCCTTAAGTAAACTTCAGTCTGATGCGCGTAAATTTCCACACACATTATCACGAAAGAAGAGCGGCGAATTGACCAAGAATGAAATGATCATGAATCAAAACAAACAATAGATTCACGCAAGACTATTTAAGTTCAATAAGTTCCCGAATTTTAAAAATTCTTTTTATTTACTACTAATAAATTTATAATCAATCATGGCCCCAAAAGCTGAAAAGAAACCTGCCTCAAAAGCCCCAGCTGAAAAGAAACCAGCTGCTAAAAAAACTGCTTCTACTGATGCTAAGAAAAGAACCAAAACCAGAAAAGAAACTTACTCATCATACATTTACAAAGTTTTAAAACAAACTCACCCAGATACTGGTATTTCCCAAAAAGCTATGTCAATTATGAACTCATTCGTCAACGATATCTTTGAAAGAATCGCTGGTGAAGCTTCTAAATTAGCTGCTTACAACAAAAAATCAACCATCTCTGCCAGAGAAATTCAAACTGCTGTTAGATTAATCTTACCAGGTGAATTAGCTAAACATGCTGTTTCCGAAGGTACTAGAGCTGTTACTAAATATTCTTCAGCTTCTTCATAAACGAGTTGAAATGTATTTTTATTATTTATGTATACTAGTTTAATAAACAACTGTTGGAATATCGTTTACTCTACTTTTTTCATCTGTGCGATTGGAAATTTGTGGTTTTTGCAGCCAGATCTTTTGCTAAATTCTTTTGCTTTACCCTTCAATTTAACTAAATATAACCATTCAATGAGTAAGACGTTGATTATATTAATTGCCCTATTGATTTATATCATTATCTGATCTTGATATTGTCATGTCATGCAAAAATATATTTATTTATACAATGCAAATATATATGAAGGTATTTCGGTATATGCCTATTGATTCACTGTAGCACTTCTGAATTCCTATATCTCCCAATACTCTCTAGTGTCTCACTCCCTTCACTCCCTGTGTTACACATTTCCTCTCTTTGGTATGACTGAAGATGACTATGCGGCAAAGTTTCGGTCTGATTTATACCAATTTATACCAATTGTATTTGGCTCAAATTAGATTTTGTTTCCTGAGATAATATCACTACTGATTTAAACCTGATAGATATGAAACTAAATATGGTCTTCTTTGTTGATTTGTGTTAATAAATTCAAGCTTTTATTATTAATTGACTCTACTTTCTATACATTGAAATAATTTTACAATTAATATATTTTGCAATTATCTTTTTTATAAAAATTGCAAAAATCAAAAAAAATCAAAATTCCTATATCTGTTAAAACTATTGATTATCTATATTCTCGTACGACACAGCTTCTAATCATTCAACAAGGTTGTTGGTATCTGCAATAATTCGTATTTTACATTAGATATCGAGATTATTTCAAATCTGACATTTATAGTTCCTCAACCAATTCGAAGGTTGACAAAAGTTTTATTTGAACCTGGCACAGGATTACATATCTGGACATGAAAAACCAAAAGTTCGAAGCATATCTATATTCGTCTTGAAGAAAGTTCAACTTAAAGGTGATGGGAGATACAATCATCTTCTAGAAATCAACTCGTTATTGTTTTCTCAGTTCACTAACCAACCAACAAAAACTTAGATCAAGGCATCGAAATCAAAATTGAACCAGGGAAAGAGAGAAGACTTCCTTACCTCTTAGCCGATTTTCGGCGAAACGAAATCCATTTCTTTAGTTCGAATATTGATCAAGCTTTTAACGAAATGGCTGATTCTACGTATATATGTTGAAAATTTGATAAAACAGGAGAATAGTATTCAGGCTCCGAAGATAGCAGTTAAGGCATATGGCCCTCCTCTAAAACTAGACTACTTAATAGAACTCCTCTCAAAGATCAAATTCGTGAAGAAGCCCAGTTGGTACAAATTAGTATAAAATTTGATTAACAGAACACCGATAACATCTATATGAAACAGAAGTGCGTTGTACCATAGATATAAGAGTTCTGGTCTGGATAAACGTAATTATTTCAAACTCGAATTACATGTTTCTTTGATGAAATTCGAAAATATTCACAATTCAAGGTGGTAGAAAACTTAATGTGATCTCCAAATACTTCAAAACTTGAATCGAAACTGGATGTAAGTAATTTATCAACACAACATACGCATACAGTAATTCATTCGTGTTCAACCGTAGAATCATTCGAAAACCAATAATTTTGAAAACAAGAATAAGAATCAAATCACAAGAATAAAAAATGGCAAATAACCGGAATAAGACTGACAGTGCTCCTTAAAAGATAAAATATCTGTTTATTCACCAAAACCGAATACAAATGTAAATTGTAAGATTACTGTTGGATAATTTAGATGAATAGTATATGAGTAAGATGTTACTTGGCAATTGGCATTGGGTGCAAGCCAATTACTACGCTCCTTCCAATTCTGATTGAACTAACGTACATCATCAAACAATAGCGAAATGTGAAAAAAAGTTCGTAGGTTTGTAATCTTAAGCAACATGTTTACTATAAATTCATAAAATTTCAGCAAATAGATACAGCTAAGTGGAATGCTTATTTCTCCAAACCCCACTATAAAACAATGTTCAATATAAATCCGATGGCCCTCATAATGAACGCATAATCAAAAACAGCAGAACTAAGTAAAATCTTACCTGTTGAGTAGTCACTTTATTTTCACGAAAATTCCATAGACTGATAGAGCTTTAGAAATACTAATCACCGAAGTCCACTTATAGCACGAGTACACAGCTTCATCAATTAAGCATTTGATTTAATCGGTTACTAAATTGTGAACTAATATTCATTATTGATGCCCTCCTCTAGAGACAACTACGCTAAAACGAAGCAGGTAGCAAAAATTACCGGGCATTGTATTCCTCAACTGCTCAAGACTTTCTTTCTTTATGTTATGTCCCTACTACAGAACGATTGAGACTTTGAAATGCACCCAGATACTTCAACTGGAACTCCCTAAATCAATACCTAAAGTAATGTCTCGATGACATCCATATTCACTAGAAACCTGATGTGCAATTTAAAATCAACAACAACTTAGCTTGAATATTAACCACTGTTCAGTGCAGATAGTTGCATACCTTGACACTATCTTTAACTGGATCAATAAGCATTCAACGGATAGAGTTGTCAAAAGTAACTTGAGAAAGTCGATGAGGTATGTTAAACAGAGAACAGAATACTCATATTGGTCAAGATCGTTGCAGGTTTTGTTTATGTAGCTCTATAACTCTGTCGATTATACAATCTTTTTCTCTAAGAATGTTAGCCCTAACTCGAATTGAACTGTTCGGGTATATGCCCACTTATATTACAAATTTTCATTGCAAGTAGGATACAACAGGTCTAACCAATACATAGAAATAACCTTCCAATAGATCACACTCATTAGTATGTGGCAACCTTACCCAAAGCTTAGATTTATAACTTTTTAACCTTAAAGAACTCCCTAGGGTCACCTCATCTTGTTAATGACAGGACAAGTAAGCAGGAATAGAAATTATGGTGATCAATATTTCATCAAAGATGCCATCTCAGCGATTATGAACTTCTACAAAAATATAGTGTGGGCAAACATAACTTTTTACATTACATGTATAAGACAACTATTTAGTTAACAAACAAAGGTAATGATGCAATGAAAATATGATTATATGATGACCACCAAATTAAGACTTATGTTCTCCATGGGATGTTCCGCCCCTAATCTGTTGTTCAACATATATTTGTCTTTACCTGTGACTTTCTGGTGTTGATTTCATAATCATCGGGAACTTAGTTAATACTTTGTCATCTATAACTAAGAAACTAGTTCAACGGTGTAGTTCAGTCACAACGTCCAAGGTGAACGGCTGATAGAGGAGAATACGATCGTATAGATGTTCCGAACGAGTATGAGTATCAGAGTGAGGCCACTCAATCTCTACTTACTCAATTAGTATTACTACAGCTGGGTTACGTAGTAAATAGGAATGCTACTGAGTTTCATATTAAAGAAGGACTAATCATACGACTGATCGTACATCTATCCCAAGTTCCATTATTGTCTAAGCATTACACTTCTCTCTACAAGCGAATCTTTATCGATGCATATCTTGTAACAACCTAAATATTCTTTGGACAATCATGTTCAATGCTCAATCCATGGATTCATCAGCTATATTCAATGTTCAGAATCTTGGCAACATCTTGATTACTTTAGTCGTTGGATATCTAGAAGATATCTAGAAGAATAAAGAATTTCTGGACTAAACTATTCTCCTCTAATCGCCAATTAGTAAAAAGTTTCAGAGTATGCAGGGCTTCCATTCGTATACTAGTAGTTGCATTTAAGTTAGTGATAAGGTATAATATTTGTTATAATTGAATTTACAGAACTGATTTTTTTTATTGGCTACGCATATCACACTGAAAACTTTTGGAGTCTCGTTGAACTAATAGTAGAAAAATTTGAATGTAAGATGCTATTTTTCTCATGAGACTATGTAATATTATCCTTAAATGCGTTTGCGAAACTATTGTGTTGGGACAGTATCGACTTTCAAAATGAGCAAGCAGCTATATTTTGACCTTTGATAATGTAGAATCATAGCAGTCATATGCTTTGTATTTCTGAATTATGTTTTCCCTAAGGCTTTGCCGCTCCTTATATATGGTGGATTGTCGTCCCCAATACTAATTTTGTTGAATGCTAAATGAAAGGTTGTTAGCAGGAAAAACTTAGCAATTCCAATTATTTCGTTAGTTGGTGATCAGTCTTCCTGTCTATTCTGAAGATTAATGTTTTTTTTTTGGAGTTTAAATAATTGCTCATTAACCGTTGACTGTTATGATTCTGCCTGGTTCTTTATCACAATAAGGATTTATGGTTGTCGTAATATCCTCCATATTATTCTAGAGTTTGGGCTTTTGTTTCTATTTAGCGGCAATGGTGTCATTCTTTGAGAGTTTGACTTTTATTACTGAATCACTAGAGAAATACTATTGACAATAAAATTATTTGTAGTTGAATCATCAAAACGTTAGTTGTTCCATTTACTATCGCTTTTGTCTTTCTATTATTCGCCGAATAAATATTTTTGGAAGTGAATATTTTCAGATTGATATAATCCATTCTTATCCGAGATCATACCCTATTCTTCACCATTCTTCATGACTGACTTGCATCGATTTGGGTGACATTTTTGGAAAATAGCATTTTTTTTTTTTTTTTTTTTTGGTGGTACATGTCCTTTTTCTCTTCCGTTCGATACTTTCACCTCTCCTTACTTTTCTTCGCTGGAAACTACTTTTCTCCGCTGGAAACTAAACTCCACAGCTTCTCCTTTTGAAGTTTTATGTGAATTTATTTCCAATTTAAGGGTAAATTGGACCGTTGACTAAAGAGCCAATCATATATGAGAGAATTGGTCTAGATTCCAGAAAATCGTAAAGAGTTTGCTATTACACGAATGGTTCTGATCCTCTTCCCAAAAAGGTCAATTTGGCTCTTCTTTCGGTGTAATTGGTCTCTCATGCAGATCGCAGATTTTCTTATCGGGCATTTACGAAAGGATATTTTCTAGGACCCAGCCAAAAGGGTGAGCCAGCAACATATTAATTGTTTTTCAACCTATTATGCTGTGTTTGTTAGATTAGTTAAGTCCCTAAATATAGATGTGGAGGCGGAGAATGATTAACATAATTTCCTCAAAAGTCATTTGCAGGAATTATGTGAAAGTATGTATAATTTGTGAATTTCACCAAATTTGACTGAGAAACTATTAGCTCTAAAACCTTCTTTCAAGTAAGCTTGAGTTTAAGCTACCTTACTTCCATGAAGTGTACGGATAATTTCCTTCTCGTTAGATTTAATTTCGACAGTTTACCGGTTGAAGCTGAAATACATTCTGGATTTAAGCGGTGTTACAATTGTAACAGGAACGGAATATTTTTAAGAAGAGTGCGAGATAAAATGGTTTAAATACCCGCAACCTTCCTGCCCAAAATTATTATCTAAAATGAGAGGATTAATTACTGATGAGAAGTCAATTTCAACCAAGAAGAGTCTGTTGCTCAAGCATGTTGTAGCTTTGGCAGCTGTTGTTCTGGTTGCTTATTTGACATTCAACAATTGGCCATACGATGTCAGAACTGCGCAATATGATGATAAGGCTTGTCCTATGCACCCTATCAGGGCTCCAGAAAGTTTTGTTAAAGATAACACCACAGCTTTGAATATCCTTTACGATGAAGATTTCAGATTGGGTTCTGTCAAAAAATTATCAGGGGCTGTTCAAATTGACACTCAAGTTTTCGACGACCCTCCACAAGTTGATGATAAACCCGAGTACTGGAAGAAATTTGCCAAATTCCACGAATATTTGGAAAAGACTTTCCCAACTGTTTATGACAAATTGGAAGTGGTCAAAGTCAATACTTACGGTCTTGTTTTCATCTGGAAAGGTAGTGATGAATCATTGAAACCTGTCATGTTATGTGCCCATCAAGATGTTGTTCCTATTCAAAAGGACACCTTAGATGATTGGAGTTACCCACCATTAGAAGGTCATTACGATGGTGAAAAAGTCTTTGGCCGTGGTTCTTCTGATTGTAAGAATGTCTTGATTGCTATTTTAGAATCTTTAGAATTATTAATCGCCAAAGATTATAAACCTGAAAGAGGAATCATCGCTGCTTTAGGTTTTGATGAAGAAGTCAGTGGTAAAAAAGGAGCTTTAGAAATTTCCAAATATTTGGAAGAAAGATTTGGTCAAGATTCAATCTATTCCATCTTAGATGAAGGTACCGGAATTTCTAAGGAACCAAACACTGGTTTGATTGTTGCTGGTCCAGCTGTCGCTGAAAAAGGTTATGTTACCATCAATGCTAAGTTGAAAACTAAAGGTGGTCATGCCTCGATTCCACCAGACCATACTTCTATTGGTATTGCTTCAGAATTAGTTTATCTCTTAGAAGAAAATCCTTTCAAACCTGTTTTGTCCACTAAAAATCCAACCTTGGAATATCTTCAATGTTTGGCTAAATACGGAGGTGACGCTTTCCCACCTTCATTAGCCAGAGATATCTTAAGAGCTGGTTATGACAAAGTTTCAAATAGTAAAGTTATTCAATTCTTACTTAACCTTCCAAGTCCATTATTCAGATATTTGATTCAAACCTCACAAGCTGTTGATATTATCAGAGGTGGTGAAAAAGAAAATGCTTTACCAGAATTTACCGAAATCTTTGTAAACCATAGAATTGCGGTTGAAAGTTCAGTTAAGGAAGTAGTTGACAGATTTGTCGAAATCACTAAAATTGTTGCCAAAAAACACAATTTAGCAGTCAACTTAGATGGAGAAAGTGTAGTGGGACAAGAAGGAACTGTCGGTGTTTTCAACATTGGTGTTGTTGACACTACTTTGGAACCTTCTCCTGTTGCTCCTACCACCGATAAAGTCTGGGAATACTTGGCCGGTGCTTCAAGACATTTAGTTGAGGATTTGATTTATCCTGGCCTTGAAACTCCTGTGATTATGGCACCTCTGTTAATGCCAGCCAACACAGACACAAGACATTATCATAAAATCTGTGGAAACGTTTTCAGATATACTCCAGCTCTTGATCCAGAATTATTACACAATGCTCATAGTGTTGATGAATACATTCCGGTCGCAAGTCACTTACATTTAGTTGCTTTCTTCTACGAATATCTTCAAATTGTGAACACCAAAGATGCTGGTAACTAGTTAGTTTTATTATCAATAAAAGTTCCAAAAGATCCTCAAATCACTCTCTAATTATCTGAAACATTCTCTTATGTCTACGTGAAGAAGTGTAGAGGTCGCTCGAAATTTCAAGCATAGCTACGGTAGACCTGTCTTGAACGAACGAGAGCTGGAGAATGCTACGGTTAACTACGAAGCTTTTGAATATATGAACTATTTACATTATGTTTAATTGAATGCTGACTGTTTTATACCGGTATAATGAAGTAACCTTTCCCATTGTCCTTTTTTATGTAACATCGCTAAGATCAATATTCCAGGCAATTGGTATACTGAAGCCCAGAACAATTTTCTTGCTGTAGCATTGGCTATATTGATTCCTTCTACAGAGGGAGTGGAACTCAGATAATTTATTTTCTGCTGTTTCCAGAATTTATAGGATAACACAGCTAGCCAACCATTGAGTAGAGCAGAATCGAATTGAAACACCCAATCAGTGACGTCGAAATAACTTAATCCGAAACATAAGGGGAACATCAAAATGGAATATCTTAAAGCAACTCTTGCATTTAATTTAGGATTTTCAGCCGCTGTCATAATATACCCAGCATTCTTGTACTGTGAAGCTATGTTATGAGACAAAGCATTAAAATGAGGAAATTGCCAGGCGTAAAGTAAACCAGCTAAACACCAAGCCCCTGGATGTAATAACGAAGAAGATGCGGCCCATCCCATTAATGGAGGAATAGCACCCACAACAGCACCTACCCATGTATTAATGATAGATATTCTCTTCAATGAGGTATAAATCCAAGCATAAAGAATAATATTCAAGAATCCCAATAAACTAACAATTGGATTCACCCCATAGTACAACATCACACACCCCAAACTCCCTGTTATAGCTGCAAATAGATAAGCATTTTGTGAGGTCACTTTACCGAGAACAACGGGTCTGGTACTAGTTCTTACCATTTTCCTATCGAATTCAGGTTCTCTTCCCATATTGATAGCATTTGCTGAACCAGAGCACAAAGCAGTACCCATGCTTAAGAACATCAATTCATGAACGGAAACTGAATAAGGTGACAATGCATAAGAGCATATGGAACTCAATGTCACTAATATGGTTAGATTGGGTTTAGTTAATTTGATGTATGGTTTTATTAATGCTCTCAAGGCAGATGATTGGTATCCGATAGAAGCTGAATCTATCGCTTTTAAATCAGGGGTTTTGGTGTTATTATTCGTCTTTGGTATCACTTTGAAAGGTATTTTTTCTGTGTCTTGACAAGATATTACCTTCGAAACGTTTGGTTCTTCATTGTTATTTGATTTGAACGATCTCTTGATGTTTTTATTCAAGAAATGATTGCTCAAAAAGCTCTTATTGATCAAGAATCTCCCATTGTTGAAAAAGAAATTTAGTTGGGAGAAATTCCCTGTCTTATTCAATATTAGTCTAGACATCTTTCGTTGAAAAATTGAGATGATATTCCTCGAATCACCAGATTTGACTGCGCGCTCGTCCCCCTAGGTGGGTCTAAATTTGGGCCCACTTCGCAAGCGATGATGGTGGTATTAGTGGAGGCAGAAAGTACCGGAAATGTAATTTGAGAAAATTAAGTATATTGAGCTTATTAACTATGAACACTAAACATTGATTTTTTCAACTGAATCTTCATCAGAAGCATAATCTTGTTCAACGGCTTCACCGTTACCGAAATGACCGGTCCAACCGTTTTCAATCAAGTAGTTTTTGAATTTGATATCTTCTTCTAATAAATCTTCATCTTGTAAATGTGGAACGAAGAAGAAAGCAACTACAACACCAACGATACCACAGATAGCAGCAATAATGAAAGTCCATTTTTTACCAAGGTTGTTTTGAATTGGAGTAAAAGTTTTAGTACCAACAACGGCACCAACTTTTCCAATGGCAGCGGAGAAACCGTAGAAAGTACCTCTGACTGGGGTAGCGAAAGATTCAGAAGAAATCAAACCTAACATATCACCAGGACCCAAGTTACCAGAAGATTGCATCAATCCATAGAATACAATGAACAAAGCAGTGATACCTTTGATCTTATCATAACCACAACCAACAATCAAACCGAAGACAAGATAACCACCAAAACCAGTCATTAAAGTATATTTTCTTCCGATTTTTTCACATAAGAAGGCACCAATAAAACAACCTGGGATAGCCAAAGCACCCAATAATAAATTCCATTCAGCGATTTTTTCTAAGTTGGTGGCATCTTTTTCACTTAATACATTGGAAATAATACCAGCTGAGAAGATACCGTTAGGGAAAGTAACGAAATCATATAAGAACCAGGTAACACAAGTTCCAATTAATCTTGGCCAATAATATTTGACAGCTAACCAATAAGGAATCACTTGATGTTGAATAGCTGACTTTCTATATAAGTCAGAAGTAGCCATTTTCATTCTGAAGTAGAAGACTGACAAGGGCCAGAAAGCACCAATAGCAAACATAGTTCTCCAAATTCCTTCATAACTCTTTGTGATTTGATAAACGATTAAGAAAATAATTAAAGCAAAAGGACCTCCTAAAGATAATGGCAAGTTTGTGACTAACACGAAGGTAGTTCCTCTTCTTTTGAGATTATTGGCAGCTTCATTAGCGGAGACAGAACATGAGGGGTACTCAGCACCAATTCCAAAACCGGTAACACCTCTTGAGACAATTAACATCCATAATAAACCATCAATGGTTTTTCCATGAGAAGCAGCACACATACAGGTACCAACAATCAAGAAAATGGTGGCAATGATAATACAATTCTTTCTTCCGATATAATCAGCAGAAATACCGATAGCTACTTGACCAAAAATAGTGGTGATCAAAGCAGCATTTGAAACGTTAGTTTTCATATCAGCTGTGTAGTTTTTTGGGAACTCTTGGGTTAAAACTTGATTAGTCATTGATAAAACATTATTTTGATAACCATCAGAAATCAAAGCGAAACCTGAACATAAGATGATCAATAAATCCGTCCAACTCTTCTTGCCAAATCTCAATCTTCTTTCTTCAGCTTTATAAACAAATTTCTTATCTTTTTCAACAGTTTCAGTTGAAATTTCAGTGTTTTTCAAATCGATTGTCTTTGAATCTCCCATTTTAACACAGTTTTGAATTCTTGTTATCTAACCCTAAGAATCACATTGCTTTATATATGTAAAACAATGGGAAACTCTATTTTCTCCACGTGTAGAATGGATTGTGCAAAGAGGGAAATAGACATATTATGTCGCACTGACATATCGTAAAAAGTGAGGAGATAAAAGGAAAAATTGGATTACAGAAGTGAAGGAGAGAATCTGTCCCAAGTGTGATCAGATAAAAGATGTGAAGTGTATCATTGATGTGTCAACTGTGCATAATTTGGTACCTCCTAAGGTTTAATGATAAAAAGTTAAATGGGAGTACACCCTGAGGTTATGAGGCTAAAGAATGTCACATACCATATGCATTATTTCCGTGATAATCCTCAAAGCCAATTTTTTTGTCGGGTAGCTTCAACGTGGTATATGTTAACAATCAGATCCACTGCGATGAGATCACGGATGAATCAACGGCCGGCTGGGTCTTAGGCTTAAATGATTGGCAACGTCAAGAAAAGATTTGCGGAATACCGACATTTTTGACAGGTAGGAAGTGTAAGAGGGAGTCTACACATCTGGAGAGGATCAGAGATGAAAGCAGAGCATAACAGAGAAGAGTATGAATGAGACAAAAGATAGGGATGACGAGGAGGGGCGGAATCGGGATACAAGTCGAACACCTGGTGTGGTTATTCCAATTTCCGAATACAAACTAAAGCCGTTATGCTGCGTTACTAATTTTTAATCAAACACGAGGTAACCGTTTAACGGAACAATAAGAAGGAATTACAAGGGTAAGCATCACAAGATAGTTTACAAAGAGGAGGAGGGGGGACCAAGGTGAGAGGGGGATGAATGTGGACTTCAGATAACCAGGTAGAATACTTTGATCACCAAAGAGGGGAGTTTTCATAAAGTTACCAAAAAGATGTGTAGGGACATGGCGGAAGGCCACCGATAATGAATCGGAAGAGGATCTAAGAATCCGATCTTATACATATCTCCTTTACTATGAATTTAATTTATTTCTTCTTTTTCATTTAATTTTTTGTTATCCAACTTATTGTCAATTAAATCATGGAAGGCAATGATGGATCTAACCAAAGTACTAATATAAACCATCATTAATTGATCATTAGTCTTGACAGTAAAAGCATTGGCTAAAGAATTAGTTGACGACGGATCTGAAGAATCGTTATGTAATATTTCATTGTTTAAATTAGGTAATAAATTGAAGACATTTTGTAATTTACCTAAAATGGTGTGATTGATTGGTAGTGACTTATTGTAGATTTTTTCTAAATAGTTAGAAATATCACTTAATTTTGAATGTAATCCTAATAATGATCTATAAGTTTGGGTGATTCTAATAGATAAAGTACCAGCTGCATTATCTTTAATATCCCTTAATAAATGTTCAACCCCAATTTCTTCAGCTTCTTCAGCTTCAATGATTGAAGGAACATGAATGAAGGTCTTTTCAGCTGCAGAACCATCATTTTTAATATCATCAACAGCAAAGTAAGCATCAGTTGGTATACCTACAATTTTTGGTTGAACATCAACGATCAATAAAACTGGATTACTGGTATATTTCTTGAAGATTTCATTAATTTTTAAATCAGAAGATTTCAATTTAGGACCTGAATGATACCATCCGATTAATTTTTCTTTGGCATTGATCTTTTTGTACATTTCACTCATGGATTCAATAAAATTATGATCTAAGAACCATACACTTGAATTCTTCTCATCTTCTTCGAAAGGTATAGCGAATGAGTTGGTTACGGTAATAACATCACCTGAGTTATCTCCCAATATCACTCCCACTACTCTTTTCTTACTATCTTTCGACACTCTATTATAATGGTCGACCACTGATAACAAAACCAATGGTGATACAGATACGGTTTTTTTGAGGAAAATCGATTCAGTTGACATCTTGAAGTTATTCTATGCAAATATTTTATCTAAGTAAACTATGGTAAAGGATTTATCCAGCAATGGTAAGTAATTAGATTTATGAGTTCCAGTCTGTTCAGTTGAGTAGATTTGCCTTCGCGATTTTGGATGGTTTTCGCGAAGACTTTAAGTTAAGAGACCTCATCAGATCACAAAAGATTTTGAGAATAGAACGATTCTTCTACGACATAGAACCTTTAAGAAGAACATTGCTCCAATAATCATATATAATATATCCTGGATACGTTAGACTCTACCAAAAACGTTAATTCAGAGTAAAAAAAGGCATACACACTGTATTTGAAATGTTTGGTCAAGTAGTTATAGGACCACCAGGGAGTGGTAAATCTACGTATTGTTACGGTTTATACCAATTCTTATCGGTGATAGGGAGAAAACTGTGTGTTATCAATTTGGATCCTGCAAATGATAACATTCCTTATCCAGTAGCATTGGATATCAGGAATTATATCAAACTAGAAGATGTGATGAATGAGTTTAACCTTGGTCCCAATGGTGGATTATTGTTTGCTATGGAAAACTTAAGATATGAACTTCTAGATGAGTTCATGGACAAGATCAATAAACTCAAACAAGATAATTACCTTATATTCGATTGTCCTGGACAGATCGAATTATTTACTCATGATAATTCATTATTCAAGATATTCAAACGATTGGGCGAATTGGACATCAGACTTTGCATTGTATCATTAATTGATTCAATCTATTTAACGTCGCCGTCACAATATGTTTCAGTACTTTTGATTAGTTTGAGATCAATGTTACAAATGTCTTTGCCGCAAATAAACGTCATATCCAAAATCGATAAACTAAAATCCTATGGGAAATTACCTTTCAGGTTGAATTACTATACGGAAGTTCAAGACTTGGAATTTTTAACTCCCTTATTGGAAAAAGAGTCAAATTCAATTCTCGGTAAAAGGTATGTCAAGTTGACTCAATCAATTAGCACCATAATAGAGGATTATAATTTAGTCAGTTTCAAGGTCTTAGCCGTAGAAAACAAAAGATGTATGATAGATTTGTTATACGAGGTGGACAAGGCGTTAGGATATCACGGAAAGGAAGTTGGTGGTGACAGTTTATGGAATGAAGTTACTAGAAACGGAATCGGCGAAGAAGTAGATGTTCATGAAAGATGGATTGACCTGAAAGAAATCTATGATGAGCAGGAAAGGAAAGACGATGAAGAAATGAGACAATCAATGATACGAAGTGAAGCAAATGAAGAAGAGTAGGTCACAAAAATTGGAAATCCATATAAATTGACTTCTTAGTAATATTCTAACAAGCACGTCACCAACTGTAACTCTTAGGATAAATTCAAATGATTGGCTATTAGTGGAGAACTGGTGATTCACTGTTAAGAGAATCTTGGGTTTCAAACTTTAACTCGCATAACCTTCGATTACATAATCAGACCGCTTTGTAGCCGATGAAAGTTATTTGTAATAATTTCAAAGGTGAAATCTCTTGATGTGTTCACCATTTGTAATACACAAGAGCCTAGAGCTAATGTATTCAATAACATGACAATTAAAGGTCTCATATTAGAGATATTTTAATGTATAAAACATGGAGAGGGCACTGTCAAAATATTTTGACAGGCTCACTCCTAATTATGTCCAATTATAACAACATCTACTCCACAAACCAAAATAAGGTTGACATGAATAAAGCAAGCATCTTCGTATTATTGTTCTAAGCCCTCTTCCTATTATTTGCCGTTCCCCTTGAATAAAATCCCAACAAGTTGAAAATTCGGTGATAAACTGAAATGAAACCGATCGACCTCGGTGACGAGGCAGAAATTGAAAAAAAATATTTAAATCGGAAAAATCTACAAAAGACTCAATGGGTGTTTTTGGAACTTCAAGAGAGGAAGAGGCGAACTTGAGAGAAGTTGGTATGACGGTCAATGATCGTAGTAGGACTTCATTCAGCTCAACAGGTTCGTCATATTATGATACTGCCAGTGAACATTCTAGACCAATAATTGAGGGAGGTGAACAGAATGAGATGGCTGAACAAGAGATTCATCCAACTGATGATGTTAACACCGATAAGGAGTATTTGGAAAAGAATGAAGATGATGTCGAACAACAACAAGAACAAGAACAAGATGAAGAAAATGATGATGATGAGACAGTAAATCACAATGGATCTTTAAAATCAGGTGAAGAGATTAAAGATATCAATGAAGGTGCTACTAATATGCATCATTTACATTGGGATAGTGAAGATGATGTTGATGATCCAATGAATTGGGGGAAATTGAAAAAATGGTATGTAACATTAACTACTGCCTTTATTTGTTTGTGTGTTTCCCTTGGATCTTCATTATTCGTTTCAGGGGTGTTTGATATGATGGCTAAGACTGGTGCTTCAAGAGAATTATCATTAGCTGGGTTATCACTTTATTTAGTTGGATTATCACTTGGTCCAGCATTGGGATCACCAATTTCTGAAACTTTTGGTAGAAGAATTGTTTATATAACTTCCTTCCCATTATCAATGTTATTCACTATGGGGGTTGGATTGAGTGATAAAATCTATGAAATCTTGATTTTAAGATTCTTCTGTGGATTATTTGCATCTCCAGCTTTAGCTGTTGCAGGAGGAACTATTAATGATATTTGGAGACCTGAATATCGTGGGTTCGCTGCAGCTATTTTCATTTTATCCCCATTCATGGGTCCTTCTTTAGGTCCAGTTATTGGTAATTTCGTTGCTGAAAATAAAGGTTGGAAATGGACTATGTGGGTTAGTTTAATGTTTTCAGGTACTATCTTAATTCCAGTTTTATTATTACCTGAAACTTATAAACCAATTATTTTATTAAAGAGATGTCATAAAAGAAATGTTCCAACTAACATTCCTCCACATTCAGTTATCATTAAACAAACTCTAGTTGTTACTTTACTTAGACCAATTGAAATGTTACTTCTTGACCCAATTGTATTTTTCTGGTCATTTTATATTGCTTTCGTTTTTGCTGTATTGTTTGGATTCTTTGAAGCTTTCCCAATCATTTTTGAAGGGGTTTATAAGATGGAATTAGGTGTTAGTGGTTTAACATTCATTGGGGTAGGAATTGGATTATTATTAGGGGTGATATTTTACATTATTCTTGATTTGAAGATTTTCTTCCCATATAATCCTGATGGTACTAGAGGTAGAAGAGATGAAAACGGTAAATTACTCGTTTCACCACCAGAAAATATCTTAAATGTTGGAAAAATTGGAGCTATTTGTTTACCAGTATCATTATTTTGGTTAGGTTGGACAAGTAGAGAATCAATCCATTGGATTGTTCCAACATTATCAGGTATTCCATTTGGGTTTGGATTAATTCTTATCTTCTTCACCAACATCATGTACTTTTCCTTTTCATTCCCACCAGCAGTAGTTGCATCAGCATTAGGAGCTAATAATTTATTAAGATATTTATTTGCTTCAGCTTTCCCCCTTTTCACTGCCCAAATGTATGAAAAGTTAAAAATCGGTTGGGCTACAAGTATTTTTGCATTCATAGCATTGGCTTTATTACCAATCCCATGGATTTTTGAAAAAGTTGGTCCTAGATTAAGAAAGAATTCCAAATTTAATCATACTGCATCTCCAACCCCAGCTCCAGCCGCTGTTGAAGCTGAAGCTGAAGCTGAATCCGAAGAAATTCCTAATGAAAAGAAGGAAGATTCATTAGTCTAATGTTAACAAGGTGATATTTAATAAACGTAATAATCTGTGTATGGTTCTTTATCTCTTAATCTTTAAGTCTCTTGATCTTTAAGTCTTAATCTTTTACGAAAATTGAGGCGGCGACGTTGTCGTCGCTGAGTCACCCGACATTCTCAGAAGGAGAAAACTCCTCAATTTAAATTAAAACTCACCATGAATAAAAAGAGGATTAATTATAAATCAGTCAAGTTACCCATTGATGTGAAGTCTTTGATCGAGGATTCTAACGATGAGTCGCTTGATGTGATCAAGATGTACAAGAACAAGAAATTTTTACCTCATAATAGAAGAATCAGTAACATTGCCTGGAGAATTTATAATAAGAAATTAACGAATCATAGATCAAGTCATTCAAATGATATGAAAGGTATTATTAACAACAATACTCGAGTATTCAATCAGAATATGAATGGAGGTGTTGATATACCAAGTAATGTGAATAATAATATCGGAGGTCCGGGTGAGATAGGAGAATTCACTGATTTAGAACTTGATAATGATCCAAATTTAGATGAATTTGATTATGTAGCTCATATAAGAAGAATCAGTCAACAAGGAGATTTCCCATTAAATCAAAGTCCCGATTCTATAACATCCAATCAGAAACCAAAGAACTTTCTTTCAAGTTATATCAATTCCCTTGAAAATTCATTGAAAAATGACTATAAAGTCAATAATTATCAATCAATAACTCCACCAAAATCCATAACTTCCAAATCTATACCGAATGGCAATGCTATGAATGGACAAAACAATAATAGTAACATGAGTAATAACATCAGTAATAATAATAGTCACAATACTAATAATGATAATGACATTCTTAATGGAAATGCATTCAATGTAAATGCAAAAATATCCCCAGAAATATATCAAGGTAATATGATTAATGAAGTTCCAACTAATATAGATAAGAAGTTCTTACAATGTTCAAATTGTCAAACTAAAACCACACCTTTATGGAGGAAATCCAATAATGGAGATTTATTATGTAATGCCTGTGGATTATTTTATAAATTACATGGAGTTTTAAGACCTTTAAATAATAAAGTAGAGAAGAATATTAAAACCCAACATTCTAATGATAATATGATAATGAATAATAATATTAATTTGTTCAATAACCTTTCAGAGAATGATGAAATAGATAATTTATTGAACTTAAATTTATTCAAAAGTGATGCCCCGTTCAATAATTTTGAAAATGATGTGAAGAAAGATTTTGAATTTAAGAGTATGATAGGTGATGAAATATTGGATGAAAAACAGTGGAACTGGTTAGATTTTGGTCCTGCCAATTGAAATTTATCTAAGACAAAATATTTATCTAAGACAAAAAAAGATTTAAACCCGTCTCCTCAGGACTGTCTATAGAATATTTTATTTGGCCGGTCCAATTATATAAATAGCATTCGTTAATATAAAGAAAAAACTTTTCAGGACTAATTTTGCCTTAGTTGTCAACCTTAAAATAGAATTAGGCATTACACTACTCTCATAACACTTAAACTCATATGCTCATATCGATTCAGGTAGTTGATTCGGGGTCAATTGATTGATCTTGAAGGTTTTAATAGCAAACAAATCATGTTAACTATTAACTAACTACCAACGGGACTATAATTAAACTTTAACCTCTGTACACCCGAGAAAAAAAGCTTAATTGAGAATATTTACAATCTATCCCGATAGGGAAGTTTCACTCAATGAGACTATGAAAAACCACTTTTCTGCAATTTGTAAAAGTTTATCAGGAACATGATGCTTGAAGTCGACAACACCCCATCTGTGACAGGATCAGACTTTTCACAAGCCAGTTATAGAACTAACAACTCTTCAGTTCAAGATTTCTATCCTGATAAAAATTTTCAGAATCAATATAAGTATCAGCCACAATTAGCAGATGATGAAGAAGAGGAAGAAGAAAGTGAAAGTGAAGAAAGTGACGATAGTGAAGAGTCAGAAGAAGATGAAGACGAAGATGAAGAGTATCAAGATCAATGGAGACAATATTACCAACAAATGTATCGTAATTCCATGTATATGAATTGGATGATGCAGATGAACCAAATGAACATGAACGGTATGAATGGTATGGGTATGAATGGAATGAATGGAATGAATGGAATGGGTATGAATGGTATGAATGGTATGAATATGCCTATGATGAATATGAACGGTATGAATAGCATGAATAAGGTCAATGATATGGGAATGAACCGTATGAGTATGAATGGTATGAATATGAATATGAACGTGAACGGCATGAATATGAATGGCATGAACAATGACATGAACAACATGAACATGAACAACATGAACATGAACAACATGAACATGAACAACATCAACAACATGAACAACATGAACAACAACTCGAACAATACCAATGCTACGCCGAATCAAAATGAAAAGGACCCCGAAGAATCCCAAGCTGATGACACTATCCAATTCGAAGAAACTCAAATAGAAGAAACTAAAGTCGAAGACAATGAACAACCTGAAGTTCAGACTGTTGAAAAAGCTCAAGTCCTCGAAGAGTCTCCAATAAAAGACGAACCTAAGGACGAACCAAGTCAACCAACTGCCGATGAAAGGGAAAGATACATTCAAAAAACATTATCACAATTATCACATTCTTCTACCAACAATTTGATAAAGAACTCCAGACAAAACACCATTAAATCTAACAGATTCCCTTCATTCCCAAACAACTTGGCCAATAAGATTAATGACATTGAAGATCAGTTGAAGGATTTGAAGATCAAAAGAAATTCCATGAGTGAATTTGAACTTGAAAAGACTGAAAGAAGAAACTCTCTGTCATCAGAAAGATCATTTGATTCAGTTGAAAGTGAAAAATTCAATGTTTCAAGAATTGAAGAAAAGTCTTTACCTTCCATCAAACAGACCACCAAAGAAAAGAAAGTTAAACCACAAGAGAAAGAAAATGTTTCTCCCGTCACACCACCTGTCAAAGAAGCCAAACCGAAGACCAAACGTAAGAAGCAAAAGAATCTCACACCTATGAATTCGATGAATCCATTGACTCCTAATCAAATGAGTCCTGGATTGAGTCCTGGATTGAGTCCAGGTATGAGTCCTAGAATTAGTCCCGGGATGAATCCTATGAGTCCAAATATGAATCCTATGAACCCAGGGATGAGCCCAGGAATGCATGGTATGAATATGATGAATCCTATGATGAATCAAATGCCTATCAATCCTATGATGATGAATATGAGTCCTCAATTAAACCCTCAAATGAATTATGGTTACAATCCTATGATGAATACTCCAGCCAAACATACTAATCTTGATAAGGACACTGAAGATATGATCGAAAGATTCAAGAACCTTAGATTAATCATCTCTAAGGGTAATAAATCCATTGAATATCGTTACAAATGGGTTTTAATGTTGATCAATGCCGTCAATCATAAATTGTACAACTATATCAATATCAAGGGTGAGATGGTCAATGATAATATCAGTCATAATAAATCTTTATTCATCAAATCATGCTATCAACATGTTTTAAAACTCATCAGAGATATCACCAAATCTTCTAATAACGAAATCAATTCCGAAATCTGTTTGCTTTATGCTAACTTGTTAAGACACGCCTATTTAAGATTTGATCAAACATTCAACATTGAAATGAATATTCCCCAAGCAGTGAAATATTATGAAAGAGCCATTGAGTATAATAACCTCAACAGTAAGGTTTATTATAATCTTGGAGAATTATTTGAATATGAAGATGAAGATATTGATCAAGCCATCACCAATTATAAGCATTCGGCCAAATTAGGATATAATAGAGCCATATATAAAATGGCATTGATGTATCTTAATATCCCCAAAATAAGGTCAGTGAAGTTCATTAAAATCTTGAATGATTTATCTAACATTGATATTTCAACCACAGAATTAATTGATGAAGATAAAGAAGAATTGAAGGATATTATTGGATTATCCAATTATGAGTTAGGTAAAGTGTATGAAGGGATTTATCCGGGAGATTTGACTATCAATGATCAATTCATTATCAAATGTTTGGAAATCGTTCCAGTGAATTATTCAAAAGCTTTAGGTTATTATAATAAATCAGCTAAATTGAGTTGTAACTTAGCTCAAGTCAAATTAGGTAAAGTATACGAATTTGGTCAATTGAATAGAAACATGAACCCTAATAAATCCATTCAATGGTACTTAAGGTCAGTAAACCATCCACTTTCTTTCAAAAGACATCCGGAATCGATGATTGGATTAAGTAGATGGTGTATCAAAGGTACTGAAGGATTATCTAAACATATCCCCAATGCAAATCCTGAAAGAGCTGTCAAATGGTGTTCTCGAGCCATTAGAGAATTCGGGACTCTGGAAAGTTACTTCCAAATGGGTAAATTAGCCGAATTAGGATTATCACCTAAACCTTCAAAATATTGGTACACCAAGGCTGCTAAGTTAGGTCATTTACAAGCCCAGGAACTCCTCAACCAGAGTTCTCAAGAGGGGTACCAACAAGGGTACCCTGAACAAGAAGGGCATCCACAAAAAGGATATCAACAAGGGCACCCCCAACAAGGGTATGAAGGATCTCAACAGCCTCTTGAAGGATCGCACCAACAAGGGTACGAAGGATCTCAAGAATGCAGTCCTTCACAATCCCAAACTTCTTTCCAATCATCTCCACAACCTTATAACCCACAGTATCAACAATACTGAACTATATAGATATTTATGAACATTTTTATATATACTCTGACTATGAGGCACCAAAGATGACTCAAAGGGCTTTAAAAGTCTAAAAATTGAGATTTCCTTATCATTCGCGATAAACACAGTGCCGTAGCTATATATGTCTTCACCTAAAGATATCCATACTAACCGTAGACGTAGTATAGCAAAGCTTACACGGTCACCACTTTCATCATCACCAATTCCATCACCACGATTTAACAATTCGTTTTCTAACCAACAATTCATGAAAAAGTTCGAAGGTTCCAGCTCAGGGGAATCTAATGTACTTGTAGATGATGATGACGAAGATTTAAGTAAATATTTGAATGATCAGTCACTTAAGAATGAAGGTGGCGATATCACCCGAGATATTTATAAGCTCATTGGTAGTAGAAAGAGTAGTAATAGTGCCAATGGTAGTAATACAGGAGTTAATGATATAGAACCCCGTAAAATGAATAGAACTAGAAGTTTATCCCAATCAGATATCGGGTCCAGAAGAGGTTCAACAGCTTCATCCATCAATGTGCCCGGAGGATTCCGTAGAGCGTTTATTCAGAATAAAAAGAGAGATGCTGATTTTGTCACCAGGAACTTTCTTGAGTTCTTAACTATTTATGGTCATTTTGCCGGTGAAGATTTAGAAGATGATGAAGATATTGCTTGTCATTATAATCCTTATAAACCCAAATATGGATTCACCACTGATGAAAATACTCCATTGATTGGAAACTCCGATCCGTTTGATTATGGTAAAATCAATCCTAAAGGTACTGCCACCGATTCTAAGGCTTATTTCCTTCTTGTTAAGGCATTTGTAGGTACAGGGGTTTTGTTTTTACCTAAAGGGTTCAGTAATGGAGGGGTGGTGTTCCTGATATTGTTATTAGCATTTTTTGGATTCTTATCATTTTGGTGTTATTTGATTTTAGTTTATTCCAAACAAATGACCAAAGTATCCAGTTTTGGTGATATTGGAAGTAAACTTTATGGCAAATGGTTACAACAATTGATCATCTTATCGATTATTATCTCTCAAGTAGGGTTCATTGCTGCTTATATGGTATTTACATCTACTAACATTCAAGCATTTTTAAGTAATACTTTAGGTATTAAGGATATTGATATCAGTTGGTTCATTATTGGTCAATTAGTGTTATTAATTCCTCTTTCATTAATCAGAGATATCACCAAATTATCTTTAGTGGCAGTATTTGCCAATTTCCTTATATTATTTGGACTTTTCACCATCATATATTTCATTATGAATGATTTGATCGACCAAAACTTTGAATTGGGCCCAGGAATCGAATTTTGGTTCAATCAGAAACAATTCTCCTTATTTATCGGTACAGCTATCTTTGCATTTGAAGGTATTGGATTAATCATTCCTATTCAAGATTCAATGATCTATCCTAATCATTTCCCTCAAGTATTAGGTGCGGTGATTCTCACCATTTCCATTATCATGATATTCGTGGGAACCATTGGTTATATCACTTATGGAGAGAAGATTCAAACAGTTATCTTACTTAATTTACCTCAAGATTCTCCGTTGATTATGATTATCCAACTTTTCTATTCATTGGCTATACTTTTATCTACTCCGTTACAAATCTTCCCTGCTGTTAGATTGATAGAATCCAAATTATTCACCAAAACAGGTAAATACTCCAATGCTGTTAAATGGGGGAAGAATTTATTCAGAAGTATTTTCGTTATATTAACAGCTATCATTGCTTTGTATGGAGGTAAGAATTTGGATAAATTTGTTTCCTTTGTTGGATGTTTTGCTTGTATACCTTTAGTTTACATGTATCCTCCAATGTTACATTTAAGAAGTTGTTGTGATTACAAGGATAGAGGCGATAAGAAGTTCTATCTCGCAGTATTGAATTATGTTCTTTTGATTATTGGTCTGGGAGCTTTGATTTATACCACCTATGATTTGTTATTTAACTAAAACGTTTATTTATTTATATCACTTAAATATATTCTTGCATCGTGGATCTTATTGGCTAACTCTGTGTTCAAAGAATTGATGGATTTGTTGGCGTTTTCAGTTTGTACCTTTAACTCTTTTAAGATATTCGATTGAGTTTGGTACACCTCAGGGAATTTGTCTTTTTCGTAGTCAGCTATTTGATCGGTGGCATATTTGAAGGTCTTTGGCATGAAATAACTGGTGGCACCAATACCGAAAGCTGTTGGGGCAATGAATCTTAAAGGTAATGATCTTTTAGCTGATAAGATTGAGGCTGATAATGTGAAAGTTAAGATATAGATCAAATTTGGTAACACTGGTTCTTTCAACAGTGATTGGATTGAATCGTTGATGGAGTTGATTTCATTTCTAGCAGCACTGACTTGAGTAGCCAATTCACTTTCTATAACAATCAAGTTTTCATGTAAGAATACTCTAGCACTGTTTAAGTATTTTTCTAAGATGGGGGTGGTCCTTATGGCCATTCCTTCGACGAATTTGACTTCATGGGTGGATTCCTTTTCTTTGAGTTCATCAGAAATGGCACTGTTGTAGCCAGGTTTGGTTATAACGATTTCATCGTCTTCGTAGAACTTCCTAGCCATTATTGATTTTATTGGTTCGCGGTGAGGTTGAGTATAGGAAGAATCACGTGATTAGGTGGTGGAGAGTATCAGTAGCCATCAGGAGCCACCAGTAGCCAGCAGAGGCCACCAGGAGCCAGCAAAAGCTGAAGTCAGTAAATAGAAATAGAGACCCTTCGGTGGAGCATGTCATTTGTATACTATTTATATTTACAATGATCCATTTATTCAACTTCATCGAATTTTTGACCTTCAGTTAAATCTGGGATTTCTTCATCTAAAGTACCGTCTTGGTTGATTTGAGGAGCTTTACCAGCTTGGATTTGTTTAGCTAATTGTGATAAGATTTCTAAATTTTCAGCACCTAATTGAGGTAAGATATCTGGGATTAATTTAGTAACATCAACTTCTTGTGGGTAACCAGTGAAAGCAAAAGTGTTATGTTCGTTAGCACCTTGGATACCAACTCTTTTGAAATGTAAAACTTTACCATCTTCTTTGAAGAAGTTAGCTTCAGTAACATTTTGAATCTTGGTAGCTTTTAATTTACCTAAGGTTTCAATTAATTTGGAATCATCTTGTTCTTTGATGACCTTTTTGGCTTTAATTCTGGAACCACCAACTTTCTTAGCACTACCTTTTTGTAATTTAGCTAATTTTTCTGGATCAATTGGCATTTTAGTTTAGATTATTTGATTATAGTTAACTATGAATTGATCAAATTCGTCGAAATCTGTGCAAAATTTTTTCTCACAATTTTTGACTGAATTTTTCAGTTGAGACACGACGAGGATTTTTGGTGAGAGGAGGTTTTTTGGGAATAAGATTTGGTGGTGTGGGAAGTGAGGTACGCAATTCGAAACTGGGGGAGGACATCTACCCTTTTCAATTGATACAACACCGAATTTGGGTGCGGAAACCTTATCAAAGTTATCCTAATTAATAACCAATTGACGAAAAATGCTGGCCATTCATTATTCTATCAAGGAAATCAATAAATATTTACCTCCAACTAATCATTGGTTGATCCTCGCTAGTTCAGTACCAGTAGCTCTTTCTTGTGGTACGGTGTTTGCTTTCTCCATTTATTCTACCCAATTATCAGAACAATGTAATTTGACTACCTCCAATACTTCCAGTTTGAACATTAGTATGGTCATTGGTTCAGCTTTAGGTGGTTTGATCGGTGGACTCGTTACGGATGTTTTTGGAACTCAATTACCTATGTTACTTGGATGTGTTACTATGTTCTTCGGATATAAATGGCTTTATGAATTATTCAATCAAGGGGAGGATGCTTCATTGATGTTTTTGATTATTTCTATGTTCTTCGTAGGAATTGGGTCCACTGCAGGGTATTTCAGTGCTATTAAGGCGGTAACTATTGAGTTCCCTAATTTCAAAGCTACGGCTCAAAGTATTACTATTGCTTGTTTTGCTATATCTTCATTGATTATCTCATTCATTGCAACCCATGTGTTTCAGAGTGACATTGCTGCTTTCTTGAAGTTCTTATATATCACCTGTGGATCTTTGAACTTCATAGGGTTCTTATTCATTAGAGTTGAAGGCCATTATAAACCTGGAGGTGAAGTGTTCATCGAAGATAATGAAAATGAAGCCATGGCTTTATTACCTTCACACTCCCATCCTAAGACTAAGAACTTAAGTCATCTTGATCTCAAAGAATCTATCATGCATCCTATTTTCTGGTACCATTTCTTCATGTTCTCCATTATCCAAGGTTTGGGTCAAATGTATATCTATCAGGTGGGCTTTATCATCAAAGCAGTGTATAATTATTATCCTGGTGGTAACTTACACCACCTTCAAGCCTTACACGTATCATTGATTGCTGTTTGTTCATTCATTGGTAGATTATCTTCAGGACCTACATCTGATTTCTTAGTCAAGTCTGGATTCCAAAGACATTGGGGTTTGGTCTTAGGTCTTACTATCATGTTGATGGGCCACTTATTCAATATCTTGAGTTTAGATATCTTTGGATCTTTACATGTAGCCAATATCTTCTTATCCATTAACTCCTGTTTGATTGGTTTTGCTTATGGATTCAGTTTCACCTGTTATCCTGCCATTATCTCCGACATCTTCAACATGAAAAACTACAGTTTTATTTGGGGATTAATGTATTCCAGTACAGCTTTTGGGTTAACTTTGATGTCAAGATTGTTCGGATTCTTCTATGATTTACATTCGGAGTTCGATGGTGATGATTTGGTTTGTTTTAAGGGTAGTGGATGTTATTTCCAAACTTTTGAAATCACTTCATCTTTATGTTTCTTAGTCATTTGTTTTATCTTGGGTTATATTTATTATAGAAAATAGAGTCATGTGATTTAGCATGTGATTTAGTGCGTGATATGTTATAAAATTGTCTCTTTGTGCTCTTTTGGTGGGATTTTAAAGTTCTGGTGTTGAATAATACTAGTGAGCGATATTCCTGAACCTTTGATATGTTTTTGACCCTATGTTTCTTTGTCATCCGTTTAATATTGGGATATATTTATTCTCATCAGTAAGTCACGTGACACTTCACGTGATAACACACTATATATCTCTAAGTGCGCGGGTTGTACTGTAACTAGATGAGACCTGTAAGTATAGATGAATTATTGGCAGTAAATAAGCCGAAATTCATACGGAAAGATAAGAGAATACGACAAGAAGCCAAAGTTGTCAAGAAGAAGAAAGTCGTGGTAGAAAAAGATAACTTTACCACCAAGCCAGTGGTAAATCCATCTAAGAAAGATAAGTTCAGTTTTGATTGGGATGAACAAGATGATACTTCTCAGGGTTTCGTGCCATTGGTGGTAGATGAAGGAGCTTATGATGACATTGGTGGAAGGTCTGATTGGAGGGATAAGAATCTACAAACTATGACGTCCAGTGATTGGAGATCTTTCAGAGAAGAGTTCAATATTAAGACCAAGAACTGTGATATCAACCCCATGAGATCATGGAAAGAGTCCAGTTTAGCTCCAGAGATAGTCAAATTACTCCTAGAGCTTGAGTTTTATGATCCCACACCAATCCAGAGATGTTCAGTCCCCATTGCTGAACATAAGGATATCATAGGTATAGCAGAGACTGGGTCAGGTAAGACGTTAGCTTATTTGATCCCCCTAATGAATCATATTTTGAAACTCCCACCCGTGCACCTACAAAATCCAACAGATAAGCCTTTAGGACTTGTGCTTGCACCTACAAGGGAATTAGCCAATCAAATAAAGAATGAGGTGGATAACTTCACTTCTTTAGGTATAAATAGTGTTAGTATCATTGGTGGACATCAGTATCAAGAAACTATCGATGCATTAAACTCCGGTGTTCATATCGTGGTAGCTACTCCCGGTAGACTTATCGATATCCTTGAGAAGAAACTCCTTAATTTGAGTGATTGTAACTTCCTTATATTTGATGAAGCAGATAGAATGATAGATATGGGGTTCGAGAAGGATTTGGAGAAGTTATATACTTACCTTCCTACCACCAGAAGGTCATTGATGTTCACCGCCACATTCTCCAAATCCATCAATGATATGACTTCAAAGTATTTGCAAGACCCAGCCCAATTGGTTATTGGAAAGATAGGTGAGAAGGTCGATAACATCACCCAACAATTTGAATATGGCGATGAACTCACGGAGGATAAGAAATTAGGAAGATTATTGACGGTATTGAAAAATCGTCCTACAATTATATTTGCTAACTATATCAAGACTGTGGAGTATTTATCCCAGCATTTGTCAGAGAAGGGTTACAAAAACGTCACTCTTCATGGATCTAAATCACAAATGGCCAGGGAGCGTGCTATTGATGAGTTCAGTAACAATAAAGTAAATATCTTGGTGGCTACTGATGTGGCAGCTAGAGGTATAGATATTGATATTTCATGTGTAGTGAATTACCAGATGCCAAAGAAGATCGATGAGTATATTCATAGAATCGGTAGAACGGGGAGAGCTGGGAATTATGGGTATAGTTTTTCGTTCGTTGATGGCAATGATGAACATCTTTTTGTGGATTTGAAGAAGTTTTTGAAGAAGAATATTCCTAGTTGGTTAGAGAGGAAGACGTCTCAGCAGACGATAAGAGATTAGAGCAGAGAGACTGGAGTAGACTACTGGGGACTGAGGGCACCGGAGTGTCATGGACTCAGCATGTGAGATTAGATGTCTTAATATAGAGTTATCTTATAAATTGGTGATGAAGGAGAATATACGGATTTTTATAGTTTTCTGGTAAGTTCAAACATCCATTGAATCGTCCTAAAGAGGTAATTTCATATCTGAAACATTTGTAGATCTCAGTACCACATTTCGTGTTTCAGATATTCCCTTATGTTCCCGATTAGGTAATTTCTCATTTCTAGATTTGCTTTCCAGTGCATGATCCATGGGGGTCTCAGGAGAGTATGAGAGACTGAACGTGTATCTATTCATCATCACTAGAATATCCAAGGGCTAAGGAAGGTTGAGATTTAGGTTTCTTTAGTTGGGATAGTATTTTCAATGAATCTTTATTGAATAAGCTCTTTGACTCTTCGCCAAGTGGTTCTTGGGACTCTTGTAACTCTTGGGACTGTGGTGGTTGTATTTGTGGTTGTTCTTGTTCTTCAATGTCTTCTGGTTCTTCTATAACAGGCTCAACAGACTCAACAGACGCACCAGCATCATCCGTCTTCAATAACTTCCTCACAACTTCTATCGTTCTTTCCTCCAATTTCCTCTTGTTCTCCCTCTGTGCTTCAGGATTAGGATCCTCACTGGCCCATCGTACCCTGACGATCTCGTTATTATCCAACGACTGACCTTGCATAGCTTCCATGGCGAATTGGGCTTCGTACTCTGAACTGTAAGTAAGGAACCCACAGTTCAAGTTCTTGAGAAGTTTGATCTTCTCTATCTTGCCGAACTCCCCAAAATGCTTAGTAAGAATGGTCTGAATGTTGTCGGAAAGGTTGAAGCCTCCAATGTATAATGTGGAGTTATAAGCAAAAGAAGCCACACCCATCATATCGTCACGATAATTATTGGTTCTATCTCGACCGAAACAATCTTTAGCGGGTGGGAAGTAATCCCCTTTTTGTGGTAATCTATGAAGATACTGACAATTCTTACCTTTAGTACAATAACCTCTGGCAAAGAATAAACATATGGACCCAGAGTTGACTTTGGTGGTTCCCGAGTCTTTTTTGATATTTACTCTGAATTGAGCCTTTTCTGTGGTTTTGGATGAACCTCCTGAGTTCAAATACCATATGTTGAAGTTGAGACCTTTCTGTTGTTCGGGTAATTCATTCTGTTCTACTTGAACTCTAGCAGGTTTCATGATGAGATGAGATAAGGTGAGGGTGCGTGGAAGTAAATAGCGAGAGGAGGTGCGACCTTGGGAGATTTTAGTGAGAGGAGGTTCGACTATGGAAGTAAATAGTGAGAGGTGGACTTAGACACTCGTGAGTTTAGGAGAAATGGTATTAACTCAATCTCTCTTACTCTCTCCAAGTCAACAGAGCCGTAGAGCAGTACAGAGCCACAGAGCACAGTCCAAAGACAGAGAACACACAAAACTTTTCATTCATTATCATAAACCATTAAAATAAGCTGGACATAAAAGAGAATCCAACGATACCAACAATAGCAGCAGTAGATTTCCAATTGGTTTGGTAAGTACCCATAGCACCGGAATCACTGGATTCTGAAGCATCAGCACTTGATGAAGATGTGGATGAAGATGATGAAGATGAACGGGATTTAGTTGAAGCTGAAGCCTTTGAAACATCAGCAGAAATGTCAATGACACTGGATGGACTAGAATCACTAGCAACATCTGAGATTAAACTTTGAGAAGTAATACTAGCAGCATCACTACCACCAACTAAAGAAGTGGCAGCAGCAGTGGCAGCAGCACCACCACTAGTAATATCACCACCAACAGATTTAGCACCAGCTTCAGCAGTTGAAGCAGCTCCTTCAACAGCACTTCCAGCAACTCCCCCAACAGATTCCGCACCTGCAATAGCAGTTTGTGCAGCCCCATCAACAGCACTACCAGCAGTAGCTAAAGCACCACCAACAGCAGCAGTAGCATCAGCTAATCCACCACCAATGACTGATCCAACATCAGCAGCATTACTTACAGCATAATTTATAGCATTCATTTTTGTGTATATATATAATTGATTTGATTTCTTAAGTCTATTTGATTAACTTGATCTGTGATTCAGGGGGAACAATTGTCCCTTTAAATAGTATTTCGAAGCCTCTAACATAAACACGAAGCTGAAAAAAAAAATTGATCCAGCATCGTTATTTTTAGGTTCCACGAAACATGGAGGCTGTAATGACAGAATGTGTCAATGGATCAAAATCGTTTACATTTGTACTAATGCGGGAATAGCCAGTAAACTACCACGCCAGCGATGGAGGGAACAATAGGCCCATGACATATTTTTAGGTACAAAAAGACCATCCAGCATAATGTTTACTGCTTACGTAAGTATGACGTAAGGGAAAGTATGGGGGAATGAGTGAGTTGGGATTAGGGAGGGAATGGTGGTGGGATAGAGATGGCAAGGGAAGGATAGAGTAGAGGAATGATAGAGAGAAGAAGAGAACCTAGGGAGGTAGAATAAGGTTAAGGTGGATGAGGAAGTTGTGGATTGGGCTGATGAACTGAGCCTTTAAGAGTGAGAATCGTGACTTTGACGAATTATGGCAATGTTGGTGAAACATGTAAATAAAAGTGACAGGGATCGAACACACAATAGACCGGAGGATCCATGAGTAGGATGAGTCTATGAAAAGAGTGAAATAAAACGGTATAAAATGATGGCCCTCGACTGAAGAAACCATTTGATTTATGTCCCATCACATGATCAACACTTACCCGGACACCGCATGAGACCTAAAACGATCAGGAAAATCTTGTGATCCTCTCGCAATGAATAACCGCATTAGGAAAGAGTACCCTTATCGCGACAATATAAAAAGCGAGTCAGATACTCAATCATCAAATATGTGTGGAAAGAATAGTAGTACAAGTTCAGGATCAGGATCAGGATCAGGATCCTGTTGCGGGACCTCATGTAAATGTGGGTCAGGATGTCAATGTGCATCATGTAATACCACCAAATTATAGTGTATAGGAATGTAGGAAGTATTTACTGTACTCTGACCTCTGGTGGCCTCTGTATCGGTGGCTAAGAGATTGGAAGGAGATAAATAAGGGATATCTGGTGGTCAGAAAGTGGTCAGAAAGTGGTCAGAAAGTGGTAGCACGATGGTGGTAGACAGAGGTAGACAGAGACAGAGACGGCCCAGATAGAGAGACAGACAGAAACAGTAGACTTACACAGTAGACTTACACAGTAGACTTACACAGTAAACAGTAGGGGCCGGCCCAGATAGACAGACAGAGACAGAAACAGACTACAATAAATACATTCTACTTTCTTGGACTGATCTCCAAAACTTCCTTCTTAATCAAATTACTCAAATCAGGATGAACCTTAGCAAACATTTCAAACACTCTATCTTGAATTGGTACATCAGCCCCAGCAACATGAACAGCAAGATTATGAGCTAAATGAGCTTGTTGGTTTGGATATCTAGCTAAAGTTTTCCATAATTCTTTTGGTTGAATGAAATCTTTTTCATCATATTTCCAATGGAATGGACATGCTGAACCTTCCCAAACTTCTTGTTCTTCTTGTAAACTGAAAGTTTTGAATTCAACTGGTTTGGAAGTATCTAAATAATTTGGATGATTACCTAAATTACCATTAACATTCATAACCCCATCTCTCATATGAGGATTAAATACCGTACCAGCAACTGGACAATTTACTGGGATTTGAGTATAATTTGGACCTAATCTATGTCTATGAGTATCAGCATAAGAGAATAATCTACTTTGTAATACTGGATCAGCTGATGGTTCCATATATGGAACAGTATGAGAAGGAGCAAAAGCTGCTTGTTCAACTTCAGCAAAGTAATTCTTTGGATTTTCATTCAATGTAAATTTACCAAATCTTCTCATTGGATAATCTTTATGAGGCCATACTTTAGTTAAATCAAATACTGAAAATGGGGCTTGTTTAGCTTGTTCTTGAGTCATGGTTTGAATATAACAAGTCCAAGAAGGATAATTCCCACCAGCTATATTCTTAAATAAATCTTCTTGAGCATAATCTGGATTAGAACCTGCTAATTGTCCAGCTTCTTCATTATTTAAAGTCTTAATTCCTTGTTCAGCAATGAAATGTACTTGAACATAATGCCATTTACCTTGTTTATTGGACCATTTATAAGTATGACCAGAATATCCATTCATTTCTCTGTAACTAGCAGGAGTACCACGATCACTGAATAAAATCATAACTTGATGGGTAGCTTCTTGATTGGTGGTTAAATAATCCCAAAACATATTGGCATCTTTCAAATGAGTTTCTGGGTTTCTCTTTTGAGTGTGAATGAAATGAGGAAACTTAGAAGGATCTCTTAAGAAGAATACTGGAGTGTTGTTATAGACTAAATCCAAATTACCTTCTTCGGTATAAAATTTAGTAGCAAAACCTCTTGGATCTCTAGCAGTATCAGCAGAACCTAATTCTCCTCCTACAGTTGAAAATCTAGTGAAGATTCTGGTCTTTTTACCGATAGTATCTAAGAATTTAGCACCACAAATATCAGTAATGTCATCAGTGACTTCAAATTCTCCATAAGCTCCTGATCCTTTAGCATGAACAACTCTTTCAGGGATTCTTTCTCTATCAAAATGAGCTAAAGAATCAATCAAGTTGAAATCTTGTAATAATAAAGGACCATGTTGACCCACTCTTTGAGTGGCAAAAGGTTCAGGAATTGGACAACCGTTGGAATTGGTGAATGTTGGAGCCATTGGAAATATTTCTCTGGGTGAAAAACTTCGAGGATCAGGGGGATATTTATACTTAAAATTGGAGGGGAGTGCGATTTTTAATGGACATTTTCTAATTGGATGGATTGTTGGACCGAGGATGGGGAAGTTGGATGAATGGAAGAGTTTGGGGATTTTGAAACATGGCGTGAGGTGCTAGGGGGTGGAAGATGAATGTGGGTGATTTTGGGGTTGAAATATGGGTTGGTCATGGAGATATATTGGGTAATAGGTAAAGTTAATGATAAGAAAATGTCGCGGTGTCAGTTTTCATATGATCGACGACATCTGGGGAAATTCTGTCCAAGCCTGTGGATGTCCATGGATGTCCATGGATGTTCTATAACAGTGGATGCATGGGGATACTTAGAGAATAATAGATATGTATTTGATATTTTCTATGCTATTTCCATTATTACGGACTTCCTTAATGACTTCTCCTCCCAAACTCCAAGGTTTTATCGGAGTTGGATTTGAGAGAGAGTCACATCACGTGACCCGCACGCTTTTACCTAATTGGGAAATTTGGACGATGAGATTATTATAAATCCAATTTATCTCGTTCAAAATTGATCAATGCAAAGTCGTTATCACAATATTGTAAGTTGAGGTCTTTGATGTTGTTCTCAACTGTGGTGACGATACTTTCAAGACCGGAAATATCTTTAAAATTCCGTGATTTGAGAATCTTCTTATTGACTTTACTGAATAACTGTTGATTCAATTCGTCTAATTGTCGGAGTTTCTTGTATCCTGGTAAATTCCCCAAACCCTTAGAATCCTTTATGAGAATGAAAACTGAATATTGTTTGATTTTCTCCATTTTATCATGATCTCCTTTATACTCACTATTCAAAGCTGTAATCGATGTCCATAGATCCGCTATGTCCGTAACCTCTCCAGCTAATACCTTATCGATATGTTTATTCAATCTGAACATTAAATGGTTGATTTTGATGTCAAAAATGATAGTTTTACCTCCTTCATCACCAAACACTTCATTATACTGATCATCCAAAAGACTTAAAATCTTGTCAAACTCATACTCTTTAAAGAACCGTTTTAAATGATTCCTGTTTGTACCATCAATAGGTTCAATATCCAAATCGGGAAATCCCGTAAATTGATTAAGTTCGGCCAAATCCGAATTGAGGGCTTTAAACGTATCAATGTATCCTTCAACGTTTAAATACTCCTTGATAAGTTCATTCAAATCTTTCTTAGGTGAACTTTGAACCAATGATAAGTCCAATTTCTTCGAATTGTGATCTTTACATTTCAATACATAATGATTGATATTGAATTCGAAATCCTTAAACCCCAAATTAGTCTTTATCACAAGTTCTGTTGGTTCCTTCTGTTTAGTGATTTTAACCTCATTCACCATGAATCCTATCATAGGATAAATCTCTTCATCAAACAAATTCTCTCTGGTAAGATTAGTACCTTCAATATCTTCTTGATTGATCTCTTTGATCAACACACCATTCAAAGTAATGAACATTGATTTGGTTATATAGTTAACTCCCATACCAATAATATCGGATTTAAGAATCTTAACATCCAGTTGTTTTTGTACCACCGTAGAGAAGTTAATATCGGTATTGATTCTAGAATCTTCATCCAATTGTCGTGTGAATGACGATAATCTTCGATTCATATTAAGGATAGTATGCCTTGGTTCACCATCTTTAATGGAATTATAGAAATAACCATCACTAAGATCTAAAGCCAAACTATCTTTGAATTCACCTGGTCTGGAATCTAAAAGATGCTCGAAGTTCATATTCAAAGGTCTATTTATGACGTCATCTTGATTAAGAACCAACTCCTTTTTGACATCTTCAAGGTCAACGATGAATTTGGTAGCTTCATTGATCACTGTGAGTCGTTTATCGTAGTTCACGTGACGTTTAACGAACCCAAGATTGAATTGAGGTGATTGATTGGAAGAGATGGTTGAATCTTGAATGGATAACAATGGGATATGGTCAGTGGCATCTGTACAATGTTGAAGGATCTCTACTTCATAATAGAAGATCCCGGTGGATGACGGGATAGGATTATTGGTGATAAAGTTCAAATACTTATTTCTACCATTATTATCAACATTACCTCCAATAGTTTTGAATTGAAGGTTACAAAACCCATCATTGTGGTTGATATTCAAATCCACATGTTCTGTTAACTTGTTTACAAACACCGCAGGGGTCAACGATACCCAGGTACTGGGTAATGAGTAATTGAAGTAATCATCACCAATCTTGAAAAACGGAGGAACGGTATTTTTACTACCATCGGTCTCTAATTTCGATGCCAACAATAACTCCTTAAGCGTATAATCCATAAACTTCTTATATTTGTCACCTATAGGCGTATGACTGACGATAACTTCACCAAAACGGGAGGCGTTGAATTTCTTATCATCCTTATCTTCCGATAATAACCGATGTTTGAAGATTTCAAAGTATTCAAACGTTTCCTCGTCGGTGTATTGGTCAGGAGGTTTGAGAGATGTCCCTAAAACCCCCATAATTCCAAGTTTATATAACAATTTCTCTTTAATGATGGTATGAATGCCATTATCGGAGGAGAACTTATACTGAGCAGGTTGTTCAATTACAATTTCTTCACCCCCACTTAATGCCACTGAGTTTGATTCTGCCAATTCATGATCCTTCTCCTTCAACACCTTCTCGAGCTTGGCCCCTAAGCTGGTGTGGAGGATATATGGAGGGATGATATAAGCTGACATGTTAGAAGAAATCGCGAAATAATGACCGATGCTCTGGTGAAAGCTATCAATGCTTTGATACCTGGTGTACAAATGGACGTGGTGTCCCAAGGGGCTGAAGCTGTAGTATTTGTTACTACCAGCCATCCTTATTGTTCCCAACCAGCGGTGGAAAATGATAAATATATCATCAAATATCGACCTTCAAAGAAATATAGACATCCTAAGATAGATGCCCAGATCACTAAGAATAGAACTGTTGGAGAGGTTAGGTTTATGAACAAGTTGGAGAAATTGGGGATAAATTCTCCTTCAGTTATACTGGCAGATTATGTTAATGGGATCATTTGGATGGAATTCATTGGTGATGGGTTACCTAATGGAGATATTTCATCAGTAAAGAATTATCTTTGGTACTTAGAGAAGAATGATGATGATGATGGATGTGTTAGTGATGAAGTACAACTGATGTTGGTTGCTGTGGGTCGGTTGATAGGGGAATTACATGCTAATGATATGATTCATGGAGATTTAACTTCTTCGAATATTCTCTTGAATGGTAAAGAACCTTATTTGATAGATTTTGGACTCAGTTCGATCTCTTCTTTGGCTGAAGATAAGGCTGTGGATATTTATGTACTTGAAAGAGCCATTGAATCCACTCATTCGGTATTTGCTGACAGTTATAATAAATGGTTACTCAAGGGATACGTCCAGGGAAATAAGAAATCCAAGGAAGTATTGGCGAGATTAGAGGAGGTGAGACTTAGGGGAAGAAAGAGAAGTATGTTGGGATAGATGTTTCAGGATCTACATGAGACAATTGTGAAACAAATAAATCTGAAACAACCAAACCTGAAACAAATCTGAAACAAATCTGAAACAAACAACGTGAATATATTAATTACACAATTATCTGATCTCTGAGCTTTCTAGTCGGCTCTTACTGGTAACCTGCAGGTCTGGATATCTACCTCCTCTGGCTAGCTACCTCCAGCTACCTCCAGCTACCTTCAGCCCCCACCTTAAGCACTCTCAAAAGTCTTCAATATCTCAAGTGCCAATAAATGATCTTGTTCCTGTTTCAAACCACTGATAGTCAATGTACCGATCAAATTATCAAATCCTTTCAATCTCAATGGAACACAACCTCCATGAGCAGCAAATTCCATGGAAGAAATGAGTAAACCTTCTTCAATAGTGCGATTACTTAATCTTAATTTTTGACCCACTAAGAAAGATGATTTCCCAATTCTGGTGACGGTGTTCTTCTTTCTTTGGACCCAATGGTCATTATCTTCAGCAGTTCCCGAAGCAGTGGTGGTTCTGAATAAAATATGTCCTGAAGTTAAGGCAATGTCAATGACTATAGCTTTACCAGGGAATTTTTCAACGGCCAAAGATCTGGCGTGGTTACCCAATTTCCAAGCAATGTCGTTATTGAATTGACTTAATTGTAAAGCTGGGTCTTCTTCTAAGGCCAACAATTGCTCGACGGTGTAGGTATAGATGTCCATGGTAATGTGGTACGGTTAAGTTGAGGTGCGGTTTTTTAGGAATTTTGGAGCGAAGCGTGGGGGATCGGTGAGAGCACATAGACGGAGCACGACTTGGACATAGAGACGGTGGTAAGCAGTCCGAGACAACCAGAAGGAGCTTTGAAAAGGAGCCCGACACACTGAGAGGGCGATGGAGCTGTAGAAAGAACTTTGAGCCCTCGAAAGGAGTCTGAAACAATAAGACAGAGATCTATGAAAGAGCCTGAAACAGTAAGAGACCTAAAACACTGGCACCGTCAGGCCTATACATAAATTACACACAAGAATTAAACTAATACATCCATCTGAAACTAGGATTACTGGGCCCCTCACGTAACTCTGACGTGGGAACATCACGATATGTCAATTTGACCCCCTGGATTCTATCCCTCTTCCTATTATCATACACCATAAACAAACCGATACTGCACACCACTACCACTGCCATACCACCAAACCCTCCAGTTATACCGAGAGCCATGGTATATTTGGGAGCATCTTTAGGTAAGAAGATATTGGCCGAGATCAATCCCGCAGCATTAGCTAAAGGAATAGCCACTGAAGATATCATCACTCTACGATTATTATTGGGATTATTGTTGTTATACCAAGTAGACGTCAATACTGAAGAAGCTGAAGCTCCCGAAGTCATAAGGAAACATGCAAAGTAAGCTACACCAGTTTGAGATAAAATGTCAATACTTCCGTACACCACGAAACCGATCAAAGTAGCCAGAATAGCAATCACCAAGAAGATCGACCTAATACGGAAATGATCGGAAGAAAACGCCAATATCAAAAGACAGATAGCTCCTACGATGTTAGGGGCGATAGTCAATAAGTTGGTTTGAACAGTTCCTTTACCCAAAGCTTGAATGATTTGAGGGAACCAATTATTGATGGAATTCAAAGGAACTCCAATACAAATTTCTTCAAACATCCAAGCCCAAGTTATAGGATGTTTAAACACTTTTATGGCATCTCTGAACTCGAAGGTATTACCCTCAGCAGCAGAGGAGTCAGTCCTGACGATATATTTGGCATAGTCTTTCTCTTCCTCACTGAAAAATTTAGCACTATCTATATCACGAGGAAGGAACACAAATGCCAATACTGCCACAAGAAGGGTTAACGACCCTTCAAGTAAGAATAAGATCTGCCACCCCTTAAGGCTACTATCGATTTGGAAACATCCAAAGGCCAATAATCCCGAAAAGGCATTGGCTATGGCAGAAAAGGAGTAGATGATGGATAACTTTGAACCCAACTTATTACGTCTGTAGAAGCACGATAAGTAGTAGATCACCCCAGGTAACACAGCACTCTCACACATCCCTAAGAACCATCTTCCTGCCATCAAAGACAGGAAGTTAAAAGCCGATGTCAAAAGTAATGTAATGGAACCAAAGGTGAATACCAAAATAGGCAATACCCGAGCGGCGTTGAATTTCTTGATTATCAAGGAAATTGGGAAGGCGAAAAGCACAAACGGAATGTAGAACAACGATAACATCAAATTCCATTGGTCACCTTCAGGATCCATGCCTAAATCGAGCTCGATACCGTTGGTTTTGGCATTGGAGATATTCCCTTTGTTCAAGGCATTGAAAAGGTACATAATACAGATCAACGGTAAGATCCGGATATCTAACTTCCTGGTGATCTTACGTTCCAACAGTTTATTGACAGTGTTCTCTAAAACGTTAATAATATCACCATTAGCGGAGGTGATTTGTTCCAATTGGATGTTCTTATTGGACTCCATGCTGGAGTGAGACATCTTTTGCAGGATATCTATCTCGTGTTGTTTACCACCCATTGTTGGAGGGTATTGGATGGGATCAATGGGTATTTATAAATGGTGGTACGTTATCTGGGGAAAGTGGGTGGAATAGATAAGAGGGGGTGGATGGAGAGATAAGCTTTGGTGGATGGGAATTGGAGTTCCACGGAATAAATGTCGCGCGCGGATTTTTCGTCTGCTGGTGGGTGGTTTTTGGTGGGTGTTTTTGGTGGGTGTCTAATGCGACATTTGGTGGATGTATTTTTCTTCTTTATAGGAATATATAGGCACCCCCAGAGTCAGGGGAAATTTCCTACAATAATGGTAGCACAGAAAATCGAATGGTCTTCTATCGAAGGTCAAGAACATCCAACCTTAGGTCCAGCTTATGTCAATAATAACCAAGTTTATACTAGTGGGATCATTGGACAGAATTATGGTACTGGAGACATTCCTGAATCTTTAGCGGATCAAACCCATCTAGCCATTCAAAATGTCAAGAAAGTATTGGAAGTGAGTGGTTCTTCATTGGATAAGGTGTTCAAGGTCACTGCGTTCATCTCCCATGCTGACTACTCCAAAGAGATGAATGAGATATACGCTACTTACTTCCCTCAAAGACCTGCTAGATCTTGTGTTATAGCAGCTTTCATGGATGCCCGAGTCAAGTTTGAGTTAGAAGTCATTGCCACCACTGATTAGTCACCGCTTGTAGTCACCGCTTGGAATGTACGAAACCTCGTTGTATCAACTTTCCTCTATTCTCTGTTTGTGCACTTCCATTTGTGCACTTTCTGTTTGTGCACTTTTCGTTTTTGTGACACTTTCCCCTACCCCCATAATCGCGAGAGATCATGAACAAACCTAAAACCAGACCCTATGGCCATTTCCCCTGTGATTACCCCCAATGTTCAAAGACCTTCTCCCGGCCAGACCATCTACGTCGACACAAAAAGAACCACCAGTCGCCCCAGTTCCAGTGCAAGTTCCCGGGGTGTAGTCTTACGTTTGTGAGATCTGACGTTAGAGATAAGCATAGTAGGAGACATGCCAATGCTATGGCCAACGACAGTGCCATGGCTCACGACACCAGCTCAAGTGGCACCGTTGATAGGCTAGAGACACTTGAAGATGACGGAATAGTTGCTAGTACCATCAGTGGTACCAATGGTGGAATGAATGGTGCCAATGACAGTATGAGTTATGGCTACCAAGCCTCAAGGCCAATGCACGGTTCCAATGGTTCCATCCATGGATCAATGCCTGGACCTGGTTCTTTACGTGGACCAGACACTGTCAACGGTGCTGGAACGCTCCCTGGAGTCCCAGGGACCGTCCCAGGCAAACCATTGTCCCCCAGTGATCTCATAGAATGGCTATTCGACCCCATCACCTCATCAGAACCATTCCAGGACTTCCACGGTGTGTCCCCCATATCCCTCCTCGATTCCATGTTCGCCATATCCCCCAACTTCCCTCACGCCATCAACCGTACCACCGTTAGCGAGGGTCTCCGCCAAAGTCTAGTGGCCCTCATACCGTCGTTAGACCTAAACTTCGACTTCGGTTTGTCCCAAATACAACGATGTTTGGAGATTTACTGGCTCATCTACCACCCCCAGTACCCATTGCTACACAAACCTTCGTTCTCCAACGAAGACTCCCCACCGTTGCTCCTTCTCGCTATGATTATGCTTGGGGCTGCGGTATCACCTTGTACGGGGTTTAACGAGAAACCGGTGCTACGAGACCCCCAGGCTTTGGCCATGGAGATAGCCAGGCCGTTAAGATGGCTCATCTTCGCAAATAAAGACTGTAGGCCCCCTGCTAAGACGTGGGTCATTCAGAGTTTGCTCCTTCTAGAGACGTTTGAAATTACCAGTAGCTCCCGCGAACTTCACGAGAGAGCTTACCTCCACCACGGGTCGAAGATCCAGCTCCTACGACGGTCGCCAATTTTAGGCGGAGACCCGTTGAAGGATGACGATGACGATGGCGCCCCGCCTAATCACATTTGGAAGAAATGGATCGAAGTAGAAAGTATGAAACGGGCCACTCTCATGGCGTTCTACCTCGATACCGTCAATGCCACCGTCTATGGCCACCTGGTGATCTTGTACGCCCACCAGATCAAAATCTCCCTACCGTGCGAGGACGAGCTCTGGGAGTTCGATAACTCTAAGCAGATAGAGAGCAAGCTCATCAACGACAAGCCACCTAAATTCCTCAATGCGTTGAAACGACTCCTCCACCGACAGAAGGTTGGTACCAGCTCCTTCGGGAGGAAGATCTTATTGGCAGGGTTGTTGACCATTATGTTTCAGATGCAACAACGAGACCTCCAGTTGAGTTTCTTGGAATGGAACCGAGTTAAGGAGAGTTGGAACGAGACGATCTCCCTAGCCATCGACGTGTGGCGGACGGAGATTTGTGTGGGGAATTGTTGCCACGGTGCGAATTCGTTCAGTGCTGCCGCGAGTGGTGCTAGTGGCACCGCAAATGGTACCGCGAATGGCGCCAGTATTTCTGCTGATGGCACTGTCACCGCGAATGGCACTAACAATACCACCACCCTCCCACCAATGCTCAGAGATTCAGACACCCGATGTAAGTTCAGTTTGTACCATATCTCCCAAATTTACATGAGAATCACCCACTACGACTACATAATCTTTGCTGGGGCCCCTAGTCGTATGAACGTCACTGCTGGGGACCAGGAATACGCCGTGGTCAGCAAACGAGTGGTACAATGGGCCCAATCCCTCAACGGGAGGATCTCAGTGGTTCACGCCTACTTGTTCCTCTTTGAGATGATGTTGAGTCCCGAGAACCCCGATGTGGCCATGTCCTACGACCCCAACACCGACCCGTTCCTCCACCGCAAGAACATCATGGCCAGTGCTATCTTGGTGGTGTTTGCCTATAATTTTGTATTGTATGGGCCGGAGAGCGACCTCTTGTCGGACGAGTCCTCGCTGGTTCGCGGTGAGTATCCCCAACGTGAGGATGGCTACGCCTATTTGAAGAGAATCCGCCGAGACCTCTCGTCAGTGTCAGGGCTTCCCCCTAGTTTCACCTACCACAGTAGTACCAGCTCCGAATTCCACGACAACATCACCTTATTGGCGTCCAAGGTCCCTCAGGTGACCAACTTGCACCATATCGTGGGACTCTTGAAGGTGTTCTGGACGTCCTACGCCACCAGCCAGTGGGAGATCGGGGTAGAGTACGCCAGGTTGTTTGAGAATTGCGTAGAGAGATGTTTAGGGCGAAAGACGGTGGTGTGCGAGGGGATGTATGCCCGTGGAGCTGAGTAGGACAGCCACCACCACTCACCGCCCCAAAGTGGCTCGCCTAGTCGACCCACTGTGGTACCGTTACGTGGCACCATTCGTAGTGAATACTTCATATATTACTGTACACCATAGAATGCCTTGTACAACGCTCTGGTGGTCTCTGCCACCAACCTCTTGCCTTCGTCCAACACGTCGTCCATCACCATGGCAGTATGGGGCATCCCCCTATAAATCATCACCGTCGTGTCGACGCCATTCTTCTTCAATTTCTCTCCGTAGGCTTCGGCCTCTGACCTCAACACATCTCGCTCAGCGGCGGCGATGAAGCATGGTGGGACCTTTGCGAAACTCTCGTCGGGGTAGAACAATGGCGACGACTCGGGGTGGCCACAATCGTCAGGGTTAGGGAGGTACAATGCCCTGTACCATAACATCTTCTCTGCTGGTAATTGGGTGGTGAACTCGTTCTCGCCCCATGACGGTTGGGTGGCGGCGGTGGCGGTGTTATCGGTAACTGGCACCACCAACACTTGGAATACCACGGGAGGATATTGGGCCGCGAGTTCACTGGCTGCAAATTTATGGGTAACGATGGCCGTAAGGTTACCACCAGCGGACGACCCACCAATAGCGATCTTACTGTTATTGATGCCGAGTTCCTGGGGGCCCTGAGCGAATGCCCAAGCCACGGCATCGAAGCTATCGTCCACACAAGCAGGGAAAGGATCTTCTGGGGCCAAACGGTAGTCCACGGTCATCACCACACAGTGGCCAGTTTCCGCAGCATGAGTACAGTACGAGTTCTCGGTATCGAGACCTCCTAACGTCCACCCACCACCATGGAACCAGATGAATAATGGGAACCCTCCTTCTGGAGCGTCCCCTTTAGGTACAAACACCCTAGCACCAATGTCAGGGCCAGTGGAGTACTTTCTACCGAAGGATATGTCGAAGATTCTGGCCATTTCTCGAGGTGGACTTTGGCCAGGAATGACGTTACCACCAGATCTGGTGACATTTAGTGGTACACGGTGAGTGGCTAAGATTTTCTCGTTGGTGGCCAAATGTTGATGGAAGAAGTCGACGTACTGGGGGTCGAACTTTCCCTCCATAACTTTGGGAATAGTGAAGGGTTTCTCGAACCCTCCGGCGAAGCTATAGTCCAGTTGAAGGTCGTAAGTGTATTGAGCCATTAGGGTGAGCGAATGGTGAGCGAATGGCAGTGTTAAATAAGGAAGGCGACGACATGGGTGCGGCTTAGATAGGGGGAAGATAACGGTGGGTGGTGCGGGTGGCGGCAATCAGTGATGCGATGTGGTGGGTGGTGCGACGTTGTGCGACGTTACACTGCGACGTGGTGGATATTCTGTCGTGGTGGACATTCTGTCGCGGTGGATGGCCAGTGTGGTGGTACGGTGGGTGTGTCGCGGTGGATGCTCCCCAATCCTCGCAGTGCGCAGCAGAACCTTTATCAGTCAAATCATTTCCCCAACTTTCCCTATGTTTCCTACCAATTTCACTACCTTACCTAGCAAACAACCCATCCTCGACACCTACAAGGGTGCCATTGTGGACACTTTGCCCACTCCGTCGTTCGTTATCGATAGAACCAAGTTTAAGGCCAATTGTATTAAGATGCTCCACAATGCTGAGCTGTTACAGGCCGACTTTAGGGCCCACGTAAAGACTCATAAGACCATTGAAGGGACCCGGATCCAAGTTTCGCCCCAACCTGGGCTTTCTACTGATAAACTCGTGGTATCTACGCTTATGGAGGCATGGAACCTCCTACCATTGGTAGAGGAAGGTGGAGTGACCGATATCCTTTTCAGCTTGCCAGTGGTACGGTCGCGGTTGGACGAGTTGGCCCAACTTTCCACCAAGGTGCCCCATTTAAGGCTCATGTTGGACAACCCTGAACAGTTGGACTTATTGGCCAGTCGTCCTTTGTCCACAGACGGGGACAAACCCGCTCAGAAGTGGTCGGTGTTCATTAAAATCAACATGGGAACCAACCGTGCTGGGCTTTTGAACGATTCTCAGTATCTTAGCGAGACTTTAGCGAGGTTCCATGACGTCGCGGTATCACTGGCGGTGGAGATCTATGGCTTTTACTGCCACGCTGGACATTCCTACGCTTCCGATAGCCCCAATGCTGCCAAGGGGTTCCTTATGGAAGAAATCCGTCACGCCAACATGGCCGCTAAGGCAGCTAAGGATCTTTTCCCCGACCTCAACCTCCAGATCTCCGTGGGAGCTACTCCTACAGCCCATGCGTCTGAGATCTTGACTATGGACGAAGTTACCACCACCGTAGGTCCACTCTACGGTAAGTTAGAGCTTCATGCTGGGAATTATCCTTGTCTTGACTTACAACAGGTTTCTACGGGGTGTGTTACCTTGGACGACGTGTCGTGCAAAGTGGTGGCAGAGGTGTTGTCGACGTACCGCGGCCGTGGTGGTAAAGGTCCAGGAGAACAATTGATCAATGCTGGGGTGATTGCCCTCGCACGAGAATTCGGTCCATTACCGGGCCATGGAAGGATCGTGGAACCAAAGGGGTACGACAATTGGATCGTTGGAAGATTAAGCCAAGAGCACGGGATCTTGGTACCATTGGAGGATAAGCCCACGGAGTTGATTCCTTTGGGGACGAGAGTTCTGGTGGTACCACAACATTCGTGTATTACCGCGGCAGCATATCCATGGTATTACGTGGTAGAGGGAGATGTGGTGGTCGATGTGTGGGTTCCTTTCAGAGGGTGGTAGGAGGAGGATCCTGCTAGTACCACTGAGGGCCATACAAGTACCGTGCTAGTACCACTGGGGATAGTTCAGTAAATATAGTTTGTTTAGTTCTGGCTCTCTGGCTCCGACTCTCTGGCTCCGACTCTCTGGCTCTGGCTCTCTGGCTCTGGCCCACTGTGCGACCTCTGGCACGGTGACTGGCGCTAGTGGTGGTGGCAATAATGGCACTCGCCCTAAAGATCTCTACCAAGAGCATACATTCCTATAAACTTTTCTCAGGCAACCTGCCTGGCTACGCTAATGGGCCCGGGGAGCGTAGCCTACGCTCCCCAAACCCTACGCTCCCCAGCCCTCAGGCCAAAGTCTTCTCCACCTTCATCAACTCATCAAAAGCTTCCTCGTACTTCTTGAACTTCCCCCCATCGATGCCCTGGTTCAACGGAGGTCTCCCTGCCAAGTACCCTCCCATCCCGTGGTACTTGTTGATGGCAAACTTCGTCCCAACAAGGTTGTAGTCCCCAATCATCATGTCGGCCTGGGTGACGAGGAACTGTAACTCCCCAGCTTCCTCCCACTTCCCTTGCTTAATCAACTCAAATAACCTCACCATCACTTTAGGGAACACCCCGCTTAACCCATCAATGGTACCACGGATTCCTACCGCCATAGCTGGCACCAATACTTGACCTAACCCGGTAAAAGGTGAAAAGTTGTTTTTGTGTAACCGGATATCTTTTCCTAAAAGGGTATAAGTATCCAATGAGAAATGGGTCAACTTCACCCCCACGATATTCCCGTGGTGGGAGAGCTGGTGGAAGGTGTCGATGGTGAGGGTGACGTTGTTACTGACCCCAGGGTAGTTGTAGACCATGATGGGTAAAGCTGACTGGTCAGCAATGGCATGGAAGTAATCGACAATTCCTTGCTGGGAGGTCAAATGGCCACCAAAGAACCCTGGAACAAGGAAGATCATGAAGTTAGCACCAGCTTCTTTGGCCTGAACACTCTCTTTGATGCCATCTTGGACGTTCAAAGGAGGAGCTCCTGCTATCAACTTGAACTGGGGGTCAGGAATGGCCTCCCTAAGGGTCTTAACCAACGTATAACGTTCGTGGGATGATAAATGAGCAGCTTCTCCCATGGATCCAGCTACAACCAACCCCTGGATGCCGTTGTCGTACAAGAACTTAGCATGTTGGACCTGGGTTTTTAAGTCCAAGGTATAATCTTCATGGAAAAAAGTGGTGATGGGGGTATATACACCCCCTGGAATGGTTTCTACAGTCATAATTATGGGTATTGTGGAGTTTTTGTGGAGTTTAAGGGGTTATTTAACAGTTTTTGGGGAAAGATTTTGGTGACTTTTTGCAACCACGATGTCGCATAATGTCGTGGTGGGTGGTTCTCCATCCACCATCCACCATCCACTCCTTCGCCCTCCACCATCGATTTCTCCGTTCATTTCTCCACTCCTTAAGTTTCATCGCAATATAAGGCCACTCCTAACACTCCTAACCCCAACCCCTTCTGCACTCCTTGGGCTAAAGTTGATAGTTTCAACCAACTAAAGTTGCTGTTAGATTTTTAGGTTTGAATTAGTTATGTCGATTACGTAATATGTGATTACATAAGCTATAATTATGTAATGTGTGATTACTAAGGATAAATCAGACGATTTCTGCTTATATAATAAATGCTTATGTAATCGCTGATTATGTAAACGGGCTTAAAATATGATTAGGTAATCGATGGCTTATGTAATCGATTTCGGACAGCACCGAGAACACCACCAACACCTACCGACAGTTAACAGTTTTGATGGTGGTTGAATAAGTACTGCCACTGTTGGCACTAACATTGTTGGAATCACTTTCAATAACCCTACTGGAAGTGATACCAATAACATTAGTACTACCACCTCCACCCTATTTTGTCACTCCTTCTCCAGTGTCTTCACCACTCATTGATACAGTGTCCTTGTCTGTCCTTGATGGCCGTCGGTATTATTATGTGACTTTTTCTTCAGATCTCTTTGATAATCCTCAGATCTTCTTGGTTCTTCTTTGCTCTCCCTTGTTCTTCTTGGTCTATTAATTCTCCCTGGTTCTTTTTGTGAACTTCTTTTTGTAAACTTCTTTTTGTAAACTTTTTTCACCCTCAAAATCACGTGATGCGCAGTTAAGGCAATTTCATCATGCAGACTCTCAACCTGACAACCCATGATGTTATAGACTGTGCATAATGTACGTGAGGTGATAATCTCCACTGGAACTATTATCTTTGGTTTGTGGTTTTAACTTCAATAGGTAAAGGAGCTCATCTGATTGGTACCAACCGATGCTAAATGACGATGGTAGTTTTTATGGGCTGTTTATGATGTCTGAAGAGTTAATATGTACACTAAATTTTTTATGCTACGTACATTGTCATGTGCGATAAATCACATCACCCTCATAAATCCACAAACCAAAAATTCACACACCCAAATTAAAATCCACAAAACCAAATTAAAATCCACAAACACATTAAAATCCACAAACACATGAAAATCCACAAACACATGAAAATTCAACATGAAAATTCTTAAGGTCATCACTTCGATTCTGGACTCCACGTTCAAACGGCACCAACCTACTCCTTTTCTTAATTACGATAACCTTTAAGTGTTTGTACTTAACAAATATTTCTTAGCCAAAACACTACAAAATAAACCTCTCAATATATAAATTGGTTTTGTGGCCCACCCCAATCAGTGAAATGAAATTCATTGTCTTGGTAACCATGTTGGCTGTAGCCTTGAGTCAGAAAATTCAAGTTCAAGTGGCCACTGCTGTTAGTGATTAGTTAAATATATGTATTTGTGGATGTTTCTTTCTATTTGTGGATTATCTCATGTTTGTGTATGTTTCTTTCTATTTGTGGATGGTTGTCGTGTTTATGGATTATCTCCTATTTGTGGATGATTTCGATGTTTGTGGTTGGTTTCCTCTTTATCTAAAAATTATTTTCTTTCTATTTGTGGATTTTAAGATTATTTTTTTTTTCTTTTTGACTATTTTCTTTAATTCGTATTTTTCTTTTTGTGGACACAAAATTTTTTTATAATCCACAAAGACCAAAAATAAAGTTTTTTTTTTTTATTTGATTTTTTTTTACCCGCCAATAATCCACAAAACCAATTAAAATCCTCAAAACCAAATACCACAAAAACCAAAAAAAAACCTTCAAAAACCATTAAAATCCACAAAACAAAATACCACAAACCCAAACATCCACAAACACAAAACTCTCTAATAAAATTCCATTCTATCGACTAAAAAAATACCCATCTTCAAGGCTGGTCAATCCGTAATTCAAGCCTTCTGGAACTTCCATCAGAGCATTTCCTGTACCCAAAAAAACTAATTTTTTAGGGTTTTAGAAATAATCAGGTTTTACGGAAAAAAGAAACCTTAGATCAGGAGACAATAGAACTAAGAGGACTAAAGTTTAAACCCTAAGATCGCCCTAATGACCCCCCTATTTAGCTTGGCTCCAAGATCTAAGGTTGTTCTATTCGTAATTCTCTATACCAAATGAAGTATTGTTAATCAATGCAAATTATGTTTGTAAACATTTTGCGTTTGTGGATTTTATGTTTGTGGACTTTTTCTATTTGTGGACTTTTTGTGTTTGTGTAAAGTTAAAGAATTTTATTTTCTATAATACCAGTCTTGCATATTACACTAAATGACGATAGATTCTACCGCTATGAAGGTGACATTCAATCCATGGAATTCAAAGAAGGCTTGAGTGAAATTCTTTTTAACTCCTTATACCTAAATAGTTAAGGCAACGCCGTAATATGTAGTGCCAATGATACCGATGATTGGTATCGCCCTCGCGGCACCTTGCGGAGAAAATGCTTTCGTATTTTTCGTATTTTGAGCGTTCGGTTACTTATTTGGGTAATACATTTAACCCATTGTGCGTCTAGAAAACTACCGCCCTCAATAATCTTTTTGAGTTGAAATCTATCAAATTTTATGTCTAAATCATCATTTTAACCATGTTAGATCATAAATATAGTAATCTAATACCCTATGAAGTGATTTAATCCATTAAAACCCCAATTTTTCTCGTCCTTTTGGGGTAAAAACCCCTTAAAAACCTCACCTGAGACCCGCATGAGAAGGGAATTTCATCACTGTTTCTTTTCCTTGGGTCTTGATGCATGTCCTGTTCGTATAAAACATCAGTCATCCCCAAATAATACCAACAAATTTTCCAAAATTAATTATGTGGTTTAGTTTAATTTTTTTGTATTTGTGGACTTTAGTTGCCACAAAACAAGTTACTGGGATTTTTACTGATTTATCAAGTATTGTTTCACAAGCCAGTAATAATTATCCCATTACTCCTAGTTGGAGTGCCACAATACAATGGGCCATTACTCCAGGAAGTTTAAGTGCTGGTGATACCTTTACCTTAACCCTTCCTTGTGTGTTCAAATATACTGCTTCCAGTACCACCGTATATTTGTCGGTAGGGTCAGTTAACTATGCGACGTGTCAATTGGCGGGAGGTGAAGCGGTAGTGCCATATTCTGAAGTTCAGTGTACGGCCTTATCTACAGTTACTGCCAATACCAATGTTGATGGGTCCATTTCTTTCCCATTTACTTTCAATCCTGGTACCACTGGTGGTGCTGGGGATTTACAATGTTCAACCAAATATGTTCCTGGTACTAATACCATCACTTTCTACGATGGGGACACTCCGTTGAGTACCACGGTAAGTTTTGCCGCGGCCACAGGGAGATATGGTTTTACCCTCGACCAAATGTATTTCAATCGTCGTTCCGTCCCATCACTTAATTCTGATCAGAACTATGTCTTAGGAGCTTCTTGTCCTAATGGGATAGCTTCTGGTACCATTGGGATGTCATTTAATGCGGAATTCTTCGATTGTGATTCCATGCATGTTGGTATGACTAATGCTTTGAATGCTTGGATGGCTCCTGGGACCTTGGAAGCCATCACCGTAACGGGGGACTTGTACCACCTCGGGGTACGTGGTAACTTACAGTAATATTCCCGCGGGATATCGTGTTTATATGGACGGATTTTCGCAGTGGAATCCTAACAGTGGTACCAGGTCCGCGGTAGTAACAGTAACCAGGTCACATGTGCTGGGGGTAATAGTAATACTTATAATCATGGAGTACAATGGACTCCCTACATTCCTTCAGACCCTGGATCTTATGGTCAAGATGTATTGGTTACTACCAGTACATGGACTGGTACCGCGACTCTGGTGACAACTTTACCGGTAGTTAATCTGGAGACTAAGACCATCGTGGTCGCGGTACCAATTCCTACCGTCACTACTACCACCACTTGGACCAATTCTGATTCATCAATTTCCACCCAAACTGCTACTCCTGGTGATACTGCCACTGTCATTGTAGAAGTACCTATCCCTACGGTATCTACTACCGTCACCTGGACAGGTTCAGAATCAACTACCACCACCATTACTGCCACTCCTGGTGATACTGCCACTGTAAGTGTAGCCGTACCTATCCCCACTGTATATACCACCGACATCTGGGTAGGTTCCGGTACCACTACCACCATAATCACCGCCACTCCAGGTGGAACCGCCACTGTTAGTGTAGGGTTACCTATACCCACAGTGACAGTTACTTCCACTTGGTTGGAATCTTTTACCTCCGGTACTACTTATACTGCGGCCCCTGGTGGAACAGCTACGGTATCAATTGATCTCCCCATCCCCACTGTCACCATTACTACCACCTGGGAAGAAACTTATAGTTCTGCTACCACCCAAACAGCTACTCCTGGTGAGACTGCTACCGTTATTATTGAAGTACCTACTCCTTATACTACCACCACTGCTACTTGGGAAGGTAGTGAAACCGTCACTGTTACTTATCCCGTATCAAATCCTGAAGATACTCGTACTGTGGTAATAAGTGTTCCGGTGACAACTACTACCGTGACCTCGTACTACGAAGGCTCGGTAGATACTACCACCACCGTCACCATGCCACCGGGTGAGACCGCGACAGTAATTATTGAGGTCCCAACGCCTTATACCACCACCACAAGTACATGGACTGAGGCTAATGGTACTACTTATACCAACCCGGTATCGAATTATAGTGATACTAGGACGGTAGTGGTGAATGTTCCAGTACCAACTACTACCATTACTTCGTATTATGAAGGGTCAGTGGATACTACGATGACTGTTACAGCTCCACCGGGCGAGACTGCCACGTTGATCATCGAAGTACCAACTCCTTATACTACGATTACTCGTACCTGGACTGAGGCCAATGGTACCACATACACCGAGCCGGTTTCTGACTTTAGTGATACCAGAACTGTCATAGTTAACGAGCCAATTCCTACCACCACGATCACTTCGTACTACGAGGGATCAGTGGACACCACAGTTACTGTCACTGCTCCTCCAGGAGAAACAGCCACCGTCATCATCGAAGTGCCAACTCCTTATACCACCATCACACGTACCTGGACTGAAGCTAATGGTACCACCTACACTGAGCCAGTCTCCGATTTCAGTGATACCAGAACTGTCATAGTTAACGAGCCAATTCCTACCACCACGATCACTTCGTACTACGAGGGATCAGTAGATACCACGGTGACAGTCACTGCTCCTCCCGGAGAAACAGCCACGGTGATCATTGAGGTTCCTACACCATATACTACGATTACTCGTACCTGGACTGA